TTCTAATTACACTTGCGAGCGTACACTCGCAAGGATGTGCATTGTGCGTTTCACTTAGAGACTTGTAAATGTCAAGCAAAGTCAGAAGCCCCCTTTACATCCCCCTACTGTTGTTGTTCCTGCTGTTGTGATTTTGTGTTTTTCAAGAGGACAGGCACACTGAGTGCTAGTAAGAAGTGCTATGTAAAGATAGTTTGAGCCTTTGAAGTGGGGGACGTTGGGGACAGCTGATAGGAGAGCTAGCACTGAAGTGGAAGAATTCATCAAGCTTCCTGAGCAATTAGCATATGGGCCTAATTATCATATGAAACCAATCCTCCATAACCAGCCTCCGCATATGATATAACTTCCTATCCTTTTACATTATCACCCATGTCTCTGAAAAATGGTGAGCATGGGTGACCCCAGTATTGTCTTATACCTCTCCTCTCTAAGGCCTGCTTGAATAACTACCATACCTCCAATGTTCCTTCTCTCCATTATGCAGTTAAGCCAGACAGTTAATTATCCAGGAGCAGGGAGGCCGAGTCTCTTTGCTGGCTGCGATAACGATATGCTTTGCTGGGCACAGAATGAAGAGGGCCGGCCCACAGGGAACTGTGCTGATGTCAGGCAATCTTTCAAAAAAGGGCCCAGGCAATTAGATGCACCAGTGCTACTAGGGATGACTAGTGTTATTGAGGATACTGGCTAGCTTCTCTAATGGGGGTATTTAGGGCAATTATGATAAAGATGTCAGGGCGACCTCCGCGCTACTGCTGCTTTTACAAAGGGGTGCCTCTAAGTGCAAGATCACAGAGCAGAAATAAGGAGTGACTAAAGATGTGGCCGGTCCCGAGTGGAAGTCTTGCCACCAGCAGAACTGCACTTAAGACTCGTCTCATGTGGAAAATACTGTCTAGAGGTGCTAAATGGGCTAATCTGCCCCCACAGTTGAGTCTTTTTTGGAGTCGATTATGACAGTCTCAAGAAAATAAACACTCAAGCGCTCAATTAAAGAGGAAAGCCGGGCTGATTTGTTTCCGTTTCGCATCATAGAGGGTTCAGCACATCTGGCCCAGGGAGAGATTGGAGTACTGTTATTATTTAATGGATGAGGGAAGCTGACCATCTGTAAGGTAGTAGCAGTAGGGGCCCATAAAGGGGCTTTTCATGTGGCTTCTGTTTTAAACTGCTTGCATCTGAATTATTTCCATGCACACGTTTACCTCAGTCATCACCTTTCCACCCACCTCACATCAAAGTTACAGCTCAGGGACAAAACCAAGAGCTACTGGTCACCACACACACACACACACACACACACACACACCTCTAACCAGCCTGCAATGTTAGCATATGCCATCCACATGGCTGGCATGACACAAGACACACACTGACTAATGTTTGAAGTAAGTTCAAAGAGGAAAAGTGCAACGTGGAAGCAGCATGTATCCTCTTTCCTCCTTTACAACAGCCAAACAGCTGGTCATGTTTCTACAAAAGGCTCAGTACATTTCCATGATTGTTTTTATACCATGGCTGAGGATAATGCAGCACAATATGTCTCTCTCTGCAATAACCTCTTAGGATAGATATTAGACAGACAGGAAACAGCAACCCCACTATCCAGATGGAGAAAAGCTCTTCAGTGAAGCACATTCCAAAAGTAGCCTAAGTGTTTCTTTCTGGTGTAGTTCATGGAACAGAGCCATATACTATTCAGGAGAGACTGAAGGAGATTAGATATGAAGTTTAGTGTCGTAAAACCATGAAAGTACATGAGCCTCACATTATAACATCATAATGCAGGAGTACCGCAAGAGAAAACCAGGCAGACCTGGAAAAATTCAAGGCTCAATCAACCGATATGAATCCACAGCAGCAGGGAAAAGACGGAAGACTAAACCAACTCAGGGAAAACATTACCCTTCACCCTTTTCAGATTGTGAACACCGCTGTAAGGCAAATCCGCCATCATCACGCCATTGCACTGTCATATTGATCCCATCGTGGCACGATGTTGGCGTTTTATCATGTTATTTCACAGGACAGTTTGGTGACAGCTGAGGGGGCAAAAGAGCAACACATGCCTGTTCAGGGGTTGAATCATTCCTGGTATATTTGTACCTACTAATCCATGCCGGGCAAAACTATGTACCTTTCCTCTGTTTTAACTAGAGGCCGAGGATGGAGTTTACAACTTTTGTTCAGTGGACATTGTGCCATTTTTTAGTTCCATGTCAGAACTGAGTTGGGAATGAAAGCTGTTGGGTATTCTGCACCCTTTTCCTGAAAAAATCTACAGACTGATTTTAAACAACAAAACCAAGTTTGACTGAATGTATTTAAATCCTTGGTCAAACGCCTGAAAGCCAGACTCTTTTGATGCAAATTTTTTGGCTTCTTCTGGAATTTTTTTAGTTCTACTGTATGAGTAAACATGTTGCTGAAACTTGTGTTGCTGCCACTCTTAGTCTGGTCTCCCATTGCAAAGAAATCCCTGATCCTTGAGTCACATAGCATTGCTCTACCCTTAACACATCTAGCAAAATCAAACTCATCTGTCACCATCATTAAAAGGTAAGCTGTACTTCAAGCTGTAGAGAATTTGTTGTTTTGTCCTCTTTACACTTACATCACTTTCTATTCTGTTGAGTTGATACTAAATTCTCTTTTTTATTGCTAAGCCATTTGAAGCTGCCCTCTCAACTCAGTTACTTCTCTTGACTTTGTCTCACCATCACACCTCTGTGACATTTGTTTTGAAGGAGAGATGTTGCAGGGGGAGTAAATATATTGCCTTGACTTGGCAAAATAACAAGGGCTTAATTTCAATGTTGGGTGTGTTGCCTTTAAAAATGGGTTCAGACATTTATTTCAATCTCATCTTCATTAAACCAAATTGAAGACATGAACCCTTTGGCTTATGAGTATAAAGCATCCATTTATAGCCTTGTAGTCTACATCTTTATACATTGTTTTAAAAATGAAAATACAGTAGCATGCCTGTAAAATTTTCCAGGACATTCAGATTTCCCAAAATTGCAGCTAAAACTTTTTTTACCTTTATAAAGCAAGTGCACAGTTTCCTTGTAAAATGAAAATCCAAAAGCCTCAAAGCCCCCTGCTTAAATAATATAAATATCATTATGATCCTCCTACCATGGCCCAACCTTCCTCCTAATCCCCTCTAAAAAATTCATGCAACATTTGCTGCTTTTCATCATTTGTCTTGACTTCTTTTACAAAATGCTACCAAAGCATTCCAGCATCATAAGCAAATGGACATGAGGGCCTCTCTGAAATACATCCAATCAATCAGAGCAGGTTTGCCCTTCTGGAGCAACAAGCCCCATCCTACACCTCCATCAGTCATGCCCCACCTCTGCTTGTCCTCTTTCCTATTTTCACACTATCTCTTTCACTGCGCTGCTAACACCATGACTTATTATGTTTTCCAACTTGATTCCCCTTGATGTTTGCTCTCCAACTCTCTAGCTGCTGACGAGTTACAATCACGTCTGTCGATTTCTCTGTCAAGATATCTGGAGAATAAGCTCTGAATGTTTGGCAGGGTTTCAAATACAAGAGGGGGGACTGAGAATAAAGAAATATGCTTCCCTTTTTTCCCCTTAATTTTTAGTCTATTCCATCATCAGAGGAGAGGCTCCGGAAGAAACTCTTGTGGGAATTCACGTGATTCACGCAACAGGATGGCCCAGCCAGGCTAACCAAACGCGACTTGAAGCGACCTAGTCGACACATCCAGCCAGGAGGGTCACGCTTAAGGAGGAAGATATGAATGTAGAAAAAATTACAACCAGAGCTCTGCTACAATGTAAGATTTTGGTGCTCTAAAACTTCTCTGAAGCCTTTGCTAATTAATAGGATGGCCGACTGTCCAGCATCAGCCGGGACGTCCTGTATTTGAGCCAAAAGAGGCGCGTCGCCGCACGGGTAAATGCTAAAGCTACATGCTGCTCCGGAAGGGGATTTTGTCCCCAGCCGGCGGAGTTGTCGGGGAAGAAGCGAGCGGCTAAAATACGGGAAGATCCGGTAAACCGGCGCGGATCCGGTGTGTTTATCAAAGCGAGGTGGCCGTGCTGAGGCACCGGGGGGAATTTAGGCTAAACAGTGAGTCAAAATAAAACGTTCACACTTACAGATGCTGCGTTTGTAGTAGGATCACGGATAGTTGGTACGGATCCATTCTTTATCTTCAGACATCTAGTAAATCCAGCGTTGAACTGTCCCTCGTTGATAAAACAGTCCGAAGTAAAATGGTGCGCACATAGGTACAGATATGTTGGAAGTGCCGCGGGTACATTCCCATTATAAATAAAATCCACCCATTGAGTCCTCAACTCCTCCGACGAGGGAGTTTTCAAGAGTTTGGTGCTCGTGTGTGCATCCAACAACAGAGCAAACGCTGCCTGTTTTATCAGATCGTACTTCCGCCATGGTTCTAACCGGAGCAACGCGAGCGAGCGGCCGGTGTTATGCCGTAAAATGCACCCCTGCCGTAGGATGCACCCCTAACGGTAGCTCGGTTGAAAGAACCTAAAAATGCGAAATAATTCGCCGGGAATGATGGCGGTGTTTTGATAATCTTTTGGGCAGGGCAGTGGGCGGCTCCGTGGGCAGTACCATCAACCCGCCAGCACTGACACGACGTCATGTCAGTGGAGTTTTCAGAACGGCTCTGAGCACACAGTTCCTAAATACGGAGATAACTACAAAACGACTGGATGGAATTTTTTCGAGCTTGGGGGGATTGTAGCGGTTTTCTATCCCTGATATGCACCCCCCTCCCGTTAACAAAGTCAGTTTTTCATGCCATGGCCCCTTTAAGCTGTCAATAAAACGCTGTTTATGATTTGAGATCCATTTAAACTGAAGTACAAAACTGTTGCACTCCTGCTTATAACACTTGACAACATAATTCCCAGGCTGGTATTGAATGCATTCTTACAAGAATCATTTCAGGCATAAGTCATGTATAATTTAGCTAACAGGAGGACATTAAATCAGTTTTTCCGAAGGCCCCATGTCAGCTCTTGATGCTATCTGTTATGATGCTGTCAATGACATATTGCCTCTGGGGCAACACCGTACAGCACCATACCGTGTTGAAAGGATTACCCTCGTGGAAGTAAGGCTTAACCCGGGAGCAATAAAATGAAACAAAAGTCAAAGCTTTTCTTAAGTAAGTGCAACGTATGCCTTGTGCAGTAAAAGGTTCCTTTAAGACTGCCATGCAACACTTTAGAGAAACATAAAAAGCATCAGCTGAGACTCCCTAACACTTTCAAAATATACACAAGTCTTTCTGTAGTTAAGGCCTAGATAAGTAGGAAGCCTCGTCATCCTCATTGTTTTAAAGACAGTTTATTGAGAGATGGGATTAAGTTTTCATCTTACCGTAATGACTATAAAATAGGAGCAAATCATCAAACCTTTTAGGCAGTAATTCCGTTCAGAGTACAAAGTAAAATGTTTCAACCCGCAACGAAAGAGTTATTTGGTTCCATTAGAGAGGTTTTTCTGGTAATGTAAATAGATAATCAAGAGCGAAGCATCAAGCCTGGACAGGGGATCAGTATGACCTGCTGTGTGTACATAAACCTCAGTTGTAGTGATGGATGGCTGGCCTGACAGACTGTTGTTGTGTGATGTAGAGGGAGACAGCTCCCACAGCAGCTCTCATCTACTATCCCGCTCACAAACCTCTCCAAACACCACATGTGTCATTGTCTGCAGATGTGTAAATGTACAACAAAGGGCTTTTTTTCCAAAAGAGGTGTAATGAAAGGTTAAAAATGAGTGTTATTGCATAATTAGGCACACATAACAGCTCTCTTGTCTGGTTACATCAGAAACAGTGAAAATCAGTCACCTTTGCTACACAAGCTCTACTCCTCTGTTGTTTTCACATCCATCTGTGGACAACAAAAGAAAAAGCAGCGAGGAGAGGGAGAACAAGGCCCACCATGCTACCAGATAGGAGCCTGAAGGGTTTTGGGGCCCTGAAAAATAAGGCTAATTTGAAGGTCATTTAAAGAGCGCCAGGCGGTGCAGCCCAGGAGGGGGGGGCGTCTCAACCAGAGCTGGGGAGCACTTTGGGTTGCACCGCTGTGAGGTAGGTGCTCCGACGCTCTCCCTGGTGCTCTTCATCAATCTCTCTGATCCACCGAGAGCCTCCTCTGACCCACATAGCAGCCAAAGAGAGGCGGCTGCTTTTCTTTCATTATTGATACCACTGCGCCACATCACCTGGACTTACCTGGAACAGGTTAGCAGAGGAGCCACAAAGGTCAGAGAGCAACAGGCAGACTCAAAGCCAGAGGTTTACAGTGATAGACAAAGGCAGATCCCCACCCACCCACTTCCTTTTGGTTTACCTTTGCCTTACTTCATGAAATAGACTTAAATATTCTTGATCAGATCCTTGTTTTTATCTGTATAATTTACACAACAAACTCTGAGCTGCAACACTCTGAGTAAGTCAGTAAGAAACTTGAAGAAGTCCCCTTGGTTACCAACAATGGGATGGACTGTGCAAGGCTAAAGCACAGCACACCAAGGACACATTGCTGCACCTTCCTCTCATCTTTTGTAGGGGTATCCTTGGCAATTCCATCTTTGTGAGGTTGTGAGATTATGTCAGTGTTGATCTTGAGGGTGCAGAGATGCAGACAAACCTCTCTACATAATGTTAAGTCTGGAGGATAGTTGCTGATCCATGTTTTAACAGCTAAAGCTTTATTGTCGGGCCATTGGATAGAGATGAAACTCCCCCGTACACATATCTCCCTGACACAGTGCAGCTAAAACTGCAGTTATAAAAGAGAATACATGCTGTCAGCTACAAAAAAATAAACAGTTATTGGTTTAGAGAACCATTGTCTTAACAAAGAATAGCAATATCACCTCCAAAGCTGGACGTAATCTTTGATTCTGACATAGAATAGAAAGGCGAGAAGAAGCTTTAATGTTGAGACAATAGTAGATTTGTTTGCTGCACACGCTTCAAATTAGACCAAGGTTTGGGTGAGGATAAACATAAGTTTAAGCCATTCTCAGTCTTCACCATAGCAGGGAACAATTCATATTTGAATACAACACTATTGTTGAACAAAGCACTGGCATGGAAGGATGCTGCTGGATGGAAATAGAGCTTATCTTATCGTGCTGTGAGTATGGGGTCTTTGCTGCAGACAGCTTCAGTCGGTTGAAAGGAACAGGGTGCGTGGCTTAAGTGCCTGTCTTTGTTTTACCTCTTAACTGCTGCATTACCCTTGCAAACCTTATGATTATATTACAGAAACACGCTTTATATTCCATGTCCATATGTCACGCTTATAAGTGTAGACGCTTCAAAGGCAGTGGCATATTTGTTGTGAGTCAGGATGGGGTGTAAACTGTGTAAAAGTAGTGCAGCACTCATACATTTTAAAAGCTGAAGTATTGTGTCTGTTTACACCAGTAAGTTGAAGATATTTGCACACTGTTTCCGTGGAGATTATTTAACAGCCTGAGCCACTATGACTTACACTGAAAAGCATCCTTTCCAAAAGGTTTCTCTTTAAACACTGCTCGCTGTGACAGAGTATAGAGTGGGGTGGGAGTCTGTGGGTAAACTAACACAGGAAGTGGGGACAGCTGTATAAAAGTTAGGTGCTAGTGTGTGGTTTTCACAAAAAAAACGTATCACATCTGACAAGCCAAAGCATAACATGATTAATATGTCTGGGTGATAAAAAACAAAGTTGGAGAAACTTGAGTTTGTCTTTTATTTTACGTTTGAATAAATAACTTGATTATTATGCATGACTGGATTTAGTCCTGTGTCAGCAGGTAAAGTGTGGTCAAATAATATGGAATATTTTTTATTTTGTTGTAATGACCAAACATGCATCAAAAAAGTAAATCACATTAGCTTATATATATAAAAAATTACGCAAAAGAGGTCAAATATGAACTTTTCTGTGCTGTTTGTTTTGCTCTGGCTCAGCTCTAAGAGGAAATACTGTCACCATTTATGTGAATCATGCTGTTTGTCAATAACAGCTCTGCTCAAGCTGGGCACGGTGTGGTTATCCTGTCTGTGAGCGTACAGCTGTGTGGCTCAAGTTCAGCACACAGCTTGAGTACATTCGCCTTAATTTTTTTGAGTAATTACGTGGAATTTGTGAACAGTATTTAGTGATTTATCATGTGGTTTTGTTAACAAGTTTTAGAGGAATTCTAACAGAAATCTACTTCATCAGTAAGTCATTACTCCCCGTAAATACAGAGTCTCCACTGCTGCCTCCTCCAAGGTGTTTCTGTTTCTACCTTAAAGATCTGGGTTTACAAGTAACACTACCAAGGCTGATATAAGCTTCTGAAACTGCAGTTTTTGAGAGCCACTCAAATGTCTTTTACAGTTTCTAACATTGAGTTATTGTAGCAAGAACAACTGGCACCACTTTTCCCATCTTTACTGAAATGTCTACAATATAGATATTCTCTGTTAATGGTTTTGTTGGAATGGGTCCATGAAAAAACAAGAACTTTGAAAGCTTGAATTGTACAGAGCAAATGCACATTATAAACATTTTTTTCTTCTTCTGTCTGTGCATAACTAACATGCTGAGAGTTGAACCAGGAAGCTTTGAAGCTCACACGTTGAGGGGCATGGTACAGATGAGCACTCACACTATAAGCAGAACTGAAATGGTTTGTGAGCACAGTCCACACTTGTCGCCAAATAAAGAAAACCCCCAAATTTTAATGTCTGTGATAAGATGTGGTCTCATTTACCTAAATCTTTCCAAGAAACATACTGAGATGCGGACGTTGACTAGAGGAGCATTTCTGACTTTTTAAAAAGAAAGAGAAAAACTGAAGCAGGTTGCACTAGAGAAATACACAAACAGTTAAAATAGTGAGATTGATTTGTGAAAATATGCCCTTAGAAAGCTCTGAGTAGCTTGTGAAGTTCAGTCACCTGAGGTGAGTGAGATGCACTCAGCTGAATAAAGTGTTTGACTCATGAACAGCCAAAACTTTTGCTCCAGCGTTTTCACTAACCTTCTGAATCCTTCGTTGTTGATCACAGAGAAAGTCTGTCTGGCTGTATCTTCAGTGATACAGCTGATATCCTGAGTTTGTGCACATTTAAGGGGCCTCCTTTAGAGTCTTTTGGCCAGGCTGGATTTTTTCCTCACCTCGTCTCCAATCTTTTCAGGGTGATAATTTGCTTCTGAAATGTGGCTTCTGAAATTACTTGTTTTCCACGACGTGTAGGTCATTACAGTCTGACAGTGTCACTCCACTTTGCTCAAACAAAATTTCATTTCCAGCTAGAAAGACCTCTCTTTTCATAGTAAAACAGGTCGAAATAATATTGTGGTACTGTCATTATCATTACATCTCAGCTAAACTGGGATATTTATCACAAAACTTTTTTAGAATAATTTCAAAACCAAACTTTAAAGCTAAATTTATTTCAAATTCATATGGAAATCATGCGCTCAAAGATCAATGTACAATGCTTCGCAGCCCAGACTACAGGTTTACTCTGCTGCCTCTCAGTGTTGCTGGAATAAAACAGAAAATGATTAGAAGTGTTTGAATGTAGTTTGGCAGGGGTGAGAAATTTTAAGTGCTTTCCCTCCACCTCTCATCATCCCCCCTCACACGCTCTCTTTAATGTCTACACACACGCACACACAGGTGTCAGAACGTCAGAGAGGTCTGACTGACTCTAGCCCTGTCACTGAGTGCATGCTGAGAAAACAGCTCCTCCTCCCCCCTCTCCTGTCCTCACCCCCCTCTCCCCCTCCCCTCCTCTCTGGACGCCAGCCTGACATACCAGACCTTGTTCGTTAGCACATATTTTTACCCACCGTTACTAAATTAGGAAGCCAGAGGGAGCAAATGGAGTGTGGCTGCCAAGGCAGAAGAAGAAGGGTCTGATCAGGCTTGGGTTTGCTGAGGGCCTATGCCAACCCTACCGGCTTCATTAAGAGCCACTTGGGTTTCAGAAATAGAAGTCCAATGGGGACTGAGGCCAAACAGAGTCCTCAACGGCTAGCCAAAAACTCACGGGACAAACAAACAAACAAACGGGCTGTCTTATGGTCTGCCAGAATCAACCGGCAGCAGCCGTCCCAAGGAGCTATAAGAAGTTATCTTAGGCAGTGCTGCATACAACATGTGCCCTGCCCCAGGTTTAAAGTGGTGACAGTACACATAATGCCAGACCCACATAGAATAAATTAACCTAGAAAGCTGTCTCCAGAGACCAATTTCTCAAAGCAGCCACTGAGACATTACTACTAGTTTGTTTGGCATGGATTCTCGGGCCTGATTTAAGAAAGGATATTTTCACAAGGAAATGTACATTTCCTCTCCTCACTGTTGACTCATAACATGTAGATATAGGTACGGTAAGATGTGGAGTACAAGTATCTTATGTGTGCGTTTAAATCAACATTATTTAGTTTCTTCACTCTTTTATCATAACAATCTACAATAAGATCAAGATTAGTCTAAAGCTTAGGGGTCCTGAGATAACTTTTGCCATGGTTTGAGCTAAATGACTTTAATTTTGACTTTAAAAATTAGACATCTTATATTATAAGGTAAATAAAATGTAAACTTCATCCTCTAAAGTTAATTACTAAATGTTATGTAAAAGATTTACCTAAAAGGAGCTTTGGACAAAGCAAATAACATAAAATCAGAACATTTCATCTCTGGCAGTGAATTTCAGAGATGGGCGGACAATTTGAAAATGCGGTTGTATAATGTGCTCATATAAAAGGTTACAAAACCACAGAGGACAGTCATTCTGGTTCATTTTTCACCTTTTCATGGAGTGGAACCTCTCACCTATTCACTACTATGAATTCAGTCCATTTAACACACACCCATTTAAACTACTCAGCTTTAAACAGCTAAAACAGAACAGCTTTAATAATGCTACCTTCAAACATTAGATTGACAGATTCATGAGGAATTCATAAATTCATGTTTGTGTGTGACATGGTTCAAATAGCTTTTTCTGTACTTTGTGTTGACTCATGTATTGATAGGCAAAATAATGTTTATGTTTCACAATTTTATGGTTTCCTTTTGCAAGAATCAAAAACCCGTTTAATAAAAAAAATTGAAATAAATATCTTTTGAAGTCTGAGTAAACGCCATATGGCTGGTAAAACAAGTGCTGAAATGTAGTCTGGATATCACTAAAACAGACAGCCCTGGGGTTTACTTGTCCCCAGTTCAACACTTTGAAGTGAGCAGACCCTAAGGTGAGTCCAAGCTCCCATCCATCAATTCTTAGAAAATGCAACAATATTATAATACTCCCTGGAGCAAAACTATAACACAAACAACAGTCAATATGTAGGCTCAGGGTTCTTACTATTACTATACTGACACCTTGTGGACATTTCCGCATACTACAAGTTATCTCTTTAAAAGACAAGATGTTCTCATATGAATCAAATGATACTCAGAATAAAAATTCAAACATTGTATTTTTATTCTATAATTTAAAAGATTTAGATTAACCTCAAGATACTTTTGCCCTTGGTGGTATAAAGTATTGGCTTGAATTCGTACATTTAGTTCTATTGACTCAATAGCGTCGTTCAAAAACAGACAACAAAAATAAAACCAATGTCTCGTTAAATGCAACTGAGACCTCTAAAGGAGGAAACTTCTGATCAGGCAGTACAGGCCCACCTCGACCTCCAAACCTTAATGGTGCATACGTATATGCTTGGCATACTTTGTTTGGAGATCTTGTACCCCACCGTAGTGGTTTTCAATAGTCTATAGTCGAAATTACTCTTGTCAAACTAGAACTGTTTTGCTATGTAGGTAATAACTTGATATATCCGAGTTATTCAAATTATTCACACGCTTTACTTACCGTTCTTAGATACACAACAGGGTTGTATTTCAAAACAGAGCGGTTCTTGAATGCACCCTGCTGTTGCTTCCTCTGTCAATGGTGGTCATTTCCTCTCTTTAGTGGAGTTTGTTTGGCACAGAGGCTCGTACAAACCGCTCCTGGACTTGAGAACTAGGTAACTAAGCATAAACCTGAGGAAGTATTTTCGTCTGTTTTAATCCCAAAACATTAATTCTCCACGTCGTACATGTAACCGATAAATAACAGCAACTATTCATGCGAGTTAGTATCGCGCGCCCTGGGTAACCACGGAAACAAACGCGTGAAAAACACAGATGGCGCATCCACATTTGACTGTCACATCCACGAATAAAATCCACGAATAAAAACGAGTGAATCCACGGTTTTCAATACCTTGTCAGAGGAAATGGTTGATGATAGAGCAATGGCAAAAACACGTCCAAACTCGTCCGAGTCTCAGGCTGGGTGAGTGATTTATTCTTTCTCATGTTCTGTGAATGATGATTGAAAGTGGGTTGATTATGTTAGAAAAAACAAACCAAAGTAAACAAGACATAGATGTTTTCTGTATCATCTCCCGTTTCAGGTGTACCCAAGTTGCATTTGCTCCTGTAAAAGTGTTCTTTGTTTGTAGGTTTATAGAAGCTCACTTTTTCAAATTGTCAGTGCGTCCTCAAACGCAGCATGTATAATAGTTTTTCTGATTAACTTTTCAAATCAGTAAGCACAAGTTTCTGAACAATGAGTTTGTGATTTGCAGGATGTTTGCATTTATCATTCGCTTTAGCCAACTGCAATGTGTTGGTACCTGTGAAGTTAACACAGTGCAATAAACGTGCACACAGACAACAGGTAGGGGAGAGTGGGCTAAGTTAAGTCAAAGGGTAAGTTGAGCCTTGGAAATGGTAAAAGAAATTAATCATGTGACCAAATATTTAGGAGATGGGCATCAATTCATGGAGTCTGTGAAAGTGAGAAGCACATGGGTGAAGATATATATATATATATATTATCAAGACAGTTATGTTTACACTCATTATGTTGGTTTGCAGGGATGAACAACATCTTAAAATATATGCAGATACAGTAGTTAGAGACAAAACTATGATCACCTTGATGTAGTGATCTGAAATATGAAAAATGGCTCATCTTACCCCACTCTCCCTACATGGCTCATGGATCAAATGTGTAAAGACCTTGACATCACAATCAGCCAATCACAACTAAGTTTGAAAGGATGAAGTTAACTGCTGGTGCGCTTCCACCCATAGATGGGGACAGTATATGACCACCAGCTGCAGTATCAGATTATTCTGATGTGGGCATGTCAACCAATTCTGAAAATGAAGAGGCCTCATAATAGTGATATTCATGGCAGAGCTGTTGTGCTGGGTTGCAGTCAACCGCCCCAGTGTTCATGATGGTATGGCTGGTCAGTGTATGTCCACACTGATAATACATATGATAAAATACCTTGTTTGACAGTAATGACGGCATCAGCAGCGTGGGCACATCTCCCCTGTCTGACCCGGATATGTTGAGTGCTTCACATTCTTTACATGAGAGAAAGGAGTTTATTATGATGCCCCCTGAAGGAAAGCTTGAACACTTTAACAGACAAGCTCAGGACCATGAAGACCACCAAGAGGTGAGTACGATGTAGGGTGTGGTGGGAAAAAATGTTACCTCAGTCTTTTGTGTATTGACATCTGCTCAGAAGGGTGAATAAGGTGTTCAGCATCCAAGATGGCATAAAGTACATCCAACTTTCCTATCTTGCAGAGTGTCAAGAGAGAGAATACTGATAGTCACACGCTTTATCTTTCCAGTTTGATGCTTGTATCCAGGATCTGGTGCGTTGTGTGGCTCTGACAAGACTGGTGTATGAAGAAGGACATCTTAAACTAGCCCAAGCCCATGTTAGACTAGCCAAAGCATATTTCCACTTTAAAGGTAATTTTAAGATACATCTACCATGCTTTCACTTAAACTTAAGTCTCCTTTTTAGTACCTTATTTTTAATGTGGTGATAAATTTGTTATTTTGCCTAAAATACATGTAAGCTTGTGATAACGTACATTGCTTTGTCTCTCATGCAGGCTGGGGTCTGCAGGCTCAGGAGCACTTAGACCTGGCAAGACAGCTACTTCCTTTCTGCACCTCCATCTCATCCGGCACAAGTGAAAAGCGTGAGATTCTCATGTGTCTGCTGAGTGTGCATCTCACACAGGGAGGTACTTCCCTTCTTACAGACAAATATCCTTGCTGTAAATGTGTTTCAAAACAATACACTAGACTGAACAGACATATCAACTCAAACAACTCCTGCAAAAGTCCTTGACTCTAGTCAACCCTTGAAGAGGCAGAGTCCTCTTTTCTGGAGGCAGAGCGGGTTCTCGGGGAGCTTCATCAACTTGCTGGTATTGACCGGGAAGGGAAGATAACCACTGAGTTGGAAATCTGCAATGGTCTATCCAGGTTGAGTACTGAACTATTTTTAATGTGTATTACTTGTAGCACACAGTGGATGTATGGTTAATATATGAAATTGGTAAATATGACATATTTAGGGGCTCAAGTGCAGAACATGCAGCCTTTAAGATTCAAAAGCAGCTGCTGCTCATTTTAGCAATGCTGTTGAGTAATTAGATGATTTGTTCTATTTATTTCCTCTGACTTGCTCTTATTAACGGTAACATGTGCCAGGGGATATTCAGAGTATAGCCTGGATGGTTTCACCTTTGCAGCAGTTGTTTATTATTATTACTCATCATGTCACCCTGAAAACCCCCGAAGTTCTAATATAGCACTTTGCTAAAATGTTTGGCCACAAGATGGCGATGAGTCACTGCAACCAGCAAAGCAAAATTTTCCATGTGCTCTTGAACACAACAACTTGACAAATCAGGGTTTTCCCATGTTGCTGTCCAGTCCACTGAGCAGGTCAGTGTGGGTGTTTTGTAATTAAGCCTGCAGTCCAGCTGGGTGGGGTCTCTGCATGTCCACTCGTCCAGTCACTGAGCAAGCACAGTAAAGAGAAGCCTTGTCTGTTTTCTATCTAACATTGACCTCCTCCTCAGTCACTTAACCCCTTACCACAATTCATGCTGAGATATTGCTTTCACTGTCTGATAGACTGATTCGGCTTGTGTCATTCTCTTTCAAGCTGTTTACTTCACACCAAGTGGTATTGCAACATTATTGATTTGCGTCTACAGTTTTACAGTGAACATTTGTAACGTTATGGTGGTATTGACAGCACACGCCCCCACAGGCTGTACAGCATGCTAGAGTAAAGATTAAAGACCTAATAAATCACGGTTGACGCCTCAGACATCAAGTGCAGGAGAGACTAATGTTTACTTACCATACTGAGAAAGCCATGGGACCTAGCAACATAAAATATATCAACGATTTGTTGTAGATTGGATAAGTGAGTGGATAGTAATTTTGATGATGTTGAGGGGACAGGTTGGTTTATTTGGATTTATTTTGATTCAGTGGATAGAGCAGTTGGTATTGTATCGATATCTGGATATAACTTCCTTTTAAGTACTTAAATTATCCCTGCAATGAACTTAGTGTATGTTGAAAAAACCACAGCAGCTCAGTACATCTCACAGCTGCATGTCTGTGAAGCCATGTAAACATCCTTCTGCAAGGATCCACAGCCTCAGACATTCACCAAGCCTGCGTAAGTTGTGAATAAGTTGTGTTTTATGGGTTACAGAACATTTATGATCATTTCACCTAATCATCAGAGACACTGAGGCAGAAGAACTACTGCATCTGTAGTGCAAAATGATTAATATGATGATTATTACTTCAATGAAGTGATAAAGTAATGATCTTAAATGTTCTTCCTTGAGCTGCGTCACCCCGCTGTAGTCCGTAATGGACTGGTCTCGCTACAAACAAGCGGCTGCTGGAAGAGAGTAGGTAAGTTGTGTTTAGTCTCTTTGCTAAAGAAATCAGGCAAAGTTAAAAAGATGTTTGGTGGCCACTGGCTAGTACTATGGCTGGGACCCTATATGTACTGTTGATGAAGCATGCTGTTCTGAGCATTATTTGTGGCTATAGAGTGGCGTTTTGGTTGAGGTTTGTTTATGGCTCCTCAGACCGCTGTGTATTACTATCCTGTGGTCGTTACTAAAGTTGGTATAACTAGAGAAACAAGCAGTCGGCAACATTCATCTCTCAAGGGGGGGTCTAACTTGGAGTTGCGTTGTGTTTGACCCTAAATTAATTTTACGCCAGAATATCCCTTTAAGATGAATTACAGCACACCCACAAATAATAATAAAAAATGACAAACGGTTCCAATTATTCTATTAATGGTTACACTGATTTTTGTCTACCACACAGCATACTCTTCATTTTGATTAACTGCATGCTGCTGTGGAAGAGAGTAATTCAATTGACACCCATTTGTTCGATTTGATGTTTCTATATGGATTTCATTTACCACAGTGTGCTGCAACACTAAGTGGTTCCGGCAAGCCAGAAAGCCATGTTAGTCATGACAGCTGAACTAAGCATACGCCTATCTTCCATTAGGGGATTGACCCACTGCCTTGATTATGAGTTAATATTCAAAGTAGATGGGTTATGCCCAGAGTAATTGTGGTTTAACCAGCTTCCTGAGATAGTTTTAAAAAGCTGTTACTTTCAAGGCCTTAAATGTTGAATTTAGGCTACTTTAACACTGAGCGACTAAGGGCAGGTCTTCAATGTAATCTGAGGACAACATGTTGAGTCTCATAACAATAAGGAAAGACTGACGATATTTCAAGAGGTTTCACGGTTGTAAAGGCAAGTTGAAGAGTTGTGGACCCACATGTTTTGAGGATCCTGTTGCTAGGTGAAGAGGAGTAAAACCACAGCAGAATTTAAAGTAAACAAACCAAATCAGCAGCAGCAGAGGTTAGCTCCTCTCACAGGAATCTGAAAATGATGCCATCTTGCTCTGTTTCAAAGAGTCAGAGTTTGTTGACATGATGTGTGTAAATTGAAAAAATGTGCAGACTCTGGCTGGTGTGTAAGCTTGCTAAATCTCTTTTGTTAGATGGTGACTAAGAATTTGGCGTGCCCCTAAAGCCCTGTCAGTCAACACTGTTGTGATGAGGGGGAATGTTCCCACCAAAGCCTGGAACAAAAAATTGTATGCTCAGCTCCCCCATAGATCATGGTCCACATATTCTGCTGGGTTCTGGATTCACACTCAAGGTGTGTGCTTTGAACAGCCAGGTGGGAAATTTGGCAGTTTTTGTAGTTTTAGATTTGTTTTATGGGTGTGTGTGATCTCATATACTTGGCTTCACTTCTCGATAACTGCTGTCATAAATTCAAAAGCAAATTGATAGATTTATTTCAATTCCCTCATGATTATAATAAAATAACTTAATATTTTCTCAACCTTTAATTTAATTCTCATGTTTATGCTCTGCATTCATTTAAATTTCCTCTATGTAAATAGATCACAGAGTTTGTATTGCTGTCAGTCACTCTGTCGCAACATCCTTACTCACAGATTTATTGCATAGCTAATGTGTACTGAGTATTTTCATAGTTTTAACCCACATTTACCTGAGAACACAATAAAGAGCTTCATCAGTCTGAATGCTACAGATGCTGACATACTTCTCTTTATGTCGATCTGTTTTTACTTCATCTCGGCCTTTGTGGATCATTTTCTGAGTAGAAGTCCACAGAAAAACAACGTCAACCGTGTTCTGGAAACATTTACAATAGAGGGCTGTGTGGCTTTCTTGGCAACACATCTACAAATCCTTAATTATATAAATACTCTTCCCTTTGGACTCTCCGCAGATTGCAGTGGGTTGAGGCATATTACAGTTCTAGCCAGGATGTGCGTAAGGATGTGAAGTGAATGAGAGGATAGAGGGGTATTGTATCTGTGTGTCCATGCAGGCTGCAGGCTGGCAGAGCTCAAGTAATGCTGGAATGTAGCTCCGCTTCAACCATCCCTGCTGCCCTACAAGGACTTGAAGTGCCTGCCCTGTGAAAACTAATGGGTGGGGCACTCACTTCTTCTGTCCATCTTGTTGGGATAGTCTTCTATTCATGAGAAACGAGGGATAGGAGCGGGACGTGATACTGTCTGTCTTACAGTGCTGTTCAGTGCCTTCAGAACATTTACTTCAGGTAATGATGTTATAGAAAAGAAAACACATAGTACCTTAAATCAGGTGTAAGACTTACACTGTGTTGATGCAAGAAGACTGATTTGTAAAAGTGGTTTCTCTCTGCTGCTGTAACACAGCAACCGAGCCCGAGTCTGATTGTAAGTGAGTGTTGTGTCCTCTGTGAAAGGCCCCCCCCTTTGACTGGGGAGCAGAATTAAATTTAGAGTCCATTAGCTGGTTGGAAGCTGTTGGCAGAGTGGGTTGATGGATTTGATGTCCTTGCAGGGGTTAATGCAGCTACCGTCTTACATCTCTTTCTACACTCTCCCTCTACTGTGCTGTGTAAAAACCTGAGTGACTCCATTGTGCAGGATGCTGAAAAATGGCTTGATTGAGCTCCAACTTGGTGACAATCTCACATGTACAGATAAAGGATGGATTGAGCTGCTCTTTGTTTCAACGAGGATCATGCTTAAATCTTGAGTTTTGTGTTGGTGGTTTACTCAGACAACATGACCTCCCTTTCTCTTTACCCGCTTGTCAGACATCATCAAGAGTGAAATTTTGAACAATGTAGAAGTTATCTTTAAGACTTGCAGTTAATGTCAGGAGTTTGAAAGCAGAATATTCCCAACTGAGGTGGTTAGGAGAACTGAGAGGAGGCAAAAAAAAAACAGTTAAAGGGCAATGTGCAAACTTTTCCTATTATAGTCTGCACTACTTCAACAAGCTTCTGCAGCTTCATCAGCCAAAAGCCTTTTACCCCTCTACTGGCTCTGTGTTTGGCATGAGACCAAGCTGCTCCTTTACTGATAATAAACAGACTCATGCTTATTAATTATCATACTCTATTTTAAAAATAATAAATAAGGAGTATTTCTGGTATTATTTGTAATTCCATTGTGTAAAGTAGAAATTGCTTTGAACAGTTTGGTGCAGACAAGCTGCAACTGCCTTAATTACTGTCTTAAGTACCTGGCTGAGTTGGTTCCTGTCTGTATGTTTGTCTGTTTCTGTAAGCATGTGTTGCCTTGGTACTCTATAGGGTCTATAAGAGACAGAACAGACCAGAGGAAGCCTCGAGTCAGTGTGAGAGGTCTCTGCAGCTGCTGAAGGACTGCGGTAAGCCTGAAAAGATGTGCTCGGTCTATAAGGACATGGCCGCCATTGAACAGGACAACGGTCATCTTGATCAAGCCGCGGAGTACCTCACCAAGGCAAGGAACTGATAACTAAACACAACTCGAAAGCACCAAACATGTTAACATATCGTCACCCTATTAAAATAATGGCCTATATAATTTTTTGACAAAAACTAGTTTTTGGTCTAAATCCTCTCTTGATAATACTGACCATCTCTGGTAAAATCGCCTAAATCCTCAATTGAAAGGATCATGCCATGATCCTTTCAACTAAGGATTTAATTATTTTAATAGGGTGACAGTATTTGGGAATTTTAAATGGCGCCAGACTCCATCATGGCGTAAAGTCCCCTCACTTCTTATTAGGTGATATGTGATCTGTCTTACTTCACATGGGTGTTTCTGCTAGGCGCATGCCATTGCTATGAGTCACAGCCTAGAGGAACTACAGGGGGCTCATATCTCTCACAGCCTGGCCCTCATCCTTTCTGCTGCAGAGCCCCCTCACAATGGTAAGTTCATCCACTGACACAGGCTAGTCTTGAGCAACATGCACAGAGGGTTAATTAGGGTTTGAATCGACCATTGTCTTCGTATATGGAGAAATCTTAAAGACGGTGTCATGAAACCAAGAGTGCACAATAGTCTTATTGAAAGCATCCAAGTACAGTCATGTCAGTAAGATTCTTCCTTGTCAGCTCTCTCATGGCACATACTGCTCCATAGTAACTGAGGATGACAACAAAACATCTGGAAAGTGGGGAGGGGATTTCAATCCAGGAAGAATCTAGACAAACAATCGTACTGCACTGGTTCAGTAACACTGAACATTCCAGTTATCTAGTTAATTATTGCTGTGATTGAGGTTAATATGAATCATGTGTTTTATTTCTGTTAACTTGAATCATGTGTTTTATTTCTTCTCATGCTGCTTCAGACTCAGCTCAACACCACTTTGAGCAGAGCCTCAGTGCGTACAAAAAATCTGCAGGTTCACAAGATCCAACATTTCTTGCTGTGCAGGATGATTACTGTCGTTTCCTCCTCTTCAGTGGCCAGCAGGAGGTTAGACACACTCACTCACATAAGTCTGACAACAAATACAACTTAAAAAGTCCTGAAAAAGTTTTTTTTTTTTCATAATTTAATTTAAAAAGTGAAACGTTCATAAGTTGTAGATGCAGCATGCACAAAGTGAAACATCTCAAGACTTTTTCTTTTGTTTGAATCTTGATGATCACGACTCACAGTTCCCAAAAATCCACTGTCTCAAAACACTGGAAACTAATAGAACACTTGTCCAGAAAAGAGGATTTAAGGTACAGAATTGTCCTGGAAATGTTTGTTTATTTATACACTCAGTACTTGTTCAGAGCTCCTTTTGCATTAATTGCTTGAGGTAATCAGTCTGTGGCTCTGCTGCTGTTTTATAGAAGTCCAGGTTACTATGATAGCAGCCTTCAGCTCGTCTATATTGATGGTTCTGGTGTCTCTCATTTTTCCCTTGACAGTACCCCTGAGATTCTCTATAGGGTTCAGATCAGGTGAGTGATACCATAGTCAGCAAACCAGTTTGTGGTAGTTTTGGCGCTGTGAGCAGGTACCAGGCCCTGCTGAAAAAAGGAAATCTATATCCTCAACATTTCCAGAAGACTAAAGCATAAGGTGATCTAAAATCTCTTGGTAGACTTTAGGCTGCATTGACTCTGGACTTAATAAAACACTTCAGGTCAACACCAGCAGAAGACATAGCACCCCAAATCATCACAGACCGTGGAAACGTCACTTTAAAGCACCTTGGATTCTGTGCCTGTCTGTTCATTGTGTGATTGAGATGCAACACCTATTTTCATCTTAAAAGAGGACTTTGTACCACTGAGCAATAGTCAGATTCTTTTTCTGAACTCTTTCAGGACACTCTGATTCACCGAACTGCACCAGCACATCTGTATTCTGAGTGGTATAATGTCATTCTGGCAAATATTGTTACAGAAATTTTATATTTACACTTGTGCAATTTTGATTTCTTTGTGCATGTTTTATCATTCAGGCAGAACAACCATGGAAACACTCAAGTTTGTGTGTTTTAGGGAGATTGTTTCACCTGCTGGACACGGTGAGGCTGAGGTTTAACCTTTTTTTTTCCATGCATCATCGCAGAGATGCGTGGAGATACAGAGGGCGTCTCTTTCTTCAAAAAGATCTACATTTGGTGATCTGAGCGCCGAGGTAGCAGACACCCTTCAGCTGATCGGGAGTGTGGAGATGACCAAGGGCAGGATGAAGCAGGCCCACAGGAACATGACAAAGGTGATCGTATGCTGCAGATCACAAACAGCACAACTAATGTTTATCTTGGTGACAACCTTTGAATACATATTAGGCATGCTGGACAGAGTTAAAGTTAATATCCCACATGACACTTTAAATCTGCCAGAGTATTTGAAGGGCTTTGATAAAAGGCCAGAACAGCCAGTGGGCGTGTCCATCTATCTACCAGTGAGGGTCTTGTTCAGAATATACACACACACAAAGAGCCCCTGTCATTTTGAGATGAGCTATTTCCACCATCCTCCCTAAAGCTCAGTGCTATCAGAAGCGAATGCTAATCTTGGACGTTTGCAGTGTGCACAGGCGCCATCCCTGGTGTAAAATATCACACAGAGTGACTTTGTGTTTTCTCAGCCCGGATGGAGCCTGACAGATGGGCAACACAAGTCGGAGAAGAGAATGGCAGTTTGCTAACTGCTGTCAATTATAGGGACACTGACCCCAATTAGTGTGGCATGCCATGATATCCTCTGCAACATAAGTGACCTTCCTGCGTCTTTCAGCGCACATGCTTTGAATAAAAATCAGCATTTCAGTTAATTTAATAATAAAGCTCCTCCTTTAGAGCTGTTTTCACTTTGGTCTTATGTAACCACTGTTTTCGTTTTCACAATCGGAGCAAATGTTCATCTGTGACCTCAGTTCTCCCGCCCATTAAGCTCCCAGTACAAAAATACACCAGTACGGGAATTTCTTTATACCAGCATCGACATGAGTGTAAGAAAAGGAGCCCAGTTGCTATGTTGGTTTGTTTTGGCATGTAAGTGAAGAGGGATCCAAGTCCCCCTCTGATACTGACAGGGGACATTATGGCTCTCTCTCTGTCTCTCAGCGCCACCGTTGGCTGGTAACCTTTTGGAAGTTCCCTGACTCAGAGCAGATATGTCAGGATACTCTTTTTCCTGTCAACATGACACCGTCCTCCCTCTGATTGAGTAATCTTTGTTTTTCTAAAAGAAACCAAGCTCAGCCTAAAGATACAGAACAGAGGACCCACTAAAAACAGAGAACAATACTACACACACACACACACACACACACACACACATGCTTACAGTTGACATCCCCCTTTCTCTGTAGTACTGCTGGAAAAAAAGGCCTTCCATGACATCAACCTTAGCAACGGGGAAAACATCCAAGAGGCCAGATGGATCTGCTCCAGATTACCGAGTGTTTTACTTTCTCTGATGCAGAGGGAACTTATTCAGCCTTTTTTTTCTCTCTCTCTCTTTGACAGAGTTCTCTTTACACTGTGTATGGCGATTACCAAAAAGCCGTCTTTTATCACGTCAACTTCATTTCATGTGTTTTTAGTTAACGTTAAGACTTTTCTGCCATATTCTCTTACATCTATGAACCAGTTTGCCCTTTCCTTCCATTTGATTGAACCTAACTAAATGTCGAGTGGAAAATGACTCAGACTGCGTCTTAAATTTGTTGACTTAACTACAACAGACCCTGAGTTGTTAGTAGCTCTTGTAATAAGCCCAGCAGACCCCCCTTGTTGACCTGACACCCAGAGTGGTCAGCACAGGTGTTATATAAACCTCAGGGTGCAACAGTAGTTATTTTGGGATGTTTAGTGCTTTCACATGTTGCCAGGAAGTGCTTTTTTCATTCCTGAGTATGAGTTGCACCTATCACTTTCCACTGACCACTCACTCTGCTCTCATTATTTTTGTTTTATTGTAGTGCCTGGAGATTCAGACTTTGTTGTACGGCCCTCAGCACAAGAAGACGAAAACTACACAGAAAGCTGTGGATATGCTGGCGCGGTAAATCTGCATAAAGTTTGGTTTTGTTGCCCCTACAAGCCTATGCTTAAGTGTGTATTCAAAACTGTGGTTTGACATCAAAGAAAAGATCAGATTAAAGCGAGAACAGGACATGTTTGAATAATGCAACCATGTGCTGTTTCGCAGGGCACCAGAGGTAGCTGAGAGACATCAGAGGCAAGGGCGAAAGTCGACAAAAGATGCACCGACCAGTCATGATGATGGAAACTCAATGTCAGAGTCTTAAAATGCTTTTCTTTTTATTTTGTATTTATAATACCCTTGTTGATCATTTACCAGGAACTATCAACATCCTTTTTGTAAAGACGTGTTCACCTGTTAAACAATACGGGCAATTCACTACAGCAGTCCCCCCTTATATCATGTGATGACATTAAATAATTATCTTTGAAGAAAAACTCACACTCAGAAAATGTTATCACGATAGGTTTTAATCATGGTAAGATATGAATCAGTGTCCAAGTATAAGCTGGTATTTCTGTAACCAAAGCAGTCATGTCATTTGGTCAGTAGACATCATGATGTCAACAAAAATGATAGGTTATCCACGGTGGTGACAAACATTTACTGAACACTCATCTTGTTAAACATCCTTTATACAATCTTTACTATATATGCTGATGGTGATGTTTTTAATGCAGTGAAATGGCACATGGTATCTAGAGTACAGTGCACATACACACACAGTGACCTAGCTTACATTCCTCTATAAAGCGTCTTTTTAAGAGCATTGGTTTTGTGTAAATTAATGTGATAAACTTTATCTGGCACTAAGATTTATCTGGCACCGCAAGATTTTTCTGTGGATTTCCAGGAGCTAACATTTATGACAGCATGCCTTTTGACTCAAAACATTATAAGACACTGTTAAATTGTTGCTAAATCTATATTTTTCTTCCACAAATGCGCAGAAAATATAGCTTGGCTGTGAAGGTTAGGAACTATTTTATTCTCTGTTACGAGTACACAAAACCAAAAACCAGAGTGAACAGTCAGTGCCACTACGATAAACTGATAACCCCAGAATAAACGCAGCCATTTATAAACTGATCAAAATCAAAGCAAGCATAGATGAATCCATCGAGCCAACACCAGATAGAAGAAACAAATGTCTGAAAGCAACACGCTGCATAGTTCAAACCAGATGGAGTATTTCTCCTTAAAACTGTCAGTGAATCACTTCAGTTCATTAAGATTTGTTAATCTTAATGAACTGGTCGCTCTGTTAAGAAGATCAGATGTTTAAGTCTTAAACTCCCGCTACACACATTTGTATCCGAGTGCTCTCTATTGGAAGTTAAAAGTCTATAGAAGTGAAACGCACCATTAAAAGACACACATTTAGCAAACATGCTTTCCATTGTTTACACTGACAGTGTTACCTGGTTTTGGTTCTTTTAAATCAAATGATTATTTGCAATTAGTTGTGCATTGAGTATAAGGATTCAAAAATACCTCCCTTGAACAAGTGCCTCATTGGCACCATTCTTTATTTTTAGAGTTCAAAACTTGCTTATTTCCCTGTGACAAATAACACGATTTCCTTCCACCCCCACTTCACTGTCCTCTCTTACAAGCATCACAAGTACTGGAACTATACTCTGTACCCATCATGGAACAGTTTTACACTTAGTACACTTAAACGATCCCACCTGGCAGCTCTACCATACCCTACTCTACCATACTCTAACGTATCTGCTAGCAGCAGCACAGCACCTCAGAACTCTAAACTGTCTCGCGTTGCAGAAAACTGCAGAATGTTTAAGCTTTACAGCATTGGTTAGTACAAAAATAGAGAATCTAGAGAGAAATGAGCCCTCTGAAGTTAATCTGCAAACTGGAAAAGGTTTAACCAACCTGTGTAGCGCTCATCAACATCGACCAACACAAGCTTTGCTACATTGTTCACGTTAAAGCCCCAGCCTGTAATAGTTAGAACTTCGCTTTTTTTGTTCAACTGCCATAATTAACACCAGAAAAATGCATAACTCTTGTAATATTTGCCTGATAGTTAAATTCTGCTTTAGTTTCAAGCTGCAGTTGTTTGAAGTGACACTCTCTGAGCAGGTAAAGTCAAAGATACAAGATGTTTTACTGCAAAAGCTAAAGCATCGGGTTATTGTCTCCAAACAGCATTGCAGCCAAACGCGTGATTGCTTTGTTTGAACAACTTCTATGCATATCATCACTCTGCCGAGTACTGGTCCAATTCTTTTCTAATCATCTGTGGGGCTTTCAAGGTAAAGAGTAGCAACTCTCTTCTCCTGAGAAATCACCTCAGGATGGGCACCTTGGAAGGATTTCTCTGACGGCCCCAGCTCAATATGTTTCTCAGAACCTTCATCAAACTCCTCCCCATACTTTATTTCTTCTTCTTTGGATATTTTGAAGCTGTATCCTCCTCCAGCTCCACCTTGCAAGACTTTCTCAAGACCTAGGTTAGAGGATTTGAGAGTTGCCAAGATTTGCTCCTCAGAGAGATCATCTCCTGCCTCCAGCAGCCCAGAGTCCTCCAGGGTTTGAGAGACATTCAGCTCTGCAACTATCGTCATGGTGCCATTATCACTTGACTGTTGCACTTTTTTAACAGCCACATTCCCGGGACTCTCACTGCTGACTTTTGTGAGGAAGGCCAGCTCTTCCTTCAGTGGACCTGACACAGAGCTTTTTAGCTTCTCAAGAGCTCCCTTGAGCTGCTCTTTGGGCTCCAACGAGTCTTCTCTCAGGAATTCAAGCATTGATTCCTGAACTATCGGCGAGACACGAACCTCTTCTTCAATGATGCACTCTGGGAAACTCTCCTTGTAAAACGAGTCAACACCTGACTTTGACATGTGTTGGTCACTTTCTTCTACAATCACTCGTTTTGGGGGAAGAACTTCATCTTGATAGTACTTCTCATCTGACAGGTCGTCTACAAGACCATAATGACCGTATGAGGTGATGCCAACACCCTCCTCAGATTCAGAGAGATTTTCATCAGGGGTGGAGACAAAGTACTCATGAGGCTCCCGGTCGTGGGAGAAATATTCACTCTCTCTGGAAACCTCTTCAACTTGAACAGATCCGACTCTCCACTGATCTGTGTCTGTCTTGGAGGTTTTTCTAGCATCATCATCACTTATCCGAAATGGAGTATCTTGAGATACATTTTCTAGCTCCTCAATTTGGAAATATGTCGAGGAAGGTTCATAGAAAGTAGATCTGGACTTCTGTTCAACCTCAAACTCCTCATCACTGTAAGTCTCCACGGGTTCTTCAATGATTTCAACGTTTACAGACTTATTTTGAAGGTCTTCCGTTCCCTGTAGGCCACTTAGCAGGTTCTTGATCATGGTACTTGTAGCTGTGTCCTTGATGTCCTCCAGAGACACTTTCTTAACTCCTTGGCTCAGAAGTTCATCCAGGGCAGATTCTTCGGACATGTCGAGCTCTTCCTCCACCTTAGACTCTAGTATAATCTGTGTCTTAGTCGTGCCATCCTCCTGCTCAGTTTTCTCCACATGATACTTCACCTTAGAATCTCCTGAGGAGCAAACCTTTGCTTCTAAACCAGCTGGTTTCATCACCTTCTCTATAATCTCCTCTACAGTCACAGAGTCCAAAGTCTTTTTCTCACTTGGGCCTATTGTAGACTCAGTTTTCCTCTTATCTCTAAGCTCACTTCCATCAAAATGATCTTTCTCTTTTCTGTCAGACACTTTCTTCTCACTCTCTTCCACTGTTTTCTTGCTGGCACTCATCATTATCGGGGACACCACTCCCATTGATTTGGTCTCAGAAGTGGAGGACTTCATTGAACTGCGTTGCTTCTCTCCCTGAGAAACCTGTTTGATCGTCACAGTTTTCTCATCAGCTCTTGTTTTCTGTACGGTTTGGCTGGGTAGGCTTGCACGCTGGCCTGTGTCTTTATCTTTGGTAGCAGCTGCGATAGTGGAAGAAGGGGCAGAGGCAGAGGCGCGGGCTTTGCTAAATGAGATCATGTCCCTTCTGGATGCAGGACTCTGATGCCGATCTCTACTTGCAACTGAAATAGGAATGACCCTTGAGGGACTCATGGATCCAGAGGGACGCACAGGCGATCTTCTCAGGTTGGAAGCAGGTGGTGTGTACCTGGTTTGTTGTCTGGTGGTCAAGGTTGAAGCTCTTGGAGTGTAAGGCTGAGCGGGAACCTTGATATCTAAGGCAGAGAATTAACAAGATTTAAGTTTTACAACAAGTCAAACTTGTAAAAGGGATATAAAGTACGTACTTAAAGTAAACGCTCTTATTTGCTTTCTTGGCAGGATGTAGATGATAGGTTAAAGCTAAGCCTCACAAGAATACTATAAACACCAGAGGGTGGTGAGCTTTCAACCAACACGCCTTACTAACCAACAAAGTTCTGTTCTGTGAACGCCCACAGGATGTTGTATAAGCAAATGTTTCTAGGTGTGGATCTGACACTCAAGAAAATCACTGCTTTACCAAAAACTGTCCAAAATATAACCCAGACGAACTCCAGTTTTTGTTTGACAACACAGATGAGATTAGTTTTAATCTTTTCCTCAAGGTCAAGGTCATTCCCCCTCAATATTTTCAAACTTTTCCTCTAAAATTGTTCTTAAAATGTTCTCTTATTATCAGTTTTACCCCATCCATTATTCTCATACAGTACCTATTATTCTTTCTCTTTGGTGGTGTGTGCCTCTCCTCTGAGGAGCTTGGAGACCCAGCCTTTCACCTTCCAGGAGAGCCCTAAAAAAGGAAAGATAAAAAAATAAACAGTTAATTGTGAGCTAATTGCTTATGATCTTTTTTTACCATAAACAGAAAAAAAGTTCAGAGAGAAATACCTCACAAGACGCTGTACTTCATCCAGCTCAGCCATTTCCAACTAAATGCTACAGGCTTGTAAGAAAGTATGAGCCCAGCTCCTGTCCATATAAGGCGGTAAATATCAAAAACACAACAAGCCGCTGTGATGTTATAAAGTCCCCGTAATTAGTAGCTGAAACTGTTCACCTTTCTTCAGTCATGCTTCAACAAGCAAACTGAAGTGTCTCAAAGGGAACAACCTCTCTGGAGAGTGCCTTCCTAAAGACTGACCTAAAAATAACAGCTACAGTGCGGGGCTGTCCGTGCTTCCCAATAAATCCCAGAGCAAAAACTGACTCATGACATATACAAAACACATGCCATGGCTACATCTCTGTGAAAACATCCGGCCTATTCCAAAAATTCAAAACAGAACATGTGCTAATGGACTTAATGTCTAATAAAACAAATGACGCTGATTAGACTTAAGTGAATTTCCGGGGGGATTGTCCTAAGTACTGACAAACTTTTGTTTTGTCTCTAGTGTTCTTCATACCACAACTGCATTAAAACATTTATTAATATCCTGGGATATGAGGTATAAGGAAATGGTCCAAACAGACTGATCCAGTATGTGTAGTGATGCTTTAAATATAGCTTTTTGATAAAAATAGTCTGTAGGGCTGTGACCTGGACATACCATTCTTTAAAGGGATGCAGGGGGACAGATTTAATTTACCCTTTATAAACCGTTCAATAATTCAGAGATAAAGTATAAACAGCTTTGTGGAAATATATGCAATATATTTTAGTTTGTTTCTGCGAGTGGGCAGAGAACAGTCATTGTCATGACAACATGAAGCAAACAGCTGATTTCCTCTCAGGAAATCACTTATTAAGACTCATTAAGCTTAGTGTAACTTCAATCAGTGTGGGGGTGGGGTGGGGTGGCTATTAACCAATAATCTGTCTGACTTTAGTTTCATAAGTGCTGTTGTACAGATTAGATCTTCATCCCTCTTAGAAAAAAGGCTGTAGTCTCAGTTTTTGTCACCTGGTGATTTAAGCTTGTCGACAACATATTAACTAGTAAACTGTTAATGTAGTGTTTCCTTTTTTTAGCACAAAATCACGAGTCCCAACACGAAGCAGCAGTTTCTATGCGACTTTTTCACTTAGAGCATTTCATGCAAGTGTAGGAGAAGCAAAGGTGATGTGAATAAAACATGTGAAAGCTGAGTTATATTTAGCTAACCTTTATTGTGCATGCTAGCTCTCTGTTGGACCACTTTGAGGGTCCAAAGAGGAAGATATAGTCAATTTATATTCTTTCCAAAGTGTTTGTTCTTATTGAATTAATAACACAAAAAAATGTATTCAAAGTCCAACTCGGATCCTTTTTATTTTACTCCTGAAAGTGTCATCAGTGGTCTTTAAGTTGTGATGATGACGTTTTTTTGATAAATCCCATTACCTGTGTCATCAACAAGAGCTTTTCTTCTGCAGAGCTCCAGTAGCTCATTAGCAATTCATCTCTGAGTTGTGGGCAGAGACAGCGCTGCTCTACACGCTCGTCTTCGCGCTAGCTTGCAGCCTAACATTGCTGTTGTAGTAGAAGTGGCAGGTAACGTAGGAGCTATTCAGCTCTTGGACACTAATGACTTTGGGGGCATGATGAAAGCTAATATTATAACTAACTTTCTTTCGAGCATTGCATGCTGCTAACTCACACACTTGTTCTGTCTACTTTTACAAGTCTGGCCTGCATAGTGGGGCTCCAGGGGTGGAGCTTGGATTTGTTACATAGGAAATCTCACTGTATCTGAGCCCGCCGTTTGGGTCTGCCAGAGACTCACAGCGATTTTAATGCAAAAATACTTAGAAGTGAAATTTCGCACTCGTGATGTGTCCTGTAGCATCAGAAAAATGCCATATGAACATGTAGACAACAAGAAAAACATGATTTTCATCAGAGTGGGTCTTTAGCTAAAAAGCTCATCACCTGTAGGCTGCCACCTCCATGCCCAGATCCATCTTCACCTGCAGGAGGTGCTGATGCTCTTTCATCTTGTCTTCAATCGTGTTTGCCATCATATTCCTCTCATGCTCCAGCTGATCGATTATCATCTGCAAGACACACAAAGTACAAACATTATAAGTTTACTTTTAAAGTCTGTGGTCTGTCCGTTGGCTGCAATACATTTGAACTGAAATACTGTTTAAATAAGATTCTCCACAATGTTACGAAAACTGACATGACATTCAGTTCCAGTGCTGATAAATATTTTTTTCTGTTTGGAGCCCCCTCAATGCAGCTTTACTGAACCTTCAATGCTTAAAGTCCCCGTGAGGAACTTTCAGTTTGTTTCAATTTTGCTGTTGTTGACAAAGCAGTCTGTGCTTATCTAATCTGCTACATGCTCAAGCATAGACTGTATTTACTATGGACAACTTTGTTCCGCTTTCTGCCAGTATATACAGATATACGGATTTGAAGCCAATAATGCTCTCGGTAATTCCGCATTTTTCTCCATTTCCGTTCAGTAGCGTTGTATGCATTCAGCGGGAGAGTCGCCGAAAGTCGCTGTGATGACCCTCGGCTCAAAAGCATATCCCCTGGTGAGCTACGCAATCCTTGTACTCCCATAGGCTGTATCAAGTGTCAATTATAGAACACATGAACCCCCTAATAACTTTTAAAAATGGAGATGTACAGAAAAAAGAGGACTTGAGCACAAACCAGTCTTACAATAACTACATGTCAACATCACAAGCAGGGGGGAGAAAAATGTATGTTCTGTGTAATAAATTTCTAAAGTTTGTCCACAGCTCCATAAGCTTTGCTAGCGTAGGCGGGATTTATGACCTATACTGCAGCCCGTCACCAGAGGGTGCTGTTCTCAGAGTGGCTTCACCCATTGAGGAGGCAGATGCTGTCTATTCTATATACAGTCTATGTGCTCAAGTAGTGTCTTCAAACAAAAACTCTTATTCTGCTGATTTTGACCATCAAATTCATCCTTTATTGAATATTTAAAGGGAAAATTGTAAAAACAGAACTTTTTCTCCAGACACCTACCCCCTTGCACCAGTTTGAGAAATTAAAATGACAGCATACGAATGTACAGTCTTGTTATGATGGTCTTGGCTGCTTTTGTACATCATAAAAAGGCATCAATGTGGATTTCAGGCCATTTCGTTTACATAAAAAAACTCCTCATGGCAGCTTTAAATGTAAAACAGTGAGAGCTATTCGATAGTATGTTCTGTTAAAGACCTCCCTACAGTCTGACTATTGTAGTACGGTGTTACTGACTGACCTGCTTAGGGCTCCATCTTTAGGAAGCTAATAGGGATTTGTCAGTCTGACAGCTAATTGGTTTAAGTGGCTAGTGTAATCTAGCAGCTATAAAGTCCCAGGGAGGCCAGATGTCTTCTGGCCTTTCAAGCAAATCAATCCTTTTACACTAAGGTCAGATGGTGCACCTAAGATCCCATGCTTTGACACTCGGTAGTGTTGTTAAACTGAATGTTGCATCAATATAAATTACATAACAGGCGTCTGAGCGTGCTTCTAAATTGGTGCATCAAAATGTCACCATGTCCAGACCTATTTACAGCTTTTCTGTACATTAGGTGAATAGTTCAACACTGTTTAAGCCTGTTAGAGCTCAAGGACCAGACAGACAGCTGGATCAGACAGACAGCTGGATCAGCCCCTTTAAGAAGAGTGGGTGTGGCTGGTTCAAGAGGGAGCAGACTCACCCCTCTCTCTCTTGGCTCAATGTGATACAGGGGGGGTTTCTGTCAGTATCCAATCGGCCATTTGAGGTTTACTATTACCTAATAAACAGTTTTAGAGTTCCTAAATGCAATATATTTTAATTTGTTTAAAGTGAAGAATAATCTATAAAAGAATGAACCTTTCCTCACCTGATATTCACCCACGTCCCCCCGAAATTTGTCCTGCATGTTCATCAGCTCCTCCTCCAGCCGCAGTTGAATCTTGCCCTGTTTTTCAGCTTCTCTGTGTAATTTCTCCATCTCTGACATGTACAGCATCTTCTCCCTCTGCATATCACCCAGCCTCGCCTGGTCGGCTTTGATCGACTGCTCCATCTCCTCCACTTTCTGCTGATACATCTCAAAAGTCTCCATCCACCCCTCGGACAGTCCTCGGGCGTACTCTTGTATCTCCTCCATGGAGGCCGCCGGAGGCCCACGGTAAGTTTGCGTAATGATGGGCACCACCCGAGAATCCACCTGACGCTGCAGACGGAGCATTTCTTGCCTGTGCGCGTCCTCCAACCGCTTATACTCATTCTCGAGTTGTACCAAACGCTGCTGGAGTTCACTATTCGTCTTGTGAGCTTGGTTGAGCTCCATCCCACGGCCCTTCAGCTCGGTGCCGATGTCCCTGCACACATCCGTCTGCTCGCTGCACAGAGACTGGACCATCTGCAACTCCCGCCATAGCTTCTCCTTCTCCATCTCCGCCTGGGACTTCTCAAACGACAGCTGCTCCACCATTCTCCTCAGATCCCGCATCTCCTCCTTGAACCTCGGCTCCCGGTCGGCCACCCTCACCTGTCGGAGTTTGTTGATTTCACAGATGAGATGCGCATTTTCCTGCTCCAGTTGCTTCGTCCTGGACAGATACTGAGCGAGTCTGCCGTTGAGCTGCTGCAGCTGCTGTTTCTCGCTGTCAAAAGTTCTCTTGAAAGGCAACATTGTGATATCTGACCAAAAAAAAAAGTTAGTTTTGAAAATGTATCTGTAGGTGTAGTAATTCAGGAGACTCTCTGTCCTGTGTCTGCGTCTTTGGATACGAATGTGATGTAATTTGCAACCAGTGCCCTTTGACAAGTGCAGGAGGAGAAGGAGGAGGAGGAGGAGGAGGGCGTGTCTTACCTCACTGGACCATCCCAGCGCGTTCACCGCCCTGGCAGATGTTATGCTGCGTTTAAGGACTATCTGAATTTCAAAAATCAGCTCCTGTAGAAAACACCCAGAGTTGCCTTGCAATAAATAGTGGAGAGTGGGGTAAGATGAGCCATTTTTCATATTTCAGATCACCACATCAAGGCAAACATAGTTTTGTCTCTAACTAGTGTATCTGCATATATTTCAAGATGTTGTGTATCCCTGCAAACCAACATAATGAGTGTAAACATAACTGTCTTGGTAATATAGCATGCCAAAAAAAAAAGTGGGGTCCTATGGTCAACTTACCCCGAGTTTGGGGGTAAGTGGAGCCCTCCCTCACCTTCTCTCTCCCTAAATAACAGTCACTTCTTCACATTCATGTGTATTTTTAGCCACTGGATCAACTTACCCCAAAACTACTATTCTTACTTTATTAGTCCTTTAAGCTAAAATGGTGGACTTTTATACTAGGTTTTTGACCTCACTTTGTAGCTCATAGATACCACAATTGATAAATAGAAATAAATTTAAAATGATCTTTTTTGGTTTGAACACAATTCTAATAAAACTGATGCGGACTAAATTCAGGACTACCATACTGTTTACATTCAACTTTCTTCCACTCACCTTCTTCCTTATATTTATACTGTTACACTGTTAATACTGTTATGCTGTTTATATTATCTTTATTATGTAAGATGAGAGTATTCAAGGTAGTCTTAGTTGTTTATTCTTATATTTATACTTTTATAGTTTTATGCTTATAGTTTATTCTTTTTCATCGTGGGTCTGAGAGGACTGAAATTTAATCTGTGCTGTATGTTTAACATGTATAGCATTTTTGACAATAAAGTTGACTTTGACTTGACTTGACTTTGACGAAATTCACTTTCAAGAGTGAAAAATGTTTTTTTGGAAATAAATGTCTAACCTCTTCACCCATGTGCTTCTAACCTTCACAGACTCCATGAGTTGATGCCCATCTCCTAAATATTTGGTCACATGATCAATTTCTTTTACTATTTCCAAGCAACAGGAGGTGACTTAACTTACCCTTTGGCTCAACTGGCTGTTTTAAAACAATGTTGTTTGTCTGTTTTCACATGCTGATATGCTTGATCGTAAGTTTTTAAAGTGCAAAAATTAGGTTAAAACTTACCTTTTACAGTATAGACCACTCATCTGTGATACAAGCCAAAATAAAAATCAGATCGTTTATAATGATGTATGTAGAAACTTGTTCCATGAATACTTTAATGTGTCGATTAATTGATCCACACTCAGTAACTCATAGTATTCATTCTTTTTTGGAAACATACAAAAAAAAAACTGATATTGTTTTAAAAATTGTGAATTGTATGCTCTTTTTGTTTCTCAGTTATTTTGGAGTGTAACTTTAAACCCGTCTGTGTTGATTTTAGAACTTTCCAGAGGATACTGAACGCACCACTTCCACACGGGATTGTTCATCCTTTATTTACCGGAGAAGAGCGCTCTCTCGTGGACTGTGTGTGAGCTGCATGGCTTAAGAAATGTTTTTTTCAGACTTGACGTGAACATTTCGCTGTTCAACTTCTCTGCGCCATGAGTGACCGTGAAATTGTGGTGGTCACAGGTAATTCAAAACAATTTCTTCACCTGTATTGTAACTTTTGAAAAAATGTTGTTTTTCTTTCATTTTTAAGGCTTTGGACCTTTCAGACAGTTTTTGGTGAACCCCAGCTGGACGGCAGCTCAGGTAATGTTCGACAGTTCTGTGTTTAATGTCCATGTGGGGTTTGGACACTGAAAACGGAGTTTATTCTGTATTATAAGGGGTTAAAGGTGGTCGGACTGGGAGAGGGGACGGATGTTTACATCAAGGAGGTTCCAGTGAGTTATGAGAAGATTCGGCAAATCATAGCTGAGACTTGGCAAAATCTTCGCCCAAAGGTAAAAGAGAGTTGAGAGAGAGTTGTCGATGTTCTAAAGCAGTGAGGTGCAATTCGGGTACATGTCATGTACATGGACTGTATTTATCAATTTTAGCAAATATTAACTTTAACCAATGATTAATTTTATATCAGGGCACATTTCTCTTTTATTTAATACAAAAAGTTTAACAGATCTCATCTTTTTCTTTTCTTTTCTTTTTTTTTGGGCAAAAAAAATTGCATGTATTTATACTGGAATTTGTTGGTTTTATGCTGTCCGATTTTCTCAATGCCAGGTTTAGCTCTTCAGATTAACATTGAATTAAATATTTTTGTCCAATATTTTTTGTAAATATTTGTTCCAAGTAATTACTAAAATATGAGAAAGTTTAAAAATCAATTGCGCTCATTCTTACACATTAAATCATCCACTTTGTTTGTGTCCGAGAAACTTTAGTCAACTGTTACCCACTGAAACTCCCCCATAAATCAGCAATGGTTTGCTCCCAAGTCACATTGAACTGGATTTTAATTTTTTATTAAACTGCTCAAATTATATTGAATTTTAAAAACCCATAAACATGTCTAGATTTGGTTTCAAAGACTGTAACGCTAACAAAAATGATATATATTGATGTATTTATTCAGTGGAAATAAAACAAACGAAATAAAAAAGATGCAGACTGAATCAAATGTGAGCTCTATCACCTATACACTATAAAAGAATTTATATTAAACACACTCTAATTCCTTTTTTTAGATTTGGAAAAATGTGTTTTCATTTAGAAAAGGTCTTTATATGCGCTGTATGATGCTGATGACTTAAAAATGCCATTATCTGGTCCACTTATAGTGTTTGAAGCCCTGGTTGAGATATTACAGTGAAACTGTTGCATTTTGAAAGTTATATGAGAGAATAAGTAACTTTAACCCCTCTGTCTTTGTGTCTCAGTTTGCCTTCCATCTGGGTGTAGTCAGAGGTTGCAGTGCTGTCATTCTGGAGCAAACAGGAAAGAATTGTTGCTACAGAGACAAAGACGTGTGCGGCTACTGTCCTGAAAGTCAGTGCTGTGTGGAAGGAGGACCAGAGAAACTTGACTCAATCATAAACATGAGAGCCGTCTCCAAAAAGTTTAGACAAGCAGGGATGGATGTTATTTATTCAAGAGATGCTGGCAGGTAGGATTTTTTCCTTGGTAGTGTTGACAGACACTTTTGAATATGAGATAATGTTTCTGTTTATTCTCTCAGGTACCTTTGTGATTTTGCATATTACTGCTCTCTGTATCATGGACAGAGGAGAGCAGCTCTCATCCATGTACCCCCTGATGGAAGCTTAAAGTCAGCTGACGGGCTGGTGCTTCTGCTGCAGGGCCTCATCCAGAGCATGCTTGACCAGCTCATGGACCTTTCAGAAACAGCACAAACAGACAATAAGCAAACTTCTTAGAGTCAGCACCAAGTCAGTAGATCTTAAAGCACGACAGCAGAACTCTAAAGGAAGGATGAGGAATTGCAGCCACAGTCATAGTTCTTATTCATTTATTTTATTCAAAATTTCAGAAAAAGAAAATACAAGAAATTCTCAGGTACACATTTTAGAGATGGCATTTCAAAAATACACCATCTCGGCTTATAGATGCGAAAAAACTTTGAGGCCTCAGATACAGAGCTTGAAAAAGACAAGAGTCTTGTGAATTTTTTTAATTACTTTTTTTTCCCAATCAGGTAAAGAATACAGATAGATTTGAGAAAGTTTGATGATAAAATTAACGTAGAAGAGCAAGGCCCCCTCAGAAGATGTAGGAATGCAAATCATAATAACAGAGGCGTGATGATGATGACGATGATGATTATGAGAAAGATTATGATAAACCTCAAACTTATTGCAGTTTGAATGCACTAACACATCCTCCATGAACCTGAGGTCTGCATGAAGAACATTCAGGAGAATTAAAATGATAAAACTGACTAAGTTCAATGTCTTTTGAAGTAGCTGTAGTACCTTTACGCTAAGATCTGTTAATGCAAGAAGCAAAATGTTGCAACTACTGTGAGGCTGTAAACTTACACCTAAAACCTTTTCCTAATCCTGTCGTTCACTCTTTACCAGAACTACCCGTAATCTACGCAAAATCCCTGTCCTCTTTATGCCCAAGTAATTCAAACGCTGTTATCATCATAACAAGTGTGAGATCTAAGAAGTAATTCATCAGTAACTCCTCTCACTACAGCTCAAATTATCTACTGCCAGACCCCAAAGAAGTTGTAATAAATCACTGATGTTCGTATTTGATCATAACATACATCCAAACAATAAAAAAACACATGATCAGATATGTTAACTACCCAGGTTGATGCTCGTCAGTGGTGATTAGTGTACCGGTGTGATGTTTAGCAGCAATCAGACTGTTTTCCAACTGACTTTGATTGTTATTCTCCTCAAACGTGCTCGGATGAAACGCCATAGATCGAGCACCCAGATTTCACTTCAGAGGCCTGTTCAGATTTCTTTTTTTTTTTTATTGCTTTTGGGTTTGATTTTTAACACCTGTTACTTTTGGTCTCCAGCCCAGGACCTTTAAACTAAAGCAGCTCTCTTTAAGAGTTTTATGAGATGCTTTGCAAATGTAGGAGCTTTGTTGCCTCCTTTTTATTTCAATAACGTTATAAGGTCCACTGAGGTGACTGTTTTAGGAAGCAGCATTAGTTTAAGTACAAACAAGCCAGAGAAAGCCTGTTAAGTTTTCTTCCAAATGACTAAAAAGTCTGATAATAGTAAAATATTCACCCGAGTGACAGTGGAAATGAGCCGTAAACAGAGCTACAACGCACTGGTGGCATTCACACGAGCATCAGAGCTTTAGAGGTTGAAGAAAAGACGCTAAAATTTAAACAAATGTACATTTTCATCGAGAATTGAAGCTGCTGCTGCTGCTATCTCTATAATGGTATGTGTAGAAAACACCTAAATGTCTTTGTTACATTCACAGTAATGATCTATATACAGAACAAATGTTGTGTTTTTGCGTGTGAACGACATCTGGATGTTTGGAATTCACTGAAGTTGTGAAATGTAAGTCTCTGCTCTAACCTTACATCATTACACGCTGCAGGTCGACAGCAAATACATGTTTTCTTGGTGTTCAGTTAAAAAAAAAAAATCCCTTTATAATTATTCCACTTTATAATAACTGTCTAGACTTAAATAGAAATGTGTTTTAGATGAGGAAGTGTAAGTTTCAGTCTTGAGGATTCGAGGTTGTGACTATATGTATGAAGTGAGTGGAGATGGCATATCTGCTGTGGAAGTTGTCGGATAGTTTACTGCACCTGCTCTTATTAGTGTGGCTCTGAAAACTCTCCAGAAACTCAGTGGGCTAAAGTGACAACACTTCACTCCACCATATAGATGTGCCATCTCCTGTCCTGGTCTGTTCTGTGAGGTTTTTTCAGCTCCCTGTGGGTTTTTATCAAGATGATGAGGTTGCTATACAAACTGATGAGAAAGAGTGAGATGTATTTGTTTCAATACGCATACATATATTTAAAAAAGAGTGAGGTAGATATATACTTAAAAGAATAAAAAGTTTTTTTAAAATTCCCCCAGTCATGACACCAAAGGAAATACATACAAAAAAGTCCAACTTTATACTGAATCATGGGGCATTTATACAGTGATTTAAACTGATATCACAAAAGGAAAATAAAAAATTAAATAAATAACACTCCTAAAAGGAAAAAAAAAAGAGAAAAAATAATAATAATCACCAGGCAACATTTCCAAAAGATGAGAAGAATCCTTCAAAACACTTTGACTGTTCAGCCTCTGTTTTAAGACCTTTTTCCATACATGACAGTGAAATGTGTTCCCTTCCCTGGACTTTAACCCATCCTTTATTTGGTTTTCAGAAGCAGTGATTTCTATGAAAACAAACAATAAGACCTGTCCTCACTTTGAGGGAGTAACACAGCAGAGGGGACGATAGACTGCGCTGAGGTGACTGTAAAACACAACTTCAGGAGGGGAAAATGCCGTTTCGAATGCTTTCGTGATGGTTGGTGTGGTTAAGGCAAATAAGACAACCCAATTAGCCCTGTTGAGTCAAGAAGAGGCAGGAAATGGATGGGTTAAAAGACCAGATCTGGTGTGAAGTAAGTACCTTGAATACTGGATCTAATCCTGACTTCAGAAGGAGGCACCAGGGGGAGATCATGGTGGTGGTGGAGAGGTTGGGGGGGAGGGCAGGTACAGTTTTTTCTTTATTTTTGAGGCTCATGATGGACCAGCAGGGTGAAAAAATAAAGCACTACTGACGGGGGTCGGAAAAGAAGGAGGCAAAAGCTGAGACGAGGAGAGGACGATCATGAGAATGTGTGGAGAAAGAAAGCAAAGCCTTTACTTTGACCTGAGATTGAGTCGCACCTAGAGGGCAGTGCTAGGCGCAGTGCTAGACAAGTACAAAAAGGGTGCAGAGAGTACACACTCACACGTCGAGCTAAGGTGTCCATTCCAAATAATATTAATGATAATATTAATAACAATAATAATAATAATAACAATAATAATATAGACATCCACAAAAGAAATACAGGAGGAAAGATTTCATAAAAAGAAAAAGGCAATGAGCAAAGATAGTGTTTGAGAAAACCTTATGGGGTAACAGAAAAAAAGTTGTCTTATACCTAAATCATCATATTTTTTGTCATTTTATCGTTTTTTTTAAACAGAGTTTGAAGATATAGGAAATGGACTGTAGTGGAGACCATAATATACCAAACCTGAAGGATTTCTTTATATATAACATCCAAAAAGAGAAAAAGAATAAAATAGCAGCTTTGTTCTGTACAGACATAGAGGCAAACATTTTGAACCATAAAAAGGTTTAAAAAAGTGACAAAAACCAATGATGTGTATAAAAATGATCCTGCAGTCTAAAATACAACTGTAAGACCTTAATATGTGTTTGAAATGCAGAGAAACTAATGACTATTCCAAAAGAGACCTGCTGTGATTTCAAAGTCGTCTCTAAGCTACTAAAGTTCGATCCCACGCCTTCTTGTTTTCTGCTCAGGTCTTCAGACTCTCTCTGTTGTTCTGAGGGCTTTGGTGCCATTTCATTGGAGCAGGTGGATTACCTTCCAGGTGAAATGGACACTTTAAACGTCTCCAACAAAAGATTCAGATAGAAAAAAACAGTATCCTTTGATGGTGATCAGAAGTGATTTTGGTGACTTTGATGCTTTCTTTGTGTTGTATTATTTAAAAAGCATTAAAGTCATGCTCGTAACGTAAATTAATATTGTTAATGGAGGCTTGTTTTAAACTAAGGCAGACTGAGGCTGTGATTCAGAGTCGTCCCTTTGATGGTCAAAAGATGAAAGTAGAAAGTTGAAAGTTTTGCTTGATTGTGGGTGGACTTTGTGGTGCAACCAAAGGTTTTGATAAGCCCGCGACTGCAACACCTGCTAGACTTTATGATGCAACTGTAGGGAAGTTACTATTCCTCTCTTCAGATCCAGTATTTTTTATCCGTAATTTGGTAAAACTTAATTTTTTAATCATTTAAAATGAGTAAAATACATTTAAAATTAGTTCCTGTAATGATCCTATATCGAACAACATGATACGGGGTAAAAAAAAAAGGTGCTGGTTAAAAACTAGCCTGGTTGTTCTCATATTATAATTTTCAATTGATTTACTCAGATACAGCATTGATTGGATCAAAAAAAGAGTTGTGTGCCTTGTCAGAAATGAAGGGTAAATTCACCACACTCTCTTTCAAGACGCTGCATACTCTGAGAAAACTTTGCAGGTGTGAATGAAAAATGACGGTATTCTGTCCAGCTTCAGAAGCAGCTGCTACCAGCAAAAAGTACCGAGTTGGAGTACCTCTAAATAGTCTGGGAATATTCTACTCACAGACATATATCTCAACTCTGAATCACAGCCTTGAACAAGAAGGGCGACCTGTTTGAAATTTGAGGAAAAAGCTTGATTTGGCAATAGTTTGGCAGATACACGATGGGCCCGCCTCTTCAGTTTTTGACCTGCTCCTGTCGGGATCATCACCCTTAGAAATATCAACAGGAAAATGAAAACATCTTTCTCAGTCCGAGTATTATAATTGAGGCATCCTCACATGACATGAGCCATGAGACTCATGTGAACAAAGTCTTTTGATGGAAAGTCATTTAGAAATGGAACTATACCATATTATAGAGAATCACGTGTTTGTATAAATACACACTCAGATATCCACGACATCCTCTCTGAAATTTTGAGGGAAAAAGTGCTCTTCTGTTGGATTTGCTGGCAGATATGCTAAAGAAAGATTTTCTCTCTGTCCATGTCTGAATCTGTCAGTCAGGGTACATGCCTGTGTAGTTGTCCTTCTTGAAGGACTCATGTAACAAAAAAAACTGGAGTACAGGCTATACAGGAAGGAGTTCCCCAGTGTTGAGTCTGTGCTATCAAACTCTGGATGCTTTCGCAGGTTTCTGTGCTGTTTCTCAGTTTTTAGTGTTTGTGTTTGACCTTAAAGGAGTGAAGAGACAATCTACTGGCACACAGTAGAAAAGTCTTTGCTTACCTCACCCATCCCTCATTATGAGATGGAGGGGAGGTTTGTGTTACCCTGTGTAAGAGGAGGAAGAGGAGGAGGAGGAGGAGGAGCAGGGGATGGTCTGATATCAGCAGGCTGACGACTGGGGCAGTGGTAATGCACGTTCATTTTTTCTGCCCCCATTCATGTGTGCATAGGGTTGTATCTCATCAAAGTTGGGTCGTAACACCACCACAGGCCCGTTGGCCGAAACATGTCCTGAGTGCTTGTCCAATGGTTGGCCTGGAGATGGCAGGCCTGAGGCGATTGGGCCTGGGGAGGAGGGAGATACAGGTCCCAGTAATGGAGTACTCTGGCCTTGCATGGGGGATATCTGCTGGGAAGATGGAGGCGGCGTGCCCCCTGTACACGCTGACAATGGAGCAGCAGCTAAAGAGGGCTGTCTGGTGGATGCAGGGTCCAGTGGAATGTTCTCCATGTTTTCTACCTCCATGTCCAGCTCCTCGGTGTCCGGCGGCTTGTTCTCCTCGCTGTAGAAGAAGCTCACTTCCCTGAAAGGAGGATCCAGTTCTTCTTTGATGCTGTTGATGATCTCCAGGAAGGACGGACGCATCTTGGGGTTATACTGCCAGCACATCCGCATCAGTTCAAACCTGCAAGTGACGTTGGAAAGTTTAGAAGAACTGAGGTTAGCTTTCACTTCCTTCAGCAGATGCTATACATTAAACACATTCACTAAAATACGCAGAACTCATAAAAAACTCTTCAAGTGGTGAGAGTTCATATTTCTCTCCAGCAGGTGGCAGCACACCCTCAAGTCCAGACCCGTGTTTCACGCTACTGAGCTTGAACAAAATAAAAATTACACACTGCTTTAAAAAAAAACTATCTTTCTATAAATGACTTAACTACAACTTGTTATCAGGGGAAATGTTCACAGAAAAACGGATTTCAATCAAAGCCTCCACTCTGCCTTTCATAATGCTTTAGGTGGACACAAGAAAATAAATAAAGTGTTCCTTTAACATATTTTCTTTAACTTTGTTTTTCAGTCCATTCACACTAAAAGGCAGTATGAAATCCCTAAAGAGTACCCACCATGGATCTGATTATTTCTACACACATGTGCTGTCAAAAACCAGTCATTCATTTAAACAGCAGTAAAGAAAAATGATAACTGCAGATAGATGCCGATGCGCCATGAACTTTGCAGCTCAGTAAATCATACTTCAGGTTACTGTGCCAGGCCGGCAGCCAAGCTTTCGGGAATGTCAAAACAACATCATAAAAGTGAGAAATATTACAGTTTTGCGCGGTGCTACACCACCAACCACAACTTCAATTATACACAAACAAGCTAAGAATACTCTGCGAGGCCCACCGACATAAACACCTCTGTCATCTCCTTTTTACTCGTATCGCTCCCTTGCTCCTGTTTTCTGCCTCTCCTCCCCTCACAGTGCTCTCTGAAGTCGACAGAAGCAGCTTGGTGCCGGCCTCTCTCCTTACGGTTAAAGCCTTCCTAAGCACGCGGCTCTTCTCTGCTCTAAAGCAGCAGGGGGGGCAGCTCTAGCTTGTTTACCAGGCTTGTAGCAAATGTCTTAGAGTTGAGGTTCAGATATCCAAACCCAGAAGCAAAGACCCCCCCCCATGTAAAGATGTGCAGTGCATGTAGCTGACTGGAAATTCAGGCTAACATTTCTGCGCAGCACTCTTCCCTCACCATCTGTTGTCTGCTCCCCTCACCAGGCCTGTTGGTGCAAATTTAGAAAACAAACAAAAAACACACTGGACTTCTTGTGAGCACATCAGGAATCCCAGCACACACAGACATATGCTGTTACCATCAAGTTGAAATGACTCATATTTGATCTGTCAGCTTTTACACACAAGAGCTCCCATTCATTTTGAAGATGTTTTGCACAAAACAACTCCTTTAACGCTGGCATGAAAACAGCTGCTCAAATTCAAAAACAACTCAGATTTGTTATTATTTTTTTGTTTTTACTTTTAGCACATCCAAGATGTTTTTGATATCCAAAGTCATCCACTTCTTTTTCTATCCCGCCTTGTCTTTTAACATACTGAGAACCAACTGTTTTCTCCTGAGCAGTGAGAGCAAATATCGGGTGTTTTCAAAATAAAAGCGCAAAGGCAGTCTGCCTTTTATTGAAAGAAGAAGAAGAAAACACTGCGCTGGTCCAGCCAAATTTTTACCAGACACAGAGATGGGCCAAAGAGACCTTGAGTCAGTAAGATAAGAATAAGAAACAGACACATGGCTAAATGTGAATACTGGGGCCGTTTCCAATCATCTAGAAGTTTCATTAACCTGAACAGAAATCCTCTGAAGCAGGATTGGAAAACTTCCCGAAAGCACGGTCCTTAACTTGCTGAAACCTTGAAGTATAGTAGTGCTGAAAGTGATACAGCAAAGTTCCTCTTTAAATTGAGATGTTTAATAGGATTGCATACGGTCTACATTTGATTTTCTGCCAAAGCCGGCGAGGGAGAGAATGCTCTTTTGTGGATCGGAAACTCTAGACAGAAACATGGGAAATCCAATCAGTCACCCACAGCTACCTGACCATGGGAAAGACAGAACAAGGAAGAGGCATTCAAAGCTCTCCAAATATGACTCATACCACTGCCTGTTATCCTTTCTCCTCTCGTGTCTTTCTGTTCGGTCTTTGTATGGACTTCTGGCTACTTCTGGCTTCACAACACTTCAGCACTCTTCTGGAAATCTCCATTAAGTCACAGCAGCAGAGGGGACAAGTGGCGAAACCCTGACTTTTCTGTGTATGGAGCGGGAGAATAACCCACCCACCCACCCCACCACCTCTGTAACACAATCCACACACTCCTGTAATCAGGACAAAACAGTCAGGCTGCCATAGAAACCAGAGGTTTGTGTCTGCACAACACTGGGCCCTCTTTTTTTCGACTCGCACTCTCTTTCTAAGGTGAGGTCAGCCGTGGAGAGTGGGAGAGGAGAGAGCAGAATGCCTTCTTATTGAGGTCAGAGAGGGGGAGAGGAGAGATGCATATATGTAACAGTGCACACTGACAAGCAGGCTGTGCTGTGTTTTCTCTCCTCTAACAGCCGCCATGGTTCATTAATAAATGACAAATAAATGAAATGAATTCTCTTCTGGCCGCTTCACTCTGCTGAAAGACGGACGTCGTCTCCCTCCTCGTGTCCCTTCCTGGCAGATGGAATGAGGGGCATCTTTCACGCACGGCTCGTGCCATCCCTTCTATGGGCTGAGGCTGACGGGTGAGGAGGCTTCTGCCTGCCAGCTGACCGCCCCGGGCAATGTCATCAACAGACCGCATTTAACCTGTGACGTTAATGTCAGGCCTCATCTTGGCTCTACTTTAGCGACACATCACATGATATCCTCCGCATGTAAAACCACAACTTTAAATAGGCGCTGCGCAAAATATTAATGCGGCAGAAGGCATGTGAGGTAGTGTAAGAAGTTAAAACAATACATACTTTGAGGGTGCTGTAACAAACTAGGGAGCCTAATTAAAGAGTGGGACATGTGATCCGGTTTCTTGATGTGAGATACTTACAGCATATCAGGGCAGTTATCTGGTTTGTCCAAGAGTCCTCCCTCCATGACAAAGCGCAGCACTTGTTCATTGGACATGCCCTGGTACGGCTGTTCTGCTAAGGTGGCGATCTCCCACAGCACCACACCGAATGACCTGAGAATAGTAACAGGACAAAATCGACTCAGTCAAGTTAAACACAGTTTCCCTACTTCAGAAAAACTGTTTGGCTGCTCAGAATGATTCAATGAATTGTTACTTGATGAAAGTCTAAGATCCAAAACATCATCTGGGAAACGTGAATGCAGTAGCTGACTGTCTGCTACTTAATCTGAAGACGGAATTTGCAGTCTTGAAATTTCACATTGACACTGCGTTCCTCAAAAATCGATGCTCCTTTGTGTAAATCACAAAGATTTATGGCTCGACGCAGGACTTCACCACAGCTCCAAACCTTTTAATCTAATCCCAACTTAATCTTGAGTAGAAAATTTGGCCTTCTGCTCAAGTCATACATACTATCAACAGAGCGGAAAGGGTTTAATTTCTACACTCTCCAGCAGTTTTATAATCCATGAAGAAGCCCATTCTCTCTGAATAAAAGCACAAACCCTTCAAAATACAACAAAAAAATTACCAGAGTAATTAAACAGAGTGTCTGCAAGTTTCAACAAGTCAAATTCAAAACTTTTTTAAGACTGTGGTGAATACAAATTAAGTTCCATTTTACATCCATAATTGCAAAATAAGTACAAAAGACGCGAAGAGGAATCGGAACCTTTTACATTTCTTCAAATCAATCTTTATTTTTGTGGCCTGTTGTCTATTTTTAAGTAATGTTTAAAATTTTTTTAAGACCTTTTAATATTGTCTTTAAGACATTTTATGAGATTTAAAGAGAATTTTAGACATTTTAAGGCCTTAAAATTTCAAAACATTGTATTTTCGATATTTCTAAACCTATGAAGACCCTGCAGATACCCTGTTAAACATTAAAAGAGACAGGACAATACCTCTCCTGATGTTATCTATACCATATCAAACCAAAGAGTAGGTAGCTCATTAAGAACAATGTAGCTTTGTACCAAAATATCACACCGATTTCTGTATTTCCTGTAAATTCCCGTCAGTTTGACATCATGAAGAAGAAGAAGAAGAACTTTACCATTCATGAAAAAATTATCTTCGTGATTAAAAATGACCACAATATTTGTTTACTTCTGATAATGATATTTGAAGTGCTATTTTCACAGAGTGAACTCCACGGTCTTACGATCCGCCTCATAACAACAGTGACATCCAACTGACTGAAATAGACAAAGCCACATTCACACAGCTTTTCTAGATCAACAAAATAAAAGCCACCAACTCGTGGATTCCTCAGGAGACCAGAGTGGGTTCATCTTACGCTGAACCTCATCTGTATGACTTCAAAGAGGAAGATATAGTACGCAAATGTGGAGGTGGGTTTTTGCTGGAACTGCAACCTATCATTTGAGAACATCTGGAGCAGTTTAAGCCCACTCTTAGAGACTGACCCGTGGGATATTTTGAGTTGGGAAACAAAAACTTGCAGGAGAGCTAGTAAACACTTGTATTCTCCACAACAGTATCGCTCCAGATAGAAAAATGTGGCAGAACTGTAAGTTGAGATTTCACTGCAAGCTGGCATAGAAAAGGTATTGGTAAAAGAGATTTATCTTGTTTTATGCACTCCTGTCACAAAGAGAGGAATTTCCTGAGGGCCAGCTGGAGACCAAAAATTTTGATGGTCCCCGAGGCTTTTATAGCGCACAGAGTGAGGATAGAGAGCAGGAAATGCATGTTCACACAGTAAACTAAAAAAACACAGCGAAGAATACGAGCTGAGAAGTGATCTGTATGTTTTTAAAGGATTAATTCCCTCGCACAAAACACACACACAATATGTAGACATTTCTGGAATAGTTTCCGTGCCCCCTGGATTAGGGCAGGTTTATACATGTTTAATGCAGACCTATGAGTGATGTGTTTTCATACCAGACATCAGACATTGTAGTGAACACGCCATCTTTCAGCGACTCCGGAGACATCCAACGAACAGGCAGCAGGCCCTTCCCTCCTTTTCTGTAGTAATCCGTCTCGTAAATATCTCTCGTCATGCCAAAATCTGAGGAGAAAAATAAAATCAGAGGTTGCAGAAGCCACCAGAAATCACTTATTCTGTGGTTGAGGAGGCTTCCCAAGAACTCATCCATCCCTTCACTTCCCCCCCTCAGTCCGTCCATCTACATTAAGACTCCACTGCCTCAGGCGCTCAGTGAAATCCAAACTTATTTTTCTAGGCTGCTGGGGTGGGTTCAGCTTTGAGTATCCAGGGGAGGCTGATGGAACCGTATTAACTTGACTTACCTCCAATCTTCACAGTGAAGTCCTCTGCTACCATGCAGTTCCTGGCAGCCAGATCTCTGTGGACAAATTTGTTGGCGTTTAGGTACGACATGCCGTCAGCTATTTCCCCCGCCATCTGGATCATCTTTTTGAGCGGGGGTAGGACCTGGCTGGTGGAGTTCTTGTGGAGTAAGAAAGACACGAGGACAAAAAATGTTGAGCTCTGCAAGTCAAATTGTTTCACCACTCCCTAGGGTGCTGGTTACAATTCACAAATAAAACTAAGGGACCTTTTTTTTTTTTTGCATATGACTGAGAAACAGAGAGAATATAAAAGTAAACAAAGGGAACGACTGATTATTGAAACAGGCTTACTTCTTTGCGCAGAGATCGTAGGTGGCTCTTTAAATCTCCACGGGTCATCAGTTCCATGATCACCAAAGTTGGCTGTCCCTGAGAGACCACGCCCAGCAGCCGTACCTGCGCCAGTCGCAACAAAACAAAGGTCAGGGAAAAGTGGGAGGGGTCAAAAGTTGCATCCAAACTACTGCACATGCAACAGGTAACATTGAAGCAGGAGAGAGTGTGCAGTTTGTCTGAATGGAAAATGTGGTGTGATAAACTCTGCTACCATTAGCCAGTAAGCATATCTACAAGTAATCTAGGGATCCATTGACACATTTGCAAAAAGAAGTATTTTGGTAACACTTTATTTGACACCTATCTTAATAACACATTATAAATATATTAATAATGTGTTATAATCACATTATAGCACTGTATAACTGTAGTTATAAACATATTTATAAATGATCATAATGGTTTATAGCAATAATCATAACACATTATAAAGGTCAGGTATTATAATGTGTTATGACTGTTAACAACAGTTGCATTATCTATGTGGGCATTGTCAGTGAGTTGTTAACAGTAATAACACATTATAATACCTGACCTTGTAAGTCATGATAAAATGCTTTATAATGTGTTATGATTATTGCTATAAAGCATTATGATCATTTATGAGTGTTAACTATAGTTATACAGTGCTATAACATGATTATAAGGCATTATAAATACATTTATAATGCGTTCTAGTATAGGCGTCAAATAAAGTGTTACCAATATTTCTGTTGAAATTGCTTGGACCATTTTAAAAGTATCCTTTCCTTTTCTAAAAGAGAAAACCTCAAACACATCAATTCAACATAGATAATGAGGCTGTGGTCATGCTGATGGGAGAATGTACACAATCTACAGGAGGCTGAGCTCTTCCTCAGGCTGCAGCTGCCTGAGAGAAGACAACCTCAGACAACACTGAACATATGACCTGACAGCTTTTACCCAACACATAGGTCAGGTAATGAGGTCAAAATCAGAGGAGCTTTGTTTCAACACCGGATCCTACATGACGATTAATTTACGATCCATGTTTTCTCTTTTATGAAACCAGTTTGGACTCTGTCTCTCTTACCACATGGTGACAGTTGAACTCCTTCATAACTGACGCTTCATTCAGGAACTCAATGCGCTCCCTCATGCTGGCAGACTCATTGACCGTCTTGATGGCGACTCGTGTGTCTGGTTCGTCCTTGACCACCCCCTTAGCGATACCTTCGTACACCATGCCAAAAGAGCCCTGACCCAGCTCCTTGTGCATCGTGATCTTCTCTCTGGCCACCTCCCACTCATCAGGGACGTACACTGAAAAAAGCAGCAGGTCATACACAGAAATAAGCTTTTGTATAAAAACATGGTATTTGGTTTTATACATAACACAAAAAAGGAGAAATGTGGTAGTCTTACTTTCAGCAGCACTGAAATACTCTGGGTTGACAGATGCATAAAGGACTCCATTCCCCAATCTGTCACTGTTCCTGTTGACACAAACACAGGGGAGTTAGTCAGCAGGCTGGTCTGACTGTGGACCACATGTGTAATTCTTTACAGGGTGTCTCCGTTTTACTACAGGGGAGTGTTAGTGAAAGCAACAGCACGTATTTACTCTAATTAACATTACTCCGACCATTAAGTTTCATGAGCATAGTAACGCAGAACAACATCATCGTGAGACCATGCCCGGTAATGTGGAGCGTGCTCATAAAGGTACTTGCCTCTTTTTATTCACAAAGAAGAGAATGGTGGTGAGGCCCGCGATGAAAAGGGTCACTATGATGGGAATTATGATGACCAGGTAAAAGGTAACATCATCGTTTCCTGTCAGAAAGAAGAGAAAGAAAAGGGTGATCGGCACAGCCTGACTTCATGTTTGGGGTGACTCTTGAATGCTCCTTTTGCTGTATTCAATGTGTGTCTACCGGTGCATTTCAAATAACTAGGATATTTTAAAAACATCCTTTTAATTCAAAAAGGGCGGATGTGTCTCAATTTTTCTTGACAACATTCTGCTCTGTTCAGTTCAGGTCAGTAAGTTGGCAAATTAAGCACAGTAATATGACCATGACCAGCAAACTGTTTGGTTTTAGTTTGGCATTATGGGCACCAGCTGCAGAAGAAATCAACATCTCAATGAAGCTTGTCAGATGGAAGCCTGGAGAGCTTTAAAATCTCCTGCTTGTGGGGGTTGTATTTGGGTAAGATCGTTTAACATATTGAGCTTGGACTAATTCTACCTGTCTTGGACTTATGTACTTATTGTTATCTATTGTTTTTACTTCTTTGTCTTATTTTCATAAGACTGTATCTTGACTTGTTTTTTTTTCTCTTTTTACTGTTTTTTATTAGTTTGGTCTTGTAATAATATAAAAATAAATAGCTGAATCATAAAAAAAACCTCCTGGTTGGAGGATTCTTGATGAAACAGAGTGGACCAATACTAACATATTAATTCAACATCACTTGAGCCACAGATCATAAAATTAGAAACCCTTTGAAACTTTTTTAGCTGGCATGTACTGAGTCTAAAAAATGGCACATTTTCAGTTCCTTTAAAAACTAATGAAAAATATTAGACACAATATTCACAGTTTTTTAAGAAGCCCTGTATATGTGAAACCTGTTGCATTACGTTTTGGTGGAGGCACGTAGAAAAACACGCTCTCCGTCCAGGAGCCGTTCCCTGCGAGCGAGGTGGCGCGCACACGAGCAGAGTAGTTTCCCGAGCCCAGGTTGGAAAGCCGGGCTCCTCTGAATTCGCGGTAATGCTGCCGCGACACACACTCGTGTTTCTCAGGCTGGAAGGAGACAAATAAATGTCGGTTAATGTTGAAAAGACAACAAAGAGTTGGCAGCAACAGACGGGGTCTGTTTCCAAAAGATAAAAAGTGCAGAATGATGTATGTGCTGAGTTTGACCTATCAGTCACAAGCACTAATTTGGCAGTATCAGCGCACTTTGGATGTTTTGATACGTCCTAAAACATAGCTGAGAAGTGATTTAATTACACCCAGTCTGGCTCACCTCGGTCCCCAGGCGGAACTTGATCTCATACATCAGAATGACTCCATTGGGCATGACAGGCTCTGGCCAGTGCAGCACCACACAACCCTCCACCTTGTCGCTTCTCTCATAGATCACCTTTCCGGGGATGTCATCTGCTCTGGCTGGAACACACATACACATACACACATAACCTTACAACAGAAATGTGCCTGCAAATGAGTGAGAGGTGGAGTTATCTCATGCTATCCCCCACTTTTATCGCAGATTGCGTTTCATTTCTGACCTGCAGGTTTGGTCCTAGAGAAGACGAAGGCTCCGGCACTGCAGCGGCCCACCTCCTCATTACAAGCATGGAGGTCGATGCGGTACACAGTGAACGGACGTAGGCTGGGAATCTCTAAATGTTCTGAAGTGCTTTTGTCCTCTGAGAACGGATACTCTCTGATTGGAGGAATTCCATCTGTGCTGTTATCGGCTGGGCCAAAGGTGGTATTCCCTCTACCACCAGGCTCATTCAGTGTGTTGTTAGCCACTCCAAAAACATCTCGACGTTTGCGATCAGGAGGTCTGAAACACACAGAGAGAAAACATGCAACACATGCAGATAAGAGACAAAAAAAACCCTTAAAATTAAATTTAATTGTAGGTTAAAAACTCCTAATAGTTCTTTAGTCAAAACTAAAGCATCCTTCTGGGGCGGGTGGAGTGTGTGTGTGTTTTATATGTTTGTGTGTGGACATGTGTCCAAATGCTTCATGCTTTTCCCTGTGGGGCTGTTGGGGGAGGTTGAGGTCAGACAGATCATAGTGAAGAGCTCAGACACAGAGGAAGACAGAAAAAAAAAGACAGACAGACAGATTTTTTTACAGTGAGAAAAGAACTCCTGAAATCTTAATCAACAATAATAATAAAAACAAAAATCTGATCTCAAAGTGTTCAACAGTAGCAGCTGAACTGGGGGCTCTGTTGCCAGCAGGGATGAAACCTCACATTGCAGATGATGGAAAATTTCTGTAGAGACACAGCAAACGCCACAGGGCACCTCACCCACAGTTACCTTAAGCTGAGCCAGACAGATAAATAAAAGAGCGCTAATTCTGATTGAGCTGGAAAAATAAAGCTGTATTGACAGCTGGTGACAACAGGCCATATACAGTAAATGAAGCCTTCACAGAGAACTTGTAAGGTGATAAATGTCTAGGGGTTGCCGGGGCATGTGATGAGATCATGAACAGGTGGCCGGGTTCTATTAAATGAGTCAAGAGGTGATTCACATAGTGTACTGCCACTGCAACATCCTATAGAGCACAGGGCTGCAGCAGTTCTGTCAATATTGGTTTATTAGCTGGTTCTTGTCCTGAACTAATTTATTGTGCGCTATCAAATGTTCGTGAAAGGTTCCTCTGCTGTAGGGGGCAGGGTTTCCCCGACATGCAGTTGATCGCGGCACACCGTTACGGCTAAATGAAAGCCGCCACACCTTTAAAATTAGTTTTGTTTCTTACGTGACTCTACTTCGGACTAATCGGCGGTATTTTTTTCGTAGGATGGTAGGGAAAGGTCCCCCCTCCTTCGCCTCTGATTGGCTAGAAAAGCTGGAAATGTCGTCACACACTCAAGCTGAGCGCGGGCTGTCGGCTCTGTACATCGAACAGAACATTACAGAACATTATCGCAATTCTGAATCTCCTAACCGTAGACTGTATGGACAGCGTCTGCCTCCTCGCTGGGTGAAGTAACTCCGAGAACAGCACCCTCTGGTGACAGGCTGCAGTATAGGTTATAAATCCCGCCTCCGCCAGCAAAGCTCATGGAGCTGTGGACAAACTCTGGACATTTATTACACAGAATGTAATTTTTTTCCCCCTGCTGGTTTGTGCTCAAGTCCTGTTTTTTTCTGTACAGCTCCATTTTTGAAAGTTATTAGGGGGTTCATGTTTTCTATGATTGACACTTGATACAGCCTATGGGCGTACGAAGATTGCGTAGCTCACCCAGGGGATATGGTGTTTGAGCCGAGCGTCATCACAGCGACTCTCCCGCTGAATGCGTACAACGCTACTGCGCAATGTTGGCTTCAGGAAATGGAGAGAAAACGTGGAATTACCGAGAGCTTTTTGGCTTCAAATCCGTATACTGGCGGAAGGCGGAACTAAGTTGTCCATAGTATATACAGTTTATGCTCCTAACCCTAACCCTAAACCCAACCCTAACTGACAGACAATGGCATTTCACAACCATAAGGAATAACCAATTGGAGCCCAGCGCTTCTAGCCAATCAGGGCCGAAGGAGGGTGGGACCTTCCCCTACAAAAAAAAATAAAAATGTGCGCACCGTAGAGCACGCGCGCTGAATATTAGCTCTAGTGAGTTATTGTCGGCGTTCACACAGTTGATAAACAACTCAACGCTTAACAACATCCCCACCCCCAGTAGTTATTATTTCAGTCTCATATATAAATATTAATACATAAAACAAAGTTACTTATTTGCAAAACTAAGAGCCAAACTGTCCATGCCAAACTGGAGCCCAGTGCAGACCTGCACCCACAAACACAGACGGACCTCTGGGAATGTCCATTCACATTCGCATGTCAACATTCCTCTGTTGTAGTGCAATCCTGCCTCTACTGACCGTACATCAAAGTTACACTGAACGGACAGTGGAGAAGCATGTAAATCTAAAACTATCCTGAGTAATACGAGTGAAAAGCGAGAGGAAGACAAATTGAAAGACCACACGAGAGGCCAGATAAGAGAAAACTGGAGAGATCTCATTTCTGTGTTCACCAAGAGGCTCCTCAGCTGACTGAAACACGACCTTATAACTAGCGAGTTACTAGAGTCGGTGGCCTGACCTCGCCTGCTAAAAAAAGATCCACCTTTATGTAACGGGGTCCAAACAGGAAAGCAAGGACTACGCATTCTGTCTGTCTGCAACACACATATTGCTCAAGAGAAATGAATGATGTCTGGATCTGACAGAGAGGAAGGTAAATCTAGGGAGTTATTGTCGATTCATCTTCTATAAATTCATCATGGTTTTTAACGTCATGTGATTACAGTGAATAAAACTCCTGTGAGCCGATGACAGGTTTTGGATCACACCAGACTGTCTCCTGAACAGATACTGGCAGCAAGCCTCCTCTGCTCCAGTAAATCAGTCTGCCTGCCTCCCTTACTTTCTGCTCGTCTCCTAGCTCTGACGGGGCTCTTCCCTCATTCATTTAAATTCCAGATGGATCCACTGTACATTTCCTGGCAGCTGTCTCACCCCAGAAAAAAAAAAAAAAAAGTCCTGGACAAAGAGAGCGTGCAAGGGGAGGAGGAGAGCCGAGAGCCGAGTGGAGCGGGACAGAATGGAAAACATTTCCTCTTTTTTCTGTTTCTGTTTTTCACCCACCCTGTCTCGCTTCACCCCGGGTCTAAACCCTGAACTTTTGAAAAAACCTCCCCGATTTTTGAGGCCTTTCTTTGGAGAGGTTTTTAATAATGCTGGCTCTGTTGCAGTGGAGAGTCTGTGCATACACAGGCTGAACCCTCAACGCTGCAGGCCCAGGGACCTGCCATCCGCCTGTTTCCTTGACAGCTATACTATAACAAATCAACACAGCTTGAGATCGCAGCAGGAGGGCTGAGGAGGGGCAGATATGTGTTTAATTACAAGAGAAAGACGCGTTTTATTATTCTTCCTCCAGAGGCATATCGATCCAATTCCACAAGAGCATTACAAAGGAGCAGAGAAGAAGACTGAATGCTGTATGAACCGAGGAGCAAGTATATAAAAGGTCTCCATATTTTACCGATTGATGTCGGAGATGTATAGGTTGTGTGCGGCTGTCTAAATGAGAATAAAAGGATTGTGGGTGGAGAACAGAATAGGTCCTTAGCCACGAGCACGTTCAATATAACACAACACAGATGTCAGTCTCTATTGTGCGGAGTAAAGGTCTAAACAGCAACAACTGTGCAGCCAAACCTGGCCCTTCAGACTCCTTAATCACATCTCTCTCCTGGGTTTGTTTGTGTTGCTTAAATTGCTGCCCGCTAGGTCCCTAACATGCCCCCTGTGCCACAGTTGCCAAGGCAACAGAAAGCCACAAGCGCACTAAGAAGGCTTTGAATTAGACTCAGCATGTCTCCTCATCTGCACTGCCTGACAAAAAAGGCAGAGCCAAGCCCCTGCCCGGTCCATCTACGCTCCCCCATGGCAGGATCCTGTTAGCTCCAAAGAGGAGCTGTTACACCCGGGCAGCCACTTCATTCCTCATTTTGACCCGTCATGGCAAACAAGCTTAGCTCTTGACAGAAAGAAAGGAGGCAGAGAGTAGGAGCAGTTGAAGGGTGTCACCCCGATCATGTGTGTCTGTGTTTTACCGTGGCAAAAAGATGGCGTTGTGAAGGAAGTTCTCAAAGACTTTCAAGAAGACGCGGTCATCCTTCTCACGGTCCTTCTCCTCAGGTGTTTTCTGGCAAACGCAGCATGGACCCTTCTCTGCGCCTGACAGGTCGGACTTGGTGGGCTTGGTGTTGTCCTCCATGTCTGTGAGACCCGTGGCCGGGATACGGATTGGGATCTTCAGCTCTGTATATAGCAAAACCAGGAGTGTTCAGGAATGACCAGAGAGAATACTTTAAACTTTATGAAATATTTAATGCGCAGAAATGTGTCAGGTATTTTACCAAGCATTAACAGGTAACAGACTACTTTATTTATGATATGAAGAGGCTGAAAATAAGGAGAGCTACATTTATAAGACAAGTTTTTTAAACCTTTTGAGCAGTAGTTGTGGTGGTAGAGCTCTCTGTCTTCCGCCTGACGCTGCCAGCGGACCAGATAGTACGTCAGATTGCCGTTGGGAAAGGCTGGAGGTGACCACTTCACCACCAGCTTGGTTGAGGAGTTGGCAAACGCACGGGGGTCTTTGGGCATGGAAGGCACTGCAAAATGGGCAAAAATCAAGATGTGTTATATAACAGAAAAGAAGTGCGGTGTTTTTGATGATACATGACAGTTCGACTTACACGAAGGGCGCGTGCGGATGTAGGCTATCTCGCTCTTTGCCCCAGCAATGTGTTTTTCCTCCACCTGCAGGGTAACAGCCTTCACAAAAACCGCATACTGGGTCCAGGGCTTGAGGTGTGGAAGGGTGACTTTAGGGTCGGTGTTTTTATCCTGAGGGAGATCAACATCCACCATGTGCCAGCTGTTGGAACCACAGCCATCCTGGCCGTCAAACTCTGTGATGTTCTGGAAAGGGCTGAAAAAAAAAACACAAAATAAACGCATGATACATCCATCTGCACTTAAAGTCGACACGTCAACAAACACATTCTCGCTCAGATGGATTTGTCTTAGAATACCGCTGTTGGTTTTATACATTTCAGGCCTGTATTTACAAATATTGTGTATTTTCTAAACTGCAATCCTTTTCCGAAGCATAATATAAAAAAACTTTTGATTGATTCACTTCCTTCAAGGCAGTCATTTGTTCATTTTGTGGCTGTTTAATAAGAAAACCTGACAGGTAATCAAACACAGATCTCCAAAAATAAGCAGACACGGATGTTGCAAATGTGACCTAATCTGGGTTGTTTGTTTTACATTAGAACAATTCTTCCATTGGTCATCCGAAATTTGAATGCCTCTGGGGCAGGAAATCAATGCAAAAGCTCAAACTAACAGGTGCACCTGGTTACTATTGATTGGGGTAAGATATACAAAACCGGACAAAGATCATATTTTCCACAAAAGACGGCTGATTTTGAGGGCAGTCCTGTGTTTGAAAAATGAAGTTCTGACTCGAGAAATATTTCCAAAGAAAGGTTTTTCATCTAAAACCCTGTTACTCCAACTCTCTTTGCCTTCCTTTATTATATATCATATCGCAAAGAGCATGAGAAGGTGTTTGTCCTCTGAAAACTTACGATTCCTTGTAGTAGATGATGAAGCTGATCAGGTCCCCATAGTCCGGCGGCTGGTAACGCTCCCATGTCATCTTGATCGAATGACTTGTTGTGATGTTAGATTTGAATTTTAAGATATGACTTTCACCTGTTGTGAGAAAGCAAAACCATCAATAATGAGACACGTCAAAAAAAAGTCTGCATCATACTAAAAGACGACTTCTCCGCCTCGTTTCATTGGTCGACACTCACAGCTTGCTCTTTCCCCATTGTTCCGGAAATCTCCTTCCTCTGGTTTCACTGTGATGCCCGTCTTATCCCACATTTTGTGGATCTCAGACATGCAAAGTTTGGGGTTCAGACGGAAGAAGAGACGGCCGTTCAGGACAGTCAGATTGTGCTGATTCCAGTCCCACAGATACTGCAGGTTCTGGTTGTTGATGGCGGAGAATGCGTACATGCTGACGACAGAGGAAAATCAAAGAGCCGGGGTTAAAAAAGGTCTTGTGGTTTGAGAAATGATGTTTCAAGATGCCTGAAAATGCTTCAAGACAGCTGAAGCGGACAAGAATGTGGTTGGACGGTTTTGCCACCTGGTGGCAGCACTAAGCCCTTGCTCAGGTGGGCATAAGGAGCCTGTCTGAAAATGAGCCTGGGTTTGTATGAGGAAGACATGAAACAGAAACACAGAAGCCCGAGTAACACAGCAGAACACCTCGAGAGGGAAGCAAATGCCTGCCATCCCCGGCATTCCTCTTAGTGAAACTTGACCCTGGGAGAAAGGACAACAAGGAGGGCGACAGGATTTCCCATGACCCCTTTGGCCATTCCCAAAAAATCTTTCCCTCGTATCTAAACTACTGCTGATATCAGGGTGAAGTGGAGGCTGACAGACCTGCTGTCAATCCACAGACACTGTTATATTTGGAACCAAATTCCACTATCCGAGGCTGCGACTGGAATAAAATGTTGGTAGCAAAACCTCTTAGGCTGCGGTTCGCTCATGTTCTCCAATTCCCCCACACACTGGACACACACATGCACACATTTGCAGCCAGACAGAGGGAGCAGACGAGCCATACTTGTCGATGAGTTCCTGCCCATTGATGTAACGCAGGCTCTTGAGGAAGGACAGCGAGCCAAGTGCGTGGGAGTGTCGGATCTTCACATAGCCCGTCACTGTCTGGATCAATCCCATGAAGCTCTCCAGCTCAGACGCTATGTTGTCTGGGGACAGGGGATAAAACACACACACACACAAACACAAATCAGCATATTAAAGGCACCTTTAATTACCACAGGAACATCCACCGCTTCTCTAGCAACAAGGTTATCTCTGAATGGAAACATATCTGAGTGAGCTCTGCGTTGTTGGGGTTTGATCATATGTGGAGGTGAGCTTGAAAGACACCCTGTTGACAGTGCAAATAGACAGCACTACAGCATAATGTGACAATCGAGTTGGAGTGCAGGACGCAGATGTAATGTTGATTAAATGGGACCCCCAGGAGCTAATACCATTAGAAACCGTTCCCTTATCTGTCTCTGTCTGTCAGGTGCGACTCAGCGAGGGGAGTTTGTTTACGCTGCAGAATAGTGTAGTGATGTTAACCCCGTATTTTTTTATGCTCTTTGTGTTGAGGGTGAAATATTTCTGCAGAAGCGCACTCACTTCCACGGCGGATGTTGATGTCCAGGTTGCCTTCGATGACAGTGCACTCTTTGAGGAGCTGAGCGGCGTCCACGGAGTCAATGAAAGACGATGTGCAGGGTTTATCACACGGACCGTTACAGGCACTGCAAAACATTCTGTGAACAGCCAAACAAGAGGGGAGAAGTTCATGCGAGGGGAAGGGATATGGAAAATAGGTACAATTTGTCGAAGGAAGAGCAAAACATCGAACGTGAACTTTTCAACCCCACTCTGAATTCATCCGTCCACTCCCTACCTCCCAAACATTCCAAAGGATTCATGAAAATAAATTCAGTGAACGATACAAGGTCACCACTCAAAACTGAGAGTTTAATCTTTTATGAGCCCCGGTTTGAACTCTGTTTTGTGAGAGAGTGACTCACTGCTTTGACCTCAGAGACAAAACAGCAGCACAAAGGCCAAGAAATATACAGCAGCTGAGACACGAAAGTGGAAAGTTTGGGAATAGCGGAGACAAAACAGAGAGGAATGTTGCAGACAAAGACACTTTCTCATCCAAGTTCACAAAGAAAATGTCAGGTGGACTGTAGAGGGTAAGTCTCGTGGCACCTTTCACACTCTGAGAAGTCTAGTCTGGAATCTTAGGAAGAGTAACGTGCTCTTAAACAGTTCCTTCAGAATTTCACAGGCTTTTTTATGATTAATGCAGCCTTAGACGCCTGATTTGGGAGTAAAGTCTGCAAAAATGTTGTAGTCCAAGCAACGTTTCACAGTGTAACACATTTCACATCGCACTTCAGCCGTGAGTAAAAAGACAAAAGCTGCATTGAAGTCGTGTTTTCGACTTCTGACATCCCGACTCAGTGCATTTCTGCTGTTAAGATGCCAAATTCAATGAGTGAAAGTGCAATAAAACATGAGTTAATTGGAAAGACAGCGTCTACAAGTAACCCATGAAGAGTTTGGTCAAGAATGCAGACGACTTAATGCAAATTCATCAATTAGGCTCAAACACATAAAGAACAGGAGTGTCTTTCAATACTGACAGAATCCGCACTGCTACTCATGAAGAAATCAACAAGGAAATTAGACTAAAAACTCTGGCTGTGATCCTATGATGGTCAAGTACAGAAGATTAGAAAAGTCAAGCCCTGACCTTTTATACAACAAGAAACGATTGATTTTAAAGAGCTATCCTGAATGTATGCACCTGTTAGTCTCATTGCGTGTGAAGCCAGGCGGGCAGTCAGGCATACACTCTCCCCCGTGGATGACAAAGTGATTGTCGCCGGGCAGGTGCACCTGGGAGCACACGTCCATGGTGATGCACTGCCAGCCTTCAAACTTGTAGGTGTCGGGGGGACAGTCCGGAACGCAGCGACCTTCGTGGTGGTAGTGGAGACAGGCGGAGCAGGCCATGTCGTTGTTGGGTTCACTGCAGCTGCCCAGGCACTGGCTATGGCAACACTCCCCTCTGTCTGTGCAGGCAAGCTTGCAGTGGTCCGGGCAAACTAAAGGAAACAGAAAAATTGAGAAGAGGAGGTCAGTTTAGTAAGAGAGGATTCTGCATTGCATTGCTACTCACTTTTAAGACACAATGTGACATGAGTAAATCCAGGATTGTGTTTTAAAGGTCACGTAAAACACAATGAAATTAGATATAGCTTTATATCTGAATAATAAACATGTAGAGAGGCCTCTGACAAGACATTTACATACATCTTTTTAGGTATGTTTTCTTTTATTAGACGAGACAGCTCAATTTTGATTAGTTTCATAAACATACAATAATATTATGTTTCATTCATGTTTTTCTGTACTGACAGAAAATAAGTGTTTGAAAGTGAACTAAAGCACATCCTTCCAGCCAGTGAAGAAGAAAGCAGCAGTGAAACAATGATGATGTGGGGTGTTTTAAATTAAGTTTGAGCAACATGAATAACAGAATCTCTCCACTGTTTACTGAGCATCAATGAGAGACCAAAACCCATAACAATATGTTATCAATAAAACCCTGTAGTTTAGGATGGACTAATGGGACATGTGACTGATTGTGCACCCTGACAGTTTGTCAGATTTCTTCAACAGAGCCAAGAAAAGGACCACTTATAAATCAACTTCAGATAAAAACAAGTTATGACGGCTCTAAACTTTGACACAGAAAGAATGACAGAAGTTAAACAGATTTATAAAACCGCCATGGTTTGATCAGTTCCTGTTTGTAGGTTACTAACTTCCTCCGATTATAGGTTTTATTCTTAAGTGAAACACAAATGGCAGATGGATGACATCTGTTTTTAATGAGTAAAGGCAGTTTTTCTCTCCCAGGACCCTATTTATAGAAAAACACTGTGGAAAAAAGCAGATTCAAAGTGAGGAAAGCAGATGATTCCTCCTGTTAACTAATGTGGAGACACTGCAGGCAGGAATGTCCCACTTTTAAATGAGTCAATTCCATAGAAAAAAGCAACTGGAGAATGTGTAATTGTGTGTGTTTGCATGTGTACCTTTATGAAAGAGTATGAAAGAACTAGTGAAATATTTTTGTTCGAGGAAACAAAGCTGCTCTCAAAAGCCAGAGTCAAAGGTCGAAATTTCTTTACGAAACATGAAACTGATAAGAAATCATTCATCAGGATTTGTTCAAAGAGAAAATTTTTTTTTTTTTTTTGCTTTATTAGAAATTGCACAGGCAGGAAAAACATGCCCTTGTGTTGTCTGCATATTAGGATCTTAAGTGTTTACTATTTATTGTTTTGCTCTTTGTTGCTGCTAAACAAATTCCCCCCACAGGTCCAATAAAGCTGAACTGAACTACATTGAACTGAGCAAAAAAAGAAAGAGGTACAGCACTCCTGGTTCCTTAGCAACCACCTCCTAGTGCAAAGCCAGAGCTGGAAGGAAATGTGCACACACGTGTTTACATAGTCACACAAAACTGAAAAAATACACTTTTCAACAGACTCTCTTTTACTTTTGTTATCACAATCTGCAAGAGCGTGATAGCTAATTTGACTATTTAGCCATCCTCGTGGCACAATCTTTAATAGGAACACATATAATTAGGTGCACGTGCGTGTGATGTCTGTGCACATGCAACTTGATTTGTGAAGATGTGTGTGTGTGTGTGTGTGTGTGTGCCCTGCAGAAAGAGAGAAAGGACTTCTGCTTGTTTATTTGCTTTTAAATTAAAGGCGGGTGTCGGAGCATCGGCGGCTCTCTTTTGTGAATCAGTCAGGAGGAGAGAATGAAGCCGGCTGCTGAGCTAATCTCTGCATGAATATTTCATGTTGCCTTTACAAACCATCTTTGTAGGTTAAGAACGTGACGGCGCACTACAGCAGTGCTGCAGAGCAAACACACACTCCCACCGTGCCGGCTCCAGTTTAGCTTCATAAGGAGAAAGTGAATGAAAGATCATTTCTACTTTTGACTGTTTCTCAAGTCCTCGCCATTCTGTCTGGAGTGCAGTCGTGCAATAATGAAGAAGAAATTATCTAGTCTGTGTCAGGATTTGAAAAAGTCTTTCAGTAGACCTGATACTGTTTGATACACTGTAGTGTGTAAGGAATTTCTAATTATCACGTCCTGATGAAAAAAAAAAAGACCTTGCCCAGGTCCTGCGTGGTGTGAGAGTCTTTAGCAATCTGGCCTCCCTTATGCTAAGTATAGATTCTTATTACGTACATGCTCTTCCACACCAGGAGTCGACCTGCTCTGTGGAACTCCATTAACAACCTCTACATAACAAGTCTGGATCTGGTCCACAATAATTCGCCAAGACCTTATCTAAGAGTACAAATGCCAGCGCACACAGGCCGTCACATGATAGCAGTGATCTGAGTGGAAATGTAATGCTTGCATCACAGCATTTCAAAAGGCCGACCAGTGATGCACATGTGCACTCTGAGAGGGGGTGAAGGGGGGGGGGGGTCGTACAAGTGAGGTTGAATATTCCAGGAATCTGACCAAAAGGGGGCACCCGAGGCAAACTCTGACGAACCGTATTGGAGGAGGTCCCTCCTCTCCTTCTGCATCAATGAAGAGAAAGTCCAAACATGCATACCTTCCTCCAGAAGAAAGTCCAAAAGTGTGGGGGGGGTGGAGGGGTGCTGCCTCAAATCCATATAAGTCGACCTGGTTTCACTGTGTGGCCAAACAACCCGTGGTATCAAGGATACAATCCACTATTTATAGATGCTCCTAATGCAACCCTATTTTCACATTGCTGGTCTCTCCACATAGCTATGCAGGGCATTGTGGGTTTCCACTACTTCAAAGGAGAGGGACTACCTAACAAGGGGCTCCTCTGCAGATAAGACGTCAGCATCCTTGTAGAAGTTTAACACAGGCAGGAATAAACCAGTGCCATCAGTGGGTTGGCATTTGACCCCATTTTGCAGCATGTTGTATTACGTAAAGCGACTGCTGCGGAGAAGAAACCGAAGAAGCAAAAACGTCGACTATGATCCGACTCTGCAGAGTTCAATAAATCAAACTGCGAGGAGTAGGGATGGGAAGTTTATGAAGATGTTTCTCTCTAACAGTTGTTACACAACACCCTCCTCCCTCTTTGAACAAACGCAGCCAGGTCAGAGAGACCATTGCCAACTACTGGACCAGTCTCTCATCAGAGAGCTGCAGCATATGTGTCGTAGTCTTCAAAAAGTGGATCATAAAGAAGACAACAGAACAGTAACTCTACCTACTCCTGTCACTGTTGGGAGGGGTATCAAAAACAGGGTGAAGAAAAGACAAGTGCTGTGTGTTTATCTTTTGTTTTAGAGGCATCCATCAGTCGCTGGACTATGCAAAGAATCCGCAGAATGTTTTAGGCTGCGAGGATTCAAGAGGGGGGAATGTTAATTCTTTGTTTCTCGCAGCAACAACAACAACAACAACACAATAACAGCTTCAGAGACTTAAATGAGGAGGCCATGAAGATGCAAGCATGACCACTGAGATGCAAAGTGGATTAAATAATAGCTGAAAGTAAAGAAATTAATACTTTGACCACGATGAGAGAATCATGACTGACCAGAATTAGAAAAAGTGAGGCTGCAGGAAAGCGCAAGCACCTCTCCTTTAGTCTGTGTTGACAAAAAAGCAGCTTCAATCTGATGAAAGACGGCTAGATTTCAGCACTGACAGTGTGTGTGTGTGTGTGTGTGTGTGTGTGTGTGTGTAGGTAGGGAAATGGGTCACATGGTTCAAAGTTAGAGTCTCGAATGAATGCGCTGCTATTGGCTAAAAAGGCGTGAGAGGAAGAGGGTTGCAGTGCAGCATTCTCCTCATCTGAATGCGACTCATGTCCCGTTTGCTGGAGAGCATGCTGTGTTAGCCGACTACTACACTGTTTACATTAGGAGGCCGGTGATGTGTTTACTGCCGGCAGCCCACAGCCACCTCTGATGAGGAGGAAGAAAAGGAGGGGAGAGATAAGAAGTGAGAAGGAGAAAAAAGGAAAGAAGAAAAAGGGGATACAGAAAAGGATGAGGAGGAAAGGCAAAGGAAAAAGGCAGAAGAGAAGAAGGAGAGGGTGGAAGAAGAAAAAGGAGAGACCAGGAGATTAGAAGAAGAGGGATGGGGGGAGAAGAGAAAGAAAGAAGAAATAATGGAGAAGGAGAAAAGACTTGTGTAAAAGATAGAGTTTGATTTGCTGGTGAAAAATCCCTGTGTGATTGTGGGCACACTGAAGAAAAAGACAAAATGATGGAGTGAAAGATGAACGCGTTTCATTCTTCATGGCATATCAAAGCACAATATGTTTTCCCTGTGTCACTGCAGATAAGTAGGAAGCGTGACAGACAGTTGGGAAATCATTCATTATTCGCAGTGGGGCTCCGGGGGAGGAGCCGAGGGGAGGAGGGTGTCGGGAAAGAGAAGGGTGGGGGTTAAACTGGGAGCTCTGAGCTCGACCAATGGCAGGTGGGCAGGGGAGGTCCTAATGCCGATGACTGACATGTTATTGAGTCTGGAGCAGAGCTAGTAAACAAGTCCTCTGTTGAGCAGACGTAGGGTGGGGGAGTGGGGGGGGGGGGGGGGGTAACCATAGTGATTAAGCACGGCTTTTCCACTGATTCTGAGAAAACATAAGTTAAGGGAGGACCTGAATAGATGTAGCTTACTGAACGACAAGCCTTAGTCACTTTACTCCTGTAAATGCTGCTGACCCTTATCTGGAACAGAATTAAAAAGAAAAACCTGACTGGGCACGACTGAGGCTACGGTAGATTTAAGATGGAGACATGACGCACGGTGTCATGAAATTCTGTCAAGATTTCTCTATGAACAGAAGTTTCTCAACTTTGTCCAAAGAGGCCAAAAATCAAAGGGTTAAGACTTTCACTAAATAAGTAGTCGATGATATTTAATTACTGAATCAATCAATCACTAATTAAATGTGATTTTTTTTTCCTCTGCTGTAAATGACGTGTGATGATATCATCACGCAGACTGCATGATGTTAAGAGGGTTACTGTAGACTCTGCACACTTAAGTGTCAATCACACCACCCGTCCTTGCTCCACAATATAAAGAGGCCAAAGCTCCATTAGGACATGATTAAATTTATCTCTACATCACCTCCATTTACTGAAGTATTCACTCTGCTGCACACCACAGTAATCCACTACACTGCCTCCCACTCTGAGCGGACTCAGGTTACCGCAGCTGAGAGCAGAAGCAGACAGTGAGGAAGCTGAGCAGGAGTACAGTAGCAAACAGCAGGCCTATCAGGGGCCGCTGCAGCGCGGATCGTGGGTTGACCCCCCCGGCTCCTGAGCTCAATCAGGCCACATCCTCATCCGGCAACCCAATCCTCCCTGGGAGCCCCCAGTGGATCACTCCAGACACTTGTTTAAACCACATCAGCCCAGACAGCCAAAGAGAGGATGCTTCCTCCACTCACAGCCAAAGTCAAACCGCATCACAGATTCCAGCGCTGTGTTACTGCTGCTACAGTGGGGAAAGTCTCAAGAGCGACGATGGACTGATCTAATCTAAAGTGTTTTTCACCTTTTCAGCTGTGCATGTTCTGCTGATCACAGTTTTGTTTTTTTCTTTTTTTTTTTTGGTGCACAGCCCATGATGTGATTTTCTCATGTAGACAGCTGGCTCAGGAAAGCTTGTTTAAATCTCTGTTCAGTCCTGAGCACAAAGGTGTGTGTGAGCCGACTCCTCCCTGTCCCTCTGTTTCTGGGTCTCTTCCACTCCCATGCCCACTAAAGACCAGCAATGTGTTTTTCACACAACTATGTGCTGGTCTGTGTGTTCAGGCATGCGTGGCATTTCCCCTCACTCGCATTTAGTCACAACAACACACACGCATTTACAGACACACACATACTCACACACTCACACAAACAGACCTTCCTTCTGCCCTCGGGCTTCAGCTCATCCTACAGCTGCTGCTGTTTTTGTTGTTGCTTTGTTGTTGACTGCACTTTGTAAAAAAAACACAGGTATGCAGCAGCAGCAGCGTCACATGTGAGAACACTTTTGTGTTTTATCATTCAGAGGAAGAAGATGGTCTGAAAGCTATTAAAAGTTCAAACAGTGGAAAGAGTGAGTAAGAAGATCAAGACTGTTTTCTTTAAAAAGGGACAATCAGAATACACACGAATATTTGGATACAATTTGGAATTAATTATAAGAATTTTAGATATATTACTGCAAAAACAATGCAGTCATCGAATCAATCAGCTGAGTCGAATACATTTCATGCTCTGCTTGTTGACACTGTGGCAAAAACATTCATTTACATGTAGGCTGGTTGGAACAGTCAGGAATAATGACAGTTACACTGAGCGCAGAGGTGAGGGCAGCCTAAAGGTTAACCAGGCCCCAAATATCACTCAGTACGGAAAATCAAATGAATGACAGGAGCGTGTCCACCTCTGCTTAGGTAGGTGGCGTTACCTCCCATTTCAGCTTGTTACTGTCAGGTTGACATATTAAAACAGTCAGCAAAATTCACCACTTTCACAGCGATGGCCTTTGCCTGCTCTTTCTTTGCTGTTTGTTAGGTGTTGTCTTTTGACATCCTTTCTTTGTAGGGCTGGGGCAAATGCTTTTCACCTGATTTCTACGATTTTTTGGATGCCGATTCAATTTCAAGTCTACGATATTGCCAATTTTCAGTCTTCATTTTTAACACCAGTGAAACAGTTGAATGATTATGATTGTCTGCATATCACATGTAGGTCAGCTTTTAAAATTCATTCTTAAATTTGGAAAAGAAAAAATCAAATTCTGAACATAAAATCGATTAAAAATTGGAAAACAAAAAATCGCGATACTTATGTGAATTGATTTATTTTTTCTACCCCTATTTCTTTGTATGTTGAAGTTTTGTTTACAACCTGGCTTTCATGCAACTCATCCATGATATTCAACCCTTAGCTTAGATCCCAGTGTGCGAACACCTGAGCATGCACAGAACGCTGACTAATAAGTAAAGGTGGAGCCAGATCCTGTCCTCAAAAGTTGTGACATTTGCTTTAGAGCTGAATGAGATACAAGGAGGCTGATAAGAATCTGTTGCCATTAAGCACATACATATTACTAATAGGTCTCACCATCAATGTAAATGTCACAGAGGCAGAAAGCTGCGGTGAAGTTTGTTCCACCCCTGTGGCAGCATCTGAGATAGCAGCAGAGGTAAGACAGCATTGCTATAAACTATGTGTGTGTGTGTGTGTGTGTGTGTGTGTGTGTGTGTGTGTGTGTGTGTGTGTGTGTGTGTGTGGCTCAGGCTCTCTGTTTACATGTTACGCCTCTCATGCCTCCATAGCGCTGTATAAAATCACTCTTGGAGATGCCAGTATTATTATCGTTTGGTCAAATGTATTTCAACACAAAGGCAGATTGACAGCAGAGCTTGGTTATGGTGCTGCAGCTGAATCACAATAAAAAGGGGCTTTAGGAAGAATCAAAATAGATGTAAACAAACAGCCGCCTTTAAAAAAAACCCACAACATAAGGAATCTAAATTTGCATGTGAGGAAATGACCGGTGCGGTCTAACCTTATGACTTAGCACAGCCCCTGGATGAACTCCTCAGTCCCTGCAGGCCAGACTCCCCGTGAATATAACATCCCAGAGTCCCTTTTTTTCCCTTGACAGTCATGAAAAGACAGGCCTTTGCATCGTTCTTCTTCATGAGATCAGGCAATACTTGAGCTTATACTCAAAGGGTTTAGAAATAGCTGCTGTTGAGACTTAAAGGGTTTTCAAATAAAAGGTCTCACTAAGCCATCAAATAGATTAATGCCTCACAATTGTGAACATGCTACTCTGAACAACATTACTAGAGTTACATTGTTAAGATGTATGCTCTATAACTTTTCACATAAATCACTGTCAGTCACAGTGTGAGGCAGGTGAGTGAGCTGAAAGGCTAAGATGCTGAGATAGGCGCCAGTGTGAGAAAAGCCAAGCTGAGAAAACTCGGCCTTTTTTTTCTTTTTCACAGGTTCTGAGGTGTTCCCTCTCACTGAAAGTGGCTTCTAAAAATATCTGACTTCCCAGATCTGCTTCATTAAATGCAATGTGTTTCCTGGTAGTGCTGTTTTGCTCGCTGGGTGACTGGCTGAGGGTTTGTGAGAGCATGTCAAAACTCACGTCTCTTCTGCCTCCTACACAGTGCAGTCTGTTCCCCTACTGTAAATGAACGTAAAGGAGATCCTCGGGAAGACTATTATTGACGTTTAACACTCGGTATGGTATCATCAAATACAGGCAATTAATATTACTAACTGAGCTCATAAAGTTTTCTGCTGTGTTTGGCTCAGGTGATGGATGTTTGCAGGAACAGTCTAATACCTGGATTCACAACCGCCCCTCCAGCCATGGACCAAGGTGGATTCTCAACGTTTTCAAGCTGACTTTTCAGTGAGGTGACCATATCCGTGAAATGGCATCCAAACACAGACAAAAGAGAGGAAGAGACTGAAATCTGGTGCGCATTTGATGGAGCAGAAAAGCCTTAAGGAGGAATGCAGCTGCACCAATGATGTTATAACCGACACAAACCAGCAGGCAGGAAGGGTTTTTCTCCACAGTGGACCTGTGGAACCACTCTTAGTTTTTAATACAGTTTTATTCTCATGAAATGACTGATGCATGCACAGGCACTTCTTAATCAGAAATATCTATTAAGCATCTGTGCTAACAGTGAAACCGAAATATCCAAAATGAATCATTTTAATCAGGTTGAAGAGAAATTGCACATGAGATCATAGTTGTTGTGGTATTGGGTTTTAGTTTTTTATAACCGTTAACAACTGTTAAAGTCCCACTTCGATAATTTTTTTTTTTACTACTTAAAGTGTTCTCAGTGGTCTTTAAATTGTGATTATTAAGTTTTTACCAAAAATCACGTTATCTGTGTCATTTTCTAAGGCTTTTCTTCAGCAGAGCTCCAGTAGATCATTAGCAATTCGCCTCTGAGTCGTGGGCGGAGACAGCAATAATCAGAAAAGCAATATTGCATTTAGTTTTCTCATGATATGTCCTGTAGAATCAGAAAAAAGCCATATGAACATATAAAAAAAACAAAACAAGAAAAACATGATTTTCATCAAAGTGGGTCTTTAAGTTAAAATGATGGGCATCTGTACTCTATATGAGCAAAGTTTCAGATTGTGAGGAAGTAATCCCAGATGGCTCTACAGTGTGCTCTGAATGGCTTGTTGAAAAAGTCATATGAGAATTTAGTCAGATCAATATAAGATTTGCTCAAAACCTAGAGAGCACCAGACGGTGAATCTTCTCAAAATGGGTTAATTTTATTTAAAGTCAGTTTAGCTAAAAGTTTTTATTTTAACTGCAGCTTACAACCTTTGCAACATTCTGCAATTCAGCATCCAAATGACATAAACCTGTTGAAGAAAAACTAACAGCTAACTGCAGCTTTATCTGATTTGTGAAACCTTGTAAAATCTTGGCACATTTCCTCAGTCCGGCTGATAAATCAGACGGTTCCACCCTGGTGACAAAATACATCATTTTTCCCCGCTCATTGCCTGCGTGTAATACATTGCAATGCGTTTATTTTGTATGTCAGTGTCAACTTTACCATGAAAATGCCTTTTATTTTGCAATCCTAAGCAAATGCAACATTTATGTAACATTTTTACTCTTCACCCTGAGTTGGTTTAGCCAGTCATCATCAAAGCATCAGAATAGTAGTGGTTTTAAACGCCAGGGTTTATTTCTGTAGATGACCATCTGCAGATTTGCAGCATGCGGTGCCCAGACTTCATCCTGGCACACCGTCCGGCATATACATGTTCCCTCCTGGCAGGACGTCTGGATGCAAAATGACACATCTTCATTTCACAATGACTTCAAGGAGACTCTAATCCTGATTATTAAGCAAAGAGACATTTGCCTTGAGCTGACGGGATATGTTAGAGTTCATTGCAGGCGTTCACAGCAGGTTGAGATAGAGTGCTACACAAACACAGCAAAGGTTATTTGTGGATTACTGAGCTGATTGCAGGTGGACTGTAAATCCAAACTGTTATGAGAGCTCAATATTGTTTGTGTGTTAGTATATATATGGAAGGTCATATCACAGAAATTAGGCATGTTGCTGCATGTGATTGACAGAAGTTTTCTTGTCTTGCAGACAACTGTAACTGGTTTCTAGCACCCACACCCACACCCACACATTGATGCATCTCCCTCCTCTCTCTTGGATATTTACGCCTCGGTGTCTGCCACCTCGGTGGAGCCTGGCATCCTGCACAGTCCCATTAGCCACTTCAAATACGACATCTGGATTTAGGGTTTCCTTCCCCCCCCCACTTAATTTCATCTTCACACTGAGTTTCTTCAGGGTACACACTGTATTCTTTCTGTGAGGCCGTGCTCTTCCTTAAAAAGGGCTAAGCTAGAGAACGTTGTGCCCAGAGTTACCATCTGTTACAAACAGGACACTATGTTTATTCTCCGTACTGACAGAGTCTGCTCTGACACTTTAAGTGACTCCTTTCATGGCTCAATAGGATGCCATGATCCCAGCTGGTATCACTGCAAAGGAAACTAATTGAACTTGTATCCATTCGCTTCACATGAGAATGGCCTTTCCAATGTTTTCCTTCTCCTTTTAGAAAAAAAACACAAACCTCATTTGTGTTGGAGAGCTTCCAGCTTGCAGGTTCTTTACAGGCGACTAAACAAAACCGAAGAATGTAGGTACTTAGTGCTAACTTTGTTTGCACACTGATAAGGCCAGAGAGGAGCAGTGGTGGCAGCATTTAACTATGTGCCGGTTTCCATTTGATCCTTCGACTTCAAAGAGTTTGCCTGAACCTCACCTTAAGCATCTCTTTTAATCTGAGCGCATGAAGCTGCGAAAACAGCCGGAGTGAGTTACCATGTCAATGTAAAGGTAGTGATTACAGTAAATAGTGCAGGGGGAAAAAAAGCGGCTAACTCATAAAAGCATGCCCTCATTAGTAATTGGCTAACAACAGCCCCAAATATGGCAGTCTAACAAAGCCCACACAGTGGAGCGCAAAAAAACGTCACTGTTTACAAGTCTCAAATTGGTGGTTACGTCACTTTCAGTAAGTTTTACTCCCAGGCTCAGCGCAGACACAGCTCCTCAGTTTCCACCTAAGTTTGGGTGTTAATCAGATTTTACCATGACGCAAGTTTACCATTCGCTTCAGGTCTCGAACACATGCTGTAGAGTCGTAGAGGGGACCACAAGACCCCCTATCTAATCTTGAACAGACTTTATGAAGATTAGAAAAGGGAGTGAGATTCCAATCATCTGCAAGAGACTAAAAGACTAAGAGGACAGGACCTGGCTTTATGGGCCCCAGACACACATACTGGTCAGAGGTCAGGGGTGGGAGGCCAGAGATAGACCAGATTATAGTTAAAGCCCCCCCTGGCCTTACTGTACCAACAGCAGAAGAGGGCAGTCGATGTGGACAGAGCCGGACAGCTAAACAGTCCCCTGCCCTCACTTCTTATTGGCTGCCAGTGACATCATGCCTCTATCCCCATTTTTCACCTCCTCTTTTCAGGGTGGGCGGAGAGTTCGTTTCTTCCTCCTCCTTCCCTTCTCTTCTCTTCTTCCTCGCAAACATGCCCACACATACACGCACATTGTCAGCTGCATTTGCCCCTTTTAGGGACCTCAGCTCGCATGGCCTCTCTTGCTTAGAAGAAGAGGAGATAGAGAGGAAAGGAGGGAAGGACGGAAGGAGGGAAGGACGGCACAGAAAAACAATAAAAAGAGCGACACACAAACGCACAGAAATGTACTGTGAACTCATTTACTGCACATATGCGGGGATTTTTCCAGGTCCAAGCCAGCATTTCTCAATCATCACATGCCAAGTAAGGAGTTTTGATCGGTGAATTAGGCCTTGTGCTATTTTCCTTGCAATTGACTCAGTGTGACATTTTTACTAGCAGTCAGCTCACTAAATTACCAGCTCAGATGCACTGGGATTCATCACCAGCAGTGAGGTTAGAGCAAGAGAGGCCAGAGGAAGACACACATTGAGAAATATCTGCTTAATATATAAAAGATGTGCTGGAAGAAAAAAGAAAATTCAGGCTATTTGCTAATCCAGTACATTGAGACAGACATGGAAGGTCCCTATCGGGGGGATTGATCCACATGTCAGGCAGGTTTTCGAGGGTGGAGGTGACTAAAGTGTGACTGAGTTAGCCGTCCACTAGCAAGGGTAGGGTCTGCAAGTATGCCACAGTCAGTGTTGATGCAGTGTTCAGTCACATCCCTCCATGAGAGATTAGCTCTTAGGCAGATTAAGGAGGAGTCAGCACATGTAGGAGAGGGGAAATGTCACTGGAGTGCCAAAGGAGGAAGCACGGGGGCTGCGGTGGGAAATACTGATGTGACTGTGACGGGTTTGAAGGCACTGAGGTGGATAGAGAAAGATCTCTTCTCTAAAATTAAAAAAAAAAAACTCAAACTAGGGCTGGGCGATATGGCCTCAAATCAATATCACGATATCCCTCCCACATTAACTTCATGTACTTCAGCCGCTACAACTTTTGAACCGTCCTCCATCTCCTCACCTGTCTTTCCCTCTTTGTTACGCACTGGATGGAGTGGGGTCATGTCTCTGACGTAGGACAGCGTCTTAAAGGGACATGAGACCAAAGTCTACCTAAACACATCCAAAACCAACTTTTATTTATTTAATTTTTTTGACACCGGATATATTGACATGGGCAAAAGGGACGTCGGTTATTGTCGTAAATTTCGGTATCGGTAAATTTTCGGTTTATCGCCCGGCCCTATCTCAAACTAGGAAAGCACTCTGAGAGCGCAGACCTCCGCCAAGCAGCTCATGTCCCCCCTTAAACAAGAAATGCCCCGACCGGGATTCAAACCCAGGACCTTCTGATTGTGAGGCAACAGTGCTAAACACTACACCACTGTGCCGCCCATTGGTTATCTTTCAGCATTGAAAATTCCAACGACACCCTTATTTTTGTGTGTTCTGGATCACAGTATCCAGAATTTTGTCCGGTCACAACCAAAATTTAATGGGATCCTCCTGGGGCTGAGACGCACCTCTGGTGAAAATTTCAGGTCAATCCGTCGGTTACTTTCTCCGTAAAGTTGCTAACAGACAAACAAACCAATGCTACCGAAAACATAACCTCCTTGGCGGAGGGAACTACCATCAGTCCAGCATGCTTCAACTATCCGGCTTGTCATGCCTGATAAAAAAAGTTTCAGCCTAATCGGTGCAAACTCTACTAGTGTGAACACACTGTAAAAGTGACCATTCAAAAGGATGACATGGTGGGCAGAGGGGATAGATGCCAGCAGAGAGGCAGGGAAATGGGCACAGAGAACAAGCCTGCCTCCGACCACAGGAAGTGCTGAGCCCCCACCATGTTAAACACAAGACTTTGAGAAATGATTCAAACAAAATACCCACGCTTTCTCCCCCAAACAAACAAAAGCCTCTATTGTGAAGTGCTGTGGCACACTCATAGTCAGGGGGGGAGAGAAAGACACAGTTTGATAACAGTGGGCCACATTCCCCCTCCTCTCTTTCTCTCCTCTCAAGGCTAGAGAAAAATCTCTCCTCCAGTTTGGGGACACGCTACATGGTCACCCACTTTGGAGCCCCCCTGCTCTGAAAATATGCCTTTGTCTTCCTGTCGCCGTGGACAACTCAAGGAACCAGGCTGCAGCACTGGAGCACCAATAGGGGGCCTGAGCCACGCTGCACTGCAGACATGTTACACAGACATACACTGAGAGCGTAAACACAAGTCTGAGGAGGTTTTTTATCTCTTAATGGTGAATAATGGTGTCAATGCCAATCTTTACATATTTAAATTAAAAATAATAAATCAGATTTAATTCATTGATCTTTACTTTTCCTCACTCTTTGATCTTCTACTTAAAAAAATCATATATCAGACACTCCTTGAGCTCAGGTCGTTTCCTCTAAACAAATAACCCCACTCCGGTTTTGTGCCACTCCTCTGAGATCTCTCTGTTACAGGGACGTATGTGAGGGAACCTGCAGAAAGAGGACACTGCACCAACTGCACACACAGAAGACTTGGTTCTATATTTACTCCAGAGGCAGGGTATCCGTGCTGTTCCCAGATGCAGTAATTTGTTGCAGTTATTTCATAAATGTCTTGTTAACTATTATTGGTCTGAAAGCTGCCAAATTGCACATCATAAACTGTAACAAATGGAAGGCCTGAGGCTGTATTTACTGTTCCACGGTAGCACTGCTGCGGCTCTGGAACTGGTTCAGAAAAAAATCCCTACGCCTGGTAATAGAGGATAGATGTGATTCTAGTGTTTACCTGCACAAAAAGCCACGCAGGTGCTCACACAAAGAGCCTTTTGTGGGAGATTTTTTTAAAACATTATAATCTTAACTAAATGTTAAATATTATCTGAGTCTGAGGAAGCTTTAGGTTACACATTATCCACTCCTTACGTTTGAACAATGAGACGAGTGGCCAGAGCGAGAGGAGGATCCACACCTGCTAGATGAGTGATTTCCTTCAGAATGCACGAAGACAAACATGAATGTGCACACACTCGCATACTTTTGAACAGCCGGTGCTGGAGAGGGGGGGCTGGCTGGCTACAGACAGCTAGGGGACAGATATCTGGCTGAGAGAGGGAACGGGAGCACGCAGCTCAATCAATGAGCCATCAATCACATGCACACACACAAACACACATGCACACAGGGTGAGACGGAGCAAACACAGGAAACAGGAGACCATATCCTTTAGCTACCACTCAGAAGAAAGCCATCAAAGAGCTGGCACTGGCTCCAGGCCTTTTTCCAAGGCCAAATTCCCAAGCACTGCTTTGTCTTGTGGTGGTTTGATTAGAGCTACTATTACTCTGGCCTGACCCCTCTCACAGGAGCTGTGTGTGTGTGTGTGTGTGTGTGTGTGTGTGTGTGTACAATCTGCTGCACCACAACAGATCTGCTCTCCTAACCAGCCCCTCTACTGCAGGGTCTTGCTGTTCTCTGCCAAGCTGTAGGCAGCGGGTGTCTACAAAAAGGCAGGCAAAGGGGGGCTGATTGCAGACATACAGAAACACATTTTTTCCTTTTTGGTATCGAAAGATAGAATTAAGAGTATGAGAAAACAATTTGACTCCAACAGGGAAAAAAATCTAAACTGCAGTTCTGGAAATCTGGGAAACTGTGTGAGGGATGCACTGTTGAATGAAGTCTGTCCTGCATGAGAATTTGCTTGTTGCTGGTGTTCACAAACATAACTAATGCATCATCAAATCTATTATCTGACATATGAACTGGTGGAGAGTTTTGGTGGATTAGTAGTACCTGACCTGAAATTGTCTGGATTTATTTCGCTGTAAGCATTTCATTCAATCTTCTGTAAGTCATTTCTTCTCCTGCATTTTAACCCTTTTATCGAAAATTCCCTTTGCAGAAGTACTGTTTGTGTAAACGTATTTTGTCCTTGAATTATATTATTATTATTGTGACATGTGCTGCTGACCTCTTGGCCAGGTCACCCTTGTAAACCTGGGTTTCTTACCTGGTTAGATAAAGGTTAAATTAGTTTTAAAAAAATAGTAAAACCAAAGATGTCTTTTATTTTGAGCACAGGAGTTTACCGGGAAATACCTGTACCTGATAACAGAATGAATACATCATTATGAATTGACATGAAATAGATTATTCTTATGTAATTAAAAACTGAGCTGGCAAACCCACAATTCTCAACTCATTTCTGAGGGTTTACACTACAAATTGGAGCGATCAAAAAAATGATAATGAAAGTTTCTAATAGTGATTTTTAAGTCGATGATTAGCCAATCATTCCAGAGTCGTTGGTGGAAACAGATGGTCCATTCAGTTCAAAGGACTGTACCACCATTTTGCCTGCAGGAGCACATTCTTGCTGCATGACGGTAGTCTAGGCACACCTGAAGCATGTTATTGCTCCATGGCCGGTTCCTCAAGAGGGAAAAAACACCAGGTTAACCCAGTTACCCTGAGAGCAAGTGCTCTTACACCGTGAAGCCAACGTGTGTCGGACTCTGAGTGTGTCGACGATAGGTACAGATTTTAGTCATCCCCGGACCAAACTGCTACCTCTCTGTTGCCTCAGGGGGTAAAAAGAAGGAGCAGGAAAAGGCAGCCGGAGTCGCAGGCGGTATCAGATGAATTAATGTACACAGTGAGGAGTAAACAACACCAGAGGACGTCCTTGTGTCCCTGAGCCACAGTGACAGCATGTCCTCCTGTCTGCACTGTCACTCTGTGTCAGCTCTCATTACCTACTTCGCTACACGACCGCCGCTGAATGACTGAGTGACTGACCGGATAATGCCACCTGCTACCTTCTGCTGTAAGAACAGAATGAGTCAGGCTGCACAACCCAGACCCTCTCGTGCAGGCGTGCTGGTTCGTAAGGGTATTTGCCAATTGATAATTAATTGATAGAACATAGGAAACCAATTTAAAAGCATGTTTCTGTATGTGTTTAACATTTATAATGTATAGCTTATAAGGCAGAACTAAGTGGACATGCTTTTAATTCCCTCGAAGAAAAATATTTTAATAAATACAAGCATATGAAAAAACCTTTGGTCCTTAACAAAGCAGCTGACTCTAGTCTGCATCAGTACCTCTTGCAAAGGTCTCGTTGGCTAAAGGACAAGACTACGCAGGGTTGCAGTCACGGAGTTGCACAATTTTGAGAGTTTTTCAGGTTGGATTGAGTGTCTTTTACAAGTTTCTAACTCAGTAAGTCCACCTCAAACAAACTCAAAACTTCCGTACAAAACCGCAGACATTTGAAGGATTTTATAAACTCCCCCGGACAAAGCCAGACACAGGGCCGCAAGTTTCAGAAACTTAGAAGAATGAGACTTTAGGGTTATTTTGTGTTTGGCCGACGGGGAAAAAAAATTGGCTTTTTTTTAACGTTGATTTATACCTTAAGACTGATGTCCTCACCTCCATGCCAGCTGCTTTTCCTGCACTGTGGCCTCCTAATGCTAGTCTTAACTAACCAGAAATTAGAAATGAAAATAACAAATGTATTCCTCAATATTGCATTTCAACCAACTCTCCATGATTTAGCAGGGGACAAGATAGTTAGAAACGCCAAGACCCGCCTTGAGTTGCTTCTGATTGGTTTATATTGTGTGGTGCCTTCCGTGGTTGGTTAGATTTAAAAGGACTGATGGATTGGTCTGGGATTGGTTACCTCAGTCAGTCAATCAGAGTTACTCGAACTACGGCAAACCAAGTTTATTATCATGAAAAAAATAAATACAGAGTATTGAATGGGGAAATATAAGCGTGAGAAATGTCAAGTGTGGCGTGTGGTGTGAGAATGAGTCAAATTGTGTGACTGTCGCACTCAAAGCGTGATGCTTGGCAGCTCTGCAGACAAGGCCGGACAGCCCCCAAAAGAGAGGACATGTCCGGGTAAAAGAGGACGTATGATCACCCTACCGTTGGCTCATTCACCGACAACTACGAGGTGTTTTAACAGCACTTCAGCACAAGGAGAATTACAATTACAAACCCACTGTGTCTCCAACAGAGCTGCATGCCTCCGACTCCCAGCAGAGGCCAGAGGACAGCGACACCAGCATTGTTTCAGAAATATGAAGGTATAGAGCCAAGTGGGGAGTGAAGAATCAATACGTGTTAGAAAGATGGCGCATCTGAAAGTCTTGTGTCAGGAACACACGATCTACAATTTAATGCATCTACAATTTTATATGTGCAAATTTCTTCACTATAGAAAAAACTGCATCCTGAAAAAAGTAAAATGACCCTGAAGTAAACTCAGTCAGGGAGAGACGAGGGTTGTTAACATTTACCAGAAGCTTAAATGAAATAACAGGGCACATAAAATGTTGAGCAGTTGCTTTGTTCACACCCTGGACTCCACTTAAAAAAGACAGCAGGTTTCATGTTTTGACTGCGACAACAAGGGAGCAGAAAATTTATGTTTACAGAAAACCAACACACAAGCGAGAAGAGTCTCTTCACCGGAAACTCTCTGGTAGAGACTTTGAGAAAGTGTCGCCTGTTACACCTCATCCTCAGGACTGAGCCACTGCGGCTGCTAAGCGAGCAGCCTCCGGCGGAAGCACAGCCCCAAATTGGGCCTTTTGTTGCAGACAGCGCAGAGTCTCAACAGAGGCATGAACAAAACACAAACACAGAGAGAGAGAGCCTGCGAATAGGCAGGAGTGTATGTGTGTGGGCTTACCCCAGGCTCCTCCTCAGCCTCACACACATACACACATACACACAGACACGTAACCAACTCCACCACAAGCGCCTCAGAGCCGCGTCTCACCCACCCACCCACACAACACACAACCTGACCCCTCCACCCCACCCCTCCTTTCTTACTCCTCTCCGTCTCTCACTCCCTCCTTCCCACCCTCATTCATAAAATGGCCGCTTCACTACTCCAGCTGCTGGCACAGAATTTAAGGATGAGGGGTCAGGGGCAGCAACAGGCCGGTGGCGGGGGTGTGTGTGTCGGGGGGGGGACTTGTTTGTTCTATTTTTTCCCCCTCCCTCTCCTCATGTCTGTCTAACTGTTACAACTCCACACCAGCCTTCAGATCTGTCCGCCGTATTCTACTTCTTGCATATGCCAGCCTTCCTCATCCTCATCCGCACCTCCCACCCCCCACCTTCCCGTCCAAAACAAACCTGATACCCTCCTGGCCTGGGAGGGAAACTGAAGCTATGTGTCTGGCAGGAGGAGGCAGGCGCAGAGAAGAGCGGGGGCAGGAGCAGAGCGCTGGTGGCTCCTCCTCAGAGGCCAGCAAGAGGGGAACGGGGACATTCTCAAGTTCCATCCCTGGAACACATCCTCCATGTTTCTGCAGTTTTACCACATCACACGCACACACATGCAGGCTGTCCAGGCATGCGTTCAAAGCATCGGGGTTGCTATAATGTTTGCTTTTTTTCCTCCTGTGCTTTTTTGTCGTCCAAAAATAGGAGGAGACTTTTTTTTTTTTTTTGTCTTTTTTATACCCAAACATTTTTGCAAGGTGGTATTTGAGCAGGACAGAGAATCTATGTTAGAGAAGCAACGGAAAGAGGTAGAGCAAATAGATTGTGTCCCTGAGCAGCTCATTCCAGCCCGCCACAGAGTTTTATAAACTGATCAATCAGACGGTGTCTGCACACCAGGCTTCGGCTCAGGAGAGAAAACAAAGACTACAGTGCCAGAACCATTTAGACAACACCACGGGGCGCAATAATAAGTGTCACTGTGTGTGTGAAGGAGGCGTGTGTGTGTGTGTGTTTGGTCCGAGGTGAATGAGTGCACGAGCACTAATGCATCTGTGCCCCCCCACCCCACCCCCAACTACGCTGTTCTGCAGCGTCTCCTGCTGTAAGCACACAAATTAAAACTCACTCAAGCAAGAGCTTTGGCTGGCCAGCCCCACCCCCCTTCACCCGGCCCACTCGACACACACAAACACACACACATCCATCCCTCCCTTACCCTTCCTTTTTCCCCCCAACGCTTCTCCCGCTGCTGCAGCCCCAAGCAGACAAGGGGACAGACCCACTTTTTTGCTGGAACGAGTTTTAACGTGCTGATGATGGCAGAGCGAGAGCAGGACAGGGCTTCTGTGGGAGGACATCCACATGTGCCACACTGACTGAAGGGGAATGTGTTTGATCAACGGCATGCACACACAAGACAGACAAAATGACAAGGTGCCGTCTAAATGGGCGGAAGTCAACCGGATAGTATCCTTTTTGGTGCCGACAGCTCCTTACACAACATCTCAAGTTCTCTGTGCCATACATCTTCAAAAAGACTTAATTATACATACCTGTGTGACCAAGTGTATATAATCACTGCATGAGTAATGAGACTGTTATTACGTCTCTTATAGAGGCAGTTGTTCATCTATAACTAAATTAATGCATTTCCCCTTCTCAGCCCACATGTTTTAGCCCACGCAGGCCACCTTTGGCCCGCCCACCTACCCACCACCCTCTGCCTGCTTGTGTTCCAATCCTGGCCCCACTCCACTTAGAGTGTGCAGCAGAGCTGTGTGGACTTGCGTTTAGCGTTAGTGCGTCAGTCACACCACAGGGACGGCAGGATCAGAGGTGGAGTCAAAGGATGGAGAGTGGATGGGGTAAGAGCAACTTCATACTCCATATCTGAGCTGGCATCACCAAGACAGGGACGGCAGCAAACGAAAGAACCAACATCCAGGCTGTGCTGCATAGTGTGGTTATGGCTGTGCGGCTATTTATATGTGTCCCTCCTTCAGAGGAGGAAGCCGCTCCTATTGGATCCAGATGTGAGAGGAAGGACAGCCTGAAAGGTGGCAGCCTGGACCCAGCAGAGGTTCTGCTGCTGCTGTCATTCAGGAGACTAAAGAGGGCAAAGAGGAGATAACATTCACCTTTGAAGTGGAACAAGAGCAGAAATATGTGCTCGATCGTTTCAAGTTGAGAGTAAAAAAGTTAAATCAAGCAGTTCATTTCAAAAATAAACAGAAACCATGTGTTTATAAAGGTTCATTCACACACAATGGCACACTTTCTAAAAATAAAAGCCCGTGAAAGCTTAATGTGGAGCTTTTCTAAAACATGAATATTTCAGTTCACCCGGGTCAGGTTGCGTGGGCGAGTCACGGGATGAAGTGGTTAAGGTGGAAAGCGTCCTCCTGACAAGCTGAGGTCACAGCCCTATCAGAGGCTTCAAAGATTAAATCACAGTGCTCCCAGCCGGCCAACTAACATAACTTCACACTGCCCCTCTCCTCCCCCTGCCTGACCATGGTACTTGAATGACAATGAGTGCTTGTGAGACAGGGCTAAATGTGTTGTGACCCCTAATGATGGATTGCCAGTTGCCGGCCCCCGATGGGCTACGCGCCCATAGATCCACGGGAGGATCCAATGACACATCATCAATCCCTGGGCTGAGCTCCTGCAGATGTAGAGGTGGAGACTGGACGATGGACGATAGGGAGGGAGGGAGGCCCTGGATACTTTCCTCTAGAATAAGTCCAAATGACGAAGAAACTTGGGTTTGCAGACCCTCACTGTCCCTCCCTTGCTGTCCCATCTCAAGTCAAGTTCTTGTAGAGATCGTATACGATGCTGAAGAACATAGAAGCCGTGGACAGCTGCCAATCTCGTCACATCTGGCTCTCTCACCCCTCACTTATGCCTCCTCCTCCTCCTCTCCCCCCTCTGAATGGATACAGTGCGGACAGAGTATTCTCAGAAATGACATACTGATCCCTTGATCCGCTGTTGCATCAGATATGTCTGGCATGAGATAGTTGATGCAAGCGCAGACACACACACACACACACACACACAAGTGCTGTTTGCGGTTGTGGGACATGAGGTCTGAACAGGAGCCATTGTGGACGGCACTAGCAGGCAGCCACACTGACAAACTGAGGCCCGTCGCCCCTCTGATATGAACACCGACGTCAGCCCACAGGCAGCCGGCGTGACGTTAGCGCATGTATGCTTTGACCGGGCGCCTGAATGTGAGGAGGAGGGGGAGGAGGAAGAGGAGGGGACAGGAGGAAGGGAGGGACAGAAAGTCAGATCAGCGTTGATTAGAGAAGCAAAATAAAACAGCCGTATTTCACAGCGAGCATCACTGTCAGCGTAATGGTATAATTATGTGTCTGCTCTCAAATAACTCTGAGGCATTCCTGGTGGCCACAGCAGGGCCAGTGTTCAAATAAAATAGCACTGTCTGGTAGACCAGAGGCTGCTGGCTTGTATTTAAAAGAGAAGTGATACAGATGGCAAAGGAGGCAGCAATAAAGGAAATCATCTCTGCAGCGAGAGGGACATCAGCGACAGGTTACTTGTTTTCACAATTTTTTGAGATTTTTCTATGAGTGATGCAGAAGTTGTTTTCGGCTCCTGGTAACAAAGAGATATGTTAGCTAATGCTGGTGGAAACACGGATGCCAAGCTAAGATGTCTGTTCAGCTGGACTTAGAGTGCTAAGAGGAATATCTCAAAGGTCAACAATAAGGTGCTTTGCTAAATCAAATCACACCCACACACACACACACACATAGAGTCTCTGTCGCAGCTTGATGCACCCTCCTAGTACCCGTTCTGCTGGCTCCACCCGCCCAGGCCACCCGCCACGAGGGAAGCGAGAGAACGGTCCGGCATTCCACAAGCCTACGTGCCGCACGACACAAACCTTCAGCACACACATACAGAGGGCCAGAGTGAAGGGGGGCCCCTACCCTAACAGCGCACCCCGTCACACTCAATCACAACAACACACACTCCAACTTGAAAAAAAGGCCTGGGCACAGGGCACAACATGACATTTTTCATTCCCCCCTCTGAGGATGTGTGGCCTTCAAGCATAAAACAAACACTCAGGAGCACAGACAAATGAGCATGAAGCTCCACATGGCGGCCCCGGCCATCAAAATAGTTTTTGAACTTGGGTTGTTGACCAATGACGAGTAAAGAGGCTGTAATGGGCTTAAGTCATCGTCCAGACTGCCCACTGCTCTGTTAAGCCTGTTTGACCAGCTGTCTGTCTGCCTAAAGACGGACCAGAGCGTGCCTCGTGAACACTCACCCGCACACACACACACACACACACACACACACACACACACACACGAAGGAGGGAGCACCGCATACACCCCTCCCATCTGCTGCACCAACCGCCAAATTCAAATCACAATGACAGACAACAAAAGTTAGTATAAAAGCAACCAGGGCTTTTATTTTGAAAGGGTAGGAGAGAGGCACACATGGTAAAGTGCAAGTTTGTCCTCCAAATCATAAGATAGATACAGGGTCTAACAGCAAACAATGCATGGGTGTATCCTGCAGGTGTCTGAGTGTGTGTGTGTGTGTTTGTGTGTGTGTGTGTTTCTTCACACAAACTTCTCCCTCTGCTCTCTTGTCGTTTGAGGTTGGAGCAGGTTCAACCAGAGCCCACCCTCTTCAGTGTTTTATCGCTTCCCTCTGCTCTCCCCCACCTCCCACGGCCTACATTTCCTCTGTTGTTAACCAGATAGCGCTGCAAGATGAATGACTACATTAATTGTCTCTGATAGCTCAGGGATCTGCCTTGTTCACAAGAGGGAACAGTGTGTGCCGGACGGACGGGGTTATTCTGTTCAACTGCGCAGGTGTTTGTGCTCGTGATGTGCCCATTTACAGAAACAAGCAAAAGTGCTAAGTTTGGAGTGAGCGTGATGTGCGCGATTCGTCCCTGCGCTCCCACTGTCTCCTGCTCTAAATGAAGCTCATAATGGAACATGGCAGCGGGCTCTTAACCCCACTTTGTCAGGAATATACACACGGCTGCCTCTGGTCTCGGGCTTTTCCCTCTTTGCAGAGGTGAGCACCCAGTTAAGCAATCACAACTCGACCGCTTTTCTAGACTGCTGCAGCTGCCTGGGGAGGCAGGAAGTACACCTGCTTGTTTCCTGCTCTCCCCCCTGAGAGACACCCTGATCAGACTTTCTCTCTCATAAATCCTTTTCACCATAGTGGAAGGTGATCAGACCGAATGAAAACACAGGAGCGCAGCAGGAACACCTGGGTCAAAGCAGCCACAGGTGTCCAGCCGTGAGATGTGAAATCTGCCCACACATCTGGGAGATCTTTGGATTTTCTGTCGCCAAAGGCACCGCATTCAGACTGTGTGGGAGAGCTACGCCGGCCTAGCAGCTCCTGCATGCATGTGTTGTTGTGTAGCAGTATTGTATCATTATGGCACCTTTCTCCAGAGGGTACCTCTAATCCAATTACAGATTTAAACAAGGAATATGGTTCCAAGGCATCCATCCCACTTATCCTCGGATCACAAGGAGAACAGAACAGCTTGTCATCAACCCTGCAAAGACTTCAAAAGGGTTTCACAGTCCAAACATTTGTAGAAATTTGTGGAATTCAACGTTGACTTAATTGCACCTGACCTTCGAGTAGACCTGAATCCCATCCAGCCCATTAATCAAATCCACTAATGAAAAAGACGCGACACTCAAACCCGGGGTGTCAGACATGAGCCAGAGAAATGAATCTACTTTTATTCTTTTTTTTTTATACACACCCAGGAAAGTAACTGGAAAGTTTCTGCTCTGACTACATGAGACAGTAAGTAATCTCGCAGTACACCATGGTGGCATGACATCCACAGAGCATGATCGTATGTCTCTGGTGTTGGGGAAGAATGCCGGCGACCAAGCCAAGAGCAACAACGTCAACCCGTTCCTACTGCACGACAACATAGTGAAACCATCAACACTCCATGTAGCTCTTAACCAAGCCCACACACATTTCACTGATCAAATTTACACCCCAGACTTAGAAATACGACACCAGTGGTGACTGTGACAAAAAGACAACATTTTCCAAAGATGGAAAACCGCAGCAATGACAGTACGCCCAATGTGCCCACCTAACCTGACCTTTGACGATACAGCTCCATAATGCCCCTTAAGCAGAGAAAAATAATAGATGTGTCGACAGCAGCTAATCACAGCTAAGAAGAATAAGACAGAGTGGAATTTTCTAAAAATACCCTGATTTGTTGGGGTCTTAAAGGCTAAACACTGCATTCTGGAGGAGCTGAGCTGAGTGCGAGTGACGTTTCTGCGGATCACTTGCCATCATGCATTCTTTATTGAAGCCGTTTCCCTCCAGATTGCTCCTAAGTAACCTCACAAATGCATGCTGAGGAATACTAAGAAACAGGTCTCCAAAATGAGGACTCCATTAAATGTATGACTGTGGACTTAGATGCACGCTGAATGCCAAACCTCCACTTTTACAAACCCTGACAAAGCTCTGGTGTCTTTAAGAAAAACTCAACATGATAGCCTTTGAGGATTTATCCATATTTTCCCCTTGACGGTATACTAGAGAGAAATGGCCCAAGGAAAAGTAATGAGTCACCCAGTGTGCTGGCCTACATTGTTTCGCCGTACTGATCTAGTGAACGGGGCTTACAGAGAAGCTGAGCTGCCACCCTGAAAATGCTGAGAGGTAGAGGATTGAGAAGTAAAGTTTTCAGAGGACAGAGGTTACGTCCTCTTTCTGTCTGTGACATTACATAATGCACCAGGGTTATCCTTTTGGAACAGTGGGGATGAACTGTACTAACAGCAAAGACAGTAGTCTTTATGTAATCCCTGTCCAGACCGAGGCATTTTAACCTGGGTGAGCAGGCCAACAGCACCCACAGGGTGAGATCTTCCAGCACAGCAGCTGTCAGGGGGGTTAAGATCAGAAGAAGACAGAGAGCAGGATGGGAACTGGGTGAGAAAATGGGGAGAGAGGTTTGTGGTGATGAAGCGTTGAAGCCACTGAATTAGTCTAGAGTTTATCAGACAAAGCGGGCAATGAGGAAACAATGGGCATTCTTCCAGCTCCCCCAGAGGGGGGTCAGACAGTGAAAGGAACAACCCCCCCCCACATGCTGTGCCCTACAAAAGCATTTAAAGCAAAGCACTGTCTGTAACTTAGGCGTATACCGGCCACTATGAACAACAGACAATTTCATGAGGCAGACATGACATCACCAAGGAAATAATACCAACACTGTGACAATATGTAAGACGCAGTTCGCCCGACTCAGGGCCAATTGTCTTGTTTAACAGAATTTGTGCATTCACTGCCCTCTTTGGCGTCCACTGTTCCTTACCGTGGTCATATCCTTCCTCCTTATCTCGCTCATAGACAGAGGCATTTTTAGTATGTAATAAGAATGCCAGCAGGGAGATCGGCCACAAGACTGAACTTAAGTAACCCTCACTGAGAGAGGTAGAAATGTTGCAGCATGGAAAACACCAAATCGCAACCACAAGTGACCAGACAAGGCTGTGAAAATTTCTCAACCGAGTGAAATCAGGAAAAGGATAACAACATTCACATTCTCCTGTTAATTCTTTGTCTGGGTATTGCGTGGAAACACAATCAACATATTAAGTATTTCAACTGGTGGACATACATCACAGCAGGGGGGACGAGAGAGAGGAGTGGTTCACAATAAAAACTGCCCTGATAAGAAATGAAACATGGTGCGTTTACATGCACAGCTCAATCGTTTTTTTTTTGCCAAATCAGACTTCTCTCCTTGTCCGCGTATACATGCAGCTTAGAAAATTGAATCATTGACACAAACGTTTTCTCCTCCCCAAAACTAGGGGGCGATACGGGCCTTTTCAGCTTCACTTTTCCAGTCCTTGCCAGACATCAGAAGTGGCCACAACTGCTGCTGGGCATTTTCGAGCAAGAAGATGGAGCATCGTACAGAGTTCTCTTTGTTGTACACGATAAACACGCTACTTTTTCTGCAGATGAGGTGCGCCACTCCTCTTCTCTGGCGTTTTTGTTCCAGGGTTATGGGGGCGTGGCTCACGCATTGTCCAATCATACTCTGACTACGCTGTTTCCATGGTGGAGAAAATCCAATTCCAATAGCATTATATGGGTGTCTTAGTCTGAGTTCTCTGACTCCAATCACAGTTCTCAAACTCAGATTATAGTCAGACTAAGGTGTTTACATGCACTTCAGTTGTCCCGACTTAAGTCAGTCGATAATTTGATTTTCTCATGTGTCATGTAAACGTACTGACTGTGGATTCAACATCACAGGGGCAACGCACCTACTACCTCTGTGGGATCAATTTAGAAGTAACTCCAGCAATGATAACCAATAATCACATTAAACAAACTTTACATCACAAAACCTTCCCTCCAGGTTGTCCAAATCCAAGTGTCAGTTTATAAAACATAAGGAGCAATAGTCTCCTTATTCGAGTATCCAAATTCAGACACCAGCGAGTGGTTAGACTCAAGAACTGCCTAATGGAGTCTGTGATTTAACAGACTTCGATAAAGAGTTCAAACTCAACTAACAGAACATAAATAGCCATTTGAAAGAGGCCACTGGCACAAAAAGGCCAATTCATTTCTGCTAAATCGCACGGCTCAGTTAGAACAATGACTCTGGGCGCCAATAAGGGTCTGAGGGCACACTTGAACTACCTTATGATCTTGACAGTTCATTATGATCACAGGAGTGAGGAGATGGAGCACTAAGGATGGCTTAAAACTGATGAGTAGAGAAACTAGGAGGAATAAAGCATGTGTTCCTCTTGACTGAGATCAGAGAGGCCCCCCTTCACGTGAAGAGATTACGATACCAGCCTCTGCTTTGTAATTCCAATCAGAAAGTCTTTTTTTCTCTCTCCGAGGATGCCCACGATGAACCTAAGATGGGGAAGGATGCCAAGCAATTAACTGGAAAACTCAATGGTTCAACAGTCACGGTCTGGAAGCGTTTTAATAGGCTGGAAACTATTTCCAAAATGGTTGTCGGTTCTGATGCCGACAAAAGACAAAGGCCTGCATTGTAGAGGCAGTGTGTATTTTTCTTCGCTGATCAAGTTTACTGCCAAGAAGGCAGGGAACAGGCGACAGACCAAAGAGCAGTCCCCGTTGTTTCTTTAGTTCTGACTTCCCCCACCTCATACTCCACCCCCCTAACACACACACACACACACACACACACACACACACACTACCCACTCCACCACAAAGACACACATGCAAGACATCCCTCATGGAGTCAAGAAATGCCACACCATCCCCACTGTGGCTTGTGGCCAATGTCTTGAATCAATCGGCAGAATGATAACCCTAATTTGGGCCATTCGGAGGGTAAGAGTTTACACATGGGAAAGCTGAAGTCAGTCAGTCCACCAGAGATTCCTGGAATGGGTGTGTCAGAGAGTTGACAGAGAGAATGAAAGAGAGCAAAAAGAAATAATGTCACAGACAAACTCACTTCCCAGCATAATGCCTCTGTTGCAATTACAGACACACGACAGAGGCAGAAGTGTTTTTCATTGGTGTCACCCTCACACAACAGCCCGACTCCCCAACTCAGACAGTCAAACACAAACTTATACATAAACAACTAATTTGGCTGTTTTCTGGTCTTTGTTGTGATGGGAAGCTTCACCATTCAGTCTGGTCGGAAACCAAACCTATGATGGTTTTCTTTGGACCATTTGTGACAGATTTGTTTGATCTTCAACGTTGTCTTATACAGATGTCAGAGTTGATGTGACCTCTGTCAGAGACAGATGTGTGCCCCTCTGCCTTTCTCTATAAGCCTCGGCTCTCTTTCACTCTTGACTCTTACCCTCTCCCTCTCTTCCTCCAGTAGCTGGCCTCTCTCGCAGAACACGACCCGCCCAGCTCATGCTCACTCCATAAATCAGGAGCTGTGTCTCCGTCATTGCACTTAAAAAGAGGCCGCAGCGGTGCCTTTCTTTACTGCCCCCCAAGAGGCCGCTTCTCCCCATTGCCCCTGAGCCAAGAGTTGAAATGTATGCTTGTATGCAGCATTTTCTGACACCCGCAGGCACAAAGTGGTGCGCTGAGTGCAGAGGTGTCTGTTACCATGGCAGCACCAGCTAGCATGGGCAGATCATGTGCTTAAATGCTAAAAGACAGACCCCTTCCTGTTGAATATTGACATACATTCCAGTGTAATGTGGCTTGAACTGAAATAAAATTGTTTTGCTGCAGATTTGCAGAGAGGATCCTCCATAAAACAAAATTTCAAAGACTTCTAAAATGTTATCAATACTTCAACTCAAAGAGCAGCAGAGGCAGTTCACCAAAAATGGTCACAGCCTCAAAAGCACCTCTGGTGGTATGAAATATTTTATTTACTTAGGCCATCATGCTTGTGTAATTACGCAAGCCACTTCAAACTTTCACCTAATTAAAACACAAGCCAGCGCACCACGAGGTGTCAAAACTTCAAGAGCATTCCAGGTTTGTGATTCTGTGTTGCACCTCAGCTCCTCGCCAGGCCAAGGGGGGCTCCAGGGGTTGTTTTTATGACCAGGAGGCCTCCAGAAGCACAGAATGCTAATAATACCACGACTGCGCAGAGTAGGCCAGAGTCCAGTATTTCTAACTCTCCTTCTGTACGCTATTCATTCCACCGTGTGACCTGTCCGCAGACTCATAAACCAGGGACTTGTAGAAGACCTCTGGTGCTGACATCAAATTCATTTGCCTCCCAGAGTTCAAATTTTCTCTCATAATCCATAATGATCCAAAGAAGTGTTCCCATTGAACCCTCCACTATCATCACAGCACTCTGAGATAAGTTATGGGTTCTTCAGTGCTAATACTGCAATTCACAGACCTTTCCACACCTCAGTGGTAAAATGAAGTCAGTCTCATGCTTCCCTCCCAACTAAGTCCCTCATGCACACACTCACACAAACTCACAGCACGACAGGAACACACGCTACAGCCAGTCTTGGGTCAGCTGATTGAATAAACCAGGCAGAATGCTCCAAATGAGAGCCGTTTGGGTGGATTGTTGCAGTCAAACGGTGTTTTTCATTAGTGTCCTCACAGCTGACATTAGGAGGGTCACCAACCTGCTGTAGGGCTGGGCGATAAACTAAAAAATTTACAGATACCGAAATTTACAATAACTAACATCATTTTGCCCATGACAATATATTCAGTGCCAAAAAATTTAAATAAATGAAAGTTGTTTTTGGATGTGTGTAGGTAGGCTATCCCTTAAAGACGCTGTCCAACGTCACAGAGGTTACTCCATCCCATCCAGTCCATAACAGAGAGGGAAAAACAGGTGAGGAGATGGAGGACGGTCCAAAAGTTGGGGCAGCTGAAGTAGACAAAGTTAATATGGGAGGGGGTGATCAGCTTGCGGAGTAGTTATCATCCATTTATCGTTATCGAGGTGAACTGCTCAATATATCGTGATATTGTTTTAAGGCCATATGGCCCAGCCCTAATCTGCTGGGTCTAACTTGTAAATGAGCAAAGCAGACCATGCTCTTATTGTGCTGATGACTCGAGTGAGTTTACTCTGTGAAATTGAAGATTTAAAGTTAATAAAAGTCTTTCTTCTAATTCGGACCAAAAATGGACATTTGGCTCGAGTCGCTACAGTGTGCACATGACGTCAAATCTATCAACATCTGTGTAAAACTGTGGTGTAACATCACATTTGGCTGCAGCATTTTAATGTGAGTTAGGCATGCATTTCACTTGAAGATTATGTCAGCTGTAGTCTGATTCTATTTTTACCACCTTCTTTCTCAAAGATATCGGCTACCTCGAATTTATGACATCTGGAAGTGAACATTTATAGTGTTATGGCAGAGTAGTAGTAGAGAGTTGATCCAGTTACATGACAGTACGCCAAGGATTCCTCACATGGGGATGTGGGGTTTTGTGTCATGTTTAGCATAGTGATAAATATTTGTTTCAATTGTCGATTTGTACAGCACAGCATAGACGGTCTCAACTCGCTTGCTGGCAGGTCAATCCCACTTTCCCTAAAAACTCTGATGTAAACAAAATTAGCCTATTATTTCAAATGTGCCATGGAGCAAAAGGAAATTACACTGTACACGCACATGCACATCTAAGGCCCGAGGAAACTGTAGATGCCGTTTAGATGGATGAATCCTCCACATTTCACATCCTTCAACAAAAGCTACTTTGTGTATGAGCACGCTACCAGCACGCAGACACATACATGAACCGCACAGAGAACATGCTGTACACATGCGAAGAGGCGGTGACACGCAACTCTTCTTACATACTCCCCCAATCCCCCCGCAGCAATTTTCAGGATGACACACATCTGGAGTTGAGTTTTTAATGTGGATCAACGTAAACACATATGCTGAGTTTATGGAGTTATTCACAGACCTTTGTAAGAAACTGGCCTTTTGTGTTCGAGCGCTGAAACTGAGTTATGACCTACAAGCAGATTTGGATGAAGTTTTATAAACAAAACAAATGTTAAAAGCCAATCTGGAGTAAAAGCGTTTCAAAAACAACCTTTCAGATTTAAATTCCACTATTGTATAATCATTAAACAGGATGTCTTATTGCTGCATAGAGCGGGGACAAAAGAAGTAAAAATAGTGCAATGTGTACAGTAAATACAAAATCAGCGGAGAAGGGAATGAGAGAGGAGTTTCAGTGGTGATTAAAAAATACTGAAATACACTTCACTGGATGTTCCAGCTTTTTATTTAAAAAAAAATCAATAGACTTTGCACTTTTTTTCTGTTTTTCCATCCAAAACTGACCATTTGAGGTATATTCATACTGCAGTTATTAGGGTCAATAGCAGGTAAATCATACAAGTTTCAGAAAACAACCTTAAAATGTCCAATCAGTAAAACTTTCCAGGGGTTTTCCTAAACAAAAGCATCGGTGTCATTACCCCACGCACAGGCAGAGGAAAGAAAAGGGGCTGGAATATAATACCATATATTATGCAGAGAGGTAGGTGGAATGCAAAAACAAGCTTTTTTACAAGCAAGTACATGTCTGGTCTGGAAAATTGCTAACAACACTGCATATAGGACGGAACAGAGTCTTTCTGCTGCAGGGAAGGGTTGAGACAGACCACAACAGAGCAAATACACAACATGACTTTTTGTTTTTTTTACCTTTGTTTCCTTTTAAATATTTATTGATTACCTTTATTTCTAAACTGAACATACTGAGATGATTAAGGATTCTGTTATATTCAAACCATATCTCAAACCATATTCTAGTCAAACAGAGAGGTGTAACAGAACAAAAGCTACAGCAAGCTAACAACCGTACCGTAGCGTGGGCCCTGCTGGGACAGGCTACGCTGAGTAAATGAGTGTGAGTAATAAAATATGAATGGGACTGGGCTGTGTTTACATGCAGGCTGTGGGCTAGTGTCTGTCATGTTTATCAGACAGCAACAGAAAGAGAAAGAGAAAAAAAGCTAACTCGAGTGCAGACACGTCCCTCAAGCCTCGTCTCTGTAATTGATGCACTAATGGGTGCGGGCGGTGGATGACTGGTCGGGGGGGAGGCTCGGTGGGGTGGGGTAGGATTCAGGGATAGCGTAGGACAGAGCGGGAGAGGAACGAGTCCAGACTGGGACTTCAAAGACCTGCTGGATGCTTATCAACAACTGCGCTCTCATCATCAGACGGGAGAGGACAGAGGAGATGAAAAGAGCGCTAATGCAACTCCACCTCCGCCCCAGTCCAGCATGTTCTGCTCTATCAGCAGCAGACCTGAGGAGCCTGGCTGAGGATGCACACACTATCAATTGTGCACATGCAGACACACACAGCAGGGGTCAATGAGTTCTTCGAGAAGGCGGAGGAGCTCAGCATTAAAAAGTAGAAGGTCACAGACTGTTTCAAAGCAGGCCTCAACAGGTATAAACAATAATCATTATGGTGGAAAAATGCGACATCACCATGATACGGGGAACTCCAAAGGCAGAACAAATGGATGGATTATCGAAATAATGAAGCTGCCGGTTTAAAAACCTAACTTCATAACTTGGGGATTTGGGGTTTGTGTTGGTTTTGGGCAAAGATGTACATCTTTTCACTCAGCACATCTCGTCCTGTCTCTGCCAAGACAGTAACATCTAACAAAAAAAATCTAGTCTTGCTTTTTTTAACTAAAAAATCAAAAGATAATAATAAACTGCTGTTTCAGGCTTTGACATACTCCTCTGTGACGTTTTTGCCTCTGCATCACTAAAACAGAAGTAAATGGAGTTATACATTTGAAGTAGAAATACACCAATCCAATATTTGGAATGGATATCGGCTCCGATATCCACAAATTAACTGAATCAGATATCGGATCAATGACGCAGATCCAGCGTTCCGATCAATTAACTTTTCTTTTAGAACATTTAAGTCTTACCGTATTTTTCGCACTATAAGGCGCACCTGATTATAAGGCACACCAACAATCATCTATTCGCGTCTATTTTCATACAGCACACTGGATTATAAAGCGCATTAAGCCAAACAAAAGAGTCGAATAAGTCAAACTTTATTTAACTCATTCAGTAACTCCACAAGGCTACGGTAGCTGCGGTGCTCCGATAAGCCAAAAGGAATTTAAGTGCGCCTTATAGTGCGAAAAATACGGTACTTCTTTTTGCTGTGTGCTGATGTGCAATTTGTTATTTGTTAATCAATAACATTAAGTACATTTATATCCATGTTAATTTATGTCTTTTTTTTAACAAGGCTGATGTCAAGCCTGATGCCTTCACTCACAGGGCAAGGTATATCGGCCGATACGCTCTGTCCAGGTATCGGTATCAGAATGGATAAGAAAAAAATGGATCAGTGCATCTCTAATTTGAGCAGCTCACGGCAGCATGAATGACATTTTTAATACACGTTAAATAATCATAAATATCATGCCAATGCCAATTTAAAAGCACATTACACAGCTCCATTTTAAGTGACAGATCACCTCAATATGAGTCAGCACTGGGATGTCATACAGGGTTACAAGAAAACGGAGACAAAAACTGCCCTGTAGCTTTACTGTACCCAGTCTGCCACCATGCAGTCACAATAATCTTTAACGTCCTGTGAGCCTCAAGCCAATTTAGAGAGGATGAATGAGGATAGTGGCAGCTCCCAGGTGATGCGGCCTTTCCCTCCCTCCCAGCAGCAGGCGGAGATAGAGCTGCAGCAGAGAGCTCCAGAGACCTCTATATTTATCTGACACAGTAACAAGCCTCTGTCTGACTGCTGCTGCTGCATGCTGCGGTACAGCTGTACCCTTCCTGCTCGGCCACACCGTGCTCTACAGTGGAGAGTCATTGAAGAAACAGGGGATGACCCAGCAACATGTCATCACTGTGAGAGTAGCTGTGAAAAGAGTCGCATCAGCATCCACAAGAAGAGGAAGAAGAAATTCACACGATTCTGTCATCGCAGCCCATCAGGACGTCACACACCGCCGTATTTCTCGCCGTGTTTTCGAAGTTGAGAGCCATATTTCATCCTAGGCCACCCTGATGCTGACAAAGCACCAACTGGTGATTGCTGTGTTGGAGTGGCCCACTGAGGCGGCCGGCCAAGGAGCTGCCGGTATGCCAAATAGTGCATTGCCAAGAGAGGCTGGAGAAGGCAGAGGAGCCCCAGCCACCTGTGCCCATTAGGCTGTGTGCTGACAACTGCATCAGCCCCTGGAGATCCCACCCAAACAAGCCGCGGAGAGAGAGGAGGAAGAGGAAGCACCGGAGAGGGTCAAGGCCATTCCTCAGGCATTGACAGAAGGCAGACTAATGACATCGGACGAGCCGGGGTACTTTATGAGTCGTTGACACTGAAAGCTATACGGAGAAAGATTTGTAAAGAGATGACATGATCGAAACTTCGGATGAAGCTTTTATTTACGTCAATCCTCACGCTGGTTTACGGTGAAGAAAGGCTTTGAAGGAAAGTGCGTGGTTGTCAAAGGCATTTTATTTAGCTGTGTAATTCATGAGATTTCCTTTCTGTAATTTCATGATGTTCTTTCATCTCCTCCTCCTGAGAAAAACAGGCTGCAAAACACAACCGGCACGCTGAGGCCTGCTTGATATCTCTTTTATAGATGGAGCACAAAACACACACACCACACACCCTTTAGATCCACGGAGTGACTCATCCTTAGCTAAGCTGCAGGATACAATAACCGTTCTTTGGTTATTATTGTAAAATAACATGCCTATAATTGAATACGAGATGTATCTCTGTTAACGAAAGCAGCTTGTTTTGTAAGCTTTACACGAGACAGATCCCAGGAAGACACACACGGACATGCCCTCGGGGAGGGGATCCAGTTTCAAAGAGACACGCACACATTTCAGCCATGTGTGGAGGAAAAGGTAGAGTATAAAAGGAGCAGATCAGATCCCTCAATTAAACCCTTTGTGTCTGTACCACACACATTCAGCACAACAGGAGAAGAGAGGGACTGTGTTTCAGAGACCTCAGTGAACTTGATGGACTATTCTGGCAAAGCAGGGGACACCTCCTCCCTCTTGCCGTGCGCTAGCGTCCATCCTCACCTCTGCAGGAGGGATTTGTCAGCAGGAGACTTTTTTTTTTTTTTTCCTGCTGTGGCATTAACCCGTGCTCTCAGAGCTTACTCAAAGGCATGGCACATTATCTCCCAGGAAGCACTGCCAAGCCAGCTGCCAAGCAAGCCAGTGAGTAAATGACTGGTCTGGCCTGGGTATACAGAGGGATAGAGCCGTGGAAGTCAAGCAGGCAGGCAGGGAGACAGACAGAGGCACGGCTCAGGCGCCAAGGGCAAGCACAGGCAGCAGGCTCGGGCACTCATCTCTCTCACCTCACTGAGAGGCGTCACTAAAAGGCGGAGACAGCCCCTCATCCCTTCCTGCCATTTAGAGCAGGATGGAGGGGGAACCTACCACAGAGCTGAGGGGGCCCCACGGCTCTACGAGAGGAAGTTGTAGTATTCACGCAGATTTATGAATGAGTGGTGAGAGCAAAAGATGAGTCACAGCTTCCGAGCTGCACAGCCAGAAGGCAGCAGGCAGCAGCCTATCAGCAGAGGAGCTGGGCGACTCAAATAAGCACCAAGACGGCTGAAAACAAACCGCTGATACTTACACGAGCACATACAACTACTCACAAACAGGCAAACACAGCAAGAGGAGCCATGAGGGAAAATTTGCAAATGAAGATGGATGACACGAAAGAGCGGGAAGCGACAGCGTGAACGTGTGTTTGTGCATTAGCGTGTTTTGATATGTTTACATGTGTGCGCAAGTCCCTTTGGAGGTCAGCAGCGTGACACACAGGTCCTGTTTTGGTCAATCAAGTCTATGAGTGGAAAAGAGGCCACTGTCAGCGCTTTGAGAAGAGTCCTTTGTGGGCCACAGAGGACAGGAGTCAGACAAACTCCAGCAGCAGCAGCCATCGACGCACAATAAGCCCTGCTGTTCATACATGAACTATAACACACTGTGCAACCATGTCATCACGGATGAACTCTGCTTACTCACAATTAAACAGCAATTACGTCCAGAAAGACGCCGTTGTAGACGTTTAAAGTCTGCAAAAGCTGTCCACACGTGTCTGTGGCTTTTCCTCACTCTCACCAAAGCTCTGTTCAAGCAGTGAAGGAAATATTAGATGTTACAATTTTGCGTTTGGGAGGAACTCAAAACAAATTAAAGCGTGAGGCTGAAGGAATTCCTTTCTGGTCAATCATAGTGGCCACTCATGCTCCAGGCCTCCTACAAGTCCAAAGGCAACTAATAAAACCAATTGAGCAGAAAAACTATTTGTGACCAAATAGAGTTTTTCTCCTTTTGCTCAAGAGAGCTCAGGTTTTTCAGTACTCACTTCAGAAGAGCTCAGTTCGGGCTGAATGCCCCAACAGTGACTGCTAAGGTATTACTACTTTATTATCAGAACATAATCAGTATCAACATGTAAAAAAGTTAGTATTGCAGCCTCTTTTTTTTCACAAAACTATGACTAGTTGTACACTTGCAATCGATTTCTTAGTTTCTTTTCTCAAACTTGCTTCATATAAACTAACGCGCTTAAATCTGAACGGCAGAATCTTTTATTTCCTCTAAACTTTAATTTCTTCTTTTTTCTCCCTCTTCTTATTATGTATGTATTTACACAAGTATGTATGTATATATTTATGTATATCTATATGGGAACATATGTATGATTGTGCGCATATTTGTACATATTTTATTTTAAATTTAGTTTTTTTGTGTGTTTGTTTGTTTTTCTTAACTGAGTGGAGTACATTGGGAAAAGGGCTGTTATAGCTTTAGGGTGGAGGTGGGGTGTTTCACTGTTCAAAAATGAGACATTATTGATGTTTATATGTTTGTTGTTGTAAAATTGTTTAAAAAAAAAAAGAAAGAAAAAAGAATCAGACTTGACTAAAAATAATCTGAAAGGCAGGATAGATAGCCAACGAAATTAATCTATTAACGAAATCTATTAAAAACAAACAAACAGATGACTGACACACATTTACAGAAAGCTATTTACAAACTATTTATGCTCTTGGATCAGTTTAAAAAGTCTTCAAAGACTAAGGAACAAAAAAAAGACAGAAAAGTTGCCATAAAGACCGCCCTTTCTGATTTTTACTTCGACTTTCTTCACTCCCAGAGAACAGACAACAATCTAAGCGCAGTAGTGGAGACCAGGATGGATCTGGTTATTCCATTTTAATCAGCTGGTCGTGGGAAGGAGGAATGAATGAGTCTGATCGACCACAGTGCCATCCTCTAATGCTGGCACGCTGCCCAAACTTTGTACAAAATGGAGCAGAGCGCAGGCGAGCAGCTTATGCCAGGTGGAAACATCGGATGCATGGGCACTGAGTCACGGAGCTCAGCGTGCCCCCAGGAAAGCACCGGACTATCAAGAAGTGGAATCTGAGCCCTTTCCTGCTTCCTCTCCCTAAAACCACAGGACTTTGATAAGCTTCAGAAGAGCCATTAAATATTTAAAAGCTTCCTCGAATCTGATGTTAGATGTTGGTTAAACAGAAAAAACCACACCAACACCAAACACACTCAAACCGCATCTACTTGTATATCATCTCAACCTTCATTTTAGATCCTTCTCTGAGCCAACAAATAGTCTCTGTATGACCCTGCACATACAGGCTGTGCTGTGTGTTTCCCCCCCTCTTTACCCCCTCTTTATCCCCTCACAACTGCAATGACTAAGCCAGTAGGAATTTCTACCTTATACACTTAAAGGGGCAGACTCATTCCACCAAACCTTACATACTTGACATGCTTTACTCTGAAAAGCGGCAGTGACTACAGCTTTTAGTGGACGTATTCACACACCGTCTTTTCTGCACAGTAGCTTTCTTTGACTTAACAAAAAAAAATGCTTTCTTTATTCTGCTGAAATGCCAAAGCCAGTTTTCTACTCGTCCCTGATCCAAAATGCTGCACAGAATTTTCTTTAGATAACATAGATATGCAGTAAATCGACCAAATGTGCAGGTGAAAATAGTCTCTGGTGGCCTCACTTCTGGGTTGAAATTGCAACACTGCTCATTAAAAAAGGAAAAAAGGGACGCACGGATCTGAGATTTAGATTTAGGTATAGGCTCTGATATCGACAAATTAACTGAATCAGATATATGATGAATGACACCAATCCAGTCTTTTGTTTCTTTGAATTAATATCATACACAGCAACACAGCGATTCTCAGGGTTTTTCCTGGCTCAAATTGAGGCAGAGGTGACACCATCCTGACCATGCGCCATGACGTGCATGTATTTTGTAAATTCAACTGACTCACTTTCTTTTACAGGCAACATACAGAAATAAGACAGAAATAGAATATAGAGCAAACAGAATTTCTGTTTGCTCTATAATTTATGTCTGTCTTTCCTTTTGCACTAAATGTTTACATGGAAGTCTTACTTCTATTTGCTGTGTGCTAATGTCCAAGTTGTTATGTTATACAATAATAGTACATTTATATCTGTGTTAATGTTACTTTTTTTTTTTAACAAGGCTAATGTCGAGTCTTAGGCCTTCACTCACAGGGCAAGGTATACAGTTCATTCATTCAACAGTAGTATTGGATCGATATGGAATATCAGCCGATACACTCAGCCCAGGTATTGGTATCGGATTGGATCTAAAAAAAAAGGGAAAAACTTATAAATTTCAAAACTTATTTGTGAACAATTCTCCAAATAGTGGCATATTTAAGCTTGTAGTTTAACACCAGAAACTGTGAAGGTTAAAGAGTTTTAAAAAAAAAGCATTTTGCTGTTTTTGAGGTTTGTTAAGGTTACAAAAAATGTCAGCACTGTGAGCCCTGTCCTTCAAGCTCAATCAAAAGATATACGGCAGAAACAGCAAACATAAAACAAAAATTGAGTAGAGCACTGCAAACATTTGCGTTACCAGTTTTCTTGTGGCTGTCTGAACCTGCAAACCCTACAGGAACAGCATCCTCTGAAAGGAACTGTTTTCTCTCGCTGTGAAGTGGGCTCAGGTCAGAGCACTCAGGCCCCAGATATCAAGTGGGTTTCTGGCAAGGATGGAGTAAACATGTTATCAAATGCTAAAGTCTCCCGGACCAATGGAGAGCTCTTTCAACTGCCAGAAGCGTTAAAATGTTTCATTCTTTTCAGGGTTCAAAACAAGGACACCGAGAGCACAGACTGTCTGCTGCAGAAAAAGGACAGCAGGTCCCCTTACCACACATTTTATCTGACATCACTGTGGCCAGAACTCCAACATGCAAACTGACACCAGGACACTTCGAAATATGTAAAGTGGAGTTTTTACAGCCGATTAAGCATTGGCAGTTTGGTATGAGAGACTAGACTTTTGACATCTCTCTGTCTGAGTGTAAATACAACATTGAGGACGTGATGTTCTTTATAGTCAGGCAGCATGAGGAGGTAAGAGGTGAGAAACTAGAGGAGAGTGCCATCCTGGCTGATCATACTGTAAGCTAATATTCTACCGCATAAAAGAGACATGCGAGCTATGTGAGGACGGGCAAGTGTGAGAGTGTGTGTGCCTCCCTGTGGAGCTATGAAGACTAACCTGCCCTGAGAGCAGGCATGGACACAGCAGCATGCTTTCCTGCTCATCTGCCTCATTTTAAAAGCCTCTTGTCTATCTGGCTTTGGCTCGGGTCCAAGGGCAAGAGGGAGGCCTGTCTGCAGCAAACACACAGACCTGAAGACAACTATTTGAGGGAAGCCAGACACTTTTAAAGTCACTAGATTCCCACTAAAACTCAAAGCAAATAGCATGCCGTGTCAAAGGATCCAAGGACTTGGCCAAACAGGCCGCTTGGCTGTGACCACCGCAGTGATGAGAGAATGTCTGTGACAAGTAAACATAGCAGAGATATCTGACAGCCGGAGCTGTTAACAGCGCCTGATAAGCCCTGCAGAAAAAAAGTGAGGTGAAAATAGAGGAGGAAACACCAGCAGACCGGCTGACAAGGACAATCAGAGATGAGATCCGGGCTGAGGCTAAGCCAAGTGGAGAAAACAAGCGGGGAAGAAACTGCGAACAGTGTGGAAGAGGAGGAGGGGGTAGAACAGGAGCAGGGAAGGGAGAGAGGATTTATGAGGAGGAGGGAGGAAAACAAGGGGAGTGACGGGAATTTTTCAACCCTCCGAGCCTGCTGTCAAGCTTGTATACTTGACATTTGTCTGACATTTCCCCTGAGTGCCCCTCCTCCTCCTGTGTGCGGCTCCTCAGTCAGGGCCTCTCTACGCATCGCTGCCTGCCACTAAAAAGCATCCAGAACCTCTGCTCCAATCTGCACCACCCTGCACAGTCACTCCCACTCACTCAAAGTACAACATTAACCTGCTTTATTCGGTCCAGAATTGTGTACAGTCCCATTGACTCATCCTATCCGGCCCGGGCTGCTGTGGGAAACAGTATCTACTAGGTGGACAAAAATGTGTAAAGAGGAGTTTTTGTTGTTTTTCCATGGAGCACTACAAAGCCCAGAGGCTAAAGTAGAGAGCAGGGTAGACAGCTCTCCCTCCTCATGTAGTGTAATTAAAGAGGAGACCAGGCCGTATTGACTAGAAAACCGCTGAATGCCCTTGAAGGAACATCTGTACTGGAGAAAAACAAGGCAATTATGCAGAGAGGAGGGGGGAGGAGAAATGAATGTTAAGCAGGACGAGGAGAGGTACCCACATCAAACCTTATGGGGAAAAAAAACAAAAAAAAAAAACAGGGTGAAAAATGTTACCTTTGGATTAAGATTGGAAAATGATCACCCCTCACACACCTGATTTAACTTCACAGTGTGCGATTACTGCTTCAGAAACTTCTCATTTTTCCCCCCACAGTGGAAAAAAAGCTTTATTTTCTTTATACGAACATTCCCATAGAAGTAAAACAAACTTCTAAATTCACATAACCAACTGTATACAACTCAGGGAATCAAGAGCAACATCCAGATACCACACACACATACACAACAATAAACAGCAGAGGTTTCCTATAGAGACAGACATAGGGTCTCTTTATAAACACTGCATAAACACAAAACCAGGCCTGAAAGTTCAAAGTTTGTCATCTATCAAAACCTACGTATGCACAGGAAGGATGCAGAAGAATGGTAGCACAGGTGGTGAGAGGGCTAACAGAAGTGAGATTATATATTTCTTATGTTTTTCACATGTTTAATGCCATTCAGTGTCACCACAATTACAAAAGTCAGCATCTCTTATTTAAACACAACTATGGTGAGTCTTTTCAGTCCATCCTAAAGAGAAGAAAAAAACATCTTTAAGTCCACCAAATATTTTCATCAACTTTGTCACACTCATTTTCCTCTGATATGCAGAGGAGAAAACCAGACTGTGTCCTATAACTTTTTTGTCGAGCATTGACATCCAGAGTAACTCCTTTCAACGCAGTGGCATCTATTTTATAAATAAACTCTCAACACTGCGCAGCATCACTGGGTTTGATTTTGACTGCTGCGTGGTGCACAGTGAGCGCACAGAGACACGGCGACTGCTGCTTGACACGCTCCCTTCACGTCGTCATCACCTGTTCCTATTAATTCTCTTAATGCGAAAAGTGCAATATATATCCTTTATATCCTCATACGCAGTTAAACAAGCTGGTCATAATTAAACCAACACATTAAAACTAATATTCACAGATCAGACCTCTGTCGGATCATATCAAAGAGACAGAGATTGGTGACTGATGTGAAGGTGCTGTCGGTGTGGATCCTGTTAGCACATAAACACTTCAGTGACCCTCGTGTGTAATGATTAATGATGTATCCTCTGGTACTGCTGAAGGATTCGTGAGAGCTGTAGCAACACGGTTTCATTTGCTGATTGATTTGATTGATTGAACTATCGATTGTTGCTTTAAAGGAAAAAAAATCAGAGAGCTCTCTGACCTCCACTTCATTCAGATTACCTCCATGCCTTGGTGAGAAATTTCATTTTCAGTTATTGCTGTGATTCACTCGATGAACCTTTGATCCTCTGGCTCATTTGTACGCATTTTTATTCATTAGGTGCTTGGCGTTGACCATATATGGAAGAATGTGGGCGTGTAGAGGGTGGAATATGAGGATGAACCATGTGCACATTTCTCCAGGTGGATTGTGATTATTATCGGGGACAATGTGTACCAACACCATTTTATTTTTGGTGTATTAATATGGATTCTATGCATCTTTAATAGGGCTGGGCGATAAACCAAAAATTTACCGATAGCGAAATTTACGACAATAACCTACGTCATTTTGCCCATGTCAATATATTCATTGTCAAATAAATAAAATAAAAGTTGGTTTTAGGTGTGTGTAGGTAGGCCAGGGCTTGACACAAATTTTTTTCACAAGGAGCACATGTGCCCCTAAGTTGAAAAAAGTAAGGAGCATACAAAGAACTTTAGAAGCTATCACTGCTGGAAGCTATTGAAGAAAATGTTCAAAATTTGCCTTTAAATTTAACACAAAAAATTTTAGAGGACAAATTAGGGAAATAAAGTGGTGTGTCTATTGCCCGACCTTAGTACTATTATTTGAAATCAATTTTTGGTCAATTGGTCACATGACATGGAAGCTATTGAAGGAAAACAGCCTTTTCTGAGAACATCAACCAGTGATTTATTGATGGTCCCTTAATCAACACCTGACTTTGACAGCCAGGATGCTGGGTAGATTTATCTACGCTGCTGTTGTTATTCCCGGTTGTGGAGAGTGAGAAGACACCAGTAGATCTGCAGTGAATTGCTGTCGGATATCCAACCTAAAACTAACTTCACTGCAGTATTTACATTAAAAACATTTGCTGCCTTGGCTAATTATTTTATGCGCACATGTGCCTTTAAATACATTGTACAATTCGCACACATTTATTTTTAGTCGCAAATGCGAGTGAGATGGTCGCACTGTCGAGCCCTGTAGGCTATGGTCTCATGTCCCTTTAAGACGCAGTCCAATGTCAGAGACGTGACTCCACCTCATCTAGTCCATAACAAAGAGTGCAAGACAGGTGAGGAGATGGAGGACGGTTCAAAAGTTGTAGCAGCTGGAGCAGCGACTGAAGTAGACAAAGTTAATGTGGGAGTAGGTGAGCAGCTTGTGGAGTAGTTATCGTCCATTTACAGTTATCGAGGTGAACTGCTTAATGTATCGTGATATTGATTTGAGGCCATATTTCCCAGCCCTAACAGTTTATATAAATGAGACCCCTGCCCTGATCACTAGGGAAAATACACAAGCTTGATTTCCACTGTTTGTTCTGAGGGTCCCTGAGGGTGAACAAGGGCAGTGTTTGAGAGTCTCAGCTGACCCTGAGAGCTGTACACAGGTACTCAAAAGAAAAAAGCGCTGGAGGGAGATTTTCCCACCATTACTTCCCACAGAGAAGAGGACAGAACAGAGGGTCTGCAATAAGGTCTAAAGCTTGAGTCTGACCAAGAAGTTAACACGTGAGCACCTTTGATTTGCTCCTGAGTTATATTGTTCATTAGAGATGGACTAGTGCATCAACAGCCAAAACAAATTAAACAAATGAAAGGAGATAATACAGATAGGGAACACTGTTACTGATATAACCTTGATATACAGCACCCTTGAATCTTGATTATCATTGTATGATATGCTGAGTTAGTTTAACTTTTTGCAAACACTTTACTGAATTGTTCGAGATAGAAAAATATGTGATTATAGTGCTGCCTGCAAGGGAATGTGAACTTTTGATAGAAAAATATCAATGGCCCTTTTGTATGTGGAGGACAATGTATGTGGCCTTGCCTGCAGCAGTGAAAAAATATTTACAACCCTTCCCTCTGCACACTAGGAGAAGAGACACAAATAAAGCTTTATGTCTGCAAAAAGCAGCAAGAAAAAATTAAATAGCTGCATCCTTGTGTTAGAAAGAAACAACATCTCTGTCGAGAGCCTAAAGGGCTGCAGAAGTGTCGTACAAAAACATGAAATGCCTTCAAAAGCAGCTTTGAAGAAGAACAAGACAGTTGATCTGGCAGTCTTTGATTTTAATCAAAAAGCACAAGCTGTCCCTTACCCTGAAATCTGAGGGGGGAAAAAAGACCTAGGATGATATAAAATTTTGCTACAAGCTGCTCGAGCAGTCTCAAAAGCTGTGCAAATATTCTAGAAACACAGGTGATAAATGCACCACAACAGATTCTTTAAAAACAGGAGGAATTTATATAAAAATTATATGACCCTCCTCTGAACTGCCTCTAAACTCTATGACCCTACCACGGAGGTGAAGTTAAACAAGGATGACTTTCCCCCCAGATTCTTCAATATACCCCTTTAATAAATTGAAAAAAAAAAAAGGCCCTAAGGCAAATATTTAACCGACATGGTCCAGACAGGTAGACTAGCTCATTTCTTGGAAGAGCAACTTTAACCTCAACTCAGTATGCCCTCCTAATACCTGGTGCTCTATATTTCAGCCATCCTTCACTCCACAAATAGCCTGATCTGAAGACAAGGTCTCAGTAATGAACAGAGAGGAAATGTTTGCACTGGCCCATGGACAATCCTGCAGTCTGACGGAAATGAAGGAAAAACACTGCATAGATTCATGGGATTTGTTCGCTGGTGAAAAAATGCAGTATGTTTATGCGACTGGAAACCACCTACCTAGATCAAAGTCAAATCTGCTTTCGCTGTATTTGGATCACCAAAAATTACAGAAACACAGCAGATATTACGACGAATAAGGAAAAAATCCCCTTCCAAACAAGAGAGTTTGAAATGAAGTTTACCTTTCTGGCACTTTGTGGATGTCCAGCAGCGGTAGTCCAACTTGTCATTAAACGCCGTCCTCTTACAAAGGGGGTTATCCTCCATCATACCGGGGCACACATTATCACACTCCTTCGCCTTCTTATTCCCACTAATAACATTGTTGTTCCCAGCATCCATAATAAGAGACCAGTCCACCGAGTCCAGGTAGCAGAGCTCTGGGTTCTTCTCAATCCGCATGGCTCCACGGGTGATGTTCCTCAGGTTATACAAGCCGATGTCTTTCAGGCTGGTCATCTCGTAGATCACCAGGGCATAGTTGTAGAAGAGATTGCGCCCACGGATGACGCTCAGGTTGGGAAAGAGCACGCTGAGACTGTCCAAGCCCGAGACACGAAACAGAAGCAGGTAGTCGGTGATGACAGTCAGCTTTGGGAAGCTGAGGGAGCGAAAGACTTCCTGGTGGATGTTGTTGGTCTTGTCGTTGATGAGGAGGATCTGCAGGTAACCTTCCACAACAGTGCAGTTTTCCAGCCGCTTGAACTCGCTGATATCATTCCGGATGTCGATACTTGGACCACAGACTGAAAAACAGAAAGAGGAAAAAAATGAGGACGCATCCCAAATCTCCGAATGAGCAAGCATGTCATGAAAGAGTAAACAAGCTCTCACTGGTCACAAACAAATACATATAACAGCATGTGTTTGTTGGTGAACACAACAAAGCCACATATAGATTAGCATGAAGATTACTTTTTCCAAAATCTTTTAATTACATTAATCTTCTTGAAGCATATAATCCGGTTAGTCGGGATGGTAAGGCAGGTACTTAGTGGACAACATGTGGTTCATACAACTCAATTCAATCAATTCGTACAAAGCTCTGAAAGACAGTCTGTGCGGTGCGGGAACATCATGTCTCAGATTTGGACTTCTTCACCTTAACAAAGTATTTTTTTCTTTTCATTATGCGGGGCAGACATCATTGAGACATTTATAACACAGAGGTGATTGGGAAAGCTGAAAAAAAAAGCTGCATTTAATGCTGTGAGTGTCACCTCAGATAACCCCAGTGCTGGAATAACAAGTTCCACCGTGCTGGACAACAACACTTGAAACCACACACGCACACACACACACACACACAACAAAGACTCTATCAATCATTGATGACTAAAACTTTCCTCTAATCGAGCTTATCAATTACTACACTGGGGAATTAATGGCTGTTTGTAGATTCATCAGGACATGGTGTTGTAGTACGGTGGTTTTTGTCTGATATCAAATATACTTTGTTCTCCTCGGTTATAAAATTGGTAATCATTAAACTGTCCACTGGACAGATTTGTTGAGATTCAGGTCTTTTCAGTCAGGTTTTTGTACCACTTGGATGCCACATGGAAGAAGTTCAAAATGTCATTTCTCCTGTCTGCTTTTTGGTTTCTATTTAAGACATTTTTACACAATTCTAAGCTTCTTGTTCCAGAATTTATTCACTAGTTTGAGCCATTTAATCCAATGCTGTCAAATATCCACAACTTTCAGCAGTTATGAACATTTATCTCCTACTTCTTATCCAGCTGACTGTTCGACAAAACTCTTAAGATGCAATTTCACAGCCATAGCAACTCCTATGGCTATTTTAACTACTTAACCCACTCACCCTTATTTAGTCACAATTTTATTTGTTTTTTTTGGGCACCTTATTTCAGTTTCTAAAGGTAAGCTGGTCCATTAAAAACCAAAAAAACAAACAAACACAAGATTGGTAACAATAAAAATGTTATTCTTTGTCACAGAGCTGGCTATCGCTGCAGCTAACGGGAAGGACATTGTTGTGATCTGTCTAAAAGGAGGTCAGGGCAGGAAATGCTTTGACATATGAGCTCCCTGGGTAAACCTGTTAAGTTCTTAAAGAGGCTTAAGATGCTGTTGCAGTGTGCGTCCAATGAGACACATGGGCATGTTTTTAATCACAGCCTTTGATCACAGTCTGATCAGTTTCAAGGCCGAATATGAGTTTCTAGAAGAGCTGATAGCCAATTGGATTAATCATGTGTGCTCTCAAAACGTTGGTGTGAATGCTTCTTTATTAAAAGTTTTCTGCCAAAAATAGAAGTCGCATTGTTTACAGGGATAAACGGAATATATTTGCCTCTGTCAGAGGGCTTCACTCCTCCAAATTTAGAACGGAAACGATTACTCCACAAGAAAATAGTATTTGCTTTCTCCAATCAACACCAATGCCCCTGGGCTCCACTTGTGAGCCATCGAGCTGCATGTCTTCTTTGTTTCATTGAGAATTTTCTTCCAGCTTCTCCAGCAGCCGGAGAGGGAGGGAGGAGGGGTGGAGCCACTCCAATACAAAGACTAATTTGTTTGTTAGTAAAGAGAAACTCTAGGCTCCACTTCCTGATGAGGGCATTAATAAAAACGGGGGCGTCTGGCCGGAGAATGGAGAAGGGGGGAGAAAAGAGAGATACTGTGTCGAGGGAGAGATAAGGTTTCTGCCAAACATAGCTATCCGGGGCCATCCTATCAGTGTTTAACCAAGACAAACATAAACCTCGAAATGCTTCTAATGTCTCCGCTCGTGCTATAAATGGCAGATATTTCAGCCTATTACCTCTTTACTTTAAACTGATAAACACTTGCACACGTCCTAAAAATAGAAGTCAGAAGAAAAGAGCAAAAGAGTGAGGAATAAAAGGAAAAAAGCTCTTTGCGACGCCCTTGTCCATCTCATTAGGCCTGTTAAGTAGCAGGAATTCCAATCATTTCCTTGGAAAAGTAAGCCTCAAGACTTCTCTCATTCTTTAAGGCATTCCATTCTTTTGGGAAGACAACAAAGATAAACAAGATTTAAATACCAATCCTTTGTATTCACTACTATGTAGACAGGAAGAGGTGAAAGGGGGGGTGTAAGTGCTGAATATAATGTCCTGTGAGGGATGTGGATATTCAGGCATCTGTATTTACCACAGAAGGGGGGACATGCCAACATACATGTGTGCGCTTCTCTCCCCACTCTCTCTCTCTCTCTTTGCTCTTCACACTGCTGAGTAAACACTCATATCTCCTCAGTGTAACGGGATCCATTGGCTCATGTTTATGACTGATAAACCATGCCCTGGCCCTCCATGGAAATGTCATCACACAAACACATACACACACCTGAGCAAGCACACACAAATGCAAACATGACCTGGTGGAAGTTTGGAGAATTAAGTCACAACGTGCCGATTATTACAATTTCATAAATATCAGAGTCAGACTGAAAAAGACGTGATGTTGTTTTCAGAGTAACTCAGACAATCATGAGCCTTATATCTGCATTTTCCATTTCTCCTCCATGATAAATATGAGTGAGTATAAAAAACACTATTGACACAATGAGGGTGGAAAATGCTCAGTAGTTCAAACATAGAATTATATAAGACACATCTATGATATCTGATATTTTAGCTCTTATTCTAAGTCAGGTATATTTGTGTTTTTCCACTAATTCTCTGGTTTATGCAACAAATGATTTTGTTTTCCAACACTGAAAAAAAAATGCTAATTGAAAATAACATGTAAGGTTTTTGTTCAGTTAATACCTTATATATACACCTTAGTTATTTGTGCAATAAAGGTTTCAAAAGTCAAATTCATTTGTTTTTTTATTTATGCGAGATTTAGATGAGTTTTATTCGATTTTAAAAACACAATACAGTAAAGAGTTTACTCCTAAACAAAGAAAAGTAGCTGCAAAAACACAACCAGTATTCATCTTGAAATGTAACACCAAGCATCAGCTTCAGAAACGTTCCACTTAAATCCATTTGGTTACGAAGCAGCGAAGAACCTGGTCACAGAACGGTCACATCCCCTCACACCTGCCACATCAACTGGCCCTAATCCGTAGCATACTGGAAGTCATCTGACCAGCGGTCTGGTGGGCCACTTCCCCTCGGCGGACCTGACTTCAAACACTGTGGCTCAGATATCAGCAAAACCCCAAACAGTAACACTACACTGCCCATCAAAACAACTGCACCCACACAAAATCTCCTTCTCACACACAGCGAGGGAGAGAGGCAAGCACACAACAACCTGATCATTGTGGACCAACACATGAAGCTACAGTGTTCACTTAGTGTTCAATATGGTGACAGGAAGCCTGGTTTTTGGTGTTTCTCAGGGCTAAATACAAGAGAAGAGTTTTCATTTACAATCCTTGAAAGATGAGACACTGTGTAAATGTTGATTAAAAAAGGATTTAATAGTTTTCACATCAGTTTATTGAATTAAAATTGAGCAAAAACAACAAATTAAATGTTGAAACCAAAAAATGTTTCTGTTTAGTAAAGAATATGTAATTATTTTAAGTTTGATACCAGCAACACATATCAAAACGGGAATCAGGGTTTTATCTAAACTGGAAATTTATATTATATATCACTTCTTTTCTAAATTAATGCCAAAGTAAATGTAAGACTTGTTGTACTGATCAGCTAATATCTGAGGTCTTATATAAAAACACTACATTGGGGGAAGTTTATGAACATTTAGAAATATTAGATACCTTATAATATGATACACTGTTTTGTCCCCTCTTGGATTCAAGTGCTGCATAGACTCAACAGTGCCAATAAATACACCAAATGAATAAAGTTCGAATTACCCTCATGTAAACAGACCACACATACCAAGGAGACCAGATTTGTGAAGCACAACAACAACTCAAACCAACACACCACTTGACCCCTTACTGAACAGTGACAATTAATAAATGCTAATGTAACAGTGAGGAAAATCTCCTTTTCAGTTTTATCCTGGATTCAGGAAGGATTTGTTCTGAACGTGAGGAATACATATACAACATCAGGAAAAGCAGACTGACAGACAAATATGAGCTACAGTTAATATTATAAATTAGTGGATATTTACTCATTTATTCCACTCTAGTTTATTCTTCATTGTCCTCCTGGCCTATTTTTGGAGCCACAGACATAGCCGCCTTCGATAGCTGTGCATGCATATTTGAAGCGTTAACCTCTGCGTAGGGCTGCACAATTGACCGATTTTAAATCGTAATCAGATTATTTGTTTATGACGATATTGAAAAAATTTAAATCATCAAATCGATTTTCCTCCCTATCATGTCTCTCACCTTCCTGCAGGAGCGCGCCCCAGTTCCCACACACACCAGTGTAAATAAGCATGATGTTTGCAAAAGACGGCGATAATTTCATGGCTAAATAGGGCAAGAGCAAGTCAGTTGTGTGGAATTGGTACGGCCGTACAGTTTCAGATGAAGAGCAAACCACTCCCCGCTGCAAAGTCTGTCTGAAGACGGTATCAACCGGTCCACTGTGAAACGAATTCAGGAGTAAACGCAAAAGTTTTTTTGTCGTATTGGCGTTTCATCCACACAGAAATGGCATTTCGGACAACTGTAAATGGTACTTTTTGAAAATGGGTCAGGGAGTGCATAAATCCATAAACAACTACCATTTCATTTCAGTGTGGACACCTTTCTTCATCCCTCAAAACGATTATGTGACACTCAGGGTAAAGGCTGATTTATGCTCTCCATACGTATGAAAATGCACGTCCGTTTCAAATGACGGTAGTACAGATGAAAGAAATTGACGACGGTTGTCATTTTCAGTACTTCAGGATGTCCGCTGCGGTATTCAACAACTTGCTTCGTTGGATAGTGACAGCAGCAACACGGCCCCCAAGGTTTCCAGTGGTACTGCTCAGTCCGGCCGGTATCTGTAAACTTCAAGGATACGTGTAGAAATACAGACGAAAATAATGCGAAGCATGGATGAAGAGCTTCACCCATATCCGGATTCGAATGTTACGTTAAGTATAAATGAGCCTTTACTCTTTTATTGCGTCATCGTTTTCAGTGGTTTCCTTTTGAGAGATGATAGAAAAACTTATTAGTGAAGTTTGGTGAAGTTGTCACTGAATAAAAAATAGAAATAGAAATTTTATTTTTGGCCAAAATCGTGCAGCCCTACCTCTGCGTGTACAGAGATCTTACAACCACCCTCAAAAGGAACAAGTGATGAAAGTAAAATGGACACGAAACACAAAGTCTTTTTGCTAAAATCTGGAAACTTTCCCTCACATTCACAACCTGATGACCAGATTTCCACTTGGATGTGGCAATTGTCATGTATTAGAGGAACTCACATTTGCAATCATCCCACAAATTGTCCAATACTCCATGGGTGATTAAACCAGCAGCCCGTTATGATGTATGCACGATTGGCAGGAAACTTTATCGGAGCAAATTCATTGACAGACCTCTTGATATAAAGTGTTTAATTAAGCATTGTAAACCTCAGCTGGCAGCCTGCAGGAGCTGCAGGACGGCATTTGACCATCCTCTCACAAACTAGCCCAGTGACACACTTTCACATCCTCACACAGGGGCATGCCACTGACTCAGGCTGTCATGCTGAGTCCTGCTGCAAAACACACACACACACACACACACACACACACACACACACACACACACACACACACAAAGATGTAAAATAACACACAAACACATTTGTACACACAGAGATAACACTCACGACACTTTCTTGCTAGGGGTAAGACAAGGCATTCCTGCATTCAGCAAGACGTAAGGGGGAGGAAAATGCATAGTGTGTGTGTGTGTGTGTGTGTGTGTGTGCGTGTCATCATGTAGCCCCAGTTACAAGATAGGTTTGGGGGCACCTTGAAGTAGAATGACAGCAGACAAACCTGAGCCACTAGGCCTATCATGACAAGAAGATCTGCGCCGAACCTCACTGGAGCCCAAAGGATGAAGATAGGAGGGGCTGCCTGTCAAACATAATGCTCGCTGCCGTTTGATTATTCAAGCCGCCATTCAGGTTTTCTGAAGCAACACGTCCCTTCATAAATAACTGAGCAGGAACACTGGAGTGCCCTCGTAGAACCGGACAGAGGGCGCCTGCATTCACACAACCCCTCAGCCAATATTGCTGGTGACAAATCTATTTATAACTCCAATAGTATATGCCAAGTGATGAAGTGAAAAAGTGCATCAGTCCATAAGAGAGGGCGCTCCTCCGTGTGGACAGCACGAGCCAATAAAACAGTCCACAAACTCTCTACTCTTCCAATCAACAAAACCATGCCTGTCTATGTTGCAAGTGTATTTTTTGCACGGTCTATTTTACAAACACAGAGTCTGTATCTCCCTCTCGCTCTGTAACTTTTAGAGACTTGTGTGCACCATACTTGGAAGCCATTGCACGGAAAGTTTACTGCGGTGAGAGTTAAAAGGGAGCGTAATTACATTTTATATGTGTGGACGGATTATCAAAACAAAAAGAGCAACAAAAAGGAAAAAAGTTTTCACCCCCTAATGGAGCTCTCAGATTTCTGTGATTTTCCTCTAAGTGGTGATAAAAGCTGGAAACTCTGACCCTCTCCACAGGCCACTGAAGTACACATCATTCCCTGAGTGTTAAAACTGATGACACCCATAGCTGTCTTCTTCGTCTTAACCATCTTTGTCTCTGTGCGCTTTGTTCTGATGTTTTATACACCACAGAGTGTCAAGATCTAAGGAACAGCCACTTGTCTCCAAGCCCCCTGCAGCGTTCATGGGTGTCACAACCGCTCAGGGGGGTGTAAAGAAATGCAAACCCTACACGGCTGTGTCTGCACCGCCGCTCAATAGGAGTAAAATTTACGTTTTTTTCCCCTTCTTTTTTAATGCTAAAAGAGGTCAGTGAGTGTGTCTTCTTCCCATGTCAGTTTCTCCAGTTTTTCTACCGTCTGAAACAGGCAAACTAAGTTGAACGGAAGTGACGTTAACACCTTGAGCATGCACAAACAAACTTACGCTGTGCCACCCAAGTTACACACAATCACAACCTCTGTGTCCAAGTTTGGAGGATGCAGCAGAAAAGACCCACTGACCCACAGGTAAAATAAGTGGTTGAATTAACACATTGAGTGTGTCATATTTCAAAGGCAACATTTTCATTACGTCAAGTACAGCCACAGAAATTTTGCCTTTTATTGACAACATAGATCTTGGAGAGAAAGTTGACTCTTTTTTGTAAATTCTGTTTAATTTTTTAAAAAGACCTCACCAGAGCTCATCATATTCATTTGTTTTTCACTTTTCTGATTTGCTGTATATTAAATATATACAAGAATATTTGTAGAAGTATGCATAGGCGACATGATCTATAAACTGTAGTCTCTTTAATATCTGCAGTACTAACATTTTAACAGGTGTGTGATTCCTTTTTAGAGACTCGACACTAACAAGACTCTTACTGGCAAAGATGTAGGATGAGGCGGGAATAAATTGAAACCCACAAAACACATCATGAAGATGCGAGTTGTAACTTAAAAGTTTGTCATGTTAAGGAACTCTGTAACCAGTAACTAATATAAAGTTGTATTTAGTTTCTGCAGTATGTCAAATAAGCTCACAAGAGTTAAGTATAACTGAATACAACAGTTGTCATATTTTAGTGTTTTAAATTAAACACATTTTCTAATATTATTTTTATTGAACTGTTCAGCTTAAAGAAAAAATAAGGAAAATACTGGATAAGAATAAGCAAGAGATTCAGGTATGTTTTAAGCTTAAATTAACAATTTAACAGTTTAAGATGCAGACTGTATAAAAGGTCTATATGAGACAATATTGCTTTTTAAAATCTGTAGTAAATCATTTTTACGTGTCAGTGACGATCTTGGTTTGAGGTTAGCCTTTTTACATTTACTGACAATATTTTTTTTCACGGCTGTATGTCCTTTTAAGAAACAAACACTCGCTCCGATTCTGGTTGTTCATGCGCAGCGACGCCTCGCCACGAAATGCAAAATGGCCACATGGTCGGAGTAACCTTCAGCCCTGGTCCCTGGATTCATCCTCTGCTCCCTGCATGTCTAACGTGAAGATTAAGGCTACATGTGACGAGTACGTGTGTCTGTTTCCAGACAACCTAAAGACCTTGATCAGATGTGGGGATTTTTGCGCAGAATAACGCAGATTATGCGTAATTGTGTTGAGCCAGAGACAAGCAGCTGTAGCTACCACATGGTCCTCAGCTAATGTTGAAGTAAAAAGTACACGTCGATGATGTATGGACTCACGTTTGTCCTCTTAATTCAAGTCTTCTTATAATATGTTACCAAAAAATACACATTTAAATAGGCATTATCGTGCCGTTTTGCACAGTTTTCCATTCAATTCAGAAAAACTGATTCACAAAAAGGATGAACTGAGTTACAGAGAGGATACTGTGTTTAGTGTAAGGCCTTTTACATATTTTAACAATACACCTGCAACACTAAATACAAAGCACACAATTTGTTATTGAATAAGAAGGATACTCACTCTCTCCATGTGTGGACCAGATGCAGAAGGTGGAGACGGACAGCATCAGACCCCAAAACAAGGTCGGTGTGTCAGATCTCATGTTCCTTGACATTATTTGCCTCCCAAATATCCTCAGAGGCCAAATTGTACACTCCTCTTAAGAGAAAAAACAGGACAAAAGAGAAAGTAAATGTGTCTGTAGCCCGAAAGGCTACTCTGGTAGCTTCCAAATGCGTGGTTTGCGTTGATACGACGATTTTCTCTATAAAAAATAATGAAAAATAAACACAGAATTAAATCTGCATAAATTGCAGGAAAAGGTGATTCCTCTGGAGCAGAAAAATACTAAAACAGTCTGCTATTTTTGCCAATCTGAAAATACTTTGACGTCGGCTGGTATGGCACACAAGCCAGTGATTTTACTGGATAAATGATGGTAATCCCCATCTTCAGTCTCCATCTCTGGAAAACAGCAGTGCGCGTATTGAGCGACCAGGCCCGGTGTGTTCAATGTAAAATACAACACCTAAAATGTATCACAAGAAGCCTGTATCAGCATTATAAAGTAACGCCAGTGTCGCTCGCCTGTGTGTGAGGGGAGGAGAGGAGCTGAAAACACGTCCAGGTCCACAGGGGTGGTGGCTGGAAGGCTGAAAATGAATGAAAAACCCCCTTTTCTGCTAATGCTGTTCAGCCAGCACAGGCTCTCGATCCCTGACGGCGGGAGTCGTTTCTAAACCTCTTTCTTAGCTCCTCGGTTCGGACTTATCTCCGCCGTCAGTCGGGATTTGCAGCTGAAAGAAAACACCAGACTTGTGCCACGCAGGAGAATGGGGCTCCAGCTCGCTCCAGCTAGACGACCTCGGCCGGGGTGGGAGGGAGAATAAACCCAAGGAGTTGTCCTTTTTTAAGATTGTTTCTTCTTCTGCGATTATCTTCATAAGAAGGCGGAGGGTTTATTAAAAAAAACTCCCGTGGCATGTATATCCCGAGGCTGAAATCCAAGCGGTTCGCCCTCGATCGAAGCAGCAGGCTGTGGGTCTCCGCTCCTCCGTGGAATCTCTGCTGTAAACAAGAGTCGGCTTCTCTCACTCAGAAACACATAGTGCTTGGATAAGGTGGCCACGAGCGGAGTGGAAAAACCGGAGTGGATTACGACCAGAGGATTCCCAAATTTCACAGCTCCCCATAGTGTACACTCAACATGTCCCTGGGCTTCAATGATGTCTGTTTGGCTTCTTTTCTGATAAATAATGTTAAAAAAAAATGCAGGTTATCGATAAAAACTTTTCCATCGACTATTCGTTTATCGACCGAATAGTCGATCACAAGATCACATTGTGGTCGACTTGTGATTTATATTCCGAGCTGTTAGAGCAAGAGATATGGTTAGCTTCAAGATGTTTTATGAGCACAGGTAAGAGGTAGCGATAACAACACAGGGACTTTTAACTTTTGGTATCCCTCCGCCACAGGTGTTTGAAAAACACCGAGTTCTTCATGGAAATGCAATCTGGCCGAGACGCTAAGGCAGAAGAACTACCACGTCTGCAGTGTAGAATAATTAAAATGGTGATTATTGCTTAAGGGAAATGATAAAGAAATCATCATAAATATTCTTCCTTGAGCTGCGTCACCCCGCAGCAGTCCGTAATGGACTGGCCTGAGGTCTCGCTACAAACGAGCGGCTGCTGGACGAGAGTAGTTGAGTTATGTTTAGTCTCTTTGCTAAAGAAATCAGGCAAAGTTAAAAAGATGTTTGGTGGCTAGTGCTATGTCTAGGACTCTATATGTAGTGTTGATGAAGTTAGGTGCTGTTTTGAGCATTATTTGTGGCTATAGAGTGGCTTTTTGGTTGAAGTTTGTTTATGGCCCCTCAGACTGCTGTGTATTGCTATCGTCTGGTCCTTAGTAAAGTTGGTAAAACTAGAGAAGCAAGCGGTTGGCAACATTCATTTCTGTGTGTGTTTGACCCTAAATTAATTTTACGCCGGAATATCCCTTTAAACCAAGTTCCTATAGGTGGAAAACAAGTGTCACCAAAAACAAGTACCATACTCATTTAACTGGTTGTGATAAGCTATCTATAGACCGTACAAAACAAAACGAGAAGATCCAAAAGGTTTAATGTGGTTACTTACTATATGTTTAATAACCAGGAATGATGAAGCAAGAGTCTGATAGGTCCTCATATTTTACTCATGAAAAGGGGATGGGGTGACGGATTATTTCTAGCAGATGAGGCCCTCAGAGCATAGGAGGGTAGGAATATCAACAATCTGGGAATCTGGTTTACCAAATGTACAAAGTCTAGATTTTTGTGTTAAATAATTTCATTAATTGAATCATTGTTTAAAAATATCACAACTTCACTTCACCATAAGGTCCTTTTTTGCAAACAAGTGTATTATTACTACTCAAATGTGAATACATTTTTTGTCACTACCTTCAACTGTTGGGGCTCAGTTGCACCCCCTAGTTACTTAATCACCCCACACACACACACACACACACACACGCACACACACACACACACACACAGTTCCATAAACTTGAAAAACTGAAAGGATAGATTCAAGTCTCTAAGTTGGTCAGAATGGTGAGATATTGCTGTCTTTGGTGCATCATAAGTATGTTAAATCAGAATTCTCTAAAGCTGTCCACTGCTAACTGAGTTTGCTGAGTCTGTGATACATGGTTAAAAATGTGTATGTGTTTTAATGTGAAGAATTTTGACTTATCTTGTGTAATAAATACAGTGAACACACATCATCTTTCATAAATAAGGCACACACGTTTTAATAAGATTAAAATGTGCAAAACTATTTGACAAGAAGTGTTTGATATAAATGAACATCAGAGTATAGCTACTTTCCCCCCAACTGTTTATTCAGAGAATTTACAAACTATAGACTAGTTTTTACCTCTGTGTTTTTCAAACTGATAGCTGTAAAAAAGCATGGCTTCATTATCAGAGCTGGGTTCCTCTGAAAATAGCTGGTTGCAAACTGATTACCTTGAATTCATCCTTTTTGCTGAATGCATTTGTTGTTTGATTACTTGTAAATTTGTAAAGTTTTTAAAGCTGTTGTCAGCTTTTTAAACGTAATTTTGCCAAGGACTATAAACTTTTTTTTCCCAGATAAAACACATTTCATGAATAGAAAATTAAAAAGAAAAAGAAAGGCAATAAATTTAAGATTAATCCTGTAAAACACACATTGGATCCTCACTGCATTTGCATTTGCATTTGTTCTGTTTGACATGAAAAATAGGTCTACTAATTGAATCCATGAAAAAATAAATGGTTTTTAACTGATTTTTTTTCTTTTTTTAGTTACAGATTATTTTTATTTTGTGGAGAGTATTACACTTTTTACCTCTGCAGTAGACAGGACTTCTTTCAAACCCTCTGTACCATCACGTCTATTTTGTGCACCGGAGCTGTACCATAGGTTGCACAGCACTCCATCGTCACAGGCCTAAGGTAAAACCTGACACAGAGCCTCGCTGAGGAGAGAGCCTGGGCCACCGTTGTCTCGATCCTTCATTCATCCCACACAGGCAGCACTTGCAGCACAACACAGTGTGCGGGAGGCGTCGCTGTTCGTTGTTGTGAAGCCTGTTTGATCCTTTATGGTAGTTTATCATCCGACTGTCAGATGTCAGCGAGCATGTAGTCGCGTAAATACGGTGCAGTTACCCATCATTTTGTTTAGGTTTAAAAATGTGAGATTACTTTGAAAGGATAATATTTGTTGGCTGAATTTTCTTAATTCCTATCGATAAAATATTGATTTATAAAGATGATTTAATTCAGGAGATTTGAGGAGTAATTCGGTTATAAAACGAGGGCTCACTCTTGTAGTATGTACCATAAATGAATCGCCTGAGTAGTCCCAGCCAAATGTGGTCATTTAATAAACGTTATTTTTAAAAAATCTGCGCAATGACGTAAGGAGTTTTTGAAACGTGCGCGTGAGGTATAATTAAGACAAAAAAAACCGATCTAACTGGTAAGCTCATCCATAAAACTCACAAAATCCAAGTGTGAGACAATATACCGGACCCTTGGATGCTTGAATCGTCTCCTATGGAGAAATCTGGTTCAGACTTTCAAAGTCTCTTCGGTGTTAATGCGTCGCCCTCTACTGTCAAAAATGTGGTACTGCAGTTCCAGCACACAGCTTGATGATTACAGGTGTTGTGCCGTAGAATGCACCCCTGCGTAGAATGCACCCCTGACGGAAGCGCGGTTGAAAGTACACAACAAGGCGGAATAATCCAAGTCTTCCTTTAATAATTTCATTCAGGCTATTCAGAATAGCCCGAAACAACAGCCCTCTGATTCGAAATATTCGCTGTCCCGAAAATATAATGTTCTCTACCTTAACAGCTTACTGTACAGTTTATATACCCAAGAACACCTTTATATGTGCATTTTTAAGACACATAAAAACAGAATGAAAGTTTGCTGCTCCATTTGACATGTTTTTCATGATCCAATAATCGTGTGTTTTTTTTTAATATGAGCTCATTTTTCTTCCACTTTAAGACGCTAACGAGTGGATGGGATGCAGGAGGTGCATTCTACGCCAGGGGTGCATTCTACGACACAACACCGGCACATACAAGTCAATCATTGCTTCGTAAGCAACACAAGTAAATACGCCAGGATGTTTTAAAAATATTAATTTATCCTTTATGCAATTTTTTTCAAATAAATAGGTTTAAGGTGCTACTGTTACCCTATATAACATATAAATACACATTAAAAGACAAGGATTCATTCAGATTCAAAAATTGCCACAAACTTTCATTTTTTATGAACACTTGAATCACAAAACATCTAAAAAAAAAAAAAAAGGTATCACAACAGCTCTACATCATGATGGTCCTTCCACTTCCCTTACAAATATGATAAAATAATGGTAAAAACTTCAATCGGCAGCTTCATGGTTCAGAGTAATACTCCTCGGATACGCAAGTATTGCATTGCATTGTCCTCTTAGTGCTTTATATATAAAAGAGGCAAAGGTGCTTTTAAGGATGACAATGGTAAATGATACCACAATTAAATACTATCAAGTTCCCAAAAGGTTCGGTTGGTTTCGACTATATTAAGGAACGATGAAAATGTTTGTTACTTGTGGTAAAAGATTAAGGAAAGAGGTTTATTTTAAAAAGGAAAAAGACCACGTGGAAAATTAATTCTGATATCAAAATCAGAACCTTGAGGTCTTAAACGTGGCCTTAATCCTCCCTGAATCACTCTCAACATACTGCTGGCCAAAGTTTGGTGCATATAAGACATAAAACAGTATTAAACTTCTGTAGATTACAGTACATGTAGGAGTGTGCGTATATAGTCTGTACAGTGAAGAAGGTTGGTAGGAATTTGCATAAAAAGTTGAAGAATACTTTGGCTGAGGATTAACCTCTAAGGTAAACCTAAGTTGGCCCTAGAGTCTTGTATTAAGGATATTGTTCTTTTCCCCTAGAGAAACAGGAACCTCATCCCCCTCTGCCTCTTTTTTCTCCTCAAACACCCCAAGTACATCCCAGGACAGAGGAATTAGCTGGTGACAGAAAGCAAGCCCCACCAACCACGACACAGAAACAATACAAATTACAGAGAGAAGCATGGCTAGAGTCCTGTAGGGGAAGTATTGAGTAATAACCCCGTCCTGTTCCCTCCAGCCAGGATACAGGAGGATAGGGGGAATCCCAAGCACTGGCTCCCCACTCAGCCCGCGCAGCAGCAGTCCGACCAAATAACCGATGATCGCACCATAACTGTTAGTACAGCTGAAGTGCAACACCCCAACGAGCTGTGGGAGGATCACACAATAGAGAAGGTCCCCGCTCAGCATCCACAAGGCGAACACGCTGTCATCACTGAAGGCTAAACCCGTTCCTGCCAGGCCCACCAGCAGCACGCTAGCACGGATCACCCACTGCAGCTCCCGCTCTGACGCCTGCAGGAAGAGAAAAACCAGGGCGATTAAAATACTGTTGCACTGATAACCGCTGAAGTGCTCACACACGTGCACACGCGCACTTACACAAACTCACAAACACAGCGCGCACACACACCTGCTTCCTCAAAGTCGTCTTGTATATGTTTTGCGTAAACATGGATGCTGAGGACAGCAGCACAGAGTCCATGGAGGACATAACTGCTGCAGCCACAGCACCAATGCCTAACACTGACAACCAGGTGGGTGTGAGGTTTTGCAGGGCCAGTGGCAAGATCTTCCCTGCCTCCCCTCGTTCAAAAGGAGGGGGTAGACCATACGCTGTCTGGTTCCAGTCTTAGAGGAAAGGAGACAGAGGAGGAGGAGTTATAGAAGTAGAGAAAGAGACAGACAGGGTTGAAAAGAAATGAAATAATGGGAGGGGAGGAAACTTTTGTTATGATGATGGCATCAAAATAAAGAAATAAATGAATCAGGAAGCTGGAGGCTAAGTGTTTGGAAGCTGGAAAATGTCCCACCTTAATTAGTATGTTATGCTAACCACAGCACACATACAAATGTAAACAAGACTATATCTGCCTACACTACCCACGATGGTAATAGGGCCTAAGTGTGATTACAAATGTAGATGTGTCCTGTATGTGCACAGCTGAGAGTTTGCATTCATGTTTACCTGCAGAGGAAGCCACCGCTCCAATGACAACAGAGGGGATACCCATAACAAAAACTGTCCCAGCAGCAGCATAACAGGTGACCTGAGCCTGAGCCGAGGACGATGCAGAGAGGATCCTCTGGTAAAGAGCTTGATAGGCCAGTCCCCCCAAAGCCTGTAGTAGACACAAGGTTGTACAAGAAACACACAATTTGTTTGTGAGTAACTTTGCATATCATGCAGTTTACCTAAAAGACACATTTTGACTTCAGTCAAAGCAGGTTAGAAACATAGACTGTATATACTATGGACAACTTGGCTCCACCTTCCATCATGATACGAATTTGAATCCAAAATGCTTTCGGTATTTCTGGGATTTTCTCCACTTCCTGGAACCACCACTTGCGCAGTAGCATTGAACGCATTTAGCGGGAGAGTCACTGTGATGATGCTCTGCTCAAACAGCGTATCCCCCGGATGAACTACGCAATCTTCATATGCCCATAGGCTGTATCAAGTGTCAATCAGAAAACACGAAAAAAGAGGACTTGAGCACAAACCAGTCTTACAGTAACTACATTTCAATATCACAACCACGGGGGAGAAAAATGTATATTCTGTGTAATTAATTCTTTAGTTTGTCCACAGCCCTATTGAGTTTGCTGGAGGAGGCAGGATTTATAACCTATACTGCAAGCTGTCACCAGAGGGTGCTGTTCTCGCGGAGGCTTCACCCAGCGAGGAGGCAGATAATGTCCATTCTACATACAGTCTATGGTTAGGACAGGGTGGATATGGTTAGTCAGCTGTATTGGGCCTAAAGCTAGGGCCTGTACTGTGTCTGATATGAAAATTAATGGGTCAGTCTTTAATGCATTTCTTTTTGCCGCATTGGCAGCAGGACTGTTGCATTTTGCAGTTACAGTGTTCAACTAGGAGGACTAAGACTGGTCGGTTGATCTGATATCTCTCCTGGGAATTTAGGTTTTGTAAGACAGTGTTACAAAACGCCTATGCCAACCTTGTTTTGTTCACAAAAGTTGACACAAGATACTGGCTGTGCTACAAAAGATGATAGATCTTATCATTGTAAATGTCAGCTTACTCACACAAGTAGCAGGTACATTCTGGGTTTAGAAGTTTAAGGTTTTTCAAGGTCTGTCTTGAAACCTGTTTATTTCAGAGTTGGCTGCTGTGCAAAATTCCCTCTTTACGCCCTAGCAGCTCAGCAAGGATATACTGTTTGGGAAAACTGAGGGAAATGTTATACACGGGGGGTTGTATGTCTGCATTTGTATAGCCAAGGAGCAAATATAAGGACAAAACACAATAGTATTGGGAAATGAACTCTCTAAACTATCGATCAATAAGTTAAACAAATGTGCAAGAAAAATCCTTCAAATTTCTCTTCATTTTAAAGCCCACATTAAAAGGAAAATGTACAAAATGTCTTACAAAAATGACACAACACACAAAAATGTTGGAGGAGAATGAGAGGGAATGACTCAGTGAGCGAGCTCTTATGACACATCCCACACAGAGGTTAAGGAACACTCATTTGATTGTTGTCGAGACAGGAAGATAAGCAGGAGAAATTGCAAGTCAGGGGGACAGGAAGAGAATGGGTTAAATTGAAGGAGACGACTGCCCAGATTGGAAGTGTTTGTGGGTCTGACAAAATAAGCGTAACATCTTACCAATAGCAGCATCTCATCTGCCCATTTTCCTGCATCTGCCAGCTCAAGCTCTCCTAACCAGGAGATTCCGCTTGATTGGTTGAAGTGGGCTTGGCTCTGAGAGACGTCAGTGACTGCAGGACTCAAGAGCAAAAAAGGAACACAGAGCCACTGGAACAGACAAAAAACAAAAGGCTGTTAAAGCAAATAGAAGTCAGGTCATCTATTGATTTGCTTTAACGCTTGTGAGTCAGTGTTAATGTAGTCATCTGATACGGGTCTTTTCATTTCTGTTTTGTATCCTGCTTTGTAACTTAATATATCTGCTTTTGTTTGTATCTTCCTTCTTCTCACCAGGCTGAAGAAGATGAAGGAAAGCTGGATAATATCCGTGTATGCAACTGAGTAGAGCCCCCCTAAAAATGTGTAGATAATTGAGACAGCAGCTGAGATAAGGATGGACAGGGTAGACGACAGGCCAAGAATGACGTTCATGGTTCCACCTGAAAATGAAGGACATTTTTATATCAGAGACGGTGCTTGATTTTGATATGAGATTATATAAATGTTTATTTAGCCCTTTAATGTTGAAGATGGTTCATATAGACTTCTGCATTTGTTGGTTCTCACCCAAGGCAGCAAGGATGCAGGCCACCCACAAGATATCACTGACCAAAGCGGGAAGCAAAAGTGTTGCGGTGAAAATGTTTCCGTAGCGATGCTGAAATGGGTCCAACATGGTAACATAGCGCTTAGACCTCATTGGTTTAGCAAAAAATAATCCTCCTGAAGAAGAGAAAAGAAAACAAACTTAAAACACCTTTGATAATTGTTAATGTGTCCAGAAAAAATATCCCAGGTTCCACCTTCAGTCAGGGTTTTTTTGGTTATCAAAGGCATATCTTGGGTCTTGGGACACTGCACTTAGCTGGTTTCAATCTTACCGTTTAGATCAAACCTTTGCGGTCACCACAGGCAAACACTCATCTTCCTCTTTTAACATTACTCATGGGGTACCACAGGGTTCAATCTTAGGGCTGATTTTATTTCTTTGTATGCTGTCCCTTGGCCAAAAAATTCAGTGCACAAAGTCTCCTTCTATTGCTTTGCTAATGACACACAGATATACTTTCACTAACCTAGCTGACATCAAGAACTGTCTCAGGGATGGCTAGAAACTTTTTCCAGTCAAATCCTTAAAAATCCAAAATAATACTCTTCAATCCACAATGTTACACTGATTTTTCAAAAGAGCTCAGCCTTGGTACCTTATTCACAAGTTTGGGAGTAATACTAGACTTTTACTTTACCTTTGAATATCATATAAGAGAAATCAAACAATTGTGCTACTACCAATTACGTACCATCTCCAAATCAAATCAATGCTTTCACAAACGGACCTTGAAAAGGTCATTCATCTCCTCCAGGTTTAATTACTGTAATCCTCTCTCGACAGGTATCAAGAATCAAACTCTCACGCCTCCAACTGGTCCAAAATGCAGCAGCTAAGCCTCTCATCATCAGTTCTAAAATAATGCCATCACATCCCCTCATTTTAATCTCTCAACACTGGCTCCCTGCTAGTTTTAGAATTAATTTTAAGATTCTACTGTTCACTTTAAAAGTCTGTATGTGCTTGGCTCCAATCTGGGATGTTTTTGTCCTTTCTATTGTTTTTGTCTCCTTCCTTTCTTACTTTACTTGGTTCCTTTATTGGTCCTCTTGGTCTCAGTTCATACTGTTTGGTTCTCATGCTGCTTGGGTTCTTATTGTTGGGTCAATGTCAATATGTGACTAATGATGGATATTGTGGCTTTGGGTTGTTCAGCAGTTGGGTTTCTGTTTGTTGTAACTACCAGTGAAATAATCAGTACATGATCAGTACTACCACCTTGGTGTCCTCAGTGTAAGCAGTAGGACATAAAGAACACGGTCATGTATATTCTGTACATTCAGAGATCATTTTCAAATTTGGTGTATGCTGAAATGACATGAAATTGATTGTTTTCTTTACTTAACACAGAAGCTAAGTTGCAAGTGTTTGGAAGAAGCTGTGAGATGGAAAATATCTGTGATTTCTGTTCTTTTTGCTTTTGCGGGGATCCTCATACAACTCAAACTGATGCAGACTAGAGCAAGCAGGAGATTTTAAAATGAAATGAAAGTGAAGATAAATCAATGTGAAGGCAGAGCACTACAGCTTTGATGGGCTGAATAACGTTGTTGCACAAAATGTTCTGACTGCTGCCCATTTTGTAGCTTAAGGTACAATGACTGCCCTACAGCTGTGTCTGTGACTCATCGGTTATGGCTAATAACAAATGGCTTGACTGCTCCTGCTGCTAATGCTACAATGACTGTGCTAGTGAAACAGCTAGCACAGTCATCGGAGCATCTCTCTCTTTCCCAAGGCCAAGGATGACATGATGCTTAGCAGCAAAATATTTCATTAAAAGACCACTTTCATTTTTCACTTTTTGCAATGTTAATCTTAAGCAACAGTATAATTGTCATGGATTAGCAGTTATTTCGTATTTGTGCACATGGTAACATCCATATTAAAAACAGACTCTGATTTAAAGCCTGGTAGAAATCTTCCTCTCCCGGTATTTGTGTAAGTCTAACTCAAGTGTCTTTACCAAAGATATTCTTCAAATAAAAGTTGACTCGATAAAAGTTATGCAGGGGGTGTGCAATGTTACACTGTGGAAGGGGTGTGTTTTTCCCTTCAAAGCAGTTCAAAATAAAATTTAAAAATCTATTCTTTGACTATATTCTACATTCATCTCACACAGAGTGAAATATTTCAAGACTTTTTTTGTTTTAATCTTGATTATTCTGATTCACAGCTAAAAATAAAAATAAAAATAAAAAATCTATCTCAAAACAGAGTATTACGCAAAAGTCCAGTTTCTTGTCAGTTCTTTCAGTTCTGAAAAGACCTCTTGTTAGCTAATTAACTCTGGATACCTGCAAAGGTTAACTGAGCATTTAACCTCTCACTCTGGTCAAGCTCACACAACCACAATCGTAGGGAAGACTGTTAACTTCACAGTTGGCCAGAAGACAATCATTGACCCCCCTCCACATTAATAACTAGAAAAGCACTCGGACAGCGCAGACCTCCACCAAGCAGCTCATGTCCCCTCTTATATTGTGAGTCACACCAAAACTTTTACTGTTAACTGTCTTTTATTAACTTTTATTTGTGTTTAAACTGGTGTGTTCACTGTTCATAATGTTCCTAAAACAAGAAATGCCCTGACCCGGATTCGCACCCAGGACCTTCTTGCTGTGACGCGACAGTGCTAACCACTACACCACTGTGCTGCCCATCTACACCACAGTGCCGCCCATTCGTTATCTTTCAGCATTGAAAATTCCAACGACACCCTTATTTTTGTGTGTTCTGGATCACAGAATCCGGAATTTTGTCTGGATCAGGATCAACCTTTTACAACTCATAAAACTCATTGAGATCCTTTTGTGTAATTTTTTACTAAAAACTCTGGCCATTTTTATAGAGTTAAATGCAAAAATTCCAAAATTTGCCCTATCTCATAATGATAAAGAATCCTTCAAAAAATTCCTGAATCCAGAAGGTGATCCGGATCACCACCAAAATTTAATGGGACCCTCCTGGGGCTGAGACGCACCTCTGGTGAAAATTTCAGGTCAATCCGTCTGTAACTTTCTCCGTAAAGTTGTTCACAGACAAACAAACTAACAAACAAACAAACAAACCAACACACCAACCAACAAACAAACCAACGCTACCAAAAACATAACCTCCTTGGCGGAGGTAATAAAATTTATCTACAAAGCGCTTTTCATAGAAGTCAAAGACACAGTAAAATGCATAGAGAAGACAGTACAGACACTTAGAAATGAACATTTAAAAGCACTTAAAAGCACATTTAAAAGCAGAAGTGCCACAGAAGGTTGTTGCTGAAAGTGCTGGCTGTTCACAGAGTGCTGTATCAAAGCATGTAAATGGAAGGTTGACTGGAAGAGAAAAAAGTGGGAGGAGAGGGGGACCAAGTAACAGGGATAAGCACAGCCTAGAAAGGATTGTCAAACAAAACAGGTTCAAGAACTTAATGGAGCTTCACAAGGAGTGGGCTAAGGTTGGAGTCAGAGCATAAAGAGCCACTATACGGAGACATGTGAAGGAAATAAACTACATGTTGTGTTCCTGAGGTCAAGCTACTTCTGAACCAGGGATGCCATAAGTGTCTTAAATGACTCAAGAAGAAAAAGAACTGGACTATTGCTCAGTGGTCCAAAGTCCTCTCTTCAGATGAATGTAAATTTTGGATGTCATTTGGAAATCAAGTTCCCAGAGTCTGGAGAAAGATCAGAGAGGCACATAATCCAAGGTGCTTTAAGTCCAGGACGAAGTTCCCACAGTATGTGATGATTGGGGTGATTTTAGAGCACTTTATGCTTCCATATGCTGATAAGATTTATTGAGATAAAGATTTCCGTTTCCAGCAGGACCTTGCACCTGCCCACAGCACCAAAAAAACTACCAGGAACTGGCTTGTAAACTGCAATTATGTGCTTGATTGGCAATTCAAGAGGTCTGATCAGAACCCTACAGAGAACCTCTGGGAAAAGATCAGAGACAAGCTAAGAGACAAGACAAGCTTGTCTATACAGACAAGCTAAAGGCAGAAACTGATTGCCTCCACACCATGTCACAGTTTTATAAATCCCTCTTTTTTTTTTGGTGTTTTGTAATATTCTAATATTTTGAGATAGAAGATTTTTGATTATCCTGAGCTATAAGTCATAATCATCAAGATTCAAACAAAAACAGTCTTGAAATTTCACTTTGAGTGCAAAGACTCTAGAATATGTGTAAATTTCACATTTTGAATTAAATTATGAGGAAATAAGGACATTTTGGTACATTCAACTTTTTCGATTTGCTCATAAATATCCTCTCCTAACATACATTTTCTCTGTATTGGAGGTCTTAAAGTCCTGAGATGACTCTGTGGTCTCTTAGCTTTGAGTGCGGGTGTTACTTTGGCCAGAACATACTTTTCAAGCTTAAGTCAATTCTAATTGGGGCCTTCAGTGAAATGTACTCCGGCTTTCTGACTGTCCGTAATCTTAATTTTTGGCAGTCATTTCACCTGGGAGACAGGACTAATCTCAGTGATTTTGTTTCAGTGTGTGACCACTTGCAGGTGGTTGCAATGATTATGTGAAAACTACATGCATTTATAGCAAACTTTGCCTTTAAATAGTTTCTAAATGTTGTCAGTGTATTCTTGTCTAAACAATAAGAGCAAACACACAAGACACATCTACAGTCACATCCTGTGACACTTGAGGAAACGGGGCTGAAAATACAACACTAGGGTGCTGTGAAGCACCAAAACAAGAAAAGATACAGAGTGCTGTAATAATCTAGTGAGAGCCTTGAACAATGACCATCACTATGTTGTCCACTTTGTGTTATAACGCAGCTGCATTTGTTGGAGCTACTCACCTAGAATGAAATTGATAAGATACGCGGGAGGCCCCATCGCCCAGATGAGACCTTGAGTAGGAGAATAAACAGCTTCAGCAGTTCCCATAATGTAACCTCCACCAACCCATGTCGCTGAAATACAACCACAGAAAGGAGAATGTACACCCACAATTACACTGATCAAGTTATAGACACTCAAAAATAAAGCACAGTTCTACCTGTCATGGTGAAAACTCCAACCAGGACGTTGATGTTGCGGCCGCCCACCATGGTAACTTCGCTTTTGCTGCCAACACATGACTTCTCCGCTTTCTTGGACTTTCGAGATGCCCAAATGCCAATTACTAGGATGATGATATAAAAAACCACCACGGCCACCAGTCCAGGAACATCCACTGCCATGTTTGTCTGGTTACATAATGTAAAGCACATCAATTATATGAAAATATAACTCAAAAACCCAACAGACACTCTGAAAAAAGCAGCTGTCTTCATCATTTCTTAAGCTTGAGACCGATATTTTAAGCCTTAAAACAATTCCCAATGAGACTTGGTAGCATTGTATTATGCCACCTTCAGGAAGCATCACACAAAGACATAAAAAAAGCTATTTTTCAGCTGACAATGGCCCAACTTAACCTTGGAAGACTGTATATGCACTGCAGGGATATGCCACAATAATGCCGTACAAAGGGGTGCTCAACATGGATTTACAAAAAAAGCCTGCAGCCAAAGGAAGGACTACTGAGGACCTTTAAGTCATCAAGTCCCCTCTATTTTCTTTTAGTTACTGCCTTTGCAGCAACCTTGGGGCTGTCCGTAGTCTTCAGTAAAAACACATTTTTTTTAGGCATGACCCGCTTTAACTGGCTTCAGTATTTTTCCAGCAGGACAAAATGTTTCTCTTGCCTGGATGTTTTTTTCCCCCCTCCTCTGCGGGGTTTTAAAGTTTATGTTCACTATCATGTCTCACTGGGAAAACTCTCTTAAAGGCTATACTCCAAATTACAGGTCATTACCTAGTTAGTACATTGTGTGTGTGTGTTTCCTTGAATAGGCTATGTAATCTAGTGCTAACTGGTTATTTTTGGAAGAACTAGCTGGAAGAAACCACTCCAATCAAACCAATGTTAGGGAATCATAGCAGAACTGTTATTTGTAGAAAATCAAGACAGACTTGAACATGTTAAAATGGTGTTATTGAGTTTCTGGGATAGACAGCGTGGCTGGTTAGTGTTGTATTTTACTCTCTGTAGCCTATTTTATGATTTGGTATGTGTTGAGGACAATGTTCTGCCTGGTTATCAGGAGCAGGTCATCGTGACCGTCAGCTGAACTGTGTGAATTGTAGGTAGACTGACAGAAAGACCATGCTTATTTCAGGTCACGAGTAAAGCTTGGATTCCTTTGAGGAGGGTAACTGACCTTGGTCTCTGTAAAATGTGCTGATAAGACTTTTAAAGACTGACTGCGTAGTCTTTACCTACAACTGACTTACTGACAGTGACATATCTATACATAATATATCTATGCAGATTTTTTTTATTATTGAACAATCAGTACGCAATAAACAGCGTCTTATTTCCAAAACAGGTGGAGCTGTTTGGCCCTCATCTGTAACAACTGAGCTTATATTTTATGCCTCTTATCCAACATGTAAATCTGCAGCTTTACAATGTAAGTGGACGATACAGCTCACAGCTTCCTCTGCTGGATGGTAACGTCTTAAACACCAGATTCACATTTTAATGCCTCTATAGTAGACCTCAAAAGCCTTCAAAGATGATTTCTCTATCAGGTGAAATCATGAGCTCATATGTACAGAGTGTAAAGCACATCTATTTATGGTCAAATCTCACTTTAGGCTTAAACCTTAATAGCGTTGGATTACCGATTTTGAACAAACGAGCACAGAGATGAATATCTCTTAAGAGAAAAACGTGATTGGATACAGAACACCGTTATCAATATCCGTTATTTAATATCGATCTCGTTTTTATGGGTGATTCAGATGCGAGCGCTTGTCCTCTAAGGCTGAAATTAGACCGCATCTGCATGGCCACAGTTAGCACGCATGTCGTTCACACAAACCGGTGTGACCCGCACTAAATAAAAAATACAACGAATTAATCACACAGATATGTCAATTAATTGATATGAGTCTATTTTGCTTCAATACATAAAACAACAATGATGGTTTTAATTAAATAGAGACCAAATGACTGGATATAGAGGAGAAAATTGTCAGCCTCCGAAAGGATGCGTGTTAGCTAACATACCTTTCAGTACAATCGGCTTCCTGTTGGCGCATCTGCTGCCTCCAGTGTGGATCTGTATTGTTGGAGCCCGGCTGCTGCTGCTGCTGCCCGAGTCTTCTCTATTGTTGTCTCCCCGTGAAACGTGACACCTGGTGGGGGCGCGTTCAGCTCCGTCACAAATGAGAACGCTCTCTTCGAAAAGGGAAGGAGGGTTGCGAAGAGGTAATTTTCCAGGGTCCCCCTCTTCGTCGTCTCAACCAGAACACGTGAGGATGCGTCAGGTCAAAAAATGATGCAAATGAATCAAACGCGGTAGTGAAACCTTGTGTCTGCAACTGAAATTACGCGCAAGATTAGAAACAGTTGCAAACGCCTCACAGCGCTCGGTCTTGAATGCAGCCCGGAGAATAGGCCCTAATCAATGACCACCTTATCAGTTATCAGAAAGGGCACGTGTGGTTCTTTCGCAAGTTACAGAGTTATATCATGTATTTAACGTCTTGTGTATCATGTTGACAACCGTGTGTTAATTTCACTGCTGAAACGTGAAACCGGGAAGGCGACACCTTCTACACAAGACTGAGATGAAGAGTCCAGTGTTGTACTCCTAGAGATCTGCATCAAGTGTCTTTGAAACCTTTTCCACGTTACCGTGAACAAGACTTGGTCGAGTTCTTACACTGTTTTGTACAAATGTCTTGTAAACATCAACTAAAACATATTTTTGAATGAAATTGAAGGGGAAATCACTCATCCAAAATTACACAAATGCAACGTCCCAGACATTAAAGAGCAGTTCTAGCAGTTGAGAACCCCTTCAGCCACAAGTTGCAACTACATGGACCCCTGTTTTTCAATTATGTAATCGTGTACATCATATTTTCATTCATTTAGTGGATGAGACTTCAGCACTCATTGACTGCCTCTTTATAAAGGACAGCAGTTTCAACTTCTGAGCTTAATCCAGTGGTTTCTTTGGCAAATCCATCAACCCATCTCTCTGCCCCTCGGCACTTATTTACTCAACAGTCTTTGTTAGATATCCCACTGAGCAATAGATGGCTATTGGACGTCTAGTTTTTTTTTTAAAACCAAATTTTAACCGTCTAGATTCTGTTAATTTTTAGACAAAATTTTGACGTTACACTTCAACCCATTATTCGATAACTATTTATTTCAAAAAGCAACTGTGAGTTGCATAACTGATCTCCAAGTATTTAACCAAAATAATTATGATAGCCATTGAGCAATATACAGTGCAGTATATATATAGCCCAGATTTAGACTTGGTCTAAAGTTGATCTAAATTTAGACATCTAAAAAACTTTGATTTTAAGACCTATGGTAGCCTGATTTTAGACCAGTCATCTAGGCTACATTTAGACGTCTATTAGACCTCTTTTAGACCAAAAATGCTCAGTGGGACATCCCTCCTGCATGCCATTGTTGTGTGGAGCAGCTGTGGCAAAACCTCTTTTTAAAAAGACCAGGCTTGCTCTTGATTCAGGCACAGGTGCTCACCATAGGCCTATCTACACTCACCGGCCACTTTATTAGGTACACCTGTCCAACTGCTCGTTAACACTTAATTTCTAATCAGCCAATCACGTGGCGGCAACTTAGTGCATTTAGGCATGTAGACATGGTCAAGACAATCTCCTGCAGTTCAAACCGAGCATCAGTATGGGGAAGAAAGGTGATTTGAGTGACTTTGAACGTGGCATGGTTGTTGGTGCCAGAAGGGCTGGTCTGAGTATTTCAGAAACTGCTGATCTACTGGGATTTTCACGCACAACCATCTCTAGGGTTTACAGAGAATGGTCTGAAAAAGAAAAAATATCCAGTGAGCGGCAGTTCTGTGGGCGGAAATGCCTTGTTGATGCCAGAGGTCAGAGGAGAATGGCCAGACTGGTTCGAGCTGATAGAAAGGCAACAGTGACTCAAATAACCACCCGTTACAACCAAGGTAGGCAGAAGAGCATCTCTGAACACACAGTACGTCGAACTTTGAGGCAGATGGGCTACAGCAGCAGAAGACCACGCCGGGTGCCACTCCTTTCAGCTAAGAACAGGAAACTGAGGCTACAATTTGCACAAGCTCATCGAAATTGGACAATAGAAGATTGGAAAAACGTTGCCTGGTCTGATGAGTCTCGATTTCTGCTGCGACATTCGGATGGTAGGGTCAGAATTTGGCGTCAACAACATGAAAGCATGGATCCATCCTGCCTTGTATCAACGGTTCAGGCTGGTGGTGGTGGTGTCATGGTGTGGGGAATATTTTCTTGGCACTCTTTGGGCCCCTTGGTACCAATTGAGCATCGTTGCAACGCCACAGCCTACCTGAGTATTGTTGCTGACCATGTCCATCCCTTTATGACCACAATGTACCCAACTTCTGATGGTTACTTTCAGCAGGATAATGCGCCATGTCATAAAGCTGGAATCATCTCAGACTGGTTTCTTGAACATGACAATGAGTTCACTGTGCTCAAATGGCCTCCACAGTCACCAGATCTCAATCCAATAGAGCATCTTTGGGATGTGGTGGAACGGGAGATTCGCATCATGGATGTGCAGCCGACAAATCTGCGGCAACTGTGTGATGCCATCATGTCAATATGGACCAAGCTCTCTGAGGAATGCTTCCAGCACCTTGTTGAATCTATGCCACGAAGAATTGAGGCAGTTCTGAAGGCAAAAGGGGGTCCAACCCGTTACTAGCATGGTGTACCTAATAAAGTGGCCGGTGAGTGTATATTTAACCTTTCCCACATTGCAATAATTCCTGAGAAAGCAGTGGTTTAGAAGTTGACTAAGTGACCTTTAAAACAATTAAAAGACTTTTTGTTAGGTTTTAGGGTCCAACATTGCACTAGAACTGCACTGTTAAAAGTTACAATTGATCAAATTTTGCCTTTGGACAATGGGCTTTTCTCCCTTGTCCTGTGAGATCTTAGTGCTGCATTTAGTATGACTGACCATCACTTCCTGCTGTAGACCGAAGCAATTAAATCATGCAACAGGAACCACTTTAACTTAGACTAGATCGATACCCTTTAGTGAAAGTCTTCCGTGCGTACCAAGCCTATACAGAGAGATCCACAAGGTTTAGTACTCAGACCATTTTTTTTTCAGTTGGTACCTGCTTGCCATGTTGGTATCATGTAGGAAAACATAAGTTTCCATTAGTATGCAGATGACTCTCAACTGTTCTTATCAAGACTCCTATTTAAATAAATCCGCAAACTAAACCGAAAGACTTAAAGCCAAGGTGACCCCAAATTTTTCCTGCTACACTCAAACAAGACTTAAGTGTTTTCCTCTTGGCTTAAAACCCAGGAGTGAGACATTTTCTGAACATGTAATGGCCTTTTAAGGCATTGGCCTTGCATCCAAGACAGCTGTTATAAATCAGTGAATGCAATTGCAATTGTTTTCTAGGACAGCTATCTTTCACCTTTGAAATAGAGCAAAAATCAGAAACAATCTATTTCAAGATTATGCAGAAAACTTAGTCCATGCATTTGTTACCTCTAGCTGAGATTATTGTAATTCTTCTTTCATTAGACTGCCCCAATAATGACTCTTCAGTCTCTAGTAGTACTATGGGTGGTGGGGCCTTCAGATATCCAGCCCCTCACTCTTGGCATCATCTCCCAGTCAGGGTTGAGGAGACAGACACCCTCTTGACTTTTAAGAGTTAGCTTAAATCTTATTGGAAGCTATTCTAAAGAACATGGATCATCCACTTCATAACACCTTGATGGACTAAAAGGCCAATGGTGGCGGACGGCTCCTTATGCTTAGCTGCAGGACAGAAAGATTTAGAAGATCTTTTGCACCCACAGCCATCAGACTTTATAATTGAACTGTAAATAGTAGATGACATACAGTAGATGTCATGAGACAAATAAAAATCTCTTCGTGGACCAATAAAGTTTTTTTTATCTTATCTTTATCTTCTTTAGATAGCGCTTACAATTTGGGCAATTACAATTACAATTTAGTTGTGGTCCTACAAGAACAGACTGCATGGAGAACTGGAACACTGACCCTCTGTCTTTACCCTTATCTCTCTGTCCTAAGCAAAAGTTCCTAATAACACATCTCCCTGGGGTCCTCTATTGTCTCATAGGTTCCTCTGGAAGGGTACTAAAAATAACCTACTGCCATGGACTAGCTTTCAATGACCGCAACTTAGCTATTAGTAGTATGAGACAATTCAGACAGTTGGCTCAAGACCACTGAGTTTACTGGTGGTTCCCCAACAGTGTGTTGTTGTTTTGACCAATTTAGAGGTGAATTGTTTATTATATTCCTTCTATCAAAAGTTAGATAGTCCCCCTTTGACAGTTTATGATATAATTACCCTCAAGAAAAATAAAAAAATATCACATGATATACTTCTTTGTATATGACTGATAAGAGGTGTAGACATAAGTTTTAACTATGACTAAACTGGGAAGGACGAAGTAGCAATGAAAACTTCATTATAAGTCAAGGGAACGTACAGTAAATGCTGAACTATTTTTTGTTTCACACATCCTTTTGAGCATATTTCAGGTTAAAAAAAAGTTAAAGGCATTCATGGGAAATCACCAAAAATGTCCAAGTAATTGATAAGACATGATGGTGTCTTTGCCCAGACTAAAATAACAAAAAAGTATTGTTCTTTGCTTAAGGAAACATATCAAATGCCTCTTTCCACAAAACCTCCTATAGCGGTTCACTTGCAAATGTGTATCTTGAAACCTTAACAGCCTGGTTGGAGTCCAGCCTGAAACTCTTGTCAATAAGGAGGATAAAAGAAAATCTACTATCAGCCAAAACCCCTTTATTTGGGAACACTGAGTGATGTCAATGCAGTTTTTTGTTTTTTTTTATGAGGCATGTGAGTGGGTTGTGTTTGATCTAGGTGCCAGGGTTTGCCTGTGTGAGCTCCTGGTTGTCAGCTGCCAACTGTGGGTGGTTGAAAAGTACAAGTCCATTTCCTGCAGGGTCAGAAGTGCACAGTATCCAGTGGTTGGTGTCCGTTTCTGCTTTGTGAGAGTCCAAGAAGGTGTGAGTTGTGACCTCATACTCTTTGCCAAATGTGGTCCTGCAGAGACACCACTGTTACTTACAATTTGACTGCAGACATCCAGGCATTTTTACATGACTTGTGCAAACTGAGCCAAGACACAAAAATTAATATCAGTAAGAAATTGGTTGTGAATTCTTATTTTGATTCAGTACATGTGAATTCTTACACTGATTACTTTCTTATCAAGAACTTTCAAGACTTTTTTTTAGTTTCAAGCCTCAGCTCATAATTTCCTTGAAAGTAGTGGTACAACTATTATGTAATAGGGATTTTACATGCAACCGAGACTTCAGGCTGCTCCATTGTACTCACAATCAGCTGACCTTTGCACACATCATAATTTCAACTGTCTTCAACATCCATACCATCATATCCTGTGTTATCATTATGTTTTAGCACCTTGCTTAAAATCAAAGTACTCAATGGACCTTTCAGATGAAATCAGGCCGAAACACAAATCAATATGTTTATCCTTCATTAAACTAGCATAATATTCTGCAAAGGTTGGGTTAAATTTCAAACTGTAAAATGGAAAAATACCAGAGGACTTGATCACCAAGTGCAGCAATAGCCTGGTTTGTCTTGCAGTGTTTAATCAGCACCTTCAGATTAGCCTGTAACACAAAAAGATAACAAAGCATGTTTTGAGGCAATTCTCAGTGAAAGTGTAGAAATTAAGGACATTAGATTCTGCTGCTGTTGCAACTGGTGGAATAATTAACCATAAAAGATACAATAAAGGCTTACAGGGACAGGCTGACCCTCATTTTCAAGTCTCTCCTGTGGGTCAAAGTGCACTATCTTCCACTGTGAGAGAAAAGAACAGTCTTCGTCCAAGTTTACTTCCTGTATACACTATAAGAAAATTACAACAATGTAAAAAAAAAAACAGAGGAAAGTCCCCCCAAAAAATGTCAGATAAAATTGTTGATTTCCTGTTCAACTTAAGGTGTGTTTGAAAGTCCTTCACATTTCCACTTCACAAGACATCTTATCACATCTTGACATTGTTAGTATAATGCGTTCTCATTGTTGGTCTTGAGAAAAGAGGCAAATAAAGTCAAACTTGCTCTACCTTTTGAAAACTTTGCCGGTCACTCATTAGGTAAAGCTGTAGAGAGAAGGAATGAAAGAGAAAACCTGTGAGGCCATACACACAGTGCAATACGACATATGCTATTAAAAATTAACATGGAACACTAAAACTTGAGCGTATCATGTTTAGCTTATTGTAAAATACAGGTGTAATAAGTAACAAGCAATGTGCTCAGAAAGCCACTCTTTTTCTTTTTTAACACTTTATGAAATAGAAGACCATAGTTTTTTATACTTAGTGATATTATTGAGTACATCAGGGTTATTCTGTCAGCACATTCTGTTGGCACACACATTTTTGGGACTCTGAGAGATGAATTGGGGAATGGTCCAAGCCAAAAACATCCTGATTTCCTGGTTGTTATTACATGAACCCATTGCAAAATTGTATCAAACAATAGTTCCTCATCTGTCAAAGTTACACTGTTTGTAACACAAGCTGTCTGAGAACCCTCTGGAAAATCCAGTCAAACAGATTCATACTGGGGCGTATCATCTCATTTTTTGTTAATCCACACAATTTTATCTGGGCTCATAACAGAGCAGTGAGTCTTTGTCTGGAGGGCTTTATCAGGACAGCCTGTGTGTGCATGAATGCCTCATATCACTTACCCCTCTGGCAAAGCCACATGTTGTTTTCAGAGCAAAACTCTGCTCATAATGCAGAGTGGATCCTGCAGGACTGCCATCAACACTGGAGACACACAGGCAGTGTTAATAATGTCCAACCACAAGTGTTGAATAGGTGTGAATTTTGGTGTTTTCGCACGAGTTCATGTGTTTACCTGGTAATGATGAAGGCAGTGCGTGTGCAGGCCTGAATGTTCCTTCCTGCACTGACACCACACGGAGCTTTAATGCCAGGAGTAGGAGTTTTGGTCAGACTATTAAAGTCTGCATTGATGCTGATGGCACTGCACTCCCTGTTGTCTCCTCCCAGATTCACCAACATCACAACATCCCCAAAGTGCACTCTACCATCTGTTGTCACTGTGAGACTCACCTGTATTCACAAGGGCAAGCACGATTATCATTGCCGTAACCATCTCTAGCATTAGCGTGATGTTATTGTTGCTGTTGATGGTGAGCAAAGTTTGCTTTAACGTGTTTTACCGGTCTCAACATGTTCTCTCTAAGGGAGTCCATTTTCTGGTAGAGAAGTTCACCCCTCTCTTTTTCCTCCTCGTACTTTGTCTTCTCATCCTAAAAAACAAACAAACAAACAAACAAAACTGTATAGCATGCACAAAGTGTTTTCTCAATATGTCCCCATCACTGCAAGTAATAAAATCCCTAATGTCATAGCAGAACTGTAAATTATTACAGGAAAATAACTTGTAAATTTTATTTTTGTCTCTCGGTAGACTGAGCACAACAGTAAACAACATGCAAGTGCAGCTTTAAAAAGACAGCAATTTAGAAAGTTACTAGTGAGGACAAGTTCAACTTAAAATATTAATGAATAAGAGAATGAATACAAAATTAAGTCAATTAATAATAGCATCAGAAGTGGGTCAAGTCCACCTCCAGTGTTAATGAGTACAATAGAAGTTGGCATAAAGTTAGACATGCCATGATTGTCCCAAAAGAGTGAGATCTGTAACAGTGTCCTTTGGGTAAGTAGTTGTAGTTGTGTTAGGACATTTACCATCTGTTTATTATAGCCCTTTTTTTTCTGTAGATGCTGCCCAGAGGCTCCAGAGTTCAGTAATTGAACTACTTAATTTGATGATTTTGTTCACGAATTGGCCTATGTCACAAGATAACTTTATTTAAGGGTTTCCTGAATCGAAGGAAAATCTATGCAAAGAACATTTAAGAAAGCAGAGCCATGAAAGTTTGAATGTGTCAGGCTGGCACATAGAGAAACAGTGACCTGCTTTTACATTAATGACATGACTGGTCTTAAAAGGAACCTTTTTTAATACAAGGAAAGGTCTAATGGTCCAATATGTTTACCTCAAAAACACTGCAGTTTCTGTTCCGACAGAAAACGAAAACTGAGATTGGAAACTTCATGAACGATTAGTCACTGAAGGGTGCTTAGAAACAGCAAGCCCACAACAACACAGAAATTTCTCTTTTTTTTAACAAACCTCTTTCAAGCGCAGGTCTTCAAACCAGTTCCCCATTTTTACCGTCTTGTGATTATTCATCACTCGAGACATTTTGGTATTGGCACTGAAGTACACCTATCTGGAAATAACGTGATTAGATACGTTACGCTAATGTTTGTGGTACGCTGTAGGAAGCGTTGGCTAAGTTTGTAGTACGATTTCCATGGTAACAGAGGGTAACAGGTGTTCTGCCGTAGAATGCACCCCTGCCGTAGAGTGCTCCCCCTGACGGGAGCGCGGTTGGAAGTACACAACAAGGCGAAATAATCCAAGTTTTCCTTGCCGTTGGATGGATTCAAAAGAGTGTGCCTTCAATAATTTTATTCAGGCTATTCAGATAACCCAGAAACAATAGCCCTCTGATTCAGAATATTTGCTGTCCTGACAATATAACGTTCTTTACCTTGACAGTTTACTGTACAGTTTATATACCCAAGTACACCTCTATATGTGCGATTTTGAGACACATAAAAACAGAACGAAAGTTTGCTGCGCTATTTGACATGTGGTCATGATCTAATACTCGTGTTTTAAGTACGGGATCATTTTCTTCCACTTTAAGAAGCTAACGAGTGGATGGGATGCATTCTACGGCACAACACCTGTTAACGGAAGTTTCATCCTCTGTCAGTTCTCGCCAACTGTCGCGAGATGGCAGGCGTGTATAGCCGGGAGAGTTTGCTGTTAGGAAAATCAAAACACAGATAGCAAGTAGCCTAGGGTCACAGTCTGAAAATTATCCCTTTTCATCGGTGAAGAAACACTTTCATCTTTTATCATCTGAGGGAAAAAGAAAAGGGAGATAAACACAGAGGCACATTCCCACACAAGCTGGACTTTCAAGTCATAAATGTGAGTTTCATTATTATTATTATTATTATTTATAAATGTACTAAATTGAGCACAAACACACAATAACAGACAAAAATGCATTCTCAATAAATCTTCCACTTGTCTTGATTGAGAGAACATGATAAATTTTAAACACTTCAAAAAATAAAGTTGAAGTCCTCACACTTTCATTGAAAATCTTGGCCCAAGTGTCGTTTTGTTTTGCATGGATGTCATTATTTTATTCAAACATCAATCCAAGCTGAATCAGTTTATGTTTAGCTGTGTCAGTGGCCATTCGCTCGACCTCTGGTTCCAGAGCCATTTTTATGGTTCAGTTTGTGATTTCTTTCCTCTGGTGTGTCACTGTCATCCTCATCTTCATCACTCCTGTCATCACCTTCCAGCTGTGTGATGTAGAAAAGCCACAGAAGAGAGGTAGATCAGGGTAAGCCAAACAAAAGCCTAAAAGGACATGCCAGTTGTAGAAATTGTACATTCTCTTTCCTTTAAATGCACGAATGAACACATGAAAACACACCTTGGAAAAGAGACACTTATAGAGCATTCGGGATATTAGAGCAGCCCAGTAGAGGTGGAGCATCAGAAGAATACACAGCATCACGTTGAAGAAGTAGTAGCCAAAGAAGGGGGGAAAAAGCTCCAGTGGGTAAACCCATGTACAGTGAATTAACCTGTAAAGATATTAAACAAAAGATAGTTAGACTTGCCCGGACCAAATTTTAACCCTTGGTATTCATTTTTTTATACTGTACAGTTGTTACTGTGGGCCTATGTCTGTTACTGTGTGTAATCTTGATAGTTTTTCCTATTTGAAACTGGCCATAGCTGTAATCTGTATATGCAAAACATCACTTACTACAGGCTGTGTAACAGGCTGTTGTACTGTGTAATTTGCATTGTCCCTATCAAAAAAAAAAAAAAAAAAAAAGGAAAGAAAAAGTACCTTAACTTTGGCACTAATGATGACAAGCTAGCTTTTATTTCTAATGTTGATGCAGTGTAAATATTTTTGCATTATTTTGGTGAATCTTTTCTTAGATTTTCTCTCAGTTGTTTTTAAAGATAAGTTTATCTTAAGAACAGAAATTGGTTTCAGGTTGTTCAAATGTGGTGCAGAATTGCAGGCATTACTTTGAATTATTTGAGCCAGGTATTCACGCTCAGGACTCTTGAAAAAGGCTCAGTGGATCTTAAATGATCTGCACCATGCACTGTTTAAAAAGCTTGTTGTTTTTCCGCTTGGCTGCAGATACATTCTCTCTGCATGCAGGACTGACTGACTGGAAAACTCTTTTTCCCCAACTGCCATCAGCTTTTTGAAAAGCTAATGTTGTATTCATTTTTTATATTAATTTGATTGCCCTTTTTTACAGTTGTGTTGTGCTTGTTTTCTTTGCTATTGTCTGTGTGATGGATGATATTTTTAGCCCTTTTGTTGCAGAAGCTGCTTCGGGGCTCCAGACACAGCTACATTTAATGTTTTTTTTAACACATGTAACAAGAAATTTGATCAACTGAATTAGAAATCACAAACGAAGGCTGCACATGAACTCTTTGTAAATCCCTGGACTGTAAAAAGCCTGAAGTGTGCAGTTACATAACTTTGTTAAATAAAATAGCTTAGAGACATAATAGTTTCCTGACCAAAAAGACATCTGAGAGGGCAGAGCCATAAAATGCAGCCTGAAGTTCAGATGTGTCAGGCCAACACATAGAGAAACAAACAGAAGCTACTTATTCAGTGTGATGGTTGTGTGTTAACACCGGCTGTACAATAAATTTCCCCTTGGAAATAATAAAGAAATCCTTGATCCTTTATCACACTTACCAGAAAGGAAAAATCACAAGTCTTGTGAGCATAAAGATAGCTGTAAACACCACGAATATGATGTTAGCAGTCTGGTGCCACTTGGCGTAGTTCAGTACTTTGGCGCCCTGCGGGATAAAAACAGACCTTTGTTTAAAAAGGACAGTCTAATGCCTGCTATAGTGTTGTTGCAGGTATTCTTTCTATTTGCACTTAGCTTACGTCATGTAATTATTCACTTATACAGCTTTACCTGTGCCAATACAGAAGGTAAACAAATACCTTTGACAGAGAGTATCAGAAACATTTAGCTGTGGTTTAAACCTCACTCTATCCTTAAGAGTACACTTCACCGCCTTAAAACTACCTTTGAAGACAAAGTAACTGTTCTTTTGAGTCAGTCCACTGAACTGTTACGAGGGGAAATTCCACTTATTTTGTAACACCACACCAGCCTGAAGTGCTCCTATAGTGCACTAGTGCTGATTAAAGCTCTGACCTCCAGCAGTATGTCTGCAGAGTCATGGACCACCATCACAAGAGTTCCAATACGGATGTAGTTTGAAATCCAGGAGAAGCACAGGAGGGTCAGTGTGGCTATATGATGAATCACCTGCTCTTTAAAGTCCTAGATACAAATAACAGGTAAACATGCATGTATATGACAAACAGAGAAAAAATATTATAACATAATGATGGTATATATGTAGGTTTTGCCTCAGTGTATCACTGAGTACCTCATGGTTATGCATAAGCACTTATGTATAAACACAGATATTAGTATGCTTACCTTGCGTTTCACATCAAACGTGAGGCTGAGGATCAAAGAGAGGTAGAAGCCTATTTCCAAGAGGTAATACCAGTGCTGAGATGGCAGCATGGACTTCACGTACAAATGAGATAGGATGGTGTAAGAGATAATGAGATAAGATACACCTGAACTTTATTAGTCCTAGCAGAATTTTAGGGCCAGATTGCTCCAAAATAACAATACATCAAAGTGAATAACGTAATAAAAGCCTCTAATTTACAGGGGCCAATATAGTGTAAAAAACTACAAAGTGAATGAAAGTGAGATTAAAAGTGCTTAAGATTAAATGGACATGGTAATAAGTAAATAACAAAAGGCTTCACAGTGATAACTAGGACAACCTTATCGTACCAGATAATGTAAAACATAACACTGCATCATAATATTGAAATAAAAACTGCACATTATAGTTAATGTAAAAGTAATATTGCACATGACGTTAATGAGGGTTAAGTACTACAGCACTGATATTGCAAAGACCAACAGAAAAAGTGCTTGTGACAAAAAGGTCATGCTCTACTTTTCTCAAGTAGAATGAAAATGGGTCACACAGCTCATACAGACACTTATAAAGTCCATGATACCACGTACTGTGATATTGTACAATCCTTGGACTGTAGAAAGCCTATAGTTTATTGTTAAACCACTTTGTTGAATAAAATAATATAAAGGTAAGAGTAAAAACGAGTAAAAACTTGTACCTGTTTTGGAAAGCCGGCCCAAACCTCTCTCAGATTATACAGCCAGGGTTTCTGCAGCCAACAAAATTAAAAAAGGGTGTTAGTGTGTGTGTGTGTGTGTGTGTGTGTGTGTGTGTGTGTGTGTGTGTGTGTGTGTGTGTGTGTGTGAGGAGGTCTGGGGTGGAAAAAAAAAAAAAAAAAAAAACGGCAAGGGTAAAAGGTGTCCACAAGCACATGCATGTGTGTGTGAGTGCCGGAGTGTGAGAAAAACCCTGAAGCACATATTGTACACAGTGAAACCAGAGCAATACATCCACATGGGGCGACAGAAGAGAGGCAGACAAGGAAAGAGAAATATCCCACAGCAGCAAAGAAAGCACCCTGTGCAATACAATAGTGGCCAACGCAAGAGCTGAATATATTCATATTCATCAGAACCCAAAAGTACTCACATCATAGAGGGCCACAACCCCGTAAATGAATGCAAAGAAATAAAAGACACATCTCCAACTGTTGATGGACAAAAACAATAATAGCACATATTTAGATGTACACACATATACTCTCACATCAATTATCAACCACACACGGATGGATGGACAGACACTCATACCTGGCTTCACAGAACCTCTTGCGAAGTCCTGCGCGCTCCTGGTTCCTCCTCCTCCTGAACCAGAGCTGAACTTTTCTCTCTGTCCAGCTGGTCTTCTTGCACAGAGACCTCACATCTGCCTGAAGCATGAGGGCAACAACAAAGTTATTACTCTCTGTCCAAAATATACCAAGCCAACAGCATTTACCCCTAAAGAGTTATCAGATAAAAAAAAAAACATAGATTTATCACACATTTAATTTAATCATTTTTTTCTAATTCATCCTCCTGTATTCTGTATTCAGGACTTTGATTTGCATATTTTTCTTTCCTAGAACATACCTGTGATGGAGCCCGTTTTTGGCCGCAGAAGAAACTTTCCAGGACATGGTTTGACTCTGCTTTTAGACGTACCCTGTCCCTGATTCCCCAAACATTAGCCAGTGGTGTGGCCAGGTACCTGTGACAACACATATTACATTAATTATGTGTCAGTGTTTCAGCTACACATAGCAGGAGTGCCCAGGCTCATTGCTCCACTCGGCTTGAGCAACATAATCCCTGAATTCTGCAACCAGACGTCGCTAATCTCCCTGAGACATAGGCCCATCTACTCGCAGACTGTAGGTTCTCACCTCTCAAACAGGTATCGGACAAGGAGCAGGCAAAAAGCACAGGGAACAGCTGCGTAAAGGTGAGAGGTTTTGGCGTATATGTGATCTTCACTGTCCTCCAGATCAGACCAGGAGAGGTTTCCCGGCAGCCACAAACGGTCCCACCACAGCCACTCGCTTACTGTCTGTAACATGCTGCTGGAAAACACAGGGTGCACCTAGGGCAAACAACATTATATATATATCACCTTAGTGTCATATTCAGGTTTTAAAACCATGTCATGACATGAAGTTACTTGAGAGCATTAGAAAATATAGCATGTATTTAAAGCAAACTGAGTGACCTACATTTGAAGTTTTATAAATGAGGATGTTGGATTATTAATTGTAATGTTACTTTAGGTCTGGCTTTAACGCAAGTTACTTTCATGTCTCTATCAGCGCATGTATGTTATTTTGTTCTATTTTGTGTGTATACATGCAAGCAAGAAGTAAGGTTTCCAAATGCCTAATTTTTCTGTCACAGGTGTATAAAGCACTTTGTGCTCCATTAACTCTTAATGAAAAGTGAGATTTTAATGAAGTCTAGTTGATTGATAGAAAAGAAGTGGGATTTTCATTTGGAAAAAAAAGGCTTTTAGGGACTCAAAGCATGATTTTAGATAATAAAAGAGTGGAATTTAGAGCCAGGGTAGAGTGTAGCCAAAACCGGTTTACACGAGATACACGCTGCCATTCATAACTGCTCTTGAACTCATTTTGTCTTGAATCATGGTGCCATATTCTAGTCGTGATTTTCCACTACCTCCTGCTGGTCTCTTGCCAGTACATCCACCATGTGCCCATGCTGCTATGAAGCAAACGAGTAGTTTGGAGAAAACAGCAGATACTGAGGGGCCAGAGAGATAAAAAAAGGGCGAGGAGCAAGATTAGAGCAAAGTAAAGTCCTTCCTTAGGTGGACTCTGCCCACAAAAGATTGTAGATAAAGAAGTTTGATTTGAGCTGTGAAAAATCAACCACAAAATAAGCAAACTTGAAGCTATCTAAACAAATCAAAACTGTTGTTTTTTTGTCTCATTAGTTTGTCTCAATATTTGTGCGCCCCTGGTATTCAGAGTGAGTTAAGCCAGCATGAGAAGATGAGCATACATACCTGCAGGCAGTGTCCTCTTGACAAGTTCCAACAGAGGAGAGGAGAGCTGAGACAGATACAGAAGGAGGTTTGTGACAAATGTCCAATGAAAGTCTTCAGAAGCTGACACACCTGAAAAGCTAAAAATATCAAGTTTCATGCCAAAGGGTGTCAGTGTTTGGCGGTATAGTCCTTGGATGCAAGTCCGTTACAGAATATTTTGACTATTATATACACACACACACACACTGAATCTTACACTCACCTTCAGTTTGTCACATGTAAGTTTGTGTTTCCAAGAATTTGTATAAGTGCAGAGCCAGTTTGATACTCATACAGTTCATGTACCACACTTATCCACATTAGATAACAGCTCTGTTGGATCCTGAGCTCACTGTCTCAACTGTTGTGGAGTCATTCTTCAAAGATCGCATTAAAAGTTTCAATAAAAAGGCAAATATTGACTCAAGAGCTAATGCTTTCCCTAATGTACCTCATCTGTGTGCGAGGTGACAGGCTTCAGTGAGCATGTTGATTTTGGAGCATGTGTGTGGTCGCTCACCTGGTTGGAAAGAATGGGATCCTTCCCTCCCACTCTGTCTGCTCTCGAGATCACACCCTGTTAGCTGCGGCAAGTCCTCTAAGGAAAGGTTAGCTCAGTGCTGGAAAAGCTCTCACATGCTGTTGGAGCATTTTTGTATATTCAGTCGTAAATAGTAAACTGGAGCAGTTATTAGAGTGTGCGATTGTTTGCATGTACCCTCACCTGCAAGAATTCCCTTGGAATGCCGGGAAGCCCCCACAAAGGCCCCATTCAGTGGTGGAGCAAGGGGGGGGAGGAGGAGCCATAGCAGGTTATGGACAGGGGAGAAAAAGGGAACTTTTGCATGCAGGAGAGTGAAACATGAGTCTGTGTTAACTGCTGTTCTGGTTAATATCAAACACGCCGATAGAAACTGACTGCAGTTAGAATAAACTATTTCACCTGCTCAGTTTATATAAAGACTTATATAAAATATTTGGGCAATAAATTCAAATAGCAAGGCGTTTTTCATACTTTTTAGGAGAAACAGAAATATGTCAGATTCAGGGGGACACAAAAAACAATGCCCATCTATATTACAATACAAAATACTATTTTTTTTGTTGTTGTTTCACTTATCACCACAAAGGGGCGACATACACTTTCCAATGCATTCGGGCTCATCATTAGTGTCAGAAATTAACACCCAACAATCCTGCATGAAACACCCCATACACTGAAGATTTTGGAAGAAAAAAACAAATATCAAAAATATCTCCTTTTATTACAGTTTTACATTTTTTTTATATATCAAAATTTCTACAAGCATTTCTGTTGATACTAGCTGTGCTGTTCATCTTTTTCTGGTCTACAAGGCAGCACTGCTACATGTGTGGAACCGGAAATAACAGAGAAGCAGCAGCTAATGAGCGGTGTCTGTGTACGTGCAGAAACAAATCGAGAAAAACAGAAAAAAAATAAATAAAAATTAAGTTAGTCAAGTCCCAGAAGAACGACGGAGTATTAGGGCCACATTAAGAAAAAAAATTAAGACTTTGAGATTAAAGTAGTTAATTTACGAGAATAAAGTCATAACTAATGAGAATAAAGAGTAAAAGTCAGAATAAAGTCCTTATATTCTAACCTGCTGTTTAAGATGACAGCTGTTGAAATGAAAGCCATGGAGCATTTTGTGAAAATGTACTTCAATATATGTCGCTCAAACAAGGAGATACTTAATCTTTTGGCACATCAGCACCACATTATCATAAGTATAGTAGTAGTAGTAGTTGATTACGACTTCATTCTCGTTAGTAATGACTTATTCTCGTAAATGAATGACTTTAATCCCGAAGTCTTAATTTTCTCAAAGTTAATTTTTTTTTTCTTAATGTGTCCATAATACTCCGTCTTACAGAAGTGTGTTATTGGGGCACAGCAGAGAAAGTTTGAGAGTAGCAGTTCTCTTGATTTTTCACCACTCCCTGCAACTCCATCACTCCTAAACCAGAGTGCAGTATTGACAACTTTGTAAAGATCAAGAGGATATAAAGGATGTTCTGTTGATCTGGATGGCCTATCCTCAGACCCCAGGTATTATTGGTGCAGATAGACAGAACAGACAGGGGGGAATGAGGCTCCAGGCACAGACAGGAGAGGCTAATCTGGATAGTCCTCCCCCTCCCTCTGCCACCCACTGTCCTTTACTTTTGCCCTCCAGTTCCCCTCATAACAAGGTCTCGCGCTTGAGTTCACTAGGGGAAGGGGGAATGCGATCTCCCAGCTTTGTAAGGCTGGTGGAGTGGCTAGGCTTGGCGCGTTGCTCTTCTGGACCGGGGTCTCTTTGTCGTGGAGGCAGGGTGGAGCACCGGGCTTTGGCCCTAGAGCGAGGCTGCTGAGGTGGAGGACCTTTCAACGCAAAAAGTTCTTTGGGGGCTATGAGCTGCTGGGCTGCTGGGTCCTGTGTGGGCTGTGGAGAGGAAGGGGACACTGGTGTATGTGGAGGAGTAAATGGGTTGGATGAGGCTGATAATGAGGTACCGAGAGGAACAAGGGGAGCGAGTGTGGCCGGCTGCTGGATCCTGGTGAGGCTGGTGGAGTGGCTGGGCCGTGGCAGGCTGTAACACGCCTCTGCACCTCTGTGGCGGGAAGGCAGGGTGGAGCAGCGGGTCTTTGCCCTTGAGCCGGGTTCTCTGGGAGGTGGGGGAGCAATTAGTGAGATGGGCTTATTGTCAACACTTGATGCTGCAAGTTCTCCCTTTGAGCCTTTCAGACTCTGGGTTGAACCTCTGTTGGATGATGGGCGTGACGTGGGATCCTGGTCTTTCTGGATTTCCTGTTTGGAGTCCGAGCGAGGGAGCTCTGCATCAGTCATCGTGCTTGAGGAGGGTTCTTCATCTTTAAAATCAGAAAAAGAGAAATTATTAGGATGACACAGGACAAAATCAGAGCTAAGAGAAATTTAATTAGATGTGAAGCAAAACAGATGGATCAAATCTCTCCTCTCACCTAAAAGGCCCAGTTCACCCATGAGGGCATCCAAATTAACGGTGAAGTGATCTGTTTCAGCTGCTTTTACTTTGGCTTCATTTTCTTCTTCTTCTTTTTCCTCCTTTTCTCCTTTATCCTCTTTTTCTCCTTTCTCCTCTTGTTCACTGTCTTCTTTTCCATCCTTTTCATTTAGCTCCTCAGCTTTCTCCTTTTGTTCCTCCTCTACCTCTTCAACCTCACCCACTCTTTCAACCTTTTGCTCTTCCTCTTCAGTTTCTCCAAGAACTTCCAAAGTCTCTGTAAGTTCTGGGTCAGCGTCATCAGTCCTTATGGGGACATCCAAACTGGTTTCTACATCCTGCTCCTCTTCTTCTTGTTGCTCCTCTTGTTCCTCTGGCGGTGCTTCCACCACAATGTCTATGATGCTGGGGAAGTGGGGGACAGAGCGTCTTGGAGAGTGATATTTGGCACGTGCTTCTTGGTCTTGATTCAGCAGAAACTCCATCAGCAACATATTTTCTTTCTTCAGTTGTTCCCTCAGGGATCGTGGTACGTCTGGGATCATCCAGGCAACCAGCATGCTGAGGAACATGGCGAGGTTCTGCGGGAAAAAATACAAGGAAATGTTTTCGTCAGAAATGTATTTGTTTGCTTTTAGTTTATGCTGCTTTAAACTTCTAACAAACTATTTTTAGCTATTAAAGGATACCATTTTACAGGCTAAATGGACTTTACAATCCTCCGGTCCACAACAACACAGCGACCCAGGATCAGGTGACTACTGACCCTTATAAGCTGATTGCGTGTTGTCCCAGGCATCAATGACTTATATCAGTGTTATGGTTTCACTTTGTCAATGCTGCTATTAGATTCCCAGACTGTCTGCATCTCTGCAAAACCCAACTCAGACATTGCAGGTTTCAGACTTTTAGTGCCATTATAATCCCTGACCTTATTACATAAAAATAATCCCAATATGTTCCACAAAGTGAGGTATACAGATTTTAAATTTGGGATAAAGAAAGTGCTGTCGTTAGATCAAGTATTTCTATCAGGAGATTATCTGTATTGAAATGTCACAGAATCGCTAACAGGAGAAGAAAAGCTGGGTTGGTGTTTCCCTACATGTCTGTCAAATTGAACTGATATGATGAAACAACTCTGAAGAGGATTTGTCTTTGACTGACAACAAACTGAGCACACCTGTCCTCAAATAGCTGCATTTAAATTAATATTACTATACCTGAAAGAATATTACAAAAGCCAGTTTTGCTGCCAGTATGGACCAGTACTCCTTGGAGAAGCTATAAGGGTCTGGATCCCAAGGTGGGTCTCTGAAGTCCTTGAATCTGAAAATTCCAGTAAGAGTATTAGTGAGAAGGAACTCTGAATGCATAAACGAACATCGCTATGGCATGGCGCTTCTTGGAAAGATTAGTCTCAGCAAAATCCCTGCTATAAATGACACATTTGACAGTTTCTGTAAACTCCAGACAAGTTTTGTATTTAGGGAAAGTCAGAGTTAATCTGCAAGGCTCAGGGATTTAAAGGAATATCCAGGTATGTCAAGGTTAAAGGGACTCACTGACCTGCACATGGAGATGTTGGTGGGTGGCGCAGTGCCTGGTGGAAAGTTGCTGACATTGAAGTAGGACAGCGAGTGCTCTATGTAGCCATTCATAGTACCATTTACACTGTACATGTACTGGTAAACCATTCGTGGAACAAACTCCGACGTGAAGGAGATGACAAACGCCTGAGAGGACAAATAAGTGGAGTGACTGAACGGTGCGATACATCTTATGTTGATAGATTAGCATGTAGTATTAGCGAACACTAAACTGAGTTCAAATGTGAAAACAGAAACTTTACTGATAAAAACCTTTTCGTAAAATCCATGATGTTATCTCTCTTTTACATCTATAGTCATCCTAATAATATTCAACTTTGTTATTCGTTGTGTATGGTGTCTTCTTTATTTTATGTCATTTTATTTCTCTAAATAATAATAACGATAATGCATCAGATTTTTATAGCGCTTTATCAGACCCTCAAAGCGCTTTACATTGGATACATCATTTATTTGCTCACACACTCACACCTTGGTGGTGGTAAACTACCTTAGTAGTCACAGCTGCCCTGGTATAGACAGACGGAAAGTGGGCTGCCAGTTCGCGCCTACAGCCTCTCCGACCACCACCACCACCACACAATACTCACATTCATACACCAGTGGAGGACACACACTGGGAGAAAGGTTAAGTGTCTTGCCCAAGGACACAACAGACAGACTAGGGATAGAGGGGAATTGAACCGCCAACCATCCAGTGATTGGACGACCGCTCTACCTCCTGAGTTACTGCCGCCCCAGTACTATGATAACTGCAGTTTTGAGGTCTATCTTTCTGCTACAACTTTATTATAATGCTGCTTTAGGCACTGTCTGCTGGGCGACTTGATTCATTTTTCTTTTTATTTATTCCATCTATCATTGTTGAGGGGTTTCCTGCTGTCATTGCCCAACTCTGTTTGGTTGGTACTGTTATTATAATCTTTAGTCTGCCTAATTTTTCCTCTTGCTGTAGCCAATGTGTGTTATAATATTATCACAGTTGTTTTAATATTTAAAAAAGCATATTATTTATTATTGCTATTACATATATTTTTTCTACCTGTCTGTAGTAATGACTTCTCTCAGTTCACGTTTGAGGCAGATGGCTGTCTACCTAGAATCCAGCTCTGCTCGCTGCTAACCCATTTATAAACAGATATCACTCAGTAAGGTTTCATGATGGAGCGAATGCATTGAGCACATTTGTTAGACCACAATAAAACACACAATGGGATTTGATGAGAAACAGAAGAACGACTGAAAACAATATTATTCAACTTCATATGAAAGACAAAATTATTAAAATTTAAAAAAAGGAAGACAAATCTTTCACAACCTTTTTAACACAATCACTTCAGCAGGTTGTTTCAGTAACTTATTTTATACCAGAATTCAAAGGTTATGGACACAAAGGACATACACACTCACTCAAACACACTTACATTGGTAATGACAGAGAATTTGCTGATTCCACAGAGAATGTTGTACCAAATCCCTGTAGAGAGCATGTGCATGCAAAGAGACAAAGAGGGAAGAGAAGAGTGTCCATCCATGCGTGTATTTGTGTGTATTGTGTGCGTGTGTGTTTTTGTAAAGGTTAGGAACAGACAGACAAACATAGAGACAAAGAGACAAAAATGAGGGACAGAGCAGAGGGAAGGAAAAGAAAGTAATTTTAAGTTTTCACATCATTCATTTCACATCTACACAGAGGCTGATAGAGTGAACATGCTCGTGTGTGATCTGTACCTATGTCTTTACATCTCACAGCATCAGGCCGACGGATCTCAGTGACAAACTTTGCAGCATCGAGACGAATCTCAATGACATTGTTGAGCAGGGCAAATGCTGGTGCCAGTGGTAAAGAGGCCACAAACAGAGTCACAAACCCATACTGGATAACTGTGAATTTTTAAACACACACGGGAGCAGGCACACATTGTTAAAACATGACATGTATAATTGAAGTATTGAGTAACTGCATGAGGCAAGAGACTGAAAGAGACTCACTCATTTCCATGTATTCTGGGGTCACACCCTCATAGGGTTCAAGGATGAAATCCTTGTCAAATTGCTGCTTTGGTCTCTGCTCTTCATCACTATCTTCATCTGCCTCTCTTTTCTTTCCTTTTTCTTCCTGCATTGTTCTGTACATCTTTTTCAGCTTACTGCAAAAAGCAAGAATGTGTCAAGGCAAATATAGCAGGACTTGATGTTTTGCAAATGAAATATCCGTGAGAAGGGAAAAAAAAGCACACTCACGGTATGAGGACTTCAAACACATTGTTTTGGATTAGCTGCTTCCCAAGCATGATCATACTGAGCTGGATGCACAACTCAATGAGGCAGCCTGGTGGAGCACACTGTAAAGCAAGGGTTTGATTTTACAGATGCTTTTACCGTACATATACAAACGCATCAAGAAAAACAACAACAAAATGTGTCTCAAGTCTACCTCCTCCATGCGATAGTCTCCAAAGACATAAACATAATCTCCAGGCCTCCCAGCAAACCTACAGGGGAGAGGCACAGAACCACACCATTAAGAACAGAGAAAGAAAAGGACGAGAATCCAAAGTGATAATACCTCAAAACAGACACATACCTGCCCTTGAAGAAGGCCACATAGAAAATAGGTGCAAAGGCGTTCATGGATTTTAGAAAGAAAGACTTAAAGATCAGCTTCTCTTCAAACTCTTCCTTTGTCTTTGGGAGCTCTGTTGGACAGGAGACACAGAGATTGTAAACAGTATGTTACCCATTCCTGGTTATGTTTAAATCAATGATTAACATGAACCTTGCTGTTACAGTTAACCTCATCTGACTGTGTTCAGAAAGCAAACCAGTTCTCTTGCAGATAATACAATGAGATGTCAACAAAAAACAAACTTTGTAATAATAAAGCTACTCTAGTCTCCAATTAAACACATTTTCAGCCACAACACAGGAAGGCTGAACAAACCAGAAAGTTTGAATAAGAAAAAATACCGATTTCAGTCAGCCACACCGCAATGGCACCGTAGACCTCTTCCAATACCAAAACAACCAGCATGTTCAGGATGATGCCAGTGGTGGTGACGGTCATCCGTACACTGGCCTTGGCGTCATGATCAGGGTTCATGGACCACACGGTTAACATGCAGATACGATAGACCGCCACCCCAAACACTGCTGAGAATGTGACGAAGACCTGAAGTACACACAGCATTGTTATTTCACAAAACAGCAGATAACAAGACTTCGTTGGGTTTGACAGTACTTAAGAATGAAAAGTGTACTTCTAACAAAAAGTACACGACAAAATCTATTTTATTTGGTTTTGATATATTTACTTTATTCTCGTAAATTAACAACTTTATTCTCATAAATAATGACTTCATTCTGGGAAGTTTATGACTCAATTCTCATAAATAATGACTTCATTCTGGTAAGTTCATGACTCAATTCTCATGAATAATGACTTTATTCTCATAAATAAGTACTTCATTCTTGTAAATTCACAACCTAATTCTCATGAATAATGACTTAATTCTCTTAAGTTTATGACTTTATTCTCATCCATAATGACTTTATTCTCATAAATAATGACTTCATTCTCTTAAGTTCATGACTTTATTCTCATAAATAATGACTTCATTCTCATAAGTTTACGACTTGTATCTCGAAGTCTTCAAAAAAATGTTCTCAATGTGTCCCTTGTACTTATTTGCATTTCTTTATTGCATTTTTATATTATATTCTGTGTACAGTTAAGTTGAGAACTGGATTAGTTGAGAAAATACAAATTATTGATTGTACTCAGGGTTCCCAGTGTTGTTGGGAAATTAATTAGTAACCAGATGAGCAGCAACAAACTCATATAATATCATTTAATTAGATGGAGGTTTCTAAATTGACAATGTAATCAGATTAGAAATGCATTACCAGTAGTAGCAAGGTGGACATATTGATGAGGTAACCTGGCAGGTGATCCTCAATTTCCAGGGACTCCGGCTCCCGCTATCAGAAAAAAACATGTACAACACTTTATTACAGAAGAAGAAAAAGAAGAGCACATATATTTTTAAATGCTTTAAAGCATCCACAGTGTAATGTTTAGTAATGGTGAGCACATTTTCCTTCAAACATTATGTTTACTCTCTGGCAAGAATATGTGTGTCATCTGAAAGGACAGAACTCCCCACCCCTCCTTCCTCTCTCCTCCCTTTCCTCTCTCCATCCGTAATCTGGGCTAATCTGAGGCAGGTAAGCAGCTTTGGACTCAACCACCCACTGTAGGCGAGGGGTGTTTCCTCTTTATGCACCTACATTAACTCAGACATTCAGAGATTTTATACAGTCCAAATATTTGATCATTCTTTTGTTCCATGCTGTAAATTTGTTTTTGAAACTTTCAATTAAACATTTTTAATTACACAAAAAATTTCCCTTCAATTTAAGTCTGTCTCCACCTACTTAGGCTGATTAAAAACCTAGACAGGCTGTCATTTTTGCTTAAAGAGCAACAGTTGTTTGCCGTCACTATGTGTGTTGTAATTGTAGAAGGAAGATCTGTATTAGCATCTGTTAATTCTCTGTTAATACAAGTTAAATCCCCTCCCCCTGCAACTCTTTTCTCATTATGACTGACCAGCATACCTGAGAGGACAGCATCTGGTCTGTTTCTCCGTCAACACCACTCACAGCTTTAGTCGACTGCAACAGATTTGAAAAACAAACAAACAAACAAAACAAAACTGAGAACAAGTCGTCAATTTAAGTATTTTAGCGTTCTGTATAAGAAGTCTTAGAAATGACTTAAAAAAAAAAACAACAACAACACCAAGACACAGTACCTTTTTCTTAGACTTTGCTCTCATCTTAGCTTTTTTCTCTTTAAGAGCGTCTTCATACTCAGGCCTCACTTCCTCCTGTAGCACACACAGGTAAGAAGCACATCCACAGTTAGTAAAACCTTTACAATACATGAGCCATGACTCTACATCTATGTAAACCTCTGTCTCTACACTTAAAGTAACAACAAGTACAGCGGCATCATATTGTTGTAAGTTTATATATAATTGCCATGACTGCAGTCAACATGTATAGAGTAGTTCATAGACTGGAAAGTACACATTTTCTGTCCAAAAACATAAACACTCTTCTTTTAGTTTGCTGGAGGAGACCATTCATCACTGTTCAAACAGCACCCAGACTGTGATTTTAGATTCAGAATAGGAAAACATAAAAAAAAAATCTCATTAAATAATAAGAGAAGTGAAAACTGACCAGAAAATGCAATCAATTAAGAAATAAACCAATATTTGCACATAATTCCTTTTTTCAAATTTTGTGATAGTGTGACCTTCAACAGATCATAAAAACAAATGCTTTTTATGGAAGATTACAGCTTATTAAACCAGAGGTGGGTCCATTCAAAGGATGAGGAAAACTTGCCCACCTGCAGACGGTCCTTCAGGTAGCAGAAATACAGAAAACAGGAAGAGAAAGAAAGAGAGAGACAGGGAAGGAGAGAGAGAGATGGGACAGAAAGACAGTTGTATAAGGGTTGGAGTGTTTACATCGGGACCCTGCTGCGTCATCTCAGCCAGCAAGCGCAGTGCTATAAGAGCACACCAATCCCATTACACCTCCTCACAGGGCAAAGAGTCACTGGATGTGTGCATGAGCGGTCATATGTGTTGGTGTTTGCTGGGGGGTTGGCTTGTTTAGAGTCATACGATAATCTCTAAGGTAAACCTTGACCTGTCAATGTCATCCTTATAGACTGAGCTAAGAAAAGGTTAACGCTGTCACCTTAACTGACCTGGCCTTTCAACAAACAGTAAACACAAAAATTCATTATGAAGACTGTTTCTCTTTTTAAAATAATACATGTTTCTATGTTTCACCATTAAATACAATATCCTACAAACTATTTAGTACCTCTTCGTCCTCTAGGCTCATCAGATCCCAGGTATGTCTTAGACACATCTGTCGCCTTTTCCAGTGCTCAAGAAAACAGGCAGCTACAAGATAATACACAAAATGCTGTTAGAACTTTTAGCGTTTAATTTTGAGCTCTAAATTTTCTGTTTTATTAAGTCAATCTGACTCTTGTTGGTGTCCATTTAACTGGTATATTAAAGAAGTGCATTAGAAACTGCAGTTACCCCACAGAGACATAAAAATGGCGAAGAGCACAGTGGCCCCGTTGTCAAACAGGTATGATGCTCGGGCAAGAGAGCACACGGTACTCAAAAGCCAGTAGTCACAGACGCCATCACACAGCGGACACATGGTTATGTTAAGGTTGTTGTCACATGTCTCCTGGCTGAAATGCACATATAAAAAACAAAAATGAATATTATAAACATATATGTGATAATACACTGGCATAAGTTTGAAGAGTTTGTGTCTGCTTACCTTGGCCTGTTTGTATCCACTGTGAATATGCCATACAGGAAGACGATGATGCCCAGTACAGAGGGGGGGATGAGGAGCTGAGTATAAACCCCCAGCCAGGCAAAGTACAACCCAATCTGTTCTCCAAAGTACTTCCTGTGAAATTAAAAACTAACATCAAAAAAGCTGCCTTGGTTTGGGAATGTATTTATCTAAATAGCATCATCTGTGCTGTTTCATAACACAAATCTGCTGTGCTTTATTGAGCTCCTTTTTCCTGTTCATGAATTTGCATGTTTCAATTTCACTTATTATTTCCAAGTAAGAACAAATTAGAAATTATCATACATCCATATCAAGATCATCAGTTTACGCATATGGCTCAGCACCGTGATTTATTGGTTGTTATTATAAGTAAATACCTAATGAGGTGCACAGGTTGGTATCTATACATGACTCCATAGTTCGCCCATTCTTCATGAAGGAGCTGAAAACGTACAACACAGTAACACAGTACGTTAGTAACAGCAAGCTTCTTAAAATAAATACACAATAGTACAATGGCACTTTGGATTACTCATATACTGAATATCGTCCTAAATTATACAGGATGTCAAAGAGCTTTTCATCTTCTATTTTTAATATACTTTCAAATACATCAGTCCACAACGCATTAGAAGCCATTCACCTGTCTGTCATTACGCTGATCTTTTCTTCCTCTCCTTGTGAACGATCCCTTAAAAAACACAAAATAAAGAATGCCTTACATTATGGCATGCTTAATACATTATCATCACTGCAGGTGGAGTTTTCAAGCTTAAACATTATACTGCACATACACTGATAGACATGACTGCCCAATATGATACAGTCCATTCGGTTAAATGCAGGTCAAAGATAAATAAATACCCATATTTGTGTAATGATAACAGACATATGCTAAAATAATGAATTGATGCAGTTAAAAATTTGAGCAAACACGATCTCGCACTGTCTAGATAAGTTTCTACTATACTCACATCATGAAGAGGAAAGGCAGATTCGTAGACACTCTGGGCCAACAATGAGCTGATGCCTTATGACACAAAGAAACACGGTGTCACAGAAACATCAAGAGGGAAACATATTTTTTCTGACATCATGTATATGAAAGAAAAATGACACCCCACCGGTGGTTTGACAGGTTTGTCTGCATGTGACGCGTGAAATAATTTCAGCCACCTAGATGCACACAGAGCAAAAGTGATATATGTGACACACATGAAAAAAATACATACATAATAAATAGAAAGGTTTGTTTTTTTTGACTCACTATTCTGCTGCGTGTCGCATTGTCAAACAGGGTTTCTGTTGACTTGATATCATACCTGCAAGACATGTCATGAAAGTTGTCACAGACCTGATGGTTCAATATTTATGCATGTTCATGTGTGTGAGAGGTTGGGTACTCACAGGTGAAGTTTGTCTCTGATAAAAGGATGTCTGAGAGTTTTGAAATGGACATTTGATTGGGAGTCTTGTTGAATGTCAAATTCAGGGACATCTGGCTGAAACGGTGTGTTGACTTTGGTCATCATGTAGTGCCAAAACCCAGCGATGCCTGTCGGTTTCCGCAATTCACACTTCTGCTCCAAGAAAATTTAAGACGGATTATACTTTGTTACATTAACAGCACACCATATCTGTCTATACTAATCATGCTACTTTTTTGACATCTCCTTGGTCTTAAAATGGGACTGCATCCATAGTGCGTCCATATCAGATTTCTGTCAATGTGGCAAATTATTCTACTTTTAACCATGTATGATACTGAGTATAAATGTCATCTGGTAAATGTGCAACTGTGTCAAGCAGCTGACCTTTTTCACAGCCACTTTGATCTTCTGAAGCTCTGCCTCTCGGCTGAGTATTGTCCAGGGGATGTGCAGCCGAAGAAACCGAAGGCAGTTTGACTTCTGCACAGGCACACAACACATTCAGACATTAAATATGAATGTTTTTACATAACAGAACTGCTTTACCTAGAATAACTCCACAACATTAACCTGATGTTTTTTCTGCTAGATTTGGATAAAGCATTCTTCAGTATCTTTTTCAGGTCTAAATGGACAGACTATGTGTCAGTCTGTCCTCCTCACTCTATTTGTCTTTGCATTTAATTGCTCCTGCTACTTGTCCCAAGGCCACCAGATGAGCCTTCTTTAAACCTGTAAGCATGCTACTTTGTGTTATAATGAGGCTTTTTTGTGTGGAATCCCATTATTTCAAGCCTTGAACCTCCCAATCCTCGACAGTATAGGACATGAGGGCAGAGAACTATGACCTGTTTTGAGAAGTGCACAAAAGCCTTTATGATGTTGCCAATTATCAGTCTTGATCACAAAAAAGGACAAGCTATTACCTGCTCTCTGGACCATGGCTCATGCAGTTACTGTCACAATGCTGCTGCTCAAACAGCATGTGCTTCACTGTGTGATATCAGCCATTTACAGGCAGTTCTCTGGAGGTAGCAGCACAACAGACTCTGCATTGCTGTCTTAGTTGTGACTAGAAATAAATTCTTTATACGACCGTCATTGCAACAACAACAAAAAAGGAGTGTGGTGCAAATAATGGATTTTGATGGTTTGCAAATCAATATAACTATATTTGACTGAAAAAAGTCTCAAATACTGAAACCGAAAATAGTTTGATGTTTGATTTGTCCATCCAAATATGATGCCAGCAATACATTTTGAAAAGCTGGGACAAGGACAGTAAAACAATGATAAAAGTTGTCCAATGCTAAAAAATACACCAAGAGGGATTTCTCCCAGCTAAGATGACTGGGTATTTTAGAGTTAAGAGAATTTTTAAAATGGTGTTCCCAGACATGAAATTGCAAAAAAGTTGGGGATTTTCTTGGGGGTTGGGGGATCATCTGCAAGTGCAAAATATTATTAAGAAATTATCTGGAGTATTTGGAGAAATTTACGTACAAAGGGGACAAGACCAAAATGAGTGGACATGATCTTTGAACCGCAAGGTGGAAATGAATTTAAAACAGACATGGCTGCTGTGGAAATCACAGCAAGGGATGAACATCAATTCACTTGTCAATGAACATCCATAAATGCAGGTTTAAAGATCAGGGCACATATGCTGTTATTCAGACAATGTTTTTTTTTTCTTCAGGGAAGACCTTCATATTTTAGCAAGACCATGCCAAACCACATTCTGCTCATATTACAACAGTATGGCTCTGTAGTAGGAGAGTCTGGGTGCTAAACTAGCCTGCAAACAACCCCAACTTGTCACCAGTATCTTAAGATGTAAATCGGGCAAGAATAGGACCTTTCACCTTCAAAACTCCAGAAACTGGTCTCCAGAAGTCCCACTTATTTTCAGAGGATGTGACACAACAGCAGACATGCCCCTGTCCAAACTTTTTGAGATGTATTGTAGCTTAAAAAAATCCAAACAAGTGTGTACTGTATTTCTCATGAAACAATAAAATACTCAGTTTGGTATATTTTGGTTTAGAGGTGGTATTTGTTTGGCCACAAATAAAGATTTGGGATTTAGGTACGTATGCTGAAACAGAACATAGCGACAAGATTACACCCTGTCTAATCTTGATCCAGTCAAGGAAAGTCAAGCCCACCCTCCTTTCTCCAGCCATGCAATCATTTACATTGATGTGCCAGCATTTCCACTTCCGAGCAGTGGATCACTCTCTCTAATAAGGCCCTATAATCTGTCTTCTGGCTTCACACTTTCGGTCACAGCCTTAATCCTCTGCCAAACCACACAACACACAAAATCCCACATAACCACAGATACACAGACAAAAGCACGATTTCAGACGCTGAGAAGTAACATGCAGAGCCACACATTAATCACATTGTTAATCCAAACCTCAACATATGCACATACTGTAGAGTCAGCACTGTGCTTGTTTTACGTTAATTATTTAACAAGACGGTCCTGATACTTTTAGACAAGTCTCAGATAAATTCATAGTGTATCTGGAGATATTCAGCTTAGTTTTTGTTCAATGTTATATTAAACTATCGTGTAGTTTAATGATGTTAATAAGTTCTTCATTTAATTAGAGGGCAGCCATGTTCTGCAGCTTCAGGAGACAGGCTAAGTCTTATCCTTAACCTGTTTGGCAGTCATCCAATCACAGGCTTTGTGGTCACATCACCTAAGAAGGCCACCTGACCCATAATTGTCAATTGAAAAGTACACGAGATGAAAAAACAATCACATTAAGAGCATTGTAGGATCAGATGCACACCTCTTTGTCCCGTTCAATCTGCAGTCCGGCTTCCTGCAGACCTGCTTCAAACTCCTCCCTTATTAAAACCTTCTCCTCCTCAGTCAGCTTTGACTCCTCCATGTCTCCTGCTGCTGCACCTGCCTCCCCAGGCTCTATGTCCCATCGACCTGGTATTGGAAATGGTATACTCCCATTTGATGCGATTGAAAGGCGTGCCTTTGATACTCTCCTTTTTTTGTATTTGTAGCAAAGGACGTAGTCCACTTTTCTCTTGCCATCAGCAAAATATAACCCAGGACCTAGCTCAATGCCAGACTCCTAAAAGAAAGATGATATAGGTTACTGTTGTAGGTGTATGTTATGAGGCTTTCAAAATAGTAAAATAGAGATCTAACATGGATGAGCATGTTAATTGTGTGTGTCTGCACAAAGAGAAACACCCTGAAAAAAAGATACAGCTTACATTATGCTCCAGGATGTTCAAACTACTTAATATAAACATTCTTATTGAGAAGACACTGTACCGGGGGAGGGGGGTCCTCACTGCCCGGGGGGTTGACAGCACCTCCATTGGAAGCGTCAAGCCCAAGCCCAGAAAGAGATCGGGCCAGGGAAACCAGCTTCGCTGAGTGAATGGACGATGTCTCACTCATCTCTGTGGTGACATGCACATGTCCTTTTCCGTTTCATCCCTCTGTTGGTGCAGAAAAGAAAAAAAAATCTTTAATTTCAGGTTGGGATAAACTGGAAGCTTTGACTTTAATTTACAAACAACAGCTCCATGGTGGAGCCATTCCACTCAGGGGTGTTAGGGTATTACAGCAGACTGATCCCCAATCTCATCGGATTGTGACACCTTGAAACAAAGTCATGCCCCGTTGCCATCACTCTTACTGGTTCTCAACAAGTCGCAAATGTTTGTATCTCCCTTGAAGAGTACAAAATATCTCATTCATGAAGATGAAAAAGAGAAAATTGATGCAGGAGTTAAGTCTAGAAAATCTGAGTTCTACTGCATCTATTTTCTTGCAGTCAACAAACTCTCCAACATCGACAATCACACAGTCAATAAGCAGAATACATTTTACTACAGAGATGAACACACTGGAATTATAAGCGGTTTAAAATTAATTATTATTCTTATTTCATTGATCATTATGTTATGTTTCATGTGAAATTCAGTCGTAATACTTCTGCCACTATAAGACTGAGTTTGTGAGTCGGGAAGATAATAAAATAGTGAATGAAAGTGCTCTGTTGTTATGAAATGTATTCATTTTCAAATGCCTTCAATTTAACCAAACTCCCTTGGAATTATCTGACACAGCCCCAAGCTTAAAAATCGCTTTTTTTATTTACTTTTTATTAAAACTTTAGATTTCTACATATATCTACACATGTATAAGGCATATCTGTTCACTGATAGCTTTGGGGTATTGTAAAATTAAAAAGAGCTGATAATGCTAGCCACTCATAAAGACCACTGCAGATTGATTTCAGAGATTACTTTACTTTCAAATGCTCTGTTTGAAATCACACATCAATGGCTGTTTCAGACTGACGGATGTGAGCTAAAGTTAAGCTGTCTCATCTCTTTTTTCCCCCAAATAAAGCTGTAGTTACAGATTAAGCTCCGGATGCAATCCAAGCGACACAGTTAACAATCTGCTGAGGTAATTTTGTCACTAGGCTTATTCTTTGGAGTTAAGACAAACGCGTTGGGATAGGAGACAACTAAGTTGTTAGATATCAACTCAAAGGACATGTGCAACCCAGGGCTCAACCGACATTAAATATGGCACTACTCTGTTCTTTTAAAGTGACAAAGTGACAAAGGCCAGTCTTTAAATTTGTGGCTCAGTAATTATGTTTTCCTCGAGCAGATAACAATACTCGTGTTTGTTGTTTTTGTGATGAACAGATACTTAAAGGTCTGTGATACTTGTACATCGTTGTTAGCTGTGATGTTTTTGGTGAGTGCTGTCGTCATTCAGAGTCCAAGTCTGATCTGTGACTGACTGCAAATGCTATTAGAAATCATATGGCATTTCAATTGTTCTATACATCTGCTTTTTCAGATAAAGATTAAGCTTTATTCCACTTTTCATTGCATGGTTGCTGTAAACTGATTTCAATAGGTGAGGCAACTCTTCTCTAAGTCCTCTCTGTAAAGCGTAAGAAACAGAGAACACGTTATTCTACAATCTGATTTTTATCTATTATCTTTTGTTTAGACACTCTAGCTTTTTAATAATTGTTTTTTAGGTATCATATTACGTATCAATAGAGTGCCTCATCACTGTGTTATTGAAAAGGACAGAGTTGGGGAATAACATGCCCCTCCTTCTTCCCCCCATAGCGTCTAACAACATCCTAAGGCTGCTAAGGACACAATGAAAATCCATGAGACATGTAAACACACCAACAGCCAACCAAGCGGCGTGCACACAACACATACAGAGGGCTTCGAGAGTCAATCTCCTTATACATACGCACTCACACTGACGATAATCCCACTTTACCTTGTGTTGACAAACTTGGAGCCAAGGTAGAAATGGAGAATATGTCTCAAGGAGTTCAGGAGGTCACAAAGAGGTGGATAAAACTGATCAAATAACTTAGGGTAAGGGTTAACTTAGGCAGTAGTTCCACAAATGTTTGGCTTGTGAGTCTATGGAAAATAAATGTGATGAGTTATCGGGATTTATCGGGATTTATTGTTACATACTGAAGACTTGAAGTAGATTTGAGTAATAAGCAACAAAACCAAATAATATATTATTTTCTACTCCTTACGCTATATTTTACAAGCACTGCACGCATAAGCATTTTTACCCTATGATGGTTCTTTGAAGAGAAACAGATGGGGATTTATGTTGCTTTTGTCATTTAAGGTTAGCTTCTAACTCACAAAAAGCTCAAGTTGCTTCTTTTACAAAATCTAAAACCTTTCCCAAAATACTAAAAAGTTTATTCTGACCAACAGAACCAAACAGAATCAAGATACCTGTACTCTTTGGATGAACTTATATTTAATATCTAGCAACATCAGTGCGAGACAACCATACCTGTCAGGGTTCTTGTAATAACACTGAACTTTGTCATTTAAAAGTAAAATTACATAATATAAAGAATAGGAATAGAAGAAATTTGTTTTTTTATTATTATTAAATTCATATAAATTATTTCGAGAATCTCAAAAATATCTAATTTTCAAAGTGTAATCTTGTTTTTTCAAAGACAATGTAAAAATCTGTTTGAAGTTATTGTTTGGACCTTTCATTTGACATCCACATATTGTCTGTGCGATCATTGGAAATCTGAGGAAGTTTTGTGTATTTCTAATGTCTGGGCTCTCTTTAACCACTCTCTCATGAAAAACTAACTCAAAAACTATGTATCTCAACAAGTTATTCCTGTACTCTTTTAAACCTTACTTAGAAATATGACAAATTGCTAAACATAATGTTGCTTCGTCAATTGTGGCATAAAATAGAAGGTAAAAATAATCTACAGTGACTGGAGTTTATGTTGGCTGTAGTGATTTTGATTTTGTTCCGGCAGAATAGTTTCTTTACACAACTTCTGTTCTCAATTTCACCTAGAGGGAAAACAAAATACAAGCCTTAAAGAGCATGCTTTTTATCATAGTATTTTAAGTTATGGACTATTTGGTCACATTTCACTTGTTTTCAAAACCCTCTCATAAATCCTTGGTGTACTTATTTTAAACCCCAAATAATTCTGGGACACTGGAATAACATTTACTCCTGATCACTGGTGACTCAACACGAGTTCACAAATGCGTCCTGTGCGCGTCTCGACGCGGGGCTTTAAGGCTTGTAAGCTTGCTGACAGCTCAGCAGCAGAGGCAGGAGGGTCAGCTACACCCTCACACCAACATTAACGGGCCAGAGGGCAGCATGGGAGCGGTCTAATGCTGTCCTTCTGGAATACAGCAGATTACACATCGCTAATTTTAACAGCTGCTCGCTCCTTGTTAAATCCAAAACACTAAACATAAATCACAAAGTCAGAGCCCAAAACAAAAATCATGGGATGGATGAAATCACTTCCAAAACAAACTTTCACTTTAACTGGCACACCTGTCGATTTGTTTACCATCTGCTGGGGCTTTTTCACTGTGAGTTGGTTGAACAAACTACATCAAACTACCTGATCGTCATTTTGACCAATTGATCCCGGGGCAGTTACCACGAGAGCTTATTACACGATGCGTTTAATTACTGCCTACTGGGGCACAACAGTTGTGCGCACCCAGAGGAAAAACAGGCCCAGCACCCCAACCCGTACCGTATGGCTACTGGAAGTTATAATAAAAGCACTGTACAAACAGGCTTTGTTTGAAGAGGGACGTTCACACAAGCAGCTTGTGCTCAACTAAAATAGAGTTTGAGTGCGTTAAGAAGCTACCAACGCCGACACGAAGGGGTAAAAATAAAACAGGAGAAGAGGAAAAGGTCAACAGATTTTTGTTCTTTCTGTCAAAGTTCAGTTCGGGTAAAGTAAAGTAAAGATAATACTCTCACCAGAGCCGGTGGAAGATCCGTACTTCGCTGTGGAGATGGATAAGAAAGACGCGCGAGGCGCACAGGCTGGGAACGGGGCTGAGATGGTGGACAATCCGCGCGCGCTCCCGGAACCACTGGCTTAACGCGTGCGCGCTCAGGGCGGCTAATTCCCTCACTGTTTCATATGGGACTGAAAGACGGTATGTTGTATACTGCCCATGCAAGAGGCGTGTGTGTGTGTGTGTGTGTGTGTGTGTGTGTGTGTGTGTGTGTGTGTGTGTGTGTGTGTGTGTGTGAGTGTAAGCCAGGGAGAAAGATGGAGCTTACAGGTGACTAGACTTGAAAGTAAATCTTCTCACCAACTCTGCAGGGTGGCATCTTGGATGACTTTAAAATACAATCTCAGTAATCCTGCCAAACATTAGCATTATTTATCCTAGTGATAGCAATAACTCAATATAATTTTACTGAAATCAGTATTATTACTAATGACATTCCCAGAATAAAAAGTGAAAGAAATACAGCAAATTAACATTTGATTGCCCATTTTCTTAATTAATATTTCCATATTTTTTAACTGATTCACCGGTGTGCCAATTCTAAACTGATGCAAAGATGTAAATTGCACTAATGTACAGACAAAAAGATGAGTACTTCCAGTAACTGATAGGTATAATTTGTTTTATTTGTACATTTATTTCTTTTTTGGGTACATGTAACACATATAATCTGTATTATAGACTATTATCTCCCACTCTCTCTCTTTCTCTCCCGCTTTCTTTCTCTCTCTCTCTTTCTCTCTATCATACACTCACATTTGCGCTCTCATTCTCTGTCTCTCTTTAGGTGCAGTGTTTGGAGAGACAGTTGCATGCTGTGACAGACAGGACAGTGTGGTGGCTTCTGGTGCCATTGGCACACAGTATGGGAACACTGAGAGGCTCGGTCTCCACGGCAGCACAACACACGCACTCCTGCTCCACAGTAGATCTCTCCAGGGAGTACATGGACTTACTGCGACATTTGCCCTGATAGACAGACAGATGGACGGCACCACAGGGGACACATAGGGGTATAAAAGTGAGTGACAGTGTAGTTATTTCATTGAAGTTTGTAGGCTAAGCCTACAAGGAATTAAGTATTAGTCATCCTTAAATACGCGTGTCTGTGTTTGGGTTTGCAGCATCCTACCTCACAGTAGTGTAAGTCTATTTCCTGTTCTGATTGGCAGTCATCCACTTTGATTGTTTTTAGGATTCCCACTGTCCTTCGACACTCTGGCTCCTCACCTTCATAAAAACACAATTTCTTATTAAAACCAGAACTTCTGGATTCTATAAGAAGTTTGAAGAGGAGTCATTTTTACTTACACAGCTCACAGCAAGTTGTTCCGATCTTGTTGATTTTCCCCTTAAAACAAGCAGGAGAGATTTATAAGACTTTAGCACATGTAGAGAAATAGGTTAAGTGTATGGGGCCACATGCATAGTGTAAGATGGACAATGTAAATGCAGTCGCACCCCCTGGTCCAGGCAGGCTTGGCGGTCAAAAGGAGGACAGGTGGTCACTCTGGTCTGAAGAACCAGAGCTCCTTTGCTGTTAACACTACATGTATACTTGTTGCACCCATCCTCAGTAGTGGTGTTTACCTAAGAAAAGCAAGGCATACATATTTATGACATTCATGTCCACAGCTGCTACAACAACAATTGTTTCTTCTCAATCTTCAACTAAAATTAACTATGCAAATGATGACACATTGTGAGTTTCTAGACTTATTGATGCCAGTGGAAAAGTCTGGTATAGACTCGAAAGTAAGTATGCTACACTATTGATATGTAGTATGGTATAGTGCATCTTAGCATGGTATATTAAAATACTGTATGATGCAGCCCATTAAGAGTAGGATAGAGCACTATGGTGCTTTGTAGAAAAATAAAGATCCAAGTATGTACTTATGTTGTAGAATGAAATGCAGCACCATAGTGTATATAGCTATAGGCTAATATGTTTTAGAATGGTATGTAAAAGTCGACATATAATAGTACAGTACAGTATGATTAAGAACGCTATTGTACATTAACAATATCTTTGATTTTAAAACAATAAAAAAATACATATTGCAGATTAAACTTGGAAGTCTGAATGAAGTATGAACCTGATAAAATAAGACGGTTCTCATGTTATACAATAGCATTGTATTATATCGTACCATATTGAGCCATACTGTACTGTACCATACTATGTCGTATTGTATCGTATCATATCGAATCGTCTAGCAACATCATAGCAAAGTGCAGTGATGTGGCAGCAAGAAAATCCCTGAATGAAAATTATTTTCTGGATTTAAAACAAGAACAAGGTATGTGTGCTTTGTGTGTGTATGTAAAAGAGATTGGAGTTTATGAGAAAGTCATTGTTTTTACTGCAGTTATGTACCTGTACACTGAACAGCTCTCCATCCGGCTTTTGCATGAAGCATGCTGTGGCAACACATCGACCACAGCAAACACCCTCCTCTTTTTCCAGGGTGAACCCCTGAAAACATTGTGGTAGAGATGGAGGGTGTGAGTTCAGATATAAAGACAAAAAGAAGATATTACTGCACGTGCAAAGACATTACATTCTCTGGACCCTTTTCAGGAAATCAGGGTTCACTACTCACCTCTGTGAAAAATGAGGAGTCAGAAAAATGATGTGCATCGATTTGAATGGTAAGGAGACAGGAAATGCAGTCAGTATATTAGTGATTCTTTGATGAAAATGGTGTGGGTTTGAATTTTTGGTTAGTCATGTTGATGTTGATGATGATGATGATGATGAAAGGAAACCAAGGTAACAGAAAATAATGATAGTATGGTGCTTACCATGGGGCACGTGGAACAGCTCATCCTCCTACAGGACAGTTTGTATTTTTTTACAGCGCCCTCCTCTACCATACACTCACAGTGTGTACACACATCTATCATCAGGCTCTCTCCTGCCTGGACAAACACAGATCAAGATAAAGCACTGAAAACACAGTCCAAGTGTCCTAATATGATAATAGAGCACTTTCTCTTCAGCCTGACTTACTCCTATCACAGTCTGGTTGAGGACACAGGCATCCATAGGAGCTGCAGGAAGGATAGCAAACATTGTTTTATTGCTACTATGTAAATGGTGTGCAAACCCACAGACATCTTGTAGGGATAACTAGCCATGGCCAATATGATTGAGCCATCTGCTGGACAGACACTGTAACTGCAATTTTGTATATGAAGTGCGTATGTTCTATGAGACATGAATAGTGAGAAAGTTAAACATTTTTTTCAGTTGATATTCAGTCATTTGAAAATTCATGAAGCTGATTTGCTGAAGGATTTTTGTATATTTATTGTGTGTCACTATTGTTGTATTTACCACAGTGGCAGCTGGGGCAGCAATCTTGAGTGTTGCAACGTAACTCCGTTCCCCGAGGGCAGGATGGTGTGTCCATGGCAGGGCAGCTGACATTTCTTTCAGAGATGAACACTTCATTTTTCACTTTCAAGCACTGATGTAACACACATTTGTCCTGTGGAGACTGCCAAACCTCTCCTACCTACACATGGATAGAGAGATATCATCCAAATAGGGTTAGGCATTGTAGATGTCTACAATGGCGTGAACTGTTTGTCTGTGTAAATTCTATAAAGCGAACTAAATATTACCAAAATGTGCCTAAAGCCTATATTTTTTAGGTATGTATACTTTCTTTACACACGTACTTGTCTGAACCTTTGTCCAACCAGTGTGTCTCCCCGCATCTGTCCCTCTGACTCAACACAGCTGGTTGGTAGGCACTTTCCACAACATTCACCTTTTGACAGAGTGTATCTAGAGCCCTGAATGTGGACAAACATAGAGAGGTTATTTTTGTGGAGGCAGGACACCATATTGTATATTGAGAGTGACCTGTGTGTGCCTCACCGCAGGGCAGGTTCGATCACACACAGGTGGGGTGCACTGAGCAATGTGCAGTGATGTATCCTTGTCCTTCTGTTGGGTGCAACTGCACTTCTCACATCCTGCCTCCCATTCGCTCCCTACTGGATGAACAGAGCCTCCAACCACGCACACCTGGAGAGGTATACAATAAAGGAACTGCATTATTGTGATGTCTACAGCACAAAAAGATGGCCATTTCTTTTAATTTGTATTTAATTTTTACATGCTCCGCTTGATACAGTCCACATCCCATATCTCTAATGATACCATCTGTTTATATTTGCCTGTACAGGTAATTTGATCAATTAAATACATGACTTTTTCATGTCGGGGAGATGAGCATTCACTGAACAATGTACAAACACGCACAAACCTCATCTGGTAGGCAGCTGGTTTCTGTGCAGCCACAGTCGTTAGTAGATGAGGAAGTGATGAACCCAGCCGGGCAGGTGTGAGTGGAGTTCTTGCAATTGCAGGCACACTCAAACACATCACAACACTTTGTCTTTTTCACTGACAGACGGCGGTGGGCAGAGCATGCTGGGGGAGTTTCAGGAACACACTCCTCTTTTTTGCAGACTGGAGGGGGAAAGAGGAAAACAAATTTAAAGACAACCCATGGTTGCAGGATATCTGTGTGTGTTTGTGTGTGCATGCGAATTTGTGTGTGCCTCAGAGTGCAAACATCACAGAGAATGTTAATATGCCATACCACACTCATGTACGGGCTGACATTCCCCAGGGTTTTTCAGGACCAAAGTCTGACCATCCTCACAGCGGGGTACTTCAGGCAGGTCACAGCTCACCAGATCACACACTGAAAAGTCACAGAGAGAGACAGAGTGTTGAAGATGGCATGAGATGATCACACTGTGATGCATGTGTCTGAAAAAAGTATCCTGCAAAAATCTTAACATTTAAGGATATGTTCTTCATTTAAAAAATTCAATATGAAGTTGTTAAATGTGACTCACTTTTCTTTAATAACAATAATTCAACGCTAAATTCACTTTTTATAAATTAGGGCTCTGATATTTAAGCAATTTATTTTGGTGCTTGGAGCCAATCTACAAATACAACACTTACTTCAGGCCCAGTTTTATACATACAGACTATATTGAACTCTTCAGATCTCCTCCTCCCCCCTGCTGATTAATGACACTACTGAATACAGAAATGTAATGAAGTTTGTTTTGCTTACCGCACTCATACTCTGGGCAGCATTTAGACTCTCTCTTCTCCCTCAGGACCTCACAGGGCCCACACACTGGAGCTACACACATGCAGACAGACAGACAGACAGACAGACAGACAGACAGACAGACAGACAGACAGACAGATGATTCATTATTCGAGTGTGACATCTGAGCCCTGCAGATAAGGATTATCAGAAGGGTGCTTGCCTTTGACATCGCTGCATGGCCGGGCAGTGCAGTTAATGTGTTGCTGGTCCAAACACATGCAGATCAAACACGGGTTCTCATCTGGTACCCAGCTTTGCATATACTGTGCAAACACATTAAAAAATGTTCTTTTTTTTATAAATGCACAACAAATAAACACTAGAGGGCGATCACAGTACGCTTTGGTAACAGTCTCATCTTATTTTACAGGCATTTTTGCTTTTCCATCTGAAAGTTGGTTTGATTTTTTAACTTCTCACATTTAGTCAAATTCCTCTTTTCTTCTCTTTTGTCTCGTCTCACCTGATATCTGGCTCCACGCTGGTCAACACACTCCCTGCATGCCTCTGGTGATACACACTGTCCATGATGCAAAACCTTTCCTCCACTACAGAAACAGCCCTCAGTAGGTGTGTCCATGCAAGATGACTTGTTACCCCTGGCAACAGACCAGTCGCCTGGCAACGCCTGTACGCTACCACAGTCATCCACACATCCTGTCCGACATGCATCATACTCCATGGCGCCGGGGCACTGTAGTGCTGTAACACAGATCCAGATCAAAGTTTGGGCTCTGAACAGGACATGCTGCAAACTGAAACATAGAGCATGGCATCAGAAAGTGACTTACGGCAGAGGTGAGGGCTTCTCCAGTCCACACAGACACCTCTCTCTTTACAGAGGCGTGCATAAGCTGAAATCAGCTCACACACATCTGACTCTTCACAAGCATGCTCCTCACACTTGGTGAGGAACACCTGCACAGGGATGTGAGGATGGCATGGTTCAAACACCTCAGATCGCAGGGCTTGACAGCCCATGGGTGCTCCAGACACACATTTTATCCTCTCCTTCCGCAGACACATGCCACCATCTGCAGCTACAGTCCAGTCTGAGATGAAGGTCTGCTGATCGGCGGTGGAGTTTCCATCACGCAAAGACAGGATATTAAATTTCTCTTCCTCACAGGCACCTGGTCGAAAAATACAAAGAGCCATCAGTGCAAATAACTGAAAAAGCAAAGACAACTAACTAAATTTCTGATTTTGAATATAAGTGTCTGAATTCACACTACCGCAGAGGCCAGCAGTTTGGCTGGTGGTACGAGAGCGCAGTAATGTGATGGTAAACTCGTTGCTCTGGGGTGTGAAAGTCAGAACATAACCATGGTCTGATTTCAACTGCAGCATCACTCCTCCATAACGCACCAGCTCCAGGCCAGCGTATCGCCATGGCAGTGCGAGTTCTTCCCGATCAATTACAGCCTACTCAAACACACACACATGCACAATTGCTTCTTATTAATTTCTTATAACTTTAACACACAAGGATTAATCTCAGTGTAAGTGTGTGGAACAAGTGCGCACCGTCATATCATCCTTCAGCAGCAGTTTATGTGGACCGTGGATCACTTCCATGGCTTTCATGCAGACCTGATTGTAATTCACTGGGTTCTGACAAGGTCCAGTGTAGAGTTTGACCTCTGACCCTTCATTGATGCCTTGGCTGACACTGAGAAGGGTGTAGGAGCATAGGCCATCCCCATCAAGCCTGAGAGCTAAGCCATCAAACCTCACCACATGATTGGTGGAGCTGCCCATACACATGCCTGTCAATACACACAAAGACAGTAATGTTCAGAGCCATATGATTGACAAACAACATGCATGTGTGTTTAAATGTGGTACTTAAGGGTGCTGGTGCTATATAATCTCTGTGATGTACATACAAGGGCATTCCCAGTGGCAGCCACAGGTCTCCTGCACTTTGACAGGTGGCATGTTGTTTCTGCAGGCCGGCGGCTCCAGTCTGTCACAGCTGACTTTATGGTTTTGTACAGTCACAGCCCCGCTGGGGTGGCAGAGAACCGAGTGGCAGCCATCCTCAAGCAGCCATGACTCACCCGGCTGAACAAAGACACACACATTTCATTTGAAATCAGTGTGTAATGCTCATAAATGGATGGAGTACTGCTGTTTCATGTCATCAAACTCAGAAGACATTAGTCACCTTTCGTTCATTTCCCTTATCATCAACACACTGTCCTGGTGGTCCAGCTGAAAAAGTATATGATAAAACCATAAATGAATATTATCCTTACAGAATGTCTTTTAACAAATTATATAATGCATAGAGAAACAGGTTTTTGGTTTAAATGCATTATTTCAAAGTGAAAAAGTCTCTGTAAATACCTCTGCAAATTCTCTCCATGTAACCATGGTCCAAAGTCAGGAATATTCTTAACTGATCCATGCTGTTCAAATGCAGAGTGTTGTCTTGGTTGCCATGGTGTCCAAGCATTTGAAGTTCATCAATGTCATAGTTCGGTCCGACCCCAATGGGGAACACAGACACACCTAACGGAAGACACATGCATGTGAAACTGCAAAGGGGAATAGATGGCAGACGCAACTTTATTGCAGATGTATTTGTGTCACAATTTGATCATATTATTTGCTGAATGACCTGCTGCCAGTGCCTCATTCGCTGCTTCTTGCACAGCATCAGCTGATTTGTCAGTCACCAGCATCACCACAACCTTAGCTACACCAACTCGACCACCGCTGACTGGTGAGATTGCTGTCTGTACAGCGAATCGGAGTGCAGAGCCTGCAGGCACAGAGAGAGAGGAGAAGCTGTGAGCCTGCTTTAATGTCCACACAAACATATGTTTATTTATTCATTACCTAGCCCGGGGGCAGCTGTGGTGGCTCTGCTGGGTATATTCTCCACCAGCTTCAGGAGACGGGCTGCGCTCTGTCCGTCCTTCCAGGTAAACTCTGCTGTGTTTGTGTCTCCATACTGAATCAACCCCACCTGAGTGCCATTCAGCCCTGGGGAAATATCCAAGCAGGTAAATTGTTGAAGAAATGTAGGTAAGCAAGTGAGTATACCGTAAATGTATCTGAAAGAGATATGTATATATGTTTTAAATTCTTAAGCACATCTTAAAGGGCAAATATCTAAAGTTACATTAAAATTCCCAATAAAATGTCCCATTTACTCTGTCTTCCTGCTTGATTTTCTTCAGTCAACTTAAAAAAAAGGGAACCAAAAGACATTGTCCTTACAAAGGTAAAACTACAATAATAAAAGTCTGTATTGAACATACATCGTGGAATGCACATAAACATGGGACCATAGTGTCTGAGGGTAAATGAAATTAAAATGTTGTGCCAAGTGTGTCAACATTAGCAGAACTTGGACTATAAGCCTTTGGTCTATCCTGCAGGTCAATGTCCACACCCCCGTGACAGTTATGACAACTTGTGTAACTAACCAGCAACTTTAGTGCCAAATGACACCAGTGACAGTATTCACAAGTTCAGTCAACTAAACATGTACATTCTTATTAGCAATCACTCCATCTTAGTTCACAAGAAAGTTATGATAAAAATATTTAGCAGTAAAAAGATGTTCATCAAAATGCCCTTTCTTCAAACTTGCCCATCTGTCCCTCAAATTTCATGAAAACTTGTGTAAAAACTTGAAAATATATCTGTGCCAAATAAAAGGCAGTTATCACAAATAGTTAAACATTAAAGTGAAACAAAGCGCACACTAAACAAAGGGCTTGACACCACCCACCTAAGTCTGCACTGTTGATAAAAGCTTTGACAAACGTCTTCATGTCCTCTAGTTGTTTTCCAGCCTTCAACAGGAACAGCACATCCACAGGTTTCTTACATGGCACTGTGAAAAGACCCCCACAAATTAATACAAAACAAGGACTCCTCATGGACTAGATGACTATAAGAGGTGTGTTTTCTGTACCTGAAGGTGGTAGTGAAGGAAGGACCGGGGGAGGCAGTGTGGCTGTGCGTAGTCTGACCGTGGACTGTGTGATGTTTACCACACGGTGGACCAGGGTGTTCAGACGGTTGTAGTCATCAACCATCAGTGGACCTTGAGGGTAGCTGAATGGTTCCAAGTCAGTGGTGTGTACTTTTGGTCCAACTCCAATGGGATACACATGTGTGTTGGTGCTCATAGTTGGCGGGCGTGTCACTGTGTCAGTAGGGGGGTTCTCTGTTACGAGGAAGACCAGCTGAGGGGCTGTGGGGCCTTGAGAAGGCTGGGCAGTGGTCAACTCTTGAAATGTTTTGGTAACAGCTGCGCCTGTGTTTGTCTTGGTTCCACCTCTCCAGCGAATCTCCCTCAGTCGTTGCCACAGCAGGGTCCTCTGCCGCCTCAGCTCCCAGCGTCTGATCTCCACAGTGACAGTCACTGAGTACTGGATCACAGTGATACGTATGGACTCCTTCTCCTCCGTCAACTTAGAGACAACTTCCTCCAGGAAGAGGAGAGACTTGTTAAAGTTGGCTTCACCAACTGAATCAGAGCCCTCTAGGATGAATGTGACATCTGTGGCTTCAGACGGGGATGATGATGTTGTGATGGAAGACTGGCCAGAAGGTAGGGTAGATGAAGGGGTGCTGGGAAGTTGCTGTGTCGGGTTTGGCTCCAGACGTGGCGCTGAGGTTGTGGTGGTGGTGGTGGTTACCTGGTGAGCTCTACCTGGAGTGGTTTTTGGTGTTGGAGGTTTGACCCCCTCAGGCTCCAACCCCAATGTGCAGAGATAATCAGTCACCTCTAACAGACGATCAGGCAGCTCACCTGTGCTGCTAAGCACATAGGCCCTATTGTCTGGGTTGACCTTTGTGATATCATTGATCTGCCCCATATTTACCCCTGGACCGAGGGCCACTGTCAGAGTGGTGATGGTCTCCCTGCGGAGCAACCGGATGATGGAACGGACATGGCGAGGGTTGGGACTGGCGGTCAATATGATGGCAACACGGCCGGCATGCTCACGCTTGTTCTTGTCATAGATGTTGTAGACAAGATACTTGACAGCCTCATCCAAGAAGGCTGCGTCTCCTCCTGTATAATGTAAGTCATGCACAGCCTTCTTAAACAGCCACTTCTGAGCCTGCAGGCAGGAATAAGCGATACAAAAGAGGAGAGTTATATCTTTGAATTATGTTGTCATTAACTGAAATTAAGTTTTCCATGAAACAGCAAAACAGATTAATTTGAAGCTATATTTGTTTCATCCTAGCAGAGTAGAACAGTACATCCATCTGTGAAAAAGATGCTTATATACCTGCAGATCATATGTCTTGACTCCAGAGTGGTAGAGCAGCACGGTGGCTCGAGTGTGGGCTGACCCCATACGGAAACGCTCAATAATTCCTAAAATAAACTCTTTAGTCGCCTGGAAATCCTCTTCACTTAGGGCTACTGAACCATCCAAGAGGAATGCCAGATCCATGGCGCGGTCACAATTACCCTCTGGCATCAAAGTAGTGAAGTAGGGCAGAGTTGTAAAGGTCCCATAAGTAGGAGTTGGTGCAGGTGTGGTGAGTGAGGAGGGAGTACAAACTTCACAGCTCAGGGTGTTGTTGTCACAGTGACTTTTGAAACAGAAAAACATGAGCATTTTGAATTGTGTAAAGATTATGTACAGCCTTTATTATGAGTGAAAAATACCCAAATTTGTAACTTGGTCTTTTGTTGTAGCATTACCATATCTTGCAGTGTTCGGGGTCATCATGGTTCAGAATGACCTTGTTGCCGTGGGAGATTCGTTGGCCCTCATGAATGCACACCTGACACTGAGAGGGAAGTACACAACGCATGGCCACCTCATCCAGAAGTTGGCCTAGAAAACAATAAGTAAGTCAATGTCAGCCCAATTGTTTTAATGTTTGTACCTTAATTATTTTAGTTTGTAAATGTTATACGTGTATTCAGAGAGTATTTTTGGCACCTGGAGGACAGTAGGCATGGCAACCTTCCACACATGTGAGCGGACAAGGGAGGTTATCCGGGTGCTGGCAAGTGACCGGGCAGGCAGGACCACAAGTATTATATCTCCACTGGCACAACTCCTCCCCAACACCTGCTGTCCTCGGGTTCAGCTCCTCACAGCTTACAGCTAATGAAGAGAATTCGGTGACAGCCTGTTTTATTTTAAGAAAATTCAGCCTGCACATAACAACCCCAACTCCATAACTGGGTCACTGGAACTAAAACTGTAGTCAAACAACCATTACCTTTTTCAAAACTTGAGGGGGGAAAAGAGAACTTATTTCAGCCTGTAAACAACCAATAGAAAACAACAAACATAGGAGAACTCTTTTTACTCACGACAGAGATCATTGGACCTCCAGCTGACGGACACACCCATCTCCGAACAGGCCTGAGCATAAGCTGCGATAACATCACAGAAACACGCGCAGTCGCCCACTGATGGGCAAGAGCACGCAGCCTCGACACACATCTCCACATATGGCTCTGCCTCCACCTGGGAGCAAAGAGGAACAGGAGAATGCAAGTGCATACCAATGCATATGTGGCCTTCGGATATCGAGTGTGTCAGTAAGTGCACTTACTTGGCTGTTACATTCTCTAAACAAAGGCCCAGTGATCACACGACAGGACTGCTCCACCGTTACCAGCTTGACAATGTTGTCACTGCATGGAGCAGGTATCTGATCATACAAGAACACACAGACGGACTTAGTTTATCTTTTTATAGCCTTTTTCAGCACATAAACAGAAAGTGGAAATACTTGGTGTAATCCTAACATCTGCGTCATGCTTGTAATCATCTACATACCCAACATCTGCTTTGATTGAAATGGTTTTAAAGTAATAGTGGTGTGTCCAATAATACTGTATATTTATATAACACTCCAGTCTGTGGGATGAAACAGGAGCTAGCAGCACACAGCCTTTAATAAACAAATTAAAAAAGCTTAATAAACTGCATTAGTTAGCAAAATAATGTGTTTAATATCAGTTTTATTCTAAAGTAATGCAATCCTCACATATTTCTGAACGTCTTTGCAAACATGATTTTATTTACTATCCAAATGAGTGTAAAACTTTCATCAACAAAGCATAGCCAATAAAATGTGTTTAATAATGAATAAACACGTTTTTTTTTTTCTACCTTTTTTATATCAGCACAGCTGGGGATAACCTTCCAGGAGTTTCCAAAGTGTGAGGAGTCCACTTCGAGCTGATTGTTGCTGCTCATCAAGTCGTTATTCACATTCCCATCAAAGTTACCACACAGACCGCACACCCGCCCCTACACAAAACCATAAAAGGCATAATCAGGAGTAATTTTTGATGCAAACAAACAAGATTCAACACCCGAGTAAAGTTATGATGATAATGAATCAGTACCCTGTATGCGGCTGAGATGTGAACCAGGAGGCGAGTCCCCTTGTCCCAGCTTATGGAAATGTGTTTCCCCAACAGGAGGGTGTAAAACTGACCAGATCGCACAATCTCTACCTGAGAGCCATGTAGCGCAGGCTTCTTCATCTTCACCTGTGAGAGACAAGAAGAGCCATTATGGATGAAAATGAGACACTCACATTAGGGTAAGTCTGACTGAGTCAACTCTCAGTCTCTCAGAGTGGACTATAATATCTGTTGAGAATGAACTTGTAGATTTTTAAGCTCTAAAAATAGCAGACATCCTCTGGTTTCATCCCAAAAATTATGGAGAGGCGTGCTGTTCAATTGCAATGTTTGAATTAAACAGACATATTTAGCATACATTTCAGCATTTCTCAGTGTTTTAGAAAAATATTCTAGCTGATCTTTTAAGTCAAATGATCAAAAAGAAAAAAAAATTACCTCCATCTGATTAAATTTATGACTTTCTTTGATACTGATGTATGGACTAAATGTAAATATATATGAATGTGTGTGTGTGTGTGTGTGTGTGTGTGTGTGTGTGTGTGTGTGTGTGTGTGTCTTAAAATAGTTTACCTCTCCTTCTGCCATTACAATCAATCCTTGCTGGTAGTAAACAGTGACTGCTTTTGCACAGCGATGCCCAACTATTCCACAGGCTTCATTCTCCACCAGCACCCTGAATGTACCCTCCCCACCGTTACACATATCCTGTGGAGCAAATGATAGTGAAAGTAAAAGACAAAAGATAGAGGGAGAAAGAAAGAGAGACCTTATGAATGCAGCTTTCAGTTTTTGCACAACTATGACACTTGATTAAGCAGTGAGCTCTTCTTGAATCTTTGGGTCTCTTACCTGGACCAGGACATATTGGCAGAGGCCGGGGAAGGAATATTTGAAACCGTCAAAACTGATGTAATGCCCCTCCCCCACAGTACGGCACACGCCATCGCACACCTTTTCTGTGCAGCGCCACTTCCTGCTCTCACAAACACTGTTTACAACAGAATAAAAGCCTGTGAAAACAATGCTGTGAAAATATCCCCTCGATAAACATACCCACTCGAACAATCATGTTACCATGTGTTGCAGTCCACTGAGATGGTCTGTCCCGATGAATATGGCCTGTTGTTATGGTAACAGGGACACCGCTCAGGTGCAATGCAGTCTCTACGGTGACGTACCTGAAATCAATCTGCTGATCAATCATTGTGTTCTTTTTGGAAGTTTCAATGCTTTAATAAAAAACATACAAAAGAGGAAAGAGGAACGTACTGTGCCGGGCGGACAGAGACAGCCTGGGATGCAGGTGGGGATGACACAGGGCAGGTCCAGGTTCTGGCAAGTTCTAGCACACTCAAGGCCTTTTTCTCCTGCATTACAATCTGCTCGGACCAGTGGAGGAGGGCACCGGGCTGACCTGCGCTCTGTGTACATGAAACAAATAAACTCTATAAATAAACTATACATGGATATAAGAAATGTTCCTGTTTCTGATTCTGATGGGTAATCAGACTGCATATATGCTGCAATGACCCAGTTATTCACTGAAACCAGGGCAGACAAGTTTCTTGCTCAATGCAAATGCTTCAGATGAAAGATACCAGACTTCTAGGGGATTATACAAGACACAAAATTCAAGACAACAAACAAAGTTTCAGTGAAATACAAAGACTGTACCTCTGGATGGTGCCAGGTCATCATCATAGAAGAGGTCAGAGAGCAGAGAACTCATTTCAGGGGAGCTACAGCGCATGGAGCCATTCTCACAGTAGCTGTATGCACAAACATTGAAAAAAATTACTGTATATCAACTGCAGTGTTCTGTTTTTTTCATCTATTATAAAAACATGTTTTCAAAATATGTGCAGCCACTGACCAGATACTGTTTTGATCTGCATAGACATCATTAGGCTGGTAAAGCTGTCCGTCATGCAGACAGGTGCACAGGTCAGCAGTCACACATTCTCCTGAGTCGCTCAGATACTTTCCAGCAGGACAAAAGCAGCCCTCCTCACATACCCTCTCTTCCTTACAGTCCGGCTCTGCCCCAGATAGAGCATGGCATGTCCGGTCACACACACTCCCGCAGGCTTCATACACCTGGCCACCTGTGCACTGAAGCTCTGATGAAATCAGATCAGGGGAGGGTTTAGTGACTCATTAGAATTTTTTTTAGCAGCTGTCTTTTTATTTTTAAAAAAAGTGAAATTTTGTTTTATTGTTTCTAATAATAGTATATTTTCTTCAGATTTGTGTTTTTTTTTTTTTTTGTCATAAATCAGTTCAATGTAAGAGTTACCACAGAGCGAGGGAGACCTCCAGTTGAGCAGCACTCCTTTTGCAGTACAGGCAGCTGCGTAGGCAGACAGAGCAGAGCAGAGGCACGACTCCTCGTCCACACATGCACACACATCATAACGACAGAACCGCTGGAACGGTCCCGGGTTCACCAGAAAGTGGCACGCACTGAATAGTTCTGATGTCATCACTGCGCACGCCTCTTCCGCAAAACGCACTATAGGATCAAAGATCATTAAAGGGTCATTTTCAGTCATTCTTGTGCTGATCTACGCATCTACTATTTTTCTACACGTGTACCTCGTTTTGGGTTTATAGTACATGGATCCCTGTCATGTCTGTGCATGGCTTCACAGTCTCCGTTTATCATCCATGACTGGCCAAAAGCCTGGGGTCCCACCTCAACCAGACCAGATCCAGACAAGAAGTCATCACCTTGGTTACCGTTGTAGTTCCCACAGAGACCGCAAGTGCGTCCTGCCCAATGTGGTCCCAGCTGAAGATGAGGATGGAATTCAGTACAGTTGCTTTGGAAACCTTCTTTTACAAATGCACCAAAAAACAACATAAAACTATTCCACCTTTAAAAGCACACGGCCACGTCCATCCCAGTCCAAATGAAGGTCTTCTCCAAACTTTACACGTACAGAGGACTGGACAGATCTCTGGATATGGAGATGACCTGTAATGTTTCACACATTGGGGACTGAGCAGCTGGATTTAACAAAAGGTCTTGAAACAACAACAACAAAAAACAGTTCTTCCAAAGAGTTGAAATTTTCAGGCTGTTAGAAAATACAAAAGTCTGACACAAGATATTAAAATGGATCAACCTGTCTTTGATAATTGTATTATTGTGTTAATTTGTTGGAGTGCAATATGTCCTTCTTTGTTTAAGTTTTTACTGCTTATCTTGACCTACATCAGCTCTTCTTATTTGCAAAGTACAATGTAAAGTGGAGCTTTTCTTTGAGAGGTTATAAAACACAGATCTTATTTGCTGCTCTGTCAAACTTGCATACCGTGATGCATCGGTGTCTGGATGTCCATGCCGTTGACAGAAACAATTCCTCCGTGCTTCAGCTTCACTGTCATGTTCTCCAGAGGGGGAAGGCTCAGCGTTACTGAGCGTGTGCACACAGCATCTTGATCATCTGCACACTGACACACAACAAGAAACCGCGGATGAAAAGCAGCTGGCTGCAGGAGAGGTACAGAAAAATTCCTGTTTACCCGCTCAGTAGAAGAACCCTCATTACCTGTACATTCTCAATAATGACAGAGAAATGGCTGCCTGTGCAGTCCTCTGCAAGCAGATACTGACAGTGACCGGTGAAGGTGAAAAACTTGTTGTCAAAGGTTTTGAAATGTGACTGGCCCACAACCAAGCACTCTCCTATTCACAGGCAGCAAAGACATTACAATAGATATTAAAAGTTTAGGATTTTTTCAAGCAGTAACAAGTGTAATTGGTTATTTATGTGCAGTGAATACCACAGTACAATTCCCTCACCAGGGCAGTCTTCATTAGTACATTCCCAGGAGCCATGACGGCACACACTGCAAAATAAATAAATGACTAAAACTTAGTAAAGACGCTTGAGCTGGCACTTTTTTCTGCATGAATGTTACTCACTCACCAGGTGTTGCAGTCCTGAGAGATAGTGGATCCTGGAGGGAAATGTCGTCCCATGTGCACGCAGGAACATTGAGATACTTCCACACAACGGTTACCGTCCAAAACTTTACCAACTGAAATACAAGAACATACTTTAATGTCACCACCACCATCAGTAAAAAGTAATAAAAAGAGAGATGTATTGAATCTAAGGTTACCCGGGCATGTACAGCCATCCACGCAGTCTTCCTTACAGACCTCTTGTATGTTGAGACTATGACAGGTGGTAGAGCAGGACTTGGTGCATTCACTGTACTGCATCCCGATGGGACATTTGGGGACTGAACACACAAGCACTTAGATTGATCACACTTTACTTGTAATCATGTTAATATCAAACCATCTCCTTACTGAACAACAAGCTTACAGCACTGGCTGTCCTTCTGCCAGCCATGAAGAAGTATCCCGTGTGCGTGGCATGTACGAGCGTACTCCTGCAGGATCGGACAGTAACAGTCTTCACTCTTACTCTGGTCACAATGACAGGCTTCCTCCTGACACAGCAACAGGAACGCTTCAGGAGAGACCAGGTGGGCACAATGCAGAAACACACTGGAAGTCTGCAAAGCGCTGCAGCTGGACAGAATCTACACAGACACACACACACATGAAAATCAAGTTCAAGTGAGTTATGCGATGACATAACTAAAACAAATGAACAATTTCCTTTTGTTGTGAACAGTTTACCAACTGAGATGAAAAAAAGAAGTTCTTGAAATAGATCCCAGTTGAGAGTGTGTGAGGGTATTAGTGTTCTTGTTTCATCAGCTCATCTAAATAGAGAATAATCTGCTCCAAAGATAACATTTTGTAGACAGGGTTTAAGATGAAACAAAATCATGAATAAATCAGGATTATGAAGATTGATGCTGATAAAACAAATCGGCCAATAGAAAGGGATTAAAACTGTATGAATAACAGTGGAAATGAAAAAAGAAGAATATACAGAGCTTTTACACATGGAATCTCACATTTTTTTCTAAACAAAAAAACCCATGCCAGGATGGTTTCACACCAACATGTAAATTGTACTGAATTCTCACATGTGGGTGTTTACGTGGTGCAAAATGTTCTGGCTATAACTGGCTAATTTGCTCATGATCATCCACCCACAACAGAGGCAGTGTACTCAGATACCAAGATAGAAAAAACGAAATTTCTATCAGAGCATAAAAATTTTACAGATAAAACAAAGAAATTTGACTTTCATATTGATAATTATGGGCGGAAGAGTTTCAGGTGATAATGATGAGTTTTGTGGGTACTGTACGCCTTAGACAATGACAGGAAATAAGGAGAAGTACAGAACAACAGTGCAACAACCAACAGTACCAGATTTTGATAGTAGATCACAGTTTTCTCATAAAGCAAAACTTTGATCTGACAGAAAAAATACATATTCAGCACAGTCTATAAACTTAGATGTAATATTCTTCATATGATGCATGACAGCGTGGATGTCGTGTGCTGCTAGAAACAAAGCTGTTGTGTTCCTAAGTGTAAGTAGGCCGCAGTTCAGCTTTGTAGAGGTTTCTTTATGCAGTAGAAACGATGATCACCTTGAACAACAAATGATTTCAGATTAGACATCCTGGACATGCTTCAACAAGTGCCTAATGTTTGGAGAACTTTCTGTACGTTTTCAGGGTTTTTTCAACCAAAATTCAAAACAAAATGATATCCTTAAATAAAAGGCACAGTAGATATAATGAAACCAGCTGATCTTGACACATTTGTGCAGATTTCCTCTCACCGCTGAAGTCCCCTTTGTGCTGTTACAGGAATGGCTGGGATTTGAGACACGTCTGCATGACTGTCCAGCCCCCTTCACTGCCCAGGAATTTGCAAAATCATAACTGTCCTCTGTCTGGAATCCTAAATACATAAAAAAAGAGGAAAAAACATAAAAGTTTAAAGATTTCTCCTTAATCTCATCCTGGCAGCAGCGTCTCTCTTGCTTTCTTTAACCTTTTTATCTTTTCCTGCACCGAGTAGCTACTCTTCCTGTTGCTGAGTGCTGGTGACTCATATCATTTCCTTAATTCCCACTATAAAGAATTCTTCTTAGTTTCACTCTCCAACTTTCACTTAAGAAATAATTATACAGTTTCAAACCCATGATTTACCCTCTTGAGCAGTATATTCATCAGCTGGGACAGTGTTGAAGTTGCCACAAAGGCCACAGGTGCGGTTTGCATGGTGTTTGGTCAGTGTCAAGGCAATGTTGGCTGCACTATCAATGGTCACAGTGAAGCCAAACTCCTCACTCCAGAGTTTGTAGTAGCCAAGCTCCGAGCCCACAAACACAGTATGAGATGCATAGGGCAGTGAAAGTCTACAAAAAGAAGGACACACATTGAAATACTCAGAACTTATATGAAACAACTGCATAAGTTTTTTATGCCAGAAGTGTAGATGAGCATATCATTTTTGCTTGATGCTGATTTCCGCACCTGTCTTCTCCTTGTAAGAGTTGTCCATCGACCGACAGGTGCAGCTCGAAGGCATCCCCAAGGAACAGAGTGACTCCAGTTCTTTTACCCCCGGCAAAATCACCTGCCGATCAGATTGAAGAAACAAATTAGCAGTTTTAAATGTTTGTATATAAGAAAGATTCCTTAACTAAAAATACATATACTGTCTCAGCTTTTATGATTCAAAACAGTTTTTTTCTTCACTGAACTGTCTGTGTGACTCACCAAGTAAAGTGAAGGAGCGACGGTTGCAGTCTCCAGCCAGCAGGTAGCTGCAGTCTCCTGGGAACTCGTATAAAACCCCATCAAACGTGTGAATGTGGTGTCTTCCAAACAGGCTGCATCTCCCTGTCATACCTGCAGCACAAGCTGGAAACATACAAAATATAGAAGATAAAATGTAAAACTCCAAAAAGAGTGATAAAGTAGTCGTTAAGTCTTTGAGAAGCAGATTTCTTCTGTCACACTCACCTGTCAAATGCAGGAGAACCAAAACTTCTTGCCAGTACCTCCTTAAACCTACCTGCAACATAGACAAATATGCTTATACGCTAATCATTCAAACAGCTGCACCGAAATCATCCTGCACTCTGCATACTGCACTCTGAACAGCATTTTAAAAACTTTTTCTTACCTCCATAGTTCCAGTTTGTTATTCCGCAATTGCAAAGAAAACACAGTCAAAAACCAGAAGTCCCAAATGTTGCACTTACAGACAGATCCCACACAGTCAAGGCATAATAACACAGTGAGATCATACAAAGGCTGCACTTAGAAAAGGGTCAATATATTCCTGAAACTCAACCCCACTGGAGGCTTGATTATATAGGGAAGGTTGTACCTAAGCTGAGCTGTCATTGGTTTTCTTAAAAAACACCTCCCCTCTGCCAGGTTGTTTCAAAATCGGCAGACCATCTTTCTGTCCACAACTCAGAGCCTGTAGACGGACACCATCAAACACACTCAGCAAGACAATAGCAGGATATGCCCACTGATCGCCAGGCTGAGTGATTAGTCTACACTTAAGCATCTGTACCAGCGCCAACCCAAACAATCCTTGTGAAAAACACTCTGACTTGAGATATCACACGCAACAGCATCGCTCTGGCAGGGTCACATGTGCAAACATATGACTAAGCTGCACCAAAACATATGACTAAGCTGCACCAAAATTAAACACACATAAAAACTCACACACACTGGGAATGAGACCAGATCCACACTCTTAAATAAAAACTTTCGCTATCAACTGGTGAAAAAGCAAAGACTGGGACAAGCTTGAGAGAGAATATCATCACATATTACTACTTAAAAATAAATATTTAAAATAAAAAAAATCAAAACATGAGCATGTATAAGCAAAGTGATGCAAGGTCTCTGCGGCAAAAAACATTAGTTCTCATCTCAGCCTGGTCTTGAAAGTTGACAAATAATGACACATCCCGGTAACAGATGTGATAGCATCCTGTAGAGCTACAGGGCACCAATAATCATCATTAGGGAAAAGTGGAGTAAAACTCTGTCCTGCAATCCTGGCAATAGATCTGGTAAATGTATCCCCAAAATATTGATTCCAATAAAGTTAGACAGACCATAAGTGCAACTGAAGAAAAGAGCAGAGTTAAAGCTATGACATCTGCCCATCGCTTTATCAAAAAGAAGGGCTGAATGAAGACAGAAATATCAACACAAACATCCCTGCAGAGGTGCTGTTTACTCCATTTTTTTGTGAATTATGACAAATAAGCAGGGTGATGTTTTCATTTTACTGTGGCTGAAATGTTAAGTTAGCTATTATCTTGTCCTGCAAGGAGGTTTATAGGAATCTGTTGCCATAGAATCAGAGGGACTATTTTCCCACTGTATAAAAAATAAATTATTTTACATCAATAAAATCATCTTTAAATCATTATGATGTGTCAAGTTCAATTTTTTAGTCAGTAGCAAGGTTCTGATTTTCTACAGAGACTCTGTTTTTTACTGTATACAAAGACATGAACAAAGTGGGCTTTCTGATAAACAAAAGCCTAAATAAATAGCAGGAATTAAAAAAGAAAGGTATTTGACGTAGGGCTGGGCGATAAAATGATAACGAAAATTAATTTCCCTCAATATCAATATAAAACATGGTCAATATGCTGTTTGATAGCCAGCATTCTGACATGTTTTAGGTAGACTATACGAATAGCCAATGAAAAATGGAGTTACTTTGCACTGAACCGATCATGTGGTGAATTAGAACCAAGTAGCAAACAACTGTGTAGTAGCAGGCTGCAGCTACAGGACACCATAACGCTACCACAGTGAGAAAAAAAAAAAAGAAGAGTGCTACCCCCGGCAGAAATGCAGATGAAGGCTCAACAGATGACGACATTGTCGACAACACTGGCACAAAAACATCGGTGATGTGGGGATATTTTGTTTTTTTTTAGGTCGGACATGAAGCAGAGTAATGTGCACTGCAAATTATGTCGAGTACGTGTTCCCGCAAAGTCGGGGAATACCTCAAATCTTTTTCACCACCTGAAGCAGTGCAATGCAAAAGGTTACAAACCCCAAGCAGAGTAAGGAGCCCATGGCACCTGTGCAGCTGAAACAGCGGACCTGATCTGCTTTCTCTGGTGTAACGCCTTATGAGAAAACATTGAAGAGACACAAAGACCTCACAGATGCAGTAGCTTATTGTATCGCAAAAGACATGCTACCAATGAGCACTGTTAATTTCATTTAAGAGTAACTGGACACTGGTCAACAAGTGTTTTTTTTTTTATATCGTGATATACATTGATATCGACTGATATGAAAAAAAATATTGTGATAAACTTTTTCCCATATTGCCCAGCCCTAATTCGACGGTAGTTTAGTTAGTTATATCAACAACTTTTTAAGTCTGTTAAATGCTTTATCTACTGTGTCAAAATTAATTCTCTTTCAATGTCCCCATACACTGTTTCGCTGCATGAAACACAATTGTGATGATTACTGGATCCAAATTTTAGAATATTGCCTGCATTCAATAATAATAATCAAAGTCATAACAAACATGTAGAGGGATATTTATGTTTTTGTTTGAACATATATAAAATGTATGAGGCACTATATCAGGATGGTTAGAGAGCTTGATTCAAAGCACCATTCCCACAACAGTGCATGATAGGTCTATTTACAGTCCATTTGTTGTGCTTCATAATGAGAGGTTGGTCACTTTGAATTTATGTGTGTGTGTGCTGCTCGTCGGCCTGGGACCCTACTCGTGCACGGTGTTCATTCATGTACAGTATATTCATCCGTGAACGCGCTTTTCTTATTCTTGGGGAATTACGTCATCGCAGTGGTCAGGTTGCTGCAGGAAGTTGCGAGCAAAAAGCTTCAAGCAGGATGATACTGTTGAGTGCTCTGCGGTCCCGTTATGTGAGGCAAAACGTGGTGTGGGCTCAAGTTTCCATTGGCTTTAAGAGTTACCAGTCTTTTTTTGATGATTAGATAATTTATACCATTGAAAGGCATTAAGGATCTTTTGAAATACCCGCAATTCTTGGGGAATACAAAATAAAAATGCCAAATTGAAATCTAAGCACTAAAAAGTCCCCCAAATGATCTATTTTTCACAAGGAAAACAATATTTTTAGAAATCTAGAGATCAACAAAAATACACAAAATATTATTAAAAATGTGAGAAATCGTAAGAAGGACAGAGGAAAAAAAGCCAGAGCAGATTTTGCCTTTGCAGCCCGTTGTCTGTGGGGGCGGACCACTACAAGCGCGCACAGCACGACGCGCCTATCAGTGCCAGCGCGTCGGCACATAACCTCATTCTGCATACCGACTGTTATTTAGAAGGTCTTCTCCTTTCTATCCTTCCTTTAAATAGGTGTAAAAACAGAACAAGTCTGATTCATCGTCCGAGAACCGCCATGGCAGCGCTTTCGGGGGGAGAGATGTGCATCAAATACCTGATGTTTGCCTTCAATCTAGTATTTTGGGTGAGTTTGAGACGAGAAATTCGCTCTTATCGCATCATGTGTATACTGTCCGTTATTCTTGTGTGAGCTTTGAGTGAACGCGCATCCGTGTACGAGCTGGTTACTAGTCTACCGTGAATGAATGTATTCGGTGTCCCAGATGCAGAATCGTGCTGAGTTTCCACAGACATCCTCGGCTACTTATCATATAGCATATTTAAAGGTACCCCCCCTCCCTGAACGAATTATTTCTTGCACGGGCTTCCGTAAACACAAAGTGTCCCAGTGCGTGTAGAGACAGACTGGACTGGAACAATAATCCCCAGTGGCCAAGTGACCCAGTTACTCCGCGCAGACTACTCACTGGAGTTTGCGCGTACGGCATTTTAATAATTGCAATGAGGAGGAGGAGGAAAAGAGGAGGAGAAGACGAGGAGGAGGAGGTGTGGGGAGGTGCTTTCATGTGACTGGGAACGTTATTGATACATTTATAATTAAGACTTCTGTGACGCTGCGTGATGTTAAGAGTTGCGCATGTCAGGCAGCAGCCTCTCTCTGTGTGTGTGTGTGTGTGTGTGTGTGTGTGTGTGTGTGTGTGTGAATGAATGAATACTGGATATCCCATGTGGGCTTTTCGTGCCCTATACTTAGCCTGCAGGGCGTGTCTTTATGTATCTGTTTGTTAACTCTCACCATATGAAATAGTTTGTTTGGTTTTATGTTTGCTTTTTTTTAATGAATGTGTATAATTTGTGCAGCTATAGTTAGAGCTAAGGTAACCATACATTAAAGAGAGGGACAGACTGGGGTTTCCCACTCATGAAAAACAGAGAGACAGACACACAGAGAGGCAGAGGAAGGGAGTAAAAAAGATTCACAGAAGCAAAAAGTGAGATAATCTTTGTTGAAATTCAGCATTGCCAGTGTGACAAACCCACAGGATGACAGTTGAGTAATCAGTCTGACAATCTGACGTCGAATAGATTATTACTGCTTCGTTTTGTGTGGATTTTTACCATCCACATTTGTTGACTGACAATAACAGGAAACCCAGCTTTAACCACAACTGCTGGCTCTTTGTAAACACAATCATATTTGACATAGTTGAGAGCAGTCACCTGAGCTGTAGCCCCTATGTTCAGAAAGCAAAGCATGTTGCATGTCAGGTATGTTACTGATAGTTTAATGTTAACATGCCTCAACAGAACCCGCTGTGCTGCTGTTTTATCTTGTAAAAGCCTGCACCACCTGCACACGTGCGTTAGTTCAAAACAAACCGTTCATGTATGTAGACAAAACAAAAACTGAAGTAACAGGAGGACTTATCATGAATACAATACAGGCCAGTTTCATGGGTGACACTACCCCCTTGCCACTCCCTAAACTGTAAGGCAGGTGACTAAATAACAGGCGTGGTATTGAAAATGCTCTCCTCTTCCTCCACCTTCTTGTAACTGACACCATTGCTTCACTTCCTCGTGGATAGAAGTTAGCTATCAAAGACTAGCAACAGGGTGTAGAGTGGACTGAAACAGAATGGCTGTCGTCGGGGGAATCAAGTGTGTGAAATATCTCATATTTATCTTCAACGCTTTCTTCTGGGTATGTGCACCTTTTTTTTTTTACTGTGTGGGCGTTTCAAAAAGAGGAAGAGAGTGGGAGAGGAAAACCGTTCGTGGTGTATAGATTTGCATTTTTGTAGTATGCTATCTGACATTTCTTTTACAGGTTATGTGACAGAAAAAGGTTTTTGACGAAGAAGATACTTAAAAAGACTATTGGAAGAGAGTGAATAGAGACACACTCAGACTCTGAATAAGACAGAACCTTAAAGTTGCCTTTCAGTTTGGCTTTACAGGTTAAAGATTCACCAAACTGCTGACAAGGCTTACAAGTCAGTGCCTGCACATTACACAATGCATTTATTGAGTGAAATATAGATTGAGAGTTAGAGACCAGTATTGCATAATATACCCATGCAAATAAAATGTCACAATCACATTAAAGCTCTGTGACTGATAACTTCTACTTTGTCTTAGTATTGAATGAATCCAATGCCACAATGGTGAGGAATCATGTTAACAAAACACTTCTGTTTGCCAAGTAACACTAACTACTGCAGAGGTATATTGCCCTGGATCAAAAGTCTGTGAACTGGTATGACCATCATATTATCAGTTTACCTGCGTAGGACTTTAGCCTGGTTGAGACTACATCCTGGTGCTGGTTAGGGTGCATGATGGGACCTGGAGAAGGGGGTCTGTCACAGAGGATATGCAATATTTTAGCTGGAAGCAATAAAGAAAAAGAGTTTTTACACCAGACAGAGTTGAAATTTGAATAAACATGGACAGAGCATAATGAAATAGAACCGATCTTGCCTGGTAAACATTGTGTTTTACTCACCTGACTGACTGATTGAAGCACTTTTTACAGATGATTAAATCTTTCAAAAACATGCTGTTGTGCTTCAGCTTGCAGGTACTGCTGTCTTTGCCATAGGCCTCTGGCTACGATTAGACCCACAGACCAAAGGTCTTTTTGAAGGATCAGATTCTCCTTATGTGTTCTATACAGGTAAGGTGCTCTCTGTCTTAAATCCACTTGTTGAATAATGTTTAAGCAGGTTTTGTACCATGAGAGCTTTGCAAAACAAAGTGTGCTTTTACATATTTGTAACACAATGTGTGTTTGTGTGTGTGTGTAGGTGTATATATCCTGATTGGAGCAGGAGCACTCATGATGGTGGTGGGTTTCCTTGGATGTTGTGGAGCCATCCAGGAGTCCCCCTGTATGCTGGGATTGGTTAGTAACAGACCTTTTTTATTGCCCTACTTTTTTAAAAATTAAGATTTACCTCTAAAACATCAGTTCAGCTATCTCTGAGTTTGTTGTGTTGACTTCATTCTGTAGTACTTAGACTTGTTATCCCACATTAGCAGATATAGGTTAGGGGCTTGAGCTCGGACTCACTAAGAAATATAAAATGTCTGCACCAAACATTGTTTACTGAACAGCGTCAAGGCCAGTGTCTAGATTTCACTGTACTAGTCGCCTCCCTCCCTCTCTGGCCCTAATCTTCTTGAACTAAATCTCCCTGGAGGAGGAGCCTATGTAAATTTGGTTCAGCTACACTCAAACGACCTTCCTTGTCTACACATGCACACAAAAACATGCACACACATTCACACAGTTATCTGAGTTTAATTTTCTCTTCCTCTGTGTGTAGTTCTTTTTCTTCCTGCTTATCATTTTTGCCGTTGAGGTGGCAGCAGGGATCTGGGGCTTTTCCAACCAAAGCAAGGTGAGATTCAAGTTTCAAGACTGCTGTACTTGCAATTGTACTCGTATAATAACTTGAAATATGTTTTCAGCACTTTGCATGACAGACGAACTTGTAAATAAGTGAAACAAGTTTAAAACAAAGACTGCATGTTGCAGTGAGGGGGGCATAGTGACAAAAGTTCACTTTTCTGCTGCAGGTGGTGAATGATATCACAACGTTTTACCAGCAAACCTTCAATAACTATAAGACAACAGGAGATGAGCGCCTCAAAGAGACACTGCTGGTGATTCAAACTGGGGTGAGATATTTTTGCTTCATTCAAATACAAGCTAATTTGGGTGCTGTGAAAAAGAAATCTAACACTTACAGTGTTTTCAAGCAAATGCAATTGGAGAATTTTTTCAGGTCTAGCTAGCATCACTTTTTAAAAGTGCTTTTCACCTTGTTTGCAGTGGCTCTGAGCCAGGTTCAGCCTGTTACCACAAAATATTTATAGACAGAGAGCTAACTGACTTTTCTGCAAGTTCATAAAATATGTAATGTGTATGATACCATGCCCGTGAGTTGTAATCTTAAAGGCAACTAGCAGAGCATTACTTATGAACTAAAACTAGGTGGTAATAAAAAACAAATAAATAACATATAAATAAAAATGAATTCACCATTCACATTTTATTTAGTTATATTTAGCAAATATATCTACAAGTTAGCATTTTGTATGTGCAGTCAGTGTTTCTGTAAAGCATCTTCATTAGCTGCAGATTTAAGAAACGACACAGATTTTTGAGCTTTTTCTTTGGAAAACTGTGAGATTTTTTTCACTCCCTGCAAGTCATCTTGACCTCTAACAGTGCGATATTTTTGTGTGTTTACAGCTGAATTGTTGTGGACCAACTGGTACTCTAGTTGACGGTGCCAAAGAAACCTGTCCCCCTGGAGAGGGGCTTGAGTCCTTCATTACCAAGGTACAAGTACCCTGAATTGATGCATAAATCAGATGCCAACAGTGAAAAGAGAGCAAATGCTAGGGACAATCCAGAATCATCAAAAAAGCAAAGACAAAAACTGCAGCTGTGAGAACCGGTGCAAGTACTGTATATCAAACACTAAATGACAGTGTGGCATGTGTGAAAGGTTCATTAGTCTGTCCTCTTTGGACTTACTCCCTCTGCCACTTTGCAGTTACTATGGCAACAATGGTTTACAGGAGCCTGCTCTCAGCCTGTCTGTAATGTCTGCCATACCACAAGTCCTGTTCAGTCTGAGTGTAGATTATCTGAAAGGAAACATGCTTCTGTGTTGCAGAGCTGTCCTCGCGCCATCGAAGAGGTGTTTGATTCCAAACTACACATCATAGGAGCAGTCGGCATCTCCATTGGTGTTGTTATGGTATGTAAAGGATTCGTTTAAACAAAGAGTTACTGTGATGTAATGTTCATAACGTAGTGCTGACAAAGTAGACAATCACAAACATCAGTAACAAAAGCCTTTCAATGTTTCAGGTGTTTGGGATGATCTTTAGCATGCTCCTGTGCTGCGCCATCAGGAAGTCTCGAGAGGTGGTGTGACACCTGCTATGACACCTTTAATCCTTGTTAATGTTGCATGATGTCATTCCTAGAGTCATGTGGCTCTCCACTGCCAATAAATACACTTCTTGGTCAAGGGGGAAAATATAGGCTCAGCTGGGTGCGGAAATTTCTAAAAATTACAGTATCTATTAAATTTAGTTGTGCTGCTGACACTTAAGTCCACTTTCCTGTACTATGTAGATTCAATGTGGTTATTTGGCCCAACTATAGAATGGGTGTCATCAGTGCTTCAGTGACTATGTAGTACAATGATGTGTAATTTTGTGGTCATTTAATTGAATTAAGTGTTTGTGAACTGCTAAATATCTGAGCAAAAGACCATGTTAATGTTTACTGGTCACACTCTGCACCTATGGCAAGAAAAAGTAACAGGCTCGGGCCATGAAAAAATAAATCACTCTCACTTCAGCACAATACAGCAGTAGCCAGTGACACTCAATACTTTCTTCTCAAGACACAGAAGTCAAACAATGGTGACTAGTAGCTAACTGAATGCTGAGCTGTAAGCTGTGTTTTTTCCAGCTTGGTATTAGAGTAGCATTTCAGTTTCTTCATTTTGATATTTCATTTGTTCCTTTCATTTCATTCTCCTGATTATGCCCTTTACAAAATCGCCTTTAATTTTTTTAAATGTGTTTTTTATATGTAAAAAAAAAACGTATGCACTTCTCTGGTTCCTTGCTGCATTGGTTAAATGTGTGTTTTTTTAATAGCATTATCATTTTAGAGATACTGGAGTTATTTATACCATATGCACTATGTTTTACAGAGATAAAGAATAAAAAGAGCCAAATTAAGTTAACCAACTGAGTGGGCTTTGACAGTGTTACATATTAGCAGTCACACACATACAGAGGGCAGATAAACTATATATATTTTTTAGGTCTATGGGAACATTTTTTACTGTATAAACAACTCACGATCAGGCTAACCGTGTGCATGTTAAACTCTAAAACGAAAGGATATGGGGGGCACGCTAGGGTTAGATGGGCGTAGATGCCTTTATCAGACTGGAAAAAACCTTCAAGTTCTTAATTGCACTGTGGAAAAAATGAAATTCCCAACCCTCCCTCTTTGATATTAGCGACCTTAAAGTGTGACTCAGAGCTTGACCCAACACGTAAACAAAGTCCAAGGCTGTCTTTGTTCCTGAGTTAGATTATCACGGCGACTTCAAAACCTATCTTCAGAACAAAGCAGAAAACACTGATAAAAAATTGATGTACAAGAGTGAGTCTGGTTAATTCTTGATGACTCACTTTTTCCTCTGAACGAGGTTGGTGTTCCCTTCATAACTGTTCTGGGAAGTCAACTTTGATTTGGTTGTTGAAAGTTGGGTGTTACCCTCTCAAACACCCTAACCCCAACATGGAGATAACACTGATTTTAAAAAGCTGTGCGTAGATCTGTAAGACGATTTCCCCTGGTTGCTTTGTGTGATTGCCGTTTGTATAACAGAAAATGTACTGGCCAAAGGAAGAGAGCGGGGAAACCAAGATAAGAATGTGGAACTTTAAAAAAAACAGGAACTATGATGAGGGGAAGATGCCAAAATAAACACACACACATACACACACACGCGTACACACAACTGCAGAAACACAGCAGAGGAACAGAGGGGCGCTGCACAATTTGGCCTAAATTTTCCAAATATTTCTTATTGTTATAAAACCAAAACCTTGCTCTGATGTCATAACAATCAAAAAAAAGAAGTTGAAAATATTGACATGAAATAGCCATTTATTTCCATTCCTCTCGAATAATACACCACAAGACGATACTTCCTAGCTTTTGGTGGGACACACAATAACATTCCTCAGCCTCGTCATTTGTGCACTCCCAGGAAATGTTTTCAAGTCATCAGGATTATGTATGTGAGGTGGTGTTAATGTGCAGTAATGTGTCCACTTGAAGAAGATTTGAAACACACTGCAACACAGCCAGAAGCAGCTGGTATTTACAAGAGAGAGATTCAAGGCCTAAATCCAACATAAAAACTTCTGATGGCGTGTTAATCTCTCTACAACAGTGCTGGTTTCCTATACCTTCCTCTAGGTTCTGCTCAAGATTTGTGTTGTGTTTCTGTTTGTTTATGAAGCCCATGAGTCTTGTTTGAGTCTCCAGGAAACGCCGTGAACTGTGGGAGTAAATATTTTTAGGTATGCTCAATAAAGCATTTGCTAAGATCTGGGAAACAGCAAATCTGTCCACATCCGCTTTACCAGAAACTGAGCGTCCATGCTGTAGGAGGGCATGGTGTAAGAGAAGTTCAAAGGTCCCACCAGCAGGGACAACACAGCCTGGCCCCATCAAACTCTGCTGGAAGGAAAGTGACTTACAGATCTGGTCTTCTGCATGTAAAGACTCGCTTTTGCTCAACTGCGAGGTCTGCTTTGATGCTGCTGTACCGATGGGCCTCCATGTTGACAGTTGCATACGGATGGCATCACGAAATGCGCATACATATTGGTCAGTTTGTCCTTCTCCTGCGCCACAAATGATCAGACTACAGGGTTTGATGATGAGTCTTTTGTCCAAATCCTGGAACGCAACGTGGACATACCTGTGGAAGACAAAGAGTTAGATTTTGTCCCAAATAAATCAAACCAGGTTGACAAAAAGTGAACTCTCTTTAGCTCTGTAAATGAGTGACAAAGAGTTTAATACTTTCATACCTCTGAGATCCCAGCAGTATTGGTCGGCAAAAAGTCAGCAATGCAATGTCATCTGGCTTGATCATCCGGCAGTCTGTCACAGGTGAGACCCCGCTCAGATGTCCAAAGAGAAACAGCTCATCTTCACTGATGCACTCAACAATGCAAATTTCTGCCTGTGCAGCTAAAGCAAGGGCAGCAGCAGACTGTTTAACTGCAGACAGGATCACAGAGACACCCAAACTGCGCAGGCGTGCAATGGCGCACTCTAGTGAACTCTCTGCCCAGGTACTATACTGCATAATACTTTGCTTCCATGAACTGTTTTCAGTCCCATTATCTTCACACCCTAGCTGCAGCACTTCTCCAGCACACAGCACTTCAGGATGCAAGAAACCAGTTAAAATTACAGCTTTTACTGGCTGCTGGTCACTTTGTGGGCAGGGAGCAGCAAAGTCTCTGTGAATGACTTGCCCCTCAATCAAACGTGAACAACTAATAGAGAAGCCTGATACAGGTGTATGCAATGCAGGTAGGTTGTCATATATGAAATGAAGTGATTTAGAAGGATGTTCCCCTCTAACTATCCAGTTAATTAGCATTTCACTGGTGAGGTGGCTAAATAAGTCAGAGTGTGTGCCACCCAAACGTGAATGAAAGAAAGTTGCCAGCAGCTTTTGGACACAGGGATTGTTTGTTTGAGACTGTGCAGTTAAAATATAATCCTCTTGAGAGAGACAGCATCCATAAGGGGCCACTCCCATCGCAAAAATATCATCCAGCTCCTCAAATGCAAATGCCACAAGTTTTTTAGCCAAGCGCCGTGCAGTGGAGGCAACTGCTGCTTCTCTGGAGTTGTACATGTGCGACACATTGGGCACTTTGCAGGCTGTCGTATGAATCATCCTTAACAATGATGCCAGCAGTAAAATGAATGTCTTAGATCCATCACCTGTTGCAGCACTGTGTTTCAGGACACACTCAACAACCATCCTAGAAAAAAAGACACAAAATTGATATAAGGAGAAAAATTGTACCATGGTGAGGATCATACCTAAAGAATATGGGTGTTACCTGGCTAGTGGATGCTCCAGTCGCAGTGCTGTGAGAATTTTTGTCCCACTGCGGCTCAGCATCGCCTGTCCCGTGTCTCGGATAAACAGCATCTGTCCCCCCTCTGGTCCAAAACTACGGAGGACAACTGATTCCAACACAGACACAGTCTGCAGAACATGATCCAAGTGAAGACGCTCCACCGGCAACATTACCACAACCTAGGTCCAGACTATGTATTCATGACAAAAAACAACAATAAGATGTATGAACTTTAGCGGCTTCTTTAAATGTTCAGTCAAGTCTCACATTTTTATCCTTTTGTTGACCCTGCTCTGTATATAGGGTAGAGTAAGGTAAGATGAGCCATTTTTCATATTTCGGATTTTCTACATCAAGGCAATTATAGTTTTGTCTCTAACTAGTGTATCTGCATTTATTTCAAGATGTGTATCCTTGCAAACCAACAGGATGAGTGTAAACATAACTGTCTTGATAATATAGCATGCCAAAAATAAGTGGTCTCCTAACCCTTGTATGGGGTAAGTTGACCATAAGAGCGGGGTAAGTTGAGCCGTATCCCTACTACTTCCAAGCAACAGGAGGTGGCTCAACTTACCCCACTCTCCCCTTATGTAAGGCTGGGACGATCTGATAGTGTACTGTAAAGCATTTACACACCAATGGACACATGTGCACCTCACTGTTTAACTCTGCCATGAAATATGTCATGTATTTCAGAGATGTTTATCAAGCTACTCGGTGAAGTTGTTTCTAGTAGCTATCTATCGCTACCGTGGACAGCGTTAGCATGTGCTAGCTCGATAGTTAGCTTTACTGATACAGCTCGCCCGCCAACGGCTCTAATGTTGCACCGGAAGCCTTCACAGTGGCTCTATCTCATGATAAATAAGAACATTAAATAAAAGATTGAACAAGTACTTCACGTGAATATGATGCCAAACAACTCACCATCATCAGCTGGCGTCAGGAACGCTTCTCCTGTATCCTAGAAACGACACTTCTTCCATGGGTTATGTTTACTCGTAATGTAGATTAGTGGTGGGTGCTGCCGCCTGTCGGGTAGGAGTGTGAACTGTATTTCTATCCTTAAAACCAGACCAGTAACAAAAATGAAGTTGTACATAAAATGTTTTCAAAAAGTCTGCTACCTACTTTAATGCACTACCTCGAGATTATGAACAAATTCTGGCATATATGCTATAGGATGTTCAATAGAAATTAAAATACAGATTTTTTTTTAACCAAATTACTTTTTGTTGTCTAGATATTTCACCATTATGAGAAAGTTTTATAAGATATGTAATTTTTTTGCAATATGTGTTTTAAATTGTGTCTCCTGTGTCACAAATGTAATGGGTATTAGTTACTTGAAGTTGTTTGCTTCCACATATTTCATCATGTTTGCAACAACCTCTGCACCCACACCTCTTCTCTTGTGGTAAAAGGAGGGGGGCGGCGGAGCCATTCTCTTTATAGAAAACCCATTTATGTTAGAAAAGGAATAAATAACTAAAATACACTTTAAAATTTGTTACTTTGTTGTTATTTTGTATGTCTTTGTTAACATCGTAGTGTTTTAAAATCAGTCTGTTGTTGCAAAGGTTAAATTCTAAAACAAGGATGCTTCACACACATCTCTGGCCCTAAGAGTCAGAAGATATATATACAACCTTGTCAGTTTTGATGTGATCTTTGAGATGCCACTTCAAGTAATAGTTGGTCTCAATGGCCTCTTGAGTTTTTAAATAGTGGGAGTGAAATAGGTCACAAAAGGCCAAAGTATGAATAGAAAACAGACTCTGACTACATCTTTTCTGATGGACTAAAGCTGTCAAAGGTCTTAACACTGTCTGTTTGTACACAGTGGATTTATCAGCTGTCAAGGAAAAGGTGTTGTTTATTAAATGCCCTTGGAACATATGGGACCACGCCTTGTACACAATGTTTCAAGAGTTATGTGTGAGAAAGTTGTCCCTTGAGACCACTGTGATGGCCTTCTGGATATATAACGTCATCACTTCACCTTTTATATATTCTTATTCTTTAACAGGTGGCATCGATGAAACAAAAACACGAGTTCACTTCTTTCTATGAGCAAAATCGATGCATTAGTGTATACTTCCATACATCCCAGACAAAGGTTATGTTGAGCCCTCTGTTCCCTTCCCCCAACCTCCTCTGTATCATCCCTCTTTTTGTACAGTGTCTGTGAATCTCTGGTACCTCAAGGTGAATGGGGCGGGGCCGGAACTTGATCTCTGGGTTGCTGCAGAAACCACATCCTAAGTTTCTAAATCAGGCAACATCATCTATACATAGACATTATGAGACAGTTCTGCAGCACAAAGCACACACACACACTTCACACACACACACACATACAGAGCTGTCCACACTGAATGTAAATGTCCTCTACTGCTGAACCCTCACTATGCTAACGAGCCTTTTAAAAGCCGTGTCACTACACTGATAAATATGCATCAGAGGCCCAGTGAGGGTGACCTGTCAGGAAGGGACAGGGGTCACAAAAGGTGGGGCATCAGGAAAAAAAATCACCCATGCTCCTATAAGGGCTGTATCGATCAAATTGATTAAAAAGAGCAGATCCACCCAAACACACAACCAGCAAAAATAAAAAAAATAAAAAACACACAGTGACAGAGCTGCGATTCCACCAATGCCAACCCCAACTCTGTCTCGTCGTACCCTCCCTTGCACTTTCTCTCTCTCATCGTTCAGCGTTTACACACCTGCAGTCTTCTTGTTCGTCTAAGTACCAGTAAGACACAAAAACTCTCTTACCTTGCTGTCGCTGTCCGCCTCCTCTGCCCTCTTTGGTTTTTATCCACAACTTATTCCATCTCTCTGGAAGAAAAAAAGAGGATCTGTGAGGCTGGGTTTTCACGCCGGAGCGACTTCACACACTTCACACAGGTATGTCTCTTCTTCTCATTAATCATAAGAACTTTGATTTCTCTCTTTGTCATTTCCAAGTGAACTGTAACACCGTGGAGACACATGAGTTTTATAAAGTGAATATTTACCAGGTCTCCACAAATGAATACAGGATAAAATATAAGATCACAATCCTTATGGGATAGCCATACTTGTTAGTACTATAACTTTTAGGCTTTCTGATACACTTGGTCTGCAGGTTTAGAAAATGTGTGATATCAGACTTCAACAAGGCTAATCTTTCTTAAAATTATTTATCTTACAGACGAAAAGCCTTCATCCTTCGGTGTCAATGTAATTTATTTACTGCAGTTAACTTTTCCAACCTTGTAGGTTCAGGTGTGAGAAGCAGCAGCTGCATTGTGGGACCATATGGTGCGAACAATGAGTCATTCATTATCACATCTGCAACAACAACAGAGGAAAGATCAAGATTTTATACATACGCACAAATGCATCAGGTGTAACATACTCCACTAATCATCATTTTTACAGCATTACAGCTGATGCTGTTTCTGTTTCACATGCGCACATACAATATATGATAAATATGTATATCAAAGTTTAACTTTCACACAATGACACTAGAATCAACATTTTTAAAGGAATTATCAGAAAATAACAGTTTTAGGAACTCTTAACAAACAAGACTTCTGTAATCAGTCACTAACAGCAAATGTTAATATCCTCTGAGCTCTTTTGTTTTCTCCTGCAGCTGTTAGTGATTTGTGGCCGCTCTGTATGAGCCGCTGTCTTCAGTTAACCCTGGAGAAGACAGGACAGTCTGAGATCACATTTGCAAGCCTGCTGACTCAACTGCAGATATTCATTACCTGTGATGTTTGCAGAAAAAATAATCTAAAAAAAAAATTTTTGCACTCGGGGGGTGAAGTCTCAGCGGTGGTACTTTTCTCTCGTGTATTCTGTTCACCTGCACTGGACCCGACCTTGGGTTATGATCCTCACCTCTGGCAACCGGCCATGGAACAGCAGTGGTCCACGCGTGACGCTTCGACTTCGCCTCTCCCCTTCCTCTCCCCTCCATGTCAGCAGGTTTGGCAGGGACAGCGGCTTACATATCCTGTGTTAAAGTGTTAGTGCCAGGCCAGCAGAAACAAGAGAAGTCACTTGACACTGATGGTCATACAGTGGCTATGAGCACATTATTGCTTCAAAAATGCCTGATCAATGAGATTTATGGACACTCTTCTCTGAGGTTTATGTGTGTCCATGAGGTCTGTCTCTTCATGCACTCACAGATGCACCTCTTTCTTTTCTGTATTGAAATATGATGAACCATACATTGTGGGAAATGGTTTTGAAATGGCTGTGTAACCTCTCCCTGTATCTCTGTATTTCTGCCAGTTTCGCTCTGAATCTGCTGTCATCGCTCAAATAATGACTGGAAACCATCGAGCTGCCCCCGGTGCACCAGGCTCTTCTGTTGCTCCAACCCAAATGCCAAATGCAACAACCACCCGAGGCCAAAAACAGCCCCACATTCCCACCAAATTCATGAGTGAACTGCGCAGAACACACAGTGAGTCCAAGACTAATAAAAAGAGAGATAAAGTGCTAGTATGTTGGTATGGTTAGAAAGGCTTAAATCTGACTTTACAAAAACCTTTGAAATAACAACAAAACAGAAAGTTTAAGTTCAAGTCTACATTTCTGCTCTGTTAGAAAGGCTGAATAAAACATTAAAATAAATTATGTATCATATAAGCATGTGCATGTGTTTAATATGGACTTGCAGTGCCATCATGGGCTGTTGCTGCCCTCTGCATGGTGAGTTTGTGTGTGGTGCTCTCCTGTGCTGTTTGTGTGTGGAGAAAGTGCCTGAAAAAGAAGGACAAGGACAAAGAAAAGGAGAAGAAAAAGGGGAAGGAGAAGAGCCAGGGGGACTTTGACACTGAAATGAATGGAGGATTTATCAAGGTAGGCTCGCACAAGTGCGCACTCTCTCACACAGTCTCCTTCTGCAGATATATTGCCCTTGCAATGTATCACAGTCCTGACATCAGGGTCAGTCAGGGCCAGTAAAACTGCCAGTGTGTGCTCAGACTAATGGATGTTTTGTACGTTTCTTATGCTGTAATAAAAGTCAAAGTGGAGGTCTGGGATGAGCTGTGTTTCAGGTCTCGTTTAAACACGCTAAGAACTTCCCCTATTAACAGTAAATAAACTTAGACAGTAACATTATGTGCTGCTCCACTAATTGACAGACAGTCTTCATTGATTATTCATAAAGCTGGCATATTTCACCCACATGTGATGTGTGTCTTTGTCTTTGTGCAGCCGCTGAAAGACGAAGGCAAAAAAGAAACAGAGCTGTTAGATAATGAGCCCAAAGAGGAGGAGAAGCTTGGCAGGCTACATTTCACATTAGACTACAACTTCACTGATAATACGGTGAGATGCTGCCACTCACTGTAATGTGTCTCAGCCCACCATCTGCTGACTTTAAAATGTCACATCAGAATGTTTTTACTGCTCTGTCATTCAGACAGATTCTCTTTACCCGGTATTTCTTCCCTTCGCTCTCTTTACCTAGCTGGTGGTAGGCATCTTGCAGGCTGCTGAACTTCCTGCGATGGATGTAGGAGGTAGCTCGGACCCTTATGTCAAACTGTTTCTGCTCCCAGACAAAAAGAAAAAGTTTGAGACCAAAGTTCATAGAAAGACCCTTGACCCCAACTTCAACGAGACTTTTTCCTTTAAGGTATGGGATATCAATAGGATATGAATGATTCTAGCTCATTGCACTAGATATGTTCTAAATAACCGTTTACTGCAGGTGCCGTACACTGAGCTGGGCGGAAAAACCCTGGTGATGACCGTGTACGACTTTGACCGCTTCTCAAAACATGATGCTATTGGAGCTGTGAAGATACCCATGAGTAGTGTGGACTTCAGCCAGTCTCTGCAGGAGTGGAGGGATCTGCAGAAGGCAGAGAAGGAGGAGGTGGGAGCGCACTGCACTGTCGGAGGAGGAGAGGAGCTGATATTGGAAAAGCATGCATGAGTCAATCAGGGTGAAAATTATAATTCAGTGGAGACAAGTTTCTGTAAAAGTTTTTCCACTATTTACCACTGACCCAAAGTAACTATTCTTTTCATGTCTGTACATTCATCTGCTTTATTTACCAAAGTTAATAACTAAATTAAGTCTTCATCCTGTTTTTGAGGCCCTGTAACTCTGGGGAAGTTCTTGTGATTTTGATGAAAGATTCAGTTTTCAAATGTAACCATGAACAACAACCATGAAACAACATACTCACTTTCTTTGTATCAGAGTGAGCGGCTTGGAGACGTATGTTTGTCCTTGAGGTATGTGCCAACTGCAGGGAAGCTGACAGTTGTTATCTTGGAGGCAAAAAACCTCAAGAAAATGGATGTGGGAGGGTTATCAGGTGAGTTAAACATTAAACAGTTTACATAGAATTATTATTGAAGGTATTTTCAAAGTTCCTACAGATGTTCTGCACACTAGATATCTTCCATATGTACATATAAATGGATTTATTATAGTTGCTAGATTTTATCATATGACTGAGTGAACTCTATAGGTCCAATGTATAACTTGAGAAGGTGAATAAGAACATGCTACTTGGTGCAAACTTTTAAGTAGTTCTAATTCAAGAAGCATAACTCAGAGTTTCCACAATCAGTGTTGAATTTAATGACTAATGGAATTACTGCATTGGTGCCATGCTGACAGTCTGCCATGAATACCCTCTTCCCTCTGTTAGACCCTTATGTAAAGATCCACTTGATGCAGAATGGGAAAAGGCTCAAGAAGAAGAAAACAACGATAAAGAAAAACACTTTGAACCCTTACTACAATGAGTCCTTCAGCTTTGAAGTGCCCTGTGAACAGATAGAGGTATGCATATTTTTAAGCACACACCTATAAAATCAGAGTCATCAAATAATCATCACTTATTCATGTGTGTTTATCCTTATTCATAGAAAGTGCAGATAGCAGTGACTGTGCTGGACTACGATAAGATTGGAAAGAATGATGCCATCGGGAAGGTGCTGCTGGGAGGAAACAGCACTGGGAAAGAGCAATGCCACTGGTCAGACATGCTGGCTAACCCCAGGAGGCCAATAGCCCAGTGGCACAGCCTCCAACCAGAGGATGAAGTCAATGCACTCATTTCCAACAAGAAATAAAACTATAATATCAGAAGATGAAACTCACAGTTTATGTTAATTGCTCCAATTCCCCTTAACCTCTTGAAGCTAATGAAGTCCGACCAATTATAATATTTTTAACCTTAAAAATATCCAAGTCCCTTTTGTAGACTGTAAGCTATCTTCCCTCACATTTGTCCACCTGCTTCTACTTGTTGACTGTTTATTTATTTGGACAGCCCACCTCTCTCCCCTCCCATTGTTTTAAAGTGAGGCCAAAATACAACCTGAATAGGCAATGATGTATTGAATGATTTAGCAACATAATACACGAGCAGAAGCAATCTGGCTTGTGGAGCTGCAGAATTAACATCATAGCCTTCTGCTGACCAAAGCAAACACTGGAATCAATGGCTAGGTTAAATGCAAGTTAGTGCAGACCCCAGCAGGTCCGATTTTTCAGCTGCTTTAGAGCACACACTCATGGTTATGGAAAGTTCAGTAAATCCTGTGGTATTATTTTTGTACATTTTTCATCTTAGTCCCTTCTCTACTCTGCTACTCTTTTATGGAAAGCTGCAGGAGCCTGGATTTGACAATTTGAGCAGTCAGTCATTGTGTCATATTCATTCAATTAAATACCACTAATTAAAACTAAACCTCTCAGAAAACTTGCAAATGAAGTAGCATGATACAAACAGCTTATACTGAAACATGATTAAGAAAAAATGATATGACTTTTGTTCTTAATTACTAGTTAGACCCACTTTTTATGACTTATACTGTAGTCAGCCACCAGGAGGAGCTCCCAAAGTTTGGCTTCACTTTGTGGGAGGTGTTGTGCCATTAAGGGTTTTATACGCTCTGTGCCTCTTAAACTGCAACAAAGAGTTTTGAAATAAGATGTATCACTATGTACAGTGCTATTAAACCATGTATCACTTTTCTTACCTTTGTGAATTTTTTCTGTGTGCGTTTACTGTGTCCACTGACAAAAAGGTATGTTTGGTATTATAACTCTACCCTAATTATAACCTCTGTAACTGGCAAGAGCTCTCACCCTCATTTAACCTTTGCTCTTAAATCTTATTTCTCTATTAGGATCACTACATTTTCTGCAACAGCCTATCAGGAGACAAGTGTAAATCCCCCTAAAACACACATACATGTAAAGCCTGAGTAGGTTGAGGACTGAGCCCATGAGCCCATGGGTGAGCAACACAATCTTGGTACGCTCATAGGCTGTATCAAGTGTCAATCATAGAAAACATGAACCTCCTAATAACTTTTAAAAATGGAGCTGTACAGAAAAAAAGAGGACTTGAGCATAAATCAGTCTTACAATAACTACATGTCAAGATTGCCACCAGGGGGGAGAAACATTTATATTCTGTGTAATTAATTTATAAAGTTTGTCCACAGCTCCATTAAGTTTGATGGAGGCGGCGGGATTTATGACCTATACTGCAGTCCGTCACCAGAGGGTGCTGTTCTCGGAGTGGCTTCACTCAGCGAGGAGGCAGACGGCGTCCATTTTATATCCAGTCTATGGGGGATACGCTGTTTGAGCCGAGCGTCATCACGGCGACTCTCCCGCCGAATGCGTACAACTACTGCGCAATGTTAGTTTAAGGAAATGGAGAAAAAACGCGGAATTATCGAGAGCGTTTTGGCTTCAAATACTAAAATACTGGCGGAAGACGGAACTAAGTTGTCCACAGTATATACAGTCTATGTACGTGACGCAGTAAAGCTCGGTGCGAAGTTATACTCAACAGTCGTAGCCTCTTTAGTTAGCCCAGCAACAACTGTGAATATTAGGTTATATATCTCGATAAACTGCCTCGTACACAGTGAGTGAAAGTTGTTTCCGCCTTATCTCCGTCCGTCCCCCTGTTTGGCCAAACCATGCTTTCGTGTCTCTTCGTGTTTGCGTCTAAAATGAGCGGTCTCACCTGGATCATTTGTATGCTAAACCGCCGCATCGGTAACTTAAAACCTCACTCGGACCGACTTCCTTCGGGCTCGCCCCACAGACAACAGAGGCGAGAATCTCAGCCTGTCAGCGGGCTTGAGGGTATTGGAATGACAGAGCAGGCTTACCTGCCCTCTCAGGTGTGTGCTGCTACTCGTCACCTGCTCAGGGGAGCTGTTGCCGTCAGGTAGGTTTTACAGGTAGGACCGAGCATCGTCCAGGTGCTATCGACCATCCTCAACCGTTTCCTCCCGGGACCAGTGAGATGCACCGTTAACGTTCCTGCGAGACTTTCTTTCGGACTCTGAGATGAACTTAAAGTGGACAGTAGAAAGATTTCTTCTTATGTCGTTTTCAGTCTCCCACTTGCTGTTACTTGAGGGTGAGTGTAAGAGTTTTTGTTGTCCAAAATGATATGACAGTATAGTAATGAGAAATGATTTGCTTTTACAGAATTTTTAATGCAGACTTTGTGTTTACAACCCCCTTCATGTTGTTTTTACGTTGCACATTACCTCTAAGTAATGACAAATGGCAAGGATGTGAATAAGTCAAATGTTTCTGCTTGGAAATATTACATTGAATATTTTAGGTCAAATGAATGACTGAAATCTGTTTGTTTCTTGTGGGACTTTTTACTTAGGAGCTCAGAGTCGACTATCTGTGGCAGAAGAAAGACTTCAGAGGTACCCAAACAGAAATTTAATGATTCATTTTTTATAATAAAGTGACACAACTAACCAAACAGTATCCCTATTATTTTAAAAATATATCAAGTATACTCAAGTCTCTAGATAGACACAGGTTGTTGCATTAAATCTTTCTGTCACTAGAGTGTGTGAAAGAGACAGTATCTGTGTATGTGCCTGTGAGGGTACCGTAAGGAGCCTAGATTCAAGTGGTGTAAAGTGCACTTAAAAGTCTCCCCTCTGACTGTTCCTTTCCACTAATGTGCATGTTTGTGTGTGTGCAGAAGGGCTAATGCACTTCGAAGGAAACGGGATCTCCTCAGGGAGGAGGTGGGTACACTACACCTAAGAGAACCAGAGGAGGTCAGGGCACCCACATGCGCACAACACCCTCATGGGCACAAAGATGTCTTTGTAAAGAATGAGACACACTAACACATACGCTCTCTCCCACTCAAACTGACGCAACTTTCAACTTACAGGTGCAGCAGTGATACAGCACTGTGTCATTGATGCTGTTTAAGCTTGAGAATTATTAACAACCCTGTGTATTGTTTACTTTTTTCGAAGACATACAGACCATTGCTGTCAGAAAATACTCTGCCACACAGCATTTTGCACAACTACACAGCCAGAGATGCCTCCTCAGGTACAACTAATTCTTATGAAGTGACCTTAAATGTACTCAGGAAACTATAAAAACCAAGTTTAACTGACTAAGTAATATTGGGTTTGTTCATGTCTTTCCCAGAATACTGTGGCTGCCTTAACGGAGGCTGGTGTCAGGAGAGCGGTTTGTGTGACTGTGCTCAGTTCCAGGCACTGGGAGATCGCTGCCAGATCAGTGAGTAGTACATACATCTGCATGGGCTCCATTTGATGACAGCTCAAACACATCAGTGTCTCATCTTAATGGCAAAATTAATGTTGACTAAAGTACCATCCCTGGCATGCAACAGATTGCCTGGTTGGCATACATACAACTTTCTAATACAGTATAGAGTTTCACATTAAGTTATACAGGAATGAGTGAGTGTATAAAGTTATTCATGTGTGCATATCAGACTCTCCAATCATTCAGCAAAAGGTAATTAACTGCACATATCACAGTATTAATTACAAGATAAGTTAGATGATACCCCCTCTCCCCATTCAGTCTCTTTATTTCTTTTTGTTGATACCGTTCCACTTCAGAGTCAGACCAGTGACCCCCCACCCACTCCCAGCCCCATTCACACATACAAACACACACCCAAATACATGGACCTTATTCCCTCCAGCAGCAGAGTAAAATCACTTGCATTTAGGTAATAGTGTAATCGCTGAGTGATGTAGTTTCTGGTTTCTATATTGTGAACAGACTCTTTATAGACCGTAGCTCCATTATTGTAAAGCCAATTTTCATTTCAGCAGCCTAATTTAGTGCTGGCACACTTGTTGGGAAATATGTGGGTAGCTGTAACTGAGCTGAGGACTTAAATTTACCCACAAACCAGACCGTTTTAAAAAATCAAGATTTTTTTATGAAGACAGGATAATCAAAGGTAATATGGATTGGGCAATAACAACCAAGGTTCCTAAAAATACACCTGCAAAAGTAACATGCAAGTGAAATTATATTCTATGATTGAGGTAACAGGGTTGGCGCTACAGAACATTTGAGGATTTTGTGAATAAATGTAAATTAATCACAATCAACCATTGTGAGTTTCATCACATCACAAGCCACTCTGTAAGAAGATTAGAAGATGTGACTCACTGTCACCAGACCCCTTCAGATTTCAAGTCTTAGGCAACAGCTTACGGGGATTTCCTGTAAGAAGGGGAACTTTTTGACATAAAAACAACCAGGTGTTCATTTTTCAAAGAGAAGTTCGATGAACCGAAAGATAATAAAAGATTGAAAGATTATAAGAGTGGTGAGATGTGCGACCTTGATCATCGGTTGAGTGAAGTGTCACCTTCTTATCTTGTACTTGTGACATGTGCAATCACAATAAATAAATTCATTCATACATTCAATTCATTTATTATTGGTATAAATTCTTGTCATCATAATAAGAGTGTTGTTTACATGAATTCTCCTAGTACCTAACCAGGGCCAGGATAGGGATGGGATTTGCAGGTCATGGGGACAACACCACTACGAAACCTTTGATGGAGTCTACTACTACTTCCCGGGAACCTGCTCTTATATCCTAGCCCAGGACTGCCACTCAACTACACCACAGTACACGGTGTGGGTAAGAGCATACAGAGCAAAGTTACCCATTGAATTAATTTTGATTTGTCTTTTTAAACAGCAAATCTGAGGCGAAAAACACACACAACCATGAGTCAGCTTTAGTGATACAGTATCAAGCTACCAAACCATCCAGAACTGAATTTTAAAAGATGGAGGGGAAAAGACTGAACCTTCTGTACAGTACAAACATATATTGCTGGTAAAACCTAAATGAGCTAAGTCTCTGTTAACTCTATTGCCTACAATGCCCAGCTTTTTTTAGGAATTGATTTGGCCTAAGAAAAAGATTAAGTGCATTTTGAACCCTTTACAAACATCTATATGGAGCTAATGCAGAGAGCAAAAAAAAACCAGGATGTGCAATTTTGAGAGAAAGACTGAATTTTGTAACAGTAGCATAACGAACATGCTAACTAAAATACAACACAGATGTTTGTTTGAAAATAGAGGATAACACCAGCCTCCTATTTTTAAGAACTTTGCTTGTATTTGTGATAAAGTTGCTTGAAAGTCAAAGTAAAAAACTGTTTTCAACAGTCAACACCATCCTGTCATACACTGTCTGTGGTTCTCAGGCTGAAAGCTCAAGTCATAGAGTGAAGTGTATAAAGCCGTAATTTGTCTTTTGTGACTCAGTCTTTTATTCTGTTTTACTGTTTTTTTCCAGGTTCACAACAGCAGAGCATGTGACGGGAATGTGTATTTATGTCCAAGAGCTCTCAGTCTGTTTTTCCCAAATGAGGAGGAGATCCATATCTCGAGATATCAGGTCCACCAGGGAGGCCGCAGGTTAGTTTGTATGTGCAGTATGTATGTGTCAGTGTTTACTCTGCAAAGAGGTAAAAAGAAAAGCAAAGAGAAAGATTTGAAGTCTTCACTTGTCTTCAATTTTGATGCCCCCACAAAACTCAAAAACAGAAAGGAAAGATGTGCCAGTACAGTTTTAAAAGCATGATTTCACAAGAGCTCACTTGACACCCCTGTCTCTGAAATGTCAGGTTAAGTCTCCCTCAGACTCTTGGAAGTGTGTTCATCGAACGACTGGCTGATTACCTGCTGGTGAAGAGCGCGTTTGGCTTCTCTTTGGCCTGGGATGGAGGCTCAGGTGTCTACCTGAAGATGAGCGAAGAGCATCAAGGTGCCCCCTGTGGCCTGTGTGGGAACTTCAACCACATAGCTGGTGATGACCTCACCACTTCTCGGGGTAAGACTGGCCTAACCGGCCTCTCATCCTCTTATCCCTTCTCTCAGCACCCACTCACCTCAATGATTGTTATTATACACTCATCACAAATTCTGGCAATTATGGAAGCAGTGGAGCCTGAAAAGACTTGAGCGAAGGATAACAGAGAACTGATAGTTTGGGTTTGAATACCTGGAGGAGGAGAGAGTTCCTCAAATAACCGGTAATATGAACTGTTGTTCCCTTCTTATTTGAGCAGAAAGCTATTTGAGGGTGAAGAAGAGCCCAGAGAAAAGGGTAAACAAGTGCTAAGGCACCATATTAATCAATTTTCCTTTTGATAGATTTGTGTCAGACTTATTTTTAAGACCCGACTGTAATCCTCCATATTTTTATTATAATTTTTGTATGTGCTTTTCTGCACTTATGAGTGTCTAAACATGCTTAACCAGTTCATGACATTTTGCAGGCGTATCAGGCCTGGACAAAAATTCAAAATTTTGATATTTTTTTGACAGAAATGGTCTTTTCTAAACATTAATGCACTGGTCATTTTTACCTTGAAAGATGAATTTTTGTACACAAGACTCTAAGTATCATAATAAAATAACAGAAAATCCCTCAGCTTCCAAACAAAACACTAAAAATGTGGTGAGCCTTTAAAGTTTTGTTTTTGACCATGAAACAGGAAGTAGTTTTTATCTCAGCCATAAATGCTCCAATCTCACCCATACTTCATATGCATGTTAAGAGTCGTGGTCTGGATAAATTCATGTGGAAATACTTTACCAGAGTCCTACTGTCCCCTAGCAGGAAATGTCATGCTTGCACTATTAGCTTATTTACCAAACCTGGTAAATATATCTGCAGGACATTTGCTCAGGATGTCCTTAAGATGTTGGTCCTGACATGTGCCACAATGAAAATTTTTTAACCATTAAACAGAGTCGTATAAGTCAAATCTGCACAAAATGCCATGAGGTTATGAGGTGTCCCAGCTTAAACACATTCATTGTGAAAAAAATCACAGCACAGCTTACAGGTAGCAGGAAGTTACTGCCTCTTAGATAATCACACTAAAATACCATTTACTTGTAGTTTACTGAATTTCCCACAAAATTCTGAGACTTAATCGTTTCCTGAAAAAAGTTCAAAAATCTACATCTTACTGATGCTATGGTGACACATAACTTGCAATGAATCAAAAGGTAGAGAAATTAGAGGTTTAAAGTAGATGCAGCCCATTTCAACCAATTCTGGGGTAACAGATTTGATCCAATCCACTTCCAAATTTTTTTGTATTAAAGACATCATGAGACAGAAATCTTCTTTAACCTGAGTGTTGGGAGTCTTTTCATATAACAAGAAGTTACTGTATTTTTGACGTACACGCTTTAAACTGCTGCAAGCTTTAAAATCGACTGAGTGTATTATTGTGCCATTTCTTTATTTCTGTTGTATCACCACCTACTGGTGGGAGGCAGGAAACCTTTGAGGCCATGATTTAGTAGGATTACATTGTCACGCTTTATGTTGCCACATTTTGATAAGCACAAAACAGTAATTTCAGATTCAATATGACTGTTCTCTTTCTAAAGGAGGCCACGGAGCACCACATTGTAATTATAGCATACCCTGACTTGTATCAAACCTGAACATACACCTCACTCTGATGTGCACAATGTTGTTTGATGACAGTAAAACACAGAGAAGATTTTGTCCCTGTTTACTTGTGTATTACCCTTCATATGTACGTGTGTACTAGTCATGGGTTTGTATCGGCTGTGTGTTTCAGGGCTTCGGACAGATGAGCCTGCTTTATTTGCAAACAGCTGGGCAGTGGACCTGCCTCATGAGAGAGCCTGTCCCTCTGTAGATATCGACTTTAATGGGCCTTGCAATTCTGAGTCAGACATGGATGTAAGAACAACAGAAACATTATGACAGCTTTAAACAGCTTCACGGATAACTTGTTATTTTGATAATCCAATTTTAAGACTAAAAGCAGTCCTATTGAGACATCAGAGATACAGCCCTTAATGTGAAATGTCTGTGCTGCAATTTTGTTTGTGTGCGACTCTTGTATTTATTTTGACCATTTGCAGGATGCCATAGAGAAATGCAGTGCACTTCTCTTCTTTCCATTTCTGTCCTGCCATGAGAACATAGACCCGAATCCCTTTGTTGCCAGCTGTGTGTCTGACCTCTGTCTGTAAGTCAACAAACCTGCATCGCTTACTAACATATATTTAACCTTTCTTTGATCCTCTTTTCGTTGTGTTGTCGATATTATTCAGGATCATTTTCCCCTCATTTCAGATCTGATGATGAGGAAACATTTTGTCGAGCATTGGTTGAGTACACACGGGCCTGCTCACACGTCGGATATCCAGTAAGAGAGTGGAGGGATAGCTTCCCGTCTTGTTGTAAGTTGTTGTTGTTGCGGCTCTGAATTCTCAAAGAACAGTTTTCTTCCCTATCTTTAAGAAAGACGTCAGTGCTTACCTGATGCTTACGTTTGTGTTTAGATGACGGCTGTGAGGAGAGCTTTGTCTACAGAGACTGCATAAGTTGCTGTCCACCTACCTGTACATTTGAGAAAGAGTGCCTGGGGACCAACTTGCATTGTCTGGATGGCTGCTATTGTCCTGATGGTATTTAATTAATAAACTTCCACATTTATGTTGAAGATTTTTAAGCGATTAGTAGCTAAACTCGCCCTTCTTTGCGCAGGTCTTATCCTCCAAAATGGAACATGTATTGCTGTTTCTCAATGTCCCTGTGTTTACCACGGCACATCGTATGAACAAGGATATGTGCTCCGACAAGGATGTAGCGTGTGGTTAGTGTGGACATGCAGTAACATCATTTTGTTGCTTTGCTGTTGTGCTGTTAACCTGTTGTGTGTTCTTTTTAGTGTGTGCATGGGAGGAGTGTGGAACTGCACCGAGAACAACTGCACGGGTGAGTTCAAGCTTTCACGACAATTCACAAGAAGGAAATGAGAATCCAGATTTATTACCATTCCCCTTTTCTCTTTTTAGCTGAGTGTTCAGTGGTAGGGGATGTGTACATGACGACATTCGACGGTAGGGTGTTTCTTCAGCCGGGTGCGTGTCAGTACGTCCTGGCAAAGAGTCGTGGCAGCAGCAGATTTACCGTCACACTGCAGTACACAACATGTGTAGAGGTAGTGGGCATAACTACTCCAATCCTATATCATTCTGTCTCCACAAATGTGTCTTATTACCTCTTTATAATCTGTTTGTCTACAGCATCAGGTGTGTATACAGTCAGTGACAGTCGTGCTGGATGAAGATGTGAGCCGTCAGATCACTTTGACAAGAGAAGGCGAGGTGATAATCGGTATTAACCCCGGGCCTGTCCTGCCCTTTGTTGATGGTAAGACTCACTAAGGATTATTTGTCACACCACGTGTCTATATTTTCTTTAAAAGGCAGAAGGATCATAGTGAAATATTCAATTTCTGTCTCTGCAAAAGATGCCGTGGAGGTGCAGAAGCTGACCTCTGTGTTTACTCAACTGAGGGCAGGGATTGGTTTGAGGCTGCTTTATGATGGTCGAGGAGGGCGGATCTACCTGCAGCTGGACAGTCAGTGGCGTGGACAGACACAGGGTCTTTGTGGTACTTTCAATGGAAATCTCAGAGATGACTTCCTGTAAGCAAATACCTCCCACTTAAAGATAAATGGTTAAGATAAATGTGGAGGACATAAATTTACCCGACCATGTGTGTTCTTCTTGACTCCAACTTTAACTACTAATAATCAGTCTCACTTCCAGTATATTATTTTTATTTCTGCTGGACTGTAAACGTTGCAACTCGCATCAGTCGGAAGGATTTGGAGCAATATGAATCAACATCAATGACTGATTGTATCTTTATTCTGTGCTTGAACTGTAGGTCACCCGCTGGTATGATAGAGGGGACTCCTCAGCTTCACGCCAATGCCTGGAAGGTGTCATCTGCTTGTGTCGCGCCAGTCAACCTGCCAATCATAGACCCATGTGAGATGAACCAGCACAATGGTAACCAGAGTTTCATCTTTTGTATTGTTCTGTTGCCCACTGTGACAGAATATTGTCTTGATTATTTTTCTGATGAGGATTAAATTTCAAGGACAGGTATCGATCATATTAAATGAGGTCTTATGTTTGTTGTTTTTCTCTCTTCTAGTATTCTATGCATCCCAGTGTGATGTGCTCTTGGGGAGTGTGTTTGCACCGTGTCATAGCCACATCAGCCCGAACATCTACCAGCAGCAGTGCCGCTACCAGGCTTGCCGTTGTGGTAGCAGCTGCTTGTGCACGGCACTGGCTCACTATGCTTACCTCTGCTCTAAACATGGAGTGGACATCAGTTTTAGGTCACACGTCTCTGAGTGTGGTGAGTGCTTCACATTTACACACTCGATGTATTTTCTAAATATTTACTCTGTGTTGTATGTATGGAAGGAAAGAAACTGTATTCATAATCTTTAATATTCATTTACATAATTCGTTACTCGTGTTTGTGTCCGTTCATGCAGGGGTTGTGTGTCTTGGAGGCATGCTCTACCACTCTTGTGCGTCATCTTGTGGGCGGTCCTGTCGTGCTGTGTCAAACCCTGAGACATGTAACCCCGATGACTGTGCTGAGGGGTGTGGATGTGCAGATGGCAGTTACCATGACGAAGTCCGCCAGCGCTGTGTGCAACTGTACGGCCTTTTATCTCATACATCATCCGAATTGTGGTTATCACTCGCGATTAGGCAGAAATGGACACTCTGAACACACCATGATCAATTCTTGTGTTAAAATGAACATCATTGGTTTGTTGTCAGGTCTCAGTGTCACTGTTACTCTATGGGAGGAGTGTCGCAGCCCGGGGAGGTGACTTTCAGCGCCTCAGGTCCCTGGTGAGTCCCAGCAAGCCTCGACTGAAAAGAGATAATTCCCCTTGGCTGCAGAGCAACATCCTTGTGCACATTGATTTAGCAAAGCAATAAAAGCTTGAGTTATTATGAAATGAGACATAGATTACTTGTGCAAAATGGCATCACTTTCTTTTTCGAACACTCTTCCTTCTTCTCTCTTTTTCTGTCTCCTTCATCAGCCTGTGCAGAAATGGGAGGATGGAGTGCGTGCCAGAAGAAAAAGGTAACCTTTTTTCCCCCACCTTTTCCAGTTTCTACTCTGGCGCATTCCAGAGACTAAGTGCCGTTTAAGGCTATGTCCCCTGTTGATATCTAGAGCCTCATGTCTGTGATTGTAGCCGGATTCTCATGGATAGCTATTGCTTTAAGTTTCTAAGGTGACTGGGGCATTGACTGAAGTTTTTGAGTACATAAGTGTGTGCATACGAGTGTGTTTTGTTGAGCCAGATAGCGTAGAGGTCGGCGAATGTCCTGAGGGAAAAGTGTACCACAGCTGCACAGAGCAGAGGGGAGGCGTGGCCTGTGCACCAACCTGTCGTAACCTGATGTTGAACCTCACCTGCACTCCTGGCACACCGTGCATCCCTGGCTGTGTCTGTCCTTCAGGGTACAGCTTCACCTTCCTTCCATTTATTACCGTGTATTACTGTGTTTTTGAAAGCTCTTGTAATGTTTTTCCAGCAGTACACTCAGTAGAAGATTAGATAAGACGAGGGAAATTCCTGCCTCCTAAGAGAGTCACTTCTCTTTTGATTATAGTGTGGTTTGAAAAATCTGCTGTTTGATAGGAGTGTTTGAAATTAGTGTTTAAAGTGAGAGAACATTTTTCATCTGTAGTTTCTGCTTGCAACCGGACTCCCTTTAAAGAGGACATTTGACAGGTTTTGCATGGGTGCCTAATCAGTGTGGATGCTAAATGTAAAGACTCTAAGCAGTTGAGACAGCGCCGTTTAAGCTCTGCCAGCACTGAAGGGACCGACAATTCATCACTCCCCTTCCCCCACTCCTCACTTTTGTCTGATTACAAATGACAAATTCACAAAAGGCTTTGAAGTGGTTGGATGCACACGAAGCTAAAACAGGAGTAAGTTTTTGTATGTATCTAAGCATCAGAAAAATTTCTTCTGGCTAGCCTGGGGAATTGTTTCTTTTGGACAAATAAAGTAGGCAAAGACTTTCTATATACATTTCAGAACCAGAATTCTAAAATGACCCAACGGCATTATAATATCCTGTGTTGCTTCCAATATTCCTCTTCATTGGGACTGGTTCTCAGAGAACCAGGGATGTTATACTGACACAGTAAGTTAAGTTATTGTACCCATAGATGGGTGACCAGGATATAGTAGAGGAGGAGCCATTTGTGGTGTGTTGTTAAGCGTAGAGACTGGGAACCTAGACTGAAATAACCTTGAACTGCTCAACTTCAAATACTGCTGGAAAAAACTGATTTTGTAAATTTGCCTCACCCAAAAAACACATTATAAATCTAATCCAGACAGATAAAGACAATGTAACAAAATTTGCCTCCAAGAAGACAAAATGTATGATGTACAAAATGTACTCACTTGATTGGTCTTATCATCTTCATTTATTTACTTTAATGCGGAATTTTAAGTGAGATGTTTGCATGTGTTGTAGCTTTAACTGTGGTCTTAATTTACCTGTAAAGGCTGGTGCTGCACCACGGGGAGTGTTACTACCCAGAGAACTGTCCCTGTGCTTGGCTGGGCCTTGAATACCTGCCTGGAGAAATAGTGGAAACATCCTGTTACAGATGGTACGGTTTGACTTGTATTTTACCATTAATGATTAAACTTCAGGGTTTTTAGAAAGTATCATTTCCTCAGCTACGAAAGAGATCATTTCACGCCACTTTTTCCCATAGAATATAATTGTGAAGTGCATTTTGCTGCTAATTTTCATGTGTGGCATGAAACATTTCGCCCCCATGCTGTCCTGATATTTAATCCACATTCCTGTCTTCTCAGTGTGTGCCATCGTGGCTATTTCAACTGCAGCTACTTACCATGTCCAGCTGTGTGTACTGTCTACAGCGACAGACACTACCACACCTTTGATGGCCTAGAGTATGACTACCACTCTGATTGTCAAGTCTACCTACTTAAAGTGAGTAGATTGTATGTGAGTAGATTAGATATGAGTCTTGTAGTATTGGCTGAAAAAGCCCCCAGAATTTGTTCTGCAATGAGTCTGGGCACTGAAAGGCTGATCAGTTGCTGTCAGAGAAGTGTTTCTGCAAGATGGCAGAGCAAAAGACAAGCATCCTCCAGATTTCCCAGCCAAAACAGATTTAGATCTTGGAAAGAAGATCGAAGCTCATTCCTAATCTTGGAAGAGAAAGTGATTTTTAATTAGATCAGATTAGGTGTGCATGTGTGTGTGCTGGAGGGTTTTTTGCACCTTGGAAATGCTAGCAGAGCCGTAGCCACACAAAGAAGCCAGTGTTCATTTCAAACCCCACAGCTCCTGCGCTCCCAGGGATATAGAATTAGAATTAGCAGAACAGACATCGCAATTCAGACGGACTGCTGGCCAGCATGTAGACCTGGAAAGAATGGGGAAGCAATTCAGAGCTGTTTTAACAACCTAGAGTTGTTTCCTTTTTGTGTTGCTTTTTATGTACCTTGTAATGCACTTTTTCTATATTGTCGAATCAAATATCCCGATGGATCTGTACTGGGGTATTTGGTTACAATAAGGGGAAATACTAACCGGATAAGATATATGGAACACACCCATGAGAAAACCTGATCAGATTTCTTTACCTTGTGATTAAATAAAAGTTGACTTTTATTTTGTCTTTCCCTCTTACCAGAGTACAGGAGACACTGAAGTATCCATTGTTGCCCAAAACAAGGACTGCTATGAGAGCGGTATTGTGTGCATGAAAATACTGGTTATTCACGTGGGACTTACCAAGATCTACTTCACTGACAACTCTGGCAACCCTGTATGGACTGCACAATCACAGTCACAATCAAGCTACCTATTTGTGTGTCTGTCTCTTTAGAGGATATAGAAATGATTTCTTTCATACAAGGAACCACTGACCCCGTCCTGTTTGTTCCGCTTTAGAGCCCATCTTCTGTTGTAGGTCGAGAGTCAGAGTTTGAGATTTGGAAAGCAGGCTACTACACAGTGGTCCATTTCTCTAATCAAGACCTGACTATCCTGTGGGATCGCAAGACAACTGTGCACATCAGAGCTGGTCCTCGCTGGAAGGTCAGGACTTGGAGTATATTCTGACAAAGTTTTTAGAGACCTCAGCTAAATGAAATGAAACATATCTGCGTTTCATTTTCTAGGGCCTCCTCAGTGGGCTATGTGGAAACTTTGACACAGTGACAGTGAATGATATGACCACCTCCAGCCACATGGAAGTCAATAACGCCCAGACCTTTGGAGACAGCTGGGCTCTGGGACAGGTATGAGTCAGTTTAGCTCCTCTCCTCCATTAACTCTCCCATTACCCTCTGTCCTTTAGCTGTCTTTGTCTATCACTCCTTCACTCCTTTCTAGCTCCCCATTCCTTCAGTGATTTATCTGTGCTTGTGTCCCATGAGCCCACTGTGATATTTAAGAGTAATCAGACACTCAATCACCCTCAGTGTGTGTGGATCTGTTTGTGTGTTTTAGTGTGAAAGTGACTACGTAGTTGAGAGACCGTGTGAAGGGGACTTGGGCAGACAGCCATATGCCAAGAGGGAATGTGCCCTTCTCTACAGTGACGTCTTTGCACCTTGCCACAATGTGGTGAGTGCCATTTATCTGATGGACAAATGAAAACACTCATATTTTTGTACAAATTTAGTGTGTATGTGGCAAAAAAGGTTACCTTGCTTGTAAAAGAGGATTAGTATTATGTGAGGCGTCATGGAGTGCCAAATACCAAATCCCTCTACAGATGAAAGGCTTCACTCATGCATACAGATATTATACTTCTCTGCATGGCCAGCAGATGGAGCCATGTACCCATACACAAGAGTTAAAACTGTTATGCGATATCTGTTGTTTGGCAGTACTTTCCCACTCAAGTGAGTCCTGAAATGACTCCAGTTTAAGGATTAGTCGTGTTGTTTGTGGGAAAGTTTTCACTTAGCCACTGAGCTAAAAAAAAAACAGAGTAAGTGAATATTGTGTAGGTTTGCATCTAGGTTTTCCAGCTAAATTTTGCTGTAGAGTAGGTATAGCTTTAGACAACCAATCAATTCTGATTAGTGTGGCCTGGATTGTTTTCAGACTATTTTTCTAATGTGTAAAAATGAATCAAAAAGGTGGAAGAAACACTCTGAAGAAATCTGAGATTTAGATAAGTAAAACTGAAAATAGTTTCTGGAGGATAAAAAAATGACATAGATATCTACTAGTTTATACTATAATCTGATGTAGGGTGAAGTAACTACCATTATTATTCGAGCAAAATCTCCCATCCTAGATATCACAACGGTGTTCTCCATGATTTAACTGGAGAGAAAGCCTTCAACTGAGGGGGACAGATGGACCAAACACTTCAAAAGCTTTAAGAGCGTCTTATAAGAAATGAAATAACTCTCTTTTGTTTATTTATAACTGTGTCATACAGACATTCACACATCCAGCCCACATGGGCTTACATGACATTATAAATTTACACAGCCCAGGATCAGAGAGCAGAGTAGGCAGATTCATTGTCATAGTACAAAAAAGGAAAATAAAACCTTTTTTCTTAAGCATCTTCAGAGTTATTCTGCAATTTTTTGCTAATCTCACAGAAGCAGATGTCAATGCTTTTGAGGGAAATATGTATCTTTTAAGTCATCAAACAATGTCTTAAAAGCCTAGAAAAGTCATTTTTAAAGGTTTTTAAGACAAAATCTGCCTGTTAGCTCTCCAAACCTGCAGTTACACCATTTGTTGCTTATCAAGCTGCTACAACCTTTTAGGGTTTCTATAAGTAACTTCATGAAAAAACAGCTACAGCCACATCAAGCATCTGTATTAAAGAAAAGGTATGGAGCAGCCTTATTGTCTGAATTTATTCAGCTGTACAGACGATAACTCAGGAACTTTGTTCTTGTTTGTTCTCGTTGCAGCTATTTCTGTTAGGAATATATTTTCCTGACCGGCTGTATCAAGCAGGATACTGTGCACTCTTAACACAAACATTTCTCATGAACACAGTATGTATTACTCTAACAGATGTCAAAACCACAGCAGCCCTGCCAATCAATGGACCAATAAATTGCTGGTGCATTTTGTCTGTCTGTCAATGAGCTCACCTGATCCCTCCTGCACCAAAGTTTGACCCACATTCCTTTAGACTGATATCTCATCACTCCTTCCCTGTCTGAATTATTGAAACCACTCACCCTCCACATGAGACCTCCCCTAGTTTCCCCCAGTGAGATTTGGCCTGGTTCACTTTGTTATTGTGCGTGTGTGTATGTATATGTGCGTTTACATTAATATATATATACTTACATATATGAATGGTCTGTATTCCCTTGAGGTGGATGTGGCCTGGTTTTATAGAAACTGCCTGACAGACACCTGCAACTGTAACCGTGGGGGAGACTGTGAGTGTCTTTGTACTTCCATCGCTGCATATGCACACAAATGCTGTCAACAAGGGATCACGATACACTGGAGGTCGCCCTCTGTCTGTCGTGAGTACATTCAAAAACAAAGATATAGAACGCTGGTCTGCTTCGATTTGTCAGAGATGTGACCCCTACTAAACCTCTTCAAACCACTCTCTGTGGTCTGTCTTTGCTTCAGGTAACGCTTTTCTATTTTTCAGAGCCACTGAAATAAAGATTTTTACTGTCTCATTCCCTTTCAGCCTATGACTGTGAATATTTTAACCAAGGTATGTAACACAGACAGTCGAAGCTTTGTTGTCCGTTGACGTTGAAAAATCGTACACATTCTCACTTTCACCTTTGTGTGAATACCCATTTCCTCTCTCCTTTTCTCAAATCCGGAAGAGCTTGGAGATGGCCCATTTTCCTTGGTGAGTGCTGTCTATAATGACACAATGTTTGGGGTAAATCGCTCCAGCAGCTCAGTGTTTCCTCTGGTAAGAGAGAGACTGGGGCAGTTGCCTTCCCCAGGCCTAATGTTCAACTTTATGATCACCGCAGGCCTGCAGAAGGACAGAGCATCACGTAAGTGTCCACATATGCCAAATGACACCATACCACACACAGTGTCTGAATTATATTAACACTATCCACTCCTTTTCTCAGGAGTCCCTGTGGTGTCACTGGAGTCTGCAGAGAGACCAAACTATTTCCTTGTTGCCTCAGGGCGCAGTCGTCTGCAGTTGGAGCACTGGAGTCGAGGTGCTGAGTTTGGTCGCAGGGCAACCTTCATTCAGCACCAGGGTCTGTTTTTACCGGGTCACACCTCATTTGAACTAGTCAGCCAACCTGGAGTCTTTCTGACACTGACACGCACTGCTGCACGAGCGCAGAGATATGACACTTCGGAGGGCTTCAAAGCTAGCAGCAGTTTCACTCTGGAGGGTCTGAAATACATGCATTAACTCAAGACAAATAGATATATGCATTTGTGTGCATGCAAAAAAAAGAACTAATGAGTTATTTTTCCTCTCCTCTGGCAGAGAGCAGTTTTGTGATACCTTATCGTCTGATGTGTGAGTGGCGCTACCAGGCCTGCGCGAGTCCTTGTGTCCACACGTGCATTGACCCAGATGCTACACGTTGCCAATTCCTGCCTCCGTAAGAGGCTTTGCTTATTAAAAGTACTCTTAATAACAATTAATCAATGCTTACCTTGAAGGTTTAATTGATTTTTGCAGTGTGGAGGGCTGCTTCCCACGTTGTCCCAAGAATATGATCCTTGATGAAGTCACAAGAAGGTGTGTCTACACTGAGGACTGTGAGTGCAACATTGAAGGAGTTTTTCTCTAAAATGGGATTAAAGTGTTTTAGTTTTCTATGATGTATATGTACAGTCTGGAATTTCATGTGCCCTTTTAACTATAGAAAATATCTTCCAATATTTAATCCCCCTTTTTAGGCGTGTCCCTCCCTCCAACTCCAACACCTTTTGCATATGTGACGCGCTCAAACACGACAACTGTAGCACCAACAACAACTACAACCACTACTACAAGGCCTACAACTACTACTACTACTACCACCACCACCACCACCACAACAACCACTACCACCACCAGAGCAACAACTACCTCCACTACTACCAGGCCTACTACAACCACCACTCCTACTACACCACCCACTGAGCCGGTCACAACTCTCCCTGTTACAACTCCCTCTACAGCTCCTCCAACCACAACTGTTTCTGTCACTCCGTCTCCCTCAACCCCATCAGGGACAACCACTCGCAGCACGACTGAAGTGACCCCCACACAAACCACAGAGACCACGATGCCTGTCACCACAGCAACAACCTCCACTGAAGCAACTACAGTCTCCATTACTACTACTCCCCTTCCCCCAACTACCCTGGCTTCCACCACCTTGACCACATCTCCCTCCACCACACCGTCAACACCATCTCCAACCACACCAGTAACTACTACCTCACCTCCTCCTACCTCACCCTCCACACTGCCTACACCTACCATAGCTGTCACAACTGCCCTCACCCCCACCACGACAGTCCCTGAAACCACATCTGCTCCAGAGACTACACCAGAGACTACTACTCTAGAGACCACCACCTTAGTGGACACATCGACAGTTGAGACCACAACAGCACCACCCTCAACAACCACAGAACTCACTACTGAGCTGCTCACCACTGAAATAATCTCAAGCACTGAAACCTTTCCTACAACAGAGGGAGCATCAACCACACATGCTTTTCCCGTCCCGACCACCCCCTGTACAGTGAGTGTTGCCACTGTGGTAAATTACAAGAATATTGCCACAATAAAACCTTTTATTTAAGTGCACTTTGACATCTTAAATCGTGTTAAAGGGATATTCCGGCGTAAAATTAAGTCAGGGTCAAATACACCGCAACACTGAGTTAGACACCCCGTTCAAAGATGAATGTTGCTGCTTGTATCTCTGGTTATACCAACTTTGCAAACAACCGCAGATAGCAACACAGAGAGTCACGTGCTCAACCAAAAAGCCACTCTATAGCCACAAATAATGCTCAGAACAGCACCTAACTTCATCAACAGTACATATAGGGTCCCAGCCACAGCACTAGCCACCAAACATCATTTTAACTTTGCCTAATTTCTTTAGCAAAGAGGCAAAACATAACTCACCCACTTTCTTCCAGCAGCTTGTTTGTACGGAGACCTCCAGGCGAGTCCATTGACTGCAGGGGGGTGACGCAGCTCAAGGAAGAACATGATTATTACTTCAAGGAAATGATAAAGTAATGATAATAAATGTTCTCTCTTGAGCTGCATCACCCTGCTGCAGTTAATGGACTTCCCCGGAGGTCTCCGTACAAATAAATGGCTGCTGGAACAGAGAGGGTGAGTTGTGTTTCATCTCTTTGCTTAAGAAATCAGGCCAAGTTAAAAAGATGTTTGATGGCTAGTACTATGGCTGGGACCCTATATGTACTGTTGATGAAGTTAGGCGCTGTTCTGAGCATTATTTGTGGCTATAGAGTGGCGATTTGGTTGAGCGCGTGACTCTCTGTATTGCTATCTGCGGACGTTTGTAAAGTTGGTATAACCAGAGATACAAGCGGCAACATTCATCTCTGAACGGGGTGTCTAACTTGGTGTTACAGTGTGTTTGACCCTAACGTAATTTTACATTGGAATATCCCTTTAATGCGTATCAACAGTGATAAATGAGACGCTTCTGCCATGCTTACTTTTTCATCTATAAGAAATCTATGTCTGTATACAGGTATGAGTCAATATAAGGATTCTTTTTGGTTTGCTAGCCTGCAGACTATGATGGCCCGATTATACGTCATGCTCAGGTGTATGAATCAAAAAGGTTTGTCTCCCTCTCCACAGCCTCCATACTCCTACCGAATTGATGACTGTGCTGAGCTGTTCTGTTTCAATGGCGAGCTGCTGCTTCACAACTCCTCCCTGCACTGCCGCTACACCACTACCCCGCCCCAGTGCAGTCTGCTGGGCCTGCCCATCCTCATTAACACAGACCCGTGCTGTCCGCTGTGGCAGTGTCCCTGTGAGTTGGATCCGAGAGCCATATTCCTATTCAGATGAAGTGATACGAAACCATTGTTTGCTGTTATTATCTGTGTTTGAGTTTATTCATACATGACCGCTTCTTCCAGGTCGCTGCACGATGATGTCAGACCTGCGCGTTATCACATTTGATGGCAACAACGTGGCCTTGTATGATAACGGCTCCTACATACTTGTTCACCTGCCAAGAGAGACAATTATTGGCACAGTGGAGAAATGTCCAACCAGCCAGGTAACCTGCGTATTATACAATTTTAGATGAGCTGAATATGAATTTGGTAAGAAAATATAAAAAAAATATGTTTTTGTGAAATTTTCATTTCTTTGTAGAGTGTCAACTCCATCAGACGAACTGTAGGTACATTTTCATCTGTTCTCACCCATTCAGCTGTTTTTATATTGGAATTTAAATGTCAATCCTTTTTGGATTAATAAATCTTGTTTTACCAAACTTTAAAAATATATTTATATATTGCCCCACAGAGTCCTACAGGAGGAACATCTGGTCTGTGTTTCAAGAAACTGAACATCACAACCTCTTCTTATAGAATAATTATCAATCGCCTGGATCGCAAGGTACAGCATTATCTAATGATCTGCCAACATTTAAGCGTCTTCTAAGCAGGTAAATTTGTGTGTCTGTATCTCCTCTGTCTCTAGGTTACAGTAAACTACAGACCCGCTAGACTCCCATTCTCTCGCCACGCACTTTCCGTTGAGGACACGGGCAGCATGTACCTGATCCGCACACCTGGCGGGGTCAACATACAGTGGTACCACAGCACAGGCATCATGGTGCTGCAGTACCTTACTTCCCATAATGCATCTGTGCCCACCCGTGGTCTGTGCGGTGAGTCCATCTAAACACACACACACATGGTCAAACTGGCTTCAGCTTCTGGTTTATCTAAGAACCTGCTATCAGCACTTACAGGCCACATTGAGACTTGTGTCTTGATATGATAAGACAAGTTGACATGTCAAAGGCCGTTTTGAAAATTGAGGCTGCCTGAATCACAAATTGATCCTCTTCACATATATAATATTCATAATAAATAAATCAATTTGTCTGTTCCGCCAGGTTGTTGTGATGGAAACCCTGAGGATGACCTAAAGCTGCCTAACGGCACAGTAGTCAGAGAGGTGGGAGACATGGTACTCTTTCTGCAGGCCTGGAGAGTCCATACCACTGATGAAGCTGAGCACACTCGCAGAGTTGGAGACAACTGCACCACAGGAGACTGCTCCATCTGTCTCTCCATGCTCCGTAAGAGAGACTTCACACCATGCCACAGCAAGGTGCAGTAGTCAAACATTTAAACCCCATTTAACTGGCTGGTTTTGTTGCTGTAGTTTTAACTTTGTTTTGATTTGTTATTGTTACTGTCTCTTTGCCTTTAACTCTGTTAGCTGCTGGTTTTAAGGGGCAGCTGTGGCTCAGTGGTCTCTCAACTGGAAGGTTAGGAGTTTGATCCTGGGTCCTGCTGTCCATTTGCTAAGGTGTCTTTGGGCAGGACACTTGACCTCAACCTTCCCCCCTGGCTGCACCCAGCAGCATGTGGGCGCTTAACATAGTGGCCTTTACGATCAATATGTAGATATGGCTTGACTGGTTGAATTTGACATGTAATATACACTTTGAGTTCAAATTCAAATTCAATTTTATTTGTATGGCACTTTTCAGACATAAAGGGAGTTCAAAGTGCCTCACAGAGGCTAAAAACAACAATAAAACCTGACCCTCCCACTCACACATACGCCTATAGACCCACACACACACAAAGACACCCACCCACACATACAGCTCTTTACCATGTAAAAGGGGTAAAAGAAGTAAAACCTCATTGAAGTGAATTAAGAAAAAGACTAAGAACAGAGATAATTAATAAAAAAAGAACATAAAATAAACATTAAGAACTTTGATTAAAAAGAACCATAGCTATAAGCTAAATAAGAAGGCTATCATTGAAAAGCCTGGTTAAAAAAGTCTTGAGCCTCTTCTTCAAAACATTAACAGTCTCTGTGGCCCTGAGGCTCTCCGGCAGGCTGTTCCACAACAGTTGTCAGAAGACCAGGAAACCTGCTTTATAGACATAGTTCATTAACTATTTTACTCCAGCATGCCTGCAGCTTTTTTTGTATGTCAGAAAATTGATCAAATGTTAATCACGATAAAAACAACCTGACAGGCAAAAAAGGACAATAATGACTTATTGAATTATTTGTGATACATGTCATTGTTGAATGTGGTCTTGTTTTGGAATTTGCAGGTCCCTCCAGAGCAGTTCTGTGACATTATGTGGGCGGGGGACCTCCACTACAAGGATCATCAGTGTGACTTTCTGGCAGCCTATGTGGCAGTGTGCTACACACACCAAGTCTGCATCAGCTGGAGACGGCATAACTTTTGCCGTAAGACATAACAGGCACATTTGCTCTGATGGACTTGGCTTGTGTTTCTCATTTGCTCATGCATTGTTGCCTATTATCTTGTAGCCTTGAGGTGCCCCCCGAATAAGGAATACAAGCCATGTGTGAGCACCTGCACCAGCCGCACCTGTCTGAACAGAGAGTATTACGAGGAGACAACCTGCTCCTTTATCAGAGAGGAGTGTGTGTGCCGCAGTGGAACTATCCTACACAGAGCTGATTCCCCTTACTGTGTAACCGAGGATCGATGTGGTGAGTGACAGATTAATTGCTAACTCTAATGATGAATAATGCACTGTCAAGGAATCTGAAAAGGTTTGAGAGTGAGCTTTATACTACTCACACACAATCATATCATCGGTTTATTTACTTGTCTCTGTGGTGTCCAGTGTGTACAGATAATGAGGGTAACCCCCGGTCCCCTGGCGAGGAGTGGAACGGTTCTGCACGTGGCTGCTGTCTGTACAAGTGTATGGAGAATGGCTCTGTGGTGGCAATCGAGCCAGACTGCCATTCTGTCCCCATACCACTGTGCGAGAGGGAGGGAGAGTACGTACTTGATGTGGTGGAAGAAGGAGCCTGCTGCCCAAAGAAGATCTGCGGTGAGTTGAGAAAGTTTAGACTATTTAGTATATGTACCAAGTAAAACATATCTACAGTGTATTTCCTGCAGTTTATCTTTCCCTCCCTTGTCTTTTTCTCCACCTCACTTTTTGACAGAGTGCAACATGACCATCTGTGACAGTGAAGCTCCGCCTTGTGACAACGGGAACAGGCTGGTGATTGGTTACAGCGCTCTGTCCTGCTGCCCGGAGTACCGATGTGGTGGGGACCAACTTTACTTTAAAGTTTTCAGATATTTTTCAAACTTATTGTCTAATATGAAGCTTGACCTGAACACTTTGCTGTGACTGGTCTTTCTCAGAGTGTGACCCAATGGCATGCCCTCCTGTGTATGCCCCCCACTGCAGGGAGGATCAGTTCCTAGTGGAGGTCAGGGGGGAGAAATCCTGCTGCTACTCTTACCTGTGTGGTAAGAGTATTTCTTGTGATTTACAGGCTAGTCCATGAAAGGTTTAAGTGTGAGGTTAGTCACCTTTGACGCCTCATTGAAAACAAGGTTGAAATTTTGTTTGTTTTTTGTTTGATCAGTGTGTGAGTCATGTATTGAACCCATTCCAACGTGTTCACATGGAGAAATTCTGGCTGTAGATCTTAACACCACCAACAGCTGCTGCCCACAGTACCACTGTGGTAAGTTTGTGTGTGCTCTACAGTGCGTATGTTTCTCGTCTGTGACTTCAATGTCAAGCTGAATTTTTCTCCTGTGTGTTGCAGTGTGTGATGTTAACCTCTGCCCTGAAATTTTCATGAGCTGTGCACCTGGTCTCTCTTTGGTTCAAACTACTGTCCCCGGTGATTGCTGCCCTCAGCACCACTGCGGTACGCACTTAAAACACAAAGACATACATATTGATCATTGTGCTACTTGGCTGCAGTGATGCTGCTACTTAAGCTCTGTTAGATTTCAGCAGCATATGATAAGATTGATCACACCATTGTAGCCCTTTATTGCCTTTTGTATCATATTTGATACATACTTTTATAATACTTTCTATCAAATCAATATGATCAGCAAATTACTAAAAAACACCTTAATACAGTCCAATACATGATAAAACTGTCCTCTCATGGTTTATCAGTTTCCAAAAACATCTAATGTATCAAACAAGATAAATAAATATATTTGTTAAATTTTAAGGACTTTTTTTTTTTTGGTTTTCAGTAGTAAGTGAAATAAAAATTTCAACTCCAAACAAATTTGAATTTTCTGGCCATAATTTGTGGTTTCAGGCATTAAAAGGCTAACTGATCATTTGTTAGAAATGGGTCGGAATGTCAAGCATAGCACTAAAAGGGTTTTCCTCCTATATACCCGAGCATACGTTTTTTGTGGGATGCCTCAGATGCCTTAGATCACCCGATCCCTTAGTCTGATTTTGTGCTTTACCATTCATAAACCAGTGATCCACAGCATCACATATCTAAAAACAGTAACAGTCAATCACAGTAAGACAGAATTGTTGGTTTTTGCTCAGGTTCAAATACTAACATCCTTCAACACTTTGGTTCATTAGCCACAAATATAAAACCCTCTGCCAAAATCCTTCAACCCTATTGTGTGAACTTGTCTCAACTGTTTGCGTATACAGTCTATATTTGTTTGTTTTGTCTCTCTGTAAGTCACTTTGTAACCTAAGGTTTTGAAGGGTGCTTTGAAGCAAGATTTTACTTACTTTATTTCCTGTGTGGTCAGCTGAAAATGATCTCAGGTGATAAAATGCCTTTCACGTACTTGCCTGAACTTAACTTTTTCCTTCTCAAACTTTCCCTCCCAGAATGTCAGTGTGAGGACAGCTCTCTCCCCATTTGTCAGGTGGTAAGTCAGCAAAAAGCTGCATCACAAGTCACTGTCTAATCAGGTTCCGGGCAGGAAGGAAGAAAAAAAAAAAAGGAAATTCAGTTAAGTCAGCACTTTTTTTTTCTCAGGGGGAAACACTGGTGGAGGCCTCAGACAGTAGCACCAACTGTGGCTGTCCTCAGCATACATGCGGTATGTATAAAGCAAGCATTAAGATTCCAGACACATGCTATGAACCTTCACATTCACCTTGAAAACTACAGTATAACGTACAGCCAGTGGATGACTATTAGCCCTCTGCTTTTCCATGTTTAGAGAAGGCAGAGGTTTGTCTTTTCCAAGGTGTAACAGTGCTGGGCCCGGGCCAGTCTCTGGTTCAATACCTGGAGGGAGAGCTGTGTTACACTGTCCACTGCCTGCATCACAGAGACCCAGACTCTGGCTTCTATGCCATGGAAATCACCTCTGTCAACTGCACCCAAAAATGTGGACCAGTATGTATTTCACGTTTGAAGTAAATATCCCCCATGCTTTATCTGCTTATCTTGCTTTATTCACTCTGTAATCATCTTCCACCTCATCTCTTAAGCACCAGGTGTATGTGCAATCCACGGACCCACAGGTGTGCTGCGGTTCCTGCAAAAATGTCTCCTGTACATTCACCAATGAAAACGGGACATCAGAACTTTTTGCTGTAAGGACAAAGACATCCACACTGGCTTAGTGTCTCCCCTCTTTGCAGCACTGTTCTGACTCTGATTGTGTGTGCAGTCAGGGAGTTCCTGGGTGGAGAACTGTACACGTTATGACTGTATGGAAACAGCCGTGGGAGCTGTGATACTCGCCTCTGGTGTGGTGTGCCCGCCTTTCAACGACACAGAGTGTGTTCAGGTCAGGACCTCTAAATGTATTACATTAGTGGTTCTTAACTAGTAGAGACACAAAAATGGGTCCCAGAAGCAATTTTCAATGGTCACAGAGGTGTGCCTGAGAAACAAGTTACTGCAAAGTCTTTGCAGCACCTTTATTCTGAAGGACAATGACACAGTGTGCTTGAAGTAACAGGGCAGTGGGAGTACACCTCAATACGTTTTATCTGCCAAATAGAAACTGAAAAGATTACATTTGCACACTCTAACTGAATTAATATGCTTTGTAATATGTTCACATCAACTTAATTTGTCTACCTTTCCTCTTGCTGCAGAATGGCGGTGTTGTTCAGAGCTATGTGGACGGATGCTGCAGGACATGTGAGTTCCCAGATTTTTTTTAAGGGTGCTTTTGATAAGGCTTTGAGCAGTTATTCAGACGGGTGAGCGCTTTGTTGCTTGGCAGTGTATGGGCTTCTTGGCTGAGTGGTTGGGGGTGTGGCCTTGTTGTAGAGGGTGGAGATAAAGCCTATTCTTGGTTTAATTCTGAACCCTGTGGCTTTCCAAATCAACTGATGTAATGTTGAGAAGCCAGCACAGTTCAGACTGAGGTAACAGATGAAGTGATGAGACTGCACTCAAAATTACTAAGCTGATAACAAAAAAAACTTCCTGGCTCTGCTTTTCACAGATGATAACCTGGGAGCTGTTTACCATGCATAGTTAAAAACACATGTTGATAGCAGTGTGGTCAAACCTTGAATAAACATGCAGTGGCCTGCTGGCCTGCTTCTGCAGGGACCTTACTCTCTGCCCAATCAGGGCACTCCAACTCAAGTGTTCACCAATGAGGATGCAAGATGTTTGGGGGTTTTTGGGTTCGCCCTGCTGAGCTGCTCTTTGTAGTACAACAAATGGTTGAGCTCCTTGGCTGGCTGCCTGGTGAGTCCCCCAAAAATGAGAAAAACCCATGTGCATGCCAGCTGCACTGCTTTCATCCCATTTTTGCTGTTTCTTTGTGTTTGTGTGTGACACTGAACTCTGTTTTCTGAAGCAGTCATAACCTTGTGTGTGTTCTCATGATATTTCGATCCTGACGATGTTCCCAGGTTCAGGAGTGGGTGTTTTACCATTTACCGTTAATCCTGTAACCCCTACTGGTAGTACTAACTGTGACACAGGTACCTTCATCTTGCACTATTACTTTTGACATAATTCTGTGGCATCTCAGTGACTCGTTCACTTACACTTAAAAGCTGTTTGTAAATGTGTGCTGAGTATATTTTTGTCTTTGTATATCTTGACTTTTTACTCTTTACCTCCCAACACTAGCATTACATAAATCTCAGAATGTAACCCTCTGCTTGACCATAAGCAAATCCTTCAAAATGGTAGCTCTGTATTTGATCAGAAATAAGCTTCAGTGTTTAGCAACCATTCTTTAAAGAAAAAGCTGGAAATCCTCTACATTTTTCACCAATTCTTCCTCCACACAGAATTAATAAGTAGGGTTAAGTTCAGGTCAGTAGCCAATGGGAGAGCTGTAGCACTGTTGTGAGAAATGTGCCCTCCTTTAACCCAGCTATCAATCAAAGACGGCCCCTGCTGCTGAGCAACAAAAAGCTCAGCTGAAAAAGCCTCTCAGTTGCGTAAATGACAGGTGTCGGATGATGAGATGATATGAGAGTGTTTGTGTGGGACCGTGAGTGTATCAGTGTGAAAGTGTTTGACTTTGTGTATGTTTGAACTTGTAGATAATGTTTTTCAGTAACACTTTATTTGACACCTATCTCTGGAACACATTATAAGTATATGTTTAATGCCTTATAATCACTTTATAGCACTGTATAACTATAGTTATAAACACTCATTAATTATCATAAATCACATTATAATTATCATGACTTACAAAATCAGGTATTGTAATGTGTTATGCTTATTGTTATAAAGCCTTATGATAATTAATGAGTGTTTATAATGATAGTTACACAAGTTTATAAGCAAATTATAACACATCATAAATATATGTATAATGCATTATCTATGTGGGCAACAGTTATAACACATGATAATACCTGACCTTGTAAGTCATGATAAAATGCTTTATAATGTGTTATGATTATTGCTTTAAATCATTATGATCATTTATGAGTGTTTATAACTGTAGTTATACAGTGCTTTAACGTGATTATAATGCATTATACATATATTTATAATGCCTGTTGTTCTTACTGTTGTGTGTCACTGTTGTTCTTTTATGATTAAGGTCTGGAATTATGCATTTCTTGAGTTACTTCCAATTGTTGCTCTCTGTGTACGAATCTTATTTCTATGTAAACAAATAGGTAAAGAGGATGGTAAGACATGCAAGCGTGTTGCCATTCGGACAACCATTCGCAAAGACGACTGTCGGAGCAACGCACCGGTGAGAGTAAAAGGACGCGTTAGCACTAAATCAGGAAGCCTAAACAAAGCATGAATATCATTAGAGCTAATGTCATGTACTAATGTTTGCTTCATCCTGCCTCCCCACTCCATTAGGTAACAGTCTACTCATGTGATGGTAAATGCCCGTCTGCCACCATATTCAACTTTAACATCAACAGCCATGCCCGGTTCTGTAAGTGTTGCCGTGAGAGTGGACTACAAACCCGCTCCGTCACACTCTACTGCTCTCGCAATGCCACAGTGGTGGAATACAACTTCCAGGAGCCTCTGGACTGTTCCTGCCAGTGGAACTAAAACCAGTGTCTGGCTATCAACATGAATGAGTGTATCAAGGATGTGGAGGATGCATGAAAAAGAGGAAATCAGATTTATACTGATGAAGAAACATTAAAACCAGCCATGTTAATTTTGATTGTGATAATTTTGTTTACAACACTGATCCTGTGCTGTAACTGTAATGAAAAGATATTGAAATTAACTTGTGTAAGAGGGAGCTTGCTCAGAAGTAGTGTTTTGCACATTAGTCTATTGACTTTAGTTGCCTTTAGTGGTTAGTCTCTTATCCAAGTGTTTATGATGGATTGATATAATGTTGATTCAGCAGTTGCCACATTTTTTTGTGACTGCTGTAAAGTTCAAACACTGTATATGCTTTTTGCTTGACTCAGAGGATACATTTGGCTTTTGTGAAAGAGAATTATAAAATGCTTTGTTTCCATAGAAAACATTTTGAATGATCTTGGGCCTCTTTGTAGCTTATTTTGAAGTAAAGTAGGTTTAAAAAAAAGATTTAAAGGTGTCTGTCTGAATTATTGCAGTAGTGACTCGTAAATGTGGCCTCTCTATACACCCCCGCTTTTTCTCATAATCAAATTGTCATTACTGGCACATCCTCAACCTGATTCAGCATCTGTACTGCTGACATGTGTTTGTGTTGGGCCTGTGAGAGTTTATTACTGTGTGGGAGCCATCTCTTCATAACAGAACCCCACAATCAACTCTGCTCCCTCACTGTCAATCATTTCTCCCTTTCACATTCCAGCCATTCCACATGAGCCAGTACTTCCACCACACCCCGAGCCGGGGCCAAACCGCTCTCTCTGCTGCACTGTGAGGAAGAGTTTGAAGGGCTTATTTTAGAGGTTTCCAAGAAGTCACGAAAACAAGTTCAGTCTGATGTCACTGTGTGCCGGGTGGCTTTACTCACTTCGTAGTACTTCTAATCATTTCTCTTTAAAAGCCATCTTATCTCCCATCCTTCTCCTCTTTCCCTCCCTCATCCTCAGCCTCCCCATCTCTCCATCAAGAGCCATACTCTGAAGTGTCTATGTGCCCTGTGGTTACCATAGTGAACTGCTCTTATCCAAACAAAGAGCCGTAGCAAATTGGTTTGGACTCATATCTCTCTCTCTCTCTCTCTCTCTCTCTCTCTCTCTCTCTCTCTCTCTCTCTCTCTCTCTCTCTCTCTCTCTCTCTCATATAAGTGGTTGATTCTCGGGGGGAAACAGCCACTGAACGCTGACTGTGCTGCGCGCTAAATTCAAAGTCCACACGCTGCTGCGTAAAACTTCACACAAAACAAGACGTTTTCTACCGGATTTAAAGCGGCGCTTACTTTGTAATTTAACTTTTCTCAAACAAACGAAGCCTCGAAAGAAATGTTAGACAGTTTACAGTTGTTATTTTCTGTCGCGTAGCTTTGTCAACGACACAGACAGTTTGGGACTTTCCACCGCTGGCTGGGCGCACCGCTGTCCGGGGTGTGACCACATGATGGCTGATAGCAAAGACGGGATTTACTGTCTAGCTGTGGACGTGACTTTGTATCCGGATGGATCAGTGGCTGAGAAATTGTTGTCATAATGTAACGGGGAGATACTCAAAATGAGAGGAACACACCGCCTTTGGTTATTGGCTAGTTTATATCAGGTGAGAAAAAGTCTATAGTTTGATGACCAGAAGACTTTTTATTCATTTGAAGTGGATGAGATTTCCAACCTGTAATACAACTTCTTCCTCCTCAGGTCGTGCTGACCTGTGACCGGCATTTCAACCCTGTTGAGGTGAATCTTATATTTCAGTCCTTCCCCTCCACGATAGATTCAGATTCCTACTCAGTCAACTGCAGGACTGCAAACAACTATCAGGTAAGAGCAGAAAACAGGTTATGACTGCAAACATACACACAATATGTTTGAAAAACACATTTTCTAACTGTTTCTGCAGATCTTTGTGGAGCCTATTGATCGTTCATCATGCTCCCCAGACTGCAAAATGACACTGCAACTGGTTGAGGACCCCCGAGGATATACCATTATGTTGAGAGCCCACAGAAATGATACAACACTGAAGACGAAGACTTTCAACTTTGGTAAGTAGCTCAGGGCGGCAGTAGCTCAGGAGGTGGAGTGGTTGTTGGTTCGATTCCTCCCTATCCCGAGTCTGTCTGTTGTGTCCTTGGGCAGGACACTTAACCCACCTTGCTCCCAGTGTGTATCCTCCACTGGTGTATGAATGTGAGTGTTGTGTGGTGGTGGTCAGAGAGACCGTGGGTGCAAACTGGCAGCCACGTTTCCGTCAGTCCCAGGGCAGCTGTGACTACTAAGGTAGTTTACCACCACCAAGGTGTGACTGTGTGAGCGAATGAATGATGAATCCAATGTAAAGCGCTTTGAGGGTCTCTGATAAAGCGCTATATGAAATCTGATGCATTATTATTACTATTATTATTATTTTAAGTGTCTGTAGCCTAAGTTTGGTTACTGTTATCATTGAGGAAAAACCGGGCCATTGCTGATAAACTGATGTTAACACCTTCAATCGTCTTCTCTTCTCCTCTGCATTTGTTCCCAGTTCCAGTCTCCCTGTCCTCCATTCGCGTGTACACCACGACTACTACAGCTCTCCTGACATGGACACTTCACCAACAACAACGCCTCTCCACCCTCAGTCTATTTAACACCCACACACAATCTGTCACACACAACTTCAATTTCAATGTATCAGAAACAAAATCTGAGTACATGGTGAAAGGTCTCGAACCTGGCACACACTTCAAAGTCAAAGTTGAGGTTACTACACACCACAAAGACCTTCATTTGACTTTAAAGCAGAGACTTGCCATCAGCGTAGAAACAGGTGTCACTCATTCATTTAAACACAATCACATAACCAAAAATTGATCTTTCAGTTGAAGAGATGAGTGTCAGATGAAGTTTGATGATGTTTTCTGTGTCCAGCCCGCTGCCCACCTGGCTGGTTTGCCAATGAGATTAGCTGCTACACTGTTAGGAGGACTGGTTTGACCTGGAGGGAAGCCCAGCACAGCTGCAGAGACCTGGCAGCTGGAAGTCACCTGGCTGACCTGAAGACCCCAGAGGACCTGCTTTTTATGCTTTCTGACCTGCTGAGACACAACAACCTGCTGCTGCTGTGGACTGGCCTTAATGACAAACAGGTAAGCCTAATCACAGGAATATATGTTCTCAGGGATGTTACTAATGAGTGTTGGGGATGTGTAATCTCAGCAGGAGATGTGGATAATTATGTTGTGTTGTTATCTCCACATATAAAAGATGTGTGATTTTGGGACATCGAAAAAGAAAACACTAGAGTGGCTAATATTGTAGCTAATTTAAAACATTAATTGGATTTTATTGATTAAAATCTAATTTTAAACACCTTAAAGACATCCTTAGTATGTAGTTGATTATGATGAATGTTTTTGAGATGATTTGTAATTATGAATCACTCTGTCCTTGAGTGGATGAAATTTCAAATTTGCACTAGGTTATTTTTTTATTTATTCATTGACTGTTTTTTATTTCATATAAATATATTAGTTTTTGTTCTTGTAAGACTGGAAAAAATTGTGCAGAAGCAACAAAGTGAAATGCAGAACACTGAAAAGCATTTTTTTTTTCTGAAAACAAGAAAACTCTCAAAATACTTCTGAACTGATGATGAGACATTTAAACAATAAGCACTTTTCATGTAAAGGCTTCCTTTCATAGAGACACTTGTTTTTTCATGTGAAAGAAAAGTGAAATTTGATGAAAGTTTTGTTTTGAAATGAAGACAACAAATGTTTCTCTGACAAATTTTTAGATGTTACTCTACATCTTACAAGTCAATAGAGTTTAAATATTTTGGGAATATGCATATCTTTTTGATTTAACCTTAGAACCAGCTTGTGAAGTAAAGGCGAGTTTTCTATTGGCATAAGGGGTCCTTAAAAATTTTGGTTTGGAGCAGGACAGGTACCAGTTTTAACAGTTTATCCTAAAAACAGGGAATTCTTCCTTTTTGTGTTGGAATTTTGTTTTAAATACTTCAGTGACTAAGAAATAGGCATGTGCATCATATACACTGCCTGATGTCTTTCTTGAATCACTCCACAGGAGGAGGGAAAACCTCTGTGGTCTGATGGCTCAGCCTACAGCCTGACACATGCTATCATGTCATCCCTGCCAGCAGATGAGACGGACTGCTTTGCTCTTCAGAGGAATGCCACAGGGCCAGGATACTTTCTCACCTCTTTTTTCTGTGACATCCCCTTACCCTTCATCTGCCAGTATCAGAGTAAATAGCTTATATTGAACCTTTGTGATTCAGAGCATTTCAACATGTTTAATTTGACTCCTTGGATTATGTCACTCATGCAGTAACGATGCTTCTTATCACTACTAAAACTTCTGAATAATGAATCCTAACCATATTTTTATGCAATCCTCTTCTTGATTCTCTCCTCACATTGTCACATTATAATAATATCGTGCTTCTCTGTCTCTCACAGCCCCTTCAGTACCTGCCCATTTCACCTTTGACCTGGTTCAGGTGACAGAGCAGCATGTAGAGCTTCGTTGGAGTGACCTCTTACCTTTGAACTCACTCAACCTTTCGTCTTTTGAGATTTTCCTCCAGTATCAAGAGGAGGTAATTAAAGCGCTGGATGGAGGTGCAGAAAATGGAAGCTGGAGGTCAAACAATCAAAAGGAGGCACAGAGCCAGAGCAGTGTGAAAAAGATTGCCAGAGTTCCTCTTTCCCTGTCATCTAGAGGGGTCACTGTAGCAGGTCTGTCTCCGGGAAGCATGTACTCCTTCACTCTTAAAGCCTCTCACCCTGCCGGCCCAGCCTGGAGCTTAGCACAAACTCAGACCGCGTTTACAAGTGAGTCTGCACGCAACCTGTCACGCACACAAGTTACACAAGCAACACCCTATGCGAAAAGATGCAATTTAAAATGTTAATACTCTCTTTCTTTCAGGACCACTTCCACCTCTAAATATCACTGTTGGTCTTGTAACAGTCAGTCAGATTACGGTCCACTGGATGCAGACAGATGCACAGTCAAAGGCTGGATGTACGTTTGTTGTGCGCTATGTGGACATGACCTCAAAAGAAGGGGGAACAGTTGGGATGCGCAACATCTCCAGGTCATCAGATTCTGTTGGATTACAGTCATACACTGCTGTGATTGGAGGGCTCAAGTCTTACAGGAGATACATGGTTGAAGTTTACACTGTCGCCGGACATGGGATAGAGAGCTGTGGACAGACGCCTGTGACTGCAGTGACTGGTAAGAATGTAACTGATATTTTTTCACAGATGAAAAATTATGAACTCAGAGTAAAAAGAGATGCATCTTTTATATTTAAATGTGTCAGTGCACTCAGTGTTGTTAAGTTTGCATAAATAGTGCAAGATCTAAGAGCTTGAGGGCAGCGATATTTAGTCAAGCCATCTTCAATTTATTAATCATGTGTTAAATGTGTTTAATCATGTGTTTAATCATGTGAAAACAACCAATGCTAGCATGTCGTTTTGACTAAATGCATACTTACCAAAGCTTCTATTATAAAGAATTTGATAAGTGTGTTAAGCCTGGGTGTCAAGATAACAGATAATGAAATTTAGAAAATCTAAAAGGGTAAAGTTTCAAGACCTACGAAAAAATTTACATTTTCATTTGGCTAACCTTTTTCCTCTTTTGGCATCTTTTCATTGCGTCCGTTCCTTTGACAGTCTTCACTTGAACTTATAAAGAAAAGCTCTTACCACAGTGGAATTAAATTAAAGCTGTTGAATATGTGAATGAATGGAACTGACAAAAAATTGCAGATTTACTGTTGCCAACTTCCAATGATATGTTCAAGATGTTTTAAATTTCAATTGGTAGCTGACCCGATTTTGGTCATGTGTGTCAAAATTATGTAGGAGAAAATCTGAGGACTGTGTTAGGTCTCATTTGAAAATCTGTTGACCGTCAAAACACTGGGATCAGAAAGATACTCAGAGAAAACCCCCATGTGGATCTAAACTCTGTTGCTTCATTTAGGGATTACTGCACTAAGCAAAAACACGTTGATTTTTATTTAACATTTATAAAATAACTGAAATTCACACCAGTGCCTTTTTATGACTTACAGAAGCACACCAAACCATCAGAAACAAGACTGACAGTTTTTATATAGTTTTTTCTTTTATACCTGACACCGGCATGAGGGGGTGGGTAGGTGTCAGCGTAGCCACTGAAGAAATAGCCCTGTTTTTACAATGTTCACTATTAATGATAGATTTGACACTTAAAAGTCAGCAGGATGAGATTTTTGTCAGAAGACAGTGTTTAAGCATCTAGAGGACAAGGTAAGCACAGACTACTTTGTCCTCAAGGAGGTGCCAGAACTGACACTATACAAAAGTTGCTCACAGGAGCTTTAAAGTGCCTTTTGGAGGCTTTAAAGTTGAGTTTTTTAGACAAAGAAAGGACTTGCACATCAATCTTCAGAGCAAGAGCAGCAAAACAAATAGTATTAATCGCACAAAACCAAGCTTTTTGTATCTTTGTTTTCCAAGTGTGTAGCAGTAAGCCGTCTGAAGTATTGCATGCACTCATAATGAAGTTTTCTTCCACATTTTCTTTAACGGTTTGGACAATGGAGACATGACAACCACCATGTAAAGGCTGTTTGATCACTTGGGGTAATGAAGAGTGATCCTGCTAACATTGAGTTTAACCAAGTGTTCTTTGGTGACATTACAGCAGGACTTTTTTGTTTTTTAAAAATCCACGTGAACAACAATCAAAGTTCTATTGGATTAAAACCAGTAAATTCAACACTCGTGCAAACCAGCTTTTATAAAAGAATTGTCCCCATTATTTCTCTTTATTTGCCCAGTTGATCCTAAAATCATGAAGTCAAGAAGGCTTTGTGACCATTGTTTTGCTGTTAAAATGACATTCATATAAACCTATTTAATGTAAGCTGCTGTAAAAATACTATGTATTGTATTAACCAGGCGTAAAAAGGCAAAATGTGAGATGCTTGAAAGCTTTATTTTTATGAGACTGAAACGATCAAATGACATTGATCCTCTCCATTTTTGGTGGGATAGAAATAGGAGACCATCTCTCATCACAGTTCAAAACAGAACCAGTGGAGGTCTGCACTTCTCTTGATGTTACTGAAGTATAAAGTATTGAAGATTCAGGCAAGAGAAAAATAGTATGGGCAATTTGAAAGTGGCCAATTAACCTAACCCCACTTAGGAATGTTTTGGGGATGTGGGAGGACACTGGAGTACCCAGAATAAACCCATGCAGACACAGGGAGAACATGTGAACTCCACACAGAAATACCTGGAGTCGGATTTGAACCCAGAACCTTCTTGCTGTGAGGCGTCAGTGCTAACCACCACACCACTGTGCCACCCTATAGTATACCCATTTATACCGTAATAATGATTGATTAGGGCTGATCCACTTCACTGTTATCCTGGTGAGTTAACAGCAGCCTGTTCCACTCCAGATGTTCTTTGATGAGGCTGTATTGTCTTGTTAAATATCTGCCTAAAGGATCCCCTGTAATAGCTAAACAGTAAGGGATCTCTCAGTTCCAGTAGGTGGGTAGGGTTTTCCTACCCAAGGTCCCCCACCTTCGGCTACTGCCTGGCACGGACTGCACCGGACCCCTTTGGCCTCTCCTATGGGTGGTGAGCCCATGGCAAGCGCCAACAGGTGCTCGCCATCAAACCCAACCCCCAGGTCTGACTCCAGGGCAGGGCCCTGGTGACCCTCCTCTGGGCAAGTGAAACTTAGTACCAATTATTTTCGTAAGAGATCTATTTGAGCTACCCTTAGTCTGATCCCTCTCCCAGGACCTGTTTGCCATGGGTGACCCTACCAGAGGCATAAAGCCCCCGACAACTTAGCTCCTGGGATCATTGGAATGCGCAAACCCCTCCACCACGGTAAGGTGGTAGCTCGAGGAGGGGAAAAACCCTCCCATGGGGGAGGGAAAAACCACAAGGTTTTTTTTTTTATTTTATTTTTTTATTATTTTTTTTTGTTTGTTTTTTTTTATTTATTTATTTTTTTTTTTGTTTTGTTTTTTTTTTTGTTTTTTTATTTTTTTGTTTTTTTGATTTTTTATTTTTTTGTTTTTTTGATTTTTTTGATTTCCAACTTTGTGAATCATTGATATTACAGGGTTTGGATTTGATATCTCTCTATCTGTCTGTCTCTCTCTAGCAATCAAAGAAGCTGACAAACTTTTAGATGTTCAAATACATACATTCTGTCCTTTGACAGGTCATAAATTCTGTCCCCTGATGATGTTGAAATGACAGTCAAAATTTAAACTTTTGCTGGGTTATTTGATTTCACAGCCTCAGGTACCGGGCCTTCATATAGAGCAGGCTTTTATTAGAGGCAGGCCTTCATTGTTCACTAAACCTAGACGAAAACACAAAGTGTAACTCACAATGATGTTTACGTGAATTATTTAGAGCAGATCAAGCCTTTCTCAGTTTGCCTGGTCTAGGGTATTGGACCCCATAATTAAAGCATAATTTTGCATCATAATTCAAGATGTTTTAAATTTCAATTGGTAGCCGACCCGATTTTGGTCCTGTGTGCCAAAATTATGTAGGAGAAAATCTGAGGACTGTGTTAGGTCTCATTTGAAAATCTGTTGACCGTCAAAACACTGGGATCAGAAAGATACTCAGAGAAAACCCCCATGCGGATCTTAACTCTGTTGCTTCATTTAGGGATTACTGCACTAAGCAAAAACAGAAGCACACCAAACCATCAGAAACAAGACTGACAGTTTTTATATAGTTTTTTCTTTTATACTTGACACCGGCATGAGGGGGTGGGTAGGTGTCAGCGTAGCCGCTGAAGAAATAGCCCTGTTTTTACAATGTTCACTATTAATGACAGATTTGACACTTAAAAGTCAGCAGGATGAGATTTTTGTCAGAAGACAGTGTTTAAGCATCTAGAGGACAAGGTAAGCACAGACTACTTTGTCCTCAAGGAGGTGCCAGAACTGACACTATACAAAAGTTGCTCACAGGAGCTTTAAAGTGCCTTTTGGAGGCTTTAAAGATGAGTTTTTTGTTATTTTTTGGAGGGTTTTTTTTTGTTGTTTTTAGCTTGGGATGCTCTGGTCTAGGTGAGACTAGATCTTTGGCTCTGGTTTGACAATGAGGACCTCGGACTTGTACTCCTCAGTGAGCCTTTGTGTTTGATTGTTTGTTTTATACCAGCCATGGGTGGTCCCTTAGAGCTGCCAGGGTTGCTCTAGTCTCTGGATTTTTGGACAGACTCTTTAACAGAAAATCCTTGCAGTCTGGAGAGACAAAACAGAAATGGTCAATGGTCAGATACAAACACTTACTGTGGATCTAACTGTGCTTAAGCTGACTTTATGTGGGTGTGATTACTTACTGTTGGAAAGTTTTCCATTGACATGTAGCTCTTTCTTAATGATTTCGGCAGTGGTAGCAAAAGGATAGCGTCCATGAACCATAGCATAAACTACTACTCCAAGCTGCCATACTGTAGCTGGTTCAGCTCTGTAGCTCCTAGTGATGAACCACTCAGGGGAGCTAAAATCAGGGGTTCCTACAAAAGACACACACACAGAGGAGATTAGGAAAGATGTTGTGGACTGACACAGCAACTTTGTTTGGTAGGTTTCAAAAAGAGAACAGGGCTTTCCACATACACTGGCTGTTGACAAGAAAGGCCACTGCAAACTTACTAATATCTAATATTTTAAAATCTCAAACTCAATTCATACAGTGACTGCTTACACTGTAAGTGGCCTACTTTTTTACATTGACTGACTACCTGATGTTTGTGGAAAGCCCTTAAAAAACAATGTTCATTGAGAGATAGCTTACCTTGCCCTGTATGGTACGTCCCCTCAGTCAGAAAAGTGCTGCTGCCAAAGTCGATAAGTCTCACACGAGGGATTGCAGAGCCATACTCGATCAGGATGTTGTCCAACTTTATGTCGTTGTGGAAAACTCCTCTTGAGTGGATCTCTATGAGGACATCTACCAGCTGTTTTGTCAGGATCTGAGGTGGAAAGGGAGATATATACAGATTGAGTATCATGGTGGAGACAGACAGTATAAAAAGAAAGCATTGCAAAACTCATTTCATCAAGTACTTACTTTTTTCCCATTCTCTGTCATGCGGCATGCTTTTGTTAACGCATGAAACAGATCCATGCAGGGCACTGGTCTTTCTAGGATGAGTATCAGCTCCTCTTCTAGATCGTACCAGTCAAGCAGGGCCACAGCTGCACTGGTTCCTGGGGTTCCTGACTGCACTTTCTGCATCATCACCACCTCCCGGGGGACAGAGTCGATGTTTTCCTCTTTGATCTTAATATAGAAAATGGAATAAGAACATATGGAGCATTTTCTCACAGACTAAAATCAGTCACTTGTCATGGAACTGAAGTGACAGAGGACATTTTTTTAACAATGTAACATTGTGAAAAGTGTCTGAAACTGAGGTATTGGGCGCTGTCAGTTTATAAAAATCAACAGCTGTGAGTGGACACAGTTCCTTACTTACCGATATGCGCTTAACGCCCGATTGAGGAATATGTTTGATGGCAACCTAAAGGAAACACAGGAAGACCATGGTTAGCTCACACTGAGTACAAAGCAAAAAAGCAGGGGGATGTTTATACACTGGTACATAAGTGTATGGTGTATAGAATATTTAATCTTACTGGTAGATTGTCCTCATTTCTATATCCATCATAGACTGACCCGTATCCTCCTTGTCCAAGCAGGCCCCTCTCTGTGTATTTTGCTTGGAGGGCAGCTACAAAAACAAGAAACACACAAAAACAGTTTGATAAAAATAGTCCTAAAATCATGTTAGCTTCACCTGCTTCATGTTACCAATCGTGTAGTCCTCAACCTATTTCGTAGTGATCATAGGTAAACTAGACATGAGTTTGGTCTCTAACCATTCTCAATACTTACTCTCTTGGGCACAGAAGAAACGAACATCTGGAAATTTTGATTCCATTGTTCTCAAAGCTGATCAGTTTGATTGGTATTCAAAGATTTGGATTTCAAAAAAAAAAAAAAAAGATTTGGATTTCACGATTCTCAAGCACCGATGATTTCCAACTTTGTGAATCACTGATCAGTCCGAACAGTTCGATTGATATTACAGGGTTTGGATTTGATATCTCTCTATCTGTCTGTCTCTCTCTAGCAATGGAAGAAGCTGACAAGCTTTTAGATGCTCAAATACATACATCCTGTCCTTGGTCAGGTCATAAATTCTGTCTGCCTGATGATGTCGAAATGACATCATCAATGACATCATCAAAATTCTACTTTTAAGTTCAAACGTAAACAAAAGACTCCAATTATCGGGCATGTTTGTATTAATGTTTCCATGGCAACTGAATTAGAGACAACTTTTGCTGGGTTATTTGATTTCACTGCCTCAGGTACCGGGCCTTCATATAAAGCAGGCTTTTATTAGAGGCAGGCCTTCATTTGAAATTCTCCCTGTCTCAGAAAAGAACTACTTTTCATATTTAAGTATAAAGTGAAGGCATTGTTCACTAAACCTAGACAAAAAACACAAAGTGTAACTCACAATGATGTTTACATGAATTATTTAGAGCAGATCAAACCTTTCTTGGTTTGCCTGGTCTAGGGTATTGGACCCCATAATTAAATCAAATCCCATTTTATCCAGCTCTACCTCGCCCATACCTGTGCAGCTCTCCTCAGGTTGTTTTGCAGTCAAATCTCCATCCTTTTCTCAAAATAAAGAGAATTTTTCCTCTATGTGGTTTTTCCGATTCCCTCCTAAACTTTTTATGTTCTTTTACACACAAAATTTATGATTAACTCACAATACTAGTGTGTGAATTACTATATTTTCAATCACAGACTATTTTGTTCAGCTTTTTCCTTTTTCCTCTTTTTTCAGAGGTGGAGGCCCCTCATGGTCTAGTAGTATGGAGCGGGACAGAAAACCTGACAGTCTGTTGGTCCAGTCCATCTGATGACCCACCAGATGCTTATAACATCACATTCCAGCCTCTTATTTACTCCTCTATGACTCCTCCATCTTCACTTTGGATAAACAAGTCCAGTCCTGCTGCGCTCTGGGTTAATCAGTCTGTGTGTGTTAATTTGGGCCCATTCACTCCAGGTCAGACTTATGAAGTTGGAGTGGTCTCGTTGATGGGAAAGGACAAGAGTCGTAAGACCAGTGTCATATACACCACAAGTAAGATAAAAAAACATAATGCTGCCCTCATAAAAGAAGTTCAGACCCAGACAAGGGTCTGTTTTCTGGATGTGATCATTTCTTGTGTTTCTTGTGTATCTGAGGCTTTACCTTCCTCCTGTGTTAGCTTTTACGATGCACCCAGCATAAGGGTTGGTTTTGGCCTGTGTCTTAAATCAGCTGTAAATTACACTAAATACAATTCTCTATCATCCAAGTTGGTTCTCATCTCTAGGGTAACTTGTTAGGCTTCATTATCTATGAAAATATTGCTTATAATAGTTTTTACAGTGGTCCTCTGGGCCTTTCTATGTCAGTGTACCCCTCACACAGACATCTATACTAAATTGATCTCACATGTCTGGACATGCCGAACATTTTTTTGTGCAAGGAAAAACCAGGCAAAATGAGAATTTCCTAAATCTCACATGATTGGAAGAGGATCTGACTGTCAGTGTGCTGCCTGGCAGTGAACTTGTGATTTCAGTTTTTGCTCTAATTATTAGATATTAATCTAACCGGATTAACAGCGACCCTAACACAACAAGTGCCATAATTTTAATAAGAGCATTCTATAATTTAGTCAATTTAATTTTTTAATTTTTATTTTATTGAAATAGAGGTTCCTGACAAAGTCATAAAGCCATGATGCAAAAAAAGCTGATTTATGTGGTTCTTTTAAGCATTTAAAATCAAAAACGGGACGGTGCAGACCCTAACACCGGAGGAGGGTTAATAAGTTCAAGCATTACTGCAAATGTTCCTATTGTCACAATAAAGGATTTACTCTTTGGAGACAGGAAGAGGGTGTGGAAATTAAGTCTATGATCAACTAATCTGCTTTAATTTTTATGAGAGTGTGTGACTTAGATTGTAGCTGGTACTATATTGTCTTTTTGTATTTTTTTTTATCATTATTCTTTTCCTCTCTCTGTTTTTGTAGAGCCGTTGCCAGTACAGGTTGCAATCCCTCTTTCAGTGGACACAACATCTGCACAGTTGTTCATCCAGCATCCCCATCTGGGTCTGATGGATGGGGTCAAAATATGTGTGTGTCCAGGAGAGTGTGACAGTGGATGTGATGAATTATGTGCGTACTCTTGTGACTTGTACCCCCTCTCTGCTGGTGTTCATGTCATAACTCTAAGCAACCTCAGCCCGGGATCAGAGTACCAGCTCAAGGTGTACAGCACCAGCAGAGAGCAGATGGGGCCCCCCTACTACACCCGCCTCATCAGAACAGGTAAGTTCTTCTCTGCTGGTACTATCATTTTAATGTATTTCTACATGTACCAGTGATATGACTGTCTGAAGCAGGTTCCCTCAAATTATTCATAACTAAAAGGAGTCAGAGCATGAAGACATCATAATGACAGAATGATCCCAACAAAGTACATCCATTTAAAACTCCCAATAGGTCGTATCATCTTTGAACCTGGCATTTTTCACTTTTGCACAATTGTCAGCATAAGTCACCCCTAAATCAGTCACCTGGATGTCCCTATTTTGTGGATGTTGTCTGCAATTGCCAATTTACCGTAATCCAAAAAGAATTTGGGTCAGCGACAAGATATGTACCCTAGTCAGCCATAACATTAGGATCACTGACAGTGGCTCCAAGTGAACACTTGTTCCTCTCAGTTGATTTGTTGGATACAGGAAGAATGGGCGAGACTAAAGATCCAAGCAACTTTAATAAGGGCCAAATTGTGATGGCCAAAAAACTGAACTGCAGTTCTTGAGGGGTGTTCCTAAAACAGGAATGATGGAAGTTTTCCCAGAACTGATAGAATTGATGTAGTCCCTAAAGGCTCAAATCTCAGTTCACACTTGCAGTTTGGGGGATTACTGGGCAGCCAAGTCTGATATACGAAGACTCCACTTTACAAGATTTTAAGAATTTGAGTAGGGCTGTTTTGGCCCTGACCTGACGAGAGGAGGGCCTACTGAATGTTAACCTGGTGGTCATAATTTTACGGCTGATTTTTGTTTGTCATTGAGTAAAAGATTCAGATTCTTGGGATGCACTGATTTGCTTCTCAAATTTAGACAAGTCCATTTACTGCTAACTCAAAAACCCTCACATGGCTGAGTTCTTCTTAACGATTAAAACAGCGGTAAGAAAGATGGCCTGTAGAGCTTACTTACTGAACTAATACCATCTGATTATAAAATACTTAAAGACAATTACACATTGTGTCTTTCCTCCTGTTTTGTGATAATGAGTTATTAAAACAGTCACTAGATTTTATTGAGTAATTGGATTTTATGTTGGCCTTTTTCTTAAAGTTAATTTGTTTTTGCAGCTTTAATTAATTAATTTTTGAGAAATGAAACACCACATACCCCAAGTTGTGAAAATTACTTTCAAGCACTTTCAAGTATGTAGGAGCACTGATCGTCCTATTGGTTGTGTGGTTGATTGCAGGTCTGGCACCTCCTAACAGAGTGAGGGAGGGTGTGGTGACAGAGACATCCATAGAACTACTTTGGGACCCAGCAGGAGGACCGTCTTACAGCTACGAGGTCATCTGCCTCAACTGTGACCATGCACACATGGTAAACAAACACATAGAGGATGTGAAATAACTTTACGTTCCTGCCTAAAGAGGCTACTAGTGATTTCATTGTTAGATTTTTTTGCATGAACCATATAATGACAATGTTGGGCAGCTATTTAGTTCTGTCATATGTGTGTTGCAGGTGCAGAAAGTGTTCAGTCAGAGTGCAATATTTTCTAGCCTGACTCCAGGCCAACTTTACCACTTTACAGTGCGAGCAGAGAAGGAGTTCTTCTTAGACAGTTCCCCCATCACTATTAATGTGACAACAGGTTATTACACACACAAGCACACTCTAATATACACATTATTACATATGCATTTTTGAAATTGTTTGCCTTAGCTGCTTTTTGTGATTTTTTTTGAAAATATATCTTAGCTCCCAGCTCGGTTGAGTTGTCACATGTCAACAAAACCTCATCCTCCTTGTGCATTTGTTGGAGCACGGTCAGTGGAGAGGTGAGCGGACTCTTCCTGTCAATCAAAAACACAACATTCAGTCAAGAGCTGAATCTTTCTCTTCAGGAGCCCAGGTTAGATTTTTTTTTGTTATCAGCTAGTATAAATAAATCAGTACAACATGGATATCTCAGAGGTTGTACCTCGTAACACTAACTGCTGAAGGTGTGTGTCAACAGATCTCACTGCTTTGAAGGCCTTGCTCCTGGAGCAGAGTATACAGTTGAAGCAATAACCACTAGCAGAGAAAGACAGAGTAAACCTGTTCATTTAATCTGCCATACGGGTACGTTTCAGAGTTAAAAACATTGTGTGTGTGTGTGTGTGTGTGTGTGTGTGTGTGTGTGTGTGTGTGTGTGTGTGTGTGTGTGTGTGTGTGTGTGTGTGTGTGTAAAAGGATAACAAAAATATGTGGATTAAAACTGAAAAAGGAAATAAAGTTGCTTAAATGACTGCTATTTACAGTGAAAGTTGACAACAATTTTGTGTTAATATATAGTGTAACGTGCTAATTAGATTCTCTTTCAGTCCCAGAGGTACCACAGGATGTTACTCTTTCAGAGCAGGCAGGGACTTCAGTGTTTGTCACCTGGAGACCACCACCAGGACAGGTGGAGGGGTACAAGGTAAGGAATACATACTACAGCCACTAACCCTTTACAAGTAACAATAACAGAGGGAGAGGGAGACACTTAAGGCTGTGCAAACCTCAGTTCAGATCAGCATGATGCTCTGTGTTATCTTTCTAATACAGAAAACACTACAGATGTGATTTTTTAAGGACAAAACAGGCTGATTAGTTCAGGTTTAAAGCATAAACACTCACCTGTTGGTTACTTAGCAACTAATGTCGTCACACCACAGATTGGGTTACCAACTCTTAAAAGATGTATGACCTCTGTGGAGCCACATCCAAGAGGAATGACCAAGCACATTACTTGCACGCACAGTACAAAACCACATTCACAGAAATATATAAGACACATTTGTAGTTGGATAGAACTGCTAAATGTAAATGTTTCGAGATTTTGTTGTTAGTTTTTGTTATAAAACCTTAAATAAATTTTATTTTTATTTTTAAATCCTGAAAACTTCTTCTTTTGTTTGTTTTCCTCAGCTCTTTTATGGTTCGCTGTCCATTGACAGGAAGTCGTGGATTGATGTGCTGATCCTGGGTATTAATTATGAGATAAGGAATTTGATCCCGGGGTCAGACTACAGTGTCAGTGTTCAGAGTGTGCTGGGCTCAGACACCAGTCAGGCAGTGCACAGAGAGTTCAGCACACGTAAGAAACACTCCTAATTTCCGGGACACAGTATTTCACCGCATTAGCCTGTCAGGACAGGAAAAGATGTTGGTCATAAAGTTGTTTTAATGTTTGCTTCATATTATTTTCTCTAAATTTGATATTAAATGTGTGAATATTTCAACTTCATCTGTTTCCAGGCCCTGCAGGAATATGCTCTCTTCACTTAGGACATGTGAACTCGTCCTCTGTGTTCGTGAGCTGGAACAGTGCGTTTGGAGAATTTGACTTTCACAGAGTCACTGTGGCCAACACCTCGGCCACAAACACACTCACCATACCTAAGGAGGACCATGTTGCCGTGGTTACAGGGCTGGTGGACGGCTGCAGCTACAACGTGAGCGCTGAGAGGGTGAGGGGAGTGACAGCGGGGAGTGCTGCCACTCTGACTGTAACCACAGGTAAAGGATAACACAAGAGCTGCATCAGTGGATGTCCAACACGATCACCAGCTGTGACGGTTCTTCATCAAACCCTCTCAGCCTCTCTGATTGTGTTTTTCTCTCTTTTCCCTTTCTTCATCAGTGCCAGCTCATGTGCGAGGATTGCACGTAGTAAGTGTGTCTGCACGTGAGTTCACGCTGCGTTGGGAGCAGGCAGTGGGGTGTGTGGATCATTACAAAGTGAACCTGCAGCCAAATGAAGGAAAAGTCACAGTTCACCCTGCACGTCATGGATACGTTCAGGTACACACACACTGGACTGAACACGCTCTGAAAGTCACAAAGTCATCCCTGAATTCACACCTTGTTAACTCATGATAGAAACCGCCATTAGAGGAGGCCTGATATTACAGACTGGCAGCTGAATTATAATCCTGAATGTACAAACTACACACACTTACACACACACAAACAAACAAACACACATTATCTCTCCTGCCATCCAACCAAGTCCTTCTCCATAGTGGCTCTTCCCGACTGCCAGGTGTCAGTTACCCCCAAAATGTAACCTTACACACCCTGCACACACACGCTCACACACATCATACTGAGCACAGAGTTGAGTAATAGATCTCATTATTTATTTAGTTGGCCTTATGAGCTCAACCCTGAATCATTCATTTGCTTAAGCAGCTTACCCTAGTGAGAGAGAGAGAGGGAGAGAGAACAGAGGGAGAACATTAGCCTTGTGCTAATGAAAGGACCCACTGCCCTCTCTGGCCCAGAAACTACAATTTTGGAATACCTCAAACTTTGAAGTGTTCAAATCCAATGCCTGGACCACTAACCCTGCAACCTTTACTCATGCCACTAACCAGCCTATAGACCTGGAGGTTTTCCTGCTCTGCACAGTGGATTACCTGGAGACCACTGCTAACATTTTTCCACTAACTCTGGATGCTGCTCTGCTGGGGAGGCCTCTCACCTTCTGAGTCCAAACTAGAGCTAATTCTGCTACCCAGCATGGCCGCCTTCTCTCTCACAGTGTTATTCACGCTCTGCTTGGGCCTGGTAGACTCACAGGTAGGAATTCAAAACTCATTGGTCACAGACAGACCATCACTGTGTGTATGAATTGCTTTTATCTTTTGGTTGTGCACTTAAAAATTCATGCTAAGATAAAGATAATCGGCCTGGTCATACATCTTGGAGGTAACATGAGTCTTTTAGTTTCACACATAGTCACCAAACACATGTCATAGGTTTGCTGCATCAGGAATCAATGAAAAAGCACTCCAAACACCAACAGAAAAGTGCACCTAGAAGAAGAAATGGAGTGTCATGTTATCATCCATTCATAACTTGACATCTTTATTTTGCAACAGATGGCTGAGGATTTCTTCTTCAGATAAAGACATCATGTGTGCTTGATATTAAAACATCTCAACAGAAGGCTACGGGAGCGCTACTGCAGATTTTAAACAAAACCAATCAAATTCATTCTTGCTTCTATTTGCACAAAATTCTTAGAGGATTACTGTTTTTCATTACTGTGCTCCACAAGAGTGATACTAATCCAGGAGTTTGCACCTTATAGTGTATTTATGTACCTGCCAGTGTGTGCTCTATTTCAACAGAAAGGATAGCTTTTATTGTGAAAAACTATGACCACACTTTGATCAATAAAAATAAGAAATAACATAATTTGATTAAAAGAAACACTTTAGAAACTAGTGGTTGCCTGTTTCTTTGTAGCAGAAATAGGCCTGTTGGGTTTTCCATTAACTCATCACCAAAACCAGCAACATGATAGAAAAAGGCTGAAAGAAAAAGTGGCAAATGTGGCCATGGGATTTTTTATTTTTAGCTTACTACCTTTTGTTAAATGAGAAATCATCAAAAACAGTAAATCAATGAGTTAAAAACCATTTTACAGGGCAGCTACTGAATGTATTACTGCAGCTGATGATGGGACAAATCATTTGTATGCAAGTAAGAAGAGGAATTGCACGTTAGGTTAGATTAGAGAATAAATAAAAACATGGAGTCTTGCAACTATCTGGGGAAAATAATATGGAAGAAAACTTGACAAAACCTGCTAAAAAGACAAAACTGTGGATCACCGTTTAAGGTACCAGTATACAGTTTTTGTTAGACAAACAGTGGATAGTTTAAATTAGATTCATAAACAACACATCAAAAGGCCAAGCGTTTGGGATACATAAGACAAAACTGGATAGAGGCATTAAACTTCAGTAAATTACTGACAATAGTAACCATGTGAGTGTACTGGTATGCTCTGCTGTTTTCACAGGCCGACGTGGTCAGTGTCAGTCCAGGCACACAGTACACTGCGACAGTCACAGCATCCTCCTCCTCCTCAGTCATCAGCCCTGGAGTCAGCCGCATGATCAGTACCAATGAAAGCGGTGAGAAGTGCACATGCACAAACTGTTGTTGTTTGCTGAGTTTGACTGCTAGAGTCACTAAGTTCTCTTCTGCCCTCTGCTGTTTAATTCAGTGACTCTGTTGTGACACATGACCACGCTCAAGGACAGAAAGTAGTACAGGAGATGTGTGTATTTCTGTGTGTGTAAAGGGGAAGGGGAGGGGGGGTATATTCCCTTCCCTGTTTAATTCCTCTTAGGGTAACTTAAGCCTGGGCTTTTGAACCACAGAATGAATGGGCCTGCAGTGAATGTCAGTAAAATGCCACTGCTGTGTGAGGCCTTATTCATCAGAGATTGGCCTCTCGTACGGTCACAGACACATTCATACGGTCACAGACTCACTCAAACGGTCACAGACACACACACACACTGATCGCTGCCAAGACACTAAAAGTTTTGATCGAATGATTCTGGTTTTGTGTTCTTTACATCTTCATGTTCAGAGAGTGTTTATCACACATATTTTGATATATTCGTACTGTGTTAAACCTCTGCTGTGTTGGTGGTACTAAACAGAGAAGATAGACTGAAAAGACCGGATGAGGAATGACACTTGATTTCCCCTCCTTCTTACACCTGTTCCTTCTGTTCCTTCAGCTCCTGGTCCAACTTCAGGTCTTGAGGGGGAGGCTGTGGGCTCCAATGGTATACTACTCTCCTGGACAATGCCATCAGATGCCAACAATATTGACGGATATGTTATCAGGTAATTCTCTGTTGTCTTCTCAGAAAATTGGTAATTTATGTCTTTATTAGGACCATAAAACTTGTCCATGCCGCCAGCTGTATTGCCACAAAATTAGTTACTCAAGAGGATGTTGATTTCTCTGTTAAATGTGCAAGTAGTCAACAAATGAAATAGAGTGGCTGCCCACCCCCTTAAAAAAAAAATGAAGCTGGGAGGGGTCGTCATAGCAAGGCACCATGAAAACTCCTGCGACGTCATTTGTATGTAACACAAACACAACTCAAACGCATGAACAGTGATGGCAGGTTTTGAAAATAGCAGGTTTGATTCTTGTAATGTTGCTCTCTGGCCAATCAGAAGCTTGCTGTCTATTGATATCAAATTTTCAGCTTGACTCAGCTCACTTTAAATCCCAGCCAATTGGGCACTAAAAAGTACCTGGTACCAGGTGCTATCACCCAGTGGAAAACCCTAAAAACCAAGCAGAGTCAAGTTGATGCTAGTGGAAAAGTACCATAAGTAATAAGAGTGGGGTCTGGAGGTCCTCTACAAGAAAGATAGTATCTGGGTAAAAATGTATGCAGTGGTTTGTGTTTGAGATGACTGATTTAATAATAAAACACAATTTTTTTTGTAATAACATTAAAGAAAATAATGTCTATACACAGTGCGTGGTGTATTAGGAGAACTTTTCATTCTTACCTTGCAGATTTTATTTCAGAGGGATATATATGTGTGTTTTCTTTTTCATCAGTGTTCAGTGACAGAGACAGGATGTAGCCTCGAGTCGCCTGGCCATTCCCGAAATCTAATTGGCTGCCTCACTGATCAACCTGAAATCCTAAACCACAATCAGTGTTTTGCCATGTCAGAGGTGGCACTTAAATTGAAATCAACTGCACGGGTTGTGTTTCAACTGGCTGCTGGAAGCGTCTTTGCATCGCAGTGTGGACCATTTGTTTTCTAATGGAACTTTAAAGCTCCTGTGAGGAATTTTTAGTCTGTGTTAACTTTGATGCCCCCTGCAGACAAAGTAATAACCTTTAAATTGTTGTTGATTTGATCTTGTCCTCTTGAAAGTGGTGTTAAATGTTGACTTTGGGTAAACATCTTTTTAATTCAGCAGATTTAGTTTTGTTACCTTTCAAACTTAAACACTAGTTAAAAGAATATAGATTTTAAGTAGATGTGATTTCTTGAGATGACCCTCCAAGGTCTGGGGTAAGCCCCTGATTTTTACCATGCTTGGCTACCTCTGCAAAAATCACCTCCTCAGTGTGGCTATACCCTTTGTTACTTTCTTCTTCCTCTGACATTTTCTGAGTTGCAGTGGTAACTTGCATCGAAAACAACCTATAGAACTTGTCTTGATGATCTTGATTGCTTTTCTCTTAAAGTCATCCAGAGACGCCTGTATTAATCTCAGGTTGTCCCAAGATCTGCTGTGGACTCATTGCTTTAGATCTAGATAAGGGTTCTAAATCAGTACCTGTAAAATGTAGTGAGGATGTGAATAAGAAAAGCACTCATAGTGCCTCGTGGCCCCTTTCATAGTTTGAGCATTCAAGATCCAAAATGCAATCATGTGTCAGCAGGATTTTTGTTGTAGTGGATTCAGCTGGATTTTAGTTTTCTATCCTATTACAGGGAGATTACTTTGCAAAAACAGTCTTTTATCCGCCAGCAACGACAGGTTTTTGAGTGAGAGAATCCTTATTATGGGAGCCGACCAAAGCTGGTCTAATGACCTGATAAGTAACAGATTATTTTCCACCACTGTCAGAGTCTGTCATCTAGCCTCAAACAGTTTTAAAATGTATTACGTATGTTAGATAATGAACAAGAGTTTTCCTGCTTCAGGTACAAGGAAGTGTGTCCATACCCTGATCCAACCTTCACTCAGGTGACCAAGTACCTGGACATACCAGAGACACTGCTCACTGACTTTACTTCGGGCTCCACGTACCACATTGAGGTAGGATTTAAGTCGAGCTATATTTTTATAAACTGGTTAATGTGTGTTAAAAAATGTACACTTGAAAATAAAACTAAAACAGAAAACTAAAACAACTAAAAACCAACAATATAGGGAAAACTGCACTGTAACATGACCCTGTCTTTGAAATGAACGGATGTCTGTTTGCATAATTAGTAAAATATTTTATCAAGTAGATCTACACCAAAGTACCAAAGTCCTTCTGGAAACTCTCCTGTATTGTCATGTTAATGTGGCGAGCCGACTCAGATCCAAAAGGAACAGACTATTCTCTTGATGAGGCTGAATACCGGTAATTGATCCCGATTGCATTATTAATCAGGTAAACAGATCTATGGATCAGCCTTGGCTCTTTCCACTGTCTGTTGTCACTGAGCTTGAATGTGATCGTGCTTATTAGTTTTCAAAATTCATTAACCCACAATGACCTTCATAGAAATGGACCCCGAGAGGCACACACATTGTGATCATAACTGCACATACTGCATTGTGTGTATTTTAGCTCGTGGGGGTGTGTGTGTGTGTCATGTTACCACACCTCACCCATGAGCGTATTAGCCCACCAAACCAAGCACAAAGCTGGGATCATGATTAACTTCTCCTCATGCTTCTGCAATTACCTCAAACACAGTAAAAGTTGTTTTCATGATGATGTAACAAACATTAATCTAAATCAATTAAGTTTGTATGACGTAATTATTTGAAGTGTCTGCTGCCAATGCTGCTCATGGTGGTTCAAAGTGTCCTAACTCTAAAAAAACTCTGATAAACTACAAACAACCAACCACAAATATTGCATTGTTGTAAGAATTGACAACAAAATTAGGGACATGGTAACCTGTGAAGCCATGTTTTCTTCAAGGTCTACTGTAAAAAGCATAGCATTCATCAAATAAAATAATAACATACACTGCTTCTGGTTATTTACAGGCAACACACTCACATCACTCTTATGATCCAAGTGGCCCTCCAGTGCAGATTCAGCACAGGGCTGCAGTTTTTATGTTGTCGTACAGATTGGACCATAATGTGCTGTGCTTTGTTTGCATTCCAGATACTGAAGTTTGTCATTTTATTTTGGTGTATTAGCAAAAAGAAGTAATTTTAGATGTTAGTGAGGTGATATTATGTTGTTGTTTTTCATTTGTTTTTCTTACATTTTTGGAAAAAAAAGTTAAAAGTTAGGTGTCGGTACCTTGCATGAACAAAGTTTCAGTTTGCAAGGTTAATGGATGTTGAAGTAACCTAATCCCAAAATGGGCATCACCAGATTGTGATATTACCAGATGTGAACAGCAAAAATATCATTTTATTAAAAGAAACACAACTTTGTCGCATAGCAACAGTGAAAGAGGCTTCCAGAGTGCTGAGGGGTCTTAGGGGGACAGTGGCTTAAACAAAGTATCTCAGACAGAGCTGCTAAGAAGCTATCAGGGGGATGATATAAAGCCAAAAAGCATAATTCCCCCTCTGTGGTTGGCAAATTAAAAAATCAATCAAATAGACATCTTTCCTCTTGAGCAATAAATTAATATTTTTTAGTGAAAGAAGTTATTTTTGTACCCCATTGAAAGTAAGAGATTTCCACATTTAGGTAATATCAAATTGTTTTGATAAAAGGACTTACATTGCCACTTGATTTTTAGGTCATAGTTAATCAAATTTTTCTGATAATTCTGGTCAAATATCTGAGAAAGATAAAGAGAGTAGAATCTGAGACCAACATACTACAAATAGACCTGATGTATAATAGTGAGTTATGGTCGTTTCATGTGTTAATGGGCTCATTGGTCATTGCCTGAGTTCAGCACCTTGACGGCTCTGATGACTGATGTTCTGACAGCATGAAACATGATTAATGACCAGAAAAAATAACCCCCAATTCCTCTCTCTCTCTTTCTTTTTTTCTTCCTCTTTCTCTCTCTGTCACTGCATCTCTCTCTGTCCCTTCAGGTTGCAGCCATCTCTTCAGCTGGAATAGGAGCCTTCAGCAAGTCTTTATATATAAAGACAGCTGAGTCACGTGGGTAGAAATGCTCATGCATGAACACTTATGTAATAATTTAACATCAGGTATTGTTTAAATCTGGCATGTGCGTGCAATGACCTATGTTTGCTTTTCTGCAGCCCCTGGTCTTGTGACCAACTTGACAGCATTTGCTCAGAACCACACCTTTGTTATGGTCACCTGGTTCCTGCCGCACCGCATAAACGGCCTCATCACAAAATTTGCTGTAAAGGCTAAACACGCTCGTACCGGGCAGACGGTTCGCACACTGGAGGTCAATGCAGAGGACATCATGACCGGAGCACTGCCTCACTGCAACGTACTGCAATGAGCTGTTTTTTTTAATCGATTCAAACAAAGAAAACAAAGGATCATGAACAAAAGAAACACTTGAAATAGCGTTTCATTGATGTCCTTTCTCTGTGTATATCCTGTCTGATTTTGAACTAGGACGCAGCTGATATCCTGTCCCGTGCAACTGTCAGTCCTTTTGAGATAACAGCATCTTTACCACCCATCACCCTCTCAGCCGTGCCCCCTGCGGCCTCCTGGAGTGTTCCCATATCAGTAGGAGTCGATCAGCTAAGGCCTTACACTGCCTATCTGTTCGAGGTGTCTGCCTTCACCTCTGATGGAGAGGGACAGATAGCCTCCACTATGGTGCGCATGCCAGAATCAGGTGTGGGAAAAATAAGCCATGCAGTTTTTTTTTGTTTTTTCAATTACTTCACAAGCTATGTTCATCACTTCATTTATATGTTTATGTATTACAGCCCCAGAAGATCCACCGCAGAACTTCAACGTATTGAACATGACATCGAGATCAATTTCAGTGTCCTGGAGCTCTCCCAAGATCATCACAGGGAAATTCAGCTACGTGCTCTACCTCGATGGACCAACAGGTTTGTGGAAAGTAATGCAAAAGCAGATTCCAACCCTGACTTTAATAAAATACTCTCTATATTTTTGCACTTTTCACTCCAGGCTATCTGTATGAGAACAGCACTTGGGACATGCGGTTTTCCTTTACTGGTTTGATGCCTTACACAAATTACACTGTGGCCGTCCGAGCCAAAGCTGCAGGAGAGGTGGGTCCAGCAGCCAAGGAGGTTGTCATCACACCTGCTGAGGGTGAGGCTTTACATAAGATGAAGACGTACAGGTTTCATTTCTCTGTGATAATTAACAATCAGCAGCAAAAGACGACCATTTCAATCGAATAGTTGTTGTGATAGATTTTCCTTTCTATTCTTGTGAGAGTGTTTGCTCCATAAGTCACACAAGTCTTTTTTAAACTCCCTTCTATGTGCGCTCGTACGTAGCACCCAGTGCAGTACAGGACTTGGTGGCAGTAGCTGAGGATTCAGTTTCGATCCGTGTGAGCTGGAAGAGCCCGGCCCAGCCCAACGGTCAGATTACCCGCTACAGACTGCAGGTTCTGGTTGATGAGGTTCTGCTGCAGGACATCACCCTCTCTGCAGAAGAAGTAAGCCATACATTGTATTTGGTGTAGCTGTCATAAAATAGCCGATATGTGAGATGTTGAACCAATATTGGCTCTTTGTGTTTTGCATTTACATAGACCATATTTACAGTGGGTAAGCGCTCCAGTATTGGGTATTTTTAAGGGTGGGACATAATTTCATAAGCACACGTACAATCAAGTGGAACAAAATGGATGTGAAGCAAAAACTTTGGTTTACTCAAGTTGTTTGACTCTTCAAACATCAATACTACTTTATTTAATACGCATGTTCTGAACCTGTGTCTTGGCATTTTATATCAACAACCTATTATGTAAGTTTTAAAAAGTGTGGTACTCTAATCCAATGACCTCATACATTATATTAGACTGTGGCACAGTGGGGTTTTTTTCCACTTCCTCTTCATGCTAAATTGACAAATTCCACACTCGCGGGGCCAAATAAAAAGCAAACTCACATGCAACCTGCAAGCCATGTCCACCGGTGTCTACTAATTCAAGAAGACGTTGCTTTAAGGGCTGATGAGTCAGGCCTATCAAGAATCTGTGCTTCACCCAACCAGAAGAAATCCAAAGCTACAGTCAGAATATTGAATTCATTTTTTCTTTATTCAGAACACAACTGATATGTACGACGATGTGACTCGTCCTCCCGGTGTCCCTGGACGGCGTAAGAGGACAGCTGAGCTCACTGAGATTACATCACCGCCGATTTTCACCACAACTCTTGCAGATCGAACACAGCCCACTGTTGTCACTGCCTCCAGCTTCACACAGTTTAGACAAAGAAGCGTTGACTCCATCACCAACACTGAAGCTCAACCAACCGCCGTCTCCATGATCACTGAGGAGTCTGATGTCACTTCAGCTCCTGCTTTATCATCTAGCAATGAGAATATTCAATCTACTGACCCTGCAATGTTAGTGACTGCTGTGTTTTCTCTGACCTCTGCGCCACCTGCTTCGCTTCCACCTTGGCTAACAAAGCAACCACGTGATGAGGCGATGACCTCAGATTCTTTCCCCTTAGCTCTGACCCTGGGCAAGCTCCGCATGTCCACAAATCATGCATCATTAACAGGACAGTTTTCAACACGCGCTGCAGCTTCTGGTACTACAGGTGAGGAGTGCTAAACATAGACGCTGCTTCTTTCCGCCCACTGCACCTATTGAGTTGAATTATTATACTCATAAATCCTGTATATATGCCGTCATTTGCACCCATTTGTGTCTGCTTGCATGCTGCAGGTGTGACAGTGAGACAGGAGGTGATGGATGTCTTATCTGGGGAGCTCTCTTACCTGGTGTCAGATCTGAGTCCTTTCACTGAATACACATTTAGGGTCACTGCTTCCACCACTGTTGGAGAGGGTCCTGCGATTGACATCACTGAGAAAACCAGGGAGCAAGGTGAGTTGTTGCATGTCCCTAGCAACTGTTTTTACCTGTACAAAAAAAATCCTGGGATGTTTAAACTGATTGTCCCATTTATTTTCTATGTTGTTTAGTCCCCAGCCCAGTACTTGAAGTGTCTTATCAAAACATCAGCTCCACCTCCATATCAGTAAACTGGGTCCCACCACTCAATCCCAATGGACTGATCACACATTACACAGTCTATATCCTCAACCTTCATAACAGTCAGAAACTGAAGAGGGTTTCTAACTCTACAAGCATACTGATAACAGGTAAACACCTCTTCTGGGCAGTTCTGTTCAATTATTTCAACATCTTTTACAGGCCTAATGAGAAATCTCTCTCTTTTGTGGTTGACAGATTTGGACAAATATACTGGTTATAAGCTACGTGTTGCCGCGTCAACGGCTGCAGGGGAGAGCTCACTGTCAGAGGAGGATGACATCTTTGTTTACACGTTAGAGGACGGTATGTGCTGAACACAAACACATACATAACAAGCACATTTTCATAATGTTGAATTTTGGAGTGCTCTGTATGTGGTATGTCTGACGATATATCCCAACTACTATTTTCACTGGCAGATAGTGATATTTGTCATCGTTACACATTTACAGTGTCGTTTTTTCTTATTAGAGGTAGTCAGTGTGATACTAGATTAGCTGCGTTCAGTCTGTTATCTTTCGGTTTAATAAGACAGTACACTTCAATTTTTCTTTTTCATCCCATACAGAGCCCGACTCTCCCCCTGTAAATCTCATGGTGGATGACACCACCCCTTCCACTGCCACACTGACTTGGTTGCCACCAGAGAAAGCCAATGGGGTGATCCAGTATTATGAGGTCATGTATGAGAATGAATCCTACTCTGCAATGACGAACACAACCTCCAACAGAGTCACCTTGATGTACCTGAAGCCATTCTCCTACTACAACGTAACTGTGAGGGCCTATACACGTTACGGCCACGGCAACCAAACGTCGGACATGTTGTACCTGCTGTCTGGAGAGGACGGTATGTTAATACATGCATCCACCTTGACTGAAACGCATGTGTTTCAATAACTGGTCTCACCACAGCAGCTAAATACACAATTTTACTTGCTGCACAGCTTGATAACAATATCATGCAGTAGTAGAGTTTTAATGAACATGGTTTTATGCTTCCCTGCCTTCACATGACATTAAGATAACGTTTGATCACATTTCACGGTCCAGATTTTTAGGAGCATTTTTTTTGGTGTCCTCTCTCCAGTACCAGGCAGTCCTCCGTACGGTGTAGCTTACGAGTCAGTTAGTCCCAGCGAGGTGAATGTGACCTGGCAGCCTCCTCTGATGCCAAATGGAGTTATTACCTTCTACAGCCTGGAGCTTTGGAATTCAACTCACTACCTGAACCTCACCTCCCCGACCAACTACATCCAAATCACACATCTGAGGAAATACGCACAGTACCGCGTCATCGTGCAAGCGCACACACGTGTAGGGCCTGGGAACTTCAGCAGCGAGCCGCTCAACATCACCACGCTGGAGGATGGTGAGAGGGAGGGGTACGGGGAAGAGGGAGGGGGGCGGGTTTGCTTTTTTCATCCACAGCATCCTGCACGGTTACATCATGACGGAGTTCAAAGGGTGTCTGATTAAATCTGACTTTCCTCTCCTTGTTTCCTCCTCTCTAACATCTCTCTGTTACAGCTCATGCTAACAATGTTACATAACAGGTTTTTGTTGCTGCCTGGCACTCGTGTCTCCCATCAGTACTGAGCAGCACAATCAACAGACATTCCTACTTAACGGCTTTTCATTTCAGGGCTGTATTCCCCCTGGCCTGTTCCTGAGAGGCAGATTGAGGTTATTTGCTTGGTGCAAATATATATGAAAAAAAAATCCTTCACCAGTTCAGTCTCTGTTTAAATGTCAGCCTACTATTTGCTTCATGTTACTGGAAAGTCTTTCTCATGGGTCTTAGCTCCAGATACACCTCCCCAGTTCCTCCGATCTAGGAAGTTGTCAGATTATGAGGTAGAGTTGTCATGGCAGCCACCACTTGAAGCCAATTCAGAAGTCCTCTACTATGTTGTGAGAGTTTGGTGAGTATCATAATGTACCTTTTTGTGTCAGTTTTGCAATCTGTTGAAACAAAAATAAATATTTTCTTTTTTTTTTTTTTTTTAGGAATGAAACAAGTGAGATGTGGCAGAATGTAACTAACACATCTCTGGTCATTAATGTGGACTCAGAGAGCCGCTACAATGCCTCTGTCTCCAGCTGGACCAGGCTGGGAGATGGAGGAGTGCTTATATATATCAGCTTCACCACCACAGACGCAGGTGTTCGATGCTTGTTAAAGTAAATTTGACAGATATCTTCATAATCCTCGCACACAAAACAGTTTTTCTCATTTGGTATCTGTCTTCTTCTCCTTTCTGTGTGTGTGTGTGTGCTCGCTTGTAGAACCATTTGACCCTCCACAGAATGTGACTTATGCAAATGTGACTGCTTCCTCTGTCACCTTGCTGTGGCACCCGCCCACTGAACCAAATGGGATCATTGTGCATTATACAATTAACTACTCTGATAACAACACCGTGAATCAGCAGGTGAGACACAAACTGTAAAACAAAGCAGTCCTCTATCCTTTCATTAAAAAAAACCAAATGACTCTTGACATCTTGTAAATGCCGGTTTGAGAAAGTACCCTCAAAGACCTTTTTGTATTACCCAGAGAGTTCCCGTTGGAACCTTACCTGCCCCAGTTCCTCCTGATTCATTACTCTCCTACACTCTGACTCGGCTGATTGGGGGCACTAACTACACCCTGTGGATGACCTCCAGCACATTGCAAGGGGATGGAGGAGTCCAGAGCGAGCCGTTAACTATCTTCTTACCGGAGGATGGTCAGTTAGACAAGCACTAAAACACAATACCACATATAGTATCACAAGTATTTAAACAGAATTAGACATAGACATGAAACGCAGCGCACAATCACACAGAGGACTAATGCATAAAGGGACTCAGAGTCTGCACACTTTTTCAAAACTCTTTGATTTCCAACGAAAAAATTGCATAAAAACTCTGCAAACGAAAAGTGTTACTTTCAGCCTGTTAGTTAAAGGAGATAGCAGTCTGTCTGACAAACTGGCTCTATTTTTGTCCGCCTGTGACGCTCTGCCTTGACGACAGCCGGTTTGTATTTCCTTTTGCTGAGCACGATGAAAGTTGTGAGGGATTAAAAAAAAAAAAAAAAAACAGAAGAAAAGAGAGCACCGAGCTGTTTATGATATACTTTCACAGAGGAAAAAAAAAAGGCTAAAGTCATTGCGTGATCATGTAGCAATCTTAACCTTTCACTGAAACTTACATTTGCATAATTTTAGTAATGTTTTTGTATCCTCTGTGTAAAAAATGAAAGAGTACACTGAGCTGATCTCTTTGTTTTTATGTGATTTTGAGAAAAATGGTGCAGACAGCCTCTACAGACTCAGTCACATATTTGTATGTTGATTCAGTTTTAGTTTTTCTTGTCAGCATTTTGCTTACCGTCTCTGAATGATTACTGTTCATACTGACTCTGTATCTCTGCCTGTGCTCTAGCTAGCTGCTCCACTCTCAGCCAAGTACCGGAGCTCCAGGACACCTTGTCTCTCCTGTACTGCCAAGCCCAGCGGGGGCTCACTCCCCTGGGCTCAGACCCCCACACACAACCGGCCTCTCGCATCCTCTCACTTATTCATCATCTTTTACCTCCCTTTTCCACTTCATCTACCTTTTTTTCTTAACTGTTTGTTACTTTTGGAGAGGCCATGACGATGAACAGGATGAGTATTTCCTCCTCAACTCTTTTCTTTACCAGTGTGCAAGTTTCCCTTCTTTATACTTCTTTGTGTTTCATTTAAATTTATTTGATGTTTTTTCTGTGTCCACTCACTGTTTTGACCTTCATGTGTTTATGATTTGCTAAATTTATACCATGCAGTGCCTTTCTACTTGATGTGCTGTTCATTTGTTTTGCCATTCACGACATACAGCCGATAATTATGACAGTGCTTGTGACAGAAAATGATAATGATAATGTTGATGACGGGTGTGCTGTTCATTTTTCCCTCAAGTGTCAAGAGAGCGTACAGTTGATTGATGCCCTAATTTATACTCTCATTGTACACTCAGTGTCATCAGAACATTTTTTAATTGGAGTTGTCACTAAAGGTTAATTCACTAATAATAACACTGTCACAACTGTCTCCCTCCTCAGTGCCAAGTGACCCGGTCAAAAACCTGACAGCTCAGATCTTCAGCTCCACAGCCATAATCGTCAGCTGGGATCCTCCTCTGGAGCCAAACGGCCGTCCGTACTACCTGCTCACCTTACAGGAGGCTGGCATCCCCCCAGACATCTCCAACCAGGGCACCCCAGCTGTCAACAAAACAATCAAACACACAACCACAGACATTGTCTTTCTGTTCACCAAACTCAGGAAGTATTTCCCTTACGTGTTCACCGTTACCCCGGCAACCAGAGCTGGCGCTGCCTTCAACCATACCAGCACACTGTACCTAAGAACAGATGATGACAGTGAGTCCATCTTCACAGTTATAGACTTTTAAACTAGAGTCTTTGTGTTTATTTTAACACTGATATTAGTCTGTGTTGTACTCCAGTTCCTAGTTCTGCCCCGTTGGTGGTGTCCACCAGGAATATGTCATCCTCCTCCATCAAAGTGGTCTGGAAGCGCCCTCTGGAGGCCAATGGAGAAATAACAGAGTATACTCTCACTCTCTTTGGTCCAGGAGGATCCAACACAACGCAAACCCAAAGCACCTCATTCATCTTAACCAACCTACTTCCATACACAGCTTATAACCTCACTATTACTGCTGCCACTCGCAAAGGCGTGGGGCCGAGTCTGCTGCTGCAGCTGCACACTGATGAAGGAGGTTTGTATGAGAGCAGGTCTTACATCACTCCAACATCTGACTGAGGTGGCATTTATTTATGAAGCAGTGTTTGTTTTAGAGTTGTCAAAAAAGAGTTACTACATTATTATTAAATTATTCACAGAAAAAATAAGAACCTTCTTCTTTTACCTGATGTAGAATCTTAAGGGGAAGATGGTTCTTGTTTTGTAACTAAACTAAACAAATTGAGAAAGATTAGTTAACATACAAAGCACATGCAGGGAGAGAAAAAAGAGGGGGCAGGCATCTGTGTCCAGAGGCCTGGGGTGCAAAGCAAGGTGATCAGTCTGTGAATCAACACAAAAATTAGGAGCATAAAAAAGTAACTCCAATGCAGGGCTTCTAAGCTTATAGTATAGTTCGTGTATCATCTGTCTTTTTTAAATCACACCTTCTTCCTCTTCTGTGTTTCAGGCCCCATGTCTCCTCCCCGTAACCTGACGATATACAACCACACAGCGGTTTCTGTGTGGCTGAGCTGGGAGCCATCCTTGGAGCCCAATGGAGTGGTGATACAGTACGGCTTCAGGATCCGGGACCTCATCACACACACCGTCACACACAGGGTAACGTTAATTTCACACACCGAAAGCTACTCCACAATAATAACACCACACACACATACACATACACACACACACACACACACACACACACACACACACACACAATCCAAACCCAGTCAGTAATAGTACACACTGTCACAGGGGGTAGCTCTAATTTCACACCTCAGATACCACTCAGCAGTATTATTACCCATACACACATGTGCTGATACAATAAGATGTTATCCACTCAAGGAATCACAACTGGATGATTTAACCTCCTATGAGACTTATTCATGTGTGTGTGTGTGTGTGTGTGTGTGTGTGTGTGTGTGTGTGTGTGTGTGTGTGTGTGTGTGTGTGTGTGTGTGTGTGTGTGTTTGCACAAATGTAGAATTCCTCAGGCCCTTCAACCACAGAGTATCTGTCAGGATTCAGGCCTCATAGTTCCTATGAGATCAGTGTGTACAGTTTCACCAGAGTCGGTCATGGAAATCAGTTCAGCAGCCCGGTGACCTTCACCACCAATGAGTCAGGTAAAGCACACGCTGTCTGCTGGACACACAAAGGATGTTCTAGAGAAACTGCTCAGTTCGCGAATTAAAGCTGGTCATAGTACAAATTACGTTTTTAAAGTTTATTTGAAACCATTGAGAGTGCTTTTTCATTTAAAAAAATAAAACAAAACCAGATAAAGGCAGAATTTACAAGAAAATAAGAAAACACGGTAACACTTTATTTGACGCATTTCTGTAACATATAAATATCTTTATAATGCGTTATTATCATGTTATAGCTCTGTATAACTATAGTTATAAACACTCATAAATGATCATAAAGCTTTATAGCAATAATCATAACACATTATAAAGCATTTTATCATGACTTACAAGATCAGGTATTATAATGTGTTATAACTGTTAACACATAGATAACCCACATAGATAATGCAATGCAAGTTATGTTAACAGTTATAACACATTATAATACCTGACCTTGTAAGTCATGATAAAATGTTTTATAGTGTGTTATGATTATTGCTATAAAGCATTATGATCATTTATGAGTGTTTATAACTATAGTTATACATTGCTATAACATGATTATAACGCATTATAAATGCATTTAATAATGAGTTATAGAGATCGGCGTCAAATAAAGTGTTACCGAAAACACTTTGGAAGTATAAATGCTTGAATGGTACAGTGCCAGTGTGATGAGTAAAATCATCTTATCTTATTTAATATCAAATAACACCCTTATATGAAAAAAGTCAAATATAATATGAACACCCACACATTAAGAGCCAAGTCTTGTGAATTTTCATAACTCAAATATCATAAGTCCAGTTTAAACACAGGCAGCCTATTCCACATTCCTGATTACTTGAAGTAGTTGTAGAGTGTGGTGGGCGTAGAGAGTGTTGGGTCACTAATAATGTCACACTACTGAGGATAGTAACACCATACAACCACAGCTAAGCTCTTTTCCTTTTACAGGGGAAAAAAACTTAACTTTGAAATTAAAAATTGGTGAAAACTAAGAGCATCTTATTTAAAAAGAGCGGAATACTTTCTAACCAGAGGCTGGGGTCTTTTTCAAATCCATATCTTTACGTCCCTGAAAAAAAAAAAAACTAATTTCAGTTGAACAAGACAATATGCATGCAATCATAGGAATGGAGTGTAATAACATGGGAGCTTCAGGCCATGCAATCAAAAGTAATTTAAAGGTGGTTGCAATTTTCTATAAATGTCATGTATCAGTCTACGAATCACTGTCTAGATTCAGCTTATTCGCCCTATTGTTCCATCTTCTTTAAGGACTATTTGTCTGAGCAAAGGTTAAATCTGAAACTGAATTCAATGCGCTTGTCTTAAAGTGACAGTAATATGACTTAATAAATCTAATAACAGTATAGCTAACATGACTGTCTCACTCCCCTGTCTGCAGTGTCTGATCATGTGGGAAACCTGTCTTGCTCTGGTGTCAGCTGGGATTCGGTTCAGCTGTCTTGGGAACCTCCAGCTAACCCTAATGGGCAGATTCTTTTTTATGAAATCCTTCTGGAGGTAGACTCACAGTCTTACACACACCAGGCTCACACACCAGAGTACACGGTGACTGGGCTGTCACCAGACCAGGAGTATGCACTCTCTGTGGCTGCAGTGAACTCAGCCGGACCCGGAGACAGTGTGAACTGTAGCGCTTTTACTCTCTCTGAGTCGGGTAATGAGGCTTATTTAATGGGTAGCATTTTGGTTTCTTACTGCTGATTAATTAGCATTACTCACATTGATTCCTTGTGTCTACCTCAACAGCCCCTGCTGCCCCTCGCTCTCTCACCATCTCTCAGGTCACATCTAACAATGTGACACTTCAGTGGGCACCACCGCTCTCTGTTCCAGGCCTGCTGAAAGAGTATCACATCATTGCACAGCTGCTTTCCACTGTTTGTGCACCAAACATGCTGACGACTGCACAGCCCGCCCTCGAGGACGAACTGACCCCTGACTGTGTGGACTCTGAATTCTCAGTGTCAGTGAATGCCTCAGATGGCAGTGAGGAGATCTACAGTGTCACACTCCAAACCCTGGCTAAATACAGATACTACCGCTTCAAAGTGGCTGCAGTGACCAATGCTGGAGTTGGAGAATATACAAACTGGAACTATGCACGCACCCTAGCTGGAAGTAAGATCACAGCATGGGTGATATGACCTTTTTGTGCCGCCCAAGGGGAGAGTAGCCAGTTAGTCATACTGTATCTGACCTCTCCTGGTTTTACAAAGCATGCAGGGGGAGGTCGTAGGTATTTAAACTCGGTAACAGGGAAAAAAGAATATAGGATCCCTTTTTCTCAAGTCCTTTTAGATTTACATTTATATAACAGTAGTTGTAAGTAGGGCTGGACGATAAAACAATTACGATAAATATCGTAAATTAATTTCCCTCAATATCAATACAAAACATGGTCAATTTCCTTTTCGATAGTCAGCATTCTAACATGTTTTGGTAGACTGTATGAATAGCCAATGAAAAGGGAGTTTCTCTGGGTCTGCTTCGTGCTGAACCAATCATGTGCTGAATTAGAACCAGGTAGCAAACAACTGTGTGGTAGCAGGCTGCAGCTACACGCAACCATAGCACTTTAACAAGTGAAGCCAACATTACTGTCGGTGAGAAATAAAGAAAATGAGTGCTACCCCCGCAGAAATGCAGATGAAGGCTCAACAGATGACAATATCGTCGAAAACACTGGCACAAAAATGTCGGTGGTGTGGAGGTATTTTGTTTTTTTGAGGTCGGACATGAAGCAGAGTAATGTACCTGCAAATTATGTCAAGTACATGTTCTCGCAAAGTCGGGGAATACCTCAAATCTTTTTCACCGACTGAAGCAGTGCCACATAGCAGAGCACGCGCAATGCAAAAGTTTACAAACCCTGAGTGGAGCGAGGAGCCTGAAACAGCCGACCATTCAGTCCGCTTTCTCCAGCGCAATGCCTTACGACAAAACGTCAAGGACACAAAGACCTCACAGATGCAGTAGCTTATTGTATTGCAAAAGACATGCTACCAATAAGCACTGTTAAATTTCATTTAAGAGTAACAGGGAACATTTAAGATTGACTAGTGATTTTTTTATATTGTGATATACATATCGATATCAACTGATGTGAAAGAAATACATCGTTATAAACTTTTTCCCATATCGCCCAGCCCTAGTTGTAAGATACTGTTTTAGATAAAGAATTTGATTATGTTTCTTCTACCTCCACCATTAGACCCTGATGCCCCTCCGAGTGGTCTGAAAGTGGCTCGCACTTCCAGCAGCCTTCGTATTGAATGGGACGCCCCAGCTGTTCTCTCTGGGCCAACTTCATATCTAGTGCAGGTGACTTTGTTTAATCTGGTTTTATTTACCCTCATGATAGATTTAACCACTTACTGTGGGTATACAGTTGTATAGAGTATACAGTTATGCTTGGCACTGGTGGCACAGTTTTTAAGATGCATTGCAAAATCCCTGGCAAGGGTTAAAAAAAGCTTTTAGACTAGAAAAGAGAAGGAATGGGCTGGTATTCAGCTACTTATGCATGTTTCTAGGTCCATGGTCCTGATCTGAACATCTCAACAGTACGGGCTCCTGGAGAGTTGATGACCGTTGTCGTGACTAATTTGACTGCTTTCACTCGCTATTCTGTGACTGTCACCGCCTTCACTGGTCCACTGGAGCTCGCACATGCTGATGGGAAAGCTATTGGTCCTATTGAATTTCAAACTATGGAGGAGGGTATGCAGAAAGTGCTGTAGCACCTCAGACAGCTGCTGCAAATGTGGAAAAATGAACACCATCTAATATTATTTTTCCTCTGTACTGTTTCTACTCTTAACCCAGAACCCAAAGACCCTCCCAAGAATGTGATCTTATCAGTAATCCCTGAGGAGGTGAACCGTGTGAAGGTGACTTTTACCCCTCCAGAAGAGCCCAACGGGAACATAACTGCCTACATTGTGTATATTTATGAAAAAGACCAGCTGGTCAAGAATGCCAGCCTTAATATCACACAAAGGGACCAAAACATGCTAACTGGAGTCATTGAGGGCCTAAAGGGAGGACACAACTACAGTATACAGGTAAAGAGCACACACATATTGCACACATTAAAGGAATATTCCAGCATAAAATTAATCATGGTTAAACACAACGTAACAATGAGTAAGACACCCCCTAAATCATAAAGTATAATTTCCTTGAAGTAATAATCATATATAACCATATTAATCATTTTGCACTGCAGACGCGGTAGTTCTTCTGCCTTAGAGTCTCGGTCTGACTGCATTTCCATGAAGAAATGATCATAAATGTTCTTCCTTGAGCTGCGTCAAACCACAGCAGTTCATAATGGACTGGCCCAAGGTCTCGCTACAAACAAGCGGCTGCTGGAAGAGAGTAGTTGAGTTGTGTTTAGTCTCTTTGTTAAAGAAATCAGGCAAAGTTAAAAAGATGTTTGGTGGCTAGTACTATGGCTGGGACCCTATATGTACTGTTGATGAAGTTAGGTGCTGTTCTGATCATTATTTGTGGTTATAGAGTGGCGTTGAGGTTTGTTTATGGCTCCTTAGACCGCTGTGTATTGCTATCGTGCGGTCGTGACTAAAGTTGGTATAACTAGAGAAGCAAGCGGTCGGCAACATTCATCTATCAAGGGGGTGTCTAACTCGGTGTTACGGTGTGTTTGACCCTAAATTAATTTTACACTGGAATATCCCTTTAAGACATAGGTGTAGGAGAATCAACCTCACAACTTTATCCTTGTTTGCTTAAACTATTTTTTCCCCTCTCTTTCCATTGCCCATCTTTCCTTATTTTGTTTTCATGTTTGTAGATTTCAGCAAAGAATGGGGCCGGGAGGAGCCCACCCAGTCCACATGTTCAGATCACCACAGGGATCAAAGGTGAATGGCTCTTTTTTGGTGTATGCTCTTCTGTGCTGTATGTTTCGCTCTGTCTTGTTGCAGCTGTGCCTCGTTGTAGATGTGAAGTAGGTTGTAGGCCTGTTCTGACACAGCAAATCAATCTCAGCAATCTCCAGATGTGAGCTGTTGATATAAAGGTGTGGTTAAGACCATCAGAGCAGGTCTATATGTCCGTTTTTTTTTTGGGAGACGCGAAAGGACAAAACCCCACTTCCACTTGTAGTTTTCACACGATATCCTCTGTGTGCATATGAGTGCTTTTTTTAATGTGTGTGTGTTTGCTCCTCTGTGTTCACATGTGCGTGTTTCCTAGCCCCAGCCAAGCCAGCCCAAAGACCCCAGGCAGTGCAGGGCCATGGAGGGGTTGCTATGGTAACCCACAGGAGTATCACCATCCACATGCCTGCCTGTTTCTATAGTGACGACAATGGACCAATCACAAAAATCCAGGTCATCGTAGCCGAGTCAGGGGGTATGACTCTTCAAAAACATTGACAGCCATCACTATTAGTTGGATATACTTGAGTTTAGGTTGTGTATGTGCTGAAAGCCTCAAGGAGACCCTGTCTTAGATCACTCTGCCCTGAGCCAAAGACAAAAAATATGCAAGGCGAAGGGCTTAATGTCAGCAGAGATTTGAATCACTGTCCCCTTCTCCAACACCTTCTCTTTTATTCTTGTCCCGTCACAGTGAAGGACGTCCTGAATGTAACCAACTGGAAGACTGCTTTCTCTCTTCACCCTGCCCCTTACCTGACTGACAAGGGGTTCCCCAACCCACCATGTCTCTTGGGTGATGGGGCATCACGCACGGATACACACTTCAGGGGCAGTCATAGAATGTCCAGAGATATCTGGCCCCGAGTGAGATACAATTACACTACAGCAGGAACATACGTGATCGGAGGGAACGATGACTGCATCAAGGAAAACAACACAGACAGTTTGTGTAATGGTCCTTTAAAGCCAAATACAGTCTATGTGTAAGTAAACCACACAACAATTTACAAACTGATGTTAGTGCTTTTAAATATGATAAAGAGCTGACTCTGAACTTTTCCTCAACAGGTTTAAGTTCAGAGCCACAAACATTATCGGCCAATTCACCGACTCTGAATACTCAGAGCATGTCAAAACTGCAGGTATCTGTAGTTGCCCCTTCATTGCTCTATATCATAAAGTAAGAAATATCCTTTATATCTTTATTACTTGTGGTTTTATCTGTGGTTTCTGCCCTCCGTTTGCAGTGGATGGACTGCTGACCAGAGATGAACAGATTATTCTGGGTGTCCTGCTCTCCTTCTTTTTATCTGTTTTACTCATCATGATCATCTGTGGCTCTGTCAAGTAAGATAATATCAGGCGATGTTGTGATGTTATGCATGCTAACATTTACCAAATCCTTGCATCAAATAGTTTAAAGGGATATTCCGGGGGTTAGACACCCCCTTTAGAGATTTATGTTGCCAACCGCTTGCTTCTCTTGTTATACCAACTTTCATAATGACCGCACGATAGCAATACACAGTGGTCTAAGGGGCCACACACAAGCCTTCACCAAAACGCCACCAAACATCTTTTTAACTTTGCCAAATTTCTTTAGCAAAGAGACTAAACACAACTCACCTACTCTCTTCCAGCAGCCGCTTGTTTGTAGCAAGACCTTAGGCCAATCCATTATGGACTGCTGCGGGGTGACGCAGCTCAAGGAAGAAGATTTATGATCATTTCTGCCTTAGAGTCTTGTTCTGATTGCAATTCCATGAAGAAATGATCATAAATCTTCTTCCTTGAGCTGCGTCACCCCGCAGCAGTCCATAATGGATTGGACTAAGGTCTTGCTACAAACAAGCGGCTGCTGGAAGAGAGTAGGTGAGTTGTGTTTAGTCTCTTTGCTAAAGAAATTTGGTTGGTATAGTTGGTATAACTAGAGAAGCAAGCGGTCGGCAACATACATCTCTTGAGGGGGTGTCTAACTCGGTGTAACGGCATGTTTGACCCTAAAATAATTTTACGCTGGAATATCCCTTTAAAAGTTCAAACTTTCCTCATTTTGATGCCATATTAACTTTATTATCAATCACTGTGCTTCACCGACATGTTAGGATCCATCAGCGCAAGAAAGAGGGCGGGACTTACTCACCCAGAGAGGCAGAGATCATAGAGACCAAGTGCAAACTGGATCAGTTGATTGCTGTGGCGGATCTGGAGCTGAAACAAGAGAAACTCAACCGGTGCGTGCTTCGCTCGAATCCAAATGTGTGTTCTGGAACAAAAATATAACACAAACACTTTTGTCTGACAAAAACCAAAACCGTATGCAACTTCCATTGAGTTAGCTGCTCCAGACAAATCACTGGTTTTCAAAAAAAAAGAAAAAAAAATGTCTTTGCTGCAGCAAACTTGATGTGGGCCTCTGTCAGCACAGGCAGAGTTGTAGACTTTGTTCAAAAAATAGAAGCAGCAGCTCTGTAGAACAAAACAGTATCGTCTTAGCTTTGAAGTTTACTTCAGTTCTCTGCAGAAAAGACAAGCCCTCCTGTCGACTTCTCTTCATCCATCCGCTCAAATAAAGTCAGTGTCACACTTTTCTGCTCTCCTGTTTTTAAGCACATGGTTGTACAGAGTAGACAGGTGCAATGAGCTCTATGGCTGTTTAGAATTAAAAAAAGAAATTCAGAGTTGGTTGTGGTCCCTTGTGTATCTATTTATGTGCAAGGCAACAAAAGGGAAAGTCTAATAGTATGAGTGGTAGGTGTTTTTCAACAGAATAGAGTGGAAGGATCAACTGTATAGGTTTCTGTCTTCAACATTTAAAAATCAGTCACATGATAAAATAGAGAGGCTGTGTAGGTGTGAAACTGACTGTCTTTAATGAAACTGAATGTGCAGGTAAAGTGGGAAAAAAATAATCTGTGCATTGTGCAGTGTTTCTGACAAAAGCATGATATGCTCACCTTAGAGCTGCCACTCCTGTTTCTTAAATTTTAATTGGCACACCTCTCCAAACACAATTTATGCAAAATTAACACTTTCTTGGTATACTCGCTATTTATATATGGCAACAATAACTTTTTGCAATAACCTGCCTCGGCTTTTTCTCACTAAGCGCTTTTCTCTTAACAGGTATTCCTCCTTCTTCTTTAGACGGAAAGAGATTTATGTGATCCAGTAAGTTAAGCGTTTGGCCTGAGTGTGCATCTTTTTGCTTTGCTTTATTTGCATGTTTACTGCATCTTTCATTTGTCACCCTGTGTGCAACAACATCATTTACCCATAACGGCTTAAGTCACCCTACTGTGATGTTGATTAAACCTTTGGTTAAAGTTGACAGTCGAATGAATCAGAGACTTTGGGATTTTGTCCTCGGCTCTCTCGTCTTCCTCCATCAGCAGCAGAGATTGCAGAGCCGTGCTCGCACTCCTCTTCTTGAGACCATTTTAATTTGTTTACCCACTCACTATCTTGAAATTGCTCTGAAGGTTCAGCTATCTTAGGGGGCACGAATGGTAAGCTTTATTGATAGCTCAGGATTTGCTTGGCCTCAAAACTTCAGTAATGCAAAGAAAACAGTCGAGGGAAAACCATGTGCTTCATTCAAGTTCACTGACGATAACAAATTCCTGTAGACTGAAACATCAAAGTGTGAGTCACTGTTAATATAAGAGTGAATTTAATTAATAAGGGTTGAATTCACTGCTTCAACATATTTTCACACGTTCTCTTCGATATGAGTCAATCAATCTGCTGTGGACAGAAATACCCCAGAGTGGGTTACGATTGTTGAGTTAATTTGTTTATAGTGGTTCATGTTTGCTTTCTATTTTTGTACAGGCTGCTCAGCTACCGGAAATCACTGAAGTAAGTCATCCTGCATAAATAATGGGAATTGCAGCCTGTGCTGTACTGCTCAGTATAACATTAACCTAGACAGGGTAAAAAATGGCATATTGGTGTTGAGTTTGCTGCATTTGTCTCATATTCAGTGTGTTCCTCCATCAGGCCTGTGAACAAGAAGTCTTTTCTGCAGCACGTGGAGGATCTGTGTAACAATGACAACGCCAAGTTCCAGGAAGAGTTTGCTGTAAGTCTTGGACTTCAGTTCATCTATAAAAAACCTGACAAGAAAAAAAAAAAAGAGTTCAGTGCGGACCAATAAAAACAGAAATGTGAATTAATTTTAAAAAATACATACATTAGAGCTAGATTGAGCAAACATCAGCAGCTGCACACACTAAGTCAACACCAGCCAATCCTAAGATTACACATTACCCTTTACCATTGCATAACCAAAGACATGCAGATGTTACGAAACGCATCAGAGGGTGCGTGATTGCTTCTTTCTCTGACCTGCAGACATTTTTAGACACACATGTTTAATCTTTATCTTAATTAACTTTGTAACCTTCGTGAGTAAAGAAGCTGAGTACATTTGCTTAAACATTTGGAGAAAGGAACAAGAAATGAGAAATTCTCTTTTTATAAATATCAAACAGTGTGCAGAGATTTTAATTTTTTGTTCTTGGTGACCAGAGCCAAGGCAGTAACAAAAATCCATGATTCCAAAATCTTACAAGCATTTCTGTTTTTCTAAAAGCCCTGACTTTTAACCTCTGTTATTTATATGAACGCTGATGAATTACATCTTCCCAGGAGCTTCCAAAACTGCTGCAGGACCTGGCAACCTCAGACGCTGACCTGCCCTGGAACAGATCCAAGAACCGCTTCCCGAACATCAAACCGTGTAAGTGGTCAGGCTGAAAATGAGCTTTCATGGGTTTTCGACAGTCTCATCATGTATAAATCCTCTGTGTGTGCGACTGCATTTCATATGTTTGTCCGCTGAGCTTATCTCATTGCACTCTGCCTAGACAATAACAACCGAGTGAAACTGCTGTCAGAACCGGGCACTGCAGGCTCTGACTACATCAATGCCAGTTTTGTCTCAGTGAGTACCTGGGGTGTAACTTCTGCTTGAGTCATTATCAGGTTGTGAAATTTGTTATTCAGGCATGAGACATTATTGCAATTAGAGGGGTCTGTTCTTGATAATTTCCTGTCTCTTATTGCCTCCTTCAGACAGATAAGTAGACAGATGGTTAGATTGATTTTCCAGTATGATTATTTCAGTGTGTCGTGTTCTTTGATGTGAACCTCTTACCACCTTTTTTGTTGTTGTTGTTACCAGGGATACCTTTGTCCAAATGAGTTCATAGCCACCCAGGGTCCTCTGCCTGGCACTGTGGCCGACTTCTGGAGGATGATCTGGGAAACAGGAACTCGCACCATCGCCATGCTCACGCAGTGTTACGAAAAAGGCAGAGTGCGTCATGAGATATTTGTCACTGTTATGAAATAGCGTTCAGAGGAAAAGGCTGAGCTCTAAAACACCAGGAGGGTTGTATCTGTTAAATCTGACGTGTGTGTGTCTGTGTGTGTCTGTGTGTGTGCATGTGTGTGACATTTCAGATCCGGTGTCACAAGTACTGGCCAGAGGACAACAAGCCGATGTCCGTGTTTAGTGACATTCTCGTCTCCAAAGTGTCAGAGGAGGTCCTCCCTGACTGGACGATCAGGACTCTCAAAGTAGAAAAGGTGACAAAGCCAGAATCTACTAACTACACCTCTTACTCTTTAACCACCGGAACTAATGTGGAAGAGCTGCAAGATTGAATAGATTAGACCTTTATTCATCCTACAGTGATACACACCATATTCACATTCACACATACCGGGTACAAAAAACAGATAAATAAAGATAAAAGAACGAGTGCAAAATAGAAAGAGAAGTGCAAGAAAAGGAAAGTAGAGAAGGCTAGTAAAAAAAATAAAAAGACAAATGCAGACAAAAACAGGTATGGATGTGTGTAGGTAGACTGCAGTGTAGTTGCTGAATAATATATTTACTGGATGATATTGCACATAAGATATAATTTAGGGGTGTATGGAGAAATATTGCAGATGTTGCATTGGTTTAAAGTAGATACTCATGATTTAGGACAGATTTATGTTTATACTGCTCCTCTTCTACTCTGGTGATCTGATAGAGAACAGTGCAGGGGCCTACATTTGTCAATCCTGACATCACATTTCTTTTTTTTAGCATCAAAACAAGCAAGATGTGAACCTTAACAAAAAATCAACATGAGAATAATCAACTATTACAGACACTAAGTCTGTGAAAAAAAATAAAGTGCATGTTCATGTTTGTATTCATGTTTTTAAATATTAAAGTTCCACATTCATAGTTATACACACATTTTTAGCTGAATCGTTGCATTGTGTGTAGTGGAACTTATCCCTTCAGACCCTTCAAATCTGTCAAATTTTTGGTGTAAATTTCTGTTCGCAGCACGGCCACTACATTCTGGTCCGCCACTTTAACTACACATCGTGGCCTGAGCACGGAGTCCCAGATTCCTGCAGCACTTTCATCAAGTTTGTCAAGGCTGTCCGAGGCCACAGACATGACAACACCACTATAGTGGTCCACTGCAGGTACTGGGGCAAATCAGTGGTGTTGAACTGACAACATGCATATTGTGTAAGGGTTCATGTTTGTGCCATTCTCTCTCTCTCTCTCTCTCTCTCTCTCTTAGTGCGGGTGTGGGAAGAACAGGTGTATTTGTTGCTCTTGATCACCTCATTCAGCATGTCAGAGATCATGACTTTGTGGACATTTATGGTCTAGTGGCTGAACTGCGCAGCGAGAGGATGTGCATGGTCCAAAATCTGGTGAGTTTACTTCATCTATGTAAGTGTGTTATTCCTGCGGTTAAAAAAAGAGGATAAATAACATACAAAAAAGGGTTTCACACAGTATTTGGTCTTAAGTTGTTCCAGTAAGAGTGGCAGTGTGGTTGTCCTACTTTTTACTTCTTGCCCTGCTATGATCCCATCCCCATGAGAAATATTTAGAAAATTCTTGTTTTGACGAAGGAAATGATCTGGCAGCGGATAAAAGGCATATGCTGAGCAGGAATCCCCCTTTTGAAGCAGCATGAATCTGTCCTAAAATTACCTTATTCAGTCATTACTTAAACCTCAGTGGTGTGTGTCTTCTTCTCTGCAGGGTCTCCCAGCCCTGTGCCTGTGATTCTTCCAAGTATTCTTGTTTTATTAGTCTCGCTTGTTCTGCACATTTCTTGGTGTCCACATTTTGGCGATGAGATATGAGCCTGCAGTGTTTGCAGCTACGAGAACGTCTTCCAGCCCGGTGGAGCATGATTTTTTGTGACAGCGTGCCAAACAGCCTGCCATTAGCAAACAATTCCAATTACTTCATTATTATGATGGAACAAGAGCAGCTTGGCTTTAAGAGGCCATCATTCAGATTACTTGTGGATTCACAAATGTTGTTATTAAGATGTTTAAGCCAAGGAGCAGCTTTGGACAAGCCCCGGGTATTTTGATATAATCCAAAACAAAACAATGTGAAAATTTATCGAGAATAAAACCACCAGATTTTTCAGGCGGCTCTTCTCAAAAATTCTTCCTTTAATTAGTTTTTTATTGCAGATTTTGAACAGCAGTTTTTATTAGAGAGCATGGAGGGGGATCAGTTTCTGTGTCGTCCTTGGGTTAGTTCTTATGGTTATTTGAATCAGGGAGAAGTTAAGTGTTAAAAAACATGTCAATGACACACTCGAGATAGAAAGTTAAACAAAAATTAATGAGGACTGCTTAGATTAGATCGCACCGCAGGGTCCTTGACAAAATTCCTGTCCCTCTGGTTTTCCAGTTCAGCGAAACCTTACTGAGAAGGGACTCTTCATTGGTCTATCCCTAAAAAAAAACCCAGTGGTTGGCCTCCTAAAATACACACTGCCTCCAACATTCAGCCCCCCATCATGCTTTCTGCTTTGTTGTAACAACAAATTTAATTCAGCTCTTCCATCCAAAATCACAAAGCCTGCTAGAGTCGGTGCTTTTCCATTAGAGTTTAACAAGCACGTCTCACCCAGCTTCACTTGATAATGACAGATTTCCCTTTTTATACCATTTTGTTTTCAGAGGTCTTTGAACCAATGCAGTTTTTCTTTTTTTCAGTGGGGTTGTATGAGGTCCTTGTCCGTAGTAAGCATAATCTACGCTTCAGCCACAGGGGATTCTGCTTGACTCAGCCCCTTTGTGGAGAAACTAGCTAGGAGACCAGCACAGAAGCAGATAATTAGCTAATAATGGCTGATTATAAAACACTCTATAATGTGTTATGCTTATTTTTATAAAGCCTTATGATAATTAATGAGTGTTTATAATGATAGTTATACAAGTTTATAAGCAGATTATAACACATTATAAATATATGTATAATGCATTATCTATGTGGGCATTGTCAGTGAGTTGTTAACAGCTATCACACATTATAATACCTGACCTTGTATGACATGATAAAATGCTTTATAACGTGTTATGATTATTGCTATAAAGCATTATGATCATTTATGAGTGTTTATAACTATAGTTATACAGTGCTATAACGTGGTTATAACGCATTATACATATATTTATAATGCGCTATAGAGATAGGCGTCAAATAAAGTGTTACTCAATTATATATAAACTTTACAGCACTTAGACCATTGTAAGATTTTAGGCTCTCTATCGCTGGATGCAGCCTTGATCTAAGCAACATCTTACCTGTGTCTCTCCACTCGTTCTGTGCAGGTTCATGTGTCAACAGATTTCTGCTAAGGTCAACTTTGGTTTCAGTTCATTTAGATTAACAAATAGATAAAGGCAGAACGCAAACAAGAATTCTTCAGGGATGAAGGTTATTTTTTCGTCGTCGGTCAAACGGCAAAGTTGCTCCGCGTGTTCTTTGGAAGCATGCCACTCTCAAGTGTTGGTATCCCTCCACTCAGCCAGAGGAGGAAACTAATGAGCAGCTTTATGGGCCAAAACCACTTTGTGCCCAGTGAGCGTATTTATTTGGCATTCATGGTACATTATCTTGAAACATGGTATCCAGTCTAAAGTCTATAGTCTATAAATCTATAGCTTTGGCAGCTGCAGTAAAAAAAAGAAAGAGTAGCAATTTCAGTAAGTCAAACGTCAAGTTTTCAAAATATTTGATTTTGTCGAAGCACATTTGGTTAAACTTAGACGCCAATTAGCTATAATACAAAACTCCTGATTTAAGTGGTATAATTTTGATTTGTGCGAGTAATCTGCAATCCAACATACTATATTTTGGTGTTCCTGTCATGCATTTTTCAGCTATATTTGTACGTTTTTGTTTTCATTATACAAGACAGCAGCGCGAAAAAACAGTCCAAGGCTCAACTCATATTTGGGTTGTTGCAAATCAGTAAAAGCTCCCAAAAAATATGTTACTTTAAGACCAGTGGTTCTCAAGTCCAGTCCTCGAGCCCCCCGTGCTGCATGTTTTGGATGTTTCCCTGCTCCAACACACCTGATTCAAATGATCAGCTCGTTATTGAGCCATTTCAGAGCTTGATAACGAGCTGATCATTTGAATCAGGTGTGTTGGAGCAGGGAAACATCCAAAACATGCAGAACAGTGGGCCTCGAGGACTGGACTTAAGAACGACTGCTTTAAGACATAATACATCTGTCTTTTTGTGTTAGGCCCAGTACATCTTCTTGCACCAAAGTACGCTGGAACTCCTGAACAACAAAGGCAACAGTCAGTCCATCTGGTTTGTCAGCTACTCTGCTCTGGAGAAGATGGACTCGCTAGACGCCATGGAAGGTACACAACTTGAAAACACACACATGCACATACACAGAAACAGACAAATAATACACACTCCAAACTGCTTTGTGCTCACTCCTGTTTGTACGATCTGCAGGGGATGTGGAACTGGAATGGGAAGAGACCACCATGTAAGGGACACTTTGACCTAAAGGAGAGTGACATTTGTATGTTTTCAATGTCACTTGGATTTGACACGTGCACAGCGCATGTCAAATCCGCACCTCTGTGACGCAACGTCAGAGGAGCCAGAGGAGAAACAAGAGATGAACGGCACAGTCTGAACTGAACAACCTTAGACTTTGTTGCTCCACTTCAAACCACTTCTCGGCACCGTCCTTCCTTCGATGAACTTCTTGTCCACCTGTTTGCAAAGACAGAATAAAAAAAAACAATTGGAAGACAAGGACAAAAGAAGACGGGAATAGATGGTGAGCTGCCTGTGAAAGCTCTGTCACATCTGTAAGTCTACAGGTACTTTGCACAAATTGATCTCACTGTTATTGTCATTGCTGTATTATGTTGATATCTATGTTTTTGTAAGATAATTTATTCAGCCAAAATGGTATTTTTTTGTTGGTTTTAATAATCTTAATGCAATCCTGCAAACAGTTTTGACAACACTATCTGTTTTGGTTATCCTTTCTCAAGTGTGATTTACAAAAATAAAAGCTACTTGTATTTTTTTCTGGCTTTCACACTTAACTTAAACACTTGAGTGCGTCCCTGCAAGATTCTCCGGGATCAGCTGTGGCTGATAAGACATGACAATATGAAACTACCGCTTTGCTGGTTTGATTGTGAGGAGAGCAGACTCACAACAACACACAGCTTCACACCCTCCAAGTGTGAGTCAGATTCGATTTTGCTTTGTTTGTGACCTCATTCATTACTGTGTGAGAACAGATCCAGGAAGACTGATTTCCCATAAGCCCTTTCATTCCACCACCCCTCTCTGGCTCACCTGGACCTGCTGCAAAGTCATTCATTAGAGAGGCTACAAATGCAGACTCTGTGAAGGTGATACTGCGATGATAAAGAAAGACTCACGGGCAAACAGACAGTTGGCGGGTGAGAGTAAAAACTACTTTATTCTCTCATTCTCCTCGAACAGAAAAATTAGAAATATTCCATTAGTAAACATGTTGATCTTTAAGAAATCTCCTTTTTAGAAATATCGTGAGGGTGCAAAGATTAATGACAGTGCTCCACAGTGAGGATGCAGATTGGCGTGTCTCCATGACAACACAGAGAAATTGAGGGGGGTAAAGGGGTCGGGCAGAAGGGAGGGAGGAAGTATAGAGAGAAAAAGACAGAGAGAGAGGAGAGGGAGAAAATGACATCAATCGACCCAACATGCCCTGACAATAATGATACGAACATATAATCAAATTCCCTCCCCATCCCCCGCATGTGTGCTGTAAATGAAATAACAAAAGTCATCATGCTGTATAGTACAAGCCAGTCAGAGTTTACAGTAAACAACGTGGGGTCACTGACTTGAGAAATCAAGCAGATTCTAACATGTACCTAAGCTGGATTTGTTGTTGCTTTGGCAGCTACGTGCATGTATGTGTACGTCAGCGTGTCAGGATGTGTGTGTAAATGTGTAAATGTGTGTGTGTGTGTGTGTGTGTGTGTGTTTGATTCTGTATGTGATTGTGGGTGTATGCGTGTAAAATGTGAATTACTGTACGTATTCACCAAGCACAGCATAGCCCTTAACACACCTGAAAGCAGGTGAAACAGCCATCTTTAAATGATCCTATAATAATAATAAGTATAATAATAATAATCATAATATGACTGTAATTTAATGGTGAACATAGATCTGTAATAGTATTAGTGTGTGTTACCGTGGTAACCGGAGTGTATTCTATAAAAGCTGCCTGTTTCCTGTCTCTCTTTGTCAGAGGAATTAGAACACCTCCTGATATTTATTGTGAATAATAATAATAATAATAATAATAATAACTATAATATCCTTTTTTCTTTTTAAACTAGATCTTCTCTGTACAAATACATACGTAGATACACACTTGGCAAACCAATCACTTTTTTTTAGAATAAATCTATATTATCTATTTACAATATATCCAATATATCCTGTGGTGCAAAAGGTACAAGACGCGTTTGGTATGCCTCAGTCGGATGATTTCGTGATCTGCTGTACAAACCGGCTTGTGCTCAAACCAATGACACTGGACAGACTAACTGTTGATGAAATAAGAAGTTATTCCATGGACATCTTCGGTTTTTCACCCTGATAAACATTCAGCACAAGAATGCATCTCTGTTTTTAAAACATTTCCAGTGTGCAAGAAAAATATAATACTTATTTTCTGTGAGGTGACATTGGTCTACCCTGTGTGGAGCAACTCTCATTCTTTTTTAAACTAAATGTCTTCTGGGCAGATATATTGCCTGAATTCAAGGGTAAGAACATTATTCACACTGGGAAAACCCATTAGGAGTAAATGTACAGGAGGGGGGAAAGGCTTCATCTGGCTGTTTTAGCCTTGTTTTGGATGAATTAGCAGCCCTACTCTCTGCTGCACATGAGTAAGCAGAACGAACACACGCTACACAAGCACGCTGCTTTCAGAACAACCCAAGATGTGCAGATAGTACAAGTTACAGTGAAATCCTTTCCTGAGCTCTGTTAGAGCAAAATACCACAGAATCAGAGGAGTCACACGCGACTGTGAGGATATCTGCTCGCGCAAAATGCACAATGAATCACAAAGTAATATGATTGTCATCAGGATATGGAGTAGTTTGGTGTGTAGCAACATCCTTGCTCATAATGCTAGACTGCACATGTTAAGGTAGACATGGTATTATTTGTCACCTCCTTTCTCACATATACTGATTATCTGTTCCCTGGAACAATTGAGGGAGACAAATAAGCTGGTACTCCTGTTTCTTCACATTATGTTCAAATGAGAACAAAAGACAGAACAGTAAGGGTAAGCTTGATAAGCGCAGCTGAAATTGTTCCTCATTTGTGATAAAAACTAAACCCAAGAAAAAAAAATGATATTCTCAGTCTAATGCAAAGTAATCCTCTGTCCTTTCAGGGCTGCTATCATCCTTTGTTTCACAGTCTAGAGCTCACAGACATGATTGCAGGACAGGTGACATTTAAAAATGTAAAGTCACAAGGTCTCTTTAACAGTGTGATATCTAGAAAGACAACACAATCAGCTACTGGGTGACCTGTTGGAGACAAAAGAAAGAAGAAAAGTTGTCTTTCAGAATCCGCGCCATGCTCAGACGCCACCACTTAGTAAGGATTTTGAGTAGATCCCAGTTGGTTTCCGTTCCTTCGTCCCATTATGTCGTGCATACAGTTTATCCACATCTTCTTTTCTTTTATCTGAAATTCAGAGTGAGTCCACTCGTGCTACAGCATGTCTGTGTTTTGTGTAAATGTGAGGGTCAGACATGGCCCTCTAGGTTCATAGAGCCAACATCAACTCAGACGATGCTACGGGAGCCGCTGGAGTTGCGCCTGCGGGTAAGAGGCATGGTGTGGTGGAGGGGCATGGGTGAGTCAGGCGGGCAGAATTGGTGAGGGTGATTGTAAGGTGGAGGGGGAGGCGGCAGAGGGGGTTGAGGGCCGTCTCCCTCTCTGACTCGCACAGGTGTGGACAGGGCAGACTGGATGAGCTGATGAGCGGCCGGGCCTTGACTGAGGAAGGCCTCCATCCGCCCTCGCCCACTCTGGTCCATCACAATCACCTTGACGATCTGCTGGCATTGGATGAGTGTTTCTGGGCGGAGGTCTCCGGCTTGGATTGGGCTGAGGAGGGCAGGTGGAGCAGCCAGGGCCAGAGGCGTGGACTCAATGCTGGGCTGGCTCAGTTGATAGGTCTGCAGCCTGTTGTGAATTGACACCTAGTTTAGGAACAGTCAGAGAACGCATGAGGAGTTACCAGCCTGAACGCAGCCTCTACGCAGCCCTCTGGTGTGTTACGCACATGGGCATGCAGGCATGCAGGTAGGTAGAATGCAGAGCGAGCGCATGCAAAACACACAATCACCCCTCTTGTTCACTCAATCATGCCTTTACATGATTAACCTTCTATTGATCCCCTTTCCTCCAACACCAGCCCAGAGAAAAAAAGGATTTGGGGTAAGGAGAGGATCTTATCAGAGATCATGGCAGGATTTTTTTGTTTGTTTTTATGTCTATGTGTATATGTTTGTGTGGTTTGTCTGCAAATATGGTCGATGAATGGGAAGCTAACAGATAGAGGGAGTATCAGGAGAGGAGAGAGGTGACACCGAGGGCGTGGTGTCTCCCTAACACACTTATGTACACTCTGAAGGACTGACTGAAAGGTAGGAGAGAGAGGAGAGGATAAAAGGAGTAAAACTGGAAGGGGGGCCTCTGTCACTTTACTTTGATAAAGGAATGGCTGGTTTTTACAGACACACACCCACCCACACACACACACACACAACTGACAGACTGTTAACACTATCAAGCTTATGTGGCTTTGTAGATGGTATTCTAGGAGCCAGCCAGGCTTATGGTGGCTAGCAAAGGCTTATACAGTAATGCTGTCAAGCAGCAGCTGATGAAAGAAGAGATGTTTTATAGCAAGCAGAGTGGCTGCTGAGCCACTTGTGAGGCACAGAAAGAGATGGTTTGTCACTACAGCGGCTCCTCTCAGTGGCCTTTGTATCCTTGGCTGCATAGTGCAGATGTGCCTGAGGCGGTGTTCTTTTAAAAGCAAAGCATAAAGCAGACTCTCTTTCCATGATGAGGAACTCTCCGCGTCTAATGACACACACGCACACACACATTCAAAAACACACTCACAGTCTTGGACACAGACACTTACCTTATTTGAGACAAAACAGGCTTTCAAACTTACCTCGACTGTGTTGTTGTTTCCAGTTTTGTCATACGGATCCTGTTGGCCTGTTGGGAGGATGAGCATCACTTGTAAGTCAACATGCAGCTTCTGGGTTTATATGCAGTATTTTAAGCTAAATGTACTTTAAAAAGCTGATGGTTGTTCAAATATGTGATTAATTAATGTAAGTTTTCCTCTTTTGGGGTTTTGTGTTTTCAGACGTCAATCATCCATGAAGGTTTTTTTTTTTTTGCCTTGCCTTTAGTGGTTTATAGATTGCTTTTGTAATGAATGCATTGTTGTGTGAAATTAATGTATTGTTATAAGCAATGAATTCATTGTGCTGAGTAATGTATGCTGCATGAAATAAAGCAGTACCTGAGGGAGAGCCTGTGTGTGTGTCCAATTGTCCACCATTGGTATGTATGCCATGCTGGATGCCTTGCTGCCTCTCTAATTCCCCTGTAACATTAGAGAGAGGAAATAAAATCATTCCCACACACTCTGGTATGTCTTGTTTGCATGTTCATCTGTTGAGGAGTGTGATTTTGCTTCCTTACACTGGATGTGTATTTGCTCCATCTCGTTGACCTCTGTGATGGCCTCTCTTAGCTCTTCAGCAAATTTTCTAAGTTCTTCACCGCTCGGTGAGCAGAAACTCACCAACTGCTTCTTTTCTGAGGTAAATGGGCTCAGCATGGTGATGCCATGAGCATAGTCTGGAAAGAAATACCAACAAGGTGAAATAGAAGGTACTTTTACCATGACTTTGATTTTTCCATTTGCAAGTATCATCAGTCAAACCATGTTGGTTTTCTTCCATACAAAATTATGCTGCCAAGAATGCTTGCAAAAAAATAAAAAATTGGATCATGCAAAGAGTATTTCTGCTGGCAACTGCATCACCAACAACTCACTTACAGCTGACACTGTACCTGACTGTTTCCAAATTGCCAATTTTCACCCACTGCTAAAAAAACCCTCACTAAATCCAGCTCAGTTCGACGAGTACTGGCCGATCTCAAATCTTCCTCTTTGGTCACAAATCTTTAAAAAAAACTCCTAAAGCTTATTGAGGATAAACACAAAATAAACACAGCAAAGGGACAGCTTAACGCCAAGTCACCAATGATATTTTAATGCATGCAAACAAAGGCCAATACGCAATTCTCCTTCTGTTAGAATTGACTGCTGTGTTTGACACGCTCCTCTACTGAACAGACAGCAGAACAGGATTTTCCTATAAAACCCAATAACCATAATCAATTGCCCTCTCTTCCTAATTATTTTCCCACAGTCCATGAGTGGATGTCTTTACATTTCCCTTAATAATTAATGGTTGTTTGTTTATTGCTTTGTTTGACTATAATTAATCTATAATTAAAAAGCCACATTGTTAATTTTGCTTTTGAAATGTCACATTTTTAATAGTTTGACATCTCACTCTGGGATGCATGAGATGTTTGCATTACAGAAAACAACTTTCTGGTACCATTCTGTCTGGGTCTTTCTTTCATAACAACTGGTCCAACTAGTGTATAAAAACTTTGTAGTAAACTTCTATAATAATTGAAATTGCCTCATTAAATGATTGTGTTGTGCTTTTATTTTGATATCTTTCTGCCCTGTGTTTAGGTCGCTTTATTTCCTGCAGTATCAAACTATGTTTTTGTTTTGAAGTATGGAACTTAAAGGGATATAAAATTAATTTTGGGTCAAACACACTGTAACACCGAGTTAGACACCCCCTCGAGAGATGAATGTTGTCGACTGCTTGCTTCTCTAGTTATATCAACTTTAGTAACGACTGCAGGATAACAGTACACAGCAGTCTGAGGAGTCACACACAAACCTCAACCAAAAAGCCACTCTATAGCCACAAATAATGCTCAGAACAGCACCTAACTTCATCAGGCAGACAGTAAGTTTCAAAACTCATTGAAAACAGTCAAAGCGGGATGGTTGGGAGGTAAAAATGTTCATTTCATAAGTCACCCAAGCACAAGCAGCAACGTTATTTTTGGATTCGCAATTCATCTTCAACATCAGTTTTAATCAATACCAGTGTAACGCCACAGCCCCGGTTCAGTTCATCTAAAACTCTTTTACAGACAGTAAAATCTTGAATACTCAATAAATACTCTTTAAAAGTATACCCAAACTAGCCATGCAAGCAGTTTTGTTTTATTAGTGAACGCCTGTTATCCCCCGAGTCTTGACCGAGACTTGAAACATGGCAGTGCTGCTGATGGCTCTCATAACAAACTCAGCATTTTGCTGCTTTAGGTTGGATGTGTATTGAGTGTGAATTGCTGCAATAAAAAAAGCTTCTTACATTCATTGCTGAAGAGGTGAAACTGCATTCCCAGTAGACCCATAGCTTTACAGAAGGTGTATGAGGCTGAGCTTTTCTTCTTAGGACACAGCTTAAGGACCTGCAGAAGAGACGCACATGACTGATACAACATCTATCTGATTATGTCAGGCTGTTACATTCATCATTTTTGCTCTATGTTATTAAAACTGTGGGTGGCTTCAGGTGCAAGTTAAGAGTATTAAAAGGGGAGCAGAGTGGAGGTCTCACCAGCAACAGGTCATTGAAGAGGAAGACCTCTCTCTGCAGCTGGGACAGTTTCTGTTTGTGAGGCTTGTTGGCATCAGGCACCTCAAAGAGACGGCAGCAGCACACCAGACGTCTGTGCGGCACGGCAAGTATCTACAGAAGTTCGGTTGAAGTGACAGAGTGGAGATGATGGATAGTGTCAACAGCAGATAATACTTCAAACGAGAGAAAGAAGTTGACATATATAAGAACAGAAAGCTGTGAATCAGGAAAGAGGGAAAAGACATGGTGCAAATAAAGTTTCACCCACAGTTTTCAGGCCCAGGATGGACTGCTCCACCCGGCTCACATAGGTCACATGGTCTTCATTGGACCGTAGCTCCCTTTGTTGGATTCTTTCATAAATGCCCGCGACCATCTCTCTGGGGATGTCTGCTCCATCATCCACACCTGAGGAAACAAAGAGCCATCAGAGTGCAGAAGTCACTTTCAAGGTAAGCTGGAGAATCATAAAAGCTTGACATTATAGACACATTGTTAGCAACACTCCTGGTAGTTTTCTGCCTATCTTCATAAACATTTTGCCACTGCACATGTGCAGTTTAGGCTACAGAGGAGATGACAGATTCGTTTATGTAAAGAAGTGTCAGTCTGTAATTTTTCAAACACAAAGTTTAAACTGTTGCTGGTGCATTATTGTTAAATTAGCTTGGTTGATAAAGAATCAAAACAAACTTATCATAAAGACTGTGAATGGGATCATTTTAGTCTGTGGAAGCTTGGTAAGATACACAACAATCCAGTGAAATGTAATCAGAAGGAAACATTTTAATGAGCTTCAACTAAATTTGGGGGTTATAATCCCTAAATGGGTTTTATGAGGATCTGCTGCTGTAATCACAAAATACACTCTATTCCAGTATGATGCTGCTGTTGTGTTTTTTTTATTTTATGTATTACACAGATGTCCTGGTGTTCATTCTATTTACTGTGCATGAACGTCATCATGGCCTACACAGTTTGCAGTTCACCTCAAGACAGGACAGAAATATTTGTAGCTAAATATTTGTTTTATTCCAGGTGAGCATTTCAAATGAAGTTATCTGTACTTGAAGTAAAATGATTATTGTCTTTACTGGTCTTTTGTTCCTTTTATTGTTCCTATAACTTTAGAGCAACACATTTTAAAATCTGTAGCATGTACATCTAAAAATGAATGAAAAGTATTTATTTTTAGTCCTTGATATAAAAGAGAAAAATATCTGTTGTGTGAGAATTCAGTTTGAAAAATACAAGAACATCATTTCACATGTTCATACTTGTCCATTTCACACAATAAAATTCCTACCATCAAGAGCTCAAATAAGAAATAGACTAAAGCTCATACAATCTGCAGCATGAGCCAGAACATCAGCACTCCAACAGTAATAATGATAATCACAACAAATACAGATTTTCTCTGAATTATATTTGTCAATTCTCACTCCTTTATGTGTAATCATTGATCATTTGAAAGTTTAAGGCTCTTCTGAAACTCCCGATTAACCTGCCAAACTTCATCTTATTATTATTCCACAGCTGAACTCCAGAAACTCAAACACATCTATATTTAAAATGGTTTCAATCACACATATCCCTCTTAGATTGTAACAGTCTCTTTATTCAAACAAATGTTGGATGGAAATACGCAGAATGTAATTCTTTGTTAGATAAAGTATTTCTTATGTTTTTAAAGACACCCTATCTGAAAACTGTGGTATAGCTTGCATATTGTTTCCCCATCAGAGTCTCATTGAAGAGGAAGAGCTGAGCAGCATCCATGTACAGAGTAGCCAGAACACATACCAGTGATATGTAGCTCTTACAGCTTGACCTTAGAAACACTGAACTACCCTATTAAAACTGCTCTGATCAGTAGGTGTATGAATTTGCCAGGTGGAGATGGAGAGCCGAGAGAGTGGGATAAAAAGCTTCCACAAACTCAAGCTCATATCGTCAAATCTAACCTTAAGTGAGTCTCAATTAAATGGGTCGAAGCCGCATTCTCGGGGGCAGAGATGTGAGTCAAGGATATCAGAAATCTCGTCCTGCACAGCTGATGGTTTCCTTGATGGTAGCGAGGAGAGGCAGGCGCCCGCCACTTCTTTGAGTAATTTACTTCACTTCAAGAAGCTGTCACTCAAAAGACTGATAGTGACGCTGATAAGAGAGTGCTTGTTGTAAAACTTTGACTTTCTTTGCCCTCTACTCTCTTTTCTGTCTACCTTCGCCTTTGTGCATATCTCTTTAATTTACCACCCCTGTATCTGCAGTGAAAGTCTAAAATATACGTGAGCTATACTCAATCAATGCTAAAATTCACCGCTCAGAGAAGAAATGCTTAATCATGCATCACATGAAACCAGCTCTATCCTGCCTCTTTACAGTCACATATTTATAAACTGCCTTCTGTACTGTATGTGGACACACTGACCTCTTAGGTTTCGTATGAAGTCATCGAGCCCCATTTTGCGCTGTGGTTTGATGTTGGGCGAGTACATGTCAGTGTTGAGGAGGACAACAGCGAAGGCCAGGATGAAGATGGTGTCTGGGTTGTGAAATTGCTGCACCACATCAGGGTTACACATACAATACCTCTGGCTGTGGAGAAGAAATAGACAGATAGAGAAATATCATTCACTGAGTACAAAACCTTTTCTGTTTAGTTCTAACAGGTAACAACGCTCTGACTCTTTGACCATAGTAGCTTCCACAGTCGGGGACACAACAAGGAGACTCTTATACCATTAATCTTGCTATCCAAATACCATCTTAATCCCACTGCAGGTCTTATCTGATGTGCTTAAACAAGGACAAAATATGAAAAAGAAGGGTGTGCCGAAGAGCTTACTATTTACATTTTTGTTTTGACCAGCAAACAAAAAAAAATCATTTAAATTTATTTCTTATATCTGAATTTTTATGAAAAGGTTTGTCCTCGAGTGTTACAGCTTCTGAGCGGATAATACACACAAACACTTATTACCACAAATACACCATGAAATACCAAAATACATTGCTATGAAATTTGAGAATGTTCAGCAAAACTAATGCACTAATTAATCTAATATTCCTAAAATAGATGATAAATGTATGAAGGTTTTTCAAGCTCGACTCTTTTCAACAGCTTTCGGGATGCTTGGATTCAACTTTATGGTCATTTTGGAGGATTCTATTCATGCAACTGATGAATTGAGTTCCTTAATGCATGGTTGGTGTTTTTAATATTTTTCCCACAATAACAATTAATGTAGAAAGATGAAACTTGGGAAGACCACAGTGTATTTAGGCTCACAGAGCGCAACCTTAATGACTCACTCTCTGACTTCATTGTTCCCCAAAGCAACTTCAAATCCTACTATTTCCTCTCAGCTCAAAATATCTTGTGTTTCAAATTGCCAGCTGTAAGCTTAGAGAAAATCTTTAGGTTGCAGTTGGGCACAAACAAACTGCTGAAGTTATGACAGCAATTTCAAGGATAGCCTTTAAAAGTTGTATTCCTGCTGTGAGATGGATAAATTCAGAGTGATTTGGGAGCTGTTATATTAGCATGCACTCTACAGAAATGTATAATCTTATCTAATGCATTCAAACATCTGAAAAAGACAGGACCTAAGTGACATCTAAAGGTTCTGGCCTTGCTTGGCAAAGAATGGGCTGGCTACGTTTGGACCTGCTTTCTTTCTTCCAGGCTAACCCACGGGCTTCACTAACTTCCATCCCTCCTACAGCTACCCCTACAGCTCCTTCCCTATCTCTCCCACTGTCACTTACACTTACACAGTGAGCCATTTCAGCAGTGAGAGGCTTTTATCTCTGCAGCCAGGCAGGATGCAGACATAGAGGAGGCTGCTCTGCTCCAGAGGACTACGCACTTCAGCGCATATGTGAGCAAGAGGCCACATCTGAGACCTGCGCAACCAGAAAGCCTTTTCTCAGACCACACACAAGATTTAAGGCCAGAGTGCTTTGAGGAAATCAATCGACAACAGCCCGGTTCAGTAACTCCTTTGTTCGAGGGAGAATAGATCCAGTTCTGCACAATTGCTGCTGCAGATATAGTATGCACATCCACATACATACTGGGGACAAGCTGAGGCACAGATGAGTCCCCTGATTTGCCAACTTGATGTAATTCTGCTACAAATTCATTAAAGATTAAAAGTAAGGCATGATCTACTGTATGTGCAAGTGTGTAAGTATGCAAATGGACATATGCATGGATATGTGAGTGCATACGTGGGAATGCATATGCTCATGGTGTGCACACATCTAAGTGAATAAATAAAGCTGTGGTTGTGTGAGTGTGCGTGCGCTTCATTCACACTTTCAGGCGTGGATCTCTGTCTTATGTAACCACTTTATTTAAACACAAGCTCGCGCTCTCTTATCTTCATATCTGCATATATGACATGCGTGCCAGCTGGCACAAACACCGCTTCATATAAAAGAACTACTCACAACAAGAGTACAACATGCTTCACAAAGATGACATAACTACTGTTACATAACAGCTGTGGCATCGGATGTCTGGTTGTCCTGATAAAACCGGCATGTTTCTGACCTATACTCACAGCCACGGCTGCAGAAAGTGTGGTCTGGGATCACTGATGAATTTGTAATCTGCACCCAGGGGCTCAGCACGTATGATTGAGTGCGATGAGATTAACTGATGACAGCAGTGGGTGTCCTGATTGGTCCTCAAATCAGAGGAAGAGAGGGGAAGTGTCCCGACTGCTCTTCTCCTCTCATACCTTACCACTTCTGGCTTTCAGCAAGTACCAATTTCCTTAATGGACAGGACTGATTATAGTCCATACTTTCTCATACTGTCCCCATATCCAACACGAAGACCAAAAACAACAGAAAAGTGGACCTTCAAACAAGTAATAATCACATATCCTCAATATATCATTGGGACTAAAACACAGTTCTTAGTTTCTGCTTCTCCATTAAGATGAACAGTAAACATGGAGTGTATTCTTAGCCTCTGCTGATGCTTTCAAGTATCATCAAAGAAACAGTTACATAAATATAAACACCAGTCCAGGATGGATAAATTGTCCTTTCTGTATGTACTAACAACTCCTTCAAAAACAGAGATTCGAAAACCATGGATGCAATTTTCAAAATAAGAGCTGTTGAAACAATAAACAATAATGAAGCATTAAGCTAAACTAACTGGTGGCTCAAATTGTGTCAATTCTAAGCCAAGATTCAGCACAGTTGACCAGACTGATAAATCATGTATTTTCCAGCCTCTGCCAAACTTTGTGTTCTGACTTACTTTGTTAACAAAAGCTGTGACGAACTGTCAGTTTGTACCAATTTTGGCGCCCCCTGTGGACAATGAGTCTTTGCATTTATTGTCTTCTAACAATAAATCTCATCCTGATGACTTTTAATGGTCACATGCATCATTTTTTTTCATGAATATTTCATATGAAAAATGTAAATAGGGGGCTCTATATTTTAGCAGCTCCTTACCTCTCACACCAATTTTAGGTGTTGAAAATAACAAAATAAAAATTGTCAGTCTTGTCGCTGATAGTCTTGTTTGCTTTTTCACATTGTAAATCCACTTCAGTATGAATTTGGCAGTAGTTTTTACATGTTAAAAAACTCCACACAGGAGCTTTAATGTTTCCAAATCTTACTGTCACTGTTAGATGTCACTCCAAGTGCTTAATCATGCTTCTGTTTGCCATGATGTTGACTTTTGTAAGGTCGGCTAGTGGTTTAGACCCCCCAAATGGACCTATCAATTAGAGAGAAATCATATGTTGCTGTTTTTAACTTAAAACACCTTTCAGGAACTTTTCATTTTGGTGCCCCCTGTGATCAAATACCTTATATACCTTTGCTGTCCAGACCTGTACATTTTCTGACAAGAAAAGTATCATCATGCTTTCTTTGAACAGTTGAAGGCAACACTCATCATGACTATTTGCTGAGAAAGAAAGGATGAAAAGGGTTTCTTGTCATTGTACCAAAACTGCCTTGAACTACTCTCTTGAGGCAGGGATAGACATTAAAAAGTACAAAATAGAAATTGCCTTTTTCTCTTCTTTTTTTTTTTCTTGCTAATGGTCCAGTTTGCCTTGTGGGTCATAAAAAGTATCACTGTTTCTGTTTGTTTCATAATTAATGACGAACTCTCATAAGAGCATAAATCACCAAAATTTAAACAGACACATCACCTTCCTTCCTAACAGGAATTACACGGGTGTGATGTGAAAAGGTATCAGGCGATAGTTAAAATGCAGAACATTTGCTGTGGTTCCCCTCCTCCCGTAACGCTGAATTTTTATAGCAATCCGGTGTAATTCAGAGGGGCAGTCTGGTTAATGAATTCAAACAGGCAGTGGCTGAACTCATGTCTCGTTGGTGACATTGTTGGTAATCCTGAGGGAAAGAGGAGCATATGGGCAGAGGGAGATTAAATGTACACTATGATTCAACCAATTATTCTGAAATAGAAAACAATGATGGCTACTTTTATTGCATTTCCAGCCCTGGGAGCAATCTTTGGATATTACCAGGACATCTCAAGGACTCCACCAGCCAGGGGAAAGGGCAGCTCTTGTTTATCTGGTCACTTCTGTCTTTTATTTTGCCTTTTTTTTTCCAGGCAGTCAAATAGCATAATGAAAACCTTGTTTGGTCCAAGAGTTTGTTAGAGGAAAAAAGCTAGACAGTCTCCCAAAAGGCACAAAGACATTGTGCAAGCTATGGTAGGTCTCTCAGCATCCCCCCTGGTATTTAAATGAGCCTCCCCCAGCAGATACGCTCATAAATTTAGTGACCAGAGGGCAGGAGCCAGCACCGACAAAATAAGCAGAAAACTGACTCAGGCTAAAACCCTTCTGAGTAGAAAACATTCACTTTTACATATTAATATGTGATTTTGGATGGAAATGAAACACAAAACTGCCAGGCACATACAAACAGTGATATAGCCTTGAGATCTGGATGGAAAGTGTCATCCAAGGGAGAAAGTTATTAAATAGTGCATCTATTTCTGTCCCCATGGAACCCACACTGATTGCCTGCAGCTCAGGTCTCCATTGTGATTGGCTGACAATCAAATACTGCTGAGTTTAGTCAAAGGTTACAGGCAATCAGTGCAATCTGTTAATGATACAAGGCTTTGGATTCATCAGGGCATGCTGCAGTGGGCTTGCAGGAAGAAAAAAAAACACACACTGTCTATACACTCAAGCTGTTCTGGTTACTTTTATGTCCACAACATAGCAAGCTGTGAAATCAGCAGTGTTTTGCTACTGGTTTAAAAAAATATCAGTGGTTTCTTTTTCTATTTTATTAAGGTGTTTTTGTTTTAAGGGGCCTTTATCAGCCTTGGATTTTCATGACATGGACAAATGCTGTGTGAACTGTGTTGAAAAGTAAAGTCAGTGCTTGTTTGTGCGGCTGACTTTTGAGCGAGTTGACAGTCTCACCTAAAGGCTTCGATAAGTCTCTCCACTTTCTGTGCTTCCCCCTGAACACGAACATGAGCCTGGAACTTTCTCAGGGCTTCGTCAAGCTCCATGCCTGAGAAATCCATCTCGTCCACAACACAGCTAAAAAGGGACAAGACAGAGAGAGAGAGAGAGGGCGAGAGAGAAAGAGAGAAAAAAAGAAAGGTTGAGTGAGAGGGTTGAGTCGTACAGTGTCACTCTAATGAGAAGGTGAGTGCGTGAGCGTGTGCAAGAGTGGGTTTTTTGTGCATGTGTAACTAAGTATGAGTGCTGATGTGCTGATGGCAAATCTTCCTTTTACAGTCATACTTCAATTAGAAGCACTGACCTGGAAGATCCACATAGAAACGACATGTATGCACACCCGCACACACACGTACACACTTTGCAAACACTGGTGGAGAGGATAGGGTCTGACAACAGTGGGAGATAAGAGGGAAGGAAAGAGCAGGATGAGGAGGCCAAATGATGACATGCATAGTGTGTGTGGGTTGGTGTGTGTGTGGGATGGGGGTGCAAGTGAAAGATGTACATGAAAGGCTGAGGACAGGCTGTAGCAATGAAAGAAGTACATGTGCAAGATTGTGCGTGTGCATTTACTATTCGCACTTGTATTTCTATCTGTGTGTCTGATTGCAAAGAAATGAGAGTGTGCGCTTGTACCATACATGTGTGTATGTCTGTGTGCGTGCGTGTGCATGCTCAGTGCAGTGACCTATTTCTACAGTCTCTGCAACAACCTCAGCAAAAAAGCCTCTCTATCCTGGATCTCTGTCTACGCTGGATTGACGCAAAAAGGGTGAGTGTGGAAGCATTAAGAAAATGCGTGTTTTCATGGTTGTGTTGCATTTATGCATGCAAGCGCTGCATGTCATATGACTTTCTGTCTGTGAGTGTGTGAGTCATTAATTCATGTCAGGTTTTCATATCTAGTTCTGTGGGTATTTTTGTAAGCTTCACTTCATGAAAGACAGAGTTTAACAAATGTAGATTCACATTTAACCCCTCTTATTATCTGTATCACAAAGCGCAGCATAAGAGCAAACAAACAATACCATCCAACAACCTGACTAAACATCACAACTACAAACGAAACACAACATCCAACAAAACAACAACCATGCTGCAAACTGAGGTGGAGTGAGGGAACTTCAGTAATAATCGATCAAACTTGGTTTGATGACGATGAGAGTTTGATATGGTGGAAATCTCCAGAACAGCTTCTAAATGTAGCACTTTAAATTTATAAGTTTCTCACTTTGTTGCACCTGATCGTAATGTTTTTAAAAGCAAACTGAAAACATACCTTTTTAATCTCGCTTTTAACTAAATTTTATATCATTAACTTTGTTTAGGTGTTTTAGCATTTATCTGTTCTAGTTTCAATGAAAGGATCATCTTTTATTGAGCTATTTTGGTTCTCTTATTTTAGTATCTTTTACTGTTGTTTTAATTCATTTTATTTATTATTTCTTCAATTTCATTCTATGTTACTTTGTTTTCAGATTTTAAACCTCCAGTGTTTCCTTATCTTGAATTTTAAAACTGCGTTTCCTCGGTGCGCACACTCCTGTTTATATGAAATCGAGCCCTTTTTAAGTTCATGCATTTTAATACACGTTTCTATTGTGCTTGGATTGCGGGGTGGGAATGAGGGGTTGGGTTGGGGTAGATTAGGGTTTTCTTTGTTTCTTTTATTCCTCTGCTTTGTAAAGCACCTTGTGATACATCATTTTTATATGAAAAGTGCTATACAAATAAAGACTGATTGATTGATTGATTGATTGATTGTTATCAAACATCTTGGATTACACAGTTGATAAGTCATTAGTTGATACCATAAAATTTTAATGTCACATATTTTGGCCCAATTATTCTGCACCTCTTGTATCCTAACCCTAACCCTAAAGATCAAAATATCAGTCCGGTGAGTTTCTAATTAACCCTGTCACACCAGAACGTCCCAGCTGGGGCCGCCAGCATTAACCTTTGACATCTAATGTGCTAAAGGTCCCAAACTAATGTGTTATTTTACAAACGTTTTCTTGCCATAGTAAAGCTGCTGCTCCTGCTGCCACTGGGATGAATATGAACTAAACTATTGCACTATTGAAAGGCACATTTAACTTGAAAGACTGCCTGACAGCTGAGTTGACAAGTCAAAAATGATATGCACTTTGTGTCAAGTGGAATTAAAATATCACTAAAGTGCTCGAGTTTAAGCTAACTCCTGTGAGCTGAGCAAATGAAAGTAACTACAGTGCTGGAGAAATGAGTGGCAACTGACTGCAGCCCAGTCAACACTGTGGAAAACTCGAGCATGAGGGCAGGTTGGCATGTTGCAGTGTGCATATTGTCGCACACAATAGTAGTTTCATGCATACATGTATGAAACAGAGACAGTGTGTATGCTTTTGCACTAACAGCAGATCCCTATCAGAAAGTGGCAACTTTTCCCGAAGAAGTCTATCACAATCTGATTTCAGAAAAATAACAATTTAGTGTACTTTTGTTTGTTAAATTATAAAATGTAATGCTCATGTCACCAATTATAAATCCTTCGCACTCACTCGAGGACGTCTCTGTTGAACTGCAACTTGCTGTTTCCCAAAAACTCTCCAATCATCTGTCTGCTCAACCCTTTCCTCTGCAGCAGGAAGTGAGCCACTCCGATGGCCGTGTCGGGGACAAAGCCACGCGTGATCAGGAAATGGATACCTCTCTCTGGATTCCTACAGGAGAGCAGAAAAGCAGAAAGTGTTAAAGGGTTAAGAAGCGAGCATGTGTTGTTTTTTTGAGCGTCGAAGCGTAGAGGTGTGTGGGCCTGAGAAAGCAAACGTTACGACATGTTAAAGAAGATGGACAATGTTAACATGAGGGAGTGTATAAGGAAGCACAAAGAGACAGGAAGGGTGCATCCATGTGCAAAAGCTGTTAGCCTCAGACCTCAGGATCAGCCCTGCTGTCACTGGTGCATAAGACTTAATTTACTTTAATTTGTATTAACTAGTCATAAGTGCACTCGAACTGTGGAGTCTATTTATAGACACTGAGAGGCTCTTTGTTCATGACCTCCTTGGCTCCCTCTCTCTTCAGCTGCATTTTCCCTCTTTTCTACCTCGCTCACACATCCTTTCTTCGTCCCACCGCCCATCGTTCTCTTCATTGACATCACAAGATGGCACTGAAGAGACAGCTCCTCCCAACAATTACAAACACTAATGAGCAGCTGCTTACAGCACTTTTGCCGGCCTTTTGGAGATTTGTTTGACAGAAACAGAATTAAGGGTACTTTGAACCACCCTGAGCCAGAGGGTGCCGAAACATTCTGCTTTTCTCTGTGAGTTTCTTTTTGTGTGTGTGTGTGTGTGTGTGTGTGTGTGTGTGTGTGTGTGTGTGCGCGCGCAGTTTCCTACCTATCCGAGAGGGGAATTTGGTGTCGTAACACTTCTACCAAGAGGGGACCGCATAGCTAACAGGGGACATTTGTGTGTGTGTGTGTGTGTGTGTGTGTGTGTGTGTGTGTGTGTGTGTGTGTGTGTGTGTGTGTGTGTGTGTGTATGTGTGTGTGTGTGTGTGTGACTTACACATTAAATAGGTTGAGTCCAATGCGGTACAGGCGTTTGCGGTGTGTGTCAGTGGACAATGTTGGAGATCTACAGGAGGCTGGATCCTGGCAGCGGTCCCTTGGCAGAGACACTACCAGGGCCTGCAGGGCCTCAGGGCTAGGCCCCCCAGGGACCTGCTGAGGATGAGTGTAATTATACTGCTGGTACTGGGTGTATATCTGAGCAGGCTGCTGGTTAGACTGGACTGAGGTGGAAATAGAGGTGGAGGTAGAGGTTGATGTGGAGGTGGAGCCCAGTCTGTCCAAGCCGCTCTCCCCCTCGAATCCTCCTACCCCTATTCCTGGAACCGGCACTGCTGAACCCCTCCTGGATCCCGGATCAGCCATTTCCAGTTCTTCACTGGGTGGCGGTGCAGGAAACTCTGGCTCCTCAGACGACAGGCCGTCCCCTCCAACTCCCATCCCGCTAACAGAAGTCTTCCTGCTGCCAGGCTGACCCCCGCCAACATTGCCCAGTGAGGTGGTGGTTGTGGTGGTGGCGGAAGAGATGGTGTAAGAGCTATTGCTGTCGATGTGAACAGTGACGTCCCTGAAGGCCATGAGCAGCGAGCTGGCACTGCGGGGCAGGCAAGCACTCTCAGCAGCTGCGCGAAGCGCCCCCGGGTCCATCAGAAGCCCCTTCCCCTCTCCGCTCTCTGACAAGCTCCAACCGCGCAGAGCCTCATCAATTGACTGGGCCAAGGAGTGAAGCTAAAATATGATTATTAGGAAACAGTTGAAAGGAAATTATTTAATCAGGTCAAGTGACATGATTCATGGGGGTTAAAGTCTATGATATCAGAGGAGTCGCTGATTAATGGCCATGTGCAAAATTAGAGGAGAAAGACAAACAGTGATGGCTCCTGCCTGCTAAGTGGCCCTTGACATTTAGATGAAAGTGTCTTTCAAGGCTAGTACATGTAAAGCTGTTTTGTATGATATAATGTTGATAGGAGACTGAGTAAGTTATTTTAGTTCTGATGGTAGTAGGACTGGACATTTTTGGATCGCTAGAATCACAGTCTGCTTAAGTACAGGATCTGTGGGCAGGAGACACAATGTTTGTTGTGGAACATGTTCTGATTTCCTTTTATAGTCTAAGTAGTGTCGTCCACTTGAGTGTCTGTCTGCACACAAGAAAACCTCTCATTTAAAGAGAAAAAGAGACAGCACTGACTATCCTGATGAGTAGGATGAAGTTTTATGTATTGAACTCTCAAAAGAAAAAAAAAGACATCCATATGTGACTCCTGTTAACAGTGCCTTGTTTCTCAACTCCTACTACATTCTTGCTTTTGCGGTCACATGTCGAACTGTAAACAGTGGCAATACATAGAAAAGTCTTCATCTGCTAGCTGGCCAAGAATCCTCAAAAGGCTGTTGTAGCTTCCAGAGTCTGTATAATCCTTTAACAATCATTGATGAGCTTTCGATTGGTTTTGGCCTGCTGCTGGTGTTGGAGGAAAGTCGATGAATCTCTGTTTGTTTTGAAGATTTCTTGACAGCATGCGTGTCTAAATGATGGCAAATCCATCAAATAAATGTTAAAAATTTGCAAAATGGTTCTCTGCATATATCATCAAGCTCTAAAGAGATATACAGTATATATTTGGCTTGTTTGAGCCTTCAGAAGTTGTTTGGATGTTGACTGACAAACACTGCCAATCCGAGGAACATGCTGCTTGAGAATTCTGAAATATATCTATAAAAGTGTCTCTCTTGTTTTTTTATCCCCTGAATTATTTCACATGGCCAACAGTACGCTTATGTAGGCTATTGCAAGAAATCAGAGCGCTCACCTGTTCAGAGAAGCAGTCCTCGAGCTGTGTGAGAGTCTGTGAGGGGGTTTGAGGTGGAGCTGGGCCAGGGGCCGGAGCGGGAGCAGCTGTGGGGGCAGAAGCAGGAGAAGGAGGCAGAGAGGTGGAGCGACAAGGGGGCGGTGGAGGAGTTTTGGAGCGTAAAGGTATCTGTCCAGTTCCTGGGTGTAGAGTGTAACTGTGTCTCTGGGCCGCGTTCCTGTTCCGTCCCGAAGGGCTGGGATGGCGCAAAGAGATCCTGCGGGGCAATTTGCTCTCTGACAGAGAGTTACGGATCTTTTGGAAGTTTTTGCTGAGCTGGTACTGTCGGAAGGCCGTCTGGATACGTCGAGCTGCCCTCCGTGCTATGAGATGGCCCCCGTACTTTTGCTCCAGCTCTTCTATCTGGGGACAGGAGGCGAAAGTGAGGGGGAGTGAGTCTAAATATCAAACATGTTTACGAGGCTCTGTGTAACTCACTGATGACACTGTGAGAGTGATATTGCAAAGCACACAGCAGCAACAGAAAATATTTATTCATCCTTCTGCAAGCTAACAACATATTGCAGTTTCGTACTCATGAAATAAAGTCTCCTATCCTCACTTTTATCTGCGTTTTTTTCTCCCTCTTGTGTCCATTTGTTTAAAACTGGCAAAGGTTTATGGTTTGGGAGCCAAAGTAAACATCGTCTATCATCATTCAAAGCCTAATGCTGTCTGAAGGGCCATGGGACACAGGATGGATGGGCTGTGACAAAGGTGCTGCTGAGAAAATGAACCAAAATAGGAACACCTGCACAAGCTGGTTTCTATTATGTTTCCTGGCCCAAAACGCTGAGCTTCCACCAGAATCTTCACCCTCCATATATCCAGCAAAAGAGAGCAGAGGAAAAAGAGGAGGAGCAGGGGGAGTGGGAGGCAGGGGAAGAAGAGACAGAGAGGGAGAGAAAGGAGGACAGGCACACATGTCCCTGGGTGTGTGTGTGTGTGTGTGTGTGTGTGTGTGTGTGTGCGTGTCTGCTCACAAACACACTCAAAGACACAAAAAGACACACTTTTGTACACACACTTGCACTGCAGCATCAGAGGCAGTACCATCCGCAGACCCTTCAGCAGTTTGGTTTGAGAAATAAAGACATCTCCAGCCGCCAGAAGCAGTTATTAGCTGTTACCATGACAACCTAGCATCTTTTGCGTTTTTGTCGCCGTGGCAGTGGAATCGCTGGTGTTTTTGTTCATGTCAACACAGACATAAATAGATCTGAATGGGGTTTTTTTTGTCATATAAGACACAATGTCAGAGCTTCACACACACACCTCCTCATGCTTTAACAGGTGGAGGAGGCAGCTTCAGCTCCACCCCACCATATGCTTACAGGCCCACACAAACACACAGAAACACACATACTTTAAAAAAATAACAGGCCTCACCTGTTTGTTTTTATTCTCCAGGCTGATTTCATACTCGCTGGGCCCCTCTCTCTTCGTCCCCTCCACTTCCTGCCCACCACCAGAGGATGTTCCATCCTCCAGGCTCAGCATCTGTCCACTGATATATATATATATAAAAAAAAAACACAACATAAAGCTATCAGTCCTCCCTGACCTTCAAAAGTCAGCCCTTATCACAGTTGCAGGTCATCCACAATGCAGCGTGTAAAGAGGTTTGGGAGGAGAGCGGCAGGTGAGGAGTGATGTGTGGTCCAGGTTGCTCAGGGGCCAGGATGACTGAGTTTATGTGTCCGCTCCTGTTTGGTCAGATTTGTGGCTCCACTGCAAGTTACAGGAGGAAAACTGCGGACATGTGACCAGGATAAAAATACCTTTTTTAAGCTCTATGCAGTAATCGTTTCTGCCCTTATTACAGCAGTGTTTCTCAATGATACACAATGAATGAGTTAAGTCAAAAGTTGAACTGCATCCAGATTGGAGGCTGATCATTTAAGATCAGAACAGAGTGAACATTATCAACCAACAGCCCACTACTCAAGGATGTAACCAAAATATAGAGAAACAGGTTAGAAAATGGGAAACAGTGAATATTAAACATGTTCATTAACTAATGAACTAAATGGTTTAAATATATATATATATATATATATATATATATATATATATATATATATATATATATTATTGTGTATATTTCATTTCTATTTATGAAGTGATCTAGTGGTTATTGGCCTTTTTTGTCTCTTCTCAACAGCCTCCAGTGTTGAAAAATGGAGCAAATTGCACAAGTTGTGTAGAAAAATAGTCAGTGTAGTTACTTTATCTTCAAGCCTCCACTGTTCACTAAGCGTTTCTACTGTTTCTACTTCTGTAGAGGGGGGCAGTATATTATGTTTTGGCACAACTGCTACAGACAAGGCCAGCTGTACCACATCATTTATCACATTTAAACAAAAGCCAGCATTATTCTTAAATAGGTGTGAAAGTAGGATAAGGCTCTTGCAGGTACTGTACCTGACCCGTAGGCTTTGTACAAGAGGAGCACACCCAAGTTTAATGAGGTGCCGGCTCTGATGCCACAGTAACATCATCTGCTCTGCTGCATCTCTCTCTCTTGAACATAAAATCAACTTTCCCCTGCATTTTGTTTTATTTCTGCATTGAGATTGAAGCAGCTGTCTATTTAAAAGTTCCCACCTTCCGCAAAGGCGGGAAGCGGTCCCCAGCGTCCAATCAAAAGTGCGCACTGAGCGCTTTCACTTCCGGTATTTGTCTGTTTGCGGAAGCAAATACGACTCACTGCCAAGCAGCATGGTCCTATTGGATTACAACAATGCAGACTGAAGACTGACGTGCGGCAACACGGTAAGCAAATATAGTCTACCTACACTGCAGTGGAGAAAGTTTGCGTACCGGCTGTAAACTGCTGTTACTGTCCTCTCGGTACGTGACTTTTGTTTTGTAAGATGTTAAGGGAAGGTCCCGCCCTCCTTCGCTTCTGATTGGCTAGAAGTGCTGGGCTCCGATTGGTTATTCTTTATTGCATTGAAACGTCATCGTCTGTCGGGTCAATAGGATAAGTGCGATAATGTTCTGCTCAGAGCATAGAGTGTATATACTAGTTTGGGTGACACTCAGTGTGATGACGAAAGTTTAGCACTCAGCTTCAACGTCTTTTTCAACAAAAGATACTGCCACATGGCTGACATCCTTGCTACTTTGTAAGAACCTGAGTGCACACTGTTGTTGTGTGATCACGTGGGCCCTGCATGCTGGATCCGGGTGCTGCTAGATAGAGGTGCTGGAGCAGAGTCTGGAATGGACTGCTTGTATTGGAGTGCTGATATCTGAGATTTTAGATGCAGACCGATATAATCAAATATTTCTTTTTTTTTTTTTGCTGATATCAGACCGATATCTGATATCAATATTGGATCGGGACATCCCTACTTGATACTGTAGGTGAAATTAACTGGTAACAGTCCGTAGCGTATACACTTACAGCACAACACCATGAGATTGAATTGATTGTGATTTGAATGTTACTTTACACATTAGTAATAGTAAATTATTGAAAACATAATTGTGATCATCATAAAACAGTGTTCATTACTCAGACGGTGATTGTACCATCAACATTTCTAACTGTTTCATCCCTCGTCATGAGTTGCAGGATTGATTTTGTCTCTTTCCCTCCTCACCTTGGTGTTTGGATTTGACTCTTAATATTTAACTTCTGATCCCCAGGTTGGTGAATGGGGGAGTATTTTTTTTCACTGACTTTACCAACAGCAAAGATTTCCAACAGTTTTGATTGATCACCAGTTTTTATCTCACTGACTGAGGTGTTGTGTAGCATAAACCAAGTCTTGTGTTTATTCAAGCAGAAACAGAAGTCTCTCAAGTTTGCACTTTGTAATGCTGAACTCAGCGCCTTCAGTGCTTCACTGGTGCCTGTATTAGCATTTAGCAATGTGAAAAATATGAGTTTTTCTTTTTATGCATCAATGAGATGTTTTGTGCCTCAGACTGGCAGAAGGGTTTATGAGTTAGGGGCATTCTGAGTGCAGCTCTCTCGGATTTCAGCATGCAGAAAGTTACTGTACGTGATAAATAGACATTCAGTAACACTTTATATGAACCCACTTCTTTTAATGCTTCATAAGCACATTTATAAAGCCTTGGAAATGCATCGATTAAGAGTGATCATAAGCATTCATAACAGCTTATAACAATGTTAATATAAAGTGACAGCACTGCATGAGGTTATGCGCAATTATTTGTTCCTATTATAGGAACACCAGTATTTTTTTAAGTATTTTTGGGGGGTGAGTTTGCCTGTTATTGATAGTAGAGGGTGAAATGTGGGGAGATAGAGAAAGAGAGGGTGGAGGACATGCAGCACATGGTCAGGGCCGGACTCAAACCCGTAACCGCTGTGGGGACCATGGTCCCCATACATAGGGCACGGTAACGCACTTGGCCATCTGCGCGCCTCATAACAGCAGTATTTTATGGTTGTAAGTTTAGAGAATTATATGTTGTTTTTCTTTTTAATATATTGCCTCATAAACCACACCTTTATACGAAACAATACTTACTGCTGATAACAAATAACATTGCTATAAGCTGATATAAGTGCTTATTATTTCTCACGCGGGTTTTTATAAAGCCTTAAAGATGCATTTCAAAGTTTTCTTAATGTGCTTACGATGCCGTATGAGAGGTGTTACCAGAAAAATAATGTCAGTGTCCTGTTTGTCTTTTGCTGTTCACATTTGCTTAATGTTATTCTTTGAAGCTAATAAGAAATGTTGCAGTTTTAACTGAAGGAAATTTTGAAGGCAGTTGATGTCACATTAAAATCTCCTCATATATAAAACAATATTTTGATGTGAAGGAGAACTTTCTTGTGTACAATGCTCAAACATGTTCATCACTGAGGTGGGTGTCATTTGCATGATTGGAAATCATTCGTTCCCAGGCTGAAGCAATCAGAGCAGAGTAACACTGCTTGATACTTTTGATTTGGACAGACTCTGAAACAGTAGAAAACATGCGCTGTAAGACAGGCAGAAAACAAAGGGGGTGATTTTAGACAAAGTAATTGAGCCAGTCACACTTAGATCTGCACTCCAGAAATGTTGATTGAACACCAACAATGTTCCATGGCTGATATTATGCAGAAAGCTGATGTATTTGGATGGCTATTAAACAATTTGGATGAACATTTTCAAGACAGGCATGATGGAGCTAACAAAGTCTTCAAGAAAAAAAAAAGACAGTTTTAAACATTTTACTGCTGCTGGAAATCAGGGCACTGCAAAGCTGTGTTGGACAGATCTTGGTATCCTCAAAATCACACAGGCCTGCAGAAAAGCAAGGAAATATCTAAGGCTAATTTCACAGATATTTAATTAACAATTATTTTTGTTTTGCAGCTGGAGGCAAATGCAAACCAAAACTTTTATTAAACCCTGCCAGAATCCTGCTCAGAACTCAACCAGACTATAAAGACTGTCTTAGCTGGTAGAGTGCCCAATCCCTCCTCTTTTCATAATCCCAGCTTCTGTTGACAGATGGAACAATGTCCTTTTATATGACAGCATTACCACAACCATGTAAAGGCTACCAAAGCTTATTAAAGCCATGACACAGCAGAAAGAGTTCTTTTTGCCTAACTAAATCTGTAAATATTGTTGAAATTTAAAAGAATGTATTAAAGGAAAGGGTCTATCATCACGCCACCTCTTATGGAAACTCACATTCAGCACCTTTAATGCAGCCAAACTGGACTGATGTTAGCGCGGAGGTATGATCACACCCTAAGAGGTTTTATAATGGGCTGCAATTATGAGTGCGTGTGTGTGTGTGTGCATGACGTTGTGTGGTGCTGCAATCTTTCTTCCACCCAGATAATGCTTACTCTAATAATTTTTTACACGAAGTGGACCAACTCTAAACAGGACTGGGGATTATAAAAAGCCTGCTCATGGTTAAATAATGAGAGCATCACTAAAGGGTTCTCTTTGTTTTCTTTGATTGCTGTGAAAGCAAATATTCTGCGTCCCCAGCTAAAAGACGGGCATACAGCCTGGTCATATCTTTAGAGGTGAGATAAAATGCAGGGAGAAGAATGAAACCAGATGAAATACTGAGATTTAAAAACAGAGAGAGGAAACAGGGAGATATAGTGTGTGCATGCTGGAGGCTGTCTCTATCAAAAACTCTATTAAAACACTGCGCTGCATCAGAATACATTAGAGTACATTAGAATACATTAGAGGATTTAAAAGTAGGAGTTGAGCTATTAATGCATCTGGACAGCAAAAGCCTCCATAATGATATGAGTGCTATATACACATCCTCTCTCTTGCCTACTCTCTCTGTCTCAACCCCCACATATATGTAGCAGCAGCGGCAAACATACCAAACACACACTCACACTCTCTGCCCCACCTGCTGGAGTGACGTAATGAAGGAAGAGATATGAACATCTGTCAAATCACATCTCTCAAGGTCCCTATGAGACTTACAGTACCACTCATCCAGGGGAGAATTACACACACACAGGGGCTGAGTGTAGAAAAAGCACAGCAAATTAGACCAGAGGTGTATCTCATGACATCTCAAGGGAGGTTTGTGTGTGCTTGGATGCATCAGGACTTTTAGCATGCAGAGGTGCTGCAGGTTTTGCAGCCACAAGACACACACACACACGTCTCCATGTGATGATGATAATGAGCTTCAGCTGTGTCACAACACTCCTCCACATCTCATTATCTCAGGTGGCTGTCCGCCGCTGATCCCACTGCCACACTATACAGTCAGAGCCACGTGGGTGTGAGTGATCAGTCATCAAATCAGAGAGAAGAGAGACGGATTCCACACGGACAGATGGTGATATTAAAGTAAGGCTGAATTACAGTCCGAGATGTGATAGGGGAGGGATGTGCTGGGGAATAATTGTGGGGGGGGGGGATGATTAGAGGAGATGAGGCCACACAAACAGATGATTAACAAGTAGACATACACACAGAAGTAAACAACAAAAGACAGAAAGACACAAAAGTGTATTTAACTGGGAAAGACTTGATTTTAAACACAGAGTATGATGAAGGAAAAGATAGTTGGTTGACAAGTTATCATCAAGAAACATGTCAAAATCGTATTTTCAAAGTTTTATGACACAGCTTTGCTTTTTCCAAACATCAACAAGTGATTCGTCACGAAGTCCCACACCCCCACGCAGACACTCAAATATGAACAAACTAGTATGACAAATAGACAAGCTTCTCAAGCAGGCACAGAAGGCTAAAGATGCCACAGAAGATCTTCAAAGTTAGATTCTCCTGTTACTATGGTAGTGGTAGCTGCTGGTAACGTTATTACTGGGTTGCCATGGGTAATTTTATAGAGGCAATATTGTTTTCCAAGCACCAAACCCATTGAAGCCCCAACCTCTCCTTTCTCTCTGTCTCAGTACAGGGTATATATGTGTTACCCCTGAGGCTCTGAGATCTTTATGTTTGTTCAAGAGCATTGAACCCCCTCACTGTAACCACAGCCCCCCCATGTTCAAAACACACACATACAGCACTGTGAATATTGCTATTAACAAGCATAATCACAGCCTACAGAGTAGACATGACTCACTGACACATAGCTGTCTATTACACACACATCCGTAAACAGATAGTTTCTTGTAGTTAAAAGACTGTGACAGGGTCATGTGTGCCTTTACTTCCCACTGTCCTGCTGTTGTAATACAGTTAATTTGAATACATGGACCTTAAAACTTATGTGTGCACAAATGTTGCTCTTAACAAACCCACTTTCTCCATGTATTCCCCATCTTTCTATGAGCTCCTTTTCCCCCTTCTCCTTTACTTCTTATTCCATCCCTTCTGTTGGACACATGGATGAGATATAATGTTGATCATTTTTGTCTTATTACATTTATTTATTTATTGTATATTTTTGTTCAGATCTTAATATTGCAGAAAAATATGGGCCCCTTACAAACTTATTCCCCGAGGGTCCCTAGCTGCATTGAGGCCATGCATTATTTTATTTTTGTGGGCCCTTCCAACATAAGGGCCCCCCGTAAACTCAGTGTCCTTTTCCCCCCAGTCTGACGTCCCTGAATCTCAATTTTTCACATTATCCACAATATCATACCTCAACCATTCCCACAGGATGGAGATGCCACATGGGATCTGGGGGTTGTGGAAAATGTCACATTTGGCCCTACACCTCCAATACAGAAACCCTGCCACCACATAAATATTACACAGACCTGAATCTGGTGTGCTGCATACCATAGAATTCAGTATTTAATGCAAGACTTATAAAAAAAAGTGCTAAAGGTCATTTATATCCTTAAAATTTCATTTTCGTTGCAATTTCTTTGGAAATTAAAATACATCTTAAAGTGAATATCGATTAAAAAAATACTGTACACTAAGCTCTTGAGCAAAATAAATCATCATCCTCTACAATGAAATTAGTGGATTGTCAAAATGCTTAAGTATCATCTCCGTTCAAACTTTTGTTTCTAATTCAAATAGAAGACTAAACTTTTAAAACATGATGGGTTACACAAGTAATGGAAAACTGCAGAAAGCAGAGCAATCAAAGTAAAAAGTGCTCACTATTCAGCATCTCTCTAAGAGGCACAGCAGGCTCTTGAATTGTTTTTGGAAGTCAAATAAATATAGAGAAAAATCATTTTAGTCTTAGATCTTTTTTTGGAATGATGTTACCAAAGTCCCCTTTCTCACAAAAGCAACCAATGTCAGGGGAGAAAGATAAATGTGTTTTTGTGGACTTTGCTATCAGGTCAACTTCCAGTGGTCCCACATTTATTAGAGAAAAACTGGGTAGCATACTGTCATCTCTCATGTCTTCTTTTACTTTATTCTCTGGAGTACTGGCTCTCCACTCTCACGACACTGTGCTACAGCTTGTGTGGGTAACCTCACACAGACACTGCTGGGTAGAGTGGATGTTACTTCTTTTGACAAACACGAAAATAAGACAAAGAAGTGCGTATCTCTGTGAGCAAACTGTGAAGAAAGTTGATAAGTAATACAGTGTGAAAGGGAATTAAACTTCTGTTATAGTACAGCCACTGTCAGGCAGCCACTGAGTCCTCTGGCCATGCATCATCCTCACAACCATCTGGCAAACATACACTCTCAATAGGACCAAGTATACCCTATGGAGGCCGATTTAAGCTGCAAGATTTCTGGTCACTGCCTCTAAGCTGCCGTCATTACTGTTGCCCTGCAACAGTAATGTGCTCATATTCAGCCCCACCACCTACAAGCACTCAAGCCATAACTGCCATGATTATATACACTGCCTAGAAATTAAGCTTGAGCTTCAAAAGAGCTGGCTGCCATCTGAAATCCACGGCAAACTAAGCGTCTTGTTGTATTTTGTGTAAGAACTTGGTGAAGAAAACATGGAGGGTCTCTTTTACTGTGATTGACTGACCTTAAAGGGACCTTAAAGGGATCATGGTCTATAACACAAAAGGCCAATGTAACAAGGGTACCCTTTCAAAAAGCAGGAGCTAATTTCTACTGATATAAAAGTGGAGATATGAGTGACTCCGTCTTACCCAGATGAGCCTGTGGTGTCAGCCTCTGGATGTTCTGGGGCGGGGCAGCAGAACTGGTGCAGCACAGTCTCGCTCCTGTAAAAAAGACAGTAAAAGAAGAAGTTAATCAAAGTAGGGACTGGGACAGAACTCAAAGCACAGCCTTTCATTTAGTCATTATTGGCCCCTGCTGCTTGTGATTTTCTTGTTCCCATATTCCACTTTTATTTTTATTCTTTGTCCAAAGCTCCAAAAGATCCTGAAGAGTCTCTCATTAGACCCTTCTGGATTATTTCCACAGCTTCTGTTTACAATTTGGCACTGATCCCGGCGTAAATACCCTATGTAGGTCAACTGAATGCTGAGAACACTTAGAGTAAGTGTGAGTATTTAGATGTTTGTGTGTCCGGATGTTTACGCCTCCTCCCTTCAGATTCATCAGATTTGTGGTGATTTAGTAGAATTCCCGAAACAAATCCGGACAGATGGTAACCCGAATGCTGTTTCTTACCCTCTCTCTTTGAGTCCTTCATGCTTGTTTCTCGCTCATACATTTTACATTTACATTCATATTTTAGGCTGGTGTTCTTTTTCCGAGCAATTTAGAGTAAAAAAAGAGAGAGAAAACAAAGAAAATGCATCATATCTAAGTTATTACATAGGTTGAACCTTTGGCCTTCTGGGTGCTGTAGGCCTACAAGTAACAGACATAAGGGTGAATGTGAACATGACTCTAGAGGATTGTATGTCTTCATATCGTTTTTTTAAGAGACGTGGGTGTGGGTCATCTTAGGTCCTTCAACAATGAGCCAGGAGCATTCAGTTGACAGAAAATTTCTTGGCTGTGCCACACTTAGTCTTCCGACTCAGGCTCACCATATTGCCCGTGACAAAAAGCTGCAGTGACAGGCAGTCAGAGTCAGTGCAAGACTCAGCATGACAGTCCGGGCTATAAAAAGCTACCTTTTCACAGCAACTTCCACCGATTTTAAACGACAATGATTTTTTTTAAAAGCATCCCTAATCCATACTTTTCACTGTCAGTTTCCATAAATATTACTTCCCAAAATGCAATAACACCTATCCTCATACACACACACACACACACACACACACACACAAACATACTATACCAGAGCACGGCATGCTTCGTCTACGACCTTGATTTCATTGCTTGCATTCACATTTTTTCCTTAGTAGACATCTTATCCTAATAGCTTCCACAGGTTTCAATAAACTGTGAACCAATTCCATCAGTTAAAAAATGAATTTTTTCAGAGCACTTTTTCTCATTATTGAGCTTTTTTTTTTAGCAGTGATACAAACCTTATAACCACCAAACAGAACAAAAAATTAAAAGCACCTTTTCAATCAGCTGCTCAAAATTATTGAGATCCTTTTATAAGCATGCTTGAAAATTTAACCAGATGACTTTTTTGAATACACAGCCTACTTCTGAATAAAAAATATGTATTGGTATATGTAGTATGCATCCATTCATTTTATTTATTCTCTTTTCTCATAATAACAACTTTTTAATGTCGGATGTCTTGTCAAAATCTTGACAAAAAATATATATATATTTTTTTTTTCTTGATAGCAAAACTCTAATTTTTGTATTAAACAGGTAATTTTGCAATGTAACAACAGGCAAAACCAAAGCATACTGCTATCATGCAGCCTTACCATGATTGTTTTGTGCTTTTGCAACTTAGGGGCTATAAAATTTGATCATCTGACCGCAAGTTGAGATCGCGGTAAAACCAACTTGTTATCACTGGAAAACAGTGTAAAGAGAAAAAATGGTTATGTGTCTGCTTAGGGCTTCTGTAGAGTTGCAAGTCTTAAGTTCCTTGGTTGGTGTTTTACGGGCTTATCATGTGTGAGATCTATTTATTTCTGTAATTAAACATGCTCCTGTCCGAGAAATTTCATAGATTTATTGATTTCTGTTATGTGATGCAGGATATGTTAACCTGATATTTTTTATTCTTAGATTATGTGTTGTATGTATGTCTGTAACTTTGCAGAACATGCCTCTGCTGCCTTGGCGAGGACACTCTTGTAAAAGGGATTTTTAATCTCAATGAGGCTTCCCTGGTTAAGTAAATTTGAATGAAAATAAATAAACCAGCACTTCAAAAGGCACACTGTTTGCATCATGGAACTTAATAAGGCATTGAAGTCACACTGTAAAACAACGACATACTAACACTAAATCCAAAGGCAAGGAAAGCCCTTTAAAGGTATCAAAAATGTCTAACTCCTGCAGTTTCACAGGCAAAGTTTGACCTTTGGGAAAACATACATGTTCACTTTGTTGACTGTTACATTATAGGACTGGACCACCCTCAAGAGATCTGTGTGGGTCATAAAAAATTACTTCCAGCATCCACCTATCTTAGCTCAACAAAAAAAAAAAAAGATTCGATTTATAGGGTTTGAAAACAAGGCATGTGACCACGGAGTGCTTTTGTCTGACTCTGCAGTTTGTTACTGTGACAAACCAAGAAAAACGTAAGTGTCAAACATGACAAAATATAATAAAGAGGCCTCACTTCTATATTCCTGGGCTGGTAAGAGGATTTCAGACTGATCCAGGCTAGCAACCACCCCTTTTCTAGTCCTAATGATAAATAACTTTCATGTCTACTGCAGCCTCTTTTTTTACTAGCAGATGTGATGGTGGTCTGTCTCTGTTCATTTAATTATTAGTTGCAAATTGATCTATTTCAGTAATCTTGAATTGCTGCCTGAAAATAAGACAAAAATATGAGTAGAAATCTTCAGCATGGACGTAAAAAGAGAGCAGCAAGAAGACGAAAAAACATCCACAACATAAGATGGGCGTAATCCGTTGATCTCTGCCCATTACAGATGCCTTAATGCAACATGCATTCACACATAGGCCACAGCCACATACATAAATAGAAAACTCAAAATCAGAGTTCAAATAGGGGTTAAAAGAAGATCAGACAATAACATATTTATGGCCAGCAAAGCCATTTGTATCAGTATAAGAGCTAAGTTATGTTGTCAGGTTCATGCAAAACAGTTCAGCCCTGAGGACCTCAGGCTGAGCTCATACTGAAACACACACAGAAACACACAGTCGGCAGGTCCATCCATCTGTCTGTACAAGACACACACATAAAGGCCATCCGCCGTCAACGACGCTTACAAAGAGAACAGGTGAATATTTTAACAGTACATGACTCCTCCTGTTGGCACATGTTCGCTCTCTCTCTCCCTCGCTCTCTCTCTCTCTTTCCCCCTCTTTCTCTTTCTGCCTCACACCATCCCTCCCCTCTGTCCTGTTTTGTAAGAGTGCTTTAAACGCAATGTTTTTCATCAGCCCGTAACCAGTAGAGAGTGTAAGGAAAGAGGAGCTTTGACATGCAACAAGAGCAGCTCCATTTGGATTCAAAACGTTGCCAGTACATTGTGTGCACCTTCCACTGCGGCGCAGCATGCCACAGCCTGTCCCTCTGTTGTCCATTTTATCTTGTTTTTTTTTTTTTTTTTCCAGGAGCACAGATAAACTGAGGAGACAGCTTCCCTAAATGCACTCTTCCCTCCTCTGTTTTGGTACCGGTCTCTCTCTCTCTTCCTTCTTTTCTGTCCTGACCACTTCCTCAGGTTCTCTCTTTCTGACTTCATCCCCCTACTTTCACCGGACCACTCCGATGTCAGCCTCTAGCTCCTTCCTCTTAGACACCTCCAAGGGATCCATCAAAGACAACGACTGAGCATGCATCTCTCACTCTCTTTTTTTTCTTCTCCCTCTCTCTCTCTTTTTCTCTCTGCCTTTCTCTCCTCTCTCCTGAGAATGGCTGATTACTGTTCGCTCCATGGGCTAAGTGGGGCAGATAGGAGCCTCAGCTGGAGAGAGACAGTGAATAAGCGGAGGAGAGAGGATCCTGTCCACCCCCCACCCCGCTTCCTCCCCTCATAGGCATATCCACGTGCATCGGCACACACTACAAACAACACAGAGCTCATAAACACACTCCCAGCCAGCACAAACACATGTCATGTATCTGTAGGGTAAGACAACCAAGCTCTTTAAAAAACATCCAGATCAAACAAGGTATGCTAATGCACCTCTACATGGCCCAAAAACCCACACATAGAGTCAGTGCTTAAGCAGAAAGGAGAGGAACAACAGGACAAGTAGCTGCAGGGAGGATGCAGCAGGCTATGAAAGCAAGGTAAATCGTCTCTTTAAATGTAAGTCTGAGCCTGACACTCTCATTTCACCCCTCACCTGTCTGCACTGCGAGCAGCGAATCTATACATGAGCGTGTACAAAAACGACCTCCAATCAGGGAACACTTGAGAATGTCAGGTTGCATTCAAGGACGCACATAAACTGCTGCAGGAACAGCAAGGCTGTGTAATAAACCATAAGCTTGCTCCTATTCTGCTGTCTGAGCAACTGGTGGGTGACACTGCTGTTTTTCTGCCCATAGCTTTTTTTTTTTTAAGTGATTTATTTACTGTGATTTCCTTCTCACTGCCTATTTATTCATTTATTTACAGTATGAGCAGTATTGCACTGATCAAATTAGGCATATACAAAAATACATACACATGTAAACACACATCTAAGGCAAGGTGTGAGGCGTGGCACCACTGGTATCTCCAGCTGTATGTTTAAAGATATATATGTTCATATTCCTGTACATCTTTGCTCCTCTCTACTCCTCATTTGCTCTGTTACTCTTCTCAGTGGGGGAGGATTCCCAGAGAGACCAATCAGGACTCATGCTGGGGAAAAACTTATGAACACATCAGACAAACATGCACATTAGCAAAGACAGAAGATAAGAATAAGAGAGAAAGATCGGTTTCCCTGACTATGGAGGTAATGTCATGATGCATTATGAGCCTCTGGTGCCAAGTAAGGGGACAGAGAAGTGTGCCTAGGAGTGTGTGAGTGTCTCTCTTCATCACACAGCAACATCAGAGGCCCAGAGGTCCCGTGAGAGTTCTCGGATCCCGTGTGGTAATTAAAAAGAGGAGAGGCGGCGCGTGGACAGTGACAGTGTCTCATCATCGCACGTGAATCTACTCCTGTCTCGGGCTTAGATTGACCACTGAGTGTGTGCTTTCATCACACACACACACACACACACACACACACACACACACACACACACACACACACACACACATACAAGGCATGTACAGGCCTACAGCTGTTTGTTATGTAATGATCCAGTGATCGTGATCCAGTTTCTCATTTAAATAATCCACCTCTTCCTCTTCTGGCACAGTCCTTAGCCCAAACACACACACACACACACACACACACACACACACACACACACACACACACACACACACACACACACACCAGTAAATTGGAAATTTGCAGGCGCCTTCTGCACTAATTAAACGCCTCTCAATCTGCAGGACTCGCGCACGCTTGCATGTACGTTCCTAATTATAGTCTCTACAGCTTGAGACCGATGCAACACAAACACTGCAAAGGCTCTAAAACATGTAACCTAACCAAGGTAGAGGAATTATTTATGCATTGAGACTATAGCCCTCTGCAGATAATCTACATTTAATGTATGAATACCTTTAAAACCTTCTTGGACCATCTGAAGACACACACACACACACACACACATCTGCAAACATCAGCCTCTACTCACTCAGATTTTCTAGCCAGGGCCAGTGATCGACAGAGGGTTGTAGGGGTCATCGGAACCAAAGAACGGCAGCTGAGGGAACTTCCTCCGTTTTCTGGGTCACTTTCAACCGGGGAAACCGTGGACGGGTCGGCCGGGACAAGCTGCATGTCTCCGGGATCCAGAGGCTGAGAGGGCGACGGCAGGACCCCTGGAGCGGCCTCGACCTGTCCTGGACTTGGTGCAGCCGCATGGTCGGACGGAGACGACGCACTCGTCTTCAGCGGGGGTTCTTGAGGAGTGTGAAGATGAGGGAGACAGCTGGGGTCTGGGTGGTGGTGGTGGTGATGGAGGTGATGGTAAGGATGCTGCTGCTGTATCCTGACGTCCCGCAGGTGCCTGTTCTCGCTGATGAGCTCGTCCACTCGCCGGTCCAGCTCCTCTATCCGGGAGCGCTGCGTCTGGATGAGACTCTGCTGGTTCTGGACGATGGTGGTGAGCTCCCGCAGGTACAGAATCGCCTGCACCGGGTTTTCTAGCAAGCTTGAGCTCATCATACTCTGGAGTAGAGAAGGGAAGAGAGAGGGAGAAGATTAAAAAAAAAAGCTTGGCTGAGGGATGGAGGAGGAAGAAGGAGATGCCGAATATCCGTGGATGCGGATGAGGAGGTGAGCTGTCCTTCCGCTCGCCTCTCCTTGATTCTTTCGGGCTGTTGATAAGGCTGCACAGACCGAGGTAGCCTCCGCTTCTCCGGTCTTTTCCTCCCCTCCCTCTCTCTCTCTTTCTCTATCTCTCTTCCACTGCGCTGAGTGGTGCTGATAAGAGAAGTCAGCTCCAGATGTGACAGGAGGGAGGAGGGGAGGACAGGCGCTGGAGGATGGTTGCGTCATTACGCACACACACAACATGAAGCACGCACTCATATGGGCAGTCGTAGAAGATTAAACATTTGAGCCACTCTCTTGTGGCATTTTTACATAAACCCAGACCGATCTTTAGAAGAAAAAAAAAAAAAAACTTAAATGGTAATAATAACATGAAAGTAATGATAGTAGTAGTAGTAGTAATAATAATAATAATGATTATAATAGATGACAACAATAATAATAGTAACAATAATTGTTGTTAAAATAATAATAATAATAAACTCAAAGTAATAATAACAATTATATAAATAAATAATAAAAAGAATAACAAGAATAATAATATTTTTTTATTATTATTACTATCATTATTATTATTATTATTAGTTGTAGTAGTAGTAGTATGGTAGTAGTAGTAGTAGTAGTAGTAGTAGTAGTGATAGTAGCCCAGTAGTAGTAGCAATAGTCATTGTTATTGATATTGTTATGGATATTATCATTAATATAATAATTAGTATAATTATCAGTAATATTGTTGTTGTTATTGATAATATTATTATTCATCAATAAGCATTATTAACCTTATTTTTTAGGGCAGAGTTCTTGAAGGTAAGAACGAAAGCAAACAGCATAAGTCACAGAAATAGAAGAAAAATACCAACGGTACAAAAAATCATTATATTATTACTGATTATTCCAGCTTCGTTCATTTCCGTCATTTAAGTATGAAAAGCATTTTTTCCGACAATAAACGAAGGTAGCTTAGCCAGGCGTGGTCACGTGCCACACGGATGCGGAAGTACCGTGGACCGTTGTTTTGCTAATGAGTAGCTTAGATGCTAGCCCTCTATAAGAAGCGCCTGTGTATGGTGTTTTTCCTGTAACTGTCGACAAGTAAACAACACCCATGGTCAGGTAAGGTTATTATTTTTAAGCTGAATAAAATATCATTGCACTCGTATTGTTTGGTCCGAGGTTAAGGTCCTTTATGATGCCTAATCGTGTACTTTATTCCCATTGATCGCTCAGCTGTTGAGTAACTGCAGCTGCTGCTTTAATGTTAACATTCGCTGTCAGCACATATTGAACATATGTACATATTGAGACAGTGACATTAAAAACCTTAGCGTTACGTGTGCTCAGTTCTGATTTTGCGAGTATTTTCATGCATTGTCATGTGATAGTCAGATGACAGGGGTCGTGAAGTGTGATATGGTCAGGAGGGAGGAGGATTTCACCCCCATACCAAAGTCACAAATAAAGTTATACGCTACTTTTTTCAGTGTAAAACTAGAACTAGTTGCATAGTTCTTTTCGATCATTATTCTGTATTTTTTATGTCTCTAGGATGACTCAAAAGCACTGCCTGGAGGGCCAGGTGTACTCAGTGCCACTCATTCAGCCAGATCTGAGAAGAGAGGAGGCGGTCCATCAGATTGCAGATGCTTTATTTTACTTGGAGACCATATCTACAGATATTTTCAAAAGGTAAATCAAGAAACACACACACACACACACACACTCACAATGCACTCAACACATGAGAGGCAGAGGGAATAGCTCAGACTTATGACCTTAAATGAAAGTAACAGACATAAAAAGTTACTTTACCAGCTGTCAGTCATAATAGACGACTTTCATTGCATCATAGCAATGTCATGCTTAACCTGACACTGAATGTAACACGAAAACAGCTTGATAACCAGTTTAATTCTTAACAAAAGAGGTTATTTTTGAGTGTGATAAATTAATAAGTTTAGATGATTCAGGAGGAGTAGCTTACCAAATGTGTTTATCGACAGAGCAGAAAATGATTGCTGACAAAACAGCATCTGTTACAAGTATTTCTGGACATTTTTGTCATAGTTTTGCTACTTAATGAAAAGAGAAGCTGACATACCAGGAAAATAAGGCTTTGGATTTATATATCTCACCACATTTTATGCTATATAGCAGATGGTCTGAGCAGATGGTCCTGTCTGATGCCCTGAAAATAAAAGAAGTGTCTCCTGTAACTCCAGGAAGAGTGTGACATTTATCTACAGATTGTTTTGTCAATATGTACTGTGGAAAGATGATGAAATAGTAATTAGACAAATGTGTCCAAAGATCAATAAGTCGCTTTGTAGTGTTTGTAATTTACCTTTCTGTGGAATGGATGGGTTGCTGTCTTCTCTTTTCTCTGTGTGCAGCACAGTTTTCTCTGCTTTTGGTCGTATCTGTGCAGTTATGTGTGCAGTTTCATATTGGTGTGTATATGTGTGTACCTTTTCAGGGTGTCTGACAGCGTAGAAAAGAACCGCCAGCAGCTGCAGGGTGTCACTGACCGGATCAAACTAGCTCAGGCTCGTGTTGACAAGATCAAAGGCAGCAAGAAGGCCACCAAGGTAACGAAGCATCTTCACTTTTGGGAGGAGGCTCTTGACATTGCATTTTGATTCCCAGTACAAATCAGTGATGCCATTTCTGCTTTTGTCTGTGTGTGCAGGTCTTCTCAAGCGCTAAATACCCGGCCCCTGATCGACTTCAGGATTATTCATCTATTTTTACTGAGGCTACAGACCCCTCCTCACAGGCCCGTCCTCGTCTCAGGATACAAAATAAGCTCCGACCCTTTGATGAGAAGGCTTTGCAGGTAAGGGAAATACGTTCAAATGCTGTTTGTAAAAGATTTCCTGACATGCAACACCTTCAATCTCACAGCAGTAAGAAAGAGGGACTCTCAAGAGGCATGGTTCCTCAGGGTGTTTATAAGCACTATATTAAAGCCCCCAAAAGATGGTGCTGCTGTTACTCATGAATAAAAAAGAAAGTGTATTCCAGCCGGATGGTTTCAAGGCCTTACAATAAAGCTAACCCTGCTAAAACTTTGGGGACAAAACCAGGTCATGATGATTTGCCGTTTATATGGCTTTTTGCTTACTGCAGAGGATTGATTCGACTCCCTCAGTGGTTTGATAAAATGATACATGTTTGTGTAGGCTGTAGAGACAAACTCCCATGATCCAAACAGAATTTCTGCAGGTGTAAAGAGTGAAGCCATTGTGCAGTTCAGAGGTAGAATAAGCATAGAATAGAATACTCTACATTGCCTTTTTTATACTAGTAAAAAGCACCACCATTCTTGCCAGCCCATAGACACTGTATGCAGATAAACAAGGAGTCCTACTTACCTTCATTAGCCTTGAAAAAGTAATCTTCTTATAAAACTGTGACACAGGTTTGCGGCATACAGAGGTGGATAGATGCTCTCATATGTAGAACAAAAGAGGAAATACAGACAGCTAATCATAGGGTGAAGCAATGACTTGATGATAGAATAGTTATAGACAAAATGAGCTGCATGATTAATTCAGTGGTCTGTCTGGTATCATAATTATCTCCAAAAAGATGAAGAGATGAAGCCATGTCTAAACCTGAAAGCAAAACATTCAGTCCAGTATTTGTGAAGTGTTTTTTTTTAGGATTCTGAGCTCTGAGTACAGACCAAAAGAATCAGATCACTTATTCGAAAAGCCTTAATTACTGGGGTTGACAGTTACCAGCAGGGTAGAAAACTCAAGCTATCCAGATGAGCTAGAGGTGATTCTCCTTCACGTTTGAAATGAGAATATTAAATGGGAGTGGAACAGCTGGTGTCTTCTGAATACCTCCCTGCCAAAAAAAGAGCAGATTCTATTTGAACTTGAACAACCTCAGGTCCAGACTGAGCCGTTATGGTTCAGACCTAGATCAGCATCTTAACATGGATGGCTGTCGTAGTGCTTTCCTACCATATTTGTCTAAATTTGCACAGAGTTGACACCACTGCCTCTAGGGCAGTAAAAGAACACTAACTTCACTTCGCTTCAAGTTAACCGCAAATCTGACATGATCTCCTGTTTTCTCATAAGAAGCAGCATGCTCATTAAAAAACAAACATCGATATCTTATCCTACTTTAAAAGTTCTCATCCAGCACCTTAACTTTTTTTGCCACCAACTTTATTACAGTAATGTTATTCTTGTAAACATAATATGTAATTAGAAGACTGTTACATAATATAAAATAACTGCTGTAATCATGGCATTTGAGCTGTTATAATTAAATCCTTTTTGGATAGATCCATCAGGCCATGGCAGCTTATATCACAGGTAAACTGATATGACAGGCAGAGCAGAGTCGCTCAATTATGAATAAGCTTGCTAAATGTTTTGCTGCAAAAACGATTCCTGAGTAGGAGGGGGTCAAAAGAAGCTGGAAACCACAGAGATGTGTGGAAAAAACAGTGTGTGCTGGTGTAATTGTTTTCTTAGCTTCTCTGTGTGTGTTCCCTTGAACACACACCTGCCTTATTTAAAGTGAACACCACAGATTGTTGTTACCTTATGAGCAAACTTAGAGAAAACCTGCATATTTTCTGCATCGTATACTCGCAAGTGTATTGTGTGTGTCTGGGGGAAGAGAAATGAAAATTGCTGGCAATTTTCTGTGGTGCTGAAATGCATTATTCAGTACCTCTACGGAAGCAGCTTTCTGACCATATAATTTGTTCTTACAGTGTTGTGAGTGACGGTGTCTCTGCTCAGAAGCACTTTGGTGGCATTTGTGTTTTGATTCATTCAAGATTTAGTTGACATTCCACGGATCTAATTCTAGGTCTGCATGTCTTCCTTTCAGGAGAAGTTGACGTATTTCCCCGTGTGTGCAAGCAACAAAAAGAAGGCCGAAGATGAGACAGAGGAAGGGCTGGGCAGTCTGCCACGCAACATCTCATCTGTCAGCTCCCTGTTGCTCTTTAATACTACAGAGAACCTGTGAGTTGATGATAACACACAAACAGACACCGATGCCCTCTATATACACTGATTTGATCTAAACCTGTTTTATAAACCCTTGGACTTTTGTATTTTATCAAAGATATAAGAAGTATGTGTTCCTTGATCCTTTGGCGGGAGCGGTGACAAAAACACACACTACACTAGAGACCGAGAAAGAAGAGAAGCCGTTTGATGCACCGTTGTCTATTACAAAGAGAGAGCAACTGGAAAGACAGGTACATTATCCATCCTTCGCAACCAAGGCACATTTTCACTTCAACTTTCTTTGCCCTCATGCACTACTCTACTTCAGTGGGGTTTTAAAGGATCTGTACTTAACTCAAGTATTTTCAAACAACCTTGGCCTTATATCTGAACAAAAGTATATGTACTGTGCACTCCTTACTGTCTTCAAATGGGATGAGAACATGATAGGAACAATATGAAAGACATATCTAATCACAGTCAATTCGGAGGAGCAAGATATTCGACAACTAATTTACCCATTTAGTAAATTAAAGATTGCTTTGGATGTTAATAAGATTGCATATTTTATTGAATTTGAGGGATTAAAATATCACAGTTTTCAAATATGACATGAGGTTAGGTTGGCTTTGCACTGACACCGATGATCAAAATGTCCCTTTGTGGACTATTTCTTATACTGTTGAAGTGTGACTTCCACTTGAGTAAAAAACATTTGCTTCCACCAACTCTGTAAAACTGGTAATGAGGAATTAAAAAACTAATGTGGACTGTTTTTCTTTCCAAACAGACAGCAGAGTCTTACTTCTATGTACCAGACCTGGGTCAGGTGCCAGAGATAGATGTACCGTCTTACCTGCCTGACCTGCCAGGCATAGCAGATGACCTGTCCTACAGCGCAGACCTTGGGCCTGGTTTTGCCCCATCAGGACCAACACAGAACATCCCTGAGCTGCCCTCCTTCTCTGAGGAGAGTATTGCACCTGGTACGTCCCGCACGCTCTCAACTATCTGTTAATGCTTCAGGTTGATTCTATGTTTGCTGAGAGAAGCTGATGGCTTTTTCTCTTTTCATTCCAGGACCTCAACTCCAACCGAATGTCCCACCTCCTCCTCCACCTCCCCCTCCTCCCCCTCCACCACCAGAGCCTGGCCTTGCTCCCGCACCTCCAGCAGGAGCGCCACCTCCTCCTCCACCTCCACCTCCCCCTCCACCTCCCCCTCCTGCCGACATCTCCACAGATGCCTCTCCAGCACCAGGTTCAGGTTTTTAAAAATCTGAAAATTTAACCAGCTGCACACAATTGACACACAACTGACGAACGGCAAACTCTCTTTTAATTACAGGAGGCCTTGTGTCTGGAGCGCCTAGTGAGGTGGTCCAGCCGTCAGACGGCAGGGCCAGCCTCCTTGAGTCGATCCGTAACGCTGGAGGCATCGGCAAGGCAAAGTTACGCAACGTTGCAGAACGCAAAATGGAGAAGAAGAAGCAGAAGGAGCAAGAACAAGGTGTCATTTTGTTTTAGTATGGCTGTGGATCCACTCATGTTTTATTAACCGCTACACTTTGCAGCCTCACCAACCATGAGAAAGTCATGAAATCAGAGCAGAGCACTTCCAGTTAGCACTCATGCAGGAGTAAATAAAACACATTAATCTGCATGTCCGAAGTGACGTGTTATGTTGTTTCTCACAGCGCAGTGTTCTGTGACCCTTGTTTTATTAATGCTGATTTTATTAGTGGGTTGACTTGGTCATAATGAAATTTAAATGATCTGATTTAACATCAGACAGAAAATCTTTGGTTTTATTTCTGGTCAGCTGAGCAGGTCATGCTGTAAGAGGTTCCTATTTCAGCTAATAAAACAAAATGTTTCTCTGTAACGATGTGCACCAGGGGGAAAAACAAAAGTCTCATTATCTGGATTACTCATTTGAATAAGAAATATTGATGCATGATGATTTTGTGACAGCTTGTTTTTTTTGTCTCTCAGCAGTGGGAGCAGCATCCAGTGGAGGGGACTTTATGTCTGATCTCTTCAATAAACTTGCAATGCGACGGAAAGGTAAGGGTTCTTTTTGATCTCAGAAACTGCTGCAAACGGCTGAGATACATGTAGTAAATACTGTTTACCATCTCTTCTATAGGCATATCTGGGAAGGGCCCTGCGGGTGGAGAAACAGGTGAAGCTCCCAGTGGTACAGGTGGTGCATTTGCTAGAATGTCAGATGTCATTCCACCTCTCCCTGCCCCACAGTCAGCAACAGACGATGACGACTGGGAGGCGTAACATGACGGATGATTGACGCATTTATCAGTCATTCATAATTTTTACAAAAGACTTCAATATTTCTCCAATCACTTTACAATATTTTTATTATTTATGATGAAAAAAATGGTCCTACCTACAGAACTTTCAGTTAAAATGATAAATAATTTGTCAATCCAGTTGAAATTGAAATGATAAACATTTTATTGATAACCACATTTATTGTGAAACATATTTACATGATGATCATAAAACAGGTATGAGTAGAAGTCTAACTCAAATCATCTCACTAACAACTCTCCATTAAATAAAAGTAATTTTTGCATTACATAACAGCTTGCATTGAGTGCTTTAAATATTTAATTTCACCTTCAAGGGTAAATCAGTTACATAGAAGTCTGAGCCTGTGCTGAACCTGATATCTCTGCAGTTCTACTTTCTAAATTTAACATATAGTCAGAAATACCTTTTGGCTTCTAGGTGAATTTCAAAAAACATCACAGGACTGTAACACTGATGAATACACACAGTTTGGCGTCTTCAGGCTCATATTCTCCCATTTTTCCTCTCTTCTCTTGACTAAATATGAAAGTAGGTCTTGACAGAACACACGGAAAGGACAATGTTTGAATGCTGAAATGTAAAACAGAGTCAGAATGGTTTAATGAAAACAAAACGTCGCCTGCCTGGTTGACCCTATAGCTCCAGCCTGGAGCTGTCAGACCTTTGCTGGCCTCAAAACCTTCAAAATGATTATATAAAGCAACTTTAAAGGGCTACAACAAAGGCCCAGTCATTAACATTTAGTATTTTATATTTTTTTGTATTTTTATTAGAACACATCTCTGAAGTTCCCCCAAATGTTCCTCATCAATAAAGATGAGATGAGTTAAGATGACATTACACCTGCATCTGCTTCTTCTCCAGGAAGAACTAAAACAGGAAAAAAAAAACATAAATTAGAGGTTTTAGTTTTTTACGTGTTTTACTTCAATTAAAGTGTATTTCTCACCTTGCGTAACGCAGCAAAAGCAGAGCCAAATGTGGCGTGCGTGCTGGTGCGATCTTTGATCCATGTGGGCAATTTAGCAAGGGTAGCGGGCCGAGAATATCGTCTGTCACACAGCACCATTGAGGAATAGTCGCCACGGTGACGGATAGCTCTTCCTGTGGGTAGACGTCAGTACATTTGAATGCCACCTTCAGTAAATGTTTCAGCAATTCTAAGAATCTTATCTGTTGTCATGGATTTTCATGATTACCGATGGACTGATTAACAGCCTTCATGCAGAGGTTTTCTATTAATGCTTGTCCAGGGCTCCTCCCTCCACTGTGAGACTGACAGAGGATGAAAAGTATATTTATTTTTAAAAAGAAATCCTGCTCTCCTGTTGAATTATTTCTTGATGGGAAAGAGAGTCACCATGTGTTTGTCCAGATAGGACATCTTTTCCTGCAGCTCTGGAGATTTGATGTTGGGATACGGCATTCCCACCATCACCACACACCTGCCAGTGATACAAACAGAAGATGAGATAAACTATTTTACACTGAACGCAGCATTAAGCTGTGTAAGGTTTTCGATGTGACTCGCACACACACACCTTCCCAGATCATCGGAAAAATTGATGCCCTCGCTCATCTTTCCTCCCACCACAGAGAACAACAATGCTCCAGTGAGCCCGCTGCTGTCCACGGCACATCTCTGACAAAAGAAAAAGAGACAGAAAGAGTTAAGATGAGTCAATTTGTGCACTCTGCTGAAGGCTGATGTGTTAGCTGTGACAGCTCTACCTGGATACAGCGGGAGAACTCGTTCAGCACCTGCTCAACCTGGTTAGCTTTCTTCGGCTCCTGGAAGATCTGACGGAGTAATTTTGATTACATTCAAATGCTTCGCTTTTCAAGCTGAGCTGAGGTGTGGAGAAAAAAATAAAGACGTTCTCAGATCAGCTCATTTGATAAAAACATCACGCACCTTCTTCTTGTTGGCCAGACGCGCCAGAGCTCCACTGGCCTCCCAGTGAGAAACGATCCGTCTCGAGTACTCGTATGAAGGGAAGAAACAAACAACTCCGCCTGGGACCACATTACAAATGTTGGAGAGAATGCGCCCTGTCTCATCCATCTGTGAACAGACAGGCACAAGTTTGCAGTAGCTGCAGAGTGAGCACTGCAGCTGTTTTTTAAAGATGTAACAGTGTGTGAATGAGTGTGTGTTTGTGTGTGTGTTACCATGTGTGGAGAGTCTCTCTTTTGAAAAGTAAAATCTAGCTCCTGACCAGACGGGCCGCTGCACAAGACGAGGGGAAGAATATTCTCAGGAGGAATGACATGACCTAAACACAAATGTAAAGTAAAATGTTAAATTGAATTGGTTCAATACAAATGCAAACACGTGCACACAAACCTGCTGTAACTGAGACCTTATGTTCAAAAGTACTGAGCAATGATTGTAGGAGAAACTTGAGGAGTAGTATCAGTGCATGTCTTGAGTTCTGTCTGGCGCTGACACAGGTGTTTTTCAGATGGCTCATAACACACAATCTCCCTGGCTCAATATCCTAACCCTAGGATGAAATAGAAAAACGGTCCTATCTGGGATCTGGTCTCTCTCTCTAAATTTATCCCTCACCTTAGGTCCCAGTTTTCACCTCCATCATTCAAACTAGGTGTGGTTCTTAAGTGTTATTTATCCAAGTGAGTTATGAAAAAGACATTAATTTTTAGAGTTTTTCAAGCATCGTTATTTATCAAATGTAAAGTGTAATAAATACATGACTAAAAAAAAGTTTTTAAAAAAAGGGACTCCACAAAGTACTGCTGCACCACAAAATAGGACACTCACCACAGGAAAACTCAGTGATGCGTTCCTCTCCCACTCCAGCAGAAAACAGCAGCTCTTGTTTGAAGTCTGAAACCTAAAAACAGCGCCTCCCAGAATAAGAAACCCTGACAACTGAGTTTTACTTTATTTTTGTCAATCTGAAATTAACTTACTGGCTGCATGGTTCCCCCTGCGATGATCACTGCTCTGCACTCCTTCAGCACCTGAGCAAAGTGGACTGCTGGATTCAACAGCAGGAACCTGACACTGCTCTCTGACAAGATCCCTGAGTGGGGGGAAAAAAGCAGCAATTTCTAACCTTTTTCTTTGATAGCTATATTTCATTTCACTTTAATAGTACCTTGTTTGTGCACCACCACTCTGCCGTCTGTGTTGCTGTTGGTGAGAGCCATGAAGAAACCCTCCACCTGCATCATGGGAGACACAGACAGCACTTTCTCTGCCTCTGCTGACCCCTGATGGTTTTCTGGAAGAACTGCAGAGAGGGGGGCACAGAAAAAATATGTCATAAAGAGGAAAAAACTGAGATATTCTTTCTGTCTGTTGATACATTTCATGTGAGGAAATGTTTGAGATTAAATTTAGTGCTTAAGTTAGCCAGTGGAAAGTTAAAATGACTACTCTGGAGGAAAGTAGATTTCAGCAAATTTCGCATACGATTTAGTCGAATAGTCTGCAGGTAACGATACAAAATAGTAATGTTTGCACTGAGACATGGTTGGATAAAGTCGAGGCAAATATCCACTCGCTGACCTGGTGGTACGCTCTGGTTGCTCTGTAAAGTTTTAAGATAGCGATTCAATCCCTCTGTGCGTCTGTTCTCTTTGTTGGCGTGGCTCTGGGTGTGCAGACTCACACCTGATCCCGCATACTTCTCCACAAAGCCACCCAGCTGCAGAAATATGAGGCATGCAGATATTTTTACAGCAGATCTTGTTACGATCTAGACTTAGGCAAAAAATGGATACATCTATACAGCACATGCAAATGAAGCTCTTACTTTTCTGCTGATCATGCTCTTCTCAAAGTATCTCTGCAACTAAAAATGGATAAAAGTGAAGAAATGAGAATATTTTCTTGAAAAAGCTGTCAAGAAGGTAAGGCAGCGATTTTAGCAGATACCTTGAACAGGTTGATGTTGTCAATCTGAGCCATGAAGAGAAAGTTGTTAATGGTGTGTAGCTCAGTTCCTGCATGATAAAGAGAAAAGGCTGGTTGGCAGAATCATCAAAAAAATATATTTTATGATTAAAGGGTTGCATATTTATTTACAGACCTGTTTGTGTAGCTTGGCTTTGTGGATTTTGGCCAACTTTTCCTGCAAAGATAACATTTATACTTTCAAACAAGTGAGCCGATGAGAGAATAATTAAACAATATAATTTCAGAGATCATTAATTTTTTCATTTGAATATTTTCTGAGACATTTCTGTTCCAATCAGATACAGTAAGTCATCTTCAATCCACAGTGGGCTGGCTGCTTGGCTGGGGCAAGTGATCAAAAATATGAGCATTTGTTCCTGTCCATCAGAAGTCCTGTCCAATCCATGTTGCACACTTGTAACAATTAATCATCACAGAGATGTACAAGTCCTCACAAGCTTACCTCCAAGCGCCCGGATGAGTCCCTCAATCACAAACAGAATCTGTTTGATGTACATCAGGTTTTTTGCCTTCAGTCTGCTCCTAAAGACGTACAAACAAAAACATCAAGAGTTATAATAAAAGTAATACCAAATATGGTTATTATTAATAATAATGAAGTGCATATTGAAAGTTTGTGGGAAAACACTTACTTAAAGCGTACAGTGTACTGGGAGAGCTGAGAATGAGCTCGGCAAAGCTGTGGAGGATTCACATTTCAGCACGTCACATGGAGACTGATTTAAACGTGTATTTTATAGATCATGTGTTTACCTGCGCTCCAGTGAGCTCTGCGCTGTGTATGCAAGATAACGTGTCACTGAGGTTGTGAGCTTCATCTATTATCACCACCTAGAAAAATACCCTGCGGTCAGTAACACGCCAGATCAATTCTGCCTTGTGTTGAAGAATATAGTGGAAGCATGGCAGAAACAACAGGTACTATAATATTTTTAAACAACATATACCTATAATAATAGCATCTAATGACAAAATGTTAACTATGTTGTTTTTAGCTTAATAAAGTTTCCATATCAGAAAATCAGTGACAAAGCAAAAGCGTGAAATACCTGTCCCTTCAGTTGGACTCCAGCTGCCTTTCTTGTAGCTTCATGGAGCAACATTTGATAGGGCAGCACCACTAACTATGAAGACGCAATAAACAAAGACACTACAGGTCAACAAATAGAATGAAGCTTGATGGAAAAACAGTCAATCGATACCTTAAAGAACTGCAATCTGACTGTTTCCTGCTCCAGTGAGCCCTCAGATTTATATATATATATATATATGAAAAGCACAGAATTATTGATGTGGAACAGGAGGCAAAAGATCTCCCACAGGAAAAGACACAGAGGTGGATGAGGTGCGGTGTTACCTGTGCAGAGGGGACAGCTAAGCGCGTGGAGTAGTACGGACATGAGTGTGTTTCTCTGCCCAGCTTCAACATCTGCTCGATGTCGTGAACTGAAGCCAAGATATCATCCCTCATTTGCTGCTTTGCTAAAGCTTTGTTATAGGGGCACACACTGTTCGCTGCACTCCGCTTTCGCTTACCCCCCTCCTCAGGCTGATGCTTTTCTGCAAAATGAAAGTTTCAAGGATTAGCTGGAGGTATTAAGGTTTATGTTTATGAAGACTTTACTGGAGTTGTTTTGAGTCTAATATTATTTTATGTCAAAGTTTTTCGTGTTTAAACTAAACCTAACCCTAACCCTAAACTTACATGTAATACAATCAAACCTTGAAACTTTTTCAAGATTTCAGATCTGATGAAATTGTGTTTGTGCAAATTCAGTAGTCCTAGAGTCAGGGAGTGATAAATGCCTACCGTGTTTGTTTTTCTGCATCTCCATGCAGCGGTCATTAATGCGCTGTATGCTTCCCAAGCGACGCACCTCCTCGTTAATACACAGATTCTGTAGAGGACATAATCTTTATGGATTCATTGAATTGAAGTACAAGTTTCTATTAGCCAATTATTATTATTACTATTAATTTTTCTTGTAGGATATGTATAAATGTTGATGTAAATTCTTTTTTGAACACCATTTGCAGCTTTAATCAGTGTTCTGCAGATTTTCCCAATGTAATTCTTCTTTACAGGTAAGACTTGAGGAGTAGAAATTGAATAGAATCAGATGGGAGGCTGATCGATAAAGCTGTGAGTAAAATATGAAAAAGTGATGAAGTTGGCTGTGAAAAAATAAAGAGGACTGGGTAAAGAAAGGACCCAGTCAATATCTCTACTGATAAAAAACTGTTTCTTTCTTTTCTTTCCTTTTTCTTTCCATGGTCTCAAACTGCGCAGGGAGAGTATGAGGGGAGTTTGTGCTGTAGAATTGACTGAAAATCCAGAAGTTGGTGATAATGCTACTATGACAGGGGCCAGCTACCATAAAACTCAATCGGGGAAAAGATGAGACAACACCATTAAATTACCCATACTGTTTTCAGAGCTAGATTCAGGTGTCTTATTTTGTCTTTTCTACCATTTAAAACTGTAAAAAAAAATACTATTGTCTTAGTAGTTCCTAATTGTTTTTCTTGTGTTCAGTTGTCATTAAATCACTTATTACTTTGTACACTAAACTGTTATTCAATGTAAAGACTTTCTACCTAACATGAAATTATAAATCGACATGTAAACCCTAAACTTGACATCCTTTGGCGTAAAACTCCAAACTCTTGGTTGTTGCTACAGCACCTTCAGTGAGATACAGTCTATTTAAAGCTAATGAGATCTCACAAAATTTACTGCACATCAAATCCTTTCACTTTGTGCTCTTGTGTGACCTCCTGTCATGGTTACAGACCTGTCGTGAGCCCAGCGTGACCAGACTGATGTCCTTGCTGAAGGGGCTTTTTTGAACCTCATGCACGAACTGGGCCAGCTGGGAGTGAGTGCGGCTGCAGTAGTAGATCTATTGACATACATATGCAGATAGTTTAACCCCAGAGCAATATGTGGCACTGTTTCATCAGTGGGATACTTCTTTTCTCAGTTAAATGTAAAATATCTCACACCTTTGCAACATGTTCTTCAACGAGCTCATCATCCAGGTCATCCTCGGCAGTATTTAATCTAAATATGAGGGGGAAAAAAAAACACCTCTGCATTTCTGTTGTCATTTCTTAATGTGATGCAACATTGATCTGAATACTGATGACTGTCCATCCTCCTCACCTGCTGCTAGTTTTGGATTCATCATCACTCTCATATTCTGCAACAAGGAGCTCCTCATCCTCCCCTTGAGCCTCTGTTTGGTCTTCTTTGCTTTGTTCAAGCAACTTAAATGCCTCATCATCTTCACAGCTCTGCAGAAAAAAATCTATGAATTTCATATATCAAGATGTATTGACTGTACTGATATAGGTTGTGGTTCTTGGGTTAAGTTTTCATAACTAGTGACCACCTACTTTTCTTTTCATTGCATATTTCAGCTGAGCGTTGTTTCTGATCATCTCTAATCGCTCCTCTCTCTTCTTTCTTTTTAATTCTTCCTCCTGACACACAAAAAGTCAATGATTGACATCTGAAAGATATGTAGGTAAAAAGACAAAACTCTCTGCCAGGATCACATGTCAAATTGATGACATTTCTAACCTTCAGCTTGGACACCAAATCTCGTTCTGCCTTTTTCTGAACAAAATCGGTGATCCAGTCGAGCTCTGTTGAGGAGCTGGTCCCAGGGGGTTCCGTTGCAGGAGTGGTAAGAGCAGTTTCTCCTTCTTGGAGTAGAGCAGCCGCCTCATTTTTCCTCTTCTCCTCATAGTCTGTGAGCCAGCTCAGCGCCCCACAAATCAAACTCAGGGATTTGCCCTATGTTTGAGGAAATACATGTTTAAAACACAAACTGTACTACCAAGACAAGTCGAAGGTTTAAGCTGAAATGCTCATGTACATACCGTCCCAGTTGGACTTTCAAAGATGCCAACTTTCCCCTGGTCCAGTGCACTGTATAAGGCTTGCATAAACTGCTGCTGGATGTTGTAAGGCTGGTAGGGGAATGGAAAATCGACCCTCCCATTCTCCATGCTTTGTGGACTATAGGGGAGAGTGGGGTAAGATGAGCCATTTTTCATATTTCAGATCATTACATCAAGTCAATCATAGTTTTGTCTCTAACTAGTGTATCTGCATATATATCAAGATGTTGTGCATCCCTGCAAACCAACAGAATGAGTGTAAACATAACTATCTTGATAATATAGCATGCCAAAAAAGTGGTCTCCTATGGTTTACTTACCCCATGTAACACAAAGTAACACATTTCAACAATCTGAACTGAAACTCTGATCCTCTCATCAGACTCCTTTACTTTCTCAGTTGATCCACCGGCTCAACTTACCCCAGAACTACTATTATGACTTTATTAGTCCTCTAAGCTAAAATGGTGGACTTTTATGCTAGGTTTTTTGACGTCATGTTGTAGCTCATAAATACCACAATTGATGTATAAAACTAATTTAAAATGATCTTTTTTGGTCTGGACATAATTCTAATGAAATTATGACAGACTAAATTCACTTTCAAGAGTGGAAAATGTTTTTTTTTTTTCTGTAAATAAATGTCTAACCCCTTCACCCATGTGATTCTAATCTTCACAGACTCTGAATTTATGCCCATCTCCTAACATGATCCCATGATCAATTTCTTCATCAACAGGGGGTGGCTCAATTTACTCTTTGGCTGAACTTACTCCACTCTACCCCACAGTTTAACTAGAAAAGACGTTTTAGATGAGCTCTGCTCAAAAGCCCGTGTTTAGACTGACTTTACATTATCTGTAAATCTGTACTGCCGACAGTGGTGTTACATTTAACACATTCCGTGTGTACTCTGCTGTTGTCTTGATTAATCCGTTTTACAATGATCCCTATTACGTCAGTACTTCAATGTTTTAAACTGGAGGAAATCATGACTTGTAAAAGAACCGTCAAAGTACCAAACATTTGACTTTTACAGGTTAACTGTCTTAGAAGTAAAACCTCAAACGTTGACTAGAACTCAAAGACAACTTACCAGGTTATAACCGCATTGAATCGATGTTGTTTTTATTTTAAGTAAAAAGGACAGGTAGTCATACATACCCTTTTGGTGACAAAAAATATAAGTTTGTCGTTTGTTTCTACGTCCCCCACTTCCGTAAATTCGACAACCGCGCCAACAGACAGTAGCGGGAACTGACCGATCAGAGACGAGACAAAACAAAGGCGCTTGTTTTAATTTATGGCACTGCCTGCAAGGGCGGGGCTTCACGTATTTATTCACATACTACATTCGTCTTCAACTCGGTATTATAATATTACAACAGACCACATAGAGTTTATACAGTGTTTCATCTTATATGTTTGTCACATGTGAATTTCCCCTTCTCTTTGTTAACCCCGCCTTTTCGGGAGGTCTATATTTTTAAAAGGCAACGCCACAGACGCAGGTTCATCTCACTAGCTCCTCCTCGGATGTCTGGAAAGTTCTATGCCCCTTAAAGCGCTTGTCAGACGTTGGTCTGCAGGACAACGTGGACCTGAATCAACCCCGAGAGAGGCACAACTTCGGCTCCCAAACGAGTGAGCCTGTATAAACCTTTAAAGTAAGCGAGGCTAGCGTTGAGCTTAAACCAGCGTCAGTCAGCGGCGCCGTTAAACGGCTTGTTGCGTCTCTCTCTTGGCGTGCTCAGAGAAGGGGTTAGCTAGCTTTAGCCTCCACCACTGTCAGCTACGTGAAGTGTGGAGCAGGTCAGAGGAGGAGGGATGACAATGACTGCAGAGGAGCAGACAAGTGAAGGACAACACAACATCCCAATGGAGGGGGAGGACATCACACCAAAGAAAGACGGGGGTGTTTTGAAGGTAAAGGACTCTTGTGATTGTTAGCTGTCTGCTTCATGTTTACTCGCACGCCAAGGCTAACGTTAGCTGGCTGCTCGACTAGTTTGATGTATTGTCAATCAGGCAGCTAATGCAGGTCAGTTACAACGTTGACAACACTATCTATCAATGAATTACCTGCTAGTTTGAACCGTTTCCCTCTGCTTGTCTTCCAGCTGGTGAAAAGGGAGGGCACAGGCACAGAGCAGCCCATGACCGGTGACAAAGTGTTTGTGCATTATGTGGGCACACTGCTGGATGGGACTCATTTCGACTCCAGCAGAGACAGAGGAGACAAGTTTTCTTTTGAGTTGGGCAAAGGTTGGTTTCATATCACTTTTTTTTATCAGATATATCTATAGTTTGCTGTTGTGGGAAAGATACTAGTTCATAATCAATCTTCTCTCTCTTGATAGGTCAGGTAATTAAAGCATGGGACATCGGTGTAGCCACCATGACGATTGGGGAGGTGTGCCAGCTTGTATGCAAGCCAGAATATGCTTATGGGTCTGCAGGTAGCCCACCCAAGATCCCTCCCAGTGCCACTCTTGTTTTTGAGGTAATCACAAGTGATTTTGGGCTGGAATTACTCAACATTTCAACCCTAATCCTCGACCTGAAATGTCAGTTTCAGAATAAGATGATTTATTGTTTACATGATTGTAGATTGAACTTTTTGAGTTTCGGGGTGAGGACATAACTGAGGATGAAGATGGAGGAATTATCCGTCGTATTATGACCAAAGGAGAGGGATATTCCAAGCCTAATGAAGGAGCGGCTGTTGAAGGTATGCATCCAAATCTTTTGTCAGTAAACAAATTGACCTGGTTGCAGCTGCATCTTTTTAAGGTGGAAATTAAAACATAATCAGTCAAACTCGTCGTCGTAGTTTTTTTCCGCTTCATCTGGGTCCGGGTCGCGGGGGCAGCAGCTTCAGGAGGGAAGCCCAGATGGCCCTCACCCCAGCCACTTCCACCAGCTCCTCCGGGGGGATTCCCAGGCGCTCCCAGGCCAGGCGAGAGATGTAATCCCTCCACCTGGTCCTGGGCCGGCCATGAGGTCTTCTCCCGGTGGGACATGTCTGGAACACTTCTAACAGGAGGCGCCCAGAAGGCATCCTAACCAGATGCCTGTGCCACCTCAGCTGACTCCTCTCGACATGGAGGAGGAGCAGTTCTACCCTGAGCGCCTCCCGAGTGTCCGAGCTCCTTACCCGTTCTCTAAGGCTGAGTCCAGCCACCCTGCGAAGGAAACCCATTTTGGCTACTTGTATCCGCGATCTTGTTCTTTCGGTCATTACCCAAAGTTCATGGCCATAGGTCAAACTACAAATCATAAACATAAGATGTGTGCATGCTTCTTTCTACTCTCCAAACACACTTTATTACACCAGACAAACAATGATGATTAACATGATTGTGTCTTAGTCTGCCTCAATAAGTGTTTGGGGGTTCAGTTTGAGGACAATCAGGATGGGTTTTGGCTGCTTGTTTTTTGTAATAATGTAAACAGGCAGTAGGGAACAAACAGATGTCCTCTCCCTTTTGTCACAGTGACCATGGTGTTACAAATGCCATTTCTTACATGTTGAGCACCTTGTTTCATCTGTTTACCTAATTGTAGTGAGACTCAATACTTGCATGGATTCACCCATGGCTGGAGAAGTTACTCCTTTTGGATTCTCAGATTACTTGTGATATAAAGCAAAGCAACTCTATCACCATACATCCAAACTGTTAAGCAAACGGCACTACTTATGCTTCTAAAGCCAAGTCTGTGCAAAGCGGAAATTATCAAGTGGTATGAATGTTGTCCACCTGCATTTTAACAAAAAATACCATTGTTGTATATCCTTGTTATCTAACTCGGCTGCGATTCACTTTCTCGCATTTTCAAAACAATGCAATCCGATTCAGCTTTGCGAACATGCAACTCCATCTGCAGATGTCAATCAACCGGCTGTTTTTTTTATCAACTTTCTTTTAGTTACCTTGGAGGGTTCCTGTGAGGGCCGTGTGTTTGATGAGAGGGAATTGAAGTTTGAGATTGGAGATGGGGAAGGTCTCGGCTTTCCAGTTGGAGTGGAGAAAGCTATAATGGCTATGGAGCAGGGAGAAGAGGCACTCTTCACTATGAAGCCTAAGTATATGAACTAGAAATAAATATGTATGTTTGTAGGTGTAGGTGTCGTCTTGTTTTTATTAGCCTTTACAGGGAAGTGTAAAGACTATAGTCTGGTTTGAAGTTTATGCTTCTATATTCAAAGGTTAAGATGACTAATCCTAAATGTTGTTTACCTGCAGGTATGGTTTTGGAAATGCGGGAAATGCAAAGTATAATATCCCTGGTGGAGCAACACTGCAGTACAAAATCAAGCTTACAGCCTTTGAAAAGGTAAACAGATCTTTGCACTGTGTTGCAAACGCACCTTGGCCATGGTGGCCAATTAGATATCACTCGTGTACGGTGACATTTTTTCCCTGTTAATGATGAAGGTCTGTTTTTTTCCTGTAGGCTAAGGAGTCGTGGGAGATGAACACAGTCGAGAAGCTGGAACAGAGCGGCATTGTCAAGGAGAAGGGAACACAGTATTTCAAAGTATATACGTTTTTTTTTTTTCCTTCAAAGCATTCTACAAAGAGAATTTCTAAGACAACCACTGTTGGATACTTTGTTTGCTGATGCACTCATTTCATATGCCTCAGGAGGGAAAATACAAGCAGGCATCAGTGCAGTACAAAAGGATCGTGTCATGGCTGGAACATGAGTCTGGTTTGTCAGAGGAGGATGAGAAGAAAGCAAAAGTGCTGCGACTGGCTGCGCATCTGAACCTGGCCATGTGCTTCCTTAAACTACAAGAGCCTAACCAAGCCCTGGAAAACTGTGACAAGGTGTTCAATAATTTCTTGTTTCATAAACAACCTTAGATCAATCAGTTCACAGCAGGTTAGAGACTTAAAAGTGCAAAGATTGAAAAATGCTTAAATTCTAGATGCTGAACACATTTTGCAAAATGTATGTTGATATCGCTTCAGGATTTCTTTTTTTCTTTTTGTTAAAAAGCAATAAATATTTCATTTTATCCCATTTATAATTACAGGCTCTGGAGTTGGATGCATCGAATGAGAAGGCTTTGTTCCGAAGAGGAGAGGCACTGTTTAATATGAATGAGTTTGACAAGGCCAGAGATGATTTTCAACAAGTAATCCAGCTGTATCCTGCCAACAAGGCTGCCAAGAGCCAGGTACAACTGCCCCGTGTGTAGAATGAAAATTTCAAAACTTTGTTTTTAAGTCATCAACATAACTGTGTTTGTAATACCTCCAAAAGTTCAGAGAGAAAAAATAATGTTTCCTTTAATATACAGGAGAGTGCTGCTTTGCTGTGAGCTTCTCTGACATACTTATTGTTCTGTCATTAGAGATGAAATATGAGCACCATGTTCACTTATACCTGTTATATTTGACATGATATTTCTTGGCTGTTGCAAACAGATGCTGCCCATTGAAAATGTCAAAATATGTAGAAGAATATGTGGACAATATTTAAGAATCAGGACAAATGAAACACTAAAACTGTTCATTAGTATCCTTTGTGAACTGGGTTTCTGACTTACCCCTTCTAATATCCCACCAGGTGGCCCTCTGTCAGAAACGCATCAAGGAGCAGCATGAGAAGGACAAACGCATCTACGCAAACATGTTCCAGAAATTTGCTGAGAGGGATTCAAAGGTGAAGGGTTGTTTCTACAACAGCCACAAGAGGGTGGAACAAGCATGAGTTTATATTGTCAGAGGCCTGATGAAGTAAAAAAAGTGGCTGATTTTGTTTTTGTGTTTTTTGCTGTTTCTTGATCAGAAAGAAGCTGAAAGAGTGAAGCCTGCAAATAAAGAGAACGGGGATGAAGAGATGGAGATTGAGAACGGAGAAAAAGAAGCTGGAAGTGAAACAAAGGTGTAGATGAAGACGTGACTGTTATTGGTTCATTTGTACTTTCGACTTTTGTAACTTCAGCCATTTGAGTGGAAAATGTGTGGATGTGTGTGTCAAAAGTGTGAGTGTGTGTATGAGTATGAGCATGTTAACGCAGGCACTGACTTTGGGCGCGTCTCCTCTTGCTTCCCTTGTGTCCAATCTTTATGCTGTGGCTGCAAGCCGGTTGGGTGACTTTGCCAGCCGATGGCACGATGGGTTGAGGCTTTTACAAACAAATTGTGTTCCTCCACCACCAACCTTTTTCAACCCACAGCTTTGAACGCTGCATGTGTTTTCACAGCCTCTTGGGAATAAAACAAATGCATCCTTGTGTTAAGTACATAATTTCAGACCTGCACCCGTCAAGGGCTAGACCAGTTACCTTGCACTACCCTGTGTCCTACATCCCTCCTCACATTTTATGCTCCTCCATCCAACCCTCCTCTCATGGGCCTACTGATCAATTTCTGGAGTTGTGGTGGCTGTGCATAAATGTGATGTGTCTGAATGTCAGAATACCTATGTCCCAAAGTACGTATGTAGCAGCACTGTGGATAGGTGGAGTAATCAGACAATAGCCTTGAATAGCTAGTCCACTTAAAGCTTTTCTGTCTATCTAAAGATGGAGCTCCCTTTTAGCCTTGAGAGTACAGGAGTGTTTGTCTTTATTTTTTAAATGTTTGACTTATTTTCAGTGTCGTGCTTGTGATATATGTCCTGTTATCAGAATGGATCCAACAAATTGCATAACTGGAATGTGTTTGTTTTAAAGCAGCTTAAAGGACACGAATTGGGGTCTTGGAAACACACGTAAAAACAGTTTAATATTAGTCTTAATGTAAAGTTCAAAGTACATGTATGAAAACGTGCAGCTGTGGCTCAGATTTAGGCTGTCAAGGATGGTACTCCATAGAAAAAAATGGGAACCCAGTTTATTGGAGTCAACAGTACCTGGGGAGGCAGAAATAGAGAAAGGTGGCAAATTTACAACAGAGCTGTGTTGAGTTCATCTTTTTTTTTTTGAAAGAGTCACTGCTTGTGCTGCCCTGACGGAAGGATATAATAAACAATACCTAAAACTTGACTGCAGTGGTCCAAATCTGTTCCCCTCACTCTCACTGCCATGCACCAATTGCATTTGTTCTTTGTGTATAAATGAAACATGCTAAAGACAAATATTCACTGTAATCAGGTGGATTGAAGCCAAGTACAGCAAGAGCAAAAAGTGACTATTTGGACATTAAGGAATCAGTTAAAACCAACTTTATTGCGCATTTTACTGTGATATTGAGATTTGAAACTTAATGAGGTAACTTTAAGATTATTTTGCAATGCTATATTACATCTCTTTTTTTGTTAAGTTGGAGAGCTCCATGTACACTTTCTGTGCTTCTACACATAATTAATACAAGAATACTTGCAACCGATAACAAATTAGTCAAAAAAGCATTAAAATTATGTTGGAATTGTGCAAAACCATTTTGTTGAGCTTTGGCAGGATGCACTACTTACCAATTATAGTACCTGTTAGATCCGTTGTGCCTGCAGTTGATGAGCGGTCAGAGTCTTCTTTCTCCAAGGACAAACAGGATCTAATCTGATCCTCCAGCTCTCTCACAAGGACACTAGTGTCAGCTTACAGACCTGGTATCGCTCTAAAAGCTGCTTGTTCATTGCAGGTGATCATAATGAAAGAAAAGAACAATCCCATCATTTATTCACCACTACCGAATCATGTTTGACCAGCATTAGTGGTTTGTAATTTTCTCAGACTAGATAAGCCTTTTGCTGTTTCTTGATCAGAAAGAAGCTGAAAGAGTGAAGCCTGCAAATAAAGAGAACGGGGATGAAGAGATGGAGATTGAGAACGGAGAAAAAGAAGCTGGAAGTGAAACAAAGGTGTAGATGAAGACGTGACTGTTATCGGTTCATTTGTACTTTCGACTTTTGTAACTTCAGCCATTTGAGTGGAAAATGTATGGATGTGTGTGTCAAAAGTGTGAGTGTGTGTATGAGTATGAGCATGTTAACGCAGGCACTGACTTTGGGCGCGTCTCCTCTTGCTTCCCTTGTGTCCAATCTTTTTGCTGTGGCTGCAAGCCGGTTGGGTGACTTTGCCAGCCGATGGCACGATGGGTTGAGGCTTTTACAAACAAATTGTGTTCCTCCACCACCAACCTTTTTCAACCCACAGCTTTGAACGCCGCATGTGTTTTCACAGCCTCTTGGGAATAAAACAAATGCATCCTTGTGTTAAGTACATAATTTCAGACCTGCACCCGTCAAGGGCTAGACCAGTTACCTTGCACTACCCTGTGTCCTACATCCCTCCTCACATTTTATGCTCCTCCATCCAACCCTCCTCTCATGGGCCTACTGATCAATTTCTGGAGTTGTGGTGGCTGTGCATAAATGTGATGTGTCTGAATGTCAGAATACCTATGTCCCAAAGTACGTATGTAGCAGCACTGTGGATAGGTGGAGTAATCAGACAATAGCCTTGAATAGCTAGTCCACTTAAAGCTTTTCTGTCTATCTAAAGATGGAGCTCCCTTTTAGCCTTGAGAGTACAGGAGTGTTTGTCTTTATTTTTTAAATGTTTGACTTATTTTCAGTGTCGTGCTTGTGATATATGTCCTGTTATCAGAATGGATCCAACAAATTGCATAACTGGAATGTGTTTGTTTTAAAGCAGCTTAAAGGACACGAATTGGGGTCTTGGAAACACACGTAAAAACAGTTTAATATTAGTCTTAATGTAAAGTTCAAAGTACATGTATGAAAACGTGCAGCTGTGGCTCAGATTTAGGCTGTCAAGGATGGTACTCCATAGAAAAAAATGGGAACCCAGTTTATTGGAGTCAACAGTACCTGGGGAGGCAGAAATAGAGAAAGGTGGCAAATTTACAACAGAGCTGTGTTGAGTTCATCTTTTTTTCTTTTGAAAGAGTCACTGCTTGTGCTGCCCTGATGGAAGGATATAATAAACAATACCTAAAACTTGACTGCAGTGGTCCAAATCTGTTCCCCTCACTTTCACTGCCATGCACCAATTGCATTTGTTCTTTGTGTATAAATGAAGGCGCGTCTCCTCTTGCTTCCCTTGTGTCCAATCTTTATGCTGTGGCTGCAAGCCGGTTGGGTGACTTTGCCAGCCGATGGCACGATGGGTTGAGGCTTTTACAAACAAATTGTTGTCCTCCACCACCAACCTTTTTCAACCCACAGCTTTGAACGCTGCATGTGTTTTCACAGTCCTCTTGGGAATAAAACAAATGCATCCTTGTGTTAAGTACATAATTTCAGACCTGCACCCGTCAAGGGCTAGACCAGTTACCTTGCACTACCCTGTGTCCTACATCCCTCCTCACATTTTATGCTCCTCCATCCAACCCTCCTCTCATGGGCCTACTGATCAATTTCTGGAGTTGTGGTGGCTGTGCATAAATGTGATGTGTCTGAATGTCAGAATACCTATGTCCCAAAGTACGTATGTAGCAGCACTGTGGATAGGTGGAGTAATCAGACAATAGCCTTGAATAGCTAGTCCACTTAAAGCTTTTCTGTCTATCTAAAGATGGAGCTCCCTTTTAGCCTTGAGAGTACAGGTGTGTTTGTCTTTATTTTTTAAATGTTTGACTTATTTTCAGTGTCGTGCTTGTGATATATGTCCTGTTATCAGAATGGATCCAACAAATTGCATAACTGGAATGTGTTTGTTTTAAAGCAGCTTAAAGGACACGAATTGGGGTCTTGGAAACACACGTAAAAACAGTTTAATATTAGTCTTAATGTAAAGTTCAAAGTACATGTATGAAAACGTGCAGCTGTGGCTCAGATTTAGGCTGTCAAGGATGGTACTCCATAGAAAAAAATGGGAACCCAGTTTATTGGAGTCAACAGTACCTGGGGAGGCAGAAATAGAGAAAGGTGGCAAATTTACAACAGAGCTGTGTTGAGTTCATCTTTTTTTCTTTTGAAAGAGTCACTGCTTGTGCTGCCCTGATGGAAGGATATAATAAACAATACCTAAAACTTGACTGCAGTGGTCCAAATCTGTTCCCCTCACTTTCACTGCCATGCACCAATTGCATTTGTTCTTTGTGTATAAATGAAGGCGCGTCTCCTCTTGCTTCCCTTGTGTCCAATCTTTTTGCTGTGGCTGCAAGCCGGTTGGGTGACTTTGCCAGCCGATGGCACGATGGGTTGAGGCTTTTACAAACAAATTGTTGTCCTCCACCACCAACCTTTTTCAACCCACAGCTTTGAACGCTGCATGTGTTTTCACAGTCTCTTGGGAATAAAACAAATGCATCCTTGTGTTAAGTACATAATTTCAGACCTGCACCCGTCAAGGGCTAGACCAGTTACCTTGCACTACCCTGTGTCCTACATCCCTCCTCACATTTTATGCTCCTCCATCCAACCCTCCTCTCATGGGCCTACTGATCAATTTCTGGAGTTGTGGTGGCTGTGCATAAATGTGATGTGTCTGAATGTCAGAATACCTATGTCCCAAAGTACGTATGTAGCAGCACTGTGGATAGGTGGAGTAATCAGACAATAGCCTTGAATAGCTAGTCCACTTAAAGCTTTTCTGTCTATCTAAAGATGGAGCTCCCTTTTAGCCTTGAGAGTACAGGAGTGTTTGTCTTTATTTTTTAAATGTTTGACTTATTTTCAGTGTCGTGCTTGTGATATATGTCCTGTTATCAGAATGGATCCAACAAATTGCATAACTGGAATGTGTTTGTTTTAAAGCAGCTTAAAGGACACGAATTGGGGTCTTGGAAACACACGTAAAAACAGTTTAATATTAGTCTTAATGTAAAGTTCAAAGTACATGTATGAAAACGTGCAGCTGTGGCTCAGATTTAGGCTGTCAAGGATGGTACTCCATAGAAAAAAATGGGAACCCAGTTTATTGGAGTCAACAGTACCTGGGGAGGCAGAAATAGAGAAAGGTGGCAAATTTACAACAGAGCTGTGTTGAGTTCATCTTTTTTTCTTTTGAAAGAGTCACTGCTTGTGCTGCCCTGACGGAAGGATATAATAAACAATACCTAAAACTTGACTGCAGTGGTCCAAATCTGTTCCCCTCACTTTCACTGCCATGCACCAATTGCATTTGTTCTTTGTGTATAAATGAAACATGCTAAAGACAAATATTCACTGTAATCAGGTGGATTGAAGCCAAGTACAGCAAGAGCAAAAAGTGACTATTTGGACATTAAGGAATCAGTTAAAACCAACTTTATTGCGCATTTTACTGTGATATTGAGATTTGAAACTTAATGAGGTAACTTTAAGATTTTCTGCAATGCTATATTACATCTCTTTTTTTGTTAAGTTGGAGAGCTCCATGTACACTTTCTGTGCTTCGACACATAATTAATACAAGAATACTTGCAACCGATAACAAATTAGTCAAAAAAGCATTAAAATTATGTTGGAATTGTGCAAAACCATTTTGTTGAGCTTTGGCAGGATGCACTACTTACCAATTATAGTACCTGTTAGATCCGTTGTGCCTGCAGTTGATGAGCGGTCAGAGTCTTCTTTCTCCAAGGACAAACAGGATCTAATCTGATCCTCCAGCTCTCTCACAAGGACACTAGTGTCAGCTTACAGACCTGGTATCGCTCTAAAAGCTGCTTGTTCATTGCAGGTGATCATAATGAAAGAAAAGAACAATCCCATCATTTATTCACCACTACCGAATCATGTTTGACCAGCATTAGTGGTTTGTAATTTTCTCAGACTAGATGAGCCTTTTAAGTGTTCTGTAAAGGACAGCTCCTAACAGGCCTTACCTGGGAGGGTCTGTTTTCTTACAGGGCAGTAGAAGCAATGCTTTGCTTGCTTCAACAGTGAGCCTGCTATGAACACAAGATCTAAAACAGATGATTTAACTTCAGCATTTTATTGATACTCAGGACTTTAATCAGGTGGGCATTCAATACATGGTATTCAAAAGTCATTTCCTTTCCTTTTCAGTTCCTTTGTGGACCATCTGCTTACTGAATTAATTTTTCATCTCTAGATATCAGCCATGATATTTGCTTCAAATACCACTTAACCTATGATTGAAATTTGTATGAAGGTTACTATTTAAGCACTCTCAGCTCAATGTCTAGCGCTTCCAGTCTATGTAACATGCACCCTGGCCAAGACATCTCATGTAAATTGGAGATGTGTACTAATGCATTGTGATTGGGGCTCTGTATTTGCAAGGCAGGCATGAGGTAAGTGAGTGCACATGCAAATAGAGAGAATCTGACAACCCTTTCTATCTCTACAAAGCATCTAATCTGAATACTGACATGAAAGTATCTAATAGGGCTACCTGTGTGCATTTGTACTTATAAAGGCACAACAGAAGAGTGGCAACAATTTAAGTCTTTTCAGCTTCATTTTCAGAGGGCTACTATAGAAAAAGGTTTTCTATTTTTTGAGATAAATGACTGTCCTCCAAATGGTAAGGTTTCTAACCACATGTAATTGATCTAAGGATAAGCATGTTGAATATGTTTTATTTCTTATCCTAAAACAACTTCAAGGAAAATTGCACTTATTGCCTATCATCTGATTACTTACATAAACGCACTTTGACATTAGGGGAGAGTGGGCTAAGTTGAGCCACCCCCTGTTGCTTGGCAATGCTAAAAGAAATTGATCATGTGACCAAATATTTAGGAGATGGGCATCAATTCATGGAGCCTGTGAAGGTTAGAAGCAGATGGGTCAAGGGGTTAGACATTTATTTAGACCAGTCTTTTTTTTGGTATGATATATTATCAAGACAGTTATGTTTACACTCATTCTGTTGGTTTGTAGGGATGCAAAACATCTTGAAATATATGCAGATACACTAGTTAGAAACAAAACTATGATTGCCTTGATGTAGTGATCTGAATTAAGAAAAATGGCTCATCTTACCCCACTCTCCCCTACTTCTAGTCATTTCAGCTAGACGTGTAAGAAGACGCTTGACATGAAAAGATTTGGGAAAGCTGATTTTAAGATTGATTTCACAAAGTTATAGGTACTTAGAGCCTTAAATGGGTCATTAATGCTTTGAAAATAAATATAGTAATCGGGCTGAGGCCCCGTTCCATGTAATTTAAAAGTAAGCATTAAATGTGTAGCAACTATTACAAAAAAAGGAGTATAAAATGTCAGTGGTGTCTGTTTCAGGTCAATCTGCAGAAAGGTTGACTGGAGGTGCTCAGGTTCTCCTTTTCCTCAAATCTCTGGAGTCAGTGAAGTCAAGTGGCTCTAGACAGAGTGTATTTCCGGTCTTTTATTTCATAATAAAATATCAGCTAGAACACTAGTTCACATGAAGATTTTTACAGCTGTCTATTTTTTACTTGTGTTTTAAGTTGAATTGTACAAGGTTAGTTTGGATAATTCACCAGGACTGAGCTACACTTTTTAATTCATGTAACATTAATGCTTTTATTTTGAAGGAAGCAGGCGTCTTTCCCGACACTCTTCTGTCGTGTTTCGTCTATCTTCATAAAAGTTCAGTCTGTTAAATCTGGTTTGAGACTTTACGAGTCACTCTGTGTTTGTGTTGGGTCGTGTACGGATCGCTGCAGGTCCAGGGGATCTTCACGGGATTTCCACATGATTGAATGGGCTCAGTGAGGGATACTCGCCACTCGGGGGGAAATGTTGGGATTTTTCGCGGGATGAGAGCCACCAAGGGCCGTGCGCGCTTGGGATAGCCAGGGCGCCGGTGGTGCGCACCCACCGGGAGCGGCGGCGGAGGTGGTGGTGGGTTGCTGCAGGAGGACAGGCTCACAGTCGTGTCGGACCCTCCTGATGTTAAAGCAGGTGACCTAAGTGATGAATGGCACGAAAGGATCAAGATGATCACGGCGTTTTTCCCCTTGAAGAAACTTCGGCGAAACGGCAAATATCTGCTGTTCGTGGCGATTCTGCTGGTCGGACTTTTTGCCGTGTACCATGAGATGGTCACTGCAAAAGCATGGAGCAGTGTCTCTGGTGAGTTTGTATATCCAGTTTGGGCACTGCGACAACAGGTCTTACTTGATAAGTGTTGGCATTTTAAGAGGTAGTTTGAAAGAAATGAAGGCCGCAGTTTTTACCTGGAGGCTGATTGACAGTGCTTATCAGGAAAGGTGTTCAACAGGAACTTGAAGAAGCGTAATGCTAGAAACATCCAAGGCAGTCAATAGTTGAAATATTTATTTGTAAAACCACAACTAAGGATTACAAAAGTAGATGAAAATGTATCAGTCTGCTCCTTGTGTTTTACCTTTTTTTTAATTCATCTTGTTTTTGAGTAGGAGAAGTGGTAAAGTTTTTCCACTTTATTTACTTTTTCATCTTGATGTGAGGAGTCACACACCCCAAAAGAGCACTTTTTACAGAATATCTTAGAATTAAGTGCTGTTCCATTAAACATATTAACCACCAAGCTTAATCTTTATCCCTCTTGAAGAGAATCAGTAAATTTATAGCACTGTGTTCAAACTTTGAGAGTCTGCATCTCATCACAAATTCATCATTGTTGTAATAAAGTATGTTAGTCTTAATGTAACGGTGACTGTGATACAAAGTTCATATTAAGTGTAATTATCAGTAAGCGTTAACAGGTGTAGTCTACGCCTTTATTATGATGATTCATATTTTGCTGCAGGACAGAAAGATTCCGAAGATCTTTTGTACCAACAGCCATTAGAATTTATAACTCTTGTGTAAATAGCTTCCCTTGTGTCCAATCTTTTTGCTGTGGCTGCAAGCCGGTTGGGTGACTTTGCCAGCCGATGGCACGATGGGTTGAGGCTTTTACAAACAAATTGTGTTCCTCCACCACCAACCTTTTTCAACCCACAGCTTTGAACGCCGCATGTGTTTTCACAGCCTCTTGGGAATAAAACAAATGCATCCTTGTGTTAAGTACATAATTTCAGACCTGCACCCGTCAAGGGCTAGACCAGTTACCTTGCACTACCCTGTGTCCTACATCCCTCCTCACATTTTATGCTCCTCCATCCAACCCTCCTCTCATGGGCCTACTGATCAATTTCTGGAGTTGTGGTGGCTGTGCATAAATGTGATGTGTCTGAATGTCAGAATACCTATGTCCCAAAGTACGTATGTAGCAGCACTGTGGATAGGTGGAGTAATCAGACAATAGCCTTGAATAGCTAGTCCACTTAAAGCTTTTCTGTCTATCTAAAGATGGAGCTCCCTTTTAGCCTTGAGAGTACAGGAGTGTTTGTCTTTATTTTTTAAATGTTTGACTTATTTTCAGTGTCGTGCTTGTGATATATGTCCTGTTATCAGAATGGATCCAACAAATTGCATAACTGGAATGTGTTTGTTTTAAAGCAGCTTAAAGGACACGAATTGGGGTCTTGGAAACACACGTAAAAACAGTTTAATATTAGTCTTAATGTAAAGTTCAAAGTACATGTATGAAAACGTGCAGCTGTGGCTCAGATTTAGGCTGTCAAGGATGGTACTCCATAGAAAAAAATGGGAACCCAGTTTATTGGAGTCAACAGTACCTGGGGAGGCAGAAATAGAGAAAGGTGGCAAATTTACAACAGAGCTGTGTTGAGTTCATCTTTTTTTCTTTTGAAAGAGTCACTGCTTGTGCTGCCCTGACGGAAGGATATAATAAACAATACCTAAAACTTGACTGCAGTGGTCCAAATCTGTTCCCCTCACTCTCACTGCCATGCACCAATTGCATTTGTTCTTTGTGTATAAATGAAACATGCTAAAGACAAATATTCACTGTAATCAGGTGGATTGAAGCCAAGTACAGCAAGAGCAAAAAGTGACTATTTGGACATTAAGGAATCAGTTAAAACCAACTTTATTGCGCATTTTACTGTGATATTGAGATTTGAAACTTAATGAGGTAACTTTAAGATTATTTTGCAATGCTATATTACATCTCTTTTTTTGTTAAGTTGGAGAGCTCCATGTACACTTTCTGTGCTTCTACACATAATTAATACAAGAATACTTGCAACCGATAACAAATTAGTCAAAAAAGCATTAAAATTATGTTGGAATTGTGCAAAACCATTTTGTTGAGCTTTGGCAGGATGCACTACTTACCAATTATAGTACCTGTTAGATCCGTTGTGCCTGCAGTTGATGAGCGGTCAGAGTCTTCTTTCTCCAAGGACAAACAGGATCTAATCTGATCCTCCAGCTCTCTCACAAGGCCACTAGTGTCAGCTTACAGACCTGGTATCGCTCTAAAAGCTGCTTGTTCATTGCAGGTGATCATAATGAAAGAAAAGAACAATCCCATCATTTATTCACCACTACCGAATCATGTTTGACCAGCATTAGTGGTTTGTAATTTTCTCAGACTAGATAAGCCTTTTAAGTGTTCTGTAAAGGACAGCTCCTAACAGGCCTTACCTGGGAGGGTCTGTTTTCTTACAGGGCAGTAGAAGCAATGCTTTGCTTGCTTCAACAGTGAGCCTGCTATGAACACAAGATCTAAAACAGATGATTTAACTTCAGCATTTTATCGATACTCAGGACTTTAATCAGGTGGGCATTCAATACATGGTATTCAAAAGTCATTTCCTTTCCTTTTCAGTTCCTTTGTGGACCATCTGCTTACTGAATTAATTTTTCATCTCTAGATATCAGCCATGATATTTGCTTCAAATACCACTTAACCTATGATTGAAATTTGTATGAAGGTTACTATTTAAGCACTCTCAGCTCAATGTCTAGCGCTTCCAGTCTATGTAACGTGCACCCTGGCCAAGACATCTCATGTAAATTGGAGATGTGTACTAATGCATTGTGATTGGGGCTCTGTATTTGCAAGGCAGGCATGAGGTAAGTGAGTGCACATGCAAATAGAGAGAATCTGACAACCCTTTCTATCTCTACAAAGCATCTAATCTGAATACTGACATGAAAGTATCTAATAGGGCTACCTGTGTGCATTTGTACTTATAAAGGCACAACAGAAGAGTGGCAACAATTTAAGTCTTTTCAGCTTCATTTTCAGAGGGCTACTATAGAAAAAGGTTTTCTATTTTTTGAGATAAATGACTGTCCTCCAAATGGTAAGGTTTCTAACCACATGTAATTGATCTAAGGATAAGCATGTTGAATATGTTTTATTTCTTATCCTAAAACAACTTCAAGGAAAATTGCACTTATTGCCTATCATCTGATTACTTACATAAACGCACTTTGACATTAGGGGAGAGTGGGCTAAGTTGAGCCACCCCCTGTTGCTTGGCAATGCTAAAAGAAATTGATCATGTGACCAAATATTTAGGAGATGGGCATCAATTCATGGAGTCTGTGAAGGTTAGAAGCAGATGGGTCAAGGGGTTAGACATTTATTTAGACCAGTCTTTTTTTTGGTATGATATATTATCAAGACAGTTATGTTTACACTCATTCTGTTGGTTTGTAGGGATGCAAAACATCTTGAAATATTTGCAGATACACTAGTTAGAAACAAAACTATGATTGCCTTGATGTAGTGATCTGAATTAAGAAAAATGGCTCATCTTACCCCTCTCTCCCCTACTTCTAGTCATTTCAGCTAGACGTGTAAGAAGACGCTTGACATGAAAAGATTTGGGAAAGCTGATTTTAAGATTGATTTCACAAAGTTATAGGTACTTAGAGCCTTAAATGGGTCATTAATGCTTTGAAAATAAATATAGTAATCGGGCTGAGGCCCCGTTCCATGTAATTTAAAAGTAAGCATTAAATGTGTAGCAACTATTACAAAAAAAGGAGTATAAAATGTCAGTGGTGTCTGTTTCAGGTCAATCTGCAGAAAGGTTGACTGGAGGTGCTCAGGTTCTCCTTTTCCTCAAATCTCTGGAGTCAGTGAAGTCAAGTGGCTCTAGACAGAGTGTATTTCCGGTCTTTTATTTCATAATAAAATATCAGCTAGAACACTAGTTCACATGAAGATTTTTACAGCTGTCTATTTTTTACTTGTGTTTTAAGTTGAATTGTACAAGGTTAGTTTGGATAATTCACCAGGACTGAGCTACACTTTTTAATTCATGTAACATTAATGCTTTTATTTTGAAGGAAGCAGGCGTCTTTCCCGACACTCTTCTGTCGTGTTTCGTCTATCTTCATAAAAGTTCAGTCTGTTAAATCTGGTTTGAGACTTCACGAGTCACTCTGTGTTTGTGTTGGGTCGTGTACGGATCGCTGCAGGTCCAGGGGATCTTCACGGGATTTCCACATGATTGAATGGGCTCAGTGAGGGATACTCGCCACTCGGGGGGAAATGTTGGGATTTTTCGCGGGATGAGAGCCACCAAGGGCCGTGCGCGCTTGGGATAGCCAGGGCGCCGGTGGTGCGCACCCACCGGGAGCGGCGGCGGAGGTGGTGGTGGGTTGCTGCAGGAGGACAGGCTCACAGTCGTGTCGGACCCTCCTGATGTTAAAGCAGGTGACCTAAGTGATGAATGGCACGAAAGGATCAAGATGATCACGGCGTTTTTCCCCTTGAAGAAACTTCGGCGAAACGGCAAATATCTGCTGTTCGGGGCGATTCTGCTGGTCGGACTTTTTGCCGTGTACCATGAGATGGTCGCTGCAAAAGCATGGAGCAGTGTCTCTGGTGAGTTTGTATATCCAGTTTGGGCACTGCGACAACAGGTCTTACTTGATAAGTGTTGGCATTTTAAGAGGTAGTTTGAAAGAAATGAAGGCCGCAGTTTTTACCTGGAGGCTGATTGACAGTGCTTATCAGGAAAGGTGTTCAACAGGAACTTGAATAAGCGTAATGCTAGAAACATCCAAGGCAGGCAATAGTTGAAATATTTATTTGTAAAACCACAACTAAGGATTACAAAAGTAGATGAAAATGTATCAGTCTGCTCCTTGTGTTTTACCTTTTTTTAATTCATCTTGTTTTTGAGTAGGAGAAGAAGTAGTAAAGTTTTTCCACTTTATTTACTTTTTCATCTTGATGTGAGGAGTCACACACCTCAAAAGAGCACTTTTTACAGAATATCTTAGAATAAGGTGCTGCTCCATTAAACATATTAACCACCAAGCTTAATCTTTATCCCTCTTGAAGAGAATCAGCAAATTTATAGCACTGTGTTCAAACTTTGAGAGTCTGCATCTCATCACAAATTCATCATTGTTGTAATGAAGTATGTTAGTCTTAATGTAACGGTGACTGTGATACAAAGTTCATATTAAGTGTAATTATCAGTAAGCGTTAACAGGTGTAGTCTACGCCTTTGTTATGATGATTCATATTTTGCTGCAGGACAGAAAGATTCCGAAGATCTTTTGTACCAACAGCCATTAGAATTTATAACTCTTGTGTAAATAGTAGATAGTTTTTAGAGACATATTATGTGAGACAACAGACAATTGAATTTACTTTCGGGGAAATTATCATAACATTATCAACTTATTGAATTATCACAACAGATAAGAGATTTGCTTGCAGGAGAAACAAGGGCCAACAGCAGGTGAAACAATAGGTCAACCTCAAGAGATGAAGCTTTGTGTGTGTGTGTGTGTGTGTGTGTGTGTAAAGAGAGAGGGGGGAAGGGGAGGTCAGATTGCAGGTTCACACTCTGAAGGAAGTCTCGTCTCACACTGAGTAACCAAACTTCCTGCCCTTTACCTTATTTACACCTCAGTCTACCATCTGCTACATTGCTCTCACACCCAAGTATGACATCAGGGTGTCACCGCGCCGGTGGGAAAAGAGCATGTTGGTGTCTAACCAAAAGAAAGAAATAGAGACACATGACACACACTCTCACACACACTCTCTCTCTCACACACACACATGCTCACACACTCACACAGAACAGCGCCTGACATGTAAACACATGCCTCAGACCTACATTAAAGGCCCTGCCTATCTACACATTCCTGTGCTGCAGCCCCCTTGTCACAGTGGGACTTCTTACAAAGAAAGAGCCCTGCATAGTCATTAAACAGCTGAATTTACAGGTATTTACTTAAACCAAACAGACCTTGAAATATCTTGTCAGTAGTATTAATTTATGGGGTCACGTGGTGAAAAGAGAATACAGATTACAGGTGCCACATAGAGGTTTTCCCAGATAACTTGAGCAGATATACAAAACAGGTGTAGCTCATTTCCATGATTTATAGCTTTTACGGGCAAATTTCCATGTATATTTGCAACAGATGATGGTCCAAGTAAAATTACTGACTGATTTTGCCTAAAACTCGATGAAGGGATGTAACATATTCCAAGAAATAAACTGATACAATTTTGAAATTGGATTTGGCTTAAACTAGAGAGAAAGAAATTAGTATTTTATCACAGATATTATAATACTTTAGATATATCTATTAAAAGCTTACATGGTTTAACATAATTTTACAAAATTAAACACAAGGAACTGTAATAGATAGTTTTAATAACATTTAAAACTTATGTTTAATATGAAATAATGCAAAGACAACAAATCAGATGTTGAAACTGTAAAAAGTGAAAAGATAGTCATACTCATTTAAATTTGCGGCATCGTTCTGTAAATGTTAAAAAGCTGAGGAGACCTGTTTATGTGGTTTGGAAAGTGAGAGTTTGTCAGTTTAGCACCTGGTAGGGTTTCAGCTGTCTTTATTGTTGCCAGTCTTGGTATTTTTTTAATACTTGGGGATGTTTTAGCTGACCATCTCACTGCAATCATTTACGCAGCACAGTTTGTGGTAGATTGAAAACAGGCGAGTAACATAGCATCAGCAACCATGTGGCTAAAATATCAGCAGTGTGGAAATATTTCAAACTATAAATTAAAAACAATTCAACAGCCACTTGTAATATATGCAACATGGTTGTTTTTAGAGGTGATAGCAGTAGGACTGCATTCAATTCCTTTAATTAAACAGGACATCTGAAATCCAAACATGCCACCCATACTGATGAAGAACTGATGACAACTGAAGTGGGTTAGCTCTCTTTGAGGAGCTAGAAGTTTGAGGTTGTGTAAGCATAAACTGCAGCTACAGCTGATACGATTGGCGCCCTTACGGCCTTACGACCAGACTTCTGACCCGGAAGTCAAGACAATAAAAAGCACTTGAATGAAAGCCACTTGAATGAAACACTTTAGACAGCTTCAGACTGATCCACTGCTCCTAATTGTGACATTGATTGATATCCAGACACAAGGACAGGCAAGTTCAGTCAGTAGGCCTACCTACTGGATGCTATGGTATGACTGTTTTTGCTTCATATTAGGTATAGTCTATTATATAGACGAAAAAGGTGTGGAACAATGTTATCTTGGCAAAGACAACTATCTAATAAGAACTCTGTATTGACAGATACTGGTCATTACAAAAAAATGATCAGGATCTGGGTCAAATAAGCTGATTGGGACTTCTCCAGGACTGGACTTCTCTACTTCAGATCTGTGCTGCACCAAAACCCACACTTCTTAGTATTAATGTTTCCATGGAAACTTGTGCAATATTATAATGGAATGTCAGAATTTGATTTGTCTGATCACAGGACAGTTTTTCACTTCACCTCAGCCCATTGTCAGTGGTCTCCTGCCCACCGCATTTCTGTATCATGTTAATTTATAGTTACCTCTGTCCATGGTACAGTTTACCTGCATCAGAAGATGCAGCAATTTTCAATGTACATTGAAAACATGCACCACAGAGTCGTAGCTTGGATTTAAAACAGCAACTGCTGCTATAAGGATTAGCCTTGATATATTGGGTTGCACTAGACAAACAGCACCCCTTCAATTTACAGTATTTTCTGCATATTTACAAGTGTAGTCTGCTCTGAAGCGACACTTGTTTATCCAGGCTTTTGGTATTTAGTTTTTGTAGTGTGTTGTTAAGCGCCTTGGGTATCCTGAAAGGCGCTATATAAATGTAAGATATTATTATTATTATTATTGTAGTTAAAGTGCATTTTTTATATATATATAAATAAAAAGGAGTATTAAAGAGGATGCATCCCTGTCATTATCATAAAAGTACATAATGACTTAATGGCTCCTGAGAGTATCTGGCACAGGCAATTTCATGAATAAAGACAAATCTAAGTTATTATATGTCATTATAAGACTTTTGGTTCATTGTGGCTGAAGTAAATCCAGGTTATTGTAAACTGTCAAGAGTACAGTGAAAGATCGACGCAGTTTATCACAGGAGGAGGCTGGGCTGGGTTGGGTCTTTAAGGGAAGGCTTGTTTTTCCCACATGTAGGTCACACAGGCACTCAAGAACAGAGATAACGTATGAAATGCTCCTGTTAATAAGTGCCTTAATGGAGCCATTGTTGCCGGGCATGAATAGGTGATCATTTCTACCTGGTGATTCTCTGAAACATTTTACTTTAGAACAAAAAGGTGGAACTCAGGTCTTCTTTTACACTGTTTGCTTTACTTTGACTGCGTAAACTCTCCAATAAAAACTGCATACAAGTGCCGTAGAGCTAGTTTAAGCTCCTTATCTGAACAAATCTTGTGTTTTGAAGTATCTGGAAAGTAGCTGTGCTAGACCTGGAATTAAGTATCTAAAACAAACAGATGTAACACAACAAAACCTCGTCTCTCTTCGTTATTCAGATTTTTATGCCTTTTGTTCGGGATGAAGGCTTTTAGAGACCTACAGCATTGTTCTTCTATCATATAGAGAATCTGAAAAATAAATCAGTAAATTTGACCAAAAAGCTGCACTGACAGTTAGTTTGATATTGCTAAACATGATGATCTAATGCGTCATAAATAACAATTGTCTGTGGTGACCTAAATGTGACAAATATGGCAACAGAGGTGTTGGCAGAAAGACTGGATGAGTGCAGATGAAGATAAAAATACTCCCCTCTTGCTTTTCTTAACCACCACTCTAGGGTTACCAGTGTCTCTAAAATTGGTCCCCACGTCTCAAGGGTGTGTGCTTGGAGATCTCCACCCTGGTGATAATAACAGACTATGACTCCATGAGCACCACAACCCCAATTCACTCACTTACACCACAGACTCATAAAACACTGAGGCCCTCTTTTAAAACGTGCCCTGCTCTATAATTTGAAAAATGAGGAACGAAGTTTTGAGAATAATATTTCTGCCTCTGCTCTGCTACTGCACCAGAGACGAGTGCGGTTGCATCTCGTTAAGATTTAGTTTAGTTAAATCCAGTTCATGAGCTGGGAGAGGGTGGGACAGTGAGCTTTGTTGTTCATGCAAATATGATCACAGGGAGATTCAATGAAGCATTAGGCAACTTGGATAAACAGGGAGACACTGAATGTGATTGATAGCGACCTGCATACTTTTTTTTGTCATTTGATCTTCAGCAAACACGAGTATATGTTTCTGCTTTATCTTGATCGAAACAATTTTCCTATACACCACCAAGATGGAAATGAAGTTACACGCTCTCTTGGCCCAAAACTCATTTACTTTGAATGCAAAGCCAGAACATCAGTACAAGAAAACAAACCTGACCCACAGACAAAGAAAATCACAAATTCATTCAAATGAGAAGAAGATACTGTGTGACTTACAGTCATCAGCCCTGCCCTGCTCTGATTATGTTCTCCCTTTTCTTTGTCAGGCATGAATGGTGAAGCTGGCGGCAGCTGGAGGACAGCCATGTTTGAAGAAAGGGTAAGGTTGATGCCTGGAAAAAGAAGTGGCTGAAGAAAGAAAAAAACAGTAGCTAAAGGAAAAGAGGTAAAGTAGGATTTAATGTGTGTGCTTTCAGGCCAGAAATGACCATCAATCAGTATTTGAGGAGGACTCTGCTGCCTGGAGATCCAGCTTTATTCCACAAGTCTGGAAACCAGAGGTGTGTATTTAAGTGTGTGTGTGGCCTGTTTTATTTTGGTGTGTATATGTGTGTGTCCACAATATTGTAAACTCCAACACCGTCTCAACTCTCCTGAACTCTATATTACCTGTCCAGGCCTGCCCAATCCCCTCCCTCCTCAGTGTGTTTACCTCAGTGTACACTACTATATATTTACTGCGACGGAGCCTGCCTCTGCTGCTTCTGTTGCTCAGTGTCAGGGTCATCATATTTCCTCTATGTTAAGCAGCGCTGTGCTTCACCCAGTTGCTTGCACCTCATGTTTCTTGTTCAGAGACAGTGGTTGTTATGGTTAGGCGTTTCCACTCCTCAAACCAATACAAGCCATCATCAAAATTATCAGTCCACTCATCTTTTATGGAGTGCACTGCTGCAGTTATGTAGTTATCTGCCAAACAGTCACTTGACCTGTCTTTTGCTTGACATTTATCTATACAGAGAGAGATCATCCCAAAATCTGAACGCGCCAAACTCTCTCTGAGAAAGCCAGCTGCATTCACTGTGAGATGACATTGATTCTCTCAGCAGCTTAAAAATCAAAGCAAAAAACCTGCTGAAAGATACTTAGTGCTGTGTGTTTGCAATGCACTGCCCTATGCTCAGGATGTCTTACAACAGTGTGATGTTTTTTTATTGTGACCTGCCAAGAGTCAGCAGATATAAATTGGCTCAAAGGTAACTAGCACAATGCATCAAATGGTCATAGCTAACTCCTTTAACTAAAGCGATTGTTGTCAGTCAAAATATTAAATCAGAAACATGAGAAAGAATACTCTGCAGTCAAGTTCTAAAGCGCAGCATGTTAAGTTTCTTTACACTTTGTGCTTGTCCAAAACAGAGCATATGTGCACACACTGCAGGTTCATTATAAAAAATCAGTAAAACAAGAAAGGGAGTGAAAGATAAAGGCAGAGCTGGAGTCAAAAAAAAAAAACACAGTCTCTATTACAGACGTGGAAAACTGACACAAAGAGTCCTGTCAGATGATTTTAGCCACCACAGGGTCTTTGGGGCTGTGTGAGTCATTCTTTTACAGCCTTTTGTCCTGCCCTCAGGGCCGGAGTCATGCTAAAATTTAACTAACTGTGCTGATGACAGCAGAAGGTTTGGCCTAAGCACTAATGAAGCCCCATGAATTAGTGGTTAGTAATACTGAGGCTTTGCTTTGGCTCTTACTTGCTTCAATCAGCTGCTGCACCGCCGTCAGCACACACAGATCAGATAACACAGCCTCTTTGGCAGATGTCACACAGGTGTTTGTTTACAGGACATCTGGACTCCTGCGTCTTCAGTTACATGAATGTATGTCTTCCAGCATTTTCTACAGACTTTCATGGGAATGATTACAGGTGCGGAGGAGAAATTTGACAGCAGTTTCCATTGTCACTGAATCCTTGTGATCCACCCCTGAAATGGTGTATAGCTAACAGAAAGGTTTATGTTACCCCAACCACAATGAAAGCTTAACCACCTCTTGTGGTATCCAACCATTCAGGTAGTTTTGGCTACCTGAAAAGTTGCCCAATGCAACTTTATACAAAAGACATTGTTTTTTTTTTTGTTTGTTTGTCTTTTAATGTGGGTGAAGTTACATGTCAGTAGAGTGGAAGAATGGTGGATAATAGGAGATGGCTGACAATTGGAAACAGTAGTCCCTGTCCCTGTATTGTCACGTAGTATCTGAGGACGTCTGAATTTGTTGGTTTTAGTTTGCTTTGTACTGGGCCCAGATGGTTAATTGTCTCACCGCTGACTGTCTGCACTAAAAACATCCATGTGTGTGTCTCTCCCCTTCCTACAGTATAAGGGACAGGCCAATCTGCATGTCTTTGAGGACTGGTGTGGCAGTTCTACCGCTGACCTCTTCAAGAACTTGCACTACCCACTGTATCCACATGTGAGTCATCCGTACATCTCCTACATTTCCTACATGTGCTATAGGGATCAAAGTAGTGCTGGATGCGCTGTTTTGATGTTTGATACAGAACAATCTCATCAGTAATTGATTGGATTGCCATAAAGTTTTGCATTTGTTAAAATGTCTGATTTGGTATTGTGTCAAATGTGCCTCTGCCACTGTTTTTTAGATTGTGAAGCTCCGGGATTATCTTTTTTTTCTTCTGACAAAGGTGGCGAGGAAAAACTTTTAGCTAGCTAGTGCTGTGGCTAGGACCCTATCAGTACTGTTGATGAAGTTAGATACTGTTCTGAGCATTATTTGTGGCTATAGAGTGGCAGTTCCATAGACCGCTGTGTATTGCTATCATGCGGTCTTTACTAAAGTTGGTATAACCAGAGAAGCAAGCGGTCGGCAACATTCATCTCTCGAGGGGGTGTCTAACTCGGTGTTACGATGTGTTTGACCCTAGATTAGTTTTTTGCCGGAATATCCCTTTAACAGGCAGAAACCTTGAGCAGAACTCGGCTCATGTTAGAAGTCATCTGCCATTACTGCATTGGGTTTAGAGAGGGGATCGAGGGAGATACAGTACATACAGATGTACAGTTACAACGCCAGACATAATTAAACAAGTATGTGAACTATTTACAGTAACTCTATGCTGATGTTAATAAACTAATAACAGGTCTTGTGTAATAGCAGAGCACTGATAGCCTGTTGAGTTGAGTAATGAAGGTTGAATTCGGACAGTTGAAGCAGAAAGAATCAAAAAAGCTTGTAACAGTAATGAAAAATAGAGAGACTGGTGTTTCAAGGTTTCCATTTCCTTTGTGCTTGTGAAGATGCAGGTTATCTCAAAAAGACTCTCAAAACTAAATGTGGTCGCTCAGTCATCACAGAACATGCTACGTAAACCCATGTCACCACATGTCGTCCTGTTTAACTGTTTCCCGTGCGCTTCTGCATTGTTGAACAGTCCAGTTTATTAGTCAGTCATGTTTGTTGACTTCATTTTGATACTTCCTCAGAGTGAGCGCACCTGCTAAGAATCAGTCTGTGGTTTAGTCTGTGAGCATGCTGATGTGACATTTTAACCCAGCTGCTCGCAGGAGGAAAACTCCTCGTCTTCAAAGTTTCTTCATGTAATATGTAGTGTCTCAGAATTACACCAAAGTTTTTCAAAATGTGATCAGTAAGTTGAAAAGTAAAATAGGACTGGACTTTTTTGCAGAAATCAGTGATGCCTTTCATACTTTTTTAAGATATTTGATTTTAGTTTGAAATTTTCTCTCGTGTCCTTTCACACCAAAAACCAAAATCATTCCAGCTTCGCTCTCACATGTTTATCTGTCATTTGTTCAGATATTTTAAAACCTTATGCAGTCACTGTTTATCTGACCAAAAAGCACCTCAGTGTTTGATGTTTCAAAGACATTCTTGCACACACTGACACAAGCCTAAGCAAACACGCACACAATGTTTTTTTTCACTAAGAGCTACATTCTGCATCCGAATGCGAGATCTCTGCACCCATAGACTGAACTAGTCTCTCCCTGAAAAGGTCACTACTAATTCTCTGTCTTTCTTTCTTCATTTTCTAGTCCAGGATCACATTACAAAAGCTGGCTGTCTCTCCTCAGTGGACCAACTATGGGCTCAGGATTTTTGGTTACATTCATCCATATGCTGACGGTACGACAGGAGCTCTTTAATCCTCTTCCTGTCTGTTAACTCACTGAGAACATGTAAAACACCCTCTCCAAATCTGTCTCTTCATCTCTATTTTTTTCTCCCTCTTAGGGGACTTTGTGTTTGCTTTGAGCTCTGATGACAACTCTGAATTCTGGCTCAGCACAGACGACTCACCATTGAACTTGCAGTTGCTGGCATGGGTTGGAAAGGTACACATGTCTGTCATCTTTTTGAAGCGTCTTGTTAACTACATGATCGTCTAATAAAATAAAGTCTCTTTTACTAGACGGGCAAAGAGTGGACAGCCCCCGGAGAATTTGAGAAATATGCCAGTCAAATCTCCAGACCAGTTTTGTGAGTACACACCTGACAACATTTTACTGTCAAATCAACCTGTATGCATGCATGCATGCAGGAGTTGACCTCTGTTCGAACTTGCTCTTTGCATGACTGCAGAATACTGTTGTGTTATTACTTTATGGCGTGAAAGAAAAGGAATACATACAAGTAAATTTGCATTTTAAAAAAGACGGGTCATCAGCCTCTTTTTAGTTGTGAGCTTCACATTTCTCAAGAGCTTTCCTTCTTCTTTAGGACTGTGTAGGTGTAAAACCAGACTCACCTGTGATTACAATCTGTCTAAAACTGTTGAAATACTGGTTGGGTCACTGGTTTATCAGCTCTCCTCTCTTTTTTCAGCAGATGTCTCACCTCTTTTCACTCCTGTCAAGAGATCATTTTAACAACAAAGCTAAAAAATCTCTTTTAAAGGGCCACTCCGATCATTTTTTTTACTACTTAAAGTGTTATCAGTGGTCGTAGGAAATCTCACTCAATCTGAGTCTGCCGTTTGGGTCTACCAGAGACTCACAGTGATTTGAACGAGAAATACTCACACTTATTTTTCTCATGATATGTCCTGTAGCATCAGAAAACTGCCATATGAACAAGCAGACATCAAGAAAAATATGATTTTCATCAGAGTGCATCTTTAAAAAATCTGGACATCATCAAAAACCTTACATCTTTACAAATTACCCCCTTGCTTTGAGCAATAAGTTAATTAAGAGAACGACACGTTTTTGAGACATTAACTATCAAATATTAGAATACAACACAAAGTTATTGGATGCTATCCTGCAAAAAATTTATGGACAGTAACAGATTTTTAACTAGTGTTTGGGTGCAATCTAACATTACTTGCTGATCACCCCTCAGGTTGTTTTGCATATTCTCTTAAATCAATTCTGAGACTCAAAACTTGACACTACATTGTTTGCCTGAAACTGCTGCTGTCGAGGAGGAGGAGGAGTGTGATTTATTTTTCTCCTCTTATAATGAGAGTATCTAACATTAAAGATTGAAGACATGCTGTATTCACACTTGGATGGCACTGGAAAACATAAACAGTCTGACAGCATGGTAGGGCGGCAGTTTAGTGAGCAACATTATCCAGGTCAGCTAGACTACATGACTTCTCATTTTAGTTTTTGCAGCACAAGTTAAAATTGTTCTACTTTGAAGGGTAGTGGCTTTTGTTTCTACTGTCTTTATTGTTTGTTGTTGGCATTTAAAGTCTGTTTCCCGTTAAAAGAAGTGCAAAACTAGATCACAGGAGTATGATGTTAATCTCATGAAACCTCTGTGCTAATGACCCCAAGCATAAGCAGGTCTATGTGAATGTTACAGGAATCTGAAACCCATCATAAGGCTATACGCTACTCAAAGCATCAATGCTGACACACTGGAAACCTGCGTCACACTGCGTGGGCAGTTTTAAGTGTATGACAGGAAAATTTCACAGCTGCAGAACTCTAGACCAGTTTGGTGAATTGCCACAAGTTAAAGCTCAGGTGCTTCCGCGTGACTTTTAGATTATTTGTTTTGTGTATATTTTACAAATATGCGTCTCAACAGGAAGATGTGTTACAGGAAATACTCAAGGGGGAAATATTTAAAATGTCTGATCGGAGATACTTTTAAAACAGTAAATCTGTAAGAGAGAAACATTAAAAAAACAGTAACAAACACACGCTGTACAGTACCATGAGGCATCAAGGTAGCAAACAACCAACAATTGATTAAAAGCAATATTGATATTGATCACCATTTAAAAGCAAAGGAAAAATGCCTCTAAAATTTGTGACTGCAAGGGGTGATCATGATCATCCATGAGGGGAGCCATCCCTAAACAAGCCTAATGGACAACAATGATTCCCCCTCACACTCACTTTTAAAAGATTTTTATCAACACTTTTACTTACTTTTGAGTGTTGACAATGTTTTTTTTTTTTTTGGTTTTGTTGTAATTAAGTTGTCTTTTCAATGTGATGCAAAAATTATTTATCTTTGGGGACAATAGGTTGCTTTTTCGAATTGCTCAGTGTTCACAACAAACTTTAAAAAGGAGGAAAAAGTGAAAGAAATTGGTTTAATCCTGTTCTGTCCACATTCAAACTCTTGTTGAGCCTAATTTGACTTCTGCTGTTGGATAGGTTGTCTGCTGAGAGGAAGTACTTTTTTGAAGTTATCCACAAGCAGAACGACATAGGGACGGACCATGTGGAGGTGGCAGTAAGTAGTTGAACTTCTTAATTTCAGAACAAGTCCTTTCATTCCCTCCGTTTTGTCAGATCAGTGCTGATGTTCTCGTAAATTATGAAAGTGTTCGAATAATGTCGTTGTTTATGTTCACTTTCTCACACAGTGGCAGCTCCTGAACCAAGACATAAGGTTCATGGTTATTGAATCTCATCACATCTCTCTGTACGTTGGTAAGTACACAAAAACAAATGCCTCATTGCCCAAGACATGACCTTGTGAATCTTGATAGGTGTAGAGCTCAGGGTAAATCATGTAGTCCTGGCCTGTTACCTTATCATGCATTCTGCAATGATGCTTACGCTGCAAACATGCCCGTGGTTTTTCTTGCGCAGTAAATATGCCAACGTTTCACTCATGCATATGATCTGTGGCTTCACCTCACAGATGAGTCAGCACTTTTAATGAGTGACATCGAACACATACCGCAGACGGCTGTGAGCCACCAACGCACCGCTACAAAACATCACAGTGCCACAGCAGACATGCTGAGAGAAGACGTGCGAGACTCTCTCTACAAAGGTGAGAAAGGTCTCTCTGTTGTCTGGCACATGAATCTCTCACCTGCTCCCTCCCTCTCAGGTACTTCTAGCTCCTCCTGGTGTAGGTGCAAAATAAAGTAATACATGTGCTTTTTGTTTGTTTTTAGTACCGCTGATGGACAGCAAGTACTTACAAGGTGTTCTGCCTGACTGCTTATACAAACCCAGCTACATAATCAAAGACTTCCCTCTGATGCGCTACCAAGGACTGCAGTTTGTATGTATTTATGATTTTTTTTTTTAAACCATTTTCATGTAAAGGTCTTAATTCAAACAATCCAAGGCTTAAATGAGAGAGAAGGAGAACAATACTTTTTCTCCTGTTTTAAGTGGCTCATATTGGTGAAGGAAATTTTTCCATTTCTCACAGTGCCCTTATTTCCTCTGTTATTAGCGGTATCTTCCACCAGAAATTCACCTTATCTAAGTTTCTGGAAATCTAGAAGGATGTATAAAGACACTCTAAATGCCCTCAGCGTCACGGTGAGCCACTTTGTGGTTCTTTACTGGCAGTCACTGTGAGCCACGTTGTGGTGACTTCCTTGGTCTCTGGCAGTTTCCTTGCAAGATAAGAGAGAAATCAAGACTAGAGGAAGTCACTGACAGACTGAGTGGTTGCTGTGCACCTAACCACTATAAAACCAAAGCACTTTACTTAACACTTTGACTTTTTAAGAAACTAAACAAGTCATTGGTCTTTACATTCAGATCACAACAGGTCAGACGTTTTTGTTTTTAAATGAAAAGTTTCTTTGAATTAAGGCAGTTTTCAGTTTGGATACTTAGTACTCTTGGTCATTAAATATGCAACTTAATCGCAGTAAAAATGTTGAAGATCTTAGTCTTTTTTTTCTTTAGGTCACTTATAGTCATAAGTTCAAACTTGAGCGTAAAAATTTGGACCTGCCTCCAACAGAGATTCAGGCAGTGTCTTTTACATTCCTAAAATGCGTCATTCATTCGCATCGACTTGATTCTTATCCGTGGTACCATATTATCATCATGCTATCAGTTAGTGGCTCATGCACCCCAGGGAAACTCTGTGTAGCAACTGCTTCCTTCAACAAAAGGCCACTGGGAGTTTTAAGTGCGCTTGCATCTGTGACTCCTTTACTCACTCAATCCACTTTCGTGTTTAAAGTGATTTATTATTCAAAAAAAAAAAGGAGAAGAAAACTCACAGTCCAACACTGACCCAGGTCCAAACTTTTGCCTACAAATGAAAGCTGGTATGATGAAATGAGGGTAGAAGGTTGAGTAAAAAACGGTCAATAGACAATTATCAGAGCTCACTAAAACCCATTGTCTCCCAAACACCATAAAACCACACCTCTCAGTGTCGATCCCCAGAGACCTCAACATATACATTTTGTCTATTTTGGCAACATCTCCCACTACTCTGATAAGAAGACAGACCACTGCAGGATGACTGATGCCATCCAGTCAGTGTAAAATTCAGACATGTAATGATAATAATAATAACTTTATGTATATAGCACCTTTAAAAACAGAAGTTTACAAAGTGCTTAGACAACAGTTGCAAGCACAGAACATCAGCACATGAAAATAAAAACACATAAAAACAAAAGCTCAGTTAAAAACAGGCCTCTGAATTGTAGGCCTGTTTCATTTTTTAATAATAAAAAAAAACATTAAAATCAATGAAGGACCTGAGAGATAAAATAAGAAAAGATTATAAGTAAAACAAAGGCTAATGTGTGTCTTCATCTCCTCCCTTTGTAAGGTTAAGCCATTTGTTGACTAATTTACTGATAAAACAGCAAAGGTCTCTCGGATCAGTATAGCTTACAGCAGTTCTTGTGTTGATTTGAAGCAGACCCTTGTGGTCACGGAAAGTTTACTGGCTTTGTGTTAATGTCTGTCACATTTTCTCTTTCCGTCCCTCCTCTCCTTTGCTAACCTGGTGAAGAGTGCTAGAGGAATCACAATGTCACAAACCCTTTTTTTTTTAAGTTCTCTGAGAAATAAACAGACTCAGCGTGATGAGAACTGTAATGACAAGGAGCATGTTTGAGAAAAAAAATACATATCACATCTCTCTTGTTTTTCTAGTTGGACTCATGTTTCAGTGTTGCTTTATTCATGTCTTGAATTTACAACTATTAGTCCTCAATCTGTTGCACAACCTGCAAATCATGTTTTGTTCCCACTTAACCTTTACACGCTCTTGTTTTGATACCCGAGGACTGGTGTTGGATAACTCTCATTATACAAGATCTCATGATTCATCATTGAGCTCTCAATGTTAAATCAGCATATTCACTTTTCGTCCCCAGGTGCAGATGTCCTACATCTACCCCAACGACTACACCCGCCTCACTCACATGGAGACGGAGAACACCTGCTTCTATCCGTACAGCCACTACTACAAGAAGAAGTGAGACCTTTATGCATAAACATGACAATGAATAAAAGATGCAAGTGTAGTAAGACTTACTGTGACATTTGGCACGATGTGAAAATGCATGCGGTAGTAGTTTAACCACTATTCAATGATGTAACTCTAACTCTGCTGGGAATCTTTGACATTTTGGCATAAAGAGTCCTATCTTCAGTCTGATAACACTAGGAACATTAATTTCTTCCTCAGCCTTGCTAAAAATTGTGTTCATGCTCTTTCTCCAGATTTGGGTTTTCTAGATACATGAAATTTGACCGTCCCAAAGAGGGTAAAACGTGCTTCTTTTTCTTTTATGAAACATAAAGTCACTTTGTTGTCGTAGATACATCCATCACACTCTTTTTCTCTGTCTCTGATTCTGGTGTGTGGTAGATTATGGTTTTCAGAGGAGGAAATCAGTGCAAGATGAAGAGGACAGGAATAATGATGACATCTATAACCAAGAAATGGGAGACAGACCAGGCCAGATGGGTAACGCTCTTTTTCCAGACTATGGTGATGACTATGACGACTATGTCCAGAACCGCAGGCGCAGACTCTTTTCACTAGCCGACCAAGACATTCACAATGACTCTGATACAAGACTTGGTGCGCGAAAGCCCCGGCCAGTGGCACCACAACCAGCAGAGCAACTTCAGGTATTGCCAAAAAAAAACCTGCATATGCAACAGAACCTGACAGAGCTGAGACATGAAGGCCAGATTAAAATAGCAAAAAAGGTGAAACGAAAAAGGATCCCAAAACCAGCGAAGGGAGGGAAGCTCGGATCATTAAAGAAATCTGTGATACGGATAAATGTAACAACGACAACAGTGGACAGAGAGCAGCATAAGGTAAAGAAACAACCAGGAGTCCGGTCAAAAAAGATCAACCCTAAGCAGCTTCAGATTCAGAAGTCTAGTACAGCTGCACAAATCCAAAGAATCAAAACTGCAAAACTCAGACCTGTAAAGAAGGACTCCTCTCAGCTTGGAAAACCCAAACAGGCCAAGCAGTTGGGACATGTTACCAAAGAGATGAAGTTCAAACCAGCCCCCACCATCCCTGAAAGAGAGCACCCTTCAGAGAGGCTCAATCAGAAAGACCCAGATCACAGGAAACACCCCAGAGATGAGAGAGAGATCAACATGCCTGAAGGACGAGAGGACTTTGATAATCACATCCACAGGGACGAGGGAATCACCAGAATGAAAGAGGACACAAAGTGGAACAGAGAGGAGGACTTAGACTTTGCAGTTGTGGATGACGAGGACCTCACACCTGCACCGGTGTTTGATCCAGAGGTCTCCTGGAACCAGACCTTCACCATGAGCATCATGGACCTTCAGGCACAGCGATCAGATCAGATTGACCTGAGTTGCAATGTTTCAGGCAACCTCCTGCTCCACTCCAGTGATGCTCTGCCCATGGCTGAGGCTTTCATTCAGCAACTCAACAAAAAACACAACGGGTACGTACTTGTGTTTGTATTATCAGCCAGTGTGTAAGAACTTGTGTGTTTTTGTGGCAAGAATGAGCTGCAGTTCATTGAGATATTTTTTTCATGATAAAGGATTAAAAAAAAAACAATACTCTTGTTACTATGATGCTTGTGACTAAAAAAAAATTGAGCTATGGTATGGTAATTATGAGATAAATTGTGAAACTTTTACACATTTCCTATATTTCCTGACACTTTTGTGATTGCAAACTCAAACTTTTGGGTAGTGGACTAACAGTTTGATGAAAGAAGACGACTTGATTCCCCTTTTTTCATTCATAAATGACTATAAATAACCTTTAAGTCAGCAAAGTAATTGACTTTATAATAATAATCACTGAATAATCAGGGATTTTTAATATTGTTGGTCGCAACCCTATTTTTGTCAACAGAGTATGAACTCACCCTCTTAAACTGTTTGATGTGAAAAAACTTCCACTACTTTAAAAAAGTTATCTACATGATAGTTATTGGGCTCTATTTTCGTTCGCGCCGGTGAGGCGGCGGAGGGCGGCGAGCCCCGCGCAGTTGTATTTTCGTCTGGCAGAGCCCGGCGTAAGGCGAGTTTGGTATTTTCGTGGACTGAGTCGCACGGAGGCGAGCCGAGATCCGCCAAGCTGGGCGTGGTGGCGTGGCAGGGGGAGGTGTTGACAGAATCAGCTGGCGCAGTGACATTTTCGTGCTCGCCACCGGCGTGTAACGTGCGCTGAAAGCTCGCCGATTCAAACCTGGTCAGCTTTCAGCGCAAGGCGGAACGCAGCTGGTCTAGTAGTATTTTGGTAGACCGGCGGCGTATCAACATACGTCACTGATGCCTCACCGGCAGGTTTCCACAGTGTCAGGCAGATTTCGGTGCAATAAATAATCATCATCAACTATTAATCTGAGTCAGCACATACATTTAGATCTATATCGATATATTCTGATCTATATCTGATCTGATGAGCGCGTTTGGCACGCGTTTGGGCACACAACCTGACCGAATCAATACAGCTGAAACTGCATCAAATTAAATTAAATATCTAGTAAATAAACACACATGATGAAGTTAACAAGATACGTAATATGTCTCCCTCCTTTTCTTTCTTCCTCTTATTTCTCGCACAGTTCGACCTGGACACGTCTCCGTGTCCTCTGTCCGTCTTGCTGCTGCTGCAGCTGAACAGATGATTTGTTTCAGTGCTCAGATGCGTTATCTACTTTAAGCCGACACACGGATATTTTGATATTTAGTTTTGTGGGCCAAATTTAGTTTATATGCCAACATCTATGAAAGAAAGAGCCAGGCCACGGAGCGCGATGCGTCATTTACGCACAGATGGTTCCGATTTTAATGCCATTTTTGGAGTTTATGTTGTGATCTGTGCGCTAAACCCACCTTTGTCACGTGAGGTTTGAATATATGCAACTTTATGTGAGTGTCTTTTTTGTGGAAAAGGGTGTTTGTCTTACCAGTGGGTCCAACATTACGCACACCAAATCCATCTGTGCTCAGATGAGAGAGTGTGGAGGACACTTGTTGAGGAGCTGCCCTCTGTCGTCATCTTGTGGCATAACTGTCTTCAGACATCTCTTGATCTCTTTGACTACTTCATGAAAATAGTAATACGCCTCGCCGGTGGCGGATTTAAAGGCAAGGAGAGGAGCTTATGTGATTGGTGAAAACAGGTCTCGGCTGTGTTAAACTCACTACATGCTCTCTCCTCCCCGTCTATGATTTATGCTGCCGGGAGGAGCTGAGTTAGGGAGGGGGGATACTTACGCCGGGCTGCGCGGCTCACCAAAATACCAAAATGTGCTTGGGAACGCCTTGTCAGCGCGGCGGATCTGATTGACGCTGCGCTTGCGGCACGTCTCCGGCGAGGCACCAAAATAGAGCCCTTAAAGTGTGTTCACCATGTTCCTGATATTCTGTCTGAACTTGCAGGAGGTTTACTTTGGTACGGGTTGTCAACGTGGTGAAGAGAGTGGATGGGATCCAAGGTAGCCGCTACCTCCTGGAGCTGGAGCTGATGGATGCGGACGGCCAGCTACTGCGCGTGTCACACTACATCTACGCCCTGATTCACCGAAATAGGCGGTACAGAGACAACTTCAGTTTCCATCAGGCGAAACCGCAGCTGGTGCTGTGCAACCCAGTGGGCTTTCACTGGAACCCTGCAGCAACCGTTCACTTTATAGTCCCAGGTACACCTCATCACAGCCATTTCATTTTTCTCCAAAGCAATTCTTTCTCATATTTTTTTCTCAGTTTTGTGTAGAACCTTTTTTTGTTTTACTATTGTGTTTTCAAGAACATTTGACAAGCTCCTCAGGCTTCAACCTTGGAGAAGTTGTGCTTTATTTCACTTCATATGTTATTTTCAAGCATTTTAGAAAGTATCATAAGGGGAACACCAGTAAACACCATGAGAAAATTAGCAGCTACTCTGTCTTGATCTGAACTTGCAGCAAAATATAGACAAAGATAAAAAGTCAGATGTTTACTCGAAGACCAGATTCACACTTAGCATTGCACTGCACATCATCTGTTAGCAGCTCTATCTGATTCAATCTGATAAGAAATGTTCTTATATAAACACTGACATGCAGTTATTGTAGAGAATTCTGTTTTTACAAGTTTATTTTTGGGCTTTTATTCCTTGATCGAATGATAGATAAAGAAACTTGGAAGAAAGGCTTAAAAAACGCATGTTCTTTGGGATCTAACTCAGCCTGAAGTACCATAGCCACTGTACTCCGACTCTGCACAATTAAACCAAACTCACACACCACAAGTACAGGTCTCCTTTGAGTTTTGTGTATTGATGCATTACCAAACATCCCCCTCAGTGAAAAACCAGGCTCGCTGGGTGCTGCAGCTGATATCTGACATGGAACAGCTGTTCATAGAAACTGGAGACACCAACTTCAATCTCATCATCGCAGACTACAGCAGCACTGACATGGATGTGAAGAGGGCCCTGCAGAAATCCAAACTCATCAGGTGGCGGTTTGTTTACTTCACTTTTAAGCTGAACTTGTAGGGCTTGTCAAACAGGATATGTGTGTCCTCAAACTATGTTTGTGGGGTTTATCAGGTACCAGTATGTTAAGCTGGGAGGAAACTTTGAGCGCTCTGCTGGTCTGCAAGCAGGTATCAGCCTCATAGATGTGAGTACAGCAACGTCAGCCAGCAATGCAGAGTTGAGATGAAGTATTTGACGATGAGGAGACTGTATCAATAAAACTCTTTCCCTCCTCTTTACCCCTCAGGATGACCACAGTATTGTGTTTCTTTGTGACCTTCACATTCACTTCCCTCCCTCCATCATCAACACCATCAGGAAGCACTGTGTGGAGGGATACATGGCCTTTGCTCCTATTGTGATGCGGCTGAACTGCGGATCCACTCCCTCTGAGGCCAAAGGTAAACACTTCCACCAATTTGGTTTAGTCCAAAGCTGAAAACCAACACTGGACACGCCTGATCTTCAGACGCTCAACAGTTTAACACTGCATACACAAATGCAAGGCGAAACTCTCCACTCTTGAACACCCTGCTTTTGTTTAAATCAGAACATTTTACTTCAAAACAATTTAAGCTTGTAAATGATGCGGAACAGAGAAACTCTCAAAATTGTTGGTGAAAAAGAAGATTCACCGCAAAGACACACAATATAAGGAAGTGCAAGTGCCAAGTGCTTTAAAGATTCCTCCTTTTGTCAAAGTGACATGTGAGTTATCTTTAAAGGAAAATCTACTCATTCATCTTCATTCCTTGTCTTTGCATTAACATGCTGGATTAAGAGTAAAGCCCCTGCAGACACACACACGAGACAATGAAGTATGCTGACAGACTGTGCAAACCATTGAAAATTCTCTCTGCAGGTTACAACTGTTGTAGCACACATGCTTGGATAAGTTCATGCCGGGTTGCATACTGCTGCAGACATAGATGAATGAAGACAGATGAGATCTTAACACACTCGCAGTGGTTATGATAGGAGATGCACTCAGTCAGAGAGTCACCAAGAAGAAGCATAAAGAGAGGCAGAACAATCTAATCTGAAAAGCTTGAAATGAATTTAGCCATTAAACTATGACAGAAAGGTTTTTAAAGAAGTGTGTACTTGAATGTGTTTGCTATGTGTTTCAGGATACTGGGAGGTCAATGGCTTTGGCTTACTGGGCATTTATAAGTCAGATCTGGATGCAGTGGGAGGAATGAACACCAAAGACTATAAAAACCGCTGGGGAGGAGAAGACTGGGAGCTTCTTGACAGGTGTGTCCCTTACTTTCTTAACATCACTTGATAAGCTGAATTGCCCATTTGTTTGCATTTGATATCAAAAGCAAATGGAGAAAAAATGTCTCCTGTCTATTACTAAGATGACACCAACTGCACATACACTGTCACGTATTGTCTCAGATAGGTCCATGCTTGTTCATGTCAATGACTGTTATAGGAGATAACTGAAGCAGATTTAGATAAAGAAAGAAAAACAGTTTGAAAGGAACAGAGATAAAGCACACAACATGATAAAATTGAATAAAACCTTTAAAGACAAATCTTAGAGCAGGTGCATCAGACGCGGCTGCAAACAGCTTTAGTCGTTTTAAGGTGCAAGGTGGCCAGTGTTCAGCTTATAGTCTTGTATGTTCATGAGTGGTTTTAAAGCAGGACGCACAAGGCCTAATACAAGTGTGGTTTCTGAAGCATTACACCTTAATGCAAAAGAGGAAATGTACAAAATCATACAAATTTCTTATTCTTGTCAAGTATTTTTTGTGACACATGAAATACAAAATAATGCTTCTAAGCTCTCATAAATTTGTTATAGAAACACACAAAGTTCATAAAAAGTGTTTCTGAAAAAAAAACTCTCGCTTTGAAGTCTGACAGATTTGGACTCACTGCATTTAAAGTCTAAACCTTCCTCTGGTCTCTGTTGCAGGATCCTTCAAGGGGGATTGGAAGTGGAGAGGATCTACTTGAGGAACTTCTTCCATCACTTTCACTCCAAACGTGGCATGTGGGACCGGCAGACAATTCCTAGCCACAGGTGACCTTGTTACCCACTGCCCTGCCATAACCAGGGTCGCCATGGTTACAACCATCAAGGCTACCGGAGCACCTTAAGAGCTTAAGCTGCAGCAAGCTGAAGCTAGTTGCTGAGGAGACACGTCTGATATCATCAGAGTTGATTTAACTGGATGTACTGTTGACTACTAAAAGGGTACTGGTCTGACCGTCACGACCGCAAAATCTTGCATATGAAGATACTGCTGAGCACCATGTTGCTGACAAACTGACACCATGACAAACTGCACTACTGTCCTTGACCTAAGACAGAACATTATTTGTTTGACGATTCACACTCCAAGGAAACATACAAGTGTCCTACAACACTGAGATTACAAGTCTTGCACATGAGTCTTAACTAGAGAAGAGATTGTTCTATTTTCTGCAAAATCAAAACTGTATTTAACTGCCATTTGTATATGTAGTCAGCTTTATTTGTTATGTTGTAAATTATCTTTTAAAAAGTTATATTTATTAAATCAATGTTTGTAAAACTTTTTAACCTCTGTTTACATGTCAAGTGCCCTTTTCTGATTGTTTGCATAATTATTGTGCCGTCTGTTGCAATTGTCATTCAGGTACTGGGGCCACATGGGTCTGTTTTTACACACAAGACAAGGAAATGCTTTTAACTGGAAAGCTATATGAATATTGAAGTCATTTACATGATTGTAAAATCAAGATTTATCAGGGAAGGACGGATGGACAATATCAAAAACGGGCACATTGGTTTTTGTGTTGCCCTACACATCAGGTACTTTAAAAACTGTTTATTTTGGTCAAGTATCAGTAACACTGATGAATATAAAAAATAATGCATTTCCTGATTTTGCTTGTTTTTGTTACTCTGCAGTCAACCAAAGATGTTAGCTGAAAGTTGAGTAGAATGATATTGTTAGGTTCTACAAGCTTTTTTCTACATGAGAGACCATTTAAAATCAACCTGCTGAACTTTTTCACACCATGATAGTTTTGAGGATCTCTATTTTTGTCAGTTTATAAAGCTTTCCGCCTGAACATCAGGAAATATTGTATGTATGTCTACAAGCTGGAATTGTGACAGGAGAAAAATGATCTTGTGTGTTTTGTCACATTGTTATTTAAGACAAGATTTATGGCAGCATTTTCTCATGCTTCACATTCCTGTTGAAGTCAGTGTGCCTTTTCTTCTCTTTTTTTTTACTGATGCCTGTCGGGTTTGGGTTAGACTCCTCATTTAGGGAAATTAAAACATCAAAACTTTGGTTTTATGCCAAAAAATGCTATCAGGATTTTTTTTTCTGGGTGGGGGGGTTATGTCCCTAAAGCGTTTGAAATGTGGTCTCTAGTTTGGCTAACATGTTTTTTGTGTCTGTCTTTCTGTCCTTTTACACACTTGTTTACCTCATCCCTCTCTTAGTGCTGGGAGTTAAGCTTTTTATACAGTTCAAAAGTCTCTTCACTCAGGGACAGTTTTGTGTTTTCATTTTTCACTGCTTTGGAAAATTCAGAATAAATTTTTCTGTCTCATACTTCATTTAACGGAGTGCTTTTTAATTGTTTTCACGACTTCCAAATAGACTAACACATACATCAAAACTCCTCCCAACTTTACAAAACGGAGTCATCTTATCAAATGTGAATCCATAAACGTTAAATAACAAAATAGCAAAACATGCATACAAGTATTTGACCCTACCCCATCTTGCAGTAGCAGCTTTTTGTATTTTTATATCACTGTAGCCTGATTTAAATCTTGAAATTAGGACATTTGTCAAATCTGAATCAAGTCGATTTTTTTCCTTTAGTGTACATGGACTCATGACAACGCCCGCTGTTGTCCCTGTGACAATGACACAGGAGGGTGTGGTGTTGTGCTGTGGGATGGGAAATAGGGCCTTTTTGAATCTTATTCATATCCAACACACCTTAAGCATACACAGGGACCAGAAAGCACACATTCCTCTCCTGTGCATGTGGCTTTTTTCATGAAGCCTAGCAGTAATCAAAAAAACTATATTACTATATCTTTCCAATGACATTCATTTAATCCTGCATTTAGGCACATCCGTCATTTTGCTTCTAAGCTTATACTTAAATCGTGAAGTTCTAATACAGTTCAGTCCAGAATATCATGCAACTCAGTTAATCACAGAACTTATAATTCTGGAAGAAATGGGAGAGATGTTGCAAGGTAAAAAAAAAAAAAACGATAACCCATTAGCTAGCAAAAGACATCAGCAAACATTAGCTACTTTCTAGCAAACATTACTTTTTACTTAAATTTAACTCCTTTCATATCTTTTTGTGTTTCATTATTCGACAGCAGTATCAACTTTCAGCTGCTCCTCAAGCAACTATACTCAGCATTCATCCTGATATGTCTAATTCAGAATATGTATATGATTTCCAATTATGGTGATCATGTTAGCAACATACTAAATCACCATTACAAAAGCAGTTGTTATTAGAGCATGGTCAGTGGTGTCCTGCAGTCTTGGTAGTGCTACAACAGGACAACGCAGCTCCCATATGAACGTGAATTCAAACTTCTGATGATACCAGATTTCAGGCAGATAACTTTTTACTGATCGCTGGCATTCCACATTAAGAAAGACAAAAGAAATAGGCAATAGATGAACAACTGTGGTTCACTGGATAGTTCCCAATTCAACACTGCACAGAGAGAATTACAGTCTGACTGTACACTGGCACAAACTATATTTGCACAGATGCTCACAAGGGCTCGTAAATTCTCCACAGGCTGCTGATTCCGTCCCGACCACTCCATTATGTCAGCCCAAGGACATTCAGTGGTGTGTGTGACAGTGTTTACTGTTTATTATTCAAGAGGAATTCATTCCAGTCCAGAAGAAAGGCTAAGTATATCCTGCCTCTGACAAAGAACATTGCCTGTGATCTGAGTGTAAGTCAATGGCATAGTTTAGCAGAGACAGTATACATAAAATAGCAGCAACGATATCCTTTTTGTAACAATGGAGGGCAAAGTAGTGTATATATGTATATATTTATATATTATAAAGGCCACAAGCTGAAATGCGTCGATCTAAAAAAGGTGTTGCTGGGGCTCTTTTGATCTTTTTAAGATCTTATCTATTCAAGCACCTTGGAAGTTGGTGAAGTTGTGCCAGAACTTCTGACCTTTGAAAGCCAATGATATTTACACAAATTTGTTGTACTTTTTTAAACTACAGCATTATCAGGTGGTAATATCATATGATTACATAATGATTCAAATAAATAGCCTACTTGCAGACAGGTTTACAGCAGTTTGTGTTATTATACCACCAAAATGAGAGCAGTTTTTAGACACAGAAAAATGTTTAACAAATAGTTCATTTCAGACAAAGCCACTGTTGTGAGGCAAATCTTCTCTCTATATCAGTGCTGAGATTCATCAAGCTCAGTCTAAATGCTATTTTTTATTCAGGAAGTCCTTATTTTCCCCTTTTTTTCATTTTATGTGACACTTGGTACTTGTTTTAAAGTGTTTACTTATACAATACTTAACCCTGTAACTTTATGCATCAAACATCTTCTTCCTGCCCTTCATATCAGTCATGGCCTCCACGTTCTTACGCCAGTCCCCAACCTCCATGTTCAGCTCCTAAAGATGAGACAAACACAAATATTAAAGTTTGTGCGTTTGCATTTTTTTTTAAATATTTGTAAATATATTTCTTCTGCAAAAGCTGTACCTTCTCTTGTTTGATGTCCTCTTTCTTCACAGATTTAAGGTTTCCCCTCAGATCCATGGATTCTTTGGTTTTGCAGCTAAAGAGAGCTCTCATCATCTCATCTGCAGAAACTCTCACTTTTCTCAGAGCTGGCTTCTTGAACTTCCCACCAAGGTCCCTCACTTTTAAATTCAGCTCATTGATCTAGAGAAGTGAAAACTCAGTTGGTAACTTTTGATAATGAATAACTCTCCATTTTTCATTGTACATTTCTGCACATTTAAAAAAAAAAAAGTTGTCTGGGCCACGGCATACATCTCTGAAGTTCTTGATGACTTTGGCTTCACAGTCGTAACGCTCCTCATCCACCATATCAATCTGTGAGTGCATCTGCTTACACACATTCTAGAAAACAAAAAACATCATGAATGCCATATGGTTTTGTTATAAGGTCATGGCCATCCCTGCTTTTCTGGTCTGAGTTTATTTTTCTTCCTACCTGCAATTCATCCACATTTAAGCCGGTGAGCTGCAGGGGTGGAAGTTTTTCCCCCAGATAGCGAACCTTCTCTTCCTCTCTTGCAACCTTCTCTGCCTCTAGCTCTTCTGTTGCACGAGCCAGCAGGAGGATCTGATGAAGTCCAAGAGATCAAAGAGAAAAGCAGTGCAGGGTTAGTGGTTCAATAATCCTTAAATCAATTCAGCAGTATTCAGGAAAAAAAGTTAACAAGTTAACCAAGTGCGTTTAAGTTCATAAGTGTGTATATGTGTATATTTAGAATGTTCTCATCAAGTTACCTTCAACGAAAGCTTGCGTGAGGCTGAAATCTTGCATTTTGGCTGGAATCATACAAAATACACGTTATTCATCTTTTAACATGAAGCAAAAATAATAATGATAATAAATCATAATACGTTGATAGATAAATCGCTAGTTTTATCTAAAATATAAAACATGTAAAAGTTCTTGCCCAGCTGTGCCCAGTTTGCCTAAGGAAACAAAGATATGCAGAGCCTGGAATCACACCACCCATCTTCACATTAGTGAAAAAACCTGCTTACTTGGTCACAGCCCCCATATGTTCTCATTTTATCTTTCCATTTCATCATTAACAAACAGATACTGCGATGCCCACATCCCCACTCTGATGCTGAACAACACATTCCAACAAACATCGGGAACTCTAGGTGCTACAAAACCAAAGAATCAGCATATTCATCAAATTCTAATTTAAAAAAATAAAGCAGAAAGATGTTAATATGAATTATTCTCCCTCAGGATAGCTGTTGACCTTGGTAAACAGCTGCTTTCATTCCTATGCAAGCACAAGCTGCCATAATAAAGGTTTTATTTCACATTTTCAATTTAAACAAGTGTACCTTTACTTACCTTTGGTACTATCTTGTTGCCCGAGGGTGGTGGTGTGTACTAGGTAGAGATAAATGAAGACAATGCATTTTAAATACATTTCACACTAAACTTGAATTGATTTTACATGTTTTATTTGGTTCAGATAAAGTTTAAAGACATATAGGCAGTGACTTACATCACTGAGATGGCATGTTGAGGTTGTTGGACCAAAGAAATTGAAAATACATAAACCAGTAAAAGATAATGTGATTATTCTGAGACAAAAAAAGCTCCTTCACAGTCCAGATAAATGATGATGACAGAACTTACTCATCAGACATTGCTCAGCCTTGAAGAAAGAAACAAAAGAGAAAAAGAGAGAAAATAGTCCAGTGTTAAACAGGAAACTACACCAACAGTTGAATATCCATCAAATGATAAGAAATTAAAAGAGGAATAAATAACCTGCCGATTAGGATTTATACTTGCCCAACAACAAATATCGTCTATTAACGAAATGTGTCCCTCCCTTACAACGACGTCGTGTCCCTCCTTATGTTGTAGGAGACTCTATAGTTGGCTGTTAGAAAGACATGTGTAGGTTATGTTATGTAGACATAGTGCGACATTGTCTTTTCAAGCGTCTCTAAGAGCTGAATTTATGGCTCCGCCCACCACTCAGTGAAAAATTATTGGACGGTCATTGGGATTTACGGCCAAAGCCCTGCGCGTGAGCTCAATAAGTCTGTCCTGTCTGCTAATATTAACGTCTCAGCTGGATGTGCTGAAGGCCTCTGAATATAACTGAGGCTGACATTGTTCTTAGTGTATTTTGAAAAAATAAAAATAAATAAATATATTAATTAATTAATTAATAAAAATAATAAAAAATAAAATACAACAACAACAACAACAACAATAATACTACTACTACTACTACTACTAATAATAATAATAATAATAAAACAGACTGCTCTAAATACAGTACAAAAAAAGAGGCGCAAACCACCAAATAAATTGTATTTTCTCAAAACTTTAATGGCAATCAACCCAGTAGTTATTGAGACATTTTATTGAAAATATACACACCAATGCCACTGGATCAAAAAGTTATCTTTAAACTGTAAGTTTTAACCCCTTGCATTCAAGAATGTGAATATTTGTGTAAGTAAAATGAAAACTTTATGCCCCTTGACTCTCGTTTGCTCAAATAATGGAGAGAAGCATGCAGGCATATAGGCCAATAAGAAGGTCTCAGAATATCTGCCATTTTTTTTTAAATCAGGGCAAGAACTGATTCAAGCACTATCTCAGTTTTGTGTGAAATATCACAATTTAGAGGTGTGTCTTAGTTTTGTGTAGATATACACACCATCATCTAAGGTTCAACCTACACAACGAACCTGTATTTTGTTTTTCAGGCTGGCAGACAGGCTGGAGTCTAAGCAGTTTATGTTCATGGATGTTTTATAACCAAGTTCACTATAACGTCTTTGGACTAAGAAAACAGCCAAACACCACAGCTGTAACACATCAAGGACACTTCTTTGATGTGAGGTGACTTTGCTTACTATGAAATTCATATTTCACACTGAACGGTTACAGGTTTATGTGAGATTGCCTGGAGAGCATGTTGAGGTTTACAGCTTTGTCTTCACTTATATGACTGACAAGTTTATGAAGCACATTTTTATGCATGTCTATCTTCTGTTTCAACTTGGAAAATATTCTGTTGGATTTTGGAGAACTTCATGTGGTTGCTTTAGGGTGTGTTTAAAATGTGTATATTTTAATGCTGTATGTGAATATTGGATCTTGTCTTTTCTTTGGCATACAGCTGTGACAATCCTTTTCCATTAGGAAAATGTTGACCTTGATGGTGCCCTTCTCCTCTGACATGATTCCTTTCTCAGGGAGTGACGATGTGTTTTGTGAGCCTATAGGAATAAAAGTATGTTGTGGTTTATATAGACACATGCTCAATGTGGTCCTGAACTGCATGACACAACGTGCCGCACTGTGTCTATTTTAAGCTCAAAATTTCCCTTGTCATCTACTTATCCCTGTGTTGCAATTTCACATATTGAATTGGACAAGTCGCTTGTAAAAAAGAAACAAAAATAAGACCTTTGGAGTCAGTCTGGGTATAAAGTAGTCATTATATGACTGCAGAAAGATGGTTATAGGCAACATGTGTTACCAAATCCTTTATGATTACTCATACTTAAGAGTTCAAGGGATGCTGCTTACATTCATCCTGGTGGATACAAACAGGCCAAAAATATCAACCTCTCATTGGACAGTGTCAACCTATAGCTATGATTTAAATCAGACAATCTGGGGAAGCTAATTTAATCAGATAGGTATAGGTAGGACTGCACAATTATACATAAAATGATAACCATGATTATTTGTATCAATACTTTGATCATCATTAATCAACTTTAATACATAAATAAATCAACTTTTTTGTCATCAATCCCAATTCCTTCAATTGTGTGAAGGCCAAGATTGTAATTGAGATTAAAATCTGGGTTACTGTGCAGTCTTGTTTGTAGGCCTACAGTTAAATTATAAGGGTTCAGCCAGCACCTTTGAACACTGAACGCCATAAAACCCACCTCCAAAGACAGTGTTATTCAAAATGTACACCATATGTACACACTTACAAAAGATAGATAGATAGATAGATAGATAGATAGATAGATAGATAGATAGATACATACATACATACATACATACATACATACATACATACATACTTTATTGATTATGAAGGAAGTTTCGGTGAACAATGTAATAAAAGATAGTTAATCAAAAGAAATAAAGTAGTAATTAAACTATACATATGTTAAACAAATTCACACCAGGAGCTGGGTTGTGCAATGTTTGCCTCTGTCCGTGAAGGCACTAGGAAGAGCCACAGTGTACCTGACTTGCGCATGTTCAGTCCAACCCTAACGCTACCTTTAAGTAACTCCGGAATTAAAAGGTCGTCTGTGTTGAACTACGAGAAAATAATAGCAAGACTGACCAACATCTATCTTAAGATTTTATCGTGCATGGTTTTTAAATCTTCAAGAGTATTTTTGATCACTTTGGGATAAAATGAACTTTTCAGGATGAACATTTCGCTTATTCAGAAATGACGCTTTTGGGTTGTGAGATACTGAGGTGCACTCAAATGCAGCACACGCTCACCCGTGAAAACTCATTCATCACGGGCTGTAGTCCTATCACGCTAACGTTAGCCGTTGGCCTCACGCGGCGGGCACTGACATGTGTAATAATTATCTAATAAGTCGGTCGTTAAGTCATATGCACAGCCGACTCTATCTAGCTTTAGTTACACCTAATCTAGCTTGATCGTCATTTAGGCGCTTAGTGCACGGGAGGAACTAGCGTCCCGTGTTATGGGAGAGATACGGGGATCGGACGGGCGTTGGGCTGTCAACAGCAATGTCCAAGCGAAACGAGCTTGCTCCAAGAGATTGATTTTGTAGCACTGGTGAGCACAATACTTTTTGCATTTGAGGTAACAAGATTATATTGTTGTTTCATAGGTGTTTGCGTAATTGTAAAAACATGGCCGATCAGGTACAGCTAAGGAGATTCTGCCGGTGTTTCGTTGTAAAGTGTTACCCTGTTAACTGGCGTCTTTTAGCCAAATGCGTTAGTGTTGTCGTCGCTACAACAGCAATGAAACACACGAAGAGTCTCATTGTGGTGTCAAAATATGCACATTAAATTTGTGTTCAACTATACTGAAAGCATTTGAAAGAGTTGTCTATGACAAAACGCGTACGCATTCTGCTGATGGTCGCCAGTGAACACGGTCACTTTTTAACGCAAAACACCTACAATGCAGTTGCCTCTAAGTGGCTTTTGAGGCTAGCCTTCTTTGCTAACATTATCTAGCTGTCAGTTGCTGTTGTGTCCACGAGTTCCAGTTCAATAGCTAATTATTACGAGTCGATAAAGCTATTTTGAGAGAAGCTGGAAGCGCTGAATTCACATTTCGCTGAGGGAAAGTGACCTATTAGCTTATAGCGCTTCGTCATGTAAACAGAAGAGGTTCTCAGTATTGTCAACAACATATGCCTGTTATCAAGAGGCCCACTTGTCAGTTAGCACTGCTAGTGACAGCAGCGTTGACCACAGCAGGTGACATTTGAAAGCCAATTACACTTTTATTGTTGTAGGTGATATAGTTTGTTGACAGGACATCACATAAGGGAAGCATGCCTGGAAAACTAAAAGCCAGAATTGTGGCAGGACGCCACTTGCCTGTGATGGACAGGGCCAGTGACCTTACTGATGCATTTGTAGAGGTGAGTGGAGCATTAAGAGTGAGGTTTACTCCAACAAACATTTTTGCTACTGCACACCTTTTGAATGTGTATTGTGTTTTTATTCTCAGGTCAAGTTTGGAAACACAACTTTTAAAACAGATGTATGTCCAAAATCTCTCAATCCTCAATGGAACTCAGAATGGTTCAAATTTGAGGTAATATGTTTACACTTATTTAAACTTAGTAAAGGTAGTTTTCATGATTGTTTGTTTTTTGAATACATTGCACAATGTCAAATTACTTGTCTCTTCACTGGTTTTCTCTACTTTTGTCTAACTTTCTTCTTCTTCTTCGCTTGCCGTGCAGGTTGATGATGAGGACTTGCAGGATGAACCATTGCAGGTCACAGTGCTGGACCACGACACTTACAGTGCTAATGATGCCATAGGGAAAGTTTATATTGACATTGACCCGCTACTGTGTAGTGAGGCTGCCTCTGTCATCTCTGGCTGGTTTCCAATATATGATACCATCCACGGTATGAGACTGAACCAACACACAAAATCATTGCACAGTTTTTTTTCTTGATGTGCTATTTTTCATTATATTGTTCCACTTCTCTATTTTCAGGTATCAGAGGTGAGATCAATGTCCTCGTCAAAGTGGAGCTTTTTAACGACTTAAACCGCTTTCGACAGTCCTCTTGCGGGGTCAAGTTTTTCTGCAGTATGTATAACTTTATTTTTTCACTCTCTTAATGAAACATCTTTGCAGAGAAAAAATACTGTATCAGTGCATACAGTGTTTATGTAGACAAGGAATTATCCTTTATAAATTTCATTAAGGATCCAGTAGCATAATCATCCTTTCACTCTGTGTGTTGTCTATTTAATTGTGTGTGGTAGCCACATCCATTCCAAGATGCTATAGAGCAGCAATGGTACACGGATTTGTGGAGGAACTTGTTGTGAATGAAGATCCAGAGTATCAGTGGATTGACCGCATTAGAACTCCCCGGGCCTCTAATGAGGCTCGTCAAAGGCTCATCTCGCTTATGTCTGGTAAGCATATTTATAATAACTCTCTTTTCTGATGTTGGTCTGAAGCAGGAATTCTGTCCAGTGCCAGTTGTTTGCTTGTTAATGTGTCCATGGTACTCCTTATTTAGGTGAGCTGCAGAGGAAAATTGGGCTCAAGGTGCTTGAGATGGGTGGGAATGCAGTGGTGGGATACCTGCAGTGTTTTGACCTGGAGGGAGAGTCTGGGCTGGTGGTCCGGGCCATTGGAACAGCCTGCACACTGGACAAACTCAGCTCAGGAAGTGCTCCAAACACCAACACACATACACACCCTAACACAGCCCCTGCTTCCAATGCCTGCAATTCCCCCTCCAAGGATGGAAAGGAGTGAGTATGAAATAACAACATCAGCATGGACCCTGCCTCTTTGTGAGCAAGTTTCACTGCCAGTGTAGTTTGTGAGAATGAGGAAAGATGATCCTTATGTATGCATGAGAGGGAGAGTGTGTGAGCCTACCGTATGTTGTGCCGGTGTCAAGTCTAGCTTGCAGTAACCCTGTGTGTGTCTCAGTATCTCTGATTCCCCTCTGTAGTTTGTGTGTCTGTTGTCACATGTATTATTGCATCAAAAAAATACTGTAACAGCACACAACATATTCTGAGACACACACATGTACAGCACACACACAGCCACTCTCATACCCTTTTCCTATGCGTCTACTCTTTCAAACTGTTCTTGCATGGCTTGCTGCTCTGCTTTTGCATGTTCTGGTGCAACATCTCTCGGTATTCAGCTAGCATTTATACCTCTCTGCCGCTAACAGTGTGCCTCAAGACTTTGTTCTGTTTTATTTATCCTGGCTATTAAATGATAAGCTTGCGGCCTCATCGAGTGAAACTTCAGCTGAGAGCATGTGTGCCGCTTATCTGCAGTTACATTGCATATTTGAATGTCTGTGTGGGAGACTGTGTATCAGGGATGTAAACAGTGTGGTTAAGGCTTTGATTCCCAACCTGTTAGATGTAATCTTGGTGCTCAAAGAACACGTTCATGGTACATGCCTCAAATGTTAACATTTTTTCACAATCATCCCAATTTTTCTGTACATATTCTTTAAAAACTTTGAGCTCTTGCAGCATAATTGTTTGACAAGCTGTTTCTCTCACACAGTTTTTATTGCAAAATTAGATTCTCTCATAATTTATTATAACATAGAACTTCGTATGAGGAGTTTTAAATTGGTTATAGACTAGACTGAATTTAACACAAAGATCACTGAGGCCTAACAGGATAATTGGTGAAAAGATGTACAATTTCCATGTTAATTTTAATGACTTTAACCTCTGGGAAGATGAGTGAGAGAGGACAGTTTACTCCAAGATGGAGTAAAGCCCCTTTTGTTCTATAGTATCTTCTGCAAATAGCTATGATCAGTGATGTAAAAAAAGAGAGATTGAGTTGTTGCTTGTCAGAAAACAACATTTATTCGAGTACTTTGGCAAAAACTATCTCACTGCTTTAAAGTAATAATATTACATGTCTCAACTACCAGCTGTAAAGTGTCCTTAAACACAATGGACTACTAAAGTACTCTGTTGTCAAACTTAACTTAGATTATTAAAGTTTAAATTTATAATTGATCATAGATTACACAACTTCTACACGTGTCTCTTCTTATTGTTTAGCCAACTTTATCATTTTTAACCATTAAAAATATTTAAGTAAATGGTATTCAAAGGACTAAAGAAGAAGTTTTATAAAGGACACATGCTGTCACAATGCTCCAAATGTTCAGAAAGCTTAAAATGAGACAATTTACATGAGGAAAAAACCATCAGATTCCTATGAAAAACTGCAAAACACGAAGTATTTGGGATTAATTTTAACGGTTTATCCATCTTTTAAAAATGATTTCTGTCTTCTGTTTGAGAAAATGTTTCATGTGTTGGAGGCTGTGCACGAATCCCCACAGTGCCTTGCATCATTATTTATCCCCTTTGACTTTTCCACAATAAACATGATCCAGTGAAATTGCTTTCTAGTTGGCCTGTACATCAATATTACTTCTACCTTTGGGGCTGTTGAAAGCTGTTAAGTCTCTTTGAATTCAAATCACGGTACTGTAATAAGTGGTAGAGTCCAGGAGGGGTGAATACTAATCCAAGGCACTATATTACGCATGCTAGTTTGTTCCTGTACCTATTTGGGCTTTTTCTACAGTGTTTGCATCCCTGCTGAGTGAGACTGAAAGCCTAGGCTAGGAGCTGTGCATGAGCTTCCAGCAGCTTTCATATGGCTTTGAATGGAAAAACATGGGCTAAAACAGGGAGTAAAAACAAATTTCTTTTTCCTTTTTGTCTCCTTTTTCACTCTGTTGCAATGTTGTGGTCTTGGTTCTTGTGTTCGTCTCTTTCTCCCTCCCTGGCTACATTCGGATTGGGTCGTTTTCTGGCCGCTTGTGTCCAAATCGGTCCTCTTGTCTTCCTCTCTCACTGCGTGCTGATTGGCCCAGGTCTCCCCTTGCCCACGGATGCCGCTCCACCCACAACAGCCCTGTGCATTCAGCCTGCAGCACCCAGAGACTGTCCCAGAACTTCTCTGTCTCTGTTCCCACTCTCATCTTTACTGGTACGCAGAGGCAGGGAAAAAATATAGTCACAGAGGAAAGTGATAGAGTAGAAGAAGTAGATGATGAAGTCTTTATTTAGGGACAAAAGTAAATGTAGTTGCAAAGCAAAGATGGGGACATTACAGATCAAAACAAGGACAGAAGGCAGATCCTTGTATCTTTTGTTAGAGGAAGACTCCACCTGCTATGTCTTTTCTGATGAAAGACGGTGAGCAGACAAGCTCCCTGCTGCATCGTTCTGCTTTTTTTCTTTTTTTTTTTTTGCTATTTAAAGCAAAAAAAGTGCTTACAGTGTGGTTTTAACCCAGAGCAAGGGCCTGTAGACCTTCTATGGACTCCTGACTGTTTCTTCTTCACTCTTCTGGGACACATGCTTCAGCTCGTCATCCTCTGTTGAGTCTGATCCCTCGTGTTTTGCCATGTTGCTTTCTTTAGTTACGTGTGTTTGTGTTGTGTTTTTGTGTTGATGTAATTATTTGCTTTTCATGCTTGCTTTTTTTTGTTCTATAGCCATCCGTAGCACCTCAAACACACCTGCCCCAAAGCAAAGCACACTAAAACAGTCCATTTCCCACTTAAATGGCTTTGGCAAAACTGACTCACTCCCATATATGCACACACACTAACGCACACGCTCAGAGGGTGAGATGGTGACTGACGTGTGTGTGTATGTGTGTGTGTCATGTTCTCCTGGCAGGCCGGTATTTGGGGAGGACCTGCTCTCGTCCTCTGGCCTGCCAACCCCTTTCAGAGCCCTCCCCACCTCCTCTTCCTCTCCTCCCCCCTTCTCTCCCTCCAAGCCATGCAGCCGCCAGTCCTCATCATCAGACACAGACCTCAGTTTGACGCCCAAGACGGGTAAGAGCACATGACCTGCCCCCTCCTTTCCCATTCCCACCTCTCCTTTCTCCTTCACTTCATTGTGGTGCTACTTAAGTATTTGTTTTATTTTATTGATTGATTTATTAACATTTACCTTTTTATTATTTGTTGTCACATGATTTTACTTTAACTTTTTAAGTAAATATTTATCAAGCTGAGTTCTCCTCCACCTTGTCCTCAGTGATCTGCTTTGTCTTTTTTTAATCACTTATTAAAAAACACTTTTCAGCATTATATGGACATTTGAATCATAATGGAAAGACACTGCAGATCACTGTATTAGTTTTGTCCCCATGTTGTCGTCGTCATTAGAAGCACTGTGTCTCATGAGGGGCTGTTGTTGATTGATGCTCTCCTCTTTATTAACCATTTTGGTTAAACATAAAGGTAAGTACAGTGAAGCTCTAACTTTAAGGACAACTTGAGGTCACATTTAAATGCAGGCTCAGCACCGTCACACCTGTTGAGCTCCAGAGACGCTTCTTGACTCCTCAGCTGGAAACAAAGAGACCCAAAGTCAGCTTCTTTCCTCTTATTCACTCTATTCTGCATTTTCTTTTATTTTTTTAGTTCCTCATCTCTGTCATCTATTTGCCATTTTTCTGCTTTTATTGAGCCCTTCTCTGATCCTAGTACTCTGCCATTATGATCTCTGCAATTGAAATACGGCTTGTGTAGTGCACACTAATGGCTTTACCCCAGCTGGAAAAGCAGTCAGCCAATCAGAGGTCCTTTAGCTGTATACCTTTTTAAACTGCAAGATTGGCAAATTGATACAATCCTGGATGGGGCTGAAGTAGCTGCAATAGTGTGAATACAAACAACATCCTTTAGTATGGCATGTTCACACTTGTCCTGTCATGGAAGCCGTTACTACATAATCAGGTGGACAAAAAACAATGTAGATCCAACACTCATAGTGAACAGGTGAGTAAAGGGTTAGAGCACAATGAAAAAATAGTCCCCAAATCAAAAAGAGCAGGCTCATTATGTCATTCCAAATCAAAGTAAAGCATAATGGCAGTTCAATGTTATTGTCAACTTTTCTTTTCCTCTTTGCTGGTGCCCTCTCTGTTCCTTTTACTTCCTTCTCCTCTGTCTCATTTTTGTGCCTCTGCCCTCTTTATTCTGTCTCTCTATTCTCAGTTCATCTGTTTTTATTTTATTTTATTTTTTTATTTTTGCACCCTCTTTCTGTTTCCTTTGCTGGATAGAGCTCCCCCAGCCAGTGAGACGCAGGCCTGGGATCTTTCTCTGCCCTAGCTCCCCCACCCTCTCCACAGGCACAGACACTTTGCCCCTTCCTGGTTCTGGCTCAGTGGGCTGTGGCAAAGGCTCTACCGCCAGAGCCACCACCCCACCCCCTCCCTCCACCATCCACTCAGACTCAGCCTTGCTGAGAAAGAGTGTGTCCTTCACAGAGGACCTGCTGCTGGCAGCCTCCGGTACAGTAGGACTACTGCGTGTCATCAAGTAACACAACCTTAAAACAGTGTAGTGCTGGCACCACATTCAGGATAATGGAACTACAGCACAACTCTCTACACCTGGATCGACTTTGCCAATAATTTAACATGCATGGTGTTAATACTCAGAGTTTACACTTTTAAAACAGTGCCCAGGATTCTGCTACCTTAGCTTTTGGTTTGACACGTCAGAATCACCTGAACCTTATGCTAGGTCCAGTTTTATACTAATATGAAAATGTTCAGTGGGCTAGACAAGACTAGTTTATAACAGTTTTTAGCACTTGGTTTGTCAAAAGAACAGCAAGAGTGTGTTGTGAAAACAAATGACAACTTTCCTGGCTTTCTACTTGATTGCTCTGTGTGTTGAAAATGTCGAAACTGAAACCAGACTCTCCTCTGTGTTTAGGAATGGGTAGTGGAGGTAGTGGCGGCAAGGATGCAGGGCCTCTGAAGACCCTGCTCAGACAACAGACGCAGACGGCTCTTGAGCAGAGGGTAGGACGGCACCTGACTGTCACACACACTTGAACGTATTAGCACTCTGTGTCTGTCAAGCTATTCAACTGAAATTCAACACAAAAAAAGTGAATAAAGTTTCAACTTTTTTCTCCTTTATATTTACTACCAGCAGAGCTAAAATGAGTTTCAGAGAAATAACTTTTGGGAAACTTTTATTCCTAGCCACAAATGGCAAAGCAAATCAAGACAGCAGAGTAGGATTTTCAGATTTTACAGCCTGTGCTTGGTTCTGCAGTCCTCATCATGTATCAGCTTCAGTAAGTCAGAAAGTAACTCACTGTAACAATCTACTTACTCATCATGCAGCTTATGTCTTTGTAATAGGTCATGATTTAACTCTGGGGAGGGGTGTCATGTCGAGTAGGTTTGTGTAAGAGCAAATAATGTTCCCTTTCTTTGTCCTCCTGATCACTTACACCACTCAGGGAGTGTCCACCTCTGGGTTACTGTTAAATGCTGGGGTACGTCCCATCAGTGTCTCTCTGTTTCTCCACATTCCCCTTAACACTGACCACTGATGATGGCCACCACCAAATCTGAATCAACTCCTAACCCCTTCCCTCCTCTGCTGTTTGTAGATCTCAGAGAGGCTGGCTGGGTTGAGAAACATAGTACTGGGTTTTTGTGATGGTTTGCGTGTTTGTTTTGCACCCACCCACCACTCTCTAATAGACTCACAGACACGTAAGGTGGAGGACTGGAGGTTAGGAGTTGTGTTTCCTTCAGGTGTGAAGGGGCATGCGACTGTGTGTTTGCCTTTTGGACACTTGTGTCAATCACCCCTCCTTCTTTCTGACTGCTTTTCCCGAGTCTGATCTGGCAAGCTGTTCTGACAACGGGGAATGAGCACGCTCACCTCATTTCATCATTCTTGCCTCTTTGCTCCAGTTGAGAGGAGCTGTCTCTCAAATGAGCGACTAACTTCCTTCCTTGGTGTGCAAGACAAGAAGGAAACTAGTGATTTCTTCTCATCACACATACCTGCATGATTGGAAATCCCAATGCCCCTCAGGTTTCTTGTAAAGGTGGTCATCACATACCCAAGAATGAATTCCAAGATGCTTACGGGCAGTTCAACGATGTCCGGTTCCTCATGTCAGTGAGTGCATGGCTTTGCATCATATTGTTCTTCCTTGGACTGAGAGACCAGCTGTCATTAAAACTGACAGGAAGGGCATGTAAAACAGAGTCCTGATCTATAGTGTAGGTGTGTGCGTGTGTTCTTTGCTATTTACTCTTTAACTCTCCAAATGAGGCATTTATGTGGATTGGAAAGGATTGAATCAATAACCAGCAGATTAAAGCTTTATTTAACATTTATTTTCTTCATCACTTCTCAATCTATTTTAAATGCTGTAGGTTTTTCCTACAAGCGTGGGCTCAGATATATTTTGGGGAGGGCCTTGCATGGGGTATGGAGGGTGGGTGCATCATCACCAATCAATCCTCACTGCATGTTGGCACCTTTCTTAAAAAATATCGAGAAGCTTACCCGCCCAGTGGGAGATTTATGCTGAGTTCGAGTTACCTCGGAAGTCAGAAGTCGGAGCTGAAAATGACGTCACACCAGAGTTATCAGGGTTTCAGTTACCAAGTCGGAAAAAAGCGAAATCTGAGGCGTAAACAAGATGGCTACATCTAAAAAAGTTATTTTAGTGCTTGCATTGTCTGAATATAACAAGGACAAGGCAAGCGCTAAAATAACTTTCCTTCGATTTTGCTTTTTTTCCGACTTGGTAACTGAAACTCTGGGAACTCGGGTGTGACGTCATTTTCAGCTCCGACATCTGACTTCCGAGGGAACTTGAACGCAGCATAATTATACCTCAATTGTGGCTTGAGAGCAGTTTTTTAAATCAGTTATTTTTTTACACTTTCCACATGACTTACAACTTCATTTAATTTGAACATAACTATCTTCATATCTTGTGTTGAATTCAAGAGTTTCTAAATGTGATAATATGTCTTCCCTTTCTGTAAGTGACTGAAGTTTTGTTTTCTATCTTCAGGAGTTTCCCTTCTTTACCTTGACGTCTTTCCCACCTGGTTTCCTGGTTCATGTCGGTGGCGTGGTCAGCGCTCGCTCTGTCAAACTGTTGGATCGTATACACAACCCTGGTGAGTCCAGCATGCACAAACACACCCTGTCCTCATGTAGTGTCCCGTTTAACGATGTGAGCGAGTTCCTCCACCGATCAACAGTGTTGTGTGTGCGTGTATGTTCTTGTTGCAAGTGGCTGTTCGTCATCGCTGCTCATTTCCCCTTTGTGTTGACTGAACAGTTCTGCTGTGTGTGTGTGTGTGTGTGGTCTTGGTCCCAACCAGTGTGAGTGTTTGGAGAAAATACGTTGAAAGGCTGAAGAAATGTAAGAGTTTGAGAGCAGGTGAAAGCTGTTCCTGGTCGCACCTCTGAAGCCTGCAGCTTTGTAGCATTTCAGTACCAGTGAAGATAGGACATGGTCAAAAAGTTCAAAGGAAAGGGGGCAACTTTCACCTCATGGTTTGACTGACAGGCTTTGTGTTCTGTGAAGTCTTTGCTGGTTGTGAGTGTGTGTGTGAGTCTGTGTGTGTAAGTGTTTCTATGCCACTGCGGTCACTGTGTTGTTGTGTGCTGCTGTGGAGCTGCCCCTCAGAGGTGAAGCTGCAATAGTGGTGCATGGCTCCATTCTGTTGCCTGCTGCTTTCGTTGTGTGTTTTGTTCGCTGGAGGTGACGCTGTTGTGTATTTCTGTGATATTGTCAAATGCCCTCTCTCTGAGTTTAGAAACTGACTTTATGATTTTGTTTAACTACGTAGACTTTTATACATCTGTGCCAGTTACAGCCATCACTGTAGGCATTATGTTTTAGGGGTTTTCTCATTCGTCTGAGTGCTGCAATTTAAATTTTGTGCAAACACTCATTATGACTGAATAATGTACAGAGTAGGAATTGGTTAACAAAGGTCAATGTGATTGAATTTCCTTTCGATTGAAAGGGTTTTGGATTGAAGTCGGGAATGTTTAGGCCAGTTGGAGAAAATCGATGACAAACAGCCTTTTTCCTCCTCTGCTTAAGCCTTAGTGAGGGAGCGTCATTCTGTAGAAAACACTCAGTGGTCTAAAGTGAAGTCCAGGATGTCAGCAAATTTATGGATAGGCGTTCGCTGATGGATGTCGGCTGAGTTAGGATATGCTGGGTTCTTTGGAGAGGGGGGAAAGGGGAACCAAAATAAGTAACCCCGAAAGGACTTAACCTTTAAACTCCAAAGGCACATAATTATTATAGCTACAATTTTTCTGTCTATCTAATATGGGTAGCAAAGTAGTCTCTAATTCTCAAAGTGAAGGTTTAACATTTGGATCATTCTGCCAAAAAGTTCGTTTCTGTATTTTCCACTCTTATCAGGTGGTGAATTTAATACACTCCCCTTTTGTTTTGGAAAGTTCCACCACCTCTACCATAGGTGGCAGTAAAGGCAACAGTTCAACCTTCAACAGGGCCCAATTTTGAAGCTGAGTGTAGTATCAGTTTTAAGTTCAGACAGCAGACAGCTACTGCATGCTCCTTTTTACTGTAAAGCCTCTATTCTCCTTCAGTCTTTTTAAGATGACGCGAGGCCTGTAGCTTTTATTCATCTCTTTTCTCCTCTTTTCCTCATCAGTTCTTCTTTTTTGTAGATTGTTTTGCAGTCCTGATCATAGTTTGTCTTTGCATAGTAACTGTGAAGTGCTGTCTGTCTTTGCATAGTAAATGTGGAGTGCTGCTGTTGTGCTGTGCTTGTTTGTTAGACTGTCTCTTCTTTTCTTTTTCTCTCTTTTCTGTACTAACGGTGTGTTCTGGCCCAGCCTTGGGTAACACGCGCTCATACAAACTGCTAGACTGGAATAGTGTCACTGCAGGTATTTCCCCCCTTTTTCTGCTCTCACCCAAAGGAGTGGTGGCAGCTCAGTGAAACTCCTAACACTGACGATAAACAGACAAAGACCAGCTAGCCTAAAAATTCTTAAACAATTTTAGCCAAACAGGTAGTGTATCTCTAAAAGAATATGAATTCAGTGAGCTGCCACCCTCCCCTCTCTAATCCTTGTGAGTGTGTGCTGAGCTGAGTTGAGCATGCGCTGCGTCCCCACCCCAACCCATTCAGCCTGGCCTGGCTCTCCTGCCCCCCACCCCGCCGCACAGAAGAGCTGCAGCTCTTTCCTAATGTTGTCCCTGCGCTGTCCTAACGCTTCCTGAATCGGCATCAAGGTCAAACCTGTCTAGACCAGAGGAGGTTTAGGAGGTTTACTCTGTGACAAAGAGCCACGGATAGGGCATGTGCATCCCCGACTCACTGGGCCGTATTCATACTGAGAGAGGAGAGAAAGGGAGAGGGAAGAAGGGATGGACGGATGAATGGATGGATGGATGGAAAGCAGGTCCATTGGATGGGTGGCAGTTGAGGGAAATTTAAGAATATGGTTGGGCTGTATGATGGGATTGAAAGGTGTAAGATTGGGAAAAGGATGAAGAATGGTAGCATTCAGAATCCTCAAATTTGAGCTCTAGACAGGATTTGATGGACTCTGATGAATGAATATGGCCCTTATCTGCCCATGAGCACATGGTCATGAGCGTGCACGTTGGTGAGCCTGTGCCTGTGTGACATGCTGCTTCTAGTTTTAAAGGAACCCACTTTGTGGGCCCTGATGCCTGACCATGTATCATTATTCTTCATACACTCAAATGATCTTCTATTGAGTTTCCTCCATTCATTCCTTCTCCTTTTTATAACCCTCTGAATTTAAATTTGTCTCTCTTCTAGGAGCTTTCTTAGCATGTGGCCCCCTCAGGGAATCATGGGGTGCAGCTCAATACTCTAGTGTAACTACTTCATTGTTCTCTGCTTCATGTTTGGTAACTACCAAACCAGTAAGCTCAGATGTGGTAATGATTGGACTCTATAAAAGCAGAGATATTTGAGCAGTCCCCATGAGACGAATAAAACACACACCCATAGTCTAGCCTCAGTATGATGAAGGCTTAATCCTTTTTAAATTCAAACTTTTGCCTTTTTTTATACTTCTAAAAAAAATACTGTTCTTAATTTGATCACTCTTCCATTGGCTGGACAGAAATCTTTTCTAGAGTCAGACCACAGAGTGAAAAATATTCGACCGCCTCAGGCTGTATCTGTCATCTGTGTCCTTTCTGTCAGTGCTGCTGACCAAAAGGAAAAGTAGACTAGAGAGAAACGCTCTTTTTTAAAAATGTGCATCTAATCATTGACTTTGCCTTCATCATCATCCCTCAGACTCTCATGGTCATCATCCTCATTATCACTTGGTTTCAAAGATAAATGGATTTTGCTTGCTTTGATACACCATTTAACCCATAAACCATCAAACAACACGAACTGTACTGTTTTGATGTCTGTTTTTTTTCTGTAAATTATATCAGCTAGCATAAAAACCACATCAGATAAAAATGTGTCTCATTTCCTGTAAACAAGATCTTAATTTTAGCACTTAACTCTTTGGTTCGGTTTTTGATCATTTTGTTCGGTGAAAGCTGTCTAATTTCAGAATTTTGTGTTTTGCAGATGAACCAGAGACTCGTGATGCGTGGTGGGAGGAGATTCGCCAAGAGATTAAATCTCATGCCAAAGCTCTTGGTTGTCATGCTGTTGTGGGGTACAGCGAGAGCACTAGCATCTGGTATGTATAGAAGCACATATATCCATTAAAAAAGTTTCTATCCTTTTTCTTTCTTTGCCTGTTGAACTTTTCTAACGTCACCCATTATTGAATCAGTTTGATACAAATAGTTTTCTTTTTGTTTCCAAAATAGTTTAGTATCTATCTTCTCATATCATCCTTCAGTCTGTTCTCTTTTGATATGTTTGTCTTTCGTAAACACAGCGAGGAGGTGTGTATCCTGTCAGCTTCTGGGACAGCAGCCATCCTGAACCCTCGGTTTATGCGTGAAGGCTGCTTGGACATTGGAATCCCAGACCACAGGTTGTTATAAATCTGCAGCTGAGCAAACCGATTGAAAATCCCTGTATTTGTACAGTGCATATCGGTGCAGGTTTGGACAAGTCTGATACCAGATGGTGTGTGTTGTTTGCCAGGTTCGAGGAGCCGTCTCCCCCAAGCTGTGGCTTCTGTCATATCCCATATGATGAGCTCAACATGCCCTTTCCCGCTCAGCTCACCTACTGCTACCACTGTAGACGACAAAAGGTTTTGGATATATGTATTTGAGTTTGTCTAAACCAAACGCTCGTTAAATATGTTTTTGGTTGTTTGCTATATTATGTTTGATGCAAAAAGCATGTATTTATTGTACTGTCCTGTTTTTCCAAAGGTTCCCGATGTGCTGTTCACCACAATCGACTTACCACAAGAGGCATCTGTTACAGGGAAGGGCTGCCTCATCCAGGCTAGGTAAATCCCTTTTATGTGAATGGTGTTATCCACCAGTTTGTCTCATTTTGGGAGTGTGTCAATGAAGGATCGACCAATAATGCCGATATTCAGCATTTTTACAATAATCAGCATAAGCCGTTTTTTCCACCGATAGCTGATGTAACATTTTATTATGTCTGATCATAACCCGGTGCGCATGGAGATCTAAGAGCCTGTTCAAAGCTGTTTGCTGCTTTCATGAATTTTGTAGTTTATTGTAATTTCATTAATCGGAGGTTCTCTGACAAGGCCTTAATAGTCAAAAGTCCCTTTTGCTATTTGAGTAAATATGGTATGCTCATTGCTTTGCTTTACATTGATATTGTAAAACTGGATTTTAGAGAAGATCACAGCTAAATAACCTCAAACTAAATTAAGAAATTCTGACTTATCAACTCCAACCCTGTCCTCTGGAAACATTTTGCCAGTGTTTAGATGAAGACTTGCGTAAAAGACATGCCAGACTTTCTTTTGGTCAATGCCATCGTTTTGTCTTGTAGATTGTGTCGACTTAAGAAGAAGGCCCAGGGGGAAGTCAACGCAACGGCCATCTCCAACCTGCTGCCTTTCATGGAATATGAGTTACACACACAACTGATGAACAAACTAAAAATGCGGAGTATGAACGCTCTGTTTGGTTTACACATACAGATCAGCATCGGAGAGAACATGCTCCTGGGCCTAGCTGTAGGTTGACGGACATAAAACACTCAAGTCGTACAAGTCTTGTTAGGACACTGTCATTGACATTTTTCTGTGTGTGGTCAGTCTGCTACAGGTGTGTACCTGACTGCTCTGCCGGCACCAGGGGGCATCCAGATCGCAGGGAAGACTCCCGGTGACCTGAGTAATGAGCACCACATCTCTACCATCCAAAAACGGATCAATGATACTATAGCCAAGAACAAAGAACTCTATCAAATAAACCCTCCGGTGAGACGCACAGCACATGCTCATTCATATCTTCCAAAAAAGGCTTTTACAGTGTTCAATTTCAACACTTAATCAGACTGTATGTCATACAAGAGAGCGTCTCTGATTAGTTCTGACTGTGAGATACTCTCTATGTGAAAACTTTTATTACAAAAGCAAATGAATGCTTTTAGGTATGTGTTAAAAACCAGAACTCTACCATTTATAAATATTGTAAATTCATTTAATCCATGTTTTATACTTTTTTGTGTTAATTTAAGGAACTACAACTACACACATGTATTTCTACGGTTTGAGTGCTAGTCACCCTTGAGTAACACTTTATTTGACGTCTATCTCTATAACACATTATGAATACATGTGTAGTGCATTATAATTACGTTATAGCACTGTATAACTATAGTTATAAACACTCATAAATGATCATAATGCTTTATAGCAATAATCATAACACATTATAAAGCATTTTATCATGACTTAGAAGGTCAGGTATTATAATGTGTTATAACTGTTATACATGTACTCATAATGCGTTATAGAGATAGGCGTCAAATAAAGTGTTACCCATCCGTGCAACCTCAAATATTTTTTTCATGAGTTATGGTTCGTTTTACACAAACACATTTAACAGAAGTCCAATTATTTTGGGTCTAATTGTCTCTGCTCCAGTGGTAAAATTGTGTTTATATTTCATTCAGTACATGTAGTCTGTCTTTGTGAATCATGAAGAACTTACCCCTCTTGTCTCTCTTTGGTTATTAAAGAAGTTATTTGCCCTGGACCCTGAGGTGTTCTGCGGCATAAACATGGTACTGAACATGGTGACTTTTAGCTGTGAGACACAGCAAAGCATGACAAATACTTCACAATATTAATCGCAATACTACACCACTTTTACTACACCTGTATAACAGCTCTTAACTGGGAAAAAGGGACAATGTGTAACCCACTCCAGAGTCACCTCTCAAGGGCAACTCACTGTAGGCTGAATATGTGCTCTTACAATCGAATTATGACCATTTACCCCGCCTTTTATTCACTCTCTCACCTGTTTGTACTGTACGTGCGCGACTATACGTGTGTGTGTGTGTGTATTTGCACCATTCTCTACTTTTCTAGATCCATATTCTAATTAACACAAGCCATGTGTTTGAAATGGTGCAGCTGACTGGATACTTGAGTGTGAGCATGTGTTCTGACAGTGTGTGTGTTTTGGGCATCATAGTCTTTCTACTAAAAGACAGATGTGTGATGCAGATATGGGCTGCAGCTGTGGTGTTCTGATATTCACGTTGACACCTCTTCTGACAAGGACTTTTGTCTCTTCGCTTACAGGAACTGACAGAGGAACTGGTCGGTTCTCCGATTCCCGAGCCAAGGCAACGATCCAGACTCTTCCGCTCCCACTCTGAGAGCTCCGATGAAGTGTCAGAACTGGATCTCTCACATGGCAAAAAGGATGCCTTTGTCCTTGAGGTATACATGTCAAAAAGTTTTTTAAAAAGTGATCAAATGTAACTACTTCCATGGACAAGAAGATGCATTTGCTTTCATTTCCACAGATTGATGACACTGACGCCGTGGAGGACATTCACTCCCTCCTCACTGATGCCCCTCCTCCCACAGGTATCTTTTACTACCAGCCTACTGACTCTACAATAGTAACTAAAGATTGTTACATGCTGCATATGCCCTGTCTGAACTTTTCTAAATAAAGGAAAGGCACTTATAGATGTCAGTAATCGTCAGTTTTATTTCCTTTTTCATTCTCAGGTTTCTACAGCTGCAATACTGAGGTCATGCCTGGAATTAACGACTGGACTTCAGCAGTTCAGGTTTTTCTTGATTTTTACTTCTTGATTACTTCCTTCAGATACTACAAGTACAACTGCAGATTCTTTGTTTTATTCACCTCTTTTTTTGTAATCGAAATAAGTATTCTTTTTTTGTCTTGTTTTGTTTTCTGGAGCGTAATGCTGTTCTATAACTGTCTCTTAGATGTTTACATCAGTGAGGGTCATCAGGTTGAGTAATGCAAATCTCACCAACCAAGGCTTGAACAAGATTTTCACGGAGCTTTGTGAGAATCTATTAAAGGTGAGAAATACTGAGTTATTAGTTATCTCAACATATATATTGCCTTTCTCTCCTTTTACTCACAGCCATGGTTTGTTGTTACACTGCGAATGATGAATTTTGAAGTATTTGTAACAAACACAGTGAGGTGATTCTATGCTTGTCTTTGAAAATGCAGAGTTTCTACTTCAAGCTGCGCTCCATGATCCCCTGCTGCCTTTGCCATCTCAACTTTACCGTAGCAGTGCCAGAAGAAGAACTTATACAGGTAGGAAATAATTGGCTCTGCTCTGTTTTATGAAATAAAGTCTGTAGTGGAATTAGAACTTTTTCTCCAAACTGTTTTTTTTGTCTTCTTGTATTTTCTGTCCTCCCCTCAGGTTGCTGTGACGGCAGTTGCCATGACTTTTGACAAAGACCAGACTCAGGAGAAGCTGGCAGACAAGCCAATTACCAAAGGTCTGAGCAAATAATAGTTTCAGGGACTTTTTAAAGTGCTTTATTTTAACATTAAAAACAATAGTTATTAAATATACTATTTGCATACAATTTGCAACAGCTATGCTTGCTTTTAAACATTATACAATCAGTTTCAAACTTGGAAAAGGAAGGACTCACTTTGCATTTTAAGTATATCTTACCTTATAATGGTTGATTTCTTTATGAAGCAAAGCATTAAAGATTTATCTCAGTAGTAGTTGAACAGAGAAACATAACTAAGCTACCCTAAACAGTGTAACCCACCTCAGAGACACAACTCGGGTGTATTTTTCTGTTTGAAATCAGGCTAAAGCTCCGTCATGACTCTTTGTTACCCTTAGGAACTGGTGAGACTGAGGAGCAACTGCAGTTCCCCTTGGAGTTGTGTGCAGATTCTTCCCTTCCCAACACTCAGCCACCAGGCTCCAAGATCTCGGGTAATCTTTTAACTTTTTTTTTTAATTATTTTTTCTCCCTGACCTCCTCCTCTGTCCTGTCTTACTAACAGGCATTGCCCATCTCCTCAACTAACGCTTTAGGTTCAGTCTCTTTATTCACTCCAGCTGCAAAACTCTGCAACAATCAGCTGGTTGTGATTCATTCAGAAGGTAAACAAACAACGGTGATGTATGGTAGCCTCTGCAAGACACTGTGATGTTGTTTAGATGAGACGTTATGCTTCTTACACAGTGTAGCTCACTTCCCCTTCTCACTATAGAAGGTGCTTTTTATGTACAAAACTTTTAGATTTAGGTCAAATTAAGTGCCAACTTATCAACGTGGAAAACTCAGAGGTCAACTTTCAACTCTTTTTGTTCTCTGTGAAGTGCAAAGATAGACCATGCTGTGTTTTTTTTTATGTGTGTGTGTGTTTGTTTACATGTGTGTGTGTGTGTGACAGGTGTTCCTGAGAGTACAAACGTTTCTTCTCGAGGTAAGCCCAAATCCCCTCAACCATCTCCCTCTGCCCCATCTCCCTGCTACCAAAACTACTACACTGCCCTGTTTTGACTTTTCATCCTTTAGACTCGGAAAGTTATCGTGCACTGCTCCCAAACCTCATCCACTTTTATTCTTTTCTGTTTCTTTTATTGTGTCCTATTTTTTTATTTTATTTTATTTTTTTTTGTCGTTTCTCTTGTTGTCGTCACGTTGTGTCTGTCTTGGGTGTGGGCCATGTGTTTGTTTGTGTGTGTGTGTGCGTGCGTATGTGCGTTTGTGTGTGTTCTCTCCAGCTGCCTCCGTTGATTACGGTTCCTTTGCAGACAGATGCAGCACCTGGCTAGAGCTGCTTAGGCTGAAAGCTCACACCATAAGACGTGGATCAGTTAAGACAAGTAGGAGGACACAATCTCTAGCACACTCTGGTGATCACAAATACATAACAGTTTTACAAGCAATCCCACACATGGTCACACACCCACACACATGCATACATGCTCGCATATGCTCAAACAACCCTCCATGCATGCTGCTGGGGGGCGGAGCATCGCAAGACAAGCTCCAGCTACTTTGCTAGAGTGTGAAAGTTGAAGCCCCGCCCCTCAGAGGGATCAGCAAATCAGCAGCTTGGCTTTGAAATGCCTGTAGCCGCGGTAATCCTGATTATGATCAATAGGAAAGGGTTTTATTTTTATTGTTTTTTTTGCTTTCAGCGTGCTTGTTCTTCCCTTGATCTATAAGCACCTTGATTACAGTTATGAAAAGACGTTTTGATTTTTACCTGCACTTGCATCAGTGGATTTATTTATTCAAGCTGAGCAGACATGACGTGTTCGAGATAAAATGTAAACGGGCAACTCTGAATGTGGTCGAGATCGCAGCGGAGTGGGGAGTGGCAAATGCTTTTCTGCAAGTTGATGTTTGATTTTCAGTCCTGTGCATTGTGAGTGAACTACGGTCTAATGTGTGGCTCTGAAGGTTCCTGGTTTGATGGATGTTAAAGCCACGTCAGGTAAAATCTTGCAGTAAGACAATAGAGCACCTTTCACCCTCTGGCTTTTGTATACGTGCCCAGCTCAGCTCAGCTCATAGCTGTCTCTCTCCGTCTCCATTTCTCAAACCTCTTTCCAAAAAATTGAACCGGATGAATTTTCTCTCATGTACTGTACTTCACTGTACTGCAAATACTGTATTCACACATGTGAACATACACAGCTGTGTCCAGGTCTCTCTGTCTGTCTGCAGATGCTGTGTAACTGTCTTGTTTGTTTGCTTCAACTGCATGTCATGCATGGCAGCACACGCCTTCCTGATTTTCTTGGCACCACGCATTCACAACACTGCATGTCAACCCACACATGTACCTTACTCACATAGACAACTGACTCACTCACAAAGAATTGTACACATAGTGCTTCTAATGTGTAAACATCAGCAGCGTTGCATTTTTGTACGCACATCTCACGTTCCCATTTGTTTCTGCTTTACACTTCATATTTGCTCATGACTTTTTAAAAAACATTACTGGAGCTTTTTTCGTGGTATCTCCATTTTCTTTTGCTTCTTTTTTCTTCCTCTCCTCTTGTTCCCTTTCGTGTTTCCCTCTATTGGAAATGCTCTCTCTGAACATGCAGTCTCATCTTTGGAGCGCTCCAGTCCACTGCCTGATGGACGTTCCCGTTCTCTGCGTTCCACACGCTCATTCGGGGGCAGTTCAGTCACCGTGGTGAAGATGACTCCGCTCTCCTTCCTCCCTGGGACACGCATCATTAAATACCTGGGAATCATCAACATGTTTTTCATTCGAGAGACCACATCATTGCGAGAGGTATGGTCAGGAACAGGTCACAAGCAAGTCCCAAGCTCAGCATTTTGTTAAAGTGTAGACACGTCTGTGTTTGTGTGTTTTTGTGCACTGCAGGAAGGCGGTGTCAGCGGCTTCCTTCACTCATTCATCGCTGAGGTGTTTGCAATGGTTCGAGCTCATGTAGCAGCCCTGGGTGGCAATGCAGTGGTGTCCTACAGTATGAAAGAGTGTGTGTTTATGGAAAATCCAAACAAGAATCAGGTACTTTGACACTCGCACTTGCACACCATGAACACACATGCTTATACTATCTTACTGTCTGTTTTGAAGTCAAAGCACATACAGCATCTCGAAACCTCACATTAAACAGTGTTCTCATTATCCAATCATTCTGTCTCTGCTCCTCCTGCAGGCTCAGTGTCTCATCAACGTGAGTGGTGATGCTGTCATATGTGTAAGAGAAACAGACCAGGAGCCCACTCTCCCAGCAAATACTGGACAGAGCTGCACAAGCGCAGCAGAGGGCACTACATGACAGTGAAACAAAAATCTGCACAAATACGCTCCCTGGGTCAAGCCGTCCAAATAAGAGTAATTCATGTCTGCCTTAAAACTATGTAAACGATCCAAAGGTTTAGACACAGCTAAAAAGGAACTCAAAAAGTACTCCTACACATCCAAAAACGTGCAGTCTGGACTGATATTGAAGTAGAGGATGTTCCTCTTGATATTTCTAAGGGTGTGATGTAGCAATTTGGGAATGTGGTAATCTGAAGTGTTTAAAATCTTATAGGGTAACACCTACAGCCAAAGCTTCCCTGTTATGTATTAACAACCTTCCATTGTGGCCATTCAGTCATTTGTCAAGACAAGTGATGCTTGAGGCAGCTATGACTAATTTGTCCGTCCACAGTTCACAGTTTTAGGAGTCATTAAATAGACCTGCCAAAAGTTATGCACTTCAAATTATCCATGTGCAGTCAAATTCGTAGCCAGCGTCCATAACCTGCAGAAAAAAGATCTCTCCGTTCACTCTGGACTAGCCACATAAGAACTGCAATAAGCAATGTTCCCTGATGACACAATTTAATTCTGATACAATAACATGTAGTGAATGGGTAGTCGCCTTTAAAGGTACATTATGTAGAAATAGGAATATAGACAAGATTGAAACACCTCCCTGCTCACCTGTCCCTGCATTTACACTAGTTCTAGGGCATGAGCTTCCGCCCTGGAACATGTGTATCATCAGCAACATAACAGGAAACAACAACATCAACAACTTAGTTCCTGTGGCCACTTACAGCAGTGGTGGCCGCTGATCTTACATTTATCAAGTTATACCATGAAAAACTTTCATCAGTACAAATTCCTTTGCGCACAACAAGTACCACTCTCCTGTTTTTGGTCTTCCAACTAAGGCGTGTAGGGCAGCTGCTCCCTAAATACAAAAATGTGTATGCTACTGGTTTGTCTGGTCTTTGCAATGGTAGCAATATGGTGGCCTCTGGGTAAAGGGACCCTTCCTATGTAGATATAAAAGTTGTATTCTCAATAAACGAAAACAAAATAATTTTTGTATTGGGTGAATTATAAACTGAGACACACATATTGTTATCCATGTCTCACGAATGTTCAGCTAAATGACACCACTATGCACTGTACCTTTAAGCGCTACGTCTGAAGTTTTTTTTATTCCATTGATGGTTTGACGTCTTCGTTACGGCTCTATTGCTCACATATAAAATATCCTAATGATAATGAAATTTATGAAGTATTAAATAATTATGTCTCAGATTGAGTGATTTCAGTAAATTGCAGGACAGGAAAACAAGTGCAAACACATATTTTTATAAGCCAAGAATTTTTATGAAGAACAACTATAGCTGACTCGGCAAAAATTAACAAGATGAAACAGCTGGAATTGTGTTTCTTTTTCTAGAAAATTGTATAAAAAAGTGTGCAAGGGGTGGTGGTATGATGTTGGATATACATATATAAATACCATTCATAAATAATATATAGAGTACAGTCTTTTAAGTATGCTCTGGTCGATTTAATACTTAATCTATGTGTATAGAGGGAAATCTTTGTCTCTTTAAAGTTATGTTTCAAGTAATGATCATACTACTGATAAGTCCAACATTCTTGTTAGATACTGAAAAGAGCATCAGCTGTAGATGCCACCTGACAAACCGTGTAAATGTTCGCTTAAATCAGATTTTAGTATTTTTGTAACCTAAAACGTATGAAACCTACTGCTTATTTGCCTGTGCAATGAATTCCTGATGTTTTGACTGGCTGTGTCAAAGAATTAGTGGTACTCTTCTTGTGATCCATTTCTGTAATTTGTGTCTAAAACTTGAATGTACATATTTGACACTCTTGCTTTCTGACTTGCAGCATGCAGACCTACTTTTTATTGCCATGAATCTGTTTGCTTGCTTGCCGGGTGACTCTTGCACAATAAATTCAGATGAGCAAAGATGCCAATGTTTGATTATCAACTTTGATATAACTTTGATTTTTTTTTTCTCAGTAAAAGGGAGGAATGTAAAAAAAAATGAAACTGAAGCCCCACTGCTCAAGAGTGGAGGTCTACAATTCAAGGTGGTTGCTTTTTTTTCTAGTAATGTATTTTTGGAGTACATATAATATGTTTTGCTATAGATAACAATTTTTCGTACCAGTTTATCCCTTATTTAACATTTCTTGGTTGATTGCTTTATCTGTAATGTCAGCCGGCTGACAGGCCAAATATTATATTTATGGTGGCCATGAACCGCCATTGCTGCAAATGAAAAAGAATGCAGAAAAAAAAGAGAAACCACAACAGAAGTAACTGATGCAAAAAAAAAAAAAACGAAGCCCGCTACAAATAAAAAAAAAAAAGAAAGAAAACTTCTGTTTTGGCTTTTTTTTTTATCTGTACTGTTTCTTTTTTAATTTGCAGCAGGCTTTGGTTTCTTTTTTAGCATCAGTAACCTACGTTGTGACTTTTTTTTTTTTCATTTAAAATATATATATATATATATATATATATATATATATATATATATATATTTGCAGAAGTGGCGGTTCACGGCCACCATACATATCAACTCAAATGATACCTCAAAGTTGTTGGAGAACATACTTAAGGCCTTTTTTGAAATTTAATTATATCATATTAGCGCACACATATCAATAAAGTTTACGTGTAAATATCAACCTAGAAATGTGTAAAAACGATGTTAACAGTGAATAAGAGTGATAAAACTACACCATCCAGGAACACATTTATCCGACGTTACGTGAACGCATCGTGTCTAAAATCTCTCGCGACATCTTGTGGCCGTCGGTTATATTGCAGTCAAACGCTCATCATCCCTACGTGTCCTCCGGCTACATTAAAATCCCGCTCCCTGCTTTCCGTACTTCCACAGGAAGGAACAGGCGTCCGTAAGTCAGCGGTGAGAGCGGTGGATCTTCCACCCAGCAGCTCGACTCAAACATGGGGGAAATCATTCTGCCTCGACGCATGTTCCTCTGGTGCATGTCGGTCATTTATCTGAGTGCCTTTGTATCTCTGTATGTGCAGATACCAGGTGAGACTCCACTCTCTGCTGACTGTACTTACTTTTGGTGTGTTAGCTTGCTAGCTGGGGGCTTGGTTCTTAGTCTTTCTGTGCTACTCACGCAGTCAAACATGCCAAAGAAGTCTGCAAGTTCCTGCGTGGCGTGGGGAAATGTCACCGTGCTCCTGGCTAACTTCACAAATCAGCTTTTGTCTTTGGAGGCACAGCCAGGTGTTAATACGTAAACATGATGCCAATGTATTGCACTACAGTACCCAGAAATCCCCGAGTTTCAGTGAGTTGAGGACGCTTACTTTTCTGGTTTCAGGAGACATCAACCACGCCCGCTAGTTTAAAAGAAATGTTTTGGTTAAAGCGTATTTTCTGTATTTATTCACACTTATACCGCTTTTTCAGTACACTTTTAAGCCCACAAAGTAATATTGAGAAATCTTTTAAGAGTTTTGAAACTGCTAGTGGGAATGAATGAATGAATAAAAATAAAAAAAGAGTAGTTTTTTGGAGTATGTTGTGGTAGGGCTGGGCGATATGGGAAAAAGTTTCTCACAATATATTTTTTCACATATCAGTCGATATTGATATTTATCACTATATAAAAAATGCATCTGTGAGGTCTTTGTGTCTCTTTGACGTTTTGTTGTAAGGCGTCGAGCTAGAGAAATCGTACCGAATGGTCGGCTGTTTCAACTGCACAGGCGCCATGGGCTCCTTGCTCCACTGGTGGTTTGTAACCTTTTGCATTGCGAGCGCTTTGCTGTGTGGCACTGCTTCAGGTGGTGAAAAACATTTGAAGTATTCCCCGTATTCACTTTGCGGGAACATGAACTCGACATAAATTGCAGTGCACATCACTCTGCTTCATGTCCGACCTCAAAATAACAAAATACCTCCACACCACCGATGTTTTCATGCCAGTGTTGTTGTAGCCTTTATCTGCATTCCTGCCCGGGGTAGCACTCATTTTTGTTTTTTCTCACTGACAGTGCTGTTGGGCTTCACTTGTTAAAGCTCTATGGTTGCTGCAGCCTGCTACTACACAGTTGTTTGCTACTTGGTTCTAATTCAGCACATGATTGGTTCAGAGTGAAGCGGACCCAGAGCAACTCCCATTTTGTATAGTCTACCAAAACATGGGAGAATGCCGGTTATCGAACAGCATATTGACCATGTTTTATATTGATATTGAGGGAAATAAATTTTCGATAAATATAATTATCGTTTTATCGCTCAGCCCTATGTTGTGGTGATAGAAATGCTAAAACTACCTTAGATTCAGCTCATATGATCTTCCCATGTGTTTCACTTTGAAACGCCACCATCATGCTTTGTTATTAAGATCCATGCTGCTCAGTGCAGCTTTAAAACACAAGCTATGACTGGTTTGTTCATTTATTGTTGATTCTTCTCCATGTTTTCATCTGTTTATAGGTCTCTATGGTAATGATGGACTGTTGCCTGCTCGTAGGCAGCTGCGATACAGCGGTAAACCTCTCAGTGAACAGCTGCTGACCTCTCCCACCCTACTGTGGCTCGGACCTCGGCTTGGCCTGGACACATACACCGCCATGGAGCTGCTGTGCCTCGTAGGCGCTGCACTGAGCTTCACTGCGACTCTCGTAGAGGCTTTCAGAGACAGCGTGGTGTTTTTCTGCCTCTGGGCCTTGTACCTGTCGATGTATAATGTGAGTGCAGACTGTATCAGGTTATTTTCCACAGATCATCACCGCTCTGTTCCTTCTCTCATGTGTGTTTTTGGTTCTTGTTGCAGGTGGGTCAGGTGTTTCTCTACTTCCAGTGGTGAGTGATAATTTATGGATTTGTCTTTTGTAATTAGCACAGTCGTGCTCTCAATAACTGTTTGCTCACAGATCCAAGGATAGGTTTGGTAGTTTGCTGACAGATTCACATCATTGTCAGTCTACTGTTTGTAATATTGCTGTGATGTTTAGCTCTGCTGCTTCGCAACAAAACTCTAACCATCCCTGCACTTCCTTGAACTACACTGACAAACCCTGAATAACTTCCTCTGCTTTTGTCCTGTGTGCCACACTTTCCAACTATTACTCATCATTTCCTTTACTTTTTACGGTGCAGGGACAACTTGCTGCTGGAGACAGGCTTCCTCTGTATCCTCGTCGCTCCTTTGACATTAATCAGAGGTTCACGAGGAGTGAGAGAGCACGATCGTGTGACTTTCTGGCTGGTTCGCTGGTTACTCTTCAGGCTCATGTTTGCCTCTGGCGTGGTGAAGCTCACATCACGATGTCCCACATGGTGGGGACTCACAGGTACATGGGATAAATTTAAGAAGTACTGAAGAGAGTTGCTTTTTGTTTAATTTTTTAACTTTAGCTAATTTGTTAGAAAGGCTGCAGATGGAGTAAACTGAGATGAGCACGCACCATACTTTCTTTTTCCTTTATCTGGTTTTTGTTCAATTGACTCTGTTTTTCTCTGTTTTCACTCAGCTCTGACATACCACTATGAAACTCAATGTATCCCCACACCGGCAGCCTGGTTTGCTCATCAGTTACCAGTGTGGTGGCAGAAGTTTAGTGTGATGGGAACTTTCATCATAGAGATCCCCGTCCCGCTGCTTTTCTTCAGCCCTCTGCGCAAACTCCGGCTCGGTGCTTTTTACCTGCAGGTCTGTATAAACTGAAGTTTTATTAATTATTTTTTATTCAAATAGTTTTTCCGATTTTTATCATTTCTGCTTTGTATCTAGGCTTATGTTAAAGTTGCATTCACCAATTGCAAACCCAATCTACAGTATAATATAGGGTTACATAAAGCTGGTAAGCCCCTGTGTCTAATTCTACCGTAAGGATTTTGCTGCAGACCTGCATTGTCACCCATTCAAAACATTTGGCGCATTATGAAACTGAACTCACAACGAAGGAGATCATGAACTGTTGAGCAGCTTAAGTCCCGTATAAAGCTTCATTTTCAAAACTCCAGAAGCTGGTGCGCTCAGTTCCCAAACATTTACTGTCAACAGGAGAAGTGATGCAACACACTGGCAAACATGCCCCTGTGCCAACTTCTGTGAAGTGTGTTTCTGGCATCAAATTTAAGAGGAGCATATATTTCTCATTAAACATGAGCATTTTTCAGTTTCAGTGTGTGATTTGATTTCTTTGCTCTATTCTCTATTAAATAATGAGTCTAAATGATTTGCAAACACATCCCAGTATTTTTTAATCCGGGTCGTCGTCCATGTGATCACAGATGACAATTTACTACTGCTAGTTGGTGGGTACGTGGCACCCGTAGAGTTCAGTTTGGAGAGGCAGAATAATGTTTTTTATTTACATATATTATAATGCGGGAGATTTACAGGAGAATACTAATATGGGAAGACAGCGGGAAAGAGGGGTAAAATACAGCAGGATACTTGACAGCCACGGGCATCACTAGTCTGTAGCTGAAAAATTCATGGCTTTATTAATACTTAGTTTCTCTTTTTTTCCCCTCTTATAGGTGTTACTTCAAGTGCTAATCATTGTGACAGGAAACTACAATTTCTTCAACCTGCTGACTCTGGCCCTGTGTCTGTCACTCCTGGATGATCAGCATGTGAATTTCTGGCTTCGCAAGACACAAAAGACCAGCAATGAAGGTACAAGAAGTGTTAGTGCTCTATAGATATGCAGATGAAGCAGATCTGTCAGGTTACAATAAAGAAAAAGAGCTATATTGGTCACAGTATACTTAAAGAGTATCTTTTTCTCTTTTCTCTCTGTTCTTTCAGATTCCAGGCTCTGGTCATGGCTGTGTTACCTGCTGGAGCTGGCTGTCTGGTCCCTCCTCGTCTTTGGATCGATTGTCTGCTTTGACCTGCAGTACGGTACGATGAAGAACGTCATCACCTCCAGGACAGGTGTGTAAATGTATAACCAGACAGACAATCAGCAGCGTCACATTTAGCAGATTTTATGTCAATGGTTATTTCCTTGCAGCTTTCACATACCACCACTTCAACCAGTTCTTGAAGACCGTCACCATCCCCTGCATCTGGATTGGTGTGCTCTCCCTCACCTGGGAGATGGTTACAGCCATGTTCAGGTAAGACTCTCTGTGTGTTTGTTTGAGCGTCTAAGTTCAGCAGAACCATGAAAAAACTTCTGTCTTTTTTCTAGGTGTGCATGCATCACTGGTTTCCTGAGGAGGTTTTGTGGAACCGTTCAGTGGACTTTGTTTGGCGCTGCTACCGCTGCAATGTTCACTGTTAGCTTGGTGGGTGCTCATGAACAAATATAGATGATCGAATTTCACCTCAGAACTGATTTTATATTTATATGATGATTTACTGAATGAAATATCAGCAATAAGCGATTTCTCATCAGAATATTTCCTCTCATACCAACCTTTTGTTCTGATCCAGGTGCCCTTCACATACATAGAGTACGACTCTAATACCAGGCTGTGGCCAGCTGTGCGTCAGGCCTATAACCTGGTGGATCGCTATCAGCTGGTTAACTCATATGGTCTGTTCAGGAGGATGACAGGGGTCGGTGGACGGCCAGAGGTCGTGATTGAAGGAAGTCATGATGGTGTCTCATGGACGGTGAGAGATGAACTTGATCATGATCTAAATTAGCCTTTTAATGACTGTGTATGATGGTGTAAGTGTGCTGCTTCATGATCGCAATGTTGCTCCCAGTTTACACGAAGTCTACCTGTAAAATAATTCAAAAGGGACCGTTTTTTTAACCTCTAAAGGTTCATGAGTGTGTAGACTGACGACTGACCCTTGGTATTAAGTTTTTCTTTTATCCTTGTGCTTCTCTTTGTCTTTCTAGGAGATTGAGTTTATGTATAAGCCAGGAAACCTCAGCGCACCTCCTCCTGTGGTGACGCCTCATCAGCCAAGGTTAGACTGGCAAATGTGGTTCGCTGCCCTCGGGAGTCAAAATCAGGCTCCGTGGTTCACCAGCCTCGTACACAGTCTGCTGCAAGACAAAAGAGATGGTAAGCACCACCAGAGAGACAGTAGTAGGTCCTTTATTATTGCATCAATACATCTGTGCTCCCTGTAGTGTCTGATTGGGAACAGTGTTAAGAGCTGTTCTCCTCAGGACCCTTGAAAACTTCTTTACTGCCCCCTAGTGTTTTTATCAAGAAACATACACACTGCTGCAAGGATTTTTACTGCAGTCTTTAACACAAAAGTCACATTAGTAAGTTTTTTAAATGTATTTTTCAGTCAAAGTTGAACTGGGATACTCAAAAGTATCTTGTTTAGTGCAAGAAACTGTCTATTTTTTAAAAAACAAGCAGTTCTCTGACAGCTTCCTTCTATGTTCTGCAGTGATAGAGCTGATCCAGAGTGATACGTCCAAATATCTGTTCAACCTGCAGCCTCCCACCTACATCCGGGCCCACCGATACCGATACTGGTTTACTGAGCCAAAGGCTGACGGGTCAGTGCTCTCTTTTTTTTCTTTCTCTGTCCTTGTGGATTGTAAAAAAAGAAAAAAAAAACCTCTTGGCTTCAGTGTCAGCTGAAATACTGTATGGAAGTCAACACTATTTGTCTTGTTTAAGTGGCACTTAAAGGGATATTCCAGCGTAAAATTAATTTAGGGTCAAACACACTACTCGGACAAGTCCATTACTGCAGCGGGGCGATGCAGCTCAAGGAAGAACATTTATGATCATTTCTTCATGGAAATGCAATCAGACCAAGATGATAAGGCAGAAGAACTACTGGGTCTGCAGTGCAAAATGATTAAAATGGTGATTATTACTTCAAGTAAATGATAAAGTAATGATCATAAATGTTCGTCCTTGAGCTATGTCCCCCCGCTGCAGTCAATGGACTCGTCTGAGGTCTTCCTACAAACAAGCGTCTGCTGGAAGAGAGTGGGTGAGTTGTGTTTAGTCTCTTTGCTAAAGAAATTAGGCAAAGTTAAAAATATGTTTGGTGGCGAGTGCTGTGGCTGGGACCCTATATGTACTGTTGATGAAGTTAGGTGCTGTTCTGAGCATTATTTGTGGCTATAGAGTGGCTTTTTGGTTGAGGTTTGTTTGTGGCTCCTCAGACCGCTGTGTATTGCTATTGTGCGGTTGTTACTAAAGTTGGTAAAACTAGAGAAGCAAGCGGTTGGCAACATTCATCTCTCGAGGGGGTGTCTAACTCAGTGTTACGGTGTGTTTGACCCTAAATTAATTTCATGCCGGAATATCCCTTTAAAGTGGCACTTAAGGTCTCATTACTCCCACCTTAAACTGTTCAAAGTAGAAAAACAAACGAGTGCTCTTAGTTTACACTGAATGGCTGATCTTTGTTTACAGGTCTTATCCTCAGCGTTGGTGGAGGAGGGTCTATGAGGAAGAATTTTACCCAGTAGTGAACCTGGGTAACTCTTTTCTAGAGAGCATGCTCAACCAGTATGGACTGAAGGTGAATTCATCCTAAAGCTTATATTAGCTCTTAATGATAAACCTTTCTGGCTGTAAAAGTCTCGTATTGACTAATAATAATCTTTGATTATGTCCAGGATAAATCGCCTCCACGAATGTCAAAAACTGCGGTTGCCAGGGCTGTGAGGTGGGTACGCTCCCAGGTCAGAGGTGTTCCTGCTCACACACTTATCTGGACCTTGATTGCCTGCAGTGCGACTCTCTGTCTGCTCCGAGGATTACAAAACAGGGACAAACGCACAGAAAGGACCCCTCTTCCTCCTGAGGACGTTGCTCCTGTGAGAGGTCAAGCAGAAAAAATACCTGATGGATTTTCAGACCAATGTGGGAAGTCAGATGAACAGATGATTGCAGAAGAGGAGGAGGAGGAGGAGGAAGATGGAGAGGACAGTCAAGATGAGGTGGGGGAGGAGAATAAAGACTCTGCTGGTGACGAGGGAGAGGAAAAAGAGGAGGAGGAGGACGATGAAGATCTCTCTGAATGAAAAGGTTTTCAAAGGATGCAGGTAAACCTCTGGAAGAGTATCCTCACCAGCTGCCTTCATGCGATGTCACCAGAATGACCAAAGATGTTTCTCTGCGTCTGTTAATACTTCCTGATTGGCCAATTAAGGAAGAATGCGTACTGCCTTCTCCACCCTCCACTTTGCTGCTGTGCATAAATCTTGTATTCATTTCACAATGACAATCATGTTGTTGGCAGATGTTTCCACATTTTTAATTATCCCTCGTTGGCTCTGGCTCAGGTTGAACTCTTAAAAATTAAGGCTTGCCGATGAAAAATGTTCAAAGTAGGGGAAAATATTAAGGGTGTAAATTTGTTGCTGCTTCTTCTCTCCTGTTTGTATTGTTGCACTTATTTGTAATTACAGATGTGTGTGTATATGAGCGTGGTAGATGATTATGTTTATGTCACTGTGGTTTCTTGCTGTATGTACACATCTGACACATCCACTTGTTTTCTTTTTTGTGTTTTCTTCAGTATTAGAAATGAAACATGAAACATGGATTTACTTTTGAAAAAGGTTTTTTAATAACATTAAATACAATAAAATACATGTTTCTGTGTTGATCTTATCTGTGAAACTAAGTCACAATCACTTTGAGGATACATTTTGGTTTACGATCAGAGACGCCTGGGTTTGAAACACAATACAAACAGTGATGAATAGTCGAGTTCAGTGAGAGTAAATCCTACTTTTGTGTTACTATACAGCAGCTACATATCAGCTTATTCAGTTTCTCACATATGCAATCACTCTATTAATGACTTATTGTTTTTTTTTCACCACTTCAGTATTCCAGGACAGTACTTGTCGATCAGAGACTGATAGTACGGCTTCAGCTTGGCGACGTCAGGCAGGTCGGTGGTCTTTGTGTACAGGTCGAATTTGCTGTGGAGAGGATGGAGGGTGAAGCGTCAGGCAAAAGGCACGCTAGTAGGAAGGCTGATATGAGAGAGGAGGACACTCACTTGAACTCTCGGACCCAGGACATCATGCGTAAGTCTTTATCTTCACACAGGTGCATGTAGTCCCCATGGGAGTGCCAGGGGTAGAACGAGTGAAAGCGAATCATATACATCCCCTGAAGAGAGGTGAAGGAGAGAAGAGCCATGACTGAGGCAGCTGCAGCAGGTGAGGAGAAAAATATTGAAGGAGAAGATTTGAGGTCATAGATTTAATGATTCACTCACCTCCTCTGGGATGGAGCACTTGTTGAACTTGAGAACTTGGTAGAGATACTCTGAAAACATCAGTACAGGAGTTTAGTTACAGATAAACAATAAAAACTTTGTCATCCTTCATGATCATAAAAACTACGTCCACTTCCAGATCCAGTTTGCCAATTTGATAGCTTATTTTCCATGGCATGGTCATTTGTGTGCCTTAAAATCTCTTACCATCATGGCCCCAGGACATAAGGATATTGTTGAGCCCACAGTTTGGTTTGTAGATCCCGTATTCAGTACTGAAAAAACATCAGAGCCTTTATCGTCACATGTTAGAAGAAATCAGACCAAATGTGATCAAAGGTGGAGCAGACCTTTGTTCACAGATCTGAATGTTTAACAAAAAAATACCTACTTCAATTCAGGATTTTTTTCATCGGGGTTATCCTGGAAGGTGCTGTCCCTGAACACAATGGAGTTTTGAAACTTGCAGCCAACAGGAAAGGTGTCTCCGACTACAGCCCACTGAGGAGCGCACACACAGACTGCTGTTAAATCTTCATGTAGATCTAACGTTTGATCGAGGGAAATTATTAAGTTGTTGTCATATCATATTTCGCTATGTTGACACTTTTGCCTACCTGAGGTTCATCCCAGAGAGCCATGATCTTCCCAACATCATGGATCAGGCCCACCAACTGGAACCAGTCTGAGGATGGTGGTGTTGAGAACAGTTTTCAGAAAAGTGTTCATGTTATTACACAGCGTGTGTGTGTGTGTGTGTGTGTGTGTGTGTGTGTGTGTGTGTGTGTGTGTGTGTGTGTGTGTGTGTTCCACCCCTCTCCCTGTTAGGTTTACCTTTGTCGGGATGTGCTTGACGAATGCCCTCGGCAGTCTGGAAGGCGTGGAAAGAGTTTGGGAAGTCCACATCGGGGTCAGATTCATCCACCAACTGGTCTAGAGACATGACTGCATCCATTATCCCCATCTGGGTATGAGTGCAACCAGTCCATTCAGAGTGCTGCAGGAGGGTAGGACCAAGGACAAGAGATCAGTTAAGTTTTCATGGATAGATTGATCAGGTCTGAAAAATTATGAAAACAGCAAGTTTAGAGAAAACCACAGCTGACTGATAGAAATCAAAGAGGAGAATGGCCTTGTGTAACCTTTTTTGGACTAGAGAGAGGATAACATTTAGTTCAGACACAGTATTTGCTCTTTTTTTAAGCTCTCTGGGGGTTGTTTGCTCAGTCTGTCACGATCAATACGACACAAACAGAATGAGCTACACAAAACAGAATCACTTATATCACTTATTTAGTTTATTGACCTTTTTATTGACAAAGTCCAGCGTTTGGTTGGTGTGCATCAGCTTGTATGTGTTAAACACACGATCAATTAGACTCCCATTCTGAAAAACACACAAACAAACACACATATGCACCGCAACATTTTAGAAACAGCATCATAGGCATAGAAAGAGCTCCACAACCCTTCCTCAGCTGTAATATCTGTCTTGGCAACAACCTCTTTATTATAGAGTTAAACGTTAATCACAAGTTTTTAAAATCACATCTCAAAAATCCAACTATTACATAACAACAAAAGTAGAGTTTTAATTCAAGCAGCATTTCAGGCAGCGCACTGACCTACTAATAATAATAAATCATTATTTATCAATATTGATCATTTTCCCTAAGTTCCTAAGATCTTCCTTAAAGTTGCGTAATGATTACTGCAACAATACTCCACTTTGTTTGAGGGAATGGTTATGTAAAATAACCATTACGAAAAGAATAAATGAAGTCATATCAAATCTAATATTATACAAATAATTACAAGAACGAAAAAAGTCAGATAGCAAATAAAAAAAACATGCAATTTTAATAAATATTACATTATACAGTGATTGGTTAAGTTCAATGTACACACACACACACAAATAAAAAAAATCACAGCTCCAAAACTGTAACCTTTCAAAAGTGTTGTAATAAAATGCTGTTTTTAATTTCTGAAGTGCTCTCAGGTAATAGAAGATGTTAAACCTTACCTCAAAATTCCTGTATTCCTCCTTGTCTTTGGTTTGATTCTTCTCTAAATTTGGACGATATGCCAAAGAGGGGTCTGGACCCTGCATTAAGAATAACAAACAGAATATATTTTCAAACCTTCAAAGATAAAAAAAAAAAAGTATATTTCCTTTAAAAAACAACATTTTAGTTTAGCAAGAATAAAAGTGTAGTTCTGTGTTGAATCCACATGTACCATGTTGATGACCCTCATGGCTGACAAATTCAGTCTGTGTTGTGGTGAGATGGTGTTCTGGAGCTGACTGTTCAGTTTCACAGCCCCTCATATATATGTATGCAACTTACATACACTGCCTCTTTAAACTTTAATGCCTTTGACCTTCACTGTGCACCAACAAAAAGTTCACAAATCTCCTGTCACACTTTAACTAAACTTCCACAAACGGGGTGCCCTGTGGTGAACCTTGGCCTTGTGTACGTGTGTGTTCACAGATATTTTTCAATGATCAGCAGGCTGCAAGTTTGGACTGGTGCAGGATGACGCAGTAGTTCTTTGCTCCAGATTTTAGTTATTTATTATTTATTTATTTATTATATTACTTTATCTGCGTCAATCACAAATTTGATCAACAAAATCAGTCATATTTGCTGTGATAATATAGTTTTTTCAATGTTTGTGCCTGTGTTAACCAAACACAACTCGCAAACACACACAGACACACACACGCACACACACGCACACACACACACACAGGAAAATTCCTAACTTTAAAAATAACGCATCATTTGATCTTTCTTTTTGACTGACTGATAACCCAATAATCATTTCGTTTTCCCTCGATCAAATGTTCCAGCTGACTTGTTGGAAACAAACACCAATCACATGCACACACCAGCAGACTGCAGCTGATTAGAAGAAAACCTGGTCTGTTTGCTGATCCAGGAATGACCAAAGTGTTCAAACAAGCTTGAGTCGATGACCCAGCACTCAGAGTTTATTAATTCCCTCTAGTCATAGTTACCAAACACTCTGTGGGCATCACCCACCACATGACTCCAGGAAACCTCTCATATTTGAAGGATTGGATGCACTGATGGATTGGTTTTGGATTTGAGAGTGTCAACCTTTTAAAAAAACAAACACTTTCCATTTTTTAGAGATGTCACTACTTGCATCTAGACAAACACAGAAAACAAATACCTGAAAGAGGTTTTTAAAGCTTTTTTCTCTTCTTGGTCAGGAGGTTATGGGATATGCCAATAAACTTAAAAACTTCAGCATTCACCAAACAATTCAACACTGTGTTTTTATTAACTCTCACAGCGTTCATAGGGTTTAGAAAAGCTCTCAGTGTGCCCAGGGGTGGTAGAGATCCAGCCTAACCCTGAAATCTAATTGGCTGTCTTGAAGCCCTTGAACAGTGCCAGCTTAGGCTAAAGTTGATGTTAGCTCTTGAAGAAAAAACACATTCAGATCTCATCCAATGCTATTTGATTGGAAGTTACATAATAAGCCAATTGTACAGATGCCAATTTTTCTAACAGGGAGATTGTCAAAAGAATAAGAAATATATCTCAGTTATATTGGTTGTAAAAGACAAATGTGCTCTACAAAGGAGGAGCCAACCATATTCAGAAAAAAATACTCTTAACCAGCATTTTTTAATCTTGTCCTCTAATACAGACTATAGACCAGATATATTTCACCTTACACTGCTTCGTTTCATTTAATATTTTTATTTTTTATGTTGCTATAAACTCAAGTCTCATAAAGTGTCCCTGGCACTTTGTAGCAGTTTAGCTCCATTTTCTCTAAATGACTTCAAATGCTCTGTAGAGTCTTTTCTTGGCTCTCGGGTCATATGCTGGTGAAAAAAAAAATTTGGCTGCACTAAGTTGCTTTTGAACTTTTTATAAAAATAGCTACCACACACACAGAGACACAGACACACACACACACACACACACACAAAAACATGCGCACACAGTCACAAGGCAGAGCGGATATTTGAAATGTCACAATAAACTTGGCTGACTAATGCTGTGGCCTTGGGTTGGTGCATTCACAAAAAGAGGCAGACAGATCATTATCATAACTTAGATGACGTTATACAAATTCTCATATGAATTTCCACTCATAAATTGCAGGAGCATAAAAATAAAGAGGACACAGTCTTTCATCAGAGCTAGAGAAAAAAAATACGAGGGATGTTAGACCGGCGTTTATTACACAACACTGCCACAGTCAAAACAAGATGTTAGGAATAAGTGACAAAAGTTTGACAAAGGACACTTGTACATGGAAATTTTAATTCTGAGTTAAATTAAACATGAACTTCAAGTTGCATTGTATGAAAATAAAAATAAAGTGCTTTTATGCATCCCTAATGACATTTTGCCTCAACGACTGGGACTGCTGTTCTACTGAGCTGAAGCATGGCCATACAAAGCTTCAGATAACACCATAGTGTTTAACATTTAATGAAATGCTAAGTTATAATATGGTAAGAAGCATTATAAGGCCTCATAAACAATGTGACCAATTAAGGCTCACAAACAGTCACTGATGTAGAGTTTGTAGATTAGAAGTGATCTACAGTGTAGCTGACCGCTCTCTGCTTCGCTCGTTCATTGACAAGATATCTGTTAAGAAGCATCCAGACAGTTCATGGATTAGGGTTAGTGGTTATTTTGGCTAACTGTACACACTGCAGGGTTTTGGGTGAAGGGTTAACTAGGTTTGATTGGAGGTTATTCTTAGTGTCTGTTCCCACAGAAGTAAAGCTACTTGCTCACAAGGGGAGATGACGGTACTTTTGAGGTACACAGTGGATTAGCTCTGACCTCAGGTCGGTTCAGATCAGCAGGATCACAAATGATGACGATAGTAGACATTAGTCATGTAGGCCAGTCTGACAAAGCTTCTGCCATTTACAGTTTTTCAACTTTGCATACAGTTTATGAATGGTTATCACTGTATGGAGCACTCAACACCTTGGACTCTAGTTTCACTGCAGTACCGACTGGAGATGAAATCAATCCGTGATCTCAAAGACAGCTCCAATTTGTGTAGAAACATTATAGAAGTTATTGTTTTCATTACAGTTCCCTTCATGGTGTTGAAAATTGGATCTAGTTATGATAATTTGCTCACCAGAGTATCCAGGAAATGCCAGTAAAGCTGAAGTTAAGCCAGGTCATCTCTACCAGTTTATCCTAACCTAACATTTAGAGGTCAGAGGAAAATTACATGAAGGCTGTTTTGAGGCACTGATATTATCTGCCACCCTGTAAATGTGACTCAGCAGTATTTCATTATATTTTACAGTTATTAGACAATAGCAGCACTTAGTTAAGGTGAAGGAAACATGGTCTGGCAGTGGTCTGGTTCATATTTAAAAGTACCAGACGTAGGAGTTGGCACACCAACCTGAGATCTGGTGTGAAAATCCTGCACTTAGTATGCATGCCACCCATGTTGACTTCTTCTGGTTGCACTTCTTCACTTGAAAAAGGGTTGTCTTTGAATGCAATCCAGTTAGTCTTACAGTAAATCAAACTGTTATTAGAAAATAAACATAATACTTCATACATGACACATCAATCCAGTAGAAATCTTAGACCTGTTTCAGTCTTCAAACTGCATCATGTCCATGTTAATCAGCGAGAGCATTGTGCTCACTTCAAACTGTCTCAGGGTTACGATCTTAGCCATAGCTGTGAGGACTGCGAGGGTTAATGGGGGAGGAGTCCTCCCTCCCACTCTGTCCGATCAGCTGGTACAGACGATGGCTGAGGTTTTGAACCTGGCAGGTGCCCAGTACACATCCCACCCTCATTAGGTGGCCATGGCCCCTTGTGCCACCACTGTTGGCATGACGGCGACTCCGTGACCCACGTTGACTGACTGGTGCTTCTTGTAGAACAACACCGCTTTCATCAGGTGATGGTTTGGACAACTTTGACAGGGACTCTTTGTGCGACAGAGACCTCCAGATTGTGTATCTGTTTCCTTGGGTGAGGAGGTCGTCAAAGTTAGTAGGAAGATCTGACGCAGCAGGCATGGTGGCAGTGAAAGACAACTTATGGTGTTTGGATGTTCTGGATAAAGTCAACCTGGGATAAAGACACACAGAAGGACAGAGAAAACAAAATAAATTAAAATGAAAAAACATAATAAATTGTTGAGTAGTCATGTGCAGATCCCCTGCTTGGCCGTCTGACTGAAACTTAATAACTAGGAGAAGATGAAATGCCTCACAGGAAGTCAGGCCTGGACTGCAGGAATGCCCACTGTATTTGATCCCAGGGTCATCTTTCAAGGTGCAGAGCAGGGGGAGAAAATTAAAGAGAGACTTGGCAGAAAAGATAGAAGGACACATAGATGGACGCTGAAGTACAACAACCAGTGAATCCCTTTAGTTGAGGAGGCTTGTTTGGTGCAGTTTGGGACTGCTGTGTTGAGTGTAACAGTGCTAGGTATATTTGTTTTTAAGTCAACTGTCCACTTGGTTAAAGCCCACTTTGGATGGGTCGTGAACAGCTGGTCAAAAAAGTAAATATTTAATCCACATCTGATGTTTGACATTTCTTTTATTTTGAAAAATAGCTTATTTTGAAAGGTACGCATTATGTGCTGGTCCTCCTTGGTTTCTTATATATGTGGTCTGAATGCTGTAAAATACATGTTTTATTTTGTGCATATTTATTCATTTTTGTCCATGCTGTTGCACGGTCCTCTGCAGGTTCTTCTGAATATGCTCTGAATGCAGAGATGCAAATAAGTCAAATTTCCCACTTTGCTGGTCTCCATTTTGTGCAATTTGATATTTGATATTCTCTGTATATGCAACTTTAGTAGTTTTCCTCAGTTCATGTGCTCTGAAATGCACTTTACTCAATAAAATAAAAGTCTTTAAAGGTTTTTTTTTCATAAAAAATAAGTTTGCCTGGTTTGAATTCTATAAAAATGGATCACGACTTAGGGACCATAGGAAAATGTGGGTCCCAATGTGAGACCAGTTGAGAACCACTTCTATACAGTATATTCAGCTGTTGTTATTACCTGTCACCTGCTACCTTCAGGAGCAATGCAGCAGAGTTTTGATGAACCCAGCAGAACCATCTCATCTAAAAATGTCAGACTAAATCCTAAAGGGCCCAAAATCCTGGCCTGGTTTGACAAGAAACCCTTCAAACCAAGAGTTCAAGCTCCTGCCAAGCTTTATGCTAAACTATCCTGAGTCTCATTTTAGGATTAAAACTGTCACCACGTCTACATGTTGCTGCTCTGTGGATAAAAATACACTAAACAGCTTGTCCTTTTACATGATTCCAGTTAAAGCAGCAAACAAGAGACCCTCTGTGAGCAACAAGTACTGCTTACTCATCTTCACGTGGACCTGTTGAACACAGAGGTGATGAGTTGTTGACTTCTCATTTTTCCTTGGCAATGATTAAAATTTTGGACCGAGAGAACACTCACTATCAACCCCTCTAGGTTACTTTGCGTCCTGCAAATGTCCAGACTGAAGCAGTTTTAACCTGCTGAGGCAACTAGCCTTTAGTCTAATCCACTCCATCACCAACGCAGCTAAAAAATAATATTTCCAGTTAATTAACAACAGTATATGAGCTGACAAATCTCACCGCAGGGAGAGAAGAGAGCAGGAGAGTGACAACCAAAGAGCACAATGACGGTGGTGAGAGGCTCCTCCACCAACACTCCTGTTGAGTGTTTGGTAAGTACATTCTTTATCACCTCCCTGCTGCTAAAATGACTTTTTTCTCACGTTGTTACAATACTGTTTTTTTTTTTTCACCCATCGCCTCTTTTTCTTAATTGTTTTCCTGCTCAGCCATTTTGTTTGGACATTTGATGTGTCAAAACTTATGTAATAGTAGGTATAAATTATTTCAAGTAGCTGGGAAAATAGAGCACTCCTCGTGTTTTCACCTTGTGTAATCAGGCCACAAACAACTCTGGTCAATCTTTAATTAGCTTAAGTGAATTAAGCCTTTTCAATTGGTTTATCCATTTGTTTCTCTCATTGGGATCACATCTTGATAGCTTAACCATATTATCTTTACTATATTCTATTGTCTTTTAAAACTTTAGACATTTGGGCATATTAAATTGACTTTTTTGGAGCAATTAAAATACAGTTTAGAGTAGTCAACTTTAATTTAGTCTCATTCCTTTGTGTTTTTTTCAGGTAAAAATAGTTTGCTGTTTACTGATGTTTAATTTCCAGCAACAAAGTACCTCAATCTTCTGATGTTCGCTGTCCTGCAAAAGCATAAATAACGGTATGTGCAAATACAGATCTCTATTCACTCAAGCGATGTCTGCCCATGAGATGAGAAATAAAGGAGTGAGATAATATTTGGTGTTTGTTTGGTGTGAAAGTGGGCCAGAAGAGCGTATGATCTTGATCCTGCAAGTAATCCTGACTGGTATTCTGATCACTCTCCTGGCTGGACACCTTGGGCTCTCATTGCCAACACGCACACTCACACAAATTAACACTCAGACATTCACTCACCACTCCCGTTGTGAGTTTTAATCAGGAAGCTGGTGTGTTTAATTAGCTTTGAGCTATATTGACTGGTTGTGGAAAAAAGCTGCTCAGGCACAGTGAAACACACACACACACACACACACACACACAAAATGTTGGTTTTCGTTGAAAATTAATTGGTAATGGCACTTGTGAATGTGACATATGACCACCTGGTAACATGCCTTCATATCCATCAACAGGTTTCGTCCATGTGTGTATTTTGGCCTTCAATTTCCACTTCAACACTTCTCCTACACACACACGGTAAAAAGGCCACCTGCAGTGAGGTTAAAAACACATTTGTCCCAAAGGGAAATGGCACTTGTTGCTGTGGTGCCTCTAAATACAAGAATTTGTAGGGCCACTGAACTCTATTTTTTTGATTAACCCAAGTGCTAATATCAGCACAAACATACTGTGCTAACCAAAAGTTTATGTTTGTGTATTTTAGTCACAGTCATACAAAGCACTTCTAATGTTTCGGAATAACATTGAATATATACAATGAAGTGTTAGTCACTCAAAAGCAAAAATATCAGCCAAGTAGGGGCAGAATCCCAGTCATCCACATGTGACCCTGAATGCATCACACTAAATATTAGGAGCTCTCTTACTGAGTATGACTGTGTCTGACTTTGTGTGTTTTATGTGTGTTTGATAGTCCAGGTTGTGAGCCCGTGGCGAGTCTCAGACCAAAAGTAGCTTCTCTGACATTCCTTCCAAGTTGCAGCGCAGCATGGGGTTTTTCACAAAGAGACCGCAACACACACACACACACACACACACACACACAGGAATTGTTGCAGGGCCTATCTATTATTTTCGTCTCCTTTTTTTGATCCACTTTAAATTACTACAGCATCCTGCAACTTTCTTTCCATCTTCTTTAATTTCTTCGGAGGCATGATTGTTAAGTATCAGTGGCAGTGTTATTTGTCAGTGTTAAGTCACACTGAGATCCCAGTGTGTTACCTAGATCTCTCTCCAATCAGGACGGGATTTTCCTTTCTTCCTTTATGAGCTTCTTTCTTTTATATGAAAAACTTAAAGCAACAATAGTGATATTTAAAGGTGAACTTAGTAATAGAAACTAATCAAACCCTGTTATTATCATTTGGGCTTCACTGCATGAGCAAGCTGTAACTACTAGAAACATGTTTAAAGGAGAAGAAATTATTGGCATAAAAGGTCAAGAACTACTTCTCTTTTACACACACATAGTTATACAGCAGGATGTCATGATGGACCACAGACGCTCCTGGATAATGAACTCATGCTGCAGGGCTTTGCATGTGACCGTCTGCAGAAGTCACTCACAAGATGCTTTAATTTTACAGCACCCGTAGATCACAGTCTGAAGAGAGTGAAGCGGTTGATCCACCCACCCATGAGTTTGCCCTGTTTTGTGCTCAGCCCCTTGGTATGTCTCCTCATCCTAAATCACCCTCATCTCTGTTTCACCTCCTGCTGCTGAGAGGAATTACCTTACCCTGCTGTTGGACCTTTTTTTTTCTCACATTTTCACATTCATGACTGCCACAAGTTAAGACAAAGAGTTGTAATGTCACCAAACAGCGGCAAATTACCACTGTTAGACCTGAAAGTAACACGTGTTAGTATCTTTAATGAGGTATGGTCAAGGATTTATTATTTATTTATTTATTTTATTATTTAATATCTTGCTGCAAACCTCTCAAATCATGTTGATACCAATAAGATAACATAAAACAAATCAAAGCAGCATTATCATCATCAGCATTGAGTATGATAACTTTGTTTTTTAACACGTTCAGGTTCATCTGATGAACCTTACACAAGGGCAGCCTTACAAGGGTGACATCAAGAAAACTACATATGTATTTAAGTAAGCCCCTTAATGGTCAACAGTTTAATATTATTATTTTCAATGCGATTTTTTAGTCAGCTCTTAATTGGTGAGCTTAAGGCCCCAATCATTTAACTGATGAATTTGGTGCTGCTGCAAAAACAAATGGACATCCCGCACAAGATAAAGAAATGACACATTCAATGACACTAAAACAACGTTTTCCCCCATTTTCTTGTACAGAGTAGCTTCAAAATACTTATCATTGGACTCAAACAACACTTGGGCTGTTAAGAAGTGTTACCTGTGGGCAAAGCTGTGCAGAGTCAGGGCACGGGACTGGATCTCCAGAGGCAGGAGGCCGAGCAGCAGCCACAGCCACGCCGGCAGCAGCACACACATGGCAGGGAAGAAGAGATGCACTGTCCGGGGTAGAGGTAGATCTTCTCAGACGTCCGAAACACTATGTATTTCTCTCCATGTATTTAGTCAAAACAAATACTGAAAACTGTTTCAGCGTGGAAAAGTTTTAAAATGAGGCTAATGTCAGTTGTCTGTGCGGATGAGTGACCCTGAACGCATCATGAGTCGTGTCTGTAGCATCCTCCTCATGCCGATCGTATCGCGATCAATTAAAGCGAAACGCGAAACTCAGACTCTCATTGGAAGTGGCGCTTGTTGGGAGCGACTGTAGTACTAAGCTCTTTCATTTATAAAGCCTGACTGAGGGAGGAGGAAGAGGAGGGGGCAAGGAAGGAGGCTTATTGTCTGTCCTAGACAACGCACGAAACAACCTAATTAAAGACTACTCCTCCTCATGTGTCCTGGTTATGTTGGTAAAGTGCAGTACAGTTTTGAGGTTTCTGGTACTGTGCTGATCTTTTCACTGTCCTTCAATAAGCCATTAAAGGGAGCTGCTTTATTTTACACTGTGACCTTTTATTTGTGGTCACTCAGTGTGAGATTGACCCACTTGGAAATCAACCACTGAACAGAGCAGAATACAGCAGGCATGCTTTCATTTACCTTAATACCAAGAGAGAAACTGTAAGAAGTTCTGATTTGGGTCATTGACACAGATTTTTATTCTGTGTTGCTTTGGCAAACAGGTTTGTAAAAATGAACTTGTTTATAAGTCATGATGTGTTAAGTGTACTGTTCTATGGAATGCTATATATCAGGTCTGCTCGGTAAATTGGGCTCAGTGAGTGATTCGCTCACTGAAGGTTTAGAAGAATTCACACTGAACATACACTGTTCCTTCACAACCGCTGCAATGATAGGATGCTGCAGCTTTTATGCACGACTTGTTTCATGCTTCGTCCTATTGTATGAAAGTTGTTGTGGTGGCAAAGTTAGTTTTACCTGAAAAAAATGATTCCAGAGAGTGTAGTTCAATACCTGATTTGTTTACCAAGTGATTCAGACGTCGGTGCATGTGGTCCCTTGTTCCCTGGCTACTTGCCTGGCAATGCTGCATGCCATACCAGCTGCAATGTTGACAGCTCAACTGAAGTGAGAAATGAACGAATCACTTGAGGAAGGGATTCTGTTCAGTACGTTCACTTATTGGTTCTTTTAAACGTATCGTTCGCAAACGACACAACACTAATTTTAAGTAGTTTTGTCTTACAGTTTACAGTTACTATCCTGTCAAGTTATGATAGACTTATCACGAGGTGTCATATCTGTGTCCTTGTCTTATGGGTCTTAGCAAGTCTTTCATTTGTTAATAGCCATAGTGGAATTGAATTTGAAAGAGCTTTAGAAGACAATTGTGTTTGATGGTGTTTTAGCAATTGTTTGAAATGTAACCCTGCATGTGTTGGGTTGAAGTAAAAGCGGTCAATGCAATCATCTTAAAACACCTGAAGATTAATCTTCACATTTTGGTTCAGACCTTAAAAAAACCTAGACAAATCAACTCATGTGAAGAATATAACAGAGCCTTGGCAGTCTGAATCAATGCCCATGTGACCTTTGATAAAGCTCTGTGTCTGTGGAGTACTGGCCTCAGGGCATTTGTAAAATAAACTGCAAAATCTGACATTTACGTTTACAACACGGCACAAAAGTCAATCTCAGTAACCCTCAAAAAAGCATAATTTCTTGACACGCTGTTGACTGGATCTTGTAAAACGTTGAAGTAAGTTTTCACCTCTTGAAGACTTTTAATATTAAAATTTTTGGTAGAGTTCAGAAGGTAAGATATTTTTATGAGAAAAAAAAACTGAAATAAGAAGTAAATTGATCAAAGCTTTGAACTGACGCTTGGATCCTGTTGAGGCCTTCATGATGTAGAAATGTTCTCATCTTTGAGGATAAATTTTGGTTTTGCACAAATATGATAAATAAACAAAATGAAACATACAGAGCTGTAGTGATCCAGTTCAATGTGACCTTGTTCTTCTTTTGTCCTTGTGTAACACCAACCAATCTTTTTTATTGAAGGAGGACACAGATGAGAAGCTCAGAGTCTGAAACTGATTAAAAGAATGCTCTGTATGTGGAGGTGGCTTCAGGCCTTAATTAAAGTGTGTGTGAGTGTGTGTGTTTATGACTCAGCAGATTGTAGTATTACCTTCTAAGCTCAGTTTCCAACACTGTGAGCCTCGACTCAGTCCAGCATGTGCATTAACACGTCTCTCCTATCTGTACTCAGACAAACCGTGGTGTGTGTGTGTGTGTATCCAAACTACCCAGACTCATACCCTCTGCCTCTGATCTGCAGGTAAAGATGGTTTGGCTCTCAATCGAGAGGTCAGGTTTCAACTTCACAACACCTCAGGCTGAAACCAGAGAGGAAATCAGACGTCAGGTCACATTCACAATCTTCAAGTAAAATCTGAGCTGAATTGAACCTCCATTTGTACTTTCTCCTCCCATAAGTTTAGGATGAAGAGCTCGGCTTGGGGAGCCAGAAATCTGATAGAAAGTCTAAGGACACTGGTTTTAAGATGTGAAAGTGATATTGTTAAAGTGAAAGAGGTTATTACTTTGTTAAAGCTGGGGATTTGTTCACTGTGAGGTTCAGGGAGTGCAGCGAATATCACATTGCTGTTGCCTCTGTGTCTTTTGTTTCTGTGTTAAAGTTTCATTTAGAGTTAGTGTTCAACCTCCTCTTTTTTTTATCCATTTCATGTTTGACAAAGTAATTCTTACAATTAAAAGAATCAATTATCTCAATTGAAATAATCCTATGCAGGAGTTTTCCATGTCAGTTTTTTCAGACTTGATACTTTCTGGTGTATAAAGTTGGTATTTTGATGCCTCTGTGTGGTCTACTGTGGGACTACATGCTTACAATTTTCAAGATTTTTCAGGGTGCAAAGACTTAAAAACTGCTGCAACCTTTGTTTGAACAAAACACATCAATAACTACGGGTCAGTAAAGACTTACTTCATCATCTCAGCTTTGTATCAGCTCACTTTTAGCCCCTGTCTTGTTTTGCTGTCCTGACTGACAGCAAAAAAAAGCAGACAAAAGCAGTGCGAGTCTTTTGTCAAATCGCCCACAGGACTTTCTCCTCCTACAGAAATGATCTCTGCAGCTCTGCCATTTTCTCTTTTCATTACACCGGTAAAAAAGATTTGCACTCACATTACCCACTTGTGGAAATACTCACGCTGACTGGGGTGTTATTTCTACTACTGTTTTTTTAACATAATCAAATTTGGAGCTCCAGTTTGTGTATTCAGGTAAAAGTTTTAATAAAATGCTAGGTTAGTCTACCTATCTGCACATTTTCTTTTTGTATCTGTAACTCCTCTGTTTTAATGCACAGAGAGCTGCAACTGCATGACTATATTTCCAGATAAAACTGAATAACATCGAGGCATGTTTTAAAAATACCAGGGGCATCATTTAAGGCCGTTTTAAAGACATTTATTCTCGATACAACTGCATCTGCTGACTGTGGGGATAAGCAGGCCCAACATTTATTTCTGTGAAGATCTACAGTTCAGTCCAATCATACTGTAACAGCTTTTGGCTTCGCTCCAAGGCACTGAATTGAAAATGAAGCGATGACACAGGTTTACAGTAAGTGCTGACTTTCCAGCTCAAAGGATACAGGAGGATGTTAGTGGTGCAGAGAAATAATGAAGGACCTTTGATAAACAGTGCTGTTATTTTTTTTTACTACACCTTTGCGGGAAAGCTGAAACTCAGCACTTTACTGTCATTTTGGTTGTTTTATTTCAGATCCAATGTGCTGCAGCCAACCAATCAGACATTTACACTCTGCGGTGCACTGCAGCTGACAGTGAAGGTTAAAATGTGGCACATACAGAGTGCCAGGAGGTGGTGCTGTTTCCCTAAAATCAAATACCCAAAAGGAGGCTTCCATCGCTTACTAAATTACAATACTAAACAGAGTGAGATGTATTTTTGAAGCTACCTTCATAACTGTTTATTGTAGGGTACAGGTTGTACATACAGATGCAGAGGTAAGCTCTTTCATGCATATGCAGTCGTGGAAATAAAATCACACTTGCATCATCACACCACCTTTCTGTGTTTGTTTTTTGCAAATGATCAAAATGAAACAATGGCACTTTTTTTGTTCATAATAACTGTGAACTCTGTGTCAGTTGATGTCTTGCAGGAAAAGTCTCTCTCCATAAATGATCCTGAAGACCTTGACCTTTTCAGATAATAATGCCAGGTACGTAAGAATACACAAACATGCAGTATAATAATTCACACAGTATCATAATAACTGATACAGCAGGACCAGACTGTACAAATCTGGTCAGGTTTGATTGAAAGTTTTTGAAAGCAAAACTTCTTCATTCTTCAAAACTGTCCATAAGATACAAGACATACACATATATAACAAAAGAGTGGATGTGTGAAAATGTGAGTGTATATCGTGTGTGTCTGCTTTATAGGATCAGGCTTGCTGTCCCAGAGCCGTGATGAGGTCCTGCATCGGCTCAGTGTCCTCTGGGTCCAACAGGCTGTGCTGCTGACAGAAGAGGGTGAGGTGTGCGAAGAGTGTGTTGAGGTGTGGGTGCAGGCCCAATGCAAGTGTCTCTCTGTAGTGAGAACAGTAAATGTGTGCAAGAGTCCTGAAAAATAGCAAAAACACCTTCTGGACCAGGAAGACAAACCCCGTAGGAAACACTGAACCTGGAAAAAAGTTGATGAATGAGACGGGCTTAAAATTGGGGCATGTTGACGGACAACTATTCAGCATAAATAGTTGTTTCTTACCTGCTTTTGTGGGGAACACCTCCTCATCAGTCAATAGCTCCTGAATATACGACATAGCATAGTCAAAGTAAAGCGGAGCAGAGCACTTCAGCTTCCTGCCGTGGTCATCCGTCCAAACATAAACACTGAGAACACCAAAAAAACACAAATACACTGATTTAAATTCCAAGACCTCAATCTAGGACAGATGCAGGTTATAACTGTGTTTAAGATATAAAGTGTTTTTATATTCAGGAATTAATATATTTAAGCAGTTTTTAAATCTGTGCAGCACAATTCAAGAAAACCGCTGTTTTAAACCATGCATTCTTCCCCAGTTTTGAAGTCCAGATAGTACCCACAATGCATTTCAAGTCAAAGAAACAGATGTAATTCCATAGTAGGCTTGTATTCAAGCTGATAACCTCAGGTGAAGATGATGAGCAAGCTACAGATACTACCTAACACACCTCAGTTTTTTCTCCTTTTATGAGATCCTACTAATGTTAACTCAAGTTTCAACACCTGTGGCAATTTATCCAATAGCCCTTCACAAAAGGGACCTATATATGTTTTTTTCCCCCTAACACACAAAATGTTTTCATGTAAGAAAGGATCTGCACTATATACCAAAGATCCATGTCACAGCTATACAGTGCTACCCAACGCATCAAAAACAGACCCCAGAACAGCAATTTGTGATCATCTCAGAATCCCTGCAGTTAAAGTAAAGTGGTATTGACTTATAAATGATTCTTTCTTGTTTTCTTTTACTCTTAAAGGGATGAGCCTTGGTAGCTGTTGGATGCCCGGTCACTTACGTGTCACCCGGTCCACAGGCTGTCGGGCAGGTGCTGGGAGTGCAGAACTCAGACAGTGCACTTGAGAACAGGTTTATATGCTTGAAAAATGCCACAGCTGAAGAAGTCAATGAAAAGATAATTAGTTTGTGTGTATTTGTGTTTGTTGCAGAAGAAGGAACAGAGGTAAAGAGAGTGAGAAGGCAGCGTCCAGATGCTGCAGACGTATTGTGTTTAAAGGGCTCTACTCACTATTACTGGCGAGCCACTCTGCCTGGTCGACACCAGGGGGCAGCACCGTGAGGGCCACCATGTCAGTATATGAAATCTGCTGGCTCACATTCTGCTGCTGTAGATAGGGACGCTCCTCGAGAATGTTGTTATTAATTCCCCTTGAGAGAACAGAACAAAGTTAATGAGGCAGAGACAGAAATTGTAGAAATTATCAATAGGTCAGTGGATTAGTTACTCCAGCTGCAACCTACAGATAACACATTTTGCACTCTCTGGCCCTGTCATCTGTTCTGCTCTCTCTGTGGCTGGCACACACACACACACATGCAAACACATGCAAACACTGCTGTAACTGCAGACCTGAATATCCAATAAACAGGCAGTTAATGTAATGGAGGCAGTCAATCCAGAGCCGGGGTAATTACTTCTAATGAAGCTCACTGCTGCAGCACTCAGTGCAAACCCAACAAATAAGTGCAAAGACTTATGTTGGGCAAGATAATGTTGAAGAGCCGGGGCCTGCCGATACCTCCACATAAGCTACAGGTAGAGCTCTATTATCATCAACATTACACTGGCGGCCTAGGAACTTGTAATAACGATAGAGTGTGAGCAGGAATGATGTTTGTGAGTGCCAACATGTGCGGTAAGTCAAGCTTGGCAGCATGATTTGACTTTATGCAAACAAGGAGGCTTCTTTGACGTAGGCTGGGTGTTGTGATGATGAATGGCCTACTCTGTGACTCTGATAGCTACACTTTAAGGTGGCGCTTTGCATAAGTGGACATTTCAAAGTAGTAGAGTCAGGCAGCTGCTGGGCTCAAATTTTTGCCGTGCGCACTCCCAGCAGCTGAGCGTTTATTCAGTGTGACCTTGCATACTGAGATAAGGGAAACACAGAGCTCTCTATGGGGGTTTCACTGTACTCTGCTGTGTGTGGATATAGTATAGTTTCATGGTCTAGACGGCTAGTCTTTGTCAAAGTTAAAGTCAGGAGAGGTAGAAAGGTAGGGATATTGATAGAGGTGAATGTAAACATTAGCTTTACAAAGGTACAGTGGGTGTAAATCCAAACCATGACAGACTTCCCTTGTGTCCACAGGAACCTCTTTTGTTAACATCCTGCTCTGCTCCGGCTCCATGGCATTAACTCAATTACCGCCTCTTGGCTACCAGTCCCCGTCAGCACACAAACACAATGAACCCGGAGCTACTTGTAATGTTGTGTTTGTGTGTAAACACACTCCTCTGTGAATGACCCTGCTCCCCTACTCCCTGGCGTCTGTTTACCTTCACCTCTGCTGAGTCGTGTGGGGGAAATAAACAGCCCTCTTGTTGCACAGCCAGCTGCCTTTTAAAAGATTCATCCTAGAGAAAATATTTACTCGGACACAAAGTCTTTCCTGGTCTTGGTTTGGAGCTTACATGTGTTCCCGCTGTTGGAGGAATCCACCTTCACTGATGCCATCAGACAAATATGTGACCCACACTCTCTCTCTTATCTGGAGAACATTCCTCAGTTTACCATGAGAAGCCAGCTCTCCAATAACTACATCTTTACATTTGAGCAGGCCCTTTCAGAATAAAAGCTCAGACATAAAACATGAGTGGAAGGCTGATAAAGTCAAGAAAACAGAAATACAACTTACAGTTTTTCATCGCTGATGTCAGACAGCTGAAGAGTCTTGCTGTCTGCCTTCTTAGCTGAGGGGTAACTATGGCAACCCCCCATGGCATACAGCTAAAGGTAGAGCTGTAGGCCGCGCCAGCCCCACTTTTCCATCCCAAACATACTAACCCACACTCTTTTGCACACTACAAGCAGCATATGGTAACCACTGCTTTGACACAAACATCCCTCAGCTCATAGATGAGTCCATACAGCTGAAAAACATGGGAAGACAAAGTTTTCCACGATTCACACACACAGATAAAGTAGTCCAGGAGTTGAGGATTGTCTCCTGTGTAGATAAAAAGTGAAGCTCTCCAACTGTCTGCCTCTTCTTTCGCTCCTGTGATCCAGTGTCAGTGTGTATATGTCTCCTTTGTCTGGAGTCCCACACCCCACAAGCTCCTCCTCTCTCTGCTCTGAGCGGACAGGCAGGTTTCTCCACAACCCTATAAAGTACAACCACACAACTCCGCCTTCTGCTCCTTCCTCTTTTCCTCCCACTGCACTCACTCTCTCCCTGTCCACATGTGTGCCCTCTCTGCAAAGAGAGCAGGCAGGTGCAGGTGACAAAGTAAAGGTGATGGCGAGTCTGGGGTTTGTACAGAAGGAGATATTTGGTGCTGCTTGTAAACTTTGAGAGAGAAATGTGATGAATCTCTCGAGCTAGAAAGCTGATAGCACACAAACACACAGTGAAAGTCATGATGTATAGATGAGCCTTCAAGGTTCTTCAGCTCCTCCCCCACTGTAACACAAACTCATTTCACGTCTGCCTGCAGCAAAGTGAGATCTAAGAGGCAGGTGAGTTAATGTTTGCACTTGGGGAGCCGTAGTGTTAATTGTTAGTGCAGGAGATATACAGTAAAGAGCGGGAATCTAACCTGCCCCTAAGGTAAACATATCTGTGCCATCCCAGATCTGCTCTTTTTTCTCATTGTTTATACTGTATATGTGTGTCGCTGCAGGATTTAAATGAGAAATAAACTCAGACTCACTTCTCCTTGGATCAGACATATTTATTAGATTCATATCTGAATGTACAAGCTAAATTGACAACAGATAACAGACACATTACTCTCTAAATGAAAAAAAAAAACACCAGCATCAGTCTACTTTACAAAAAGGCATTTTTTTACAACACAGCTGTCTTCAACACAACTCCCCCCTCCCACACACGCGCACACACCTTTGCACACAATCTCATACACAAATATAAGCTACGATGCAAGATAGATCGAACCTTTCAGATTGACTAAGTGTGTAAGAAACGGACAATAGAATTCAGTGATCTATTGTCTCTAAAGTTTTGGGTGTGGACTGTACAATTAAAGTTCAGATACCGATACCAGAATCAGTAACAGCCCCTTAAAATGTAGTATCAGGTACTTTTGAATGTCCTAGTCAATGAGCTCATGATAAATGATTTCATAACCAACAAGATGCCCTTCATTGAATAGTTTCAGGTGTATAATTATGTTCTAAAACAAACAACAGTGTGGTGCCAGCAAAGAGTGGCAAATAGCCAATGTAAACAAAAGGCTACTCAGAATCAGCCAGTATTTCAGTCGAGGTGCTTGTATCTGTACTGGAAAAGGAAAAAAAACGGTATCTGAGCATCTCTATGCATTGACAATGCAGCACATTCAGAGATGAATGGGGCATAATGTGCAAACATAATGGCACTTAAAGATGACGATATTGTACCTCATGCTATTATTGTGCATTACGTTGCATCATCCTTGTAGCTTTTCTGCTAACAAACATCAGACTCTCAGGGTGAAGGAGAAACACACACACACACACACACACACACAAAAAAAATATGCCAAAACCAAGAGATAAGGGTCAGACGCAGAGCTGAGGTTTAGCAAAAATACAAGATGATATAATCCGACCCTGTACACCACCTGACAAGAAGCAGCCCTGTTTGTTTTCTCCCCTTACCCTGACACTGACCAGCGCTTACTCACTTCAAACTGCTCTGAAGGAAGGAAAGAACTAAAAACGTCTGCAGTCTTTGATGAGTCTTTCTTTGATGCGTGGCATCCTTCCCGCCTGTCTCATGACTTCAGCACACATGAAAGGAGGATTAAACAAAGGCTGCTCGACATAAATTTAGACCTGTATGACCATTGCAAGAAAGGAGGCTACTTCACAGATATGAAAGCCAGGTATAAACCGGCGGGAAGACACACTTTGGCAGAAAACACTAAAGATAAAACTATTCGAAAAGTATCTACATGATTCACTCATTCAAGTCAAACGTTCCCACTTCTCTGAGTGGGGGATTAATGTGGTGACACTCGCCACCACCAAATACAAACCAAAAGTGCTTCTTTGAAAAGTGCTCTCAAAATAAATACAAACAATCTATGTAAATCATTTTGTAGGCTTTTTATGCAATTAAAATCAACTCCTGCCCTGAGAAAGAGAGAGACGAGGAGAAAGAGAAAGTAAAGCATGACTGACTTACATACTTAAAAGATAGTTTTGGTTTAATTCAAACTTTTTTTTTTTTGCTGTTATCCTACATGATTCTGTCTGATAGGATCTGATTGTACCTTTTATTTGGTAAATGGTCTACAAGTTGACATAATCAGTGAGGAAAAAAAAGCAAAATGTTCATTACTGTTCCAGCCGAAGAGGTCAGTTCTTCACTTTAACCGCCCATGACATCTACATTTTTAAAAACACTGACAAAGAAGTAAAACATGATAAAAAAAAGCTTTTCATTTGAGAAGCTGAGACTGGACCTTTTTCCTAGAAATAAACTTTAAACTAAATAATTAACAAGGAAGCCTGATATCCAGTATTTCCTCTGATTAAATCTGCACTTACAAAGAAATAGATACGTTCTAATAAACCAAAATTATCTCTCAAGTGAAAACAAAGACACACTGTAAAACTACTGACTCACATTTACAAACACACACACACACACTCCCAAACCTCCGTGTAGGAAGCATTCAGCAGAGGAACAAGAACTGATGCTGGGGTATTAACTGAAACACACACATCATTATTGCCTCATTTCAACAGTACATCACACACATACGTTATACACACATTGCAACCTGGAAAACAATTGCCTTTCCATACATTGGATTTATTCCAAAAATAGATATAATGTTTATATATACTGTTTACATTAATATTACGTTTACATATTACCAAGAATAGCCACAGCCTAATACAGGTTCAAATTTCACAATATTACATTTAAACAGCTCTGAAGGTGATATGAAGTAATATGTGCACTTTACCGTGTCCTGTAGGGTTTTTTTGTTCTTTTTTGCATTTATTTATAGGTTTGGTGTACAAATGTATATGGTTGATTATGTGTGTGTGTCTGTATGTGTGTGTGTCAAACAGCTGTGCTTTCTTTGTATATGCATACCTCTCTTTAGACCTGAGAATGTACTCTGCATATTTGACAGAGCTCTCTCTTTCTCTTGTACACACACAAACACACAAACACACACACGCAACTCTAAACAACATGAATTTGATATAGGTTTGAGGAGGAAGTGACACATGATGCTCCAAAAGAACAAAAAGCCTTTAGGTTCTACATGATAGAGAGCAAAATCCAAGTCCAAATCTTGTCTAGATTGAAAATTGATTAAGGTTGCACGATTGGAAGAGTAAAGCCAAATGATTTTACTTGCAGATTAATCGCACCAATTAAAAAATTCTGAGGGTTGTGCACACTGAAATGCTCAAGTCAAATGGCGGCTAGCTGAAAATGCAATCGTCTTGGCTTTGTAATCTTGGCTGATTATTTGGATGCAGTCTGTAACTCAAGTATAAGCAGTCAAATGATGTGAGAGAAAAATTCCCCGGGCTGTGATTTTCAACAATATGAAACTCTGCTGCTGCGTTAAATAAAAAGGTCACTCTAATGTGTTGCTTTCTTTGTCTTCATGTGCCGCAGCTGACACATGGGGTGCAGCGTCTGTTCATTACCACAGTCATTTACAGAGGTTAATGGGAAATCACAATTTTTACAGTTCATGAATGTAGCATAATTTGGATTCAGGGATTTGTCAATACAAAATGTTTCTCTAAAAACACACATCTTCTTTGAAGCTGTTAAGTTGTAAGTATGACATGAAGGTGTAGGGAAAGATCAGGGTTACTCGTGTAGTTTTGTGTTGTCCAGCATACATACTGTGAAGGGCTGTTTGACCTCAACCTCAGTGGTCTCCCCTTCTTCTTTAGACACGTAGAGGTGTTGGAGAGCTGCTAACGGGAAGCGAAGGTTGCGTGTTTGTGTGCTGAATGAAGGGTATGAAGCGTGTGTGTGTCTCTGTGCTAATTCACTAGCCAGGTCCATTAGCAGAGGGCTGCATCTCTCTGTAAAGTAAAAAAAAAGGAAATTTTCTACAATATTATTCAGAAGCTAAGAGGAAAAAACTCTTCTGATGATGATCCACAGCCTACAGGCATGTAAGCCCATGTTGATGTAGGTGTGTTACATGTTACACCAGCTGCAGGAGGTGTTTATGCTGCGTTCGAGTTACCTCGGAAGTCAGGTGTCCGAACTGGGAATGACGTCACACTCGAGTTACCAGCGCCAAGTCGGAAAAAGCAAAATCTGAGGCGGAAACAAGATGGCTACATCTATAAAAGTTATTTTTTATTGTAGGACACAAGGCAAGCACTAAAATAACTTTAGTAGATGTAGCCATCTTGTTTTCCGCCTAAGATTTTGCTTTCTTCTGACTTGGTAAGTGAAACGCTGGTAATTCGGGTGTGACGTCAACCCCAGCTCGGACATCTGCCTTCCGAGGTAACTTGCGCGCAGCATTATTATAGAAAAGATTCTTCATCAGCAGGAAATTTAAGCATTTAATGTCTTGGTGGTTAATGAACCTCAAGTAATCAACATTTAGTTCTGATATTTTGGATGATCTTGTTTCTGTTTTGTTTCAGGATTTCTCAAATGTAAAGCGAGTTATCCAGATTTCAAAACCTGAGAGAGGTTTTTCACTCGTTGTCATAGGACATCAACGTATGCATCGCTCCGTCACTGTCACCTACACACTAACATAAACACTTACTGTGTGACAGCAGCCGATTGTGTCGCTGGACTGGCCGTGGCTGGGCTGGGAGAGTTTCCTTTTTCACTCTCTTTCTCTTTGATGGAAAGTCCCTCTACTGGCACCTTATCTGCATCGCTGTAAAAAAAAACATCACAAATATATCTTCAAGAACAAACTGCAGATGCTTCTTTCTGCTTCTGGTTGCATTTCATCCCAGTTAATCTGCTTTCAAGCTGTCCACACTTGCTATTATCATGTTCAGCACGTACAGCAACCCTTGCATTTACTCTCCTAACATCAGCTGGATGTGACTGACCCAAATTGAAGGGGGGTCTCTGAGGCTTATTAAGTTAATGTTGATGTTTTTACTGGAAAATTACAGCTGATATGTGTTTTAATGTGGCATGCTTTGAGGTGCACTGCTTGTTAGTACATTGCTAACACGGGACTCGACATAGTGCTGTTTCTTTGCTTGCAACCTTTGTTCACTGCATGCTATCTGACATTCTGTTAGTAGAGTGAGTGCTCTGAAAGATTGAACAAATCATAAGGAGTTATGTGTTTTCACTGTTATTGTTAACATTGATTTTTGTGTCATTAAGGCACAAATGTCAGTCGCTGCTCTCAAATGTTGGTGTACTAAAACAAGTAAGATAACAGACCCTAAAAGTGCTGAGTGGAGTGTTTCATGCCAACGAAGACCAGTACTGTTTGGTGTCATGTTGTGAATATGAATGGAGCCTGGCGTAGGAGTAGAGGTCCTGGAGAATCTCCACAGTTGTCAACGATCGCAAGTTAGTATATTTCTGGGATGAATTAGACTCGGTCTGAATTATGGCGAAAGTAAACTGCTGCATCACATCCTGTTAAATTCGACGAGCAAACCAAACAAACAAACATGTGGCACATCTGTGCTCATGATGGCCTTTCCAAATCTTTCACACGGCTTCAAGTAAACATTCCACGCTCCAGAGCAGAGGACCTCAAGCACAACATACCGTCTAACTGCTGGTCTGAATACTCTGGAGTCAAAGGGGAGTGAAACAGAGGGGAACAGACAGGAGGAGGGCAATGTCAGAAGAAAAACAGAAAAAAGTGGAGGCAACACTCTGGGGGGAGAACTTTGTAAAAGGGGGAGATTGGCTTTACAAAGCACTTCAGAGTACAACAAGAGGGGGTACACTGTAACGAATACAACAGAGCAGAGGCACACCATTCGACTGTGTTTGTGTACCTGCTGAAGACTGCTCTCTCATTTTTGGCATCCACTGTGAGCCGGATGGTCTCCTTGCCAGCCCCTGTGGTGATGGTCTCACTAGTTGTAGAGTCTGTCTTGCTTTCTTCATCATCACTGTCTGAACTGTTGGAGGAGGAGGAGTCGGATGCCACTAACGGCGCTTTTCTTGCCACACACACACTCCACACACAAGCTGCCAAGAGTGAAGTGAGAAGAGAGAAAGACCCTGCTTTTGAGAGCTGCCAGAGTAAATGACAGGATTTCACGACTCTATAGTTCTACTACAACATTAACCTTGTGTAACTCTATACCATGTGTTCATTTATTTATTTTGTTAGCTTCGACTCATGAAAGTCCACACTTGATATTATAACTCTGACAACCACATGACAGCAACTTACGGTTCTGGTTTGGTTTGGTGTTGTCTGATCCGCTGAGCTCTGAGTCCACGGGAGAGCTGCATCTGGGGCCCGTTTCAGAGCTGGAACAAAGGTTATGCATTTAATGATTCAAGTGTTAAAATAATTAAGTACAGCTAATTAATAACACACATAAAATCAAGTGATTAGTCCCTTTGTAGCGTCCATAGATTTGCAGAAGAAAAAAATCATCGAGCTGCAAATCCATTTGAGCCTTAGATGTTAAATGTCAGTGTCTCCATTAGAGTTCAACATGAAAGATATTTTCTTTTCTGGACTGGTTCTATCAATTGTGCCTCAATTTTGTACTTCAACTGTAAATTTATACACAACTACCATTACAATACCACATCTAGACTGACCAGCAGAAAGGCTGAAAGTCGGTGAACTTGGCCCATCCTTTCTCCTCTGTATCTGTGGCAGCTGGTTGGGAGTCTAAAGCGTCCCAGGCTGAAAATCCTGTTCCCGCTGCAGGAGCCTGTGAGTTCACCTCCCCAAAGTCTGCTATCCAGCCCGTGTCTGAGAAGAAGGAGCACCAAAAATAAACAATACTCAGCAAACCTACTCAAGACCTATTTTAGTCACCAACCTATAGAGCAAACAATTGAATATCCCTCACTCTTGGTTGCATCAGTATGGGCCAGGCTTGAGAAAGGATCCAATTGATCTTTAGGATCTTCTTCCTCCTCAGAGTCGGAGTCTTGTTCTCTGACAGGGCCCTCCGTACTTGGAGCTGCCGTCCTATCACAAGTCTTACTGGTCGCTGAGCTCTGCGATGATTGTGACCCACCGAACCTTGAAGCAAATGAAACATTTGAGTGACAAAGCAAGTCTTTTCATCTGCAGATAGTATTTGTGAAATCTGTCTACCTGTTACGGGACTTTGTTTGTGCCGCAAAGTTAATCTCTTTCTCCTCCCAAATGTCCTCTTCGTCATCATCGAAAGGCTGAATCCTTTCCTTGGCGCATGCCTCGAACACAGCCGTATTAGCCTGTAAAGGAAAGGTTAGTTAATGCAATACTGCATGACAAACAGGAAACATTAAATCATTGATAATTTTAACATTAGCATTGATTTAAATGACCATAAACAAAGATAAACCTGTCTGAAGATCATGTAGAATAATATGCGGTGGTTGTTTGTTTTACACAATGTACTGTGTTTTCTGGCCCCTTATGGTTATTAAGATCATTATAGTAATTTTTAAGTTCCAGGAGACAGATCTAAAAATACAGCTCTAAAACTTAAAAGAGAAACTATGTGAAAGTTTGTCTCAAAAAATCTAAATATACTCACACTTTCCTGGCCTGCATCAATGTTGATGTTGATTTCCGCAATCCGATCAAACGTTGCCCTACAGTAAATAGAAGAAATCACATCATTACAAACTAATAGAAAACTGTGTGTTTGATAGAAGACAGGAAATTTAATAAAATTCAATGAATATCAGTGAACTGACCCAATGCTGTCATCGTGATCCGTGAACTCCTCGTCATTGAAGCCAAACTGATCAACAAAGTTCGCTGTCATCTGCTGGATCTGGTAGTCTGAAAAAGCCTTTGGCGCACAATAAAGCAACTTCAATTAGATTGACATCTTCGCTAACTTGAGGACTCAGTATGATCTGTACGTGCGCCTCTTCACAATCTTTGTACCTGCTGAAGCGTCAGTTCCTTGGGGAATGGGCTTTCCATGTCATCCTCTGAGGAAGGGCGTGGGTTTCCAGTGCCAATCTGAACACACACACAAAAGAACAACCCACACAGGCCACATGTGAGATTAACGTGTGTATGTGTGTTTACAGACAACTATAACAGGAATTTAGATGTAGATGTGAGTGGTTACCAGGTCTATAGTGTTCTTCCTGTTGACTTCTGACAGAGTCTGGTCGACAAAGGTTTCCCAGCGCCCTCTGCAGTCCTCTGGCAGCTCTACAGCCACATTAACAACATTTAGAACAATGTTAAATGACAAATCACTTTCTTTGTACAGGAATATAAATACCTACCACATACACATACCTGAAATTAGGCTACTAATCTGTGTGTGAACTGGGCCTTTCTCTAGGTTGTGGACTACTGTGTTCGCAATCCTGGTCAGATGTCCCATGTACCCTCTTCTCATTCCTCCTTCCAACCTGAACAAAACAAGTATCATACTTAGGGATGCCATATTAGTAAAATATGAAAAAAAAAATACATTTTTAAAAATTGTAATTTCCAAACTCCTTACTGTAATTTATCATTTTCCTCCCAAGCCCCAAGAATCCTCTGGACGAGGTGGCAGTGCTGAAACAACTACAGAGAGGAAATCGAGTGTTAAACGGTTAATGTGTTAAACACAGATGAGAACCATCACTTGGATTTTTTTAGAAGATCAAACGTAACTTTAAGCCAAGCAGGAACACATACATGTGTCACCATTAGATTATGTGCAGAGTTGTCTGGGGTGACTGGAGCATCAGAAATGGTTTCAGACACAATCTCCTCCTCCTGCGAAGCCTCCTGATTGGACTTGAGTTTTCCCTGGGATCCCAAACCAGGCTGAAGTCTCATTTCATGAGCGCAGGGCCGGAGGATGGCAGCGACACAGAGTTCCACTTGGAGATGCAGGAAGTTGTTCCATGTATACTTAAAGAACAAGTCCTAAAAAAACGCAGAGATTTTCCAAATGTAACTTTTATTGTCTGACTCTCTCTCTCTTAACACAATGCTCTCACAATGCAGCATGTTTGTAAATCTCACCAGAAGCAAGTCCATGGTGTTGAGACGACAGAGTTCCTGTGCTACAACTGCATGGCTTGCGGAGCTGGTGTAAAGCAGAGAGGCCACCAGCCTGGCTACATGCAGACGTGTGTTACCGAGTGGTTCCTCTAGCACACCCAGAGTAGTCAGCATGGGGTTCCGCTAAAAGCATGAAAGAGGAAAGACAGAAATCTAAACGCAATAAAGTCTAACACAACATTAGTTGGACTCTTTCTTCATCTTTTGAGCTTGCTCTTGTATTTCTGATGCTCTTTACAATCCCTGCCGCTGACATCAGGGTGACCTTCGTCCTGCAGGGGATCTCTAATCAGTACATGTATTTAACATGTTAGTCTTTATTACCACAACTAATTTTGCAGATCTACTAATGCTGTCTTTGTTTATCTACCTTAGGTGGCTCCAGAAGTAGCTGATGGAAGTGTGTCAGGTGTGGTTCGATGGCCAACAAAATGCTGCTGTTAACAGTGTAACTCCTCTCAAATCCCTGAGCATCCATTACACCATCCACCCTGTCATGAACACAGAAAAAAAACAGTATTTTGAAAATAGTGAAAAAAGAAACATGACAACCATCACTTGAATATAATTTGGAATACTTTAGCAAAGCTCAGAAATCATTTAGACCTACAATCCTTCAAAAGTAGAATTTACAATCAAAACCTTAAAGCACTCACACAGGCCTCCTGATTTCCAGTAATGTTAGAAGAACTTGAATCCCGTTGACGATACAGCTCTCAGTCCGTTCCCCTGAGAACATATTCTGCAACAACTGCTCTACACACTCCTGCCTGAAGAAACACGACATAATCAGTCATCGCCTCTGCACTCTGTTCAGAGAGGGAAAACATGTGTCTTTCAGTGTCTGCATGGCTTACGACTCAAGCACAGTGAGCAAAGGGTCAGGTTGTGAAATCTCTTGAAGCTGATTGGCCTGGTCTCTGCTCAAACGAATGATGTCGCACAAAGTCTGAGACGCATTAGACTGCCTCTGTGGATGCACAAACCCAACAATCAGCTCTGTAAACTGCCTATCAAGAGTCTGTGAGTGCTAGTTTTAGTAAACTTTATAACTGAAACATTTAACTGATCAATGCAAAGTCACTTAAAACCGTTTACCTCTTCATCTCTCTCAGGGTGAATGAGCTCTATGAGTCTCTGGGCCAGCTTTTCTTCATTTAACCACTGTGAAGAAAGACATTTTTAATGAGCTAAAAAAAGATCAATTTGTTTGATGTGAAAAATCTGAAATGTGGGTCATTTGGACTCATACAGTAAGTGTCTCGAGCCTTAGAGGTGGAGGCTCCACACAGCTGATAAGTCTCAGAAGCACATCCATCATGGCTGATGTATCAATATGCTTCAAGACCAAGGAAAGGAATCCCTCCTTCCGTCGAAGGAAACTTATAACCTACACGAAACAAAGAAGAGAGATAACACAATGACTGAGAGCCAAAAGTACCTAAATTGAAAAGGTGAACTTTGTCCATATAAACTGGACTGATGTTTTAGAACAAAAAAATCTACACATCCAAGCACAGATCAATCAGAATACCCTTAAAGTTATGCTGTCAGTTTTTATGAATGGCCTAATTTTACTGCGGTACTTTTCCCAGTGTGGAATAATCATTTGCTTCACAATTGCAAATTTAAAACTGGAAAAAACATCACTTCATTATCAGTGAATGTATCAAACGGCTGTCTCTTAAAGACAGCCAGCCTCTACTTTGCATTGCTGAGAGGCTTATAGCGCCACTTAGCAACAATAATCTTCAAATGTGCATTATCTTAAGTATGCATGCATAACCACAAAAAAATCATTTTATGGTCATACAATTCCCCAGCTTCACATAATACATTTCATTGTAAAAATGGGTGGCAAAGTTTACAAAGGTCATCTAAGAAAATGTTGAAAATTTCCTCTTGAATATAGATGTCTTCATGGAGTACATCATGCCTAGAGACAGTTTTAAACTATGTTTCTCTGGAACAACAACTGGTCTGGTTACAGCCTCATTGACCTAGAACCTAAACTGCAGGATTCTTAGTGCACTGGAACATCTGTGTTGGTTTGAGAGAGTGAAAAGTTTACAGCACTCATATCGGAGTAGCATTTTCAATAACTTTGCTGTGAGCACCTGTGTGAATCAAATCAAGGCAACACACAAGCACAGTTGTTATCCTTGCTTGGGTATGCTGTTTGATTTAGCTGTGTGAGCTTTTGCGTGTAACCTGCTCAGTCTTCCGTGCGATGAGGTTCCCAATAGTCTTGCTAAAGAAAGATGCCAGGAGAGGGTTAAGCGGGGACGGCTGCTCCAGGAAGGTATACAGTGTTTCCAGCAGAGGCTCCTCATTACCCAGCTTATCGTTGATCACTCCCACATCACATGTCAACAGCTCACATGCTATATTTGGATACCTGTAATGCATGGAAAGAAGACATCTGGTAGCAATACCAAAACAATTTGATTGTTTTTTTCTGCTTTGGCGCAAAAATACCCAGTAGACTTTAAAAAACAGGACGGTGCAAAACAAAAAAGTCACTTAATTTGCTTAATGCATGACAAAGCCCTTTTAAAAAGTTCTGTACCCAATGGGGTTCCTGTCTTTTCTACAAAATGGCAGGTGAGAGACATAAGAGATTGCAGAGGCAGCAGAACACATTTATCCCCGATTCAGTACACTACATCAGCATTTTCTGCACAACCACCTACTTGTAGCGCTTTATCTCCTCTCCACCAGCAGGGGGCTCTGTCGTAATCATTCGGACCAGCTCCTGCATACATTGGTCCTGGCACAGGAACAGGAGAAGCCTACAAATTGATAAGAAGCAACAGTTAATACCAACACCAGCAGTTACATAAAACTGTGATGCAATTCGGATTTTCATACGTTGACAACACACAAACCTCCTGTTTTGGGCCTTGCACTCCTGGAGCACATCCTCCTCCTCCATGAGCTCATTGAGTGTGACATCTTCCTTGTCCAGTAAAGCCTCCAGATGAGAGGAGGTGTGGAGGTCAAACTTCCAAAACATGGCTTACGTCACAAGCACACACTTAGCTGTTGATCAAGAGGATATGATTTTGTATTATGAAAAAGTATCTTTAATGTAAATTTCGATTTTTTGACCCTGTGATGAAACTCTAAATTGTACATTAGCACAACCTTATCTTTTAGACAAGGACTTCAACCCTTAGTCAGATCTTGCTAAAAGGCCATTTGCCTTATTGACACTGCTCAGCCAGGACATCAGACTGCATCAGCAAATCACTAAATGTAGACACAAGACACACAAATCCAAGAGAACCTGACTGCAACATTGGAATGAGACCACAGGATACAAGAACAAGAATCGAAGACAACGCTAAGTGCATGGATGAGGTTTGCACTTCTCTTTAAACCAGCCAGGAAGCAATGCATCTATAACCGAGTTACTGCAGAAGATCTTCATCAAGGAAGCGGCCCCTACAAACAGTCCTTTCAATGGCAAATGAAAGGAGTAAGAATAAAATTGGACAAAACTAACCCCCGTGGGAAAAGAATCTAGGCTTTAAAGTAGATTATAAATCCCTTTGCTTAAAAACTTGAGTAGGTTGTAAAGAGAAGTACTCTGTCTTACATTCGCTGACAATCATGTAAACAGTAGACAAGGAGTGTGATATTGACAGCTGTCATTGGACAGTGGTTTCAAAAGGAAAGGATCTTCAACTTGGACCACAGATACATCAAGAAATCAAGATTTTGCATGATGAGTTTGTCTGTTGGTTCTTGTGACCGTGACACACATCCACTATGTTTGACTCAATCAAAGGATAATAAATAAATTTGGATTACACAAAGTCAGCAGTTACTTATTAGATCATGTGATCTTTACACCAACCCGCATTATGATTACTTTCGCAACCCGATACAAAAGCTCTGCTATAAATTTTTACACTTCTTGTTGACATGGTCAGACAGATAGTAACAGCTCTTTAAATTAATTGTTAAAGTTGTAGTGGGTGTTTAACATAAGATAATATATAAGGAGTGATTTTCAAAATAACATAATCCTGTGTACCACCACCCACTGTGTCTTCATTGATCAATATTAAGTACAATAATCACCTGTCTGATTATGTCAACAAAATATGAAATTTTACATGTTATTGGATCACATCAGATTTCCAAGGCAGTCATGATACCATGGCTGGTCGGTGCACATCGTTATACTGTCAAATGAAAACAGAAATTGTCCTATCGATGAATAAAATTGACGCATATCAATTCTGGCTTACAGCAACTGTACCACAAGTCAACAGAGACATGTTGAGGTTAAACAGAACAGGTGTTTCAGGGCTCAGACTACGTATTACAAACCATCTTCTGTCCATGGCTAGCAAGTATTAGAAACGTCAAAGAGCATCACTAGCACGGTCAGCTATATGTAAACCAGGCCTAACTGTGATCAGCTGGTAACAGTAACCATGAAACGGTCATTAGTGATAATAACACGGTAACGGGCATGTCGGGGTGAATTAATGTTAGCATTAATTAGCTTACAGTTATCGCATCTCCACGTTAACTTAGCTAGCTTCTCTTATATTGTCAGCTTTTTTATAGCTAAACCATTGGTCATTTCACCTACCATGCGTGCAGCTTGTAACCCATCCTGCTGGCAGTCTGAGTTTTGTAGCTAACGTTACGAAACTTGGTGGAAAATATCGGTTACAATGATAAGCTTCCATCAGGCGGTTGTTTGTAACGGCTGCTTGGCTAACATCAGGGAGAGACAGTGCTCTCCTCATTCCCGTTATAGTCTCCTCACCACTCGACAGAGACACACATCTCACACACGGGATTTACATTTGCTTACATATTTCAAGTGTCTCTTACCTTACATCCATCATTTTATCAGTCGTCATCTGCAAGCTGAACAGGAACTCTGCGACTTTGGCTGTCAGGTCACCCAGCGGCCCATGCCTGGCTGTTCATGACTGCGTTGTTAGCTTGAGGACACTACTACCCTTCCCCGGTTGCAATGTCATTTACGCCGCCGTTACACGCTGGTTGGTCCGACTAGAGGTCCAGTTGTCCCTGCCTGAATTATACTTTAGCAAACAGACAACAACGACAGTGTGTCAGATTTGGAAATCAAAATGGCGGATATCTAAAACGTAATCAAAAGTTTAGCTGTCCATCATCAGGAGAACAAGTGTACATTTATTTCTGTCACCCTGATGCCAGACAAACAGCATCAAGTGCTGCAGCGAAATGTACGTGATGTACGGATTCAAAGTCCCACAAGCAACTCTGTTCAACTCAAAAAAAGTAAACATCCATGATAACACAGATCAATAGGATACAACAGAGGCATATCCAAACCTTTTGCATTTGCAAGCTGATAGAGCACAGACACTATTATGCATTAATCTAAAATTTAATTCACCCTCTCTACGTTCAGTCATACCAATTTAAAAATGCAAATTGATCAAAATGCTTCTACAGTGAATGTACCAGGGCATCCATCCTGCAACCAGTGTGACTCTGGACACCCACTGTGACTTAACAGAGCTTGTTATGGTGTCAGGTTACAGATTTTGCATATTAAACGCAGCAGCCCTCAAGGCTCCACCTGGCAAGAAACATGATTTAAACACCCACAACATGAGCTAAGCCCATTTTAAATAAGCAAAGATAGAAACTACAATGCAGAGTCCACTACTCTTTCTTTTCCTAACTCTAAACTCTTGTAAATAACTTTATGGTTGGGCAGATTCTAATTCCCCCCTCCTGATTTTGTCCTGAACTTGTTTAAGTGGTGTTTTCTGATCAAATAAATTTGTGTTTGACAAGTAAATGTATCACCCACTATATATTTGCATGCTGAAAAACTGAAACAAAAGGCTGATTCTTAATTGTACGGTCAATGAAATCTGACACCTACCCCTAACAGTGATTTGAGGCTTAAAACTGCAATATAGGAATACATAAGTCCTATGGTCCTTAATAGGAATCACAGTGAATTTCTGTATTTTTCATAACAAAATTAGGATTGTACGGTGGCCGAGAACTGCCACTGCTGCAAAAAAAAAAGAATGCAAAAAAATAAAATCAAATCCCAACTAAGTTACCAATACCAAGACCATGTGGCGCCCGAGTTGATATGAAGTTGAACTGAAGCTAACACTACACCGGCATCCTCCAGTTCAACTTCATAACGACTCAGGTGCAACATGGCCTAACCAAATGACACAATGTAAAGCACACAAAGCAAAATTAATCAATAACCTTTCCACTTACTTTTTTTGCTTGTCTTTTTGCCGTCGTCTTCTGTGCTTGGATCGTAAAACAATTGTGCATTATTATTATTGGTCCCCGGCAGCTCACTCCCCTTGTGGCTTTTTTAATTTGCATCCTTTTATTTTCACAGTAAAGACCTTTTTTTTTTTTGCACCACCACTTTTTCCTGCATCTTTAGCTTCAGTTGTGGATTTTTTTTTTCATCTGCACTATTTCTTTTTTTTATTTGCAGCAGGGTTTTTTTGTTTTTTTTGCATCGGTAACTTCCATTGTGACTTTTTTTTTTTTTTTTTTTTTTTTTTTGCAGCAGTGGCGATTCTCGGCCACCGCAGCATTGTAATTCATGATAAAAAATAACCCATTTTACTTTTATTCAATTTCTGGTTAGTAATGTAACATGTCAGAATCCAGAAAATATCCTGAATCATTCTTTAGGCTATTTCTAAAACGTAATACTTTTTTGTTTTTTCCCCCATCTGTTTCCTTGTTAGTCTCTTGTCGTGGTATATTACGTTGTAACCCCGGACAGTCCCAGTCGGCTCCCCCCCTCGCAGCTCCGCAGTAGCTCTCTCCCTCCTTCTCTTCCTCCCTCTCTCTGTTTAGCCGGTTAGCATCATGGCGAACGTTGTGGATACTAAGCTCTACGACATCCTCGGAGTTTCACCTTCTGCCTCTGAGAATGAACTCAAAAAGGTACGTAGCCTTAAAGAAATTAAGAAATTTGTTGGACTAGCAACCGAAAAAGCCTAATATGGAAAGGGTCGGACGAATAAAATGTGGCCTATATCGTGAGCTTGCTGGTTTACTGAACGCCAAGCTAAATGTACTTAGCAGCTACTAACTACTGTAGGGATCGGTGTTTTTGAATATAAACGAAGCTAGACTCTGTTTTGAGAAATGCTGTAAATGGGAGAGATTTTTAGCATTTCAGTTGAACTCGTTTAGAGGAAAAAGGCCTGGCTGAAAATCAAGAAACACTCTTGTGACCACGAGTGTGATAGCTTACCGGCCGTTAGCTTCGGATGATAGCCTTGTTCCAGCAAATAGCCGTCACCAAACCGAGCAGAAGAGACTTTAAACGATAGCAGAGCAATTCTACCAGCTTAATATGAACTGCATATGTTGTGAAAGTGTTTGTTTGTCATGGGGTTATATTTTCTGAACATTTGACTCCATATTTGTTGATGAGTAATAGACAAGCTCGATGTAGCTTCGAGCTAACGTTAACGTAACCCTGATCTATAGCTAACTGTATACACAGCGCTGATCGGTGTAGTTGTGCATTTCCGAATGAACTCCATTCTTTAAGGTTAAAACTCTTTACAAATTCGACTTTAGACATTTAACTTTATGTCTTAACTTAACGCTCATCTCCACGCCACGTCTCAAATTAATGTGTTAATGTATTGTTTCTAACAAATAACTGACAGTTTCATCTCAGCCCCTCCGCTTTGAAAAAATGCAATTGAACAAACTGGTTCGTAAACAGCCACAGAGGAAATTAATGCCTTCTTAACGTCACTATAAAATGCGATTTTGTTTTACAGGGAATGTTAGATTTGCCAGAAAACCAAACCATTTATCAGCTGTTTTACTCCTCTGCTGCCAAAGCAGGTGGATTCACGACATGCACAATTTCATGAGGCTGTGTGAAGACTGGCTTTTCACAAACGTGTCAAGAGATGTCAGAGGCAGTGATGCTCTTGCTGGTGTCCCGATGTTTTTGACAGCAGACCCACAAGCCTGGCCCTTGGCTATCAGGGCTGTTACAGACAGTTAATACACTTAGAGATGCCTGCAGTGCTTTTTCACATAGTTGACATTTCCTTCGATTTGGTTTGTTTCAGGCCTACCGCAAATTGGCCAAGGAGTACCATCCTGACAAGAACCCTGATGCTGGAGACAAGGTTTGTTGCATTATGTGCATTTTATGCCACCAGCAGAAAGCAATATATAGCAGTAATACTGCTTACAATAGTGCAGATGCTCAACAGTTGGGACTGATCAATGAGGCTTCAGTATGAAAAAAGTCTTGGCCTAATTCTTTGAGAACAAACTTTAGATGGATAAGAGCAAAGAACATGAAACAGATCGTCCCAGGAGAGAATTGCACCAGTTTTTTTCATCTGCACTACTCTGTGACTCAGTCTCTCTGATTCTGCTTTAATGTGACATAAGAGACTAAATCGTCATTTTTGTTTGTTTGCGCTTTGTAAAAGGGGCTTACTGTTATGTTTTGTTTGTGTGTTATTCACTCTGTCAAGCTGTTGCATTGTCAGTTTAGTTTCTTCTTCTTCTTCTTTACAGTTTAAAGAGATCAGTTTTGCGTACGAGGTACTGACAAATCCGGAAAAGAAGGAGCTTTATGATCGCTATGGAGAACAGGGGCTACGAGAGGGAGGAGGTGGAGGACCTGGCATGGATGATATCTTCTCTCATATTTTTGGTGGAGGACTTTTTGGGTTCATGGGGGGGCAGGGCAGAGGACGCAATGGAGGCAAGAGAAGAGGAGAGGATATGGTTCATCCTCTGAAGTAAGTGTGTTACCTAAGATTGAGTTATGGTGTTGAAGGTGAAATATACATCACAAAATTCAGTAACCCTTTTCACCCCACAGAGTTTCTCTTGAAGACCTCTACAATGGCAAAACCACAAAACTGCAGCTCAGTAAGAATGTCCTGTGTGGTGCTTGTAATGGGTGAGTTCAAAAATGTAACCAAACAGTATTGTGCCTATAGTTTCAAAGCCCTGACCCAAGATGGTGGGTTCCAGTTTTTTGTTGCTGACTAATTCAACTCTTCACTGTTTGCCTTTTTAGGCAGGGGGGTAAGGCAGGAGCAGTGCAGAAATGTGTTGCATGCAGAGGACGGGGTATGAGGATCATGATTAGACAACTCGCTCCCGGGATGGTCCAACAGATGCAGTCTGTCTGCACAGACTGCAATGGAGAGGGTAATATGTCTATAAATATCCACAGACTCTCTGACCCAATACACAGATGATGTAAATTTCTGAGAACAATTGTTGTCTGAAATCTTCACATCTGTTTGTTTGCTTGTGCAGGGGAAGTGATAAATGAGAAGGACCGCTGCAGAAAGTGTGAGGGTCACAAGGTGTGCAAGGAAACAAAGCTTCTGGAGGTGCATGTGGACAAAGGCATGAGACATGGACAAAAGATCACATTCTCTGGGGAAGCTGATCAAGCACCAGGTGTTGAACCGGGAGATATTGTCCTGGTGCTGCAAGAGAAAGAACACGAGGTAAAAAGTTTGCTAATTCTACTGAGTCTTAAGCAACCAATATTCAGATTTAACAAAAAGGTTGTATTGATCTAAAGCAACAAATTATGGATTTCAATCTATCTCAGGATTTCCGCCGTGAAGGCAGTGACCTTCACATGGTCCAGCGTATTGGCCTGGTTGAGGCTTTGTGTGGTTTCCAGATGACAGTTGCACACCTTGATGGACGTCAGTTGCTTGTCAAATACCCTCCCGGCAAGGTCATTGAGCCAGGTAACCATATCTTCCTAACCACACTTATTCATGTTCAGTATTGTTAGTGGCCTATAAGACTAAGTGTAAATAAAACAAATCCCAGCCATGAGCAAAATTACGAGCAAACTTTTGATGTTTTTAAAATTGTGATTGTGTTAGTTAATAAAATAAACAGTGCCCAGGCGTTATAATGCATTTTAATCTCGTCTGTGTCAGGCTGTATGCGAATGGTGAAAGGCGAGGGAATGCCTCAGTACAGAAATCCATTTGAGAAGGGAGACCTTTACGTCAAGTTTGACGTCCAGTTCCCTGAAAATGACTGGATTAAACCGGAGAAGCTGAATGTGAGTTGCCATGTTTAAATCCTCTGATTTGGATCATTTTACTCCACACGATTGGTTTTAATGTTACATTTTTATTAAAACCAAACCAATTATTTTCAGGAACTCGAGTGCTTGCTGCCTGCCCGAGCTGAGAATCCTGTAATTGCTGCAGATGCAGAGGAGGTTGACCTGACAGATTTTGACAGGAGTCAAGGGTCAGGAGGTGGAGCCAGGAGAGAGGCCTACAATGATAGTTCTGATGAGGAAGGGGGCCATCACGGGCCAGGGGTGCAGTGTGCACATCAATAAAAAAGACTCATACATGAAGACATGCGCACACATAAAGACATGAACATCCCTGAAGTCCCATCGCTAACACCATTCAAGACTTGATGCTCATACATGCACACCTCTCTCCTTTCATGATCCCCATGAAAAAGAAGAGAAACACCAATACACTCATACAGGTCTATCAACCCTCCTCAGTTCCATGGTGCCCATATGTCAGAAAAATGCTGGACGTGTGATGACTGTTTTGTGTTGGACAGTAGTGTTTATCAAAGCCTCCAGCAAGAAGGTGGTGTCATTCTCAGAAATTCACAGACTGAGCTTGACTTGAACCTTTCTGTTTTTCATCACAGGCTTTTACCTTCCACTGTGGGAAACACCAGTCTAGTGTATAAAAAGAATTATTGTTAACTATCTTGTATAAGGTGTAGTCTATTCCGTCACACACAAGCGCATGCTGCTTTCTTGCTGAAGATTTTGCACATGTAGATCCAGCATCTGGACACAACCGAGAAATCTGACACCACAACTGTTTGGATTTTAGTGTCACTGCTATCGAAGTGCCCTGCTAAGAGCTGACCTGACTACACCCCTAGAAGTGTGCCCTCTGCACAGCCTGTTGAGATACACACACAGGTTCAATCCACCTCATCTGTAAGAATAAAGTCATCATATAAAAATGGGTTTTAAATTGGACTGGTACTGTTTGGTCCCCAGCTGTCACATTTCTAAAATATTAAAGGTCTGCTCATAGCAACAGAAGGCACCATGTTTCCTTAGTTTGAACTTTTAGCTTGTTTGTCTTTGTTGGTTTGAATGCTATTTTGTTAAAGACCACAGAACTTGAACCTAAGTTGTGTACACTTTGTTTGAGGACACACTCATGTACTTTGTATGTGTGTAATGCAGTAGCTCGATGTGTGCGTGAGCTGCTGCGGAATGTTCCGGCTTATTAGAGTGATAGGTAATTCCTGCTTTGTGTTGGACTGCAGTGTGAGTGGGGTTGATAGAGGAGGTAAAAACAGAATGTTTATTCACGAAAAATCTCTCCCATGTAGACATTTTCCCCCTCTACACTTCAGGACTGAGGGATCCTCCTCTCTTGCAGGAAAACCACTGGGCCCAGACCAGCCCTCTGTATTGTACATACACCCCTTGCCCCGCCCCCTCCGTAGAGTCGGCAGCCAAACATGTTACAATATTCCCATCCTCATAAACCTGTAAATAAATACAGCCATAGTCCATAGGTGCATTCAGAGTCTACAGCAGTGTCCTTTGTCTAGTCACATTATTTCTTACGCAAGTGAGTAATGGCCAGCAGTGCCAATATTAATGTTTTGTTCACATGGAGAGATGTTGATGGAACCTCTGTAGACTGTTTACATGCACCTCTGTGACTCATTGTGTATGTAATTTAGGCCACAGGGGATACTGTGTACACAACTAAAGGGGGGTCATTGAAAAATGACATTATTGTTGATGCTTATGTTTGTCGAGATGATAATTAAACTGTCTAATAAACAGTCACTTCAAGTTTGATACCCGTCTTTTTCATAAGGCAGCACCTGCACTTTAATGCTCAAGAAAGGTCAGCATTTATTTAAAATCTGCAGTATTTCAGTCAAACACAGAATGATGACTTAGAGGTCTGTAACAGCAGCTGTAGTTTCTCAGTCTGCTCCGTCATCTGGTTCTCTTCTTCGGAGAGTGACTGGACCCAGCAGCTCCTTAAATCCTGCAGTATTCCTAAGAGATTAAAAGGGAATGGGAGCAAGGTGGTCACCATGAATTTGGTTTTCATGTGAAATTTAAAGCCGTCTCTTACCTTTCTCTTTTGGACTGCATGATATAGGAGCGCTCTCTCCTCAGCTGCTCCAGCCGCTCTTTGACAACAGTCTTTTGTTGATTCTTATCCTCCTAAAAAAACATTGTTTTGTTGGTGTGACAAAACTTAAGAACAAAATCTTGCTGCCTGATTTTCTGCAGATATCATGTTTTACCTGTGGTAGATCTTGTGTGAGGTGTTTCAGTCTGTCTGTGCTCTTAAGGCCTAGCAGGTCTTCGTCTGCCTTTCTGTTTTGGATGATGGACAGACGCTCCTGAACCTGGAAACAAACACTTGTTAGGCCAACATGCCACCACTGTCTCTTTCTTACCGCCATCTGTTTGCCTCTTTTATCCACTGTTTTTTGTTGTTGATGTTGAGGCCTACCCATTGACAGCCCTTTTCCTTACCCGAAGAAGTTGTCTCTCTCTGTCCCTCTGCTGCTTCTGTTCCACTTTTCTTTGCATGTCCACCAAATTTCTCATTGTCCTCTCACGCTCCACTGCTGAGACCGGTTCTGTTGCTTGCTCTCTCTCTATCAGCGAGGGATCTCTTTTTTTCTCTTTCATGGCAGGGCCATCGTCAGCCTTTACAATTGAAAACAGCAGCTAAGTGGAAATGCTGAGAACTTTGGCCCCAAATCATAGCTGTACAAGTATGTCACTGTAGACTTACTGTGGCTGGTGAATCATAGTTTTGGTCTTCAGCGTAAACAAGTTCTGTTCCTTTCAAGTCCCACAGTTCTTCTGACTCTGTTTCAGCAGGACACATTTCCACCTCAGCCACTGATCTGTCCACAGTGTCCGTCTCATTAGTGGGTGTAGAGCAGAGGTTAAAGGGGAGCTGCTCAATCATAGAAGGGTCAATGTAATGATGAGCTTGCAGGCCAGTTTGAGAAACACCTTCTCCCTGATCCGATGGATTAGCTAATGCTCTCTCATCAGAGGTCACCTAATGAGATCATAGAGGTAAAAGAAATCAGATTAAAGACATAGTGATACAAGGTGTAACGGGCACAATAGAGTACCTGTTCATCACGATGATTCATGGAAGCAGACTGAATCATTCTGTCCCGTTCTCTGGAGGTCTCATCAGACTGGTCTTCTACATGACTCTGATGGTCTTGGGTTTTCAAACTGCTCTCAGCATCTTGGTTCTGTCCTGCAAATCCATCTACAGCCTCAGCCTCACAGTCAGTGTCATCATCTGGAAGTTTACTCCAAGCAAGGGTGATCAGTGAGCCCTGTTTCTCCAAGTTTTGAGTGCTCTTCAGTGCGCTGGCCTTTTCATCTTCCTCCTTGACCTCTTCCTCTGCAGTATGATCAGGTTTACTATTCCCATCTGATACACACAAGATCTCCAGGTAGGGAAGGTCCTCCATCATCGCTTCACAACCTGGAGGAATGTATTGTTAAAGAAGCTTTTAGGGTTTTCACTGTTGGAGCTTCCCTCAGGTACAAGGACCACAAAGAGGTACTAAATGCATTTTTCAACTGAAAGTATCAGGGTCAAAATAAAGCTCCTGCCAGGGTGGTACCTTTTAATATAGGGGGGTTGCAGCATTGAATGTTTCTGATCAAGGGACACTTTCAATAGTCTGCTTAGGCTAGAGTAACCTCTTCTAAAAGAGGCTAATGAAACAAAAAAAGTCCAAGGCAAATTCAGTGGAAATGCAGCTTTTGTCTGTGTGTGCATTACCTGCACAGACGTCCTGTTTGTTGGCGTCATCTACAGCTTGATCTGCACATAATTCCCTGCTGCCCCTTCTGATTGGATCAACCGTCAGAGCTTCGACTGACCCACCACTGCTGGTCTGGGCATCGACTGGTCGGCTGCAGCTGGCTAAAGCTGGGATTTGCTCATTTGTGTCTTTTTCAACTTGGTTTGATTTTGGATTGGGTGAAGGGGCTTCTGAGACCAGGAGTTTGAGAGTGAAGCAGTGGGCATGAAGTGTGGATTCAAGCTTGTTTTGCAAGGCTTGGGCACTCTGTGCGCTCTAAAAGAAGCAAATCAAAATGTCAGAATCCTGTGCTGATCTGTCCTGTTTTTATGAATCTTTTGATTATGACTGTTTTGACTTGCCTTGTCCATTAATGCAGGTAGGAGTTTAGACACTTGGACTTCCTGGAGCTCCATCACTTTGGTTAAGAGGAGCAGGCAACAATCCTCTAGTTGATGTTTGGACCACATTTCTAATTCACTGCTCATGTGGTCCATTTGGAGTTCAGGCTGGCGTTGTGGCTGAGGGTTTGTTTGTGTTTGTAGGTCAGTATAAACCTGCTTCAGCCTTGTTATACAGCTGTTTCTTAGAGCAGTTTGCTCAACACTTTCTGAAAAGAAAAGAAGACAGGATATATGACAACTACTTTCAAAAAAGATGCAGCAGAATGGGAGAAAATATCAATTCACCCCCTTTGTGTGGTATTGTGCAGCCTGGTTCCTGCAAATCCCCTCTGGAGACCCCTTGTATCAACTTGATGAGGTGTTTCCTCTCCTGCTCCTGAGTCAGCACCAGCAGCTGCAGCACTGCCTGCAGGGCCAGGGTCAGAGTAGTAAACTACAGGAGAGGTTCTTATTACTGGTTACCCAATAAGGTATATTACTCTACCAAAAATATAAGTCAAGTAACAATTGAGAGCATTGGCTATGGCACATAATCAGTGGCCCATAATCCCGTTTACAACACCTGCTGTGGTGATGCTGGGATGAAGTTTTCCTTTTGCTCTTCCTCTCCACTGTGGAGCCACAGGGCTGCCTGCTCAGCTCTGCATGGACTCCTCACATGTGGCCTGTACAGATAAACATTGGACAGCTTTAATATAGACCTTATAATAGTGGGTACATCAAGGATTACTTCCTCTCAGTGTTTGTTGGCTCACCATGCCTCCCAGGAGTGCTGAGCTGCTAGAAAAGCATTGTAGGATACACTTTCTCTCTGAGCTTTGAGAATTGCCAGTCTGATGTACAAACACACCAGTCTCAGGTCCTCCCTGTCCAGCCTAGGGTCAAAAGATAAATAAATAAACTCATCAGATAATTGTTTATATTCCTTTATAAGCTAATGTGTGTCAATCTAAACAAATATGAAAGTGCAAACAATACCATGTTGAGCAAGATTACACAAATTCTCTCAAATTATGTTGTTTTTTCTTACATGCTGACATTGCAGCAGTTAAAATTAGTGCAAACTCTAAGCAAAATGTTTAAGAAGTCCATACCTCTGGCCCAGGACTACCAGTGAGTCCTTTTCTTGTTGACGAAGCGTCTTTAACTCATGCAGGAATGAAACAGCAGACCAAGATGCTGCCCTGGTCTCTGAGTGGCTTGTAAAAGATGGTCCCATATCAGTCCTGCAAGAGAATAACTTTTATTTAAGTAATTCTCTTTCATTCCTTTATAGAGAAAAATGATGGTTCGTGTTTGAAAAAGAAAACACCATTTTTTTTATAACGAAGGAGAGTACTTACTTCATATATCACCTTTCACTTTTAACCCACCTGTATATTCTAAAAGCTCCAGGCAGTTCAGCCAAAGAGAGCATGTCACCTGACTCCAAAGCCTTTTCTGCAAGATATTCCAGCTCCTCCTCTTCCTGCTGTTGTTGCCATGGCATTAGGGTCCCCCAGATGCTCGGTGCTTTGGAACAACAAAATAGGTAAAAAATGAAGAAAACATGACAGTTAAACACCTGAACCAGGCTGTATTATGCCACTACAGTTGTATTTGGAGTGATATTTTTCTGTGTCATTTTGTGGTTCTTACTGAAATGCTCCTGGAGCATTTCTGTATAAAGCAGGTGGGTCACTACATCATACTTCACTTCCACCAAGAGGAGAACATCTGACAGGGAGACACATCCCCATACTTGGCACCCTACCCCTAAGCTTTCATCCTGCATGGGGCAGGCCAATATACTTTGCACACCCTCTGATACCAATCTGAAAGGACAAGCAGAATCAGTATTAACAGAAAAAATACTGAAAAAAAGGCAGTTTTTGTATTGAGGATAAGTTGTAAGATTACATCTATGTGTGTATCAACTGGTTAAAGTGATAGGTAATGTATCTTGAACTGGTATTAAAAAATAGCGTGCATTTTTTTTCACTCACTCACAATGACACTGCAAAACAACTGATCAGTGTGCCCAGAGTGATTTGGACTGGGGTTTTGCTGTGGATTATGTCAGCATTCTTGGCTGGGTCTCTGCATTACACCCATGGCAAACTCAGTTCACTGGATTTAGAGGCTCTTAGAACAGGGCACTGTAACATTGATCATATTTTTGTTTTGTCGCCACAGTAGAAGCTGCTCTGCCTGGTTATGTTTTATGTTATGTTATGTTATGTTATGTTATGTTATGTTATGTTATGTACACTTGTTCACTTTCAAATTGTACTTCAGTGGGAGGTAAGGTATTAGTGAGAAAATGCAAATTGCCTTATGTATCATAGGTAAGAGTGCTAATTATTAAATGAGCAATGTGGCAATAACGAAAACAATTGTTATGGTGCCTAACTGTATCGGTTCTAGGGGGAAGATCCATAGGGGTGGTGTGGACCACCCTTAAGATCTTATAAGCCACCCCAGGGACCTCCTCAAAATCCTTCAATAATTTAAATGAGTAGAGATAGACAGGGTAAACGAATGCTTTTCACTTGTGTTCTTGACACTCTTGCAGCCTCAGTTGAGTCCCTAACCAGCTCTGACCCAATCCAAAAAAAATCAGGATGCTCCTTGGACATAATTATAATAATAATGATGATAAATTCGTTTATATAGCCCTTTAAGTGCTATATAAAGCAATATTTATATAGCACATAGTATTATATCCAATGAAACTAAATCCTGAAAGCACCCAGTAAATGAAAATTAATGATAAAAAGTTCTGCATCAAAATTTAAGTTTGTTGCCTTAACCTTGGAGTAATATTTTATTTATTTTTACTTCCTACATTTTAGATACTCACCTCATCCAGCTCTGCCCTGCTGCCTTCTTCAATTTCCTCACAACTCTCACACTGTGACACAGCTCTTTATTTCCAATTAGTCTCTCCCTCTGTATGTGGAGGGTAAACATATAATAATGAAAAGAGATACCGCCTTGGGGCAGAGTAAAAGGTGCCACACTGAAAGCACATACCTGTGGACTGGTACCAGGGTGGAGAGAAATGAATTTTGGGCGGTTGTGAGCTTTTCTGAGATTAATTGCCTCACTGCTTTGGTTTAAAGTATTTCTTATATGCGGATTATTTATTACTGGCTCATCTGTTGCGTAGGGAGGATTGAGATTTCCAATATTTAGCAGCTGGAGGTCCCAGTAAAGCTAAGGAAGAAGATACTTGCTTTTAGAAATGAGGACTAGACAAACTTTTGATTTCTAACATTTTATGCTTTAATTTAAAAAAACAGTGACTACTGTACCTTGTCCTTCTTTTCTCTTTCCCTTTCCATTTCAAGGACAACCTCCAACACATTTTCACCCACACAACACCAGCTACTATCATCTCCTGCAATCTGAACACAACCAAACACCTTACAGGTACATGTCAGTTTTCCACGTGCATTCAAAAATGTCTTTATTTCAAAATACATTTACCTTCTCCATGGCCACACTTGCTTCATCAGTGTTTGAGGAAACATGAAATACTTTACTGAAGAGGCGACTCACATCTTCAGAGGAAAACTCTGCACCGACAGACAAACCCAGGGATCGGTACAGACCAGTGATACAATCCTGAGCAAAGAAACAAGGACACAAAGGTACTTCTCCGGGAAACACGGGTACCATCTTAGCTTTCGAGCTAACATCAAAACATCCTACCTGCTCCATGTTTTCACCACTGTGGGCTGATAAATTATACAGGATTTCACTATGGTTACAGCTTGATCAGATTACCAAGCAACAAAAGTGAGAGTGTATCTGTCAGAGGAAGACGGACGAGTGATAGGTGATACATGACAAAAGCATTGTGTAACATGTAACTGCTAAAGGCTGGTGGGTGGAGATTTTAATGCTTATATTTCACGCAACTGACGAAATATGGTCATTGCACCCAGAGTAACAGTTCTTTGAATTCCAAAACACTACTCTAAAAATTTCCTTGAAAGAGCCATGAAAGTACTGCTGACATGACTGAAAACAGAAACAAATGTCAACCACAATTATTGGTGGAAACTTTATTTTTATGATGGAGGACAAAGACAACAAAGAGAACCTGAGATTATGTGGCTCACTGTATATCACCACAGTCAGTCATCACACAGTGCTGAAATAGACCTTTAAAGTAAAACAATGCTTTGATAACTCATAATAATATTAATATAATGAGGACTGGGCACAATATCTTATCAATGTGTAAAATAAAGTAGAAATGATACCTTTGACATCAAAACATCAAATCCCTGTGTAGTATACAGATTCAGTGCTACATACCACAGAATCAAAATGTGGATTAAAACAGTAAAATGCCATTTTTCACTTGTGTCATGGAGGTTAATGTGTTGATTTATGTTTGTTTTCTTAAACAGGAGTGTACAGTAACAAAATGGATATGCAGTCCTTGAGTTGATTAGAGATTATTAGTGCATTTGTGTGTCTCTGTGTGTGTGTCCACTGGAGCAGCTTTATGAAGGGTTGCCATGAATGATCTTTGGGCACTTCTCTGGCTGTATGCAGTAGTTGTCATGTAGGACCAGACCAGCAGGACACTGACAACCTGGTACACAGGGCTTGAAGCAGTGGCTCTCTATCACCCCCAGTGGTACGTCGACGTTAAAACAGGTCACAGGACATGGGGGTCCACACTCATCAAACACAAAGCCCCTCTCCACTGGACAACCCACAGCTGTGGAAGACAGACAGTGACAGAGACCAACCAACAACAGGCTGAGAACAAAGTGACCATGATCGTTTGCTTTGACTAGTAACTCATTGAAATGAGCAGTTTTCTTATAACAAACCATGAAGAGATTTTTCATTTTCAATCAGATGAATTGTACCATGTCGTTTGAATTTTGAGTTAAGTGATAAGAAAAGCCTTATTCTTCTTCTTTACTGCAAGCACACACGCACACCTAATATATTGTACATGTTGTGAAGTCAAAGTCACTTTTCGCCTCTTTTATCTTTTACATCTCCTAATGCTTTACAATCAGCAAGTGCACATTTAATGCTGCTGTGAACTTGGTTTAAAACTTTATATTCCTGAATAAATTAAAAGCAATCAAAGCTAGTTTTGATAGAAAAAAGTGTCATCTTAAATATATGTTATTTTGTCATTAGACACTTACCACACAGTGATGGGCTCCTCCACTGTAGGACAACTCCTGCTTCTCTGCACTGACTGGCGTAGGCCTCCAGAGTGTCACACAGACACTCGTCAGTGTTGGCCCCGCAGGCACAGAGGTCGTATACACAGGCTCCATACCAGGGCTCAGGCGGCACCACGCGATGGCAGGGCTTAAAAACAGCAGACTTCAGCACCTTACAGCGAGTGTTGGCACTCTTCTTGGCCTGGTATCCTGCTTCTTTACAGGGGTCCACATCTTCACCAGGACGACAGGATGAGAGAGAGTGGCTGCCATTTGTAACCTAGAATGAAAAGACGTTGTGTGATTTGTTTTAAGACAACATTTTTTAATTTCATATTTTTGTTTCCTTGGGTGTGTTTATGTCACCCTCCAGCTGTTTCCAAAGTCAGACTCTGATAAGCTGATTCGTCCGCTGGGCATGCGGAGGTCATCTTGGTGGTAGTTGTTGAAGTTTCCACAGAGCCCACAGGTGTGACCCTTATAGGAACCAGGCACACTCACTTCCAGGTGCGAGCGACCGCTCCACAATACCTAAAGGTAGTCCAGAGATATACAGGCATCTAAAAATCAGGACTTAAAATATTTTCAGGGATAATTTAATTGTAAAGACATTGGTGACGAACAGACTACCTTTACTCCGATGTTGGTGTTGAGTAAGATGGTGTTGGTTTGTTGTTCAACATAGATGTAGGGCTCTCTGAGGAAAGGCAATGCCACAACCTCATCATTGACCTGAGGAGTACAGAAATGACTCAGTTAATACAGAACAAAACTAAAAACTGCAGTATTGCTCGCAGTATTTATTGACACAAACCTTCACAACCCTGTCCTGCAGTAGCTGCACAGTGATGTCTCCTATAAACACAGTCACCTCTTTGGTCCAGGACACTCCTTTACGCCCTCGATCCTCATTAGTGGCATGAATACTTGACAGAGAAAGAGGAGTCATTAAAGTAAACATTACCAGGAAAGTAATTTGTCAGTTTAAATAACAATCACAGATTATTGCCTTAATTTGAATAATGTTTGGTGCAACCAAAAAGTTGTTTATTTTCCTTTAAGATTGTTTAATTTGAATTATTATTTAGAAACAGGATGGGGGTAGGTATTTAAAAACAAAATAAACCCCACAAGAAATTGCAAGAGAAAAAAGGAGCAGGAGAAAAATCATGTTATGAGACACTACCTTAATGTGGTTACCATAGCAACCCTCTTACCTGAAGTCCCCACCCTGACAGTCCTGTGCCAGGATGTAGGTACACGCTCCTTGAAAGTGCAGCATACGGCCATCAAAGGTGTGATAATGAGGGTCGCCAAAGGCAATGCAGGTGGCTGGACGAGGAAGGCAATGGGGACAACACAAACCAGGGACAATGGCTGGCATCTGGTCCTGGAAGTGGAAACACACTTAAACAGTCACAGCTACACTTAGTTTAAAAATGTGAGGAAGCAAGGAGACTCAGAGGGAACCAGAGATCTGCAGTGTCAGAACAAGCTCTGAGAATCTAACGAAAATGTAAACATTAACAAAAAATGTCCAATATTTATAGCTATTTCACAGACTGCTAGTCTGAAACACACCAGACACACAGGACTATGATGAAACCTAGTAAAAGGATATCTTTAGGTGTGTGTTTGTTATACTGACTGTGTCACAGGTGAGGGGAGGGCAGCGTTCACTGAAACAGTGAACATCTCCAGACACACATGTACAGCTGGTGCACTCATCCACATCCCACTGTTCATTTGAGTGATATAAGGTTCCCTGGTACAAACACGACACCCCCGAGTCTACAAAACACAAACAAAAACACACAAACACAAAGCATGCAAATATATACCTTGATCATGCTTTATAATTCATGCTTTTTTCTACCGGCTTGTAGTGGTACCTTGGCATTCATGGCAGCATTTCCCTGGTTTCTTCACTTGTTTCTCGCCATTCAGACAAACAGTAGGTATACACTCCTCAATGCTGCACTCGATGTACCCCAGCTGACGAGGACACAAAAAGAAACAAACCCCAACATCTCTAAATGTCTGCTTTAAATCATTCACAAAAGTCATTTTTAAAAGCTTTTTTCATGTCATTTTCAGGGACTGGCAAAAAAGATTTAGATGTTATTTGTTCTATCAGAGTACTCTTGAAAAGTGTTACTATAATTTGTATCTTTGTAAGACTCACATTGCAGGTACATGTGACACAGTTGTCATCGCTGTCTGTCCATTTGCTGCCATTGGCCACACGTTTGTTCTGACCCTCGATCACACAATCTGTATGAAACACAAGAGTGCCATCATAATGTGTGTCGATGCATCACACATGATTTAAAAAGGCAGAGTAAACAGAGAGGAAGGTGTTATCTCACCTTTACACACAGGGCAGCATGAGTCTGGAGGGGTGAACTGCTCATTAAAAGGGCAGGTGAGCGGTGGGCAGTTCTGGTGCAAGCAGGTCCATGTCAGGTCCTGAATCATAGACGCAAAGATTGTCCCACTGTACTGCTTAGATTTGCTTAATTTGTTGTAATTTTATCAAGAACTTGCAAGATGTTGAGAAGTCAAACAGGACTGTACATGACTGATGCTTGTTATCATTTTAAGTCAACAAATTCTCAAAATCAAATGTTATACATGATTTTAGCCTCAATTTGCTCTGAAAATGTTATTGTCCTGTCAGTCTAAATGTCTTTCTTGGGTCAGAAAAGTCTTATCATTTAGAGGCGACATATCCTGAAATAAAAACAAATGTAGCAGCCGTACCTTGCAGTGGCAAGTAAAACAGGGATCATCGGTTGCCAACACCTCGTTGCCTATCAGTGCAGCGGTGCAGTTACTAAGAGGCTCTGAAAATACAAAAAGATGTCACACAGTAAGGAGAACATGTATTGCAGGGTGTATTACAAAATGTACTTTGGTACTGACGTGCACAGACAGGACAGCAGGAGTCAGGGCCAGAGAACAAGATGTTGCTTTTGGGACAGTCCACCAGACTTGGACACTGTTTTCTGTAACACCGCAAATGCTGGTCACCATCCGGCATCACCTGTGATGTGAATGTTGGGTCAGAAATATCTAATTGAAACCTCAATTCACAATAAAATAATCAACAGATTTACACACAATTTCAAGAGTTGATTAATCAATCCACAAGGTCAATCGTCCAACCTTTAAGAGAATAAATAAATAAATGGATTAAAAATAGCATATTTTTCTTGGCTGTATTATAAGCAGAAAGATTGATAAATAAAATAAACTACCTCACAAGTGCAGATCTGACAGGGGTCACCAGCTGGATGGAAACTGTCACCTGGTCCATAAATGCGTCCCTCAAATACACAATCTGTCAACAACAAACGGTGAAAAAATTTTAAGCACCCGAGAGCTTGAAAAAAGTTCTGACGTAAATAAAAACAGCTGCAGCGTTTTGAGGCCCAATTTTCTCACCAGCACACACGGGGCAGCACTCCCCGGGCACATCGATGAAGTTCATGCAGGGGGACAGACAGCGGACCTCAGAGCAGGTGGTCACCCCAGCCACACACATGCAGGTCATACAGGGGGTGGAGTCTGCAAACCAGCTGCTGCCTTCTGCATGCTCCTCTCCTCCATACATGCAACCTGAGGGCAAAGCATCGGGTCAGTGTAAGATCTGTTTCTTCTTGTGACTGTAATTCCCAGTAATGTGTTTACCTCTGCAGCGAGGACAGCATGCTCCTGGATCAGTCACCTGATGCATGCAGGGCAGTTTGGGACACTGGGGAGATGCACACCTAACCTCACCTGCCTGTAAGACACAGAAAGTTTACACACTCACACAGGAGGACAGCTGCAAATAAGAAAAAAAAAAGAAAGATAAAGGTAGAGGACCTGACCTGGCAAGTGCAGGTAGAGCAGGGATTTGAACTCAGAGTCCATGTCTGTCCATCATGAAACTCATGTCCATCAAGAGTACACACTGAGAGAAAAGGTAGACAAACATTTTAAAAATCAATCAGTTAGGTATCAGTAAAAACATGACAGCTGTGTATTAAAATGTAAACATATAGAGTCGAAGTACCTGAGCACTCAGGGCAGCACTGTCCTGGTTTGGTAACTGGCCGAAGGCAGGATGTCAGAGGGCAGACCAGAGGCACACATGTGACGGTTCCTCTGACACAGGAGCAACGTTGGCAGGGGTTGGAAGAGGGTGTGAACGTGCGACTGTGGGAGTGGACAACACCCTCATAGAAACAGGAGTCACAGGCGGGGCAGCAGGAATCTGAAGGGACTGGGTGCGAGCAGCTAACCGGACATGGTCTTCTCTGACAGTTCACAACTTCATTCTGACCAAAGAAATGAGTGAAGGCAAAAAAAGGGGATTTAATTATTCAGGTGATTTTGACTGGAATTTCATACTCTTACATCCTTGTCAGACTTACCAGACAGGAGCAGGATGAGCACGGATCAGAGGGTGATGTGAAGGAAGAGCCCGCCTGATATTCCCTGCCTTGGTGAACACACATCCCTGTACAGACAGGACAACACTCTCCAGGAGGAGTCACTGGGCGCAAACAGGACACACTGGGACAAGACACGTGTGTGCACACCACGCCACCATTCTAAACACAGATCACACAGACGTACACAAAACGAGATTGCTAAATTTCCATTCTCAAGAGTCGCTTTCAAGTGGCTGATGGAGGATTAGGTGATTACTTGTTATTTCTAAACTTATATTTGACAGTGCTTGGAGCTTAAACAATGTTGTTAGACTGTCTTCTCATCTCATTCTTTGAACCCTCACTATTTCATATCAAACAAAAGCATTTGGCATATTCTGCTTATCATCTTCAACATCAGCAAAATACCCAATGCATAGGTGTGATTAAATCAAAGGTTTTACAAAATTAAAATCGATGTGTGAAACTACCAGACAGGAGCAGAGCTGGCAGTGGTCTGTCACATGTGGGAACCGTTCTCCGTTGAAACAACTCCTTCCATTGAAGCTGCAGCCGTCACACTCTCCACATCCACAGCCATCCAGCGCAGGGTGTGAGCATGATACAGCCGGACATCTGCGCTTAGCACATACGACTTTACCCCTCTGTGGAGACAGACAAAAATAATAAGATTATTGGCAGCAAGTTTGTAGCCCTGAACTTAATTTAGACCCTCCCCTTCTTACAGAGCATGTGCATTCTTGGCATCTATCGTTCCCATCTGGGATTGTCTGTCCGTCAACATAAGTCACACCTTGGAATTGACAACCTACACACAGAGAGAAATTCATTCATTAATTATGCTACTGCACACAACATTATAGTTTGTGAGCTGGTTACCTTCACAGACAGGGCAGCTGCAGGTGTCAGTGACAGGATGAGGACATACGGCTGCTGGACACAACTTCTTCCCGCATCTCACTGAGCCACTCTGTCAGAGATAAGCGTTACATGTTGTCCACCACACTGAGTAATGCAGGAATGTGGGTGTGTGAATATGTTTGTGCTCATGCTACCTTGCAGGTACATTCAGAGCAGAGGTTTCCTGAGTCAGGGATCGATTGTCCATTTATGAGGACTGCGTTGTTGTAGAAGCAGCCTGATTGATTAAAAAAAAGTTATTTTGTTATTGTGTAAGGAAGAGATGAACAAAGCAAAACTAAGAATATGAAAATTGACAAGTTTTAGATGTATTTGGCGTACGTTCACATTCTCCACAGCATTGTCCGGGTGGTTTATAGGGATGTTTGCAGTCTCCATAACAGGGTATCTTTGTGCAGACAACCTCCCCTCCATAGCAGTAACACACACTACAGGGGTCTTTGTCGTCACCAAACTCAGTGCCATCAGGATATTCTTTACCATGAAATGTGCAGCCTGTAAGCAGAAAAGTTTTGTTATAGTCTTTTGGAAAATGAGAACTGAGAAAACTGAGAAAAGATCTGGGGTCTCATTTAAAAACATTATATGCACACAAATTGGGCTCTGAAAGTGCTGGTTACCATTTCCCATGAAGTTTTTGCAAAAGTTTGGAGGCAGGGGAAATTGGCATTACATGTCAATTGAAAAAATGTGGGCATATAAAAGATGGAATATGAGGCTAAACCATGTGTGCATGATTTTTAAAGGAAACACTGCACACTTTTAGAATGAATTCTACACATTGTTTTCCAAATGAGACCCTTGTTTACCCACGTAATGGATCAAGCACTATATTTCTGCGTCGTGTCTTCAGTCACTCACCATCACAGGTCGTACAACACTGTCTCTGGATAGGATGTTTGCAGTTTGCTGGTGGACAGCGCTTCCTCTCACATCGCACAGAGCCTTCACGACAAGCACATGTTGCACATGGGTCTGATGGGTCATCCCATGTCTCTCCGTTAGCTCGCTCCCGACCATTATAGAGGCAACCTGCAAAAGGAAATGAGATGCAATGAAAACTTTGTCAGACTTTAGAAAAAGTGCAGTTTTATTTGTGGTTTTGACTTGAATTTCAGAGTTTTTTTGCCTTCAACTACCAATGCAAAAATGTTGTCATCCTAAATTAACAGTTATCATGCAGACACATTACCTTCACATGTACGGCAGCACTCCTGTGTAATGGGATGAGAACATGCAGCAAAGGCACAGGGCTTGCGTTGACAATGAACACTCCCATCGGTGCAGGCACATAATCGGCAGCTGTCAGTTGGGTGATAAAAACGCTCAGTGTGTCTGTAGGGTCGTTGTTCATACACACAGTCAGATGGAGGAGCTGAAGGGAAATCAATGAAGAAGATACCTCTGTTAAATCTCCTCATTATCCATGCTGATCTCTTGGATGAGTTCAAAAATTAATATCATGTCAACCACAGAAGGAGTTCCTGTCAGTGCCAAACATCTTTTTATAGTTTTATCTTGTGCTTCTGTTTAGCTTTCTGGAGATCAAATAAGTAGAAAATTATGTTGGTTAGTCGCCTTCATTTGTAAACAAATTCAAACTACCAGTGACAAACACAGGCTAAAAGGGCTTGTGAGCTGCATTGGCAAGAAAAACTTTCCTTTTAACAAGCAGAGACCTCAAGCAGAACATCATGTTATGCAACCATCTGCTGTGTCTGCTTTGGGCTCAGAACGAGGGAGGGAAGGAAGCAGCATCATTAAAAGTTTTGGTTGTCACTGGATTAAACAGAGACTGCAAAAATACTTAAACACCATGTTTCTACTTTTGAAGTTTTATATTCGCGAGGACTCTGAGGCAAAGACAACTTCTGAAAGAGGCAATCGGGTTAGATAAGTATCACAATAAATGCTGCAGCTCTAAATGCTGATCTTGTAATGTGCCCCTTAGTTATAGAGGGATTATCAGGAACACTTCAAAACACAGCTGCAATCATGCTATGGGACAATTTAAGAGCTGTCTCCACCCTTTATCTCTGTCACTCCTACCTGGACACTGAGGGCAGCAGTCTCTTGGCAGCACATTTGGGTTCGAACAAGGCAGTGGAGGGCACCTCTTCATTAGACACTGAACATTGCCATTCTGAAAAAAGAAACACGTCATTAATTAAGAGAAGAACCTGCTTCCAGAAGCTCACGGATACCAGCTCTGGGGTTCAAGAGGGATATAACATTAGTCTCACCGTGCAGCTGCAGGTCCGGCATGGGTCAGTAGGATGTGGAAACTCGTGTCCATTAGGATACTCCTTTCCAGCATAACTGCAGCCTAACAGAGAAAGACACTGTGATATTGACATATTGATTATATTTAAAGATAGAAAACTCATAATTCCTTACCGTTGCAGTTGTTCTGGCAGCATGTTCCAGGTAGAGGTGCGTTACAGCGAGGATGAGGACACCGTGTTTGGTGACAGTTGATCCTGCCGCTCTCACACTTACACTCTTCACACACACTCACAGGGTTCGGAAAAGCCTCTCCGTCCACAAAGACATGGTTTTCAATTGAGCAGTCTGAAAAAGATGCAAAAATACATGTTAGACTAAGATGACTTTTAATAAGGCAGGTTAATAAAAACAGCGCTAATTCATTCATTGAATATCTATTCTGGTTTTGGGTACCTGGACATTTGGGGCAGCACTCTTCGGGTGGTGTGTATGAGTTGGAGCAGTTGAGAGGAGGGCAGGGTCTTCTCGCACACTCCACACTACCATGCTGAGGAAAAGGGACGCTATATCTGCATCATTTTTGAATTTTAGGGGGTACTTTTTTTAACCTTTATTAGATAAAACGGCTGAAGAGAGAGAGGAAATATCAGAGGCAAAGAGTCAGAAAAGACATTTGGCAAATGGCCTTAGCTGGGAGTCGAACGGCGACGAAGACTACTGAGGCTGCTGGGCCAGCCAGCACCTCATATCTACATGATGTTAGGCCAACAGCTCTGTTAAGTGTGCAAATCAAAGGTGACATGCTTACCTGACAGGTGCAGATGTGGCAGGACTGGTCAGGACTTGTAAACCTCTGTCCGTTGCTATAGATACGGTGGTTATAAGTGCAGCTTTCACACACAGCACAGCAGGAGCCTAAGGGGAGAAATGAGACAGTGAGTGACAGGGTACACATTTACATGTGTTCAGAAAGAGCTCACACACTTACCGGGCAACTTGGTGGGATGCAGGCACTCTGTGGGGGGGCACTGAGTGTGTGTACATACAGTCTCCCCATTCACACAGCTGCATCTGGAGCAGGGACCCTCAGGTTGCCAGTTTGAGCCTTCCTCATATTCCACTCCCTCCAAAACACAAACTACAGTGAAAAAAAGGAGTTGTCATACTTTTTTATAAGCCGTGTGAGTACATGTGCGTTTATTTTTGTATCATGGTTTCCTGTTGTAATGTGTCATATTGCCTTTGCAAATTGGACAACAGAGGTGTGGGTCATTAATGGGATTGGAGCATTGAACAGGTGGGCACTTCTCTTCTCTGCAAATAACACTTCCACCCTATGACAAAAAACAGACATTAGAAATCAGAAAACTGAATATGTTTCGGACAAAATCTCACTCTCAGCGTAACCACTTCCCTTACCTTACACCTGCACTGCAAGCAGGGTCCACTCCCGGCTGGGTTGAACACTTTCCCATCAGCATACACTCGCCTGTCATACTCACAGTCTGAGGGAACAAAACGAACTCTCAGTATGTTGTTTGGGAGACAAGAGTAAAACAAAATAGCAGAGACGGTATGCTAATGGGCAAAAACTATTTCACAAAGAGTTGGTGGGAACTCTATATAGACTAACCGTCACATGTGGGACAACACTCTCCTTTGCGTCTTGCTGGGTGGCTGCAGTGTGGTTCAGGACATGATGAATCAAAACGCTCACAAGACACTTCGCCTGCCTTACAGGTAGATGAACAGTTAGCGACTGGTATTGTGACTTTGATTTGAGAAATGTGATAAATATTTTTTACAGTTCATTTTTGGGGCATTTTAGTTAGTTTTGTAGCCATCAACATTTCTACTTATCCATATGGGAAGGACTGGTTATCAGTAAATTTTACATCTTACTGATTTTACAAATTTTAAATCTGGAATCTCACCACTAGATGTCTCCAAATTTAACAAACATGTCCTTTTTTCCCTCTTTTCTAATTAAATGAACTTTTTTTTGAAAGTGCTTTATGCTTTGATAGGTTTTCTGTCTATCACTGAGTAATAAAATCTTGACAAAACATCTTGAGTCACATTATCAGTTCAGACGCACACAACTGGGAAAATAATGCCTGACTGAACTCACAGAGCAGCGGCAGTGGAGGCAGGGGTCAGACCTGGAGGGGAACTTCTGTCCGTCAACATATACCTTTGACTCATATTTACACTGCTCACACCTATAGACAACACAAAAACTTAAAAATTAGTAAAAATCAGATTTCTACTTTCACCTTTCATCTTACACATATGCCTCCTGCACCGTCAAAATGTTCAATCAATAAAAAGTATTAATCACTGACGGGAAGGTGAAGTAGGTGGGTTACCTTGGGCAACAGTCTCCAGCACGATGCACAGGGTTTCGACATGATAAAGCAGGACAAGGAAGGGGTGAACAAGCCACGTCTCCATTCTATAAGAAAAACAACTTCTAAAGATAAAACCTTAAAACAAAAACATCGTACAATATTTACAGTTATGATAAGGGCATACCACACATGTACACTCTTGGCAACGGTCTCTGGTAGGCATCACGGCTCCATTAGGGAAGTCATGTCCATTCACACCACACCCTGCAAATGGAAAAAGCGTCTCCGCATGTCATCAAACACCCATGTGTTTTTCAGCTGAATCAGTCCTTCACAAACCTTGACAAACTGGACAGCATGTGTTGGGTGGAGGAGCAGCTGGGTTTTTACATGGCGTATTACAGCGCTCCCTCTCACACTGAACTTGACCCTCCTGTGTGAATAAAGAGAAATGTCAATGACGATGAAGGTGAAGGTGATGAGTTGTTAAATTGCCAGAACTAGACCCACCGAACAGTAGCAGACATCACATGGATTCTCTGTCGGCCTCCACTGGGCTCCATGTTCATACTGGACACCAGAATAGACACAGCCTGCAAACACATTTTACATCTAGTCGCTGTGTGGCTTTGATGCCACTAGCTGTTGGGTGGATTTTTGTTGGTTAGACAGCCGGACAGACATAAAAGCAAAATGTCTTGTTTTTTTAATGAATAAATAAGGAACAACAATTTTACCCTTTAATTTAGGAAAAACTGCATCCCATGATGGAGAATTAGTTTCTGGTAAGTATTAACACACTCTCCTAATTAAAGACTGAATACCAACCATTTGATTTACAGTTTTGTTTATGATATCAACACAGTTTCAAACCAACAGAACTTGAATTTGTCCTTGAACTAATGATTTATGAAGATTTTTGCAAATTGAATATTGTTTTACAAAACTAAATCACAGTATATTGTTTAATTTGAAGGGGCCTGTAATTTTTTTAATGGCTGTCAAGTTTTGTGCATAACGTCAGAGAAAGCTTACTCAGGCAAGACCTTGCATGCATCTCTTGTGTCCTTACCTCTGCATCGCTGGCAGCAGTCTCCAGGTTCGTTCTCCTTATGCTTGCAGTCCAGTACAGGGCAAGGGAGAGGAGAGCATTCCCTGTTACCCCCCTGATGGAAAGGACGAAATTCAGAGGAGGGATAGATTCTGAGCAGAGGGGGACTATCAATCATTTAGGCTTGACTTATACAGTATGTTTGGACTGATTTGGACTCACCTTGCATGTACATGTCTCACAGCCATCAAGGATGCTGTGGGACACATTATGAACTGTACCATCTGGCCCACACTCTAAAATCAAACAGAGGTAATACATAAGATAAAGATCAAACAAACTTTTCGATTGAGGTTGTGATTTGATATCCAAAGTGTTTGAGAACTTTGGAGAGGAAACTGATGACTATGAAAAGATGAATGCAGAAATAAACTTGAACATCACAGCTGGTGTCTCTCAGTGCAGGTTTTCTTCACCTTTTCTACGGTCTAGGTCACTGGGGGAACATCTGGTTCTGCTCTCTTTCCAGTAATGACAGAACAGTATGGTTCTGATGTTGTATACACATGCTTACTCTCTCACACACAATGTTTTATGGACCGTAACTGTAACCACAAGTGCCTGCAGCCCTTAAGCAATTGAAGACAGCAACTGGCAAGTCTGTTAACATTGAATGAGATTTATTATAGGAGAAACGGGGTGAAATCTGGACGGGGAATCGGTTTTCTGGAGGATTCCCTGCAAAACATCTGGCATCATCACTACTACAACTTAATTATGTGTCTGTTTCGACGACTACGACTACTGTAAATGACAAAGAAAGGACCTAATGCTGAAAAGCAACATCAAATTTATTTTTCATCAAAGGCTATCAAATATCAAAGATTATTTCTGCTGTGTCTGGACATTTCAGCAGCTAATTATTTTAATGATGACCCTCCAAAGAACGGAGACGATATGTTTGTGGGAGAGACAAGGCGATAATCACACATTATGAGAGAGGCTAGTGAGGTAGCCCACTGTGCCAGCAGCCAACAGGCATTTCCTCCAGTAAGCCAAGCATGCATGAGATCAAAGTGTGTGTGTGTTTAGGGGTCTGAGTGTGTTTTATCTAAAGTACTCTGGACAGCATACAGAAACAATTAAGAGAAAGATAGAGAAAAAAAGGAAAGGACAATGACAGAGAGAGCAGTCAAGAGGGGTGAGAGGGGTCAGGGGCTGGTTGTTTGCACATGATGGGAAAAAAAATGCAGAGGAGAGAGCAAAGTTTTCATAACTCTGTGGGAGAGGGGGAGCCATCCGGAGAAAGAGATGATGACATTTAAGATGGAGCTCTTAAAAAGGCAAGTCTGTCCCTTGACTTTATTAAAAGATGTGGATAAAGACTCTCCGTCTGTGAAGTCAAAGTTAAATGTCCAGCAGGGGGCATTTCCTCCAGTTACAAAATGTAACCCTGAATCATCTTCAGTACAGAATGATGTTCATGTTGTAAATTAATGTTCCCCTTTGAGAAAACTCTACCATAAGGCCAGCTTTTTGCCAAGGGCTGTTGCGGCTCCTCGGTAGAATTGACTGCCTCTCAATCAGAAGGATTCCAGGATTTGTTTTCCACTAGCCGGAGTGTCTTTGGGCATGATGCTTAACCCCCAAACTACCCTGAATGGAAGTGCCAGTGGTGTGTGAATGGGATTAGTTTAAACTGATGGGAGCTTTGCATAGCTACTAATCTACCATGTGAGATTTAATGTCACATGGTAGCGGCCGGGTAAGAGGACTAAAGATAGTGCTATAAAAATACAGACCATTTTGCTTCACTGGCTACATTGTGAATCAGGACAACATCACATTCAAACATCCAAACATAGTCACTTTGAGCCAATGTCTCCATGACCACTGGAGACAGTATCAGTCATTTCATCAAGTCCTTTCTATTCCACTGACTTCCCAGATATGACGAAAGTACAGCAGTCCCAGCTGACTTTCCAGTCTTTTATCACTGCTGGGAAAAGTTGTGAAAAGTATGTTGTTCCTCTATTTTCACTGGCGATCAGCCAATCATGGCATATCACACTCACTCTGTGAAACAGGAAATAGAGCTGGGCACACGGTAAACCGCCTCTGGATACTTACGGCAGCTGGCCTGATGGTTAAGAGTAGGACAGGTGTTGGGTGCAGAGCCAAGGAGACAGCCTCTGAGGGATGGCTCATGTTGGCATCAGGGCAAAGAGATCATTACTTATTTTTCCTGCTGTCATCACCTGGGGTTGTGCATGGTTAATCAGCTGTTGTCACACTCTCTTTTCAGCCCATCACCTTCTGCTGTTTGAATGTGGTTATGTCTCTCTGTCGTCCTTTATACTGACGATGTATGTGCCTGATCTTTGCAGAATCACCAGTCTTGTGTCCGGACTCCATAGGGGATTTTAACGCTACAGATCAGACACCCTTCAGTATCATAATCTTTCCGTACTGTCAATATGCCAAAGACCTTCTGTCAAGTCTTATTACCTTTATATTTGTCATAATAATTAACCTTTCATTTATTTACTTGTCTTTCCTGATTAAATTGCTGCTACCTGTGATCTGGGGTGATAGGAAGCCATACAGTGCTCAATACAGTGCTGAGGATTCCACGGGACACCATTCAGAGTCCTGCTTTTGACAGATTAAAAAAAAGTCATCCAGTGATGGGCAGCCAGCAGCTGCACCTCTTCACAATGTTCCTCTGGATTGGAAACATACCAGCATACCAAACCTTCAAGCTCACAAAGATGCCAATAGCCAAAGCTATTTGTAGTTGTTTTGAGAAATGCACTCATTCACATCGCCCAGAATAAGAGGGCATGATTGATACCTGCATGCTTAAGTCTTAGTTACAGCAAACAAAAGAAACAGCTAGCCTCAACCAATTCAAAGGGTGGAAAAATTAACCTTTCAACACAAATGAAATTAGTATTTCTCTACCTGAAATGTGCCAAAGTATGGTACAAAAAAGACACCATACTATTGTACAGAAAAAAGAAACTACCTGCTGGGTAACAAAACATACAATAAGGAAATCTTCACAATTAATAAAGGGAAAATCCGCTGTAGATTTAACTGGTAGAATCACTGTATGTATGAGTATGATGCAAACAATGTTCTCAATTTTAGTTAAGCAGGTCAAGAGGCTAATAAATGCTAAATATTCAAGACAAAGATCTGCTGAAGCTGATAGTTACTTCATTGGTTAGGTTTAAAAAGTTTGACTCAGTGAGATATGAGACTACCCATGAAGAGCATGAAGTTTCATAAGACCAGTTGAGTGTGTTAGTGTTAGTTCAAGTGTTTACAAGCATGCAGTGAAATGACATTGTGTTTTTGTATTTGTGTGGAATACAGAGAAAGAAAATGGTAAAACAAAGAAAACTACAAGAAGCTGAGCTGAAGTTACCTTTGATGTTAGCTTGGCAGGTGATCTTTCCGGATTTGCATGTACACACAGTGTTGATATCTGTCTGCCAGCTCCGTCCATCTTCAACGTCATGTCCCTCCCACACACACTGGTGCCTCACACACTCACATCCCTCCAGGTACTGCACACGAGACACTAGATCTGCATTCTGCAGAAAGCATTACTCAAAATCATGAAAAAGAAAAAAAGACTGATGCATGTATTTTCAATGACATACTGCACAAACCTGAGTTTTAACCATGTCCAACATGAGAGCCAGCTCTTCAAGCCTCCTCTCCAGCTTCCTCAACCTGTCATCTTTCTGTGCCTGAGAAACAGACTTTAGCCCTTGAGGAGATCCTGGGGGCCCCAGCATTGCACCTCTCTGCAGCTGGTCACTCTGGATGTTATGTGGATAATGGTGGGCTTGGACTGCTGACCTGTGGCTTACTTGATGTTTACTGAGAGCTGAATCCTGCTGGGTTTTTGGACTGCTGTCAGTCTGTGAATCTGAGCTATCAGTGTGCATGTACTGAGACAGAGGTAGAGCATCTGTAAGGAGAAAGCGGCAGTTGGTGAGAGAAGCCATTCCTGAATAATTCTTGAATGGATGTAAGAACAAATTTGGAGCTTGAACAAACATCCTGGGAAGTCAAATTAAGACCAACGCTGAGGAAAAGACAAACAAACTGTTTGAGGGAATTTCTGCCTGAGGGACAGAAGATATGATCTGATACACACCAACCAAAGGGGTCCTGCAACTGGGTTAAATCCTGAGATTAGACAAAGTAGGATAGCCTACTAAACATAGCCAGAGAATGAGATTTGTCTTTTCTTGAACATTTTGAATAACCTTTTCAAACAAGTTTACTTATAACTGACCAAAATTTACATTATGCCTCCTGGAGCAGGAAAACTTGAATTATCAAATCAAATATTTGTTTGAAAAGAGTTTTATCATGTCCTCTTCTTTTCACGACAATGTCTCAAAATGTTTATCAATTTCGTGATCAAGTTTTTAGCTCAATACTATCTTTCACTTTTAACTTTGAATGGATAGAAAATCAAAACTCTTTATTCATACAAAGGCAGCATTTCTTTACCTGTAACATTATCACAGAGCCATGGACGCTTGGTATAGGCTCTCACTGAAATCTCTGCCATCTTTAAATACCCCTGCAGAAACAAGTATGAAAACTTTAACAATACTCAAACTCAACAATAATTGAAATAATAACAAAGCTAAAACAGAAAATAATGTGATCTGTTTTAATTTCAGCAGAAGTGTAGTTTTATGATGTGCATACAATAAACTCACGCTAAATTTACTGTCCTTCCTTCCTGGTGTGCTGGCAAGAGTGACAACAACATCTTGAGGCAGAGTAAGGTTGAGTTTTTCAGCGCCTTTTAGCGGCAGGATCACAGCTTCCTGACAGTCAACAAAAAATGTTAGCTTGTCAGTCTCCACACTCACAGCCAGCTGTACCCACGCATCTCTTGAGAAGGGGTTCCTCCCTGGGAATTGAGAGCTGGCGAGGCTTTTAGCACCTTCTCCTGTCTGGTAATCCAGACGTAGAGATTTATTTTGGTTGGAGGAGAGGATTTGGAGAATCGGTGAAGACGCAGAGGAGATAGAAAAAAGAGTTGCACTCGAGCCTGATGCCTGGTGCATCACCAAATGCACCCCCATGCTGCTCTGAATGTTGGAGTAGAGTAACTGAGAGTATTCAGGTGACAGTGTCAGGTGAGGGGCTCTGGAACGTAATCTGTACACCGCACCGCTGGGACTCTGCAGCTTGGACACTCCACTTATGTGGTGGGACATGTTCAAAGCCAGAAGTAGGTCAATCACTGTGAAAGAGACAAGGCAGAGACAAAACAAAGTCACACTTATTACACTTTTTTTTCACCCGTACTGCTTGTGGTCCTGTTCTCTCTGGTGGAGGGTGATTCTGGGGTTTCTGGGCTGTGATGAGAGGGAAGCTATTCATCTGTTGGTTACACATGGCTTCCCAGACTAACCTCAGACACAACAGACCAGATCTGAACAATACAAGAAAGGATCTGTCTTCATCTCTGCGCACTAGATCCAGAGATGGTTCTTTATTGTGTGATCTCTGTCCTTTTATGTTTTTTACGGTCCTTTTATCACTTCTATTTCTTTTATGCTTTTGTGTTTTTATTTCATTTATTCTATGTCATTTAAAATGTTTTTTACCTGCTTTTATTTATTTCCTCTTTATATTTTCTGTAGTGTTTGTTCTTTTATTTTTACTGTGCAGCACTTTGGTAAACTTGAATGTGCTATATAAGTAAAGGGGACTGGATTGGATTGGATATTGTTAGAAATGACTGTAGCTCTGTAAATTAAGAATATAATTAGTACTGGGTTATTGCAGGTCTACTGTCCATAGAGGAAAATATTTACATTCACAAACTTCCCCTAAAAGCTGTTTTTAAATATATCAACATTTTGTTTAAAGCCTATTTTAGACACAAACTTGCAAGAGACACGTTCACTCTGGCTTATTCAGCATACTATCACAATGTGCTTAGCTTTAAACCCACATTCTGTGTTTAGTTCCCATATAGAGCATTGAAAATTAGTAAAATAACCAGAGAAAAAATAGAAATTACCGCTCTCTTGGTTTGGACCAGTTTGACCCTGCACAGGCAGCGCGAGCACCCACAGCAAATGTATCTCCAGCAGCACGAGCGTCCTGAGTTTGCCACTCTCCATTCTCCCCCACAAAAAAATGGAAAGCCGAGATTACAATCCGAACTTTCTACTCAAAAAAAGCATGCTGTTAGTCGTTCTTTGACCTTTTACGGAGACATGAACCTTGGACAAGACTTTTCTTTCTCCCCGCGAGGAGACTTCCCCAAAGAGCGCGCGGGGGAAACACGAAACATCTGGATGCAGGCAGGGCGTCACTTCACTGCTGTCAGGGGCGCGCGCGGGCACGCAAACACACACTCATAGGGCTATCTATCTCTTCGACACCCCTCTCCGCTTTAAAAAAAGAGGCTGTTATCTGATGTTTATTGATTTTCTTTCTTAAAACAGCCTTGCTATCTGGTATTTATGATGAACAAGAGTGGAAAAATACACTAGTAAGGAAACTCAGGTGTGTAGTGCGTCTAAGGTCACCCTTATCTCTGTCTTTGTCCCGTTTCTACCTCTTTCCCCCTCTTATTTTGTCAGTGGAGAAAAACTGCTCCGCTCAGCATGCTCATAGTTGTTGATTTCCAAAGACCACCGTCTTGGGTAATGAGCGAAAACCTGGTATGGAGACTGGAGAGGAGCCATGTAAGAGCCCCGAGTTTGTGTGTGTGTGTGTGTGTGTGTGTGTGTGTGTGTGTGTGTGTGTGTGTGTGTGTGTGTGTGTGTGTGTGTGTGTGTGTGTGTGTGTGTGTGTGTGTACACAGGGATGGGGGATATACAAGTAGTCATGTTTCACTGCTGTAAGAAAAAAAAAAGTTCCAGTGTCGTGTCCCACTGGGTTCAACCCCACCTCCCATCTGTCGCCCCAGCTCTGGCTTTTCCTTCATGCTGTTGTTCTCCACATCTCTGCTCTGTTTATTATCTCAGAGACTTCTTTTACTCAGACAATCTCATAGGATACAGCTATGAGAGTTTCTTGATAGACAAAGACATATGTCTTTGTTCTGTTGAAGTGATGAGAGGAGTTTGTTAATGGTTGTACCAGACTGGAGTTCCCCCCATATCTACTTAAGTAGAATTTAGATCTAGGCTTTTAGCAGAACAATAAACCTGAGTCAGACTGAGATATTACCAGGATCTTACCCCATACCTGACAAAACCTCAGCTGTGACTCATAAAGGTTGCTCTAAAGTAATTGCAATTAAAGATTTACTGCAGTTTTTTCAACACAAACTCATCGACTCTCTGGCACTTCGGGGCCAAGGGGTTGTTAGAAGACAGCAGGACGTTTTGCTCTAGTGTTCAAAGTGGATTTTAAAGCTCTGGGAAGTTGATAATTTGCCTAAACTGTATCCTGTTCCGAAACACCTCCCCAAGGAATACCAGCAGGAACAAATTTTGCTCTCACACCCATTCACCTTCTGGGCCTTTTATGTAAGAAGATGAAGATTTGCGTTACACCCAGCCCACTGTGGGTCAATGTGCAGGACGATTTCATCAACTTAGAATAAGACTGAGAGGCTGCAGCTTTATAAACAGCTCTGTATGACTGCTGGAAAATCAATGCTTTAAGCTCAGTGCTAACATTGACACACTAACCTGCTCAAACAGATAATGCTGGTCACATTTACCATGAGCACATGCTTGTCTGCAAGCATCTAACATGAGTTGATCTAATAATTGAACACTGTAGTCATGAATACCAGTGCCAATGCCTAATAGAATTTGCCTCATCCATTAAATATTTAATCTTTAAAACGTGGCATATATTTCACATATGTAGTACAAGAGATAAAAAAATAGCATATACAAAAAAAATACATAAAGAGAAGTAAAAAATAGTGGTAACCTTGAACTCGACTTGAATCAGCAGTTTTTGCTATATGATGTTCTCATAGTTTATCAGTTCAACATAAAGATGATGCCAAAACAAGAAAAAAAATCGAAAGAGATATTTGAATATTAAAGTTTTTTACTCCTAGCTTTAAAAAAACATTCCACACATCTTCATTTATTAAACCTCATCTCTGCTGACATCCAGTGGTCATATCTTAGCATAGCATATACAATCAACAAGTCCACTCTTGTTGACAAAAGCCTACAATGACAAATTAGTTCTTTATTTTCTGAACACCACTCTGAATTATGCTAAAAACATCTCTAGAAAAATCATGACTCTGGCTGTGTGTTGTTCAAACTTTTCCCTGAGGCAAACTGAAGTCTCCAAACACTCCTACTCCCCCCTGCACTTCTCTGACAATGGAAACCACTCACATACCTTTGCTAACCAAAACATTTCTTGTGTAGTCAGATAGCAGCTTTCATCACAGGAGCCCAGGAGACATCTGAAGACACACACCTGCAATTGTGTCTCTGTGTGTTTATGTGTGGCTATACATGCTGGGGCATGTGTGAAAAAGGATGCAGGTTAATCTTGAGAAGGTGTACAGCCATGTTTAATTGCTAATCCCATGTCAGGACCCATTAAGGAATGAACAAATCCAAGGAGCAGACTGGGTAATACAATTACGATAAGTTTTTTGGCGAGTTCTGACTGATACACCTGAGTGAAATATATTGTCTATATGTGAATATTTAGAGTCTCATACTGTATTAACTTAATAACACACAAAAATCTTTATCTTCTTCCAAACAGGAATCACAGTTTGAACAAGAGTCAACTTGTCATATTGACTGTTGAGCTTTGATTGCATGGCAAAGTGTTTATGAAGACCAGATTTCTTAGTGCCAGACAAATCTCTTAAATTCACTTGGCCTCCTTACCTCACTGACAATCCTATCTGATTGGCTAAATCTTTCTGTGACCAGGTAAGCCCCGCCCTCAGGCTTTAGCCTCAGAACTGACGTTTATCCCAGGATACACACCATAAGCTGTTGTCTGCTTGTTAATATATGTAAGCAGGGGTCAGTGTGTATGCTAGTGTGCGTATGTATGTCGGTATGTATATATGAGTATGTGTGGGGTCTATTGTTGTCACAGTGTTTTTGCTCTAAAGCCATTGTCGGTCTTTCTAAGTGGCATTTAGAGGCTTTATAGGACTTTGGGAATCAGAGATGTTACTGCCATTACCAGCCAGGATGATATGGAATCTGACAGACGAGCGGCAGAGGATTTGACAACAACAGGTCAGTCTGTTAGACAGCAGATTGGTTGTTTGTTTTTGTATCCATGACTGCTTAATGTGTGAGAAAACTTTACCTCTTATTTTTTGCTGTAAAGTCATAGTTTAAGGAAAGAGTTTTGCTTGTCTATTAAGGTTTTTTCAACCCCATCCACGTTTGGTTGCTCATGTTGAATTTAACATCTAAGAATACAGTGTTGCAGTAAGATTACAACACCCCGGCCAATGTGTTTTTAGCACCTAAAGATTAGCAGTCTTAAGTTAGAATGCTACCTTTCCCAAAGAGATTGGCAGGCAAGGCAAAGACAGAAAATTCACGCCAGAGAAACCCAGTAAGAAGGACAACATGTCTGCTATTTCGTTTGCTGTCTCAGACTGGAGAAAGCCAGGCAGAAACCCACTTAAGAGGGATTTGGTGGAATTACCTGACAGGTCAGAGAGTGTGTGTTTGACTTTTTATACGTTGGAAGAGGGTCTTAACCGTGTGGTGACTCTTAAGACGTGTTGGCATCAGGGCACAGAGTAAAGCTGAGTCCAGACCACACATCCATACTGTTTAGGGAAGAGGATGACTGTGTTTAATTACCTCTGGTTGTTTTCTGTCTCCTCACTTAGATAGATCTGGTTCCTTAGGTCTGACTGAGCCCAGGAATGGCCGTCATTCAACTGAAATGGGATTTGTTACAGGCCAAAGCTTTAGTCTGCGCACTGCAGTTGTTCCTGTGTCTGGGCAAATCAACAGGTACAGACACATCATAAACTCTATGTTCACACCAGAGAGCAGCTTTTGGCCAGAATAAATGCATATCTTGTACCCTGAATAATAAGTGTTGTCTTACAGGAATGTCAGGATGGGGTGGATGTTTAGATGGTCAGGATGTATTCGCCTCAGTCAGAGAGAACAGCCATTGGGGAGAGGTTGTCACCGAGCTCATGGCTGACACCAGGATGGAGGGGGTTCACTGGAGGCTGGACGGAAAGGATGCTGATTGGTTCTTCTTGGACGAAAGATATATCCGGCTCAACACATCAGCTGACAAGATCTTGGACAGGGAGGTAAAGAGACAACTGAAACACTGACCTGTGTGTCGGCCCTTTCCAATTATCAGGGCTTTGAATACAATGCAAGGATTACGGATTGAAATCCCATTATGTTGAGTTCGGGCGAATGCTTGTGATTATGTGGGGGTGCACTGAAGAAGTCAAGTCCAAGTTTAGGACACACTATCAGAGACTCAACCACTGCAACCTGTTCTTGGACTGGACACAATCTCTCTCTCCCTCATCTTCTCCCCCTGCCAGCTGTCTTTCATCGCGGCAGCTGTTCCAGGGTCAACAAGATTAGCAATCTCTCTCTCTCTCTCTGTCTGTCTCTAGGTCCCTCTACCTCTGTAACCCAGTCTTTGATAATACCCGGACTTAAAATTATTTATTTATCTTAAAAGTTGACATACTACAGTTTTGGTTGCATACTAGGGTGTTGCAAAAAGGGTTTGCATTGCAGGACATTTTGCTTTGTTTCATTCATACTGTATCTAAAATGCACCTAGAAACAATGAAGGGATTTAACCCAGTCTCTTTGTGCCTCACTTGTACAGTACTTAACTCTCAAGTAAGCTAGTTAAACATGCCCTCATTCACTTTGTGCCATGCCTTTAAAGTATGACTCTCTGCTTGGCATAATATTAGGTTTTCTACCCCACTTGCTTTTAATGTGGAACCCGGCATTAAAAGGTCATTGTTCTTTATCAAACCTTCGACAGGAGCCTGTAAACAAAAAATACTTAGATATCACGAGTAACACTGTAAACAAACTTTTTCATGTCATACAGATTAGAGTTTTATTTCTGCCTCTTTTTACCGAATGTGTTTGTGTCTCTGTTGTCCAATCTCACAGGTCCAGGGTCCTTTTTTGACAGCTGAGTTGTCATGTTATGAGGAGGAAATATTCCAGGTACATGTCATCTCCTCATCTTATAACTCTCTAATGTGTTATTTTGAATTCAAATCATTTCATGTGTGTGTCTTTTTATTGCTGCTGCTCTAGAGCGTGTACAGAATCATGGTGGAGGTTCTCAATGAGAACGATAATGCCCCTATATTTAAAGCAAACACCGTCCGCTCTCTTACTGTCAGTGAGGTAAGAAACAGCCAGGAACACATGCACACAAACCTTTATATGAATACTCAAAATGCATAAAATTACGTTTCCAAAGTGTTTCTCTATCTGTGTGTTTTACAGCTGTCTCCGGTGGACTCTGTGGTCTTTACGGTTCTGGCGACGGACGCAGATAATGACAAGATCTTTTACACCATTGACCAGACATCAGTGAGTTTCACTAATTTAATCTGAACACAAATAAAGAGTCAAAAACAAAACCATGCAAAATGTGCTTGTGTTTATGTTACAGCCTGATGCGGATTACTTCAAGATCATCCTCCCTAATAGTGGAGAGGTGGTCCTCTCAAAACCTCTAGACTATGAGACCAAAACTTCGCTCAGTGTCACCATCCACGCCTCGGTAAGCCAAGTACGACAATTTCTTTTGAATTGTACCCAGACATGATCATTTCTAAATTTTCAACTCTATACTTAAAATAATGTTTGACCTACCGCACATAATGTTCCTTGAAAACATCTTAACTCAGGAAATGACCACTGCTGAGCGTTTCAATACCAGCACCAACATCACTCTCTTCATTCTGGACGGGGATGACCAGTACCCACAGTTCCTGCCATGCATGCTTTTTCTCCAGAATGAAACCAACCGTATCTGTGGCAGTCCTGTCTATACTGTCAATGTCACAGAGGGGGAAGAGGTCAGTTGACAAACTACAATCAAATTACCAGTGTAAAACTGTTATATCTACATTTTTTGTCAATTCAATACCAACTGACTTTACTTATAAAAAAACAAAAAGTTTTGTTGAATGTCTGCAAAAGCTTGTACCTGTTTACACCTTCCAAAGCAAAAACCAGAGTGAAACTGTTGATGAGTTGTTCTCTTACAGAAAACTGAATTCACATGTACAGGACAAAATCAACAAAGAGATGAAAGAGACACATTTGTTCATACTGTCAAGAACAAAAAGTTCTTACTGGTGTTTAAGGGCCTGTGTCCACTGACAATGTTATTGGAAAGTGCAAAACGACCGCAATTTCAAAGTGCTTCTTTGACTTTCCACACTTTATGTTGCTGGGTTATAAAAATTGTCTCACAGCACTTCTACTCTACTTAGCAACCATAAAATCTGTTTCAATTTACTCTGCGAAAAGAACATTTCAACAAAGAGAGAGAGAGAAGAAAATAATTTCCAAGTACAGAGTTGCTGATATTACTGGGACCTGACTCTTTGCCAATGTACCAAATATTATGCATGCAATCAGGACTGCAGCATCTGTACATGTGGAGCCTGCTATACATCTGAGCTTAACTGGCACATAGTTGAAAATGGATTTCGGGAGCCCCACCCATTCTTGACTTTGAAATCAGAGCGTTAGTGGGCACAGGCCCTTAGGGTTGAAAACTAACACTTTATGGACAGCTTTGTGTTCATCATCCTACATTTCTGTCCTAAAATTAGAAATTTTTTGATGAATTTCCTTTGAGATCAACATGGGTCTGGTTTTTAATTACTTTTTGATGTTTTAGGACATTTTCCTCCAGTTCTCTCCTGGTCCTGTTCATGCAGTGGATGGAGACAGAGGACTTAACTCTCCAGTCAGCTATGCCATTGTCTCAGGTATAACACAAGCTGGGACAAGATGACAGGTGAAATGCAGTGTGGATATAATACCTCACCTTTTACTGTGTTTTTGTCTATACTAGGAGATGATGAGGGACGTTTCCTGATAAACACAGAGACAGGGGAAATGAGACTTGTTCATGGGGTGATGGACAGACTCGTAACTCCATTGGTGCACCTACAGGTCATGGTAAGACTCAAATACTCAATGTTAACAGCAGCTTTAAAATCTATCCTCTGTTTCTGTTAAATATTAATCTTCTTCTGTTTTGCACTCAGGCCTATCAGCGTGATGACCCCAGGAAGTATTCTGTGGCTACTGTGTTGATCCGATTCGTGGCTGTGAACCGGTTTCTTCCAGAGTTTGAAATGTCTGAATATCAAGGCTTTGTTGCAGGAGGAAGAAGTCCTGTTTCTCTTGTTAACACCTATGGCAGCAGAGCATTGATGTTACATGTTCAAGATCAAGATTTTAGCCATGTATGCACTTCACAAACACATGACATACACCCCAATGCTAATGTTATTGCATGTGATTGACACTGTTACCCATTACTTCCTTTTCCTCTGCAAATTGACAGGGTTTCAATCCCATGATCTACTACACCTTCAGTCCTACATCCAATCATACAGACATCTACAGAATCACGCAGGAGGGTCTTTTGATCGCCTGGACTGATCATCTTCAACCACAACAGAAGTATATACTAGAGGTGAGGCTTAGTGAAAACTAGATTCCTTTTGACATTTTAGCAATCTTGAATATTTTGTTCTCAATGAAAAGTCCACAAATGTTTTAAGGAAAAACACTAAAGATGAGAAACTGCGCACTTTGGAAATTTGACATTATGTCAGCTCAATTGTCTGGACAGTTTTCCTATTGGATGAAAACTTTTTTAAAGCTCCCGTGAGTTTTTTTTTAATTTTTTTTAACATGAATGAAATAGGCTGAAAATCATCTTGACGCCTTTCAATGATATACAAAATCAAACAGGGGACCAGACTGAAGATTTTAATATCCTCAACTGTAATGTCTGAAATTGGTGCAATGACGGTAGATTCAAGCCTTGCAGCTGTTTTTACAATTTCCACTAAAAATAGTCACAGTACATACTTAATTTTACAGTCAAAAGTCAGCAGGATGAGTTAACTTGTCATACATAACTACTCAAGAGAAGACTGCTTTGTCCACAAGGAGCGCCAAAATTGACACAAACCAAAAGTTTCTCAAAGGATCTTTAAATTTAAAACTAATGGTAATGGTACAATAAAAATTGCAATTATGTTTCAGGTCATGGCTATTGACCAGGAGTCAGGTGATGCCACTGTTGCCAATGTAAAGGTGAAGGTGTTAGCTGATGGACAACCAAGTAAGAGCATACATTCACATACTCACATTAACCAGGGATAAATGATGAGCCAGCAGATTGAATGAACATCTCTGTGTTTCTGTGTCTACCCCCCAGTCCCCTATGGTGCACTGGTTGACGAGCGTCTGACGGGCTGCACTGTGGGTAAAGCGCTGTTACTGAGCATGGCGTTTATGTCTGTGCTTGGAACTTTCCTGTATTTGGTGATATGGTTGAGAAGGAGACACAAGGGCCAGATGGACCCATTGGAGAGAGGCTGTGTAGCTCAGGGAAAACACCCCAACGTGGTAAGATCTTTAATCTTACAACATGAATAAGCATTTATATTACATTCATCAGTGATTTCTGAATATTATCTCTTCATTAATCCCTCAGAGTTTACGCTGGTTCCAATTGGTAAGTCATGTATTCACTACTGAGGCTAATATTCGTCCTCGTCCTTGTCTTGTTTGTTCTTTTGACTATTAAAATCTGTACAGCAGTCTGTTGTCTTACTTGGTGGATTGAGTTTCTCAGTTAAACATCACCTGTTAACAGCTAAATCATCCGCCCAACAAATGTCGACTCTATCCACCAACAAAGGCCACAAGATATGGTCAGAAGCCTTGTAAGTAACAAACAAGTAGGACCTTGTAATTGTAAAGAAATTACTCAGTCCTTGTCACCAAGGTTAGACTACCTTGTTCTGGGTTGACCTGAAAGTTTCAATGATCCATCACAGCAAACTCTGATCACCTGTTTGCTTCTGTGCCTCCTCTTGATAATTATAAAGTTTTTTCTTTTTAAATGTTGACCCCATGACTGTGGTTGCTCCACAGTTGAGTCACCGTAGCTCCATGCAGCAAATGGAGGAAGAACCCTACACCAATGAAGAGTTAGGGACCTGCAATCCTTCCTTCAGTTTCCCAGACAACCCCAGCATCTATACTCAGCAAGACCCTCCCTCCTGCCAAGGAGCTGCTTCAACCGGAACAACTGCTGCATCAGACTCCAGCTTCATCCCCATTGAACCTGTGCTTAGCCCTGTGATCTTCAATAATATTGTTTCTTCACCAGCCAAAAGCTCCTCCAGTTCACCCACCTTTCATCTAGCAATTGCGGATGTGAGCCCCATTCTCTTGACTCGAGAAGTGGCTGCATCCAAAGAAAACCTTGTACCAGCAACAGATGCTTCACCTGAACCTCCCGAGGAGCTACTTAGTGCCAGGCCTAGCTCTGCGACACGCGATGCCACCAGTACTTCCCCTTTCACTGTTCCTAGTTCACAAAAAACGCAAACAAAATCTAACGACCCTGTAACCAGCCCTTCCTCTCAGTCCAGCATTCCTTACAGTCATGCACGACTTGCTACTGCAGAAATAGACAAACCCATCTGTAAACCTCGTGTGAAGACACCACCGTACTCACCTCTGCTGTCCTCACCCCTTCCTAAGAAGACAAGCACCCCCCCTCCAACCCCTGAGCTTGCACCTGTAAAAGCCAAACTGGTACATGTAGATTCCAGTCCCCTTTACACACCTCCAGTAACACCAGAGCAAACAAGTTTGAGTCAGAGCATGGAAGTTAATGAACCCTGTACGTCACTTGATACGCCAGAGCATCATGCTGGGGCGACAAATGTTGACAATCCATGTGAGGACAGAAGGCCGTCCATTAACTCACAAAACATGCAGGTCAGCCGCCAAGTAGGGGAGGAGGACGACGATGGTTTTCTGGGAGATGAAGATGGCGACAAAAACAGTGATGGTGAGGATGAGTTAGAGCCAGACGAAGAAGAGCTGCTGAGAGTGATGGCTCGTTGTAATCCAATTTTTATCACGTTTAGTAAGTGATGTCACTATGATATCGCAGGCACTGAGAGCAACGCAGTGGATACCAGAATGGAGGAAATATTGTGAAGATGGATGACACAGACAGCGGAAACTGCAAGAGAGAAACACCAGAGGTTCTTCTGTACTGTAGGTACCTCTGAGACAAGTAAGAGGACAGAGTATGAACACAAGAGATGCAACACATGGACTACAGAGGAGAAGACAAGCATGCTGTATATACACATGGTGTATAATGTACATGATTTTACCAACACGTGTAATAATGTTCCATTTTTAACATATAGTAAATCTAGAAGAGAGGGGTTAAGTCACCATGAATGCACTGGTTAAAAAGTACCTGTGAAATCATAAATATATTTTTCAGGGTACAAACACACTAACCCAGGTACGAGTAGAACAATCTAAAAGGATTTTGATATGATAAGGATATGAGTCAGATATCATGTCTGCAAATGTTTACGAGTAATGCAACAGTGTTGGGATTTTTTTTTAAAGGAAATCCACATAAAATCACAGAGTAGAAAACTGCTTTAAAAGAACCAAAAAGGAGATCAGACCGTCAGTCAGCAGCAGTTTAGTGCCTAGTAAGGGTTCATGTGGATTCATCTGTTTAATAGCTGCAGGGTATGTTCAAAACTCTCACATAGAGCAGCACTGATCATTTGTGATGCCTACTTTTCAAGCTGCCTCAGTTTTTCTTTGAAAAATAAAGTTATTGTCTAACAAACAACGAGCTAAGACCAGTTATTAAAGCAGAATTATCACACTGATGTTGTGGGCAGGGGTTAACTGATCTGCAAAACCAGATGGAGGAGTGTGGTATTCATGAAATAGTTTGGGTGTATTAAGGATGTGATTGAGGCAGGAATATGACAAACCATCAATTCCGTCCCTTCCACTCATCGGGGCTAGGTTACACTTTGAAGACGAGGAAGTTGAGTCGGTCCTGAATAAAACCTCCACCAAGGAAGCAGCTGGAAGGAGTTGTGACCAGATGGGTTGTCAGTGCCTGTCACTCTAGTGGACACCAATGATCGAGGAACCCATTGGGCTGATCCCGGTTGGTTCTGGAAGCAGCAAATAGTTATTAGATATCTTGGAGGCTTTGGTTGAAGAAGCAAAAACAGCTGATGGAGTTCAGGTAAACTCAGTGGGAGGACTTTTGGTTGGCCGCAAGGAAGTTGAGGTAAATTAGCAGATGATTCAGGATGGGGAAGCTGGGCTTGGTACATGCTGACCTCAGCAGGAGGAAAACACTGCTGTCCAGGTCTAGAATATCATTGAGCTGCAGGAGAACACCAACAAACATGTCTTTTGATGAAGAAGAGAGAGATCCAGGAAATGAGGGTCTGCTTTATCGGGGCATCACAGTTCTTTGGGAGATGAATACGAGCGTGACATTGTCATATTAGATTCATGAGACCTATGAGACCTAGTCCAAGTAAAGTTCGAATCCTCAGAGATTCAGTCCTCTGTAAGTCTGGGCTAATAGCTGCACTCCGAATGCTAGCTTAAGCCTAGCTACTCTAGTGAACCACCATCAACATGGGTGACAATTCCCATTTACACAGCAAAATTAGACCTGAATATTTTTGTCTGAAAAGCAATTTTAAAATTTTTACACATCAGAGATTGAGTCAAAGTCAAGTTATCAATCCCCAAAACCAGGTCTTGATTGGGACTCAACACTGCCCAAGAGGAGCTGAAAACTGTGGGTAAGGGAGAGATAGTGATATAACATACTAGAAGCAAGAGGAGCTGCTATGTATAAACCTTACTTCACCCCTGTTTTCAGCCCTGATGATAAACAATCCAGTGGATTCACAGGCATCCATTCAACAAAGTTTTATACCAGCTGATGTTTGGTAACTTGTTAAACAAAAGCCTGTTACTGACTCAGAAACAGAAATGAGTGATTTTTCAATGTTACTCTTGATAAACAACTATCTGGATTGTTTCATGATCTGCTGGTGATTCTCTTTTTGATATGTTCTCTGAATAGAGAGGAAAGTACTGAGACTAAACACATGGTGCTTGGAGCTAAATGTCAGTGTCAATGTGTAAATATTCACCACAAGCAAAGACCGCAATGTTTACATAAGACAGTGTTCACATGTTTACAGACTACTTAGTTAAATTTGTGAACACGCTCAAACACAAATAAAGATAAGTCAGGCTGAGATACTAAGACATGAACACAGGGAGTACAAACCGCGATGTTTTGACATCCAAACTGAAACTTTTTCTTTGCTAAATTGATATGATGATGTGACTTTTGGTTTTACACAGGAAACAGCAGTCTCCTGGACTGAAGAGATAAGGCCTTGCGTAAAAAAGGCTTGAAGACCATCTTCACCCGTATGAAAGTGCAGAACAGCATGGTCAGCATATAAATGCAGGTCTATTAAAGCAATGTAAAATCGTCATGCCTAAATTAGAGCAACAGTTTTAAGCATGCACATAGTCATCTATGGGTTCTGGTTTCCCGTTTATATTTAGTGGAGAAAGAAAAGGAAGTTGAGGGAGAAAAAGGCTTGAAACAACAGTCCAGAGGTCAGTGGGCCAGCAGCATGGAGTAAGGCAGGAAATTGCACATGGGAGTCATTTTGAGGGGTTCTGTTGTGAAAGACAACTCTCAATAAAGTGAGACCCTTTAAGGAGGTGTAAAGAGGAGTAGTTTTTGACACGCTGACTGAAAAAACCCAAGTGAAGATCCCTGACAGATATTGATTCAATCCAAAATAACACACTAAGACCAAAGGCTCCAAGTTTATTTGTTTTTATTGAGACATTCTCAATCACAAAAACTGGACCTGATTTTAAGGGTGCTCCATTTGCAGATCAACAACTCATGTACAATAAAGTCACTCGTGAAAGGGTGTTTGCTGCAGTGAGCCTGTAAAAAAACATAATTTACATTGCAGTATACCATAAAAATTGTCAACAGTGGTTATAAATGGTGGGAGTGATGGTACAAGTTTAACAAAATGGGAAGGGAAAAGTGTTTTTTTCTTTTTTTAATCGTTTAAAAAAACAAGACAAACATTTTTGCTTGGCACACAGTTTAGTTAGTGGAGCTGACACAAACAAGAACAGAAAACATAATACTCAAAATGGAAAAAGCACTCAAAAGGTATTTAAACACACACTTATTCACACCCACAGACACACTATTGGGTGGGAAGAAAAACCGAAAGGCGGCAGCGTCAAAAATGTTGCATCCATTGGTCTCTAAATACATCATGATTCCTTCAGCTTGCACATGGTACAGTACGCCTTAGTGTGTTCCCATGGATTTCTTTTGGACCAAACAAGCTAACTGTGTAGTCCCCCTCAAAGAATTGTGTTGCACTGGTTTAAGTGGTGGTCACTGTTCTTGGAATTAATATTTACTTCTCAGTACAGACATCCTAGGATCCAGCAAAACCACATTATCATCAATAAAGACATGAAAACAAAGTACAGAAGAATCAGAAACGTGTGTTTTAGTTTGGGTCTGGTTGCATGATAAAACAGAAGAGTAGGGTCAATTCTAACGCTGAGAACAGCTTTACTCATTGCAGTCCAGTGCATCCAAAAAACTAAATGGTATTATAAATTATCCTGCATCCTGACAAACTCAACTTTCTCAACCTAAAATCCTCCTTTTAAAGACAAAAATCAATCTAACACAGTTAATCCTTCACGTGTCCTGATAAAAGGCCGGTGTAGTGTGTGGAAGCAGAGCAAAGACTGGTGTTACGTCCCAATCTTAAGCACAGGGGTATGAGGGTACACGGGCCGAGGATGTACACGCCAAGGAGAATGCTATCAAATAAATTATTTTCCGTGGCATTGGATTAGGGGAGCTCATCTTGTTTGAAGCACTCCATCCACTGTCGAAACAGTAAGGCGGTACACAAAATGAGCACAAAGTCTTTGGAGGCAAGTGGGCGTTAGAACTCATCATGTCGAGTCAGAGCCTCTCCAAAGTCAGTTGCCTGGCTGCCCACAAACAGATCATACTTCTCCACTATTTCTGCTTTGGTCAGGCGGCCATCCTGATGGAGAGAGGAAAATGAGTTTGTTTATTGACAGCAGATGGGTGTACAAAGTATGTCTTACAAAAAAGATATTGCAGCTATTAGGTTGGCTCCTTTGCAATGTCTGAAGTGAAAATTTGTATTAGATTGTAATATCATGTAGTATTTTACAGCTCATGATGAAACACACTTGTGTAGTTAGTGCATAAAAACTGTCAAACATTAATTTATCTATACTCTCACATGCATTTCTGCTCCCTCACAGTCTCCAGGGAATGTGATAGTAAATACAACTCATGGGGACACTCGTTTCTGTTGAAATCTGGAAACAATGTAGAGCACAACAACACACACCTTGTCTGTATCTGACTCATAGACCAAGTGCTTGGCCTCAGCCTCGGCGTGGTCGTAGTCACTGGGCAAGATCCAGTCTCTGGTTTCGTCCTTGTCCATCTTGCCGTCTTTGTTTTTGTCCCTGAATTCAGTAAACTGTTCCCTCTCTGTCTTTACCCACTCAGGTTCTGTGGCGTCTCCCTCTTGATTGTACATGTCACCTAGAGGACAGAGAAATGCAGACAAGTTGAGAGAAGGACAGGATGATACGACACATTAACAGCAAAGTTAGTTAGCTTAATATTTTAGGGTCCTAATCTCTTCTGAAAATTATCTTGCATCCAAGACGCTTGTTCCTTTACAAAAGGCTGATTTCATGAGGGTTCTTCAAAATAGTTACAATGGGTGTAAAACTCACCTATGTATTCATCTAAATCGATAAAACCATCTCCATTCTTGTCAATGTCTTCCATGGTTTCCTGTTGAGAAAGTAAAAAACAAAAAGTGAGTTTTAACAGATGAAGTTTCCAGTGACGAAGCTTAACACCTGCATGAGTGTGTGTGTGTGTGTGTGTTACTCACCAGCACAACTATGTCTTTCATGTGATCGTATTCCTCTGGGTGGAGGAAGGCTGTAAACTCCTCCTTGTTAGCTCTCAAGTCGTTGTCTTCATCAGCCATTTTGAATCTCCTCTCATCACGAGCCATCATCTGCTTGTAACTGAAGCCATCTTCAGGGTCTTGGTCATCTGCAAGTCAGTAAACACGGCGTTGTTTAGAGTGTGCATGAAAGGTAAAGCAAAGGTAACATATCATGGATGTGTTTGACTCGTCTGCAGTCATACCAAGAATGTATCCATATGTGGCATTTTTGTACTCCTCCCATGACACCAAATTATCTCCATTAAGATCGTGACTCCTCCACTGTCGATCCACATCATCGTAGATCCACCTCTTCTGAGCGTGCTTGATCCACTTCTTCATCTCCTCAGCTGTCACATAGCCATCTTTATCGTCGTCAATACGTTCAACCAGCATGCTGTGGAGAAATAACACCAGTCAAAAACCACCTCCGGGAACTATTAGCCTTGCAGACGTAGAAGACTATGACTGCTATATTATGTAATTCAAGTACATATTTGCATCATCTTACCCAAGCCTCTCCTTGCTCTCCTCGGGTGTGAGTTGGTCAAAGGTCTTTGCTTCCTCTTGTCCCAGAAAGGCTTCATGGTCATAGTCAAAACTCTCACCATCATCGTGCTCTCTGTTGCTGAGGGGCTGATCGTGGTGAACACGGTCCTTCTTCTCCGTGGGTTTGCTAGTGGCATAAACCACACAGAGAGCAAAGCACATGACAAGTGGACGCAGCTCCATCCTGCCTTTGAAAATACACTTTCTGGACGAGGAAAACAAAGACACCACAAAGGCGTGATTAATATATGTGTGTTATCACTTACGTAACCCTCATAAATACAAATAATTAGCCTTTCAGTGCTGATCTCATCTTTGGCTACTTCACTCACTGCACATACTTGGACTGTGAGTGGTCTTTTGCAAGCTGATCTGTTACAGCTGCTGCTTTTTCTATTGGTTCTTACATTCTCTGTGGAAGAGATTTAATCCTATATTCATGTTATATATGATAAAATGACCAGTTTTTGACTGGCTGCTTAAAACTTTCAGCTGTCAGTTTCTTTAGTTCATGTGATCATCCAAATACAACATTAGGGACCAACATCAGTTTGGCTATCCCAGAGTACCGTTAGGTTTCAGCGGCTAACACATGATTTTACTGCACAAATACAGATCAATAAGCCATCCTACACGTTATTTCTTCTCGGTTATGTTAACCCAAGTTATCAGAGAACATAATTTACAAAATAGTTGGTATAATAGAGGGAAAATGATCAGGATAACTCACCGGCGTCCTCGACTGACTGTAAAACCCTCCCTTCGGAAACACACCCATGCACTTCCTGTGCCAGATCACCGACCGACCAGTAAGACGCTGAAATGTCGAGTGCGATGTCGCCCTCTCATTGGTCCACCTCAAGAGGACACCGATGATTGGATTGGCCGAGAACCGCCACGTCCTCAAAGTCAACAAAACCCCGTTCATTCACAAAAGTGATTCCAGAGTGAGTGTGACAGCTGAGCTTCACGACCAAGTATTTAACCCCAGAACACTATCGCTAAAATTAGTAACACCAGCACTATCGCCGGGTGACTGTTACCCGAAATAATATACACAAGAAAAACAGGACAATACATGACAAATTAAAGTAGTTTTCTTTTATTTTTAACTGTGCAATGTCCAAAGGGAGGGGGAAAAAAGTGCCACGAGGAGACCATAGGCAACAAAATGACTGAAATTAGGCATTCATGAATAAAAAATTCCTAAATATAGAAACTGTAAACTTAGTTTCTTTTCCACCTATTCCTGTTGCATGTGAGTTTTCCCTGGTGAAGACTCAGGGTCCTTGGCACAATAACAGCTGCAGGAGAGTGAACCAAAATATGGCAGATTTTGAGTAAGTAAAAATGACCAGCTGACTACAATATTTCTTATTACCACATGAATTCCCTTGAAAATCACTACTTTGTGATAGTTATTCATAACCACTGTGCTAAATAAAGATAGCATGCAAATCTCAGGACCACTCTTACTGATCTTATTCGCCTACATGCAGCTATCAAATCCACCCAAACCTACTTTACCCTCTATCACTATTGCCGGGTGAAAATCACTTGTAGGAAAAAGCAGGTTTTGGATCAGGGAAACAAATATGCCTTCAAAGATGTCAAAGGTTATGCTGAAGCTAACCAGAGACCCATGATACTCAGACAAACGCAACATAATGAAAATCACGTGAACATGTTTGGTCGGGTGTAAATCCTCCGGCGATAGTGTTCTAGGGTTAAATGACTGAAGAGCAAATATTCAAACACTACACATTTAAGAACAAACACAGTTTATTAGTGAAATTTATTTGTTTTACAACCAAAAGTTTTTTGCTTCAATGCAAATACACGAACTGCACACACCTTAGAAAGAAAAACTGAAGAACAACCAACAAAATATGTACATCTAAAAAAAGAAACTAAGGATTAAAAAATTTACTCAAAAAACCCATCAACTTTACATAAGAAAAGGTTTCAGTCTGTTGCTTGTAAAAAACTTGACTGGTGAAAAAAAAGGAAATATCCTCAACTATCACTATGATTCAAAGGGGATAGATTCAGATCATAATTTGTGAATCTTGTTTTCACTGATGTCTGATTTTGCTGAAAGTTTATTCAGAGATTTTAAATGATCACTGCAGACGAGGTGTTACATGGTTCAGCAAAATGACCAGCATTTCTGCAAGCCTTGCAGTAATCAAGGTACATCTTATTACTACCGTGTGTAAATCCAAAGTCATCCAAAAAGCACCAGGTAACCATTGACCTACTGACAGAAGTGCACTTGCCTGTCATACAGTGGGTTGCCCCTTATGCCCCTTTTCTTGCTTCTAGCATTGGATTGTCCGTTTCAGGCACAGACTCTATCGGCCTTACCAAAGCTCCATATCTCAACCTGCTGCCTTGTCTTCCAGATATATTCATATGCTTATGTGTCTAGTTGGACTGTTCTTTTTGACAGGTGGCGCTCTCCTCGTCACCATCATGGCAACTCTCTAATGGGACACAGGGAAGAGAAGAGAAGTTTTTAAGTTTAAATTACATATTTTTCAAAGTTGGTTATTTTTAAGCCGAGGTATATAAAATCATGAGCTCACAAAACATTAGATGCAAAAAGAAAAAGCATTTAACAGACTCAACATTGTGATGGATGTAGTTTTTCTAACTGACCTATGTTTGATTCACCCTCTTTCTTCTCTGCAAGGAAGACTCGCTGCATCATCAGTTTCTTCGCGGTGTGGCACATATACTTGAGTTCAGGACCACTCTTTGCTTTTCCTAGTCATCAAAATTGACAATTAGAAAAAAAAATTAAGTATCACTGAAACACAGCAACAAATGTGTAGGATATGAAGAAATTTACCTTTCGGTGGTCCCTCCTCAAATATAACACAAGTTCCTAAAGCATCTATAAGAAGTAAACGACAGATTTAGAGTTTAGAAAAATATATTTACAATGTAATTACACCTATAATGGTGTTTATGAAATATGTTTCAGCTTTGGAAAACAGACTGCACTTTCATTACAGACCAGACATCTGCCTCTCTCCCTTCTCATCCATGACAAAGATTAATAACGATGTTGCCACTGTGATCATCTGTCATTGAAAATGAAGTTTTTTTTACCCCAACTTTTACAAATGGCTCTATAAAGGAAATCACTTGCAGTTGCCCAATCCTCACCTCCACACTTATAGGCTGTAAGCGTGTCTCATAATCAAATCAAAAACTTGAGGTCTCTGAGTGGACATATTTACATAACTTCCTAAGAACTTACACAAAATTTGAAATGTTGTATCCCATCTGACACCCTCACAGACTGTAATACACTGGATGCCTTGTGAGCCTGTGAGCATTCAGTGGTTTAATTTAAGGGTGGAGATTAGGATGAGGCCAGTATTTCCAGTTAAAATAACCTAATCTTTATCTGCAATGTGACACTTCCTTTAAGGACAGGAAGGGAGGAAAGTGCACATTTGGACATGGCTGTGTAGCATCCTTTTAATTCGTACCTTCATATTCCCCTGCAAACACATACTGTCCAACTTGCATCATGGGCTTTTCACTGTCAATATCCTGAAACACATGGGCAGAAGTCATTACACAGAAAATGTAAAAAGTAGGTTGTGACTGTAATAGCGTGCAAAGTTTCTTTTCTTTTACCACTTTGCATCAAACTCGGTCTTACCAGTATTTTGCAGGTGCCACAACACTTGGTCACAAAGTCATTGTTGATAATACCAGAGAGCTCCACAAGGACCAGCTGCTCCTAAACACAAAAAACAAAGAGGTTTTAATGCATATGCTCACAATAAGGGAGAGTGGGGTAAGTTGAGCCACCGCCTGTTGCTTGGAAACGGTAAAAAATATTGATCATGTGACCAAATATTTAGGAGATGGGCATCAATTAATGGAGTCTGTGAAGGTTAGAAGCACATGGGTGAAGGGTTAGATATTTATTTCCAAAATAAAGAAGAAGGGATACGGCTCAACTTGACCACTTAAATCATTAAGACAGTTATGTTTACACTTATTCTGTTGGTTTGCAGGGATGCACAACACCTTGAAATAAATGCAGATACACTAAATAGAGACCAAACTATGATTGCCTTGATGTAGTGATCCGAAATATGAGAAATATGAAAAATGGCTCATCTTACCCCACTCTCCCCTACTATCTGATAAAGTAAAGACAATGGGACATCAAATTTTAACTGACTAGTGAGACACAGTCAGACACGCGTGTATAATGGGGGTTTAACAATACTATGAAACATTTAAGAATTCCTCGTGTTTTCTTAAAGTCGCGTTTGACATGTTGAAGTTTACAAACTCAAATACATAGGGTGAACGAGTATTTTATTCCTATCCTGAGCTTAGAGACTAAACATGCTAACCACATGGCACGTTGTTCAAGTTACGTTATGCTTATGATGTTTCATACCTCTTCTTCCCATTCATCATCCATACTGAAGTCCTGAAACAAACAAAAAAAGGGATGGAAATTAAAGATTCCGCTTTGTTCTTGTTATTTTTACTTATGGCATGTCACATCAGTCTTATCAACTTCCGCGAATGTACGGTGCCCGAGAGGCTTTTGTTTATGTCGCCTCGCATGTTTTCGGTTACGGGCTTCGACCATCCGGGGGCGCTGTTGTTCAGTCTTAAGGGCATGTTCTGCTGCAACCTATTCAGTGTGAAATGGAAGTAGAATAAACATGAAATCCCCCTCCATCTATCTGACTGTCAGTCCATCTGCTCTCTCTACTTATGGCTGATGAGAGCTGGATCTAAATATTGGCTACCTGTAGACACGCTCATCTACATCTAACATTAATGCTTCAATGTTTAATGCTGTCCTGCAGCAGGCCACAGCAAAAATGACAATAAGGGATGAGATGAGATGAGATGCAACGATACACTTGTATTGATCCCCAAGGGGAAATTTATCATTCAAAGCAGAAGACTAAACTGAAACCAAAAGAAGCACACACGTAAAAATAACACCCCAAACAAAAAAGAAACAGAGACATTAACAAAAGGACAGAGGGGGAAAAAAAGCAGAAATCTTGGTGCATGATGGGGGGGAATCACACTGCATGATGGGCAAAAGGTTATGAAGACGTGTTAAATATTAAGTGTGGTTTTATGGGTTATGAGATGCAGTAAATTTTTAGGTCTCTTTCACATTTAAGTCCGTCTGCAGCCCTCAATCTGTTACGAAAAATCCAAATCAAAAATGCACGTCAAAACACCAGACAGAACACTTTCAATAGCAATCAAAGCAGAAAAAACAAAATATATATATAATTTTATAGACAGAATTTTTTTTACATTATCAAAGCGATTTCATAAGTGGAAATGGGCATCAAATCTTCTGGCATTTTATTCTTCGTGTCATTGTGTTTTGGTGCATCAGCTTTTGTACTTTCAATCAAACAAAATATTATTGCTCAGTGTCAAGAGATCAAATATTTAACTCACTTTCAATGATTTGTTTCTCAATTTGTGGCTTTACCCCACTGATTTGGAAGGCATTTTATGCTGCTCAGATATTTCAGTGCGTTTTGTGTGTATCACACAATACATGAAATAGAAAGAAAACAATCTTCTGACAGCTCAGATAAATATTTATCTCAGTGACTCATACAGAAAATGTTTCTTATTTCTCTGAAAACAAACCAGAGCTGAACTCATTTGGAGCTTGTAGTAAAATATATTTTAAATTTCTAATTTAAACTGCTGTATAGAGTCTGTGTATTGTAAACTTTGAAAATGCTGTTTTAAAATCATAAGATCTGTAGTAGGTGCATGTGTTTAATGATATTATAATCTGTGTGTAAAAATCAAAGTCAGGACAAGAGTTGAAATGAGCAAAAACTATTATCGCTCTGCTTGTATCGTTGTGTCAGAACCATGTTAAATTGCATCGTCCCCATCAAACGGAAAAACTCAATTCGATTCAATTTTGCTTGCCCGGACACAGAGGTCAGAGATCAGGGTCAGCTACGGGGCAGACCTGTAGATCCAGTGACATTCATCAGCTCACTCAAGACCTCTCACAGATTTCTCCACACTCTAGTGGCCGCTTACGAAAGTCAAGACAGATGATATTAAATCAATGGGAAAGTAAAAGCATATTACGTTAACCAGAGGTCTGCGTTAAAACTGCTTATTTACAAAATGAAGTGTCGCGTAATGCTGCCTCCTGATTTTAGCAAGTTGATAAAATACAAATAAAGCTTGTTATACTGTCTATAATATTGTTCAAAATAAAGTTTTAAAAAATATAAAAAAATAGGACGATGCAGATTAGAACTTTCTATCAACAGAGACTTTGAACGAAGATGTTTAATACATGAACATCTTAAACCTCCTCTTTAACATCTGATTTTACACTCAGTGAATTTGATATCTGTCATTATTGCTGTTTGTTTCTGTTATTTGTATTGTTTCTTCTTTTTCTGTGATCATCTTACATATTCCATGAATTTAGAAGAGAAGAACAAAGCTTGGTGTTTGGAAACTGAAAAATAAAATAGCACAAGATGTAATCCTTTCACGTTGTTTAAAATGAACACATTTTTTTTTACAATCAAAAATAATAAAAACCTTCTCCCTATTATTCTATCCAATTGTGGTAGAGCAAAGCCGGATTTCTTGATAGGAATTGCTTGGAGGCCGACAGTTTTATGGACACCTCTATAAACAGTTTAATTCTGATTGTGCCTCACGCTGAGAGCGAGGGGGTGAAAAGAAGCATTTCAGACCAGAATAAGGCAAACCAAATTAAACTGGGTGCAAATCCCCCCCATGTCTGTCTACCTCCCCATTTTTGGCCTATCATTTATCTCTGGACCATGGTAGGGTTGTCATGTCGACCAGCCCACAGGTTACTATGACAACGGCTCAAGGGGAAGCACTTGGTGAGGAGGTTATTGCCTCCTTGGGGATGTAAAGAAGGACGGGGGGAATGTGAGCAGACACAAAGGTACAGGGACTTATACACACCAAAAAAGGCTTCAATGGAAGGAGAGGTCAAGTTGGAGTGTGTAAGCTGAAAGTGTGTTTGTTTGTGAGTATGTGTGTGTCTGTATGAACGTGTCTGAGTGTGTAAAGGCTGGGTTACATTTACAATGCAAAAGTGTGTAAATCAGAGTCGCCCCATTGACTCTTTAGATGCAGGGTAGAAAGTTTACTCTTCAAGACAGGGCCTGGGCCTCTCCTGTACATGATCTATTGCACTTCCTGCTTCATGCCATGCCCTCGGGCTGAAAAGGGTGGGGGCAAGGGTGGGAGTGACATTAAGGACCCTCCAAGGTGTCAGATAGGTCCCCAGCTTCCCCCACATTTTGTCATATAAATGTCATAAAGACAAGTTTGGACTTGGGGAGCTTTTGGCTCTCCCCCTGCCTGAGGGGTATCGCAGTGCTTAATTGCCCCATTAACACTGACAGGGTAAATTGGTGGAAGGGCTAACTATATATTACAGTGAAAACAACAACCCCTGGCATACACCTGAGGGCATGGAAAACAATGTGTGCTTTACAGTATGGCCTGTGATTGTTTGAGTGCACTGTATGTGTGAATATCCATGTAAATAACCTCTGGAATGAGAATGTTAATGGTGGTAAAATATTTGAATTATATATTTATCGCTGAGGAAATAAATTGTAGTGCCTACAAGGGGACGCGTCTCCTCCGACATCTTATCGAAACCTGTTAAGATTGACATGGAGTTGTTTTTATCTATTCTATCCCGCTCTCTTTATTTTATTGATATTTTACATCAGATGTGATGAAATTTCAAGAGACTGTGATTACGTGAGTCCTACAAACATATCAAATGTGTGAGTGGGTGGGTTCACCTGCCTGCAGTAATAGGCAAATATGAAATATAATTGCAAATGAATATAAATGGAAATTTACATCAACAAAAAAGCACTGCGAAAAATATGTAGGGTCATTTAAAGGCATTTTAATGCTGCAACAGAGTATCGCAGTGTCAACGTATATATGCTATTTGGATCGAAATGTACGCAGGATCTATACCGTTTAAAATAAAAGCTGGGTTATCATTCATCATCTGTACGATATTCTTATTAAATCAAGTGTTAGGATTTTATCTTGATGTGCGTTTATGATTTCTATCAGACCTCCATAATTCTACCTTCATTTTTTCAGCATTTTTTTCCCCTCAGGTTTTCTCCAATGAAAGCAAGGACCGACCACACACACACACACACACACACACACACACACACACACACACACACACACACACACATATATCAAACACATAGAACAACATTAAAATTCTATCACTCCTTGCTGTCGTTTTCTTCTGCTCATAAGACAGAGCATTAAATTGCCACTGTGGTAACCTTATCCCTGAGTACAGCAGAACCAACACAATACATGTAGGTGTAAAAGCAGGGATCAGTAAAACCCTGATTTATGGTTATGATAACATGGTCTTTGCTTGGTGACATGTGCCAATTAAACAACCACTTTTACTGTTTTCACATCATAAAATAATTATTGGAGGTACTCCAAATGTAGAGCATATTATATTTATTCACTGACTTGTGGCATATGCACTATTTTTTTTTCATGTTGAAGATTGCATAGATGAAAGGAAATAATCTCACCAAATCAAGACAAACCAAATGCAAAAGTCTGTGCTTTTAAAACCAACATGACGAAGTCACATCAATATTCATGTATGACTATATTAGGCCTTATAGTGCTGCTGTTTCACGCAACAGTAACCTTTCTGCTGTTAATACCATTGTCTTTTTAACTCGTGTGGTCATGCCATTATATTCCTCTCATATCTTTTCATCGGCACCTTTACAGTAAGACTGACGCCTCTCATAAGTATTTAAATAAGGACGAGGTCATCTTGGATAACCAGAACCTAAGAAAATAAAAAAGCTATCATTTGATCCAACAAATAAATGCGGCGTCCACCTTCTCAAATATGGACGATGGACAGATTGCACATCCAGCGTGAAATTAACAATAGTATTATCATAACAATAGAGCCGAGTGGCGAGAATGGGACGGCCAGAGCTGAAAAACCCAAAGATCTTCGGTGAGGAGAAATGGACACTTTAATTACGGCTTAGATATTTTTCTGATTTTTTCCAAATCTGAAGAATTAAGAACGAAGATGACGATATCAAAAACATACACCTGCAACCTCCACCTGCAGCCCAGGTCCAAATAAAAAAGGAGTCGATCTCGTTTCATACAGAGATTATTTCATCCATGTTTTTTTATTTAAAGATGTCTTTGTTAGACATTTTAATGCTTCTTTATTATATGCTTAATGCTACACAGGCTGTAACTTTTAAAACGAAGATGAGCCAGTCAAATTTTCTGAATATTAATCTAGAATATATCACGATAATAGCACGATTAAAAACTAGAATAGCCTAATATATTCACTTTAACGTTTGACTTATCGTCAAAAATGAAATATCAATACGATATTTGTTATTTAATACTCCAAGGGCCTCGTAGTGTGTTGATCTCACACTGAAAACAGGCTTCTTGTGTCGCATATTTGGTGTTTTTTTTTCCTGTCACAACTAACTAACATAAATTGTGTTTTTATTGTGTTAACTTCTTACTTTTCATCGTAGATTCCTCCTTTAAAGGAGCGCATCTTTTTTTATAAGAATATATTTATTCTCTCTTTTTTTAACATTAAGTGGTTTTCGGTTAAATCCTCACTTATTGGATCATCCGAACCTTCAATCTAGATTTTTCTCCAATTTGTCATTAAAATTCATTGTTTTGGTTATATTTCTCTCACTTTTACAAATATTTTCATCTCATTTTCGTCTTCTCTTTGCGTCCGTCGTAGCCTCTCCCCCCTCCCTCCCTCTTTCTCGCCCTCTCTCTCTCTCTCTCTCTCTCTCTCGCGGAATCCTATTGATCCAAACGGGCTAATTAGCGGTGTCTGCGCAATTACGCACATGCGCACTAAGCGTAATCTCAGCCATTTTTTGAAGGAAACTAATTAGCAGGAATAAAGAGCCAAGTGTTTTTCCCCCCACAGTGATCAGAACTCATTCTACCTCTGGAGCTCGCACAAACCCCTCCGTCCCCCATCTTCTGTTTACTACAGCCTATATGTAGCTTTAATTACTCTGTTGTTTGCTAACAACTTGGACCCCGCTGCTCTCTCTCCCTCTCCCCATTTTTTTCCTTCCTGGCTCCGTAAAAACGCAGAGGATCATTCATAAGGAATGAGTGGGCTCTCTATACGATTGTTTTCTGGACTATTACACATTCAGCGTACGGAGCTTTGTACCAGAGCCGCTGCAGAAATGTAAGTCTGTTACTTGTTTACGATATTAAAGGGGGTATGGGAGGAAACTACCCAGTGCTGGTGTTGGGGAGGAAGAGGAGGGAGTGTTTGGGCAGTGCAGCTTTTAATTCTTCAAAAATTACGCTTTTGCTGAATCCGTTTGTGTCTTGAGTCACCTGTTACTGGATACTATACGCGAACCCTCTTGGTTTTAGCCGGATCGGAGTGAGGTACGGTACCGTCCACTGTAAACAAAGGCTGAAGTAAAGAGTGCAGCCTCTCCAAATGTTGCCCACTGGGCTCCACAACACAGACAGAGACGGGGAGTTAACTTCAAATCACTGCCTCTCCCTCTGGCTTTCTAAAACAACCCGAAATCATGCAAAACATAGCTGAGTGCTTTTACCTCCAGTCTGTTAAGAGCTGCATGTGGTCCATGAGTTCCTCGTGAAAACAATATTAGTCCTGGTCCCGCTGTAATTCTCCACGTCTTGTAATGACAGTTCAAAAGCTTTTTTTTTTCTTCCATACGTATAGACACATACAACTCTTGTGTCTTTCTCTGTCCCCTTTATTCTCCTGTCTACCCATTCTCTCCATTCTTCTCCCACGCGCACACGCTCACGTGCACGCACGCCTGCACACACACTTACTCACTCACTCACACACACACACACACAATACAGATCCAAAGAACACACTTTTGGGTATTTGTACACAATTTCATATCATATGCACCCTCAACAACAGAGATGCACCATGTATTAATACTCCTATAAGTACTGTGTATTCCACTGTATGTCTAATTGCAGGTGTTCTCTCTGTCTGCTTAATTGACGTTATCAGACTTGGTTTGCATTGCACAACAGGATGTGCACACATTAACACACATAGACGCACACACACACACACTCACACACACACAGGCGTTGTTAAATGATGGTTTCCCGCACTTGTGATCGATAGAGAGCCAGGAATGTTTGTATAAATAGTTACATTGCCGATAGACCTGGGTTATTGATTGCAGTGTAAATGAAAATCTTTATCAGATTAGAGACTGTTCTCAGCTGCTAGCAGGCAGGCTCAGCTCCCTCAGAGCTACCTGATGGGACAGTGGACAGCTGCAGTGGGCAAGGGTCTGTGGCCTGTGACATAAACACAGTACATTAAAGCACTATCAGGGTGCCGATATGAGCCATATATCTTTAAGGTGCAGAGAGGGAAAAGGGGGGGGTCGCTGCAGAAGAGGGAGGAGGGGGTGTTAAAGAAGGAAGAGGAGGGGATTGGTTCGTTGAGGGAGAAGGTGAAAGGGTACATTAAGGTCTCTCCTTGATTAAAAAAGGTCAGTAATGAGATTGTGGGACACACGCAGAGTAAGAGAGATGGGTCTGTCTCATCAGGCATCCATCTGTCAGTCAGGAACAGGAGAGGGGGAGAGGCTGATATGACCATCTTAGGAAATCTTCGTAGTGGTGTGTGAATATGCTGGTGATTCGGATTCTTTGTCGATTCTGATTTTTAAAAATGTGCCTGAAATTGTAAAATTTACTGTCATATACTGTGTGATAAAATGTAACAGCCAATTGCGTTAAACTGAGCTCGGATAAAAACACAGAGAATATAGTTTTTAAATATAAACATCACTTTAAGACTTAATTTGAATAGCCTTTTTAGTCCACCCTAACATTAATGACCATGATCAAATTATGTACAGTCCTTTGATGACTAAATGACATTTTGTTTTAATTAGAGTCACTGTGTTAGTGTTTATGTGTAGGGGTGTGTTTACTGTGTGTTGGATTTCAGGGTGGATACAGTACAATACACACTTAGAATAATGACGAGAGGTCCAAATAAACAACATTGATACTCCACAATCCACAGTTAACAGGAGAAATAACTCACATTTAATCAACACTCACCTGGAATCTTAAGAAAAACGGTCTAAGCCTCAAATAAGTATTTGTTGTAATTTGTAGTGAAACAGAAGTGTTTATGTTATTGTCATCCCCTGTGTTTGCATCGTGTTGTTAAATTGCTCCTGCTTAACAGGAATCTCCATCCCCTCACATAATACCTCAGTGCTAATGAACAGTGAAAGATGTAGAAACGGATAAACTGGCTTTAAAAATTGTTCTTTTATCTGCTTTTATCTAAATGTGGCAATTTAGTGGAAGCCCTTTAGCTCACAAGCGTTCAGTTCTTTATTTAATCCTATCCCCTGAGGAATATTATAGACCTCCTGCGTAGCCTTTACCCGCATTCCTCTACCTAGTTTAGCGCTCATGCTATTGATTTTCCCATTAAGGGCTAACGCTAACCCCTGAGTAACCAGCCTCTGTATAGTGCACAGAGAAAGCAGTATTGAACAGATGCTATCCAGGGACTGTAATCAATGGCCTCCACTGTTATGCAATATTATTTACATGAGTCATGTAATTCATTTTCTTCTCTTCTCTTCTTCCTCTTCTCCGATTCTGTCTGTCCTGTTGTCTCCTCCTCTTCCTCTCTGTCTGAAACACACAGGTGGGGTGGTAATGCACGGCAGCTGTAGCCTCTGGTATGGACAGCGGTGAGGGAGGAGGAGGGGATGGAGGGGGAGGAGAGGAGAGAGATGCTGACCTCAGTCCCCAGGCTTTATCTCTTCCTCTCCTGACCATGGTGGTCAGTCCTGAGCAGGGGTCATCCTCTCATACCTCAGCCACGGCCCCTGCCAAAGAGCCCCCGACCCTGCTGCGGCAGGAGGAGGGTGCAGAGGGGTCCTGGGCTCGAGAAGAGACCCAGAGAGAGGAGCAGAAAGAAGGAGGCCGACATCTGCAGGAGGATGGAGCACGTCAGAAGCAGGGGATAAAGGGAGACTTTGAGGAAGAATATTTGTCAGGGCAAAGGAAGGAAGAAGGGGAGGTGCATGTAGGTGAGGAAGAGGCGTCAGTTACAGGGGGCCTCCCAGCAACCCTTAGCAGCAGCAGCAGCGATGGAGAGGAGGAAAAGGAAGAGGAGGAGGCCATCTCAAACCAAAGCCAAACCAAATCCAAATGTTCTTTATTACCTCAACAGAGCCAGCACAGCTCTTCTTCCAGCACTGCAAAGGCCAGTGGCACACTCAACAGCAAAACAGCCGCCTCTCCAAAGCCCTCCCCTACTCCGTCCACCTCTCCGAAACCTTCCCCTTTTCTTCCCACCTCTCCAAAGCACTTCACTTGTCAGTCCTCCTCTCCTGCCCCGCTGAGCGAGACAGAGGTAAAAGACATTAAGGGAGATCAGGGCTGGATTTCTGGGTTTCCTCAGAGCTTTAAATCCCAGCAGTCTTCACTGGCTTTTTCACTGGCAGGTATGGAGCCTGCTTGTACACCTGCTGAGGATGAAGGGCCGGCAGGGGTTCCTCACTCTTCCATTTCCAATGGAGATGGTGCCAAAGCTCCAGAACCAAATGACAGTCAGCTAGACACAGAGATGGATGATGAGAGGGACAAAGAGGAAGAACAGAGAGAGGCTGTCCTTAAAAACCTCAACCAAGACCTCTCTCCTAATTCACTGACCAGTCACATGACCATAATGCACTCACGCAATTCCTGCAAAACGCTGAAATGCCCCAAGTGTAACTGGCATTATAAGTCTCAGCATACGCTGCAAGTCCACATGAAGGAGAAACATCCAGAGACAGGAGGCCAGTGTGTGTGTGGTGCCTCTGGGGGAAAGTGTGTGTGTGGGGGTGCAACACGAGACGTGTGTGGATATTGTAGTTCGGGGAAACCTCATCCTCGCCTGGCTCGTGGTGAAACCTACGCCTGTGGCTACAAGCCTTATCGCTGTGAGGTGTGTGACTACGCTACTTCATCGAAAGGCAACCTAAGCATACACATGCAGTCAGATAAACACCTTAATAATGTACAAAATGGAGGACACTCAAATGGTCATCCGCCCACCTCTCACATCGCCAACAACAGCAGCTCCTCCAACGGTCACACAGTCGAGGAGCCAGCATACAAGCTTCCACTCTCTATTGCCACAACTACAACCCAGCCTGCTAAACTTACACCACCTTCACACTCTCATGGTAAGCGGTGGCGCTGTGATGTGTGTGACTATGAGACCAGCATTGCCCGCAACCTGCGCATACACACCACCAGCGAGAAACACACACACAACATGCTGCGGCTGCAGAGAGGTTACTATCTGTCTCACTGCAGAAGCCTTGCCCCGCAGCTTAAACACTTACAAAACACAGGTGAGTCATATCTTTACCCGTCAAATCAAAACGACAGTAAAACCGTGCAATTACTGGTCATCCTTACTGGGTTTCTGTCTGTGTTACAGGCGCTGAACTCTCCTTGAACATGAGGCTGACCAGTCAACAAGTAACAGAACAACCAGTCACTTTGGGGTCTACTCTGACTCCTTCCCCCTCTCCCTCTCCCTCACCACCCCCAGCCCCGTCTCTGTCCCCAACTGGTCTCCTCACCCAGGGCGTGTTTCAATGCCTTGTCTGCTCCTGTTTTGCGACCGACAGCTTGGAGTTGGTGGAGCAGCACCTGAACGCCTCACGCTCCTTGCCGCAGTCTGAGTGGTGCTCCCTGGTTGCGGGTGGCTGCCACTGCAGGCTGTGTGGCTACACCACCCCACTGAGGGCCAATTTCTCCTTGCACTGTCAGACTGATAGACACCGCACTCGGTACCAGCTTGCTGCTCACCTTCACGAGGGTGGAGACAGAGGTCAGGAGGGGGCTGCTCTTATCGCTAAGGGTAACCCTGTGCAGCTGCGGTGCAACCTGTGTGACTTAGTGACTAGCAGTTTGGAGAAGCTACGAGAACATTCCCTCAGTTCACACCACAAGGCCGGCGTCCGGGTTTACAGAGTCAGTGCATAATTTTGTTGTCTTAATATGAAAAATCTACATCTGTTTCCAGCATTTGTCATAATTTTCAAATGTTGTCCCTCCTTGCTCCTTTAGTTCCTGCAGCAGTATGATGGCGAGGTTGACGGTGGTTCATGGCTGTTCCACTGTCTCCTATGCAACCACTCCTCCTCTTCGAAACTCCAAGTTTTGAAACACAGTCAAACCCCCACCCATCAACAGAGAGAGGGGCTCCTACAGCTACAGCCCATGGGCGGCGAGGAACTGGCAGCCATTTTTACCATCAGGAAAAACTCTGATGGCGACCAAGGTGAGAACATGAGCTGTGTGGTGTGTTCAGTTTTCATGTGAGAGCTGCATCGGAGTGCAGGCCAGGGACCGGGATAAAAAGAGTGAGAAAATGAGTAATGGATGTAACTGAGGTATTGATCAAGTAAACTGATTGATCAATACACATCCTTGTTATATCCCAATAAGTCCTGACAACAGCTAACTAGCACCTGCTAATCAATGCTCCAATATGAGCTCCAATATGAATACCCTTAACAAGAGTGGAAGAGGCGGAGGCGAACAGATGTCTTCGGATGAAGATGAGACACACAATTGATGGGTGTGGAGTGCCGGCACAACACCTAAAATAAGTAGTTCATTACTTAAGTTGTGGATGCAGTGTATCCTGTGATTTGTCTCTGTGCTGATTAAGACTTATTGAGGTGAACTGATGTGTTGTAAGTCCGTATTACATCTGCTCTACCTCTGAGGAGAATCTAATGGAGAATCAATGATCAGTCAATAGTGTATGGATGCACACAAGAAGAATGAAGTGCACAAAGATATACATCTATTTGAAGGACACTGTGGAGAGAACAATATGAACTACAATTAGCCCGGAAGTTTGTAAGAACCTTTTGTATGTTGCACATCTTTATATCATTATTTTCTTATTCCAGGAGAGTTTGGTGAGGATATGGAAACTTCTAGTGAGACCACCACTGGTCCTTTGGACACAACCAAAGACAAATGTGACTTGAGTTCTGAGGAGACAGGTATTTTCCTTTTCCAAAATTTAACTCTAACCTTAATTTGGTTAAATAGTATGTCATAGATTGCATTAAGAGTAACTAATCTATAAACATATTTCTATTATTTTTTTAAGTTGAAGTAGAAAATAACGGGGAGGAAAGAAAACAGAGAGAGTCACTGCCCTCTGTAAAGCGTTCATCCCCCGGCTATGAGGAATTGGAGATCTCCATCTCAACCAAGCGCCCCCGACTACACCAGCAAAATGAGAACCAGCAGGTGAGGATTGTGAATTTAACAAAAGTCAACAATAAACACAGTTCAAATAACTATCTAATGTCAAAGAACCCTGCAGACATACCATTCCTCCTACTGCCTCCTGATTTTTTCTCATTTATTTCCTCTCTCTTCTTTTCTCTCTTCTCTTGAAGACTGTCCAGTGCCCTTTGTGCCAGGTTATACTCCCATACACACACCTTCAACAGCATCTCACACATGTGCACAGCGTGGCCCAGGACTGTGTGGACAAGCTCATCAGCACAGTAAGTGTATGCCACCGTGTATTTGTTGTATTTGCGTTTGTTGGGAAGCAAAAGAAAACGAGAAGGCAAAGCAATGGGGGGATGGGGGAGAGTGAAATATAGGGAGACAATTCCATTAAGAAGGCACCAGAGAGAAAGGCAGCGCTTTTTTTAATGCATGTTTAAGTAGCTCCCTGCTATCATCTTTGATGCAGCCGTGCATTCTGTGTGTATGTGTATGTGTGTCTTTTAGAGTGGAGGAGAGAGGGTTTGACTGAGTGAGTGAGTGAGTGAGGGAAAAGCCAGTCTTTCTATAATGCATGTTTAAGTAGCCCTCTATTACCAGAAGTGCAGTCAAGCTAAAAAGGGGCCCCCATGCTTTTTACTGTGTCTCTCCAACTAACAAAGACTGGTCATCTATCCACATCACCATCCTCCATCTCTCTGGCCCGTATGCTAAGTGGCCTTTGTCTCTTGCGCTCTTCGCCTCCACTTGACTGACTGCTTTTCACCCTTTCCTCCCTCTGCTGTCCCTTTCTCCCCCCTCAAGCTACTCCTATCATTCCTATTCAGCAATCTCTGCTCCTGCCCCTCCCTTTCTGTCTCTCCCAAGCTCTCTCTCAATTTCTTATGCATTACCCCTCCCTTACTCAGGATCTCTCTCTGAAGCAGTTTTTTTGTTCATTGCCCCATACTTCCTCACTCCCTCTTCCTGCTCCCTCTCTTTTTCATAATCTAAAACTCTAACCCCTCCCAATCATCGTCCTCCCTCCTTTTCTTCCACCCCTCCCTCACTCTCTCTGATAGTAATTGAGGTTCATTAATTCAGACTGAGGTGATGATGGCCATTATGTACCTTGCTTTCCAATTACGCTCTCTAGATTAAGCCTGACCTTCAGTTTTCTCTGCAGTATGCCCGTGTGTGTGTGTGTGTGCGCGTGTGTGTGTGGTTGTTCTTCTCTTTCTCTCTTATGAAGCTGTTTCGCACAGAAAACTCTTGTCATGTAAATCTCATCTTTAGCTGTCCGTCCTTTCCTTGGGGTACCTAGCTGTTTGCATAGATATAGTATTTGCTCTCAGTGCTTGAAGCTGTGGAGATGGAGGATTTCTATATGAAGAATGATTTTGAATAAATTCATTATTCACCTCAGTAAAGTTTTATTAAACCCTTGGGGCATGTTGGAGGATGTCGTAGGCGCTGAAGGGCAGAACCCACATATCTCTACCATATACTCTTATTATTAAATTGATGTGCCCTGCTGCCTACTCTGCTTTGCGAGCAGGTGCAAGATTTAAAGATACACTCACAAATTCATACTTGAATGTTTTATGGTGTTAGGACAATGTGTAGGCACTACATGTTTATATATCATGATGTTTGCTTTGTATTATGCAAATCATGTTTTATTCATGATGTTAGATTATGAGAATATGTTGATAGAAGCCTGTTCTTTTAGTTTGATCAGGTAAACAACACTAAAGGTAACTGGTAATAAAAACAAAAGGGATGCAAACTTAAAAACTATCTGTCATTTCCCCTCAGGTCACCCCACAGATGAAACAACAACCGCATCCACTGCAGACTGAACCACAACCAGAGTGGTGCACGGATGATACACAGAGGAGTAAAAACTCCAAGAATAACAATGCAAATTGTTCTGATACCGATAATACTGAAGCTCCAGCTGACTCACAGAAAGACAAAGGTTTGTAAAAGATAATACCATATGAATGATATGCATGATCAAACTAACCATGTCTGAAATATCAATTGATGGTTAAATACAATCAACTCTGTTGTGACAATACAGTTTAGATTCATTGGCTTGTTAGCCTAATAAAATAGTGAAATAATTTTGAATATATAATCACTGATTTTATGCATGTTTCTGTTATTTCAGTTGAAAACACTGAAGGAGAAGTAGCCGCACCCAAAGATGTCACAGCTCTACTCACCCCACCCCTCGAAGACAACACCACTCACCATTCAAACGGCAGACTGGCTCCTCAGTCCCCAACTCAGATTCCCCCCTCTTCACCACCCAGTTCCCCAGCCAGCGACCCCCCCTCATTTTCTGATCGCCATGGTTACCGGTTTCGTTGCAGCAGGTGCAGCCTGGCGTTCCCCACTCAGGAGAAGCTCCAACTGCACTGGCAGTACCATGCCATGAGGGCGGCGACAGAGTGCCCCATTTGTTCAAGACAATGCCGCAGTCAGGAGGCTTTGCAGAGACACATGCAGAACACACACTCACAGCTTGACAACACACAAGAGCAGAATACACTCTCACCGTCTCATACTACACAGTACATGGAGCATAATAAGAGCTCATCTCAACAAGATTTGAGTTTATCACCTCAAGTGGGTCAAGATGCAGGAGGGGCTGAGGAGGAGGACATAGAGGAGGAGGAAGCTCTTCCCTCACATGAAAAGGAGGAAACAAAAGTGGTTGAGTTTAAAGAGAAGGAGGTGGTTGGAGAAATCAATGGCAGTGAGGAGGAAGTATCTGAACAAGATAAAGGGGCATATGAGGAGATTGTAACAGAACAAAGCTCCAGCTCTCCTGTCAAAAAGAGCTCCAACCCCACAATGGACCGCTACCTTGATCCAACCAGGCCCTATAAATGCACAATCTGTTCAGAATCATTCACTCAGAAAACCATCCTTCTGGTCCACTATAACTCAGTGTCGCATCTTCACCGGGCCAGACGAGCCCTGCAGGACTCTGGCACAGGTGTGGCTGTCCCTGAGACTCCCCGTGGCCCAGATCCCAGGCCCTACCGCTGCCGACTGTGTGGTGTAGGCTACAGCCAGAGCTCCACACTGGACATACATCTCCGCTCTGTTCTACATCAGACTAGAGCTCGTGCTGCCCAGAATTCAGCACCGCAGACCCCGTCATCCAGTGTAGCTACCCCATTGTCAGTCTCCACTACTGTTACTCAGGCTACTACCACCAGAGAAGACAAAACATCCAAGTGCTTGCCCCTAACCAAGAGGCCAGATGTGGTTAGCTGTTCAACATCTTCACTATTAGCCCCAGGCCTACCAGCTGAGACCCAGTCAACCCTCTCTAACCCAAGTGACAACCAGCAGGCTAAAAAGAGGGTGGCAGAGCTTTTGGCATCCAGAAACCAGCTAATGCTAATACAGCAGCAACAACTAGCCCAGGCTCAGGCACAGGCTCAAGCTCAGTTACAACAACAAACAGTCCTTCTTCAGTCTCAATTAATGCAGCACCTTCCTCTAGGACCAGAAAATCTCCTCAAACAACACTTCCCCCTGGCAGCAGAAAACTTGCTCACTCTGCAACAGCAGCTGCTTCTTCCCTTCTACTTGTCAGGAGACATGAAGCTTAACCCTGAATCTGCTGTTAAGAGCCCAGAACAGTCAATATATGACAACTCCATCACAAAAGAACAATTTGGGGTAGAAGCTAAAGGGGAGTCCCAGTCCAAAATACAGAAACAAACACAAAGACAAAATTCAAACCCATCTTTCAGTCAACTAAAGGACCATGGACATTGTGAAGCCATTGTTGATACAGGCTGCAGTGGATCCTCCATAAAACAGACAGGAAGACAAATTGGCCATTCAAATCTCAAGGAAGAAAAGGAAGAAATGCCCGTTTCTGGCATTAAAGATGAGGATCTGAAAAATGGAACAGATTCCTCATCATGTAATTCTTTTGGGCTTCAGTGCCCTCCTCCAAGAGTTCCTTATGCTGCTGTGAATGGGGAGCCTCTTAGAGCCCTGCTGCAGAGTTATGGCTTTGAGTTGGCACTGCAATATATACAAAGTAGACACAGACACCAGCAGCAGGTATTAACTCCTGTGATACCAGATAAACAAGTGTGCTCTGATAACAAAGAGATGGGGGTTTTCTCAGAGGGAGAGAGGGAAAATTTTGGTAGATTACAGGATGTAGGGGAGGAAGGCTGTAATAGTGATAAAAACAGAGTAGAAGTCAATGGAGGGACAGAAGTCTTGTCACCAGAGAAAAGGCAGAAAGAAGACGAGGAAGAGTCAGCTGAAAAAGAGAAAGAATGCTGTAAAAAAGGAGAGAAATGTAGAGACTGTGGCAAGCTTTTTTCAGATGCCTTGATTTTAAAAAGCCACCGTGAATATATTCACAGGTCTCTGTTTCCAACAGCTGCATTGGAGAGATTTTCCAGAGAATACAGGCTGCAGTATGACCAAATGTATCCCCTCCCACAACCGAAATCTGGGGAGGATTTAGCTTCTTGCCCCCAAACTGCAGTCCCAGCACCTTCCTCAGAATCTGAACCAGCAGAGGAACTAGCTAAACCTCAAGTCAAAACCCTTGCATCTTCACCTGCAGCCACAGTTTCAGACCCCTTAACCAGAACATGCACACCAGTTACAGACCCAGCAACAGCTGCCCCTCCACCATCTTCCCCGTTACCCCTTCAGCCTCAGGATTTTTCACAAGAGGCACTCAACCCCAGCACATCTGCTACAGCTACATCTCAAACCACATCCCAGGCTACCTCCATACCTTTGCCCTTACCCATGCTTCCTCTTTCCTTGCCTCAGCTTCCTATGCCTCCACTGGCTTTGCCTAAACTCCCCTTACCTCCCATTCCATTTCCAATGGAGCTCCCTCTCCTCCCGCCAGTTGTGATGCAGTCAGTCGCTCTTCAGTCTAAACCTTGGTTAGACTCAAGTGTAAACCCTGAGTTGGCAAAACTCTACCAAACTCAACTCAACCCAGCACTGCTAGGGCAACAACCTCAGCTTAGTCCAGCTTTGTTAGCCCAACAACCTCAGCTCAGCCCAGCTTTGCAAGTTCAGTCCTCACAGCTCAATTCTGTGCTGCTTGGTCAACCTCCCCAACCAAATCCTATCCAAACAGGACAGCAACCCCAAGTCAGCCCAACGATACTTGAACAGGGAAAGAGAACTCGAACCCGAATCTCTGAAGAGCAGCTGACTGTTCTAAGGAAACACTTTGATATCAACAGCCTCCCTAGTGATGAAGAAATAAGCAAGATGTCTGCCTCATCTGGCCTGCCTCACAAGGTCATCAAGCACTGGTTCCGTAACACTCTATTTAAGGAGCGTCAGAGAGACAAGGATTCTCCTTATAATTTTAATAATCCCCCTACCATAGCACTGGAAGAGTCCAGTAAGGAAATGGCACCATCCCAGCCTTTGTCACTCTCCCCAAGATCACTGTCACCAGGTCTCCCAGCCAGCAACTCCCCACTGTCCCAGACAACAGACCTTCAAAGAGGAGAGTCCCATAGGGGTCGACGTTCTTCTCGCACCCGCTTCACAGAGCAACAACTGGAGACTCTGCAGAGTGTGTTTGAGGCCACACCCTACCCCAGAGAGGAAGAATATGACAGACTGTCAAGCCTCCTGTGTCTTCCCAACCGGGTGATTGTTGTTTGGTTCCAAAATGCCAGACAGAGGGCCCGCAAAAATCAAGAACGGGGGGTTGATGATGGATCAGAAGGACAGAACCAGCGTGACAACATTCACAGACAGAGAAATGTTTGCCAAAAGAATGGAGATGATGAAAATGATGATTACAGTTGTGGGGATGAAGGACAAAGTGAATTCCAAAATGAGAACTCCATGGATTTGACCTATGAGTATTACACCCACCCTGATTCACCTTTCCTTGATTCTTCCTCCCCCTGCCCAGAGAGCGAGCATTCAACAGCCAAAAGTGAATCCACATCTGTTCCCAGAAAACAAGATAAATCTGTCCCTCCTCTAGAAAACAAGAACACAGCCCCTGCTCAAACTCAAAGTGCAGTCTCAGATCCAGACATTCTACATAAAGAAACAGTTTTGAGTATGAAAACAGGGTCTTCTCTGAAGTCTGAGCCTAACCTGCAGCGTGAAAGCACTGCAGAAAGATCTGCACTTTGCTCTTCCTCCTCATCACAAAAAGTGGAACCCTCCAAAACTTCTACTGCTCACTCCGGCCAGGGTCTCATACACACACCCTACTCTGATCAAGCTGTTGAAAAGCCTATCAATACACCACCCAGTCTCCCTGTTCCTCCAGAGCCTGAAAAAATTCACTTTCAACAGCCCGATTCCAACCCTGTCTTATCCATGGAAACCCAGCCAAAAAAACAGCTTCAGCCCCAAACCCAGGCTCAGTTTCAGTGCAGCCTTTGCCCAGTATCATTGCCATCATTCCAGCTATGGCAGGAGCACCAGACTAGGCACCTCCTGGCAGCTCAATCCCATGTCCAATTTCTACACTCTGGCTTCACAGACCGAACCATGCCTTATATGATGCTCCACCCCAACCACACCCTGATGGCCAGCCAAATGCTTTCAGGTGCTATGTCCCAAATGCACCCAAACCCAACACATGCCATGATTTCACAGTTAAGCAACATGCAGATGAAGAACACACACTCTGATCACACAAGTACCCCCCTCGCCAGCCTTACCCAAAGCTCCCTGGCAACCATAAAGCAGAATACAAAACTTCTGTCAGATAGCAGTTTAGAAGGCCAAGGGAATGGTAGGGAAATTGAGGAGGAACACCGAAGGGACAAGCGCCAGAGAACCACCATCACCCCAGAGCAGCTTGAAGTGTTATATCAGCGCTACAGCATGGACTCAAACCCCACCAGAGGTGTCCTTGAAAGCATTGCACGTGATGTAGGCCTCACAAGACGTGTGGTCCAGGTACTTACATTCACTTTTTTCAAAAGCAATACATGATAACAAGCTAATGATTTTGTGTAGTTGAATAACATACGGTCTTATCCACAGGTTTGGTTTCAGAACACAAGAGCCAGAGAGAGAAAAGGACAATTTCGTTCACTGGGGCCAGGATCAAGTTTCAGCTTGGGCTTCAACCACCTGCGTTGCCCATTCTGCAGGGCCCTTTTTAAGGTAAAGAGCGCTCTGGATGCCCACATGAAGTCACGCCACTGGGCTGAATCTGAAAGGGCAGGCTACAACTTATCCATGAGTAATGGATCCAGTGGGCAAATTGGGATGGTGATGTCATCTGTTGTGGACAGACCTGGCCCCTCTGTCACTTCCAACCCAAACCAAGGCTATATCTTTAACAACAAGGATCTGATTATGAAGCCACCCACAACTGCTTTGTCTTCAACCACTGACTTAAACAACCAAGAGGAAGAGGAGGATTATGAGGAGGATGAGGAGGATTACCCATGTGAAGAGGGTTCCAGTTTGGCTGACCAAGGTTCTCCTAGTCCAGAGGGATCTGGGGGTCCAGGTGCAGATTGGGGTGAGACTCAAACTCTACAGCAGCAACACCATCAGCAGCAGCGCCAAAGGACACAGATGAGTCACTACCAGATACTCCAGCTCAGAGATTTCTACAGAAGCCACCGTAACCCCAACCGACATGAGTGTGAGGCATTGGGCCAGGAGTTGGGACTACCTCACCGTGTGGTGCAGGTAAATGCTCAAAACATAATTAAATAATAATATTAAAAAGTTGGATCTGTAGTCATTTTAGGTTTTAACATTTTTTTTTTTGAAAAGTGTGTCTTTTCCAGAAAATGACTTACATTTTTTCTTAAATATCTGTCTTTGTAGGTATGGTTCCAGAATGCCAGAGCCAAGGAGAAGAGAGCCAGGAGCCTGAGCTCTGATGCTGCGGAGAGAGAGCAGGCCGAGCTGTCCGCAGGGGCAGGGGAGAGAGACAGAGCTTAGAGAGACAGACCATGGTCTCATGCTTCCTTCCTCCACACCCTCCTTGAAACTCCTCCTGCACCTCCTGTCAACCTCTTCACATATACCCTGCTCACTTTGCTGCCAAACCTGTTACCTGAACACCCCAAAGATGCAGAGCCACCTTGGCCCAAAGAGAAACTCTCTCATCTTTAAGTTGGCGAGAGTCCAAACCAAGTCCTCTCTACAAGAGCTTTCCTCGTTTCATATTGTTCCAAAACTCTTTCCTGGTCTGTATTTTCTTGCCAAACAGCACTTCTGTCCCTATCCTGTCAGACACCTTACTACAACCAAACACCACCTTGTTAAACCAACCAGATGCCACAGAGGCCAAAGAGCATTCTCCAAGTATGTGACCTCACTGCCCAGCTAGACCTGCAGTCTACCTCTCAGTCTGCATGACAGACTCACAGTGGGCCCTCCAACAGACAGTGCTAGATGACTAGCTGTGTAGCATGTAGTGCCAGTCTGAAAGAGGCTGGAAAATAAATTGTCAAAGAGATTTAGTGTAAATAGAGAGCTCCAAAAGATAAACTTGAAGAAAAACAAGGCTGTTAACAGTGAAAGAAGAGTAAAAAAAAAATAAAAAAAAGAAAAAGAAAAATATCCTTGAAATAGATGGAGGTATTCGCATAGAGCTTTTGTAAAGACTGACTCAGATTCCAAAGCTCGTAACCAAAATTTTACATGTCTGTGGATTTAGTTTCAACATGTTTGTTTCTGATAACAAACTGCAGAGCTGACGTCTGTATGGTGAACGGGTGAAATCTGCAGCCGGCAGAGGTAAGCCGGGTACCAATAGACTGAAATGGTGCTCAAATGCAGCTTCACCCTCAACAAGCCAATGATGAGTCTTCTGTTGTACATGTACATCTTCTATGTTTCTTTAGCGGATAACAGCCCGAATAGCACAGAACTAAAAGGCTAGTTTGTCCTTAAAGGGGCAAACTATTTTTTATAGCACTCAACCATTATACTGTATATGAAAACTTTAACCAAACTCAAATTTACATTGTGTGTGTTTAGTAATAGTTTCTTAATATAAATCTTATGGATTGAGATGAACTGTCTTGCTTCGATATAATAGTGTCATGACTATGAAAAGATTATGACAGCTTTGATATGTTCAGGCGAGGTGACTTACTGCCTTTCCGTTCTATTTGAATATACCAATGGCTGACCAATGTTATGTGATTGATGTAAAGCTTTTATGCTCAGGTCAACAGCTCAACATGGCTCCACTTCAAATGTGATCTTAATACAGAACTTTTCTGTTGTGAAAACAAAGAGTCCGGGTTTAACTTTGGACTAAGTATTACTATACTACTAAAACATCTCTGTATTTCAAAGATCTGAGCTTTTCACCACTGAGTAATAGTTTGTTACAAAAACCTTATTGAAACTAAAGTGTTTAATAGTGTGAGGGGTAAATGTACAGTATTTAGCTTTTGTATGGTTGACTCAAAACTTCACTGGATGATTGAGACATGGCTCCCCTTTCCACTTACAGAGAGGGAGCTTCTGCGCAAAGCTGGGAAGAACTTTGGATGTTATTGATGTTATTTTTATACACTTAATTTATTTTTCATCTTTCGTCCTCCCTTCCTACTTCCTTCATTTTGTCCCTACTTTTCTTCCTGTTAATTTACAACCAGTCCTTATTCTGACTGTAATAATGATAATATAACAATAATAGCTAAACAATAATTAATGCTTTAAGACAAAAATCCAAAGACGTGATAATACTTTAACCATATGACCTACAAAAATAAGCGCTACTGTTTACTTGACGATGTATTGCTGTTTTTAAAGGAAGGAGTCCCTATATCTAAGCTACTGTTTTCTGCCTCTCATAAGCACACTGGAGACTGTAACCAAAACCCCAAACTAGAGCCATGGCAGTCTGTAATATAGCGGTTAAAGAGTTTTACTTCTCTTAAGAAATGTTGCAGTTTATTTTTTCTTTCTTCTTTTTTTTTACACCATTGTGTTGAACTTCAGCCCTTAAGGATGTCCAGTTTGCTGCTAATGTACTGTAGTTTCTAATGATACTGTAGAAAGATGCATGCTCTGATCGCTTTATCACTAGGCTTTAATGACTACAAACTGTAATGATACCTGTGATGCTGTTGATAAACTGCTCCTCTGTTATTCTGTTGAAAAACATGTGGATATGTGGGGCTCAATTCCATCAGCTTGTTTTTCAGTATCCTGTGATATACTACCACCTAGAAAACAAAAAAAGGCATTCGTGAAACATGAAATATTTTTACAAACTTCCAGAGAAACCTGCTTGTGGGGCATTTACTTCTAAAAATACTTCAGAAGGTACTGCAAAGCTATTTGAAGGAGTTAAGATCCCCAAAGCCTCAGCTGATATGTTGTTAGTCTTTCTGTGTTGCATTGTCTCTTGTCAATATGTCCAGCTACAACAGCTTTGCTGAACTCTGGCATCACAACCTACTTTCCAAAGGATGTGGACTGACTAACTTCATCAAGTTTTGTTTTTAAACTAACCAATGTTTACGACAATACCAATGAGCTTTCCTCTGTACAGAAATGTGCATTCCAAATACCACAAGGCAGTTTTTTGTATACTGATTATTTAAATTTTCATTTCTCTCGTATTCTCTTGCTCTTAGTGACTGTAAGATGTACATATTGGGGTCCTCTATGGTGAAGGGACTCTGTTATCTTTACTGTAGGTAAAACTATTCTTTTTTTCCTGGATATATTGTTGCCATAGTGATGACCAAAAAGATACCTGTGATGTGCACCTGTCCTCATGTCCTGCTCCAGTGGTTTATTGTGTCTCTATACTCTCCCTTCCCCAGTTCTTTGCTCCTTATGTGTGTTTCTCTTCCCTTCTCTCCCCATACTCCACTGAGCTAAATAAAGTCTGCTTTTGGTGCATGCTCTAGTCTCATCTCTTTGGTTTCACTGAGAGAAGCCATTTCGTGAATGTTGTGGTATGTGCAAGTGTTTGCATATTTCTGGTTGAAGGTGCGATGGTGGTTTTGTCTGGCTGGAAGGCTTTTGATGTGCAACTGAGCGTGTGTATGTGTGAAACACAGCAGTGTGTGGAAGGCCTTTGGTGAATGGAGCCATGACCTCTGGGGTCACTTCATTAATTACATCTCTGACATTCAGCCAGATGAGTTTCCTTTGTGACTAAATGATATGATGAATATTAACGACCTCGGATGAATTACACTGCTGCTTCTGCTGCTGCTCCTGATGATAATGTGTTTTACGACTCAGGGAGAGAGGGGAGCAAAATTGCACACTACAGCACATTTAGGATGCACAGATTTTTATATGCAATGTTTCAAAGACCACAACATCAGTTGGTAAAGCAGTTTTTATTATTTTGTTCATTTAGTGTAAAACTTAAAAGTGGTTGATGAGATGAGCAAAAAACTAAGGAATAAAAAGGTGTTGCTCATTCAAGGTCTTAAGGGCAAACCGTATCTGTACCTTGTTTTCCACCAGCTACACCAAAAAAACATTAGAAAATGTTTTTTTTTTAAAAACAGAACAGAGCTTTTGGTAAAACAGTTCTGATTGGAGTTGCAGGAAACAGGCAATTGGATACATAGAGAGACAACAGCAAACTTCACACAAAAGCTGCTTGAGATAGCTTTTCAGCTTATGATAGCCATCTTAGAAAGTCATCCTGATAAAGTGATCCCCCACCATTTCTCCTTCTCCCTGTCCTCCCCCTCTTAATCAAATGAGTACTGTGCAGCTGGTGGGGTTGCGGCAAAAAGGGGTACGAGTGTGTGTGCAGTGGAGGTGGAGGGGGCTTTGAGGGATGGCGTGAAATTATTGCCTGCTGGTGTATATGTGTCGCTGGGGGTAGTAGGGTAGAGTAGGGGGTTGGGTTGGGGTGGTGGTGGGGGGGTGTAATGTCATTGCCTGCTGGTGTATCTGTAGTGGGGGCTCATTTAGATTTAGATTGGTTATGTGAGGAGAGAGCTGAAAGGCCAGCTCATGTTTATGCATGAATCCCAACGCATGCTGCTGTGGTGGAGCCCCGAGTTAAAGAGACAGAGCTGAAATACATTCGCATCTTTAGACACAGCTCTGTGTCTTTGGGTAAAGCTCCTACGGATAAAGACACTAAACTACAAGATACTTTTCAATTAGTTTGTGGTTTGTCTATATGCAAACAGATTACTAAACAATTCAAATGAATATCGTACTACATCTTGTAATCTGAAATTCTGATCTTTTGAGCTTTAAATATGTGAAATGCTCCATCTATTGCTGCACCATTTCATAAGGATTGGTTCTGTATCATTTGCAGCTGATGCAGAGCTGCACATAGTACATTGGTGCTTCCCACATTACACTCACTGAAACGCCGAGAGTAATCAGTAAATGTCTTTGAAGAAGAGTTTGTTCAGCACTTCATCAGGTATAAAGTGGTTTTTATTTGGAAATGTGGTCCCTATCCATCTTTTAAATGACTTTTTAATGGTCGTCACACCATCCTAATCAATCATTTGGTAGAGCTAGCCTGCAAGTGCAAATACACTCTATTTATAATTCCTACATTCTGCTGCAAAAGATGACACTCTGTGCCCTCATAGTAATGTATAAAAACACTGGAATTGTCTTTTTGATCTTATGGAAATGTTAGAAAGACTACTCAATCTGAACTGCAATACCTAAGTGATAAGTTATCCTGCTTATTTTATCTTCATATAATTTATTCTCTTCATAGAAATTTCTAAAAAAAGGATATGATCTACTACTTTGTAGAAGATCTTCTCTTTCTAGTTTTTTGGTGTTTCTCCATTTGGGCCTACATCAGTTTGTTGACCCCCCACCATCCCCCATCCATGTGGGCACACCCCTGTTGGCCCCCCGTCAGTACTTTACATCTATAATGAGATACAAATACGCATCAGCAGGACAGTGTCTACGCCACGCGTCACTGTGTGAATATTACTCACACTTATTAGCTGGATTATGTTAATCTTTACACTCTCTGCTCACAGACAACAGACTCCCCATGATATGGGGGTGGTCACGGCAGCAAGCGTGTGTTATCATCTGTGTATGCCTGCGCGTGTGTGTCTGCGTGTGTGTGTGTGTTGCAGTGATTGCCATGTTGTCAAACTGATCTACATGTGAAAGGGCGGTCTAATTACATCACTTATGCAAATAAGATTTGCACGTATGCATGCACATACATACACACCACCAACGGCTTACCACTAAGGTCGAAAAGACAGAGTGAGCCATCCTCTTATTGCTTAACATGGGCTGGCATCACCACTTGTCAGAGAGATATGTCTTAACATGATACATAGAAGTCAAAATGGATGTTTTGATAAACTCCTTCACATCCAAACGCAAAAAAGAGGATGGGTCAAGCCCACAGTAGACTAAAGCACTCAGACTGTTATTGGAAAATGTCTGACCACATATCCACTGATTAGTCTTTTTTCAGACTGAAACATTGATAGTATCCCTGTTCGAATGATTGATTGAGTCTGACACATTTTAATTACGCCCAAATTAAATGAATCGGCTGGCGGACTATAAAACATAGCTGTTTAATAACGAGCCCCTCCATTTGCCTTTTTTTCCTTGCTTCATCCAATCCCATTTTGGCCGCCCGCACCAAATAACCTCTCTCCATTTAATGATATGCAAATGAATTTTCATGAACCCCATGATCCCATGCGATGATTAAACTGAGATGACATTAGCTGCCATGCTGCTGCCACTGTCAGTGTTTCTGTCTGCCTCCTTTCTCTCTCCCTATCTCCCCTATCTTTCTTCGTATCCACGACAACGTCCAACTGGTGATATTACAGGGTTTATTGTCACCATTCCCTTATGAATTTTGCTTTGTGAGAGATGACATTCTGCATATCCACTGTTATTTCAGAGAAGTTTCCAAATGGCAACAGAGATGCAGTATCACAGCGAGGAGTGTGGATTCCACCTTCAAATGCGAAAGAGTTACATTAAAGACATAAATGATTAAACAATATACAATTTTCATAACACAACAACATCATATAGGTGATTTGGTAACCTTTCACATATCTTCATTTTCCACTTCCAGTCCAACCCCTCCCACCGTTCCATTTCAGTCTGGATCCCGCTCCACCTCTGCTGTCGTTTATTGTACTCCATTTGCATAATGAAGCCCAGGCTTAATTAAGATCCCACTGGAGTCTGGAGCCAAGGATGAAGGAAAGAAGGACGAGGAGGAGGGGAGGGAGATCCAGCGTTCCTTAGCTTATCCGCACGTGTCCAAATAGGAGGCACAATTTAAGGGGGGAGAAAAGCGTTGACGAGCGATTAAATCGCTAATTATGATCGGCTGTTAGAATTAGTGTGTGGTTGTTAATTAGCTGCAGATGAGATGCCCAGACAGTTGCCCGCCCCTGATGACTGCAGCACCCTCCTTGACTGGCAATAGAGAAACACCGCTTGACACTCCAGAGATGATGCCAACATATCTCTTCCTTTGAGGGGATATCCCTTTAAGAACATCCCAGGTGTGCATGTGCAGGAGAGAGGCTCTTCATCATCCTTGTCCACCCACTCCCACTGATCTTCGTTAAGCACAAAATTTCTCCTTCTTTTCTGTATCCTCATTCATTCTGCTCCTTCTTTCTCTTCTCCTTCTCTCTACGTGGAATGGTACAATCCCTTCTCTGTTTTTTTTTTAATGGGCAGCAGCTTCCCTCCAGTGCAGCAGTTAGCACTTGGTAGAGTTTGCAATGAGAATTTTTTAGACGCCAGGCTCCTACAACAGCTGTATTTGTAGTTCTAGTTCCAACCTTCTGTTTTACTTTTTTGTCCACAATTCTCACGCTTTTGTACAGTTCATGGTGGCATCCGCGAATGCCCCCATGTTTGCGCTTGGCACGATGCCATCTGTTTCTGGCGTCTCCCATGAGAGGTTGACATCGCCAAAACATTTTCGGCATCCAGAATCTTCCGCTCACCGTATGGAGGTTTCTGTTTGCAAATGTGTGTTATATTGGCTTGGCATCTTGCCATCTTCCTTTCCATGCCCCTTTGCCGCCCCTGAAATGATGCCATCACAGAATCACTGGCAACCGTTGCCTTGGCACCGTCTTTTTTGCTTTGTTCGAGCAAACAAACAGTGACTAGCAGCAAATCCTCGGAGGTGAGTCGTGTCCTTGTCTTCCACTACAACAGTTCTCCGCTGAATGCGTAGATTGCTTTAGGCATGCCACGAATGCAGACTGGCATAGTGCCCGCTGGCTGGCACACAGTGGCGGGCATAAAGAAAAAGAAGATCAGGAAGAAACGCAAAATTTTCTTCTAACATCCGTCTTTGTATAATCAATGATGTTATTGAATTTGATCTTACGGTTCCGCGATATCCACCATTCAAATCTTCAATAGTCTTGTATGTGTCTCGTCATCCATTTACATCTGAGTCATCCTCTGTTTGCTAGAATCTTGCTCTCTTCTGTGCATTGCCGTCCTTTGACATTTCCTGTATTATCCGACTCTGCTCGTTCTGTTTCGCCGGATTGTGCCCATGCCAAGGTGGCACCATGGTAGTAGCATGGAGGTCTGTTTCTCCTCCATTCTTATTCTCTTCGCCCCTTCGCCCGTGCCCATGCCCGCCCCCGCTCAAGTCCTGACTGGATGGCACTGTGCCAACCTGCCACCGCCATCGCTCTCATTTGTAGCTCATCTCTCTGTTGCCCTTCCCCCTGTCTCCCCATTTCCATTCCTCTTTCTTTTCCTCTATTTATTCATCCGCTTTTATTTCATTTATCCCCTTAGTGTATGTAAAAGGCTGTGTTGATATACGCTCAACATCACTTGATTGTGTCATATGCTAAAATATCAACTTTTCATTTCTTAAACACACGCTCTAAATAATCAGACTATGTTGTCTTAAGGGAGACTTTCTTGGCACCTGAAGGAATGCTCAGAGTGACTGCCCTGAAGGTAATTACAGCAGCAGTTACTTATTCCACTGAGACAAGAGGAGAAAGACAAAGAGAGCCCTGAGTTTGAGAAAGCTTGTTGTGTTTTAATTAACTTTTACCAACCCCCATCATGCGAGCCACATTTCACATCTTTAAGAGGCACACACTAGTTGTGATTGTTCACACAAATACATGCAAACCATACGGCAAAATGACTGATCTAGTCATCAGGGCAATCAATGAGTGCTATTGACCTTACCCAATTTTCTACATTGACCCTTGCTCTGGTTTCTCTCTTTTCTACAGATTTTTTAAATCGCTTTTGCCAAACAAAAGCTGCCAGTGGTGTAGGAGGTATTAAGCAAATACTCTCATTAGTACACAAAACATAATGAATATGTAAATGATGTGTGTAATTTATGCATGGGCTGAGAGACTTGTTCTCTTTTTAGTCCTCCATTGTTTTCCCCCTATTTTTATCCATCCCTCTTAAAACTTTGCTTCTTTAAGCCGATTCTTTTCCTTCCTTTTCTTACATCCCATCCTGTGGATGAAGTCAAATTTTGTAAAATTTCCTGGGCTTCATTGTTACCACTTTTATTCATTTATTTTTCCACATTTCCCACTTCAGCAATGGTTTGCAGTGTCTGATCTTCTCTCCAAGTCTCTCTTTTCCAGTGTTAGCTCACTTTTGCTTACAGCTTATCCACTCTAAAAACAAACCCTGCAGTGACGCATTAAACTAACAGCTGAGTGTTTGATCAAGGTCTTTCTTCCAGGAATATAAATACTGAATAATCCATCCACTAAATCACATCCACACTTGGCTGTGTTGTATGCTGTTTTTCCCCTTTGTCCCTCTGTGACTGTGTCGATCTTACTGTGTGGTCCAAACTGTGTGGTAAATTGAAGCCTGTCCTGATAAGATGGTGAGTAGCCTTGCTCCTGTCTAGGATAAACACCTATAATACTCTGGCTCCCTTGGCAATCACCATAGCAACAAACCATGGTACCCACGTGAGTTGTATAATAATAAGATGTTCCCCAAGACCACAGACCATAAAGCAGCGACAAACTAGATACTTGCAGCGATGAATGTGAATCAGAAAATGCTCATCCAAATGTCAAACCTCACCTCTGACTCATTCCAGAACAATCTTTTCTGTTTATCAATAGGAACCTCTCAGACACACATGCACCTTCTCTCTGTCTCTCCAGACCTTAACAGGTGCTGATGAGCTGCAGTCAATGATTGTAATGAGCTATCGATCACCGTGGGAAAACAGAGGGACAGAGAGGGGTGAGGAAGGCAGGGGGAACTAGAGGACACACACACACACAAGCAGAACAAGGTGGACTGCCAGGGAGAAAAAAAAAACTTCAGATGAACTAAATGGAGACAAGCTAGCAGAGACAGAGTATCAATACTTGCTTTAATCAAGTCCTCATCTCCTATTGTTCCGCTTAAAATAGAATTTATGGGGAAAACACTTTCTGCCAGTGCAGGTTGATGGGGTCTGTTTGACATCGAGCAGCTCTGGACCACCTGATCTGCTCAGAATGACCATGCAGACACGCTTGATATGACCGAGTCCAGATGCCAGCAAATGGCACTGACGCAGTATCTCTATTTTCCTCTCTTTTGTGCTGTGTGCATGGAGTGGAGGCAGACAGCTTTAGGGGAGGGGGAGGTGCGTTTTGTGTGTGTGTGTCGTGTGTGTTGGCTGGCGTTTCGGATAATGAAATGCAGCAGGGAACAAAGAGCTGGGGGCCCCTATTCTCTGTGCTGCAGCTTCATTTTCACTCCCGTCAGTCTATGATTCTTCCATACCCTCTTTCTTGTGTGCGTGTGTTTGTGTTTGTATGAGCGGTTTGTTGTGTGTACCTGTGTCCCCTCCTCCTCCACCTCCTGTTAGTATTCTGCATGGCAGATCCCCCTAATGTAATAACTGTGTCTGCATGTCTAATTTACAGCAGGAGAGAGTAAATAGCCTGTGGTTAATTACAGTACGTGTATGTGTGTGTGTCTGTGTGTGTGTGTATGTGTGCGTGTGTCTATGCATGTGTCTACATGCGCGTGGGTGTGTCAGAATGATTTATGAGTTGCAAATAGCTACACCAGTGGCCCGTTTCTCCTCACTTACTTTTTAATCTGTCTTTCCATTAATTTTCCTGGAGACGTTATTATGGTTTTATAACAGTGTGCACGAGGATGCACATGTGAGTGCACATGTGTTAATGAGACAGAGGTGTGGACATTTTGTGAGAATCGGGTTACTTGGACACCTAAGCTACACTTTGCTTTTCCTGTTTTAATTTAACCATTTCCCTTCTTTACTGTCCCCTCTTCTCTTCTCCAGTGCTTCACTCACCCTCTTCATTGAGAGCCACAATGAACACAGATCTTTATTGACAGTACATGGTAGAACATGGAAACAGCAGGTCAATCCGTTTAGCCCAAGGGCCGATACACCAATTCACCAATTTGTCAGTGTTAGTTTGAGAGAGAAAAGCAGCTAATCTCTCCTCTCTGCTCTCTATTGATCACACACTTAGACTCCACTTCTCTGTCTAAACACTATTGATTCTCTCTCTCTCTCAATCTCTTTCTCTCTCTCCCTCTCTCGCTGTCCTGCTCTCCCAACATACCAGCTCAGAACGCATCTTCCCCTTTAACACTCCAACTACTTCTAAACAAACGCCTAATGATGACTTGGACTTTGTATCATTGCATGTGAAGCCTGGAATCAAATTTACATGACTTGAAAATGTTTATGCATGAACAAATGTGACTTTTAGCGACATCAGTGTCGCTGTTGTAAAAGAAAAGCTTATGAACTTTGCAGAGCATTTTTGAGTTTGGTCCCGAGCATTACAAATTATTGTTCCCTGCTGTGTGCATTAAAGCTTATGCATGGCCTCATTAAAAAAAATCAATTACTTAGCAACCAGTCTACAGCCTGAATAAAGAACATGATTAAAAATTCACTGCTGGGTACACTGTCTCCTAGCTTTGTTTTTCCATCTCAACATCACAGGCTACACTTGAAAAGGACCACATTCCTGTCAAGATGAAGGCGACGTAAGAATTAAAGAATGATTATCTCAAGGAAGATGCCCCCCTCAGCATTAACACATCAACCCAAATTGTTCCAAGAATTTCTGTTAGATTGGATTTAGCTTGTGGGGACCCCTGTCATGATGAATTGTACTTGAGATGTGTGATATGAAAGAGATGCTGTTTTTAAAGGACTAGAAGATGAAACAAACTGATAGAAAATGAGGGCACACACCTGCGCCAAAAGAGACATTGCAATAAAAATGTGTAATGTGTTTCTATATCACAGCCTTGTCAGACTCATTAATGAAGGGAACCCCAGCTTATACTCACGTTTGTTTTAAGACAACCAGAACCAATGGGTCTCCTTCCTTACATGTGGTACCTCTTGTTTACCTTTCCTATCTATAATACTTGGACACCCCCTACTGGTGTAAGAAACCCATTACAAAACTTTGACTTACCCGGTTACAAAACACAGACACATGGCTTGTGTAACTCTAAATCAGCTGTTGTTTGGTAACCAGCATTGAGGTAGCTTCAGGACGAGAGACACACATTTGGATCTGAGCAGAACATTAGTTATGTTTAAGGTTTCCTCTGTTGTCTAGGTTTTTTATAGTTTCACAGCATTTTTTAGCTGTATTTTATCGTCACCTGTTAAGTGAAGATGCCTCCATCTGCGGGTGGTACCGAAGACAGTAAAACCTTGGTGAGGAAGGTATTGAGGGAAGTTCTGGTGGGTCGAGAGGATCCAGAGGGGTTCTTCGCGGTGTGTGTGTCCGCCCTGGGGCACCAGGAGACCCGGGCACAGTTTTTGTCCATTATCCAGCCCCTCTCCACGGCCAACATCTCTCTGCACTCCGTCCTCACCTCCATCTACAGAGAGTATTTCTCGAAGGTTAGTGATTGTTGCACAGAGTTGTAATGTCTTTGCAAAGTGATACAAACTGAAAACACAGGTTAAAAATCTTATGTCAAAGAAATTGTTTCTAGTAGAAAGTTCTGTCTCTTTGACAATAGTAAATATCATAACTATACACAATCAAGAGTCTTCAAAAAGAATCAGGGGAAATAAGTTTTTGTTAAATACCTAAATGTAAAGTAGATCTGCTGTTTCTGATTTACCTCCTGTATGTTGCATCAAGCCGAGCAGACGTTAATGTAGCAGTCCATGTAGCCTAGCTTAACTAAAGAGTGAAAATGTTCACCAACGTGGGACTTTTTTCCCACCAAGAACATAAACAAAGGCAAAGATATGTCAACGAAACATTTTTAAACCAGTAATTAAAACGTCAGTAGTTAAAACTGACATTTTTGTGCACTTTTATCCGCAAGCTCCTGAGTAAAACCGACTCTAACGCCACCCACAGTCACCCCCTTAGCTGCTGTCAAATACCAGTATGTCAGGTGCTGGCTTTGCGTGGTTTTGTAAGGGTCAGTTTGTAACATGTGGTTTTAGCTTTTTATGTTACCATCGAAGTTTAACATGAGTCCAAAAATACAATTTTAAATATGCTTAGATATAAGAACTTTCTGGATCAAAAAGTAAAGTAAGAGGCCTACATGACTAATTATTTTTGCCAAATAAAAATTGTATGAAGCTAATGTAAAGACGTAGCACTTGTTAGGCTCTATCATATTCTTCAAACAAAACCTCAGATAAGAAATAAACGTACCTCAGAACTTTTTTTTTCTCTAATAAATTCCAAGCCTGGAGTTTAGTCTTATCAAATAGGGGAGAGTGGGGTAAGTTGAGCCAAAGGGTAAGTTGAGCCACCCCCTGTTGCTTGGTACTTGTAAAATAAACTGATCATGTGACCATCAATTCATGGAGTCTGTGAAGGTTAGAAGCACATGGGAGAAGAGGTTAGACATTTATTTACAAAAAAAAAAAAAAAAAAACTTTTGAAAGTGAATTGAGTCTGTCAAAAGTTTTATTAAAATTTTCTTCACACCAAAATAGATCATTTTAAATGTGTTTTATACATCAAATGTGGTATCTATGAGCTGCAATATCAGGTGAAATACCTAACATAAAAGACAGTTATGTTTACACTCATTCTGTTGGTTTGCAGAGATGCACAACATCTTGAAATATATGCAGATACACTAGTTAGAGACAAAACTATGATTGCCTTGATGTAGTGATCCAAAATATGAAAAATGGCTCATCTTACCCCACTCTCCACTACTATCCTAATGCAAATTTTCACTTGAAATGTTTTTGTCCCTACCTTAATTATAAGTAGTTATTTTAAAGTAACTCTTTTTTATTGATGGGTTGTTCTTTTAATTTTACAGACTGAAGATGATGATTTGGAAGTTGCACTGGCTCTTTCTTTGCTAGAAGTAAAAGACAATGAGATTTCAACCTCAAGCCAAGAGTCCCAACTCCATCAACCTCATGCTGGAAAGAACCAGAGAAGCTCTACTCAACTGATGTCAGCATCTCAGTCTCTGAGGTGTAACAACACTCAGCTTGCAGATAAAGTTGGACCAAGAGAAACCACCAACTTGCCACAGACTGGGGCATGGGTCAAGCCTTTAGAACCAAAGACTACCAGCGAGATTAAGCAAGCAGCAAATACAGCTTTAAGTGCCTCCAAACCTCCTGGTTCATTTCCTAAGCATAAGTTAGTTGGAGAGGGTGACCAAATATTGCACAAAGGAGATTTGAACCAATCAGAGAAACCAAAATGCTCTAAGAACAGGCGACAACGACGTAAAGGTGCTTGCCAACATGTTGTAGGTTTGCCAGTTTCTCCTTCTGCACCACCGCCAGTACTGCTGTGGTTCAGGAGGGACTTGAGACTTTGTGACAACCCTGCTCTCAATGGCTCATTGGAGGTTGGTGCGCCTGTCATTCCTGTCTTCATCTGGAGTCCTGAAGAAGAAGAGGGATCAGGGATTACAGTGGCTGTAGGGGGAGCATGTAAGTTGGTAGAAGAGTCTCATATTTTAGCCGCAGTTGTGGCTCTGCTTGTCTTAGCTCTCATACAGCAGTAAAGGTTGTGATTTTGGTCCTCACTGCTGTCCACCTTCATCTTTTTTTTCTAACAGGTAAATACTGGCTTCATCAAGCTTTGTCTTGTTTCTCTTCTTCTTTGGAGCGGATTGGCAGTCATCTTGTCTTTCTCAAAGCAAAGAGAGAAGGAGACAAGGTTGGATCATCACTGCAAAGCCTGAAGGAGCTAGTAAAGGAAACAGGGGCAAGAACAGTTCTTGCTAATGCTCTGTATGAGCCCTGGCTGAAGGAGAGGGATGATCACGTGGCATCAGCTCTTCAGAAAGATGGTGTTGAGTTCAGGATGTTTCACTCGTACTGTCTCAGGGACCCCTATTCTGTCAGCACTGAAGGTGTTGGGCTCAGAGGTTAGTCACAACAAGAGGAACTTGGTGGGTTAGGTTGCTGAAAATCAAGTGCCAGATCATCAATTAATGATCAAAAATTAGTGTTTCACCCTCGTACCTTTCTTGTTACAGGAATAGGTTCAGTGTCTCACTTTATGAGCTGCTGCAAACAGAACCCCGGATCTGCTTTAGGTGTTCCTCTAGACCCTCCTGGATCTCTTCCCACACCTGTCCACTGGCCTAAAGGTGTGCCTTTGAATGAGCTAGACCTTGCACGCATGCCCCACAGGAAAGATGGGACCACGGTTAGTAGCTAAAGCAGGAGAGAGTCAAATATATGGTTAGGATGAGATCATTGAGTCCTCAGTGCATTCTTTTTTTCTATGCATTTCACCAAACAGATTGACTGGGCAGCCAACATTCGTGCATCTTGGGATTTCAGTGAAGAAGGAGCACATTCACGACTCGAGGCCTTTCTTCATGATGGTAAGACATCATTAACATGACTCACTTGTTGGTTGAGGGAATGGCATGAAGGAAAGTTTTGATCTGACTGTGGTTCATGATTCCCGCATTTTTCATAGGTGTGTATAGATATGAAAAAGAGTCAGGCAGGGCAGATGCTCCAAACACCAGCTGTCTATCTCCATACCTTCACTTTGGTCAGCTCAGCCCACGCTGGTTATTGTGGGATGCCAAAGGAGCACGCTGTCGACCTCCAAAGTTCCAACGCAAACTGGCATGGAGAGATTTGGCTTACTGGCAGTTAACGTTGTTTCCTGACCTACCTTGGGAATCCCTCAGACCTCCGTACAAGGTAGAGCTGATAAAGCTGAACTACTCTTCACTTACCTCATCACGAAAGACAATATACAGGTCTTTGTTGGTCACAAAACAACATTCTTCCACTGGTTTTTGTAGGCTTTGCGGTGGAGCAGTGACCGTGGCCACCTCAAGGCGTGGCAGCGAGGTAGGACTGGTTACCCTCTGGTGGATGCAGCCATGAGACAGCTCTGGCTAACAGGCTGGATGAACAACTACATGAGACACGTGGTGGCATCCTTTCTCATTGCTTATCTGTACCTGCCTTGGCAAGAAGGTTACCGCTGGTTCCAGGTGAGACTTATACAAATTAAAGTTTGTTGACGTACACAGCTACACACAGATTTACAAGTACACACTGTTTTTATCGTGTTTAGGACACGCTGGTGGATGCAGATGTTGCCATAGATGCCATGATGTGGCAGAATGGGGGCATGTGTGGTCTGGATCACTGGAACTTCGTCATGCACCCTGTTGATGCAGCGATGACCTGTGACCCAAAAGGCACCTATGTGAGGAAATGGTGCCCTGAGCTTGCAGATCTGCCTGACGAGCTTATTCACAAACCCTGGAAATGTCCTGCATCCATGCTACGGCGTGCTGGTGAGAACCTCATCCTTGTGTTAATAGATGTTTGCTACATAATTAAAAATCTGTTGTTTTAAAACTGGCCAGGCACAGTTTCAGGTCCACACAAAAAAACAATCTCCTTTTACCCTCTCGTTCTTCTTTAGGTGTGGTCTTTGGTCAGACGTACCCCGAGCGAATAGTCACAGACCTGGAGGAGCGCAGGAATCATTCTCTGCAAGATGTAGCTCTTGTGCGGAGACAGTTTGGTCAGTATGTGGACAAGCGCTCTGGCTGTGACTTGGTCCCTCTTCCCCCACGTCTGGTCTCTGAAGCTCTGGGCTTATCGCACAGGGATGGAGGTGCGGTGAGGGAGGGAAAGCAGTTCCTTTTGCCTGTTATCACCCGCATGGAATTCAAACACCAGCTAGAAGATCCAGATGGAGATGCTGCCTCAAATCCCTACAATGCTGTCTTAAAAGGTTATGTGAGCCGCAAGAGGGACGAAACCATCGCCTTTCTTAACGAGAGAGACTTCACTGCCAGTGTGATGTATGAGGGAGCCCAGAGAAGAGAAAGGCTGGAGAGTGATTATCGCAGAATGGAGGGACTTCCTCGGCCTCCTGCACCCAGGGGCAGAGCCAGGAGAACTCCAACAGCCAAGGACAGGTTTTCTATAGTACCTGGTGGGGCAGTGACTTCACTCAGCTAACCCTGAGGTCGAGATCCAATGTTTACATCCATATGCTAAGATGCAGAACATGTTACAGAACAGTAGTCACAAAGATAAGGAGGAAACAATCCAAAGCTACTCAGTCTCTCCTGTACTCTTAGATGTGGCTGTGATCATGAAACATGAGACATTGTTCTGAGGAGGATGAATGACTGTGCCTGACATTTTGTGCAATATAAATTTGATAAATTATCAGTTATACAGCACTGGGATTGTACTAGTCTGTTTAAGGCAATATCAAAAAACATCAAATAAGTACACATGCATGAAAGTTGATACCCAGACAGTAACTTTTGTCAGGTTATTGAGGATTGAGGTGTTTTACTGTTTACAAATGATGTAGATTGCATGAAGAAAACTGATATTGAGTAGCCAGTGTGTACATGGAAATAAGTTTTACCAGTTTTTTTGTATGTTTTTAGTGGTGGTTTTAGGGCATATTTTTTCCATATTTGTATAAGAGGGAATAATTATGGGCTTAGACTGTTACATGTCTGTGTTTGCACTAACGTGATGTGTAATATTTTTTAAGTGAATTTTTTTAACATGCATATTAAAACTGACCCTGATAGAGTCATTTTGAAATTCTGCCCTGTTTTAATATGAAGTCTTAATTTAAAGAAATAAAAATTGAGACAATGAAATGCTTCAGGAAATGTTTATTTACATGTCCCGTATCTACAGTGTAACTGTCACTCATGCAGCGCAGACCAACATTACTGTTAATACCGTAACATAAAAGTGCTTTTTCAGTCTAATAATGTCCCACAAAAGGAATTCACATTTTCTTCTGATCCTTAATTCATCAGAGGAAGTCAGAAGGACTTTCTTCTGATTGAAATGCTCAGGATTTTTCCTTACTGAGGTTCAATCTTTTTTCTAAGGGTTTTGAGGTTGCAACCACTTGGATGTTTCATCAGTGCAGATGGACAGTCCTCTAAAGTCAATTTTTAACAATGAATAAAGGATATCTAGCATTTATTGCTATATAAAACTGGTTTGCCGGCCACCTGTAACTGCTTAACTCCACTGGTGAATGCTTAGCATAGCTCTGTAACTGACACAGGCACTACTTGTGGATTTCCCTGCCAGTTGTGATAGAAAAGGAGCGGTCTTAAAAGGAGAGTTTTATGTTAGTCTTCAATGGAGCGAATGTATCTCTCATAGGCTGCTTCATCCATAAGAGCGTCAAGCTCAGCAGGGTTAGAAATGGTCATCTTCATCAGCCAACCTGTATTGAGAAGGTGAAAATCATGTTCAGTTATTAAAAAAGGTGTTTTTTATGCTCCATGACATTTATCACAAGTTACAATTTTAACCTAGCTACCATCGGCGGCAGACTGTCCAATGTGGGTGTTGACAATGTAGGCCTAGTTTTAAGTCTTGATGACAAATGTATACTGCTATGGACAAAAGCATCTCCTAAATGACATTGTTACTTTGAAAAATTAAGGAAACTTGTAAAAAATTTGGGAGGGAAAAACATGTCAGCTAATATAAAATGCCAGTATACGGTGTAAATAAAAACAGTAGTTATTTGATCTATCAAGCAGAACAGACAGTATTACATTAATGGTTTCATCTCAGCTCTTCTACAGTGACTGTCTCATATTTGATGTGGCATTACTGCCATCTACTGTTCAACATGTTGTGTTGTAAGTTCATAAAAATATGGGAAGTAAAGATCAAGACAAAACAGTTTGAAGCATACAGATGTACATTTACAATTGTGCTAAATGTCAGGATTTTTACAAGTACAAGGGAGAAATTATTAGCAATAAAAATGTTTCTGTAATTATTGAAACTATTTGATACAAAGACTCAAATCTTTGATTCGGCTCAAAAAACCAATGCTGGTTAAAGTTAAAAGTTTTTAGGAGGTAAACACAGACTAGTTTCACTTCACAAACTGTGACAATAAAAAAAAATAAAATGTAGTCAAAATCATCAGAAAACTACACTCAATCTTAAACAACTTACACAGACTGGACTTGAGTCTATTCTTGTGCTTACCATCTTTGTAGCAAGATTTATTGACCAGTCCAGGTTTGTCTGCCAGCAGTGCGTTGACCTCAACAACTTCTCCAGTCAATGGCGAGTAGAGCTCACTGGCTGCCTTCACACTTTCCAGAGCTCCAAACTCATCTGTGAGGACAAATGTCTTTCACAAGAGTGCTGGAATACAACTTCATTAATCAAAGGACACAAACCCAATGCCTATACTACAACACCAGATACACGCTGGGTATCGACCAGATAAACCAAGCCAGAGTAATCATGAGCACATTCACATAAACGGGCAGTATATAACGCCCAGTGACTGACGTGAACAAGTTTGTTATCAGCATAATGTCATGTTTCACAAAGTCAGGCCGTGCTATGGAATTCAAGAGATATAGAGGTTGAAAAAAATCCAAAAATAATGTGGGGGAAAAAGGACTATTAAAGAATGATGACAGCACAATCAGTAAATCATTCAAATTTTTACTTGTGAAACTATGCAGGAAGATGAGGCATCACCTCAGGACTCCTCAATGACTGCATCTACTGATCCATGGGTGGAGTTTTCTCCAAACTGATCTCTGTTGCTCCCTCTTAGGGGGGATAATAAGTGCAGTGACTGTCCAACCATATCACGTAAATATAATATTTTGACATGGCAGTTTGTAAGCACCTCATGTACATAACCTGCTGTGGTTGGTTAGGTGTATATGTTTTTTACACATTTTAGTCCTCATTTACATGTTATGTTTATTCTATTTATTTACTCATTTTTAAATGATATTTTAGCTATTTATGAGTATTTCATAATTTTATTTAGTTTGATGTTCTTAGCCAATGTAGTTTATGTTTTTATTCCGTTTCTCCAGTGTTTCCTCAGTGGAGGCCACCTGCACCGGAGGCTGTGACTGGCTCTGTCTGGGATTTCTCTGCCCCGTGGTGTGCACTCAGCTCAACCAGGTGGGGGTCTACAGCAGTCCTTGCTGCTGTGGGCCCCTTACTGGCCTGTAGCAGGGTGTGCGCCTGGGTGGAGGTGTCCCAGCCCTGGGCCAAAAGCAGCCTCCGGGGCAGTCAGCCTCCTGGTGTTTCCTGACCTGGCTCCTCTGTACTCAGCCACCTGCTTTTAAGATTGCATTATCTATGTGTGTGTGCTAGGGTGGGGTCTCAGGAGGATGGATGTGAGGGGAGGGAAACTGTTTTTTAACATATAAACTTGTTTTTGCATTAAAAGTGCTATATAAATAAAATTTGATTTGATTCAGCCCAAGGTACGAAGAAAAAAAAGATCTTTATTGATCCCCAAAGGGAAACTCAAGTGGGGATATACCCTGGAAAGAGGTTACTGGAAACCTGGAGACAATTGTGAAATAACCTTCAAATCTACAAATCCTGCGGTGTGGTGCCCTTAAAGCATGAATAATACCCCTGAACTTTATACCTTGTTGAGCCAGCTGTGTCCCCACCTCTGGAAGTCCACAGTAAACTACATCTCCAAGAGCCTCCTGAAAGTTTAGAAACACAAGGTCAAAGGAAGTGGCAAAAGTAATACATTATGCTGACAAGTCACTTTTCATAAAAGTAAGAGATATGTGTGTGTGTGTGTGTGTGTGTGTGTGTGTGTGTGTGTGTGTGTGTGTGTGTGAGAGAGAGAGAGAGAGAGAAAGAGAGAGAGAGAGAGAGCTGCGTTACCGACCTGAGCAAAGTTGCTTATACCGACAGTCCCAATGCCATCGTCCTCCACTCGGATCCATTCGTGCTTGTCTGTAAACTTTAGAGCTGCAAAAACACAAACAACTCAGAACACAAAGAGCTCCTTGATAAGACTTTTATATATGCGGTGACCTCAGGAGCGTCTGTGGACCATAAGAAACACAATCAGACCCACAGCAGCGCCGTGATCTCCAGAGTCCTCCAACCCCAAAACACTTAGCAAACATGCTAAAACACAACCAAAGACAGCGGAGTACCTGCTAATAACCGGCTAGAAGACGCCAGAGTTCTTCTAAAACAAGCTCTAGAGACATACTGCAACGGGCAAAGTGGTGCCGAGCGAGCGAGTAAAGGCAGAGTCGTAACAAAGTTAGAAGACAGGGAGCGGAGGAGCCCACAGGCAGCCATTTTTTGTCGCTCACTGATGAGAGCGCAGGGCGACTTCTTCTTCGCGGGCTTGAAACGAGGTAGACACGCTCATCCTCTATCAGCCCCCTGTACGGTGGCCGAGAGGTATCAGACGAATGCAAATTCAAAACGCTTTGCAAAAAGAAAAAAACTCAACATTTGGGAAAACAAACCCATAAACATAAACTAACAACACAAATACAAAAGCTCACAGCACAACAAATTAAAGCTACCCCAAGATTTAAGAGATTTTTTAATAGTATAACCATGTTTACATTGAAAAAATGTCAAGTAGGGTGACCATATTTTCATTTCCTAAAACCACGACACTTGGCCTGGCAATGAGATTCTCATGATACTCAAAATGCTACTCAAAGATGTTTTATGATTTCAATACATTTAAAGTATGCCTCCTCTGTATGAACAGAAACTTGTTTTATTACCAAATACTATCTATAATCAAAGACAAATTCAGATGGCTACTTAGAGGTTACTCAACATGTTGTATTATGACAAGTTTCAGAAATAATGATTAAAAATAATGTCTTATTAGAAAACATAAAAATAATTTAAAAAAAATCTCTGCTATATTAGCAATCCAACTTTGTACAGAGGATTAGGGCAGCTGAAAAAAAGATCAAATATAATATTTGTAATTATTATTATTATGAGAAAAACAATCAGAATTCTGAGATTAAAGTCAGAATCAGAATGAAAATCAGTTAGAATTCTGACTTTAATCTCAGAAATCTGACTTTTTTTCTCAGAATAATAATTTTAAAAAATATATTTTTTTATTCTTTTTTTGTAGTCAGAGTTGTGCTTTTGAACTACCACACTGAAACTACAAAATAAAAAGACCTACCGAGGTAAAAATGTGAAGCACAGCAAGGCTTCTCTGTGGTGTAAAAAATTGGCTTGACTCATGTGTCAGTATTAACACAGCAACCAGAAACTCCGTACTCCCTTTTCACCATCAAATTGCCAGAGGTGGAGCCGAAGGTTGACTTCCTTTTATAGTTCGGGTGTTTATGGTCAGATAGATTATCAAAGGAGACAGTAATGAAAAAGTTCAGCCTCCATTTTTGCTGATTTTGAGGATTATTGCACATATTTGGTCTGCCACTCTTTGAACGATTACAAAGTACTCAAGAGTTTAATATTGCCAATTTTAATTACCTTCTAACAAAGATACTAAGAAATTTTTACGAATTCATTGCATTTTACACAAGTACTTGATTTCCTGGGTTCCTAGTTGTGCCTTATAGTAGCTTCAGTCTCAGATTTACCTTTCCCTTCTATCAATAAGAACCAGATGTATAACAAGTGACCCTGATTCTACTCCAAATACTGCCAAAAGTCTAGACATCTGAGTGCTGCAGTATGTGAGCAAAGTCAACATCAGCTTCAGACTAAATAGACAGAGCTTATCGTAGAGATAAGATAAGCTCCATTTGATCAGCACACCGCTTTGCTGTTATTCCTGCATCACATTCCATTTTGAAAATAGGGTTTTCTTTAAGTAAGATAAAAAAAAATCCACAGACTCAAGCAAGATACAGAAAAATAAATCGAACGCATTAAAATGATGTTTATTAAAAATAAGACTTTGGAAAAAAACACAGGATTATGCTGCTCTAAAATACCTTTTGGAGACTGACAAACCAGAAGTGTTGACCAGTTGCTTAATTTTGTACAATATTTAACTATCCTCTAGATATTCCCCCCCAACACGCTATCACAGCCTCTCACGCTGTGTAGCCTTTTTGGAATTTATCGATTATTTTGCCATTTTTAATCTAGATACACCCTTATAACTTATCTACCAGCACATCAATGGCTCCAATGTCAGTAAAGACAGCAAACTCCGGCTCTATTATTCCGGGAGGCTTATCAGTTTTCAGGAGCCATGCAGGTAGCTGTACTCTGGGAACTCCCTTCAATCAGCCTTTTACAACAGCTTCCCAACATATAAACATCCGGTCTTTTGTTTATATAAGCACAAAAGACCAATAAGACAGGGTTTATTGTTATTGACCAAACCTGACAAAATCATAAATTAATAAGTAACACTTTTATTTATACAAAACGACAGAATATATCAAGAAAATGTCACTCTCATGCCTGGGAGTTCCACTATTGCTCAACATTGCATTAGCTGAAAAAATGGCATGTTAAAATTAAAATAAAATAATGGTAATAAAGCAAATTTGAGTGTTTCACACAATCATTCACTCCCTTTGTCCTGTTCTGGCTTCTTTAACTATGCTGTTCAACTAAAACACAAAAATGACTAAGAGTGTCCTCTCCTACACCCGGGCTAAAAGCTACAAACATAAATAACAAAAGCACATTTGTTTGGCTTTTACATTACACAGCTTCAAGAGTCCATCCAGTGTCCGCTTTTCCTTATTAATTCTGAAGATGAGACAAAAATCAATAACAACAATAACAACATCAAAAACAGTCAAAAGAAACATCAGCTTTTCTGTGGAGAGAGGAGTAAAAACAGAGGGAACAAAAAACTCCTGTGTGTCTGTGTGTTTGGTTGTGTCTCCATCAGAGCTGGAAGCTTGCTCGCCCTCTGTGAAAGATGTGTAAGAGTCCGTCCTGCAGGGGGTGCTGTGTACTGCTGGATGTTGTGTGAGAAGCAGAGGTGAGTACTGGCGGTCCGTGGCAGGCAGGCAAACAGATAAGGAGGGGATCTTTAGTCTGTAAAGTCTCTCTCCGTACTGCAGGGAGCAACAGCTAGGATGGGAAAAGCCAGGAAGTTCATCTTGGACCACGGTAGGGTCACCACCATACGCTTTCTCTTTCTCTCTCTCTCTCTCTCTCTTTCTCTCTTTGTACACACACTCGTGTCCTCTCTGTGCTCACATACATGCGCACAATCAGCCAGGCTCAGACACCCTGCTGGTTATTAAGTGGTTCGTTCCTCCTCGTTGGTCTCCTGCTTGGTCCTGCGCAGATTGCCCTTCATCTTCACAAACTCGGGAGTGTTTTCCTGTTCCTCCTCAATTTTCTGTTGCTCCAGCTCCAGCTGCGGGAACACACACATTAACATCCAGGTCATAAAAGTGTAGAGCTGATAACTGATGACAACAACATAAACTGTATCTTGTATCAGCTTGCAGGATTGAAAACCAGCAATCAGCTTTGATCTTTATCATGCCGGAGGGGACATTTCATATTTGCTTTCTTAATCATTTACCTGCTCTAGTTTCTGTTGTCTTTTCATGAGCTCTATCTCCAGGTCGCTCCTCTTCTTGTGTGCCTCCTGCTCCTCCCTCTGAGCCTTGAGGACTTGCTCCCTCTTCCTTTTTTCCAGAACTTTCTGCAGCTCAGGTTTGTTCTGAGGAGCCAAACCTCTGTGGAGACACAATCAAGAAAGCAGCATGTCAGATTACTCAAAAAAAAAGAAAGAAAAGAGGAGAAAAACCTCCGCCTGAGTTGGGGAGACACTCGGAAAGAGATCACACTTCATATTCATATGTAACAGATAATCACTGTGACCTCATTCTGGTTTGACACGCAGATCGGTCTCATGTTGTGGACTGTTTTTCATCATCAGAATGGACTTTAAAAAAACTATTGTTGCAGTAGTCTTAGGAAACCAGAAGGGCTATTACACAACTGTCTAGAGCATGTGAGACAAAAATCCAACAAGAGGACAGGGACATCTTAGTAATGTGTGAGTGTGTCTCAGATGTTACATAATGCTCCGAAACTCCTCCAAATTATAAGAGCGGAGGGTGGGGGCTACGGATGAGAGAGTTGAGAGGAGGGATGCTTAACAAAAAAGGGAACAGAGATGGTTTGGGGGTATCTAGGAAATGCAAAAAGCAAATTAACAGCAAAGCCCACAAAGTATTAGGAAGGTACAATAAAGGGCTGTAAAAGAAAAGAGGCAATCTGTGGATCATAACGCTAACAAATTCTATTCAGAAACCATTTTACCCAGATTGCCCTCCACATGATTTCAGTTTGCATTAAAAGTCTGGCTCTGAAAAGGCTGCGTTCTCCATCTCCTCTTTCTAAAGACAGCAGCCTACCCGCCTGACTAGAGTCTAGTCGACGACACCTTAATTAAATCCATTATTAAATCTTTAGGATTACATAACAAAGTCCTTGATGTTCCAAGCAGAAGTGGGAGGCAATTCTTTCACTAAAGTCGCTGATGTTTTTCCTGACAGTCAGGGGTCTTATGAAAGCACTTAGCAGGCTGAAGCAGACATGAGAGCGAATGAGGTGAGCAGGTCAGGTTGTTTGTCGAGTACCTTGTACAGGAAAGGAGGGGGGGTCAAGGTCACTGAAAGCAATAAGGCAGGCTGTAAAGATGCTTACAGGACTCTTATTTCACCGTGGGCAACGTTTACATAACCACGACCCCCTCCAACGAGTGCACTCCCTCTGGCACACTGGGAAATATGTGTGTTCAAAATCCCCCACATCAATACCTCCGTCTGCTCAAAAGTTTCCACCATCCTAGCGGCTGAAATTACTGACATTCTTTGCATATATGTGTATGTATGTGTCCGTGTGCGCGCGCGTGTGTGGGGGGTCATCACAGCTAAGGTAGCACAGGCAGAGAAAAGGCCCTCAGCCAGAAATTGTTTTGTAATCTTGATTACATAACTCTTTTTTCTCTCTCTCTCTCTCTTTCCCTTCGTGCAGCCGTCCATCCATCCATCCATCCATGCATCCATCCTTCCTCCACCCACCCCTCCCCTTGCTCGTCAGCGTGACTAATCCACTATGCAGCCATGCTTTCTACACTCTCAGTTCATGATAAAGCCCAATCATAACAAGCTCATCCCCGCAGAAGCCCACTAGATTCATCTCTCAGTCTTCTCCTGATGCTCCAGGACATCTTCCGTCTGGACGACCAAAAATAAACTCGGAACGGAGAGATATTTTTCCCTTGTACTTTTTGCCAATTCTTTAATGGACTCTGTATCCTGCCTCATCATTCATTAATACCCAGCCTCCATCAGTCAATCCCACCTCAATGTTTGACCTGTTTCATACAGAGCATCTCTGCTGTGATGTAACAGCTGTCCACAGCATGTGTGTTTACGTAGCTATTAATAGCTCGGGCACAAAGCTGCTGGGACTGTCTGATGAGAGAAAATCTAAACATTTAGTGTGAAAAAGCTGATCACAGGTTCCCTAATGCATATGCATTTATACATGGATGCTCACATACACTGTAATAAATCTGATGCTGTTGATCCAGTGTTGATATCAGTGGCCAAAGCAGCTTTATTCTGTACAGTTTATCCGACCTGACCTTTACGTAACCAATTTTTGACACACTAATGCACTTGAGGTTTTATATAATAGCTTCCATGAAAGTTTTATACCCTGAGATTTATATAATACTGCTGCATGTGGTTGGAGGGACAAGTATAGACAACTAGAGTGACACCCTGCAGAGGTATCAGTGCAGATGCTTTGAGATTAATTATAAGAAAGCAGCAGGCGATATTAGATCATCCTTAAATTAGTGGAGGTTAAACTAATTTTTTTAGCGAGCTGCAGGCCTTACTGATTTTTTATGGCTTATATTTACTGGATCAGTGCAAACTTTATTCTGTTGCCATAAACCAGCAAGCTAATAATAGTAACCCAGAAACTTTGAAGAGTTTAACTCTCTGGTTAATAAGTAAACTATCATTACTCCAATTATGTGCTGCATGTGAATAGATATCAACCAGGAATGCTGTTTTATTACTGCCTTACTGTCTTACTTTCAGGTTTGAACCCAGCAATCACTATTGCACACTGTTTGTGGATCATAAAACGTGATTAGACCTTGGTTTATAGCTATAAAAATAACAATCTCTTCCTCAAAAGTTGCACGTGAGTTTACGAGGAGACGTTAGTAATAAAAGGTAAGCGGTAAATTGATAATAAATATGTATTTTTTATCCGTGTCCTCACCTTTTCTGGTTCATGAGCAGTTCTCGATGAAGGTCTTGGTGGTTCCGGGAGTTCTTCACTGGGTTGATCAGCTTCTTGGGTTTGATGAGCTCATCGCAGTCTCCGTCCAAATAGTCGGGCTCCGCCATGACACTCCTCCCTGCGGACAGCGACAAACCAGGGTCACAGCGATCTGAGTTAAAAAGTACAAGCAAACAGACGGATCTTTTATTTAACTGTTACCATGATGTGGGATCAGATGCAGAACTGCTATGACAACAGAAACCCTTTAAATCTGTGTCACTGTGGAAAAAACACTAACAGGGATCAAATGTTTCCCAGAAATCGACATTCTTTTCCAACTCTGATTGATGTGAGAATTTGCTTCATCCTATGACATAAGCTCAGAGTTTTTGGATGGTTTCTATGGTGATGGAGACTCACGGCTAGAATTACATAATTGTTCCCACACAGAAGAAGAACACGCTGCTGTTTGCAATCATATGCAAAATGAAAGGATGAAACCAGACACCCGCACTTTAAATATCACTTAGATATGCAAACATAAGTGACTAAAAGAATCAAACTTCTGTTTTGTACTGCGTCACAATCAAAGTGATTTCTATTTTTGACTCAGATGTTGGCACAGTACAAATACAAGGTATTGTATCGGGGTATTTTATACACGGCTTGTTTCACTAAATAATCACAAAATATCACAACTATCACAAAACTGCATGGAGCAAAAAGCCAAGAAATGCTGAGTTTAAACAACACTCATGCCAATCACATGCAACATTCAATCACAGTGCAGAAACTTCTACTGTCGTGGAGAGCCGCTGATCCCCAGTCTGCTTCGCTCTATGAAAATATCTTCACTTGTGCTCAACATGAACAGACGAAATCACGAAAATTCAGAATTTTTCAACTGAACACATGGGTAGATCAAACTTACATCACTTTAAGACTAACAGCCAAGTACCTCATTTTCATCTACTGTTACTAAAAATACATTTTTGCAGAACTTACCCTGCAGATGAGGAAAGACGGGGTATCTGAACATTGTTGCCATCTCTGCTATTTTTATTTTCAAGTTTGTTTTCCAGAAAAAGTCTTTTGATTCCTGCTGTCCGGTTTATCAGCACACTGCAAAGCCTCACAAAGGAGATGCGCTTTGTTCTGCACAGCTGTCTGCTACTGAGCTGGTTGGAGTTCAAAGTCTGTTTTATAGCTGCGCTCACACATACACACGCACGCACACATGCACACACACAGTGTCGCTCTCTCTCTCTCCCTCCCTCCCTTGTCTGCTCCCTCCTACTTACTCTCAACATGCATCTTAAAGCAAACAATAGTTAAATCTCCCCTCATGATGTATTTTTCACTAGTTACTCCATACTATTTTTATTTACTTTATGGTATTTTTATCTTGCTAATAAAAGTCTAGACACAACTACCAATGAGATTCTTGTCCTAAAATAGCAGCATAAAACAGTATAAAAGCCAATACAAAAATAGCAAAGTCTGTTTGCTTCAATGTCACGTGCATTTCTGCCCACAAAGAATAAGGAATGACTCATATTCATTTACAGCCCTGTTGTAAAAACGCCTCTGAGTGAATCTTGCCTGTATTTGACTGATAAGGACAGACTTATAAAGGCTGAAAGCACAGAGCAAATCGCATCTCTCTGTTGTACTAAAGATGCATTTTATTGCACGTGTTGGGCACACAAGTGGGGGTGTGCGTGTCCTCAGAATCAAAACAATCTGAGGAGTGTAATTTGTTAAAGACGCCACTAGAGGCCGACTTTTCTTGTATCCTTACAGCGAGAGCGTTCTAGTTACATAACAAAGGAGCCAAAGATAAACACGGTTTGTGGCTGTGTGCTGCAGAACAAAGAGAGGGAAATACCACATTGAAATTACAATTGATGGATGAAGTGGAATGTGTTGACATATGAAAATACAGCTTTTTTCCAGTTGTTGTGATCTATAGTGATGGTGGCTGGTAATCCCTTCTAATCTTGGATGAAACCTTTCAAATATTCTGTTTTGATCACTCATGTGGCTCGTTGGTGTCTTTATAGAAATGTGTAAAATACATTTTTAAACTTATCGACCTTTTGTTCAAGATTAAGGCCAATCTTTTTACTGTTAAAGTGTTTTCATCTTGATATTACATTACTGACTGTAATAGCTCAAAAGCATGCCAGTAAGCGTGCGTTTTGTAACACTGATAGGGGTTGTGTGTCTACGAGGAGAGAGGGGTGGGCAGAAAAGCTTGCGGCTGTAGGAAAAGGCAGCTTGTGAGCACACATGGCCTTCTATGTACATCAAAAGTGGTTTGTGTTAGCGCTGGCAGTGGGAGGTAGAGAAACTTACAGACTGGCAGTGTTGTCAAAGTGTCCGTTAGCTTAACACATCTGCTTTAACTTCCTGTGTGCCTCAGGGGAGAGAGGAAGCAACATAGGGAGTTCAAAAGGAACCTTCAACCTCAAATTGGAGCCCTGCAAAAATTGTGCTTTATCACTGGTAGCTCCATATAAATCATAATAAATACCTTCTCGGCTTTCACTCAAGAGTCAGATAACATGTTTCACAAGCAGATAAAGTTCAGCATGTAAAAAGAAGAGAAGATAAACATGTTAACCTGCAGCGGCAGGCAGATAAGACCTGCCTTTAGAGCAGACTTGGGCCCCTTTTGTATTTTCACAGAGGTCTTACAATACAGAGGTTTCACAACTACATAACAAAGACACATTGTCTTACACATGCAGTAGGTATCAATGTTTGTAACTGTGCAACAAATCATGCATGAAAAAAGCACGTCAATGTATGGCTCATGGTACACACTGGGGCACACTTCCTAGGACAACATGTCCTGCTGTTCCAGGAATCCCATAAAAAACCCAAGCACACCCTTAAAGCACATGCAAACACACTCATACACACGCTCACAGTAAGACTCTATGAGAAAGGGGGCCAGCTTTTTAAATCTTGAAAAATGTCTTTAGTCAAGAAACCGAAAATGATAAAATGAAAATGAGAAGAAATATGGTGAAAAAAACAGCAGAGAAACTGGGTCAGTGGAGGGTAGAGAGCACTTCTACTTCTACTTCGCTTGACCAGCAGCAATAGTGGCTGATATCGTACCACAACATGTGCCACTGCGTGCACTGGTTGTTTGGTTGCATGTACAGTTTATTGGTTTACTTGGGGGCCAGTGGCATGGGCCAATCGCTAGGAGGGTGAACTGATCCCCTTCATGGTAGGTCTCTGGTCTAGGCACCACTCAAAATTTGGAAGGCCACGATCAAACTATCTCATTAGTTTCATCCTTGTTTCAACCTTAGCCAGGCAAGGTAATTTGTTAGCAGAAAGAATGTGACCTTACATTACCTCGTAATATACAACCCAACCTTAGTCTATCATAAATATGCTGGTAGGAAAAAACACAATCATAAACCATATATTAAGACGGACACCATAAGTGTTCACTGACTGTGAAGCAAATGGAGCAAATGGTCATAAGCGGGGTCAAACCAGCCACCTGCAACAGTATGGAGTGCATGCTTAACTGCTGGACCAACAGTCCTCCAGAGGTTCACTTTTAATTAGTTGATTGATTTTAAAAAGATGACTGATTTACAGATGTGGGCTCCTGCAGCACCCTGTACCAGAAGAGGTAAGTTTAAGAGGAATTGTGGGAGAAATCATAAGAAACACACAAAAATCATTGAATTTTCCATAGTCAAAGTGTCTGCTTTAAATCAACACTGACTGTGCTGACCTTACCAACAAGGCTGCTTCAGCACGTCTTTACTCTACCAGGCAGTCTTTTGGCTGCAAGCTCACAAAGGGCATAAATAAAGCCCTGTTGACTGTTGTGTAAACAGAGCCGTCATTTAAGGTAAAAGGTTAGCCACTCAAAGTCACAGCGGAGGTGTCTATGATTACGCTGACTTACTCAGTCTTTTCCACTTTACATGACGGCCATCTCACACACTGATATGTCCCCTTTCTCAATCTAGTGATGAAATATCAGACAGATCATCTAAGAAAAGAATCATGTAAGCAGCCAACATACTTTTCAATATATTTTCATAGAGTCACGCACAGACTTTTCTTGTCACTGTATTATGATGGAAAAACACAGAGCAATTGGACCTTTCAAATATTGAATAAATGTGTCTGATAAATATGTTTGCCCTGCTGGCTTTTTGTGCAAGTGTACGTCACAGTGGCAGGTTGCAATAGAATTGATAGAATAAATTATCTTTGCAGGATAAAGTGCCTGAACCATGCCAAGTGATTGCATCAGCACAGCAAGCACTGCTATATGAGTTAATGAGCACAAAGACCTGTGGTCATAATACGGGTTCATTTCTCAATATCCCCTTCTCAACTGTCATTGTCTCAAAGTTGCCATGGAGATGGCTTGTCACCCACACTTTGTGTAGTGACACAGCATTCATGAGCAGGAATGAGCTGCTGCCAGCGTACACCCACACCTAAAAGATTCAGAAGAAAATAACTCGTGGAGACTTCGCACAACTTTGAGGACAATATGAAAGAGGTTTTAAAAGAGGTGATCTGCTAGTTAATTTCAGTGAGAATTAAAACTGCTCATTAACAGGCTGTTTTTGGAGAGAGGAAAACATTTCTAGATTTTCCACAGCACAGAAATAAATATGCATATAGCCAGTTATAAATAAACAACAGTCTTTCCATCTACAGCATTCGTCGTTTTCTAGTCCTAAAGAGAAAAGCACTGATGTGCAGAAACGGTAATGAATGACGGGATGGAGAACCTAAATTGGCCATTATCGTCGCTTCTATTTAGTTTTGGTTCCAGGAAGCAGCACTTATATGGCAGGAAAAACAAACAAATGCAAAAAGTGGGTTGTTACAGACATGACAGACAGGAGAAAGAAGGTCGATATATGTATATGTGGATCTCTGCCAAGAAAGACAGGGCAGTCAATAAACATAAAAATGAAATGGATCAGCTCTCATGAGTCAACAGCAGCAGTCTGCAGAGTCAGAGAGGAGGAAGGCGAGGAGAGCAGCTGGTGGGCTGCTCCAACCATGTGACCCTCCTGTCCTCCAGGATGCAGACTCACACACAGAGCAGGCCATAAATGGGGTGAGGCTGCCTAGACTGCTAACTGTCACTGCTGGATGTGAGCATATGGCTGACCACACCCACTCCATCATTAGACAGCCAGGATTTGTTTATTTGAGCCATGGGCAAACGCACCAAGGCAGTGGTCCCTTTACAGAAGTATAGGAACTACTGTTATGTAGTGGATTTTTTTCCTATTCCTCTTCCGGACAAATTTCGATTTGCTAATTGTCCTACAGCTTGAAGAGTTGTGGGACAAATCATACATCAAAACGTGCGGTTTGATCGGGATCCATGTGCTATTACTTTTCTTTATTGTATGTGAATTTTTTTGTGAGATAAGTTGTGAAAAAATACAAATTATTCTTTTTTAATCCTTGCTGGGGCCATGGCGCAAACGCACTCAGACACTGGCCACTCTTCAATAGAGATGTTTTAAACTTTACAGTAGGTTCCTATGCAATAATTCAGCCCCAAGGCACTATTTGTATATTGTTGATTTTTTCCTATTCCATTACAGCAGTGGTTCTCAAGTCCAGTTTGGATGTTTCCCTGCTCTAACACACCTGATTCAAATGATCAGCTCGTTATCAAGCTCTGTAATGGCTTAATAACGAGCTCATCATTTGAATCAGGTGTGTTGGAGCAGGGAAACATCCAAAACATGCAGGACAGTGGGCCTTGAGGACTGGACTTGAGAAGCACTGCTTTAGAACAAATGTGGATTCACTAGTCCTACAGTTTGAAGAGTTATAGGACAAATTCTACAACAAAATGTGTGGTACGAGAGCAATTATTGGAGTTTTTTTAAACATCTACTGCTCCAGCATTTTTTTCTTGTGTTTTTGTAAAAATAAATACTTGAAAAAAAGGAATGTTTGTTGTAGGTGATTGGAAAAATTTAAAATCAAAAGGAAATTGATAGCAAGTGAAACGTTTAGTTTTCACATGGTTTATGTTAGCTGCTGATTTTCTGGATAGTGCCCACTATTGTAAAGATCAAACAAGTTTTCCTTTAATCATAGTTTAAGTTTACATTCACAGAAAAAATAGTCCCCCAAAAAAATCAAAACTAGATTTACTCCATTGTTTTAATGATCCCATCCTGTCCTTCACTGTTTCTCACATTCAATCCCACTCACAGATGGGAGGGCCGCCCCTTGGGGGAAGTTGCGTCATGAAAACCCCGACAGCAACCCCCACCCCACCATCTCCCCTCTCTCTCTATCACTCACACACCCAATCCCCCCCTTGCTGTGTGTGACAAACCGGACATATCAGTGTGTGTGTCTTGTCGTCTCTCTCTGTTAATGAAGCAGCCATTCAGCCATAAATAGGAGAGGCCCTAATTAAAACAGACACACACACACACACGCAGATAGATGAGCTTTTAACTGAAAGCTGTAGGGGGTTAGAAATGGGGGAGGGAGGAGAACAGGGGTGTGTGCTCTGAAAGAGAGAAAGTGACGGAAAAGGTGAGGATGCTGAGAGTTGGGTGCATTGTTGGGACAATGAGTCCATTTCCCAGACAACCCTGTGTGCGTACAGGCTCATTTACAAGCTTCCCTTGTGAAGGGACATAAATCATGATGGGCAGTGCAGTGACCAACATGTGCACTTCTTTCCTGAGCTCAGATTTAAACAATAGATACACTCATTTTCCTGTCAATTGAGGCTTAAACCAGAGTCAACGGCATAAAAAAGGCAACAGAATAAAGAGGCTTTGTTTTGTTATCTAGTACAGTATGTGTGTGTGTGTGTGTATGCAACCTCAGGTGTGATACTTTGGCTTCCCTTAGGAACAATTGCCCTGCATGTGCATGCCAAAAACAGAAGCAGAAAAAAAGATAAGTGAACACATGAACATAATAATCAAGTCAGGAGCCTGAACAAAGCAAAGTTCAACCCCGGAGACAGCTTTTATTGGCAGATTCAAACTTCTGCTGTGCTGTCAGTGAAGATTTGGTTTATATAAAAGTCAGACAAGTAAGACTTTAAAAATGTTCAAAACGGAAATAAATAACAAATAAATAGTAACTGGTTAAAGAGGACAAAACAGAAGAGGGTCTGGAACATAAACAAGAGCAGAACAAGAGGACATTGGTGTCTCCAAAGTCAGTTTTGGGATTTGGGGTGTTGAGGTCTGTTTTGTATTTCCTGCATTGGGGTCAGAAGGGGGGTCTGCAGCAGAGGAAAAGAGGGGCTGGGGAATTCAGAGGGTCTCATCTTGTTCTGACCTAACGCTTACTGACGAAAGCATCCGCCCCACTTCCCAGAATACAATGATGTCACTTGGGAGAAGAGGGGGTACTGGAATTTACAATCAGGGTTTTAGGGTTCATAAAGCACAGATGTACATCCACGCACACAAACACCCACGCAGTGAAGACTGGAGTCACACAAAGTACATTATAAGTGTATTGTGTGTGCACGTGAGTGTGGTCATTATTATGATGTCATTAAGGGAGTTCCAGGCTGCTCTGAAAACTGCTGTGATGAATGGTAAACACCCAGACTAATTCCTACACTTGACAAGAACCAGTTTCCACCATGGCCTAACTAAGGTGCTCTAAATGGGACGAAAGAGCATTGTGCACTCGGATTGTGCACTGCAGTATAAAAGATGAAGTATAACGGAGATGAGAAGTATTGGTAATTATTATAAATCTCAGTTAAAGCACTACCTACACATCAATTCAGTTGATTGTAGAGCTCAATATGAAGGTTGTCTACATGGTGAATGTCTTCAGATACAAACACTGGCGCCTCAACGTTTTAATTGTGCTTTTTCTAACCAGTGTCATCCTAAAGTAGATGACAATCAAAGTTTTAAAACCTGTATTATACTCACAGTTCTTTAGTCTTCTTTAGGCTTTGACTTGTGTTTTTGTTATTTTTTTTCTGCTTTAGAGTCTGACAATTCTGGGATGGCAATGAGCAAATGATTAAAACTGTAGAACACAATAACACTTCTTCCATTACTCATATAAAAAACATGTTATTTTAGAGGAATCCACGTGGCCCCGGTGACACTGCAGTGATATCATCAGCCTCAAGTTTTGCATACACAACAGTCATTTTTCCAACAGTCCAAACTGCACTTAAAGTGATGATTGTTTTGCCTCAGGTCTGATTAACATCTATCATTTCTGTTGTTCATGCAGTACCTCTCTTATCTGTTGATAATATTCAACGTTATGTGAACATAAATCTTTTTTTTTTTCTCAGACTGGAAAAGTGAAGTATGTGGTGCTTTTGCAGCCAGTCTCAAACAGGTACTCTGGGAACTGCAGTTTTTGGCACTTCTACAACTGCTTTATTCTCAAGACTGGAGGTTGCTGATTGCTCTGTACATCGAGCACATACTTATATTGTTAAGCCAATGGCGCCAAACCCAGATGAATTTATATATCTCTAAAGTATAAAAAGAAATAGAAGCAACCATCAAAGTATCTTCTTTATGTAACATGCTAATATAAATTTAAGGATATATTGATGCCAAAAAAAGGGTTTTGACCGGTTTTCTCGCTTACTGTTTGACTCCTTTTTTGCATTTTAAGGCTTTCAACTTTAGAGAAGTTTGGCTGAATTTGAGGAAGAACAAAATAGGAAATTTGGCCTGTCCCTTACCACATAAGCTTTTGTTTTTGGATTTGATTAACATACAGACAGGAACCATTAAATCTCTATTACTCATGCGCAAGTTATTTTACTTTCTGCATGTTTTATCATTGAGCTGTGATCCTGGTGGAAAACAGCTCTCTCTTGTGGCAGTATTTCTTTAAATCTGTTCTTGAGTTGTTTTTTTGTGTCCCTCTCTGTGTCTTGGGGTGTCTCTGAAAACCACAGTGGCTACATTTAGTCTAGCCTGCTAAATGTGAGTTTCACTGCTTCCATGTCAAGCTTTCAGAGTTCTGTCTGTTTATGCTCCAGTGTGTATACCAAGTATACTTGTTGTGTCTTGTAGTAAAGACAAGCTCAAACTGATCCAATTGCGATGTAATCTCTGCCTGTATTAACAGTTTGTATTCAGAGGAGTTATTTAACATGCTGTTGCCGCATGTTTTGAGCCCCCCGGTGAAGCAGATTACAGAGTGAATGGACGGATTGAAAAGGCACAGACACCACTTTGAGTCACACAGTAGGAATGTGATGAACCTGCAAAGTGATTATTTGCTTCATGCTCACAAAAGAATTTTCATTTAGAGGCAAAAAAGCCAATGACCTACATTTAGGTACTGACGACTCTGAGTGACAGAGATGAGAGTATTGTGGCACCATACAGTTCACTTTAAAGGTGAAAACCAAAGTGCTTACTTGGACAAAATTCTGACAGCATGCTATGAATTTTGTGAGGGGGGGGGTCACACCTGTCAATTGAGCACAAAGGCTGGTCTATACCCTCTCACAGCTGACACAGACACATGGTCCTGTATGTACATGTATAGGACCTAAGAGAACAGGTGGACCTGGACATATGTACAACACATGCACCGAATCCAAACTGTTTTGCTGCATAGACATGCCTGAAGAAAATACATCAAAGACACATGCACGTTTTATGTGGCTCCTCCTCCCCGACATGTAAACACGAGCCCATATGCTACTATCCTCACACACATCACCCTTTAATAGCGTCTCAAATATCTGCCTCTTTAGTGGTGTACAGGCCGTATCTTTAAAAAGCCACAGCCGTTTGGTCTGGCTCGACACTGTGAAATGCTGTCCACTCATAAAGGAAGAGTCTTTGTTACAGCCCTGCGGTCTGATCCAGTTCCAGATTCAAAGCTTTGTGCTTTACTGCTGTTTTCCCCTCATGGAGCAGGAGACCCTCCCCTCCTCTTCATTTACTGGCTACGCTCAGCTTGGGGCCCCGATCTGATTGGCTGGGGGGCACACTGAGGAGGATTTGGGAGGTTCTCCTTTGTTTACATGCTTGTGGAGAAACCCCCAATAACAACTGTTACCGTGGGCAACCAGACAACCTACAGTTAGCCAGACAGACGGACAGACAGACACACAGGGGTGCAACTGATTGTGAGCGTACGCATTTATTATAGGGTAACCAGGTGTCCACAAATAGGCGAAGTGAGAAGTCTTTGTTCTGTCTGATGCTATGCTAAAGAAGTTAGAAGAAAATATTTAGTTGTGACTGAACAAACCACAGTTATGCCGTTTCATTGTCTGATGAAACTTCCTAAAGCCTGCATGAGTCGACATTCTCAGAGCCTCGTTTGCTTCAGGCTGTTAAAAAAGCAGTGGCTCTGTTATTCTGTAGGCCTGTGCTCCTGTTTGTAAGTCCAATAAGAAAGCATCATACATCTTAAGACAGACTTCCAGAGGGCTTAATTCAATTCATGCAGCTCAGACTCAAAATCTCTATACACTTCAACCTAACAAGCTGCAAGGAGGAAGACATTGAGAGTCTGTGTGCATGCATGCGTGTGTGTCATCCATTCTCCATGATGCTTTGCAAAGTGGTCAGCACAGTAATGGTGCTGTATTGTGATTGAAGCTCCGGCATAACAAGAGGAAAATCAATGGGATTCTATAGAGAAGCCAAGTCTTTGGAGGTATACATGTGTCAGTTTCACCCCTAGGTTTATGCATGCAGATAGATCTTCTCTCTCTTAGCTGTAAATCAAAATTAAGTAACCAGACCTGTTTAAAAAGAAAGAAAACATTGTATGACTGACTTTTATGCAACTCAAGACACACTCCCACATGTACAAACACACTTTTCCTTCATCCATCCCACCCTAGCTCCCTATCAGGAAACTCAATACCTGAATCATGACATCATATTGTAAAACCATAGCAACCACGCTACAGTAGAGTGTAAACAGATCCTTTGTCCTGTTGTAGGAATCTGGGATTGCATCATTTTTGTTTTGCAAAGCGCACACTCACAGGGCTGCAGAATAGTCTCAGTGCATTCCTCCTTTTAACAACAACAAAACAACAACTGAGTATCAATGGATGCTCTGGGAATTATTTCAGGTGGTAAAATACCTTGAGATGTCTTGTCATGTGATTAATTTTGGCTCTAAATGACACTCTGGACAACAGCTCCTCGAACAATCCTGAGTGATGTGCTATGCTTCTTCTAGGTGAGGGTTTCTTTTCATATAACCTAACACTTTTAACTAACAGATGATCTGTGAAATATATCAGTTGTAAACATTGTATTTTTTGCATCAGACATTTCAGTAAAGGTCACTACAGAGCGCACAATCCAAAACTGTGTTGGAAAAACTTAACCTTCTCAAGTTACTTCGGTAAAATGGCACCATATACAGATCCTAAACATCCTATCCTATGGCCTGTTAAGCTTCAAACAGAAAACCACAATCTACAACTTTACTCAAAGGTTTAACATTTAACTTCATGCCTGTTAGTAAAAGTGGCATATGATTCAGGAAAGGTGCTGCATCTCCACTCTGAGATGATTTTTGAACAAGGCAAAAACAGTCCGAAGTAGGACTGAGTAAAGACATGATTGCTGAGACCACAAGCGCTCCACACTCTATGACAAAGAACCTCATACACCTATTTGTGTTGACGGTGCTCATTATAGACTATAAAAAACCTAACAGTACTCCCTTCAAAGTAAACTTTCACCACCAGCCAACAAAGTGTCTGTGATGACCTAGTAACAAAGCCTGATGAAACACATGCAGTTACACTATGTCTGGTGTGGTGTGGGTCTTAGGATCAGCGCGTTCTGCTGAGCAGTCAGGATTTTGTGCCCACAGACAGACCAGCAGGACTGTCAGAGATAGTACTGTCAACACACATGCGGTTCCCCTGGTGAACACACACCCATTCCTGGCCCACATACCTTCATTTTCTTGAGGTCAGGTTGAGTCCTTGACTTGGAATGTGATTTTATAAAGATACAGCTGAACATTTTGTCAAAATCACGAATAAACGCACACTATTATGAAACAGAAAGTTATTTCATTCACATTTTTTAATTCCTCTGGGTGCTGTAATGATGGAGGAAAAGGCGGACACAATTGTAACACACACGCACACATACAAACACTCACAGTGACAGCATCAGCTCTTACGGGAAACAGAAGACAGCAAAAGCAAGAGAAACAGAGAGAGAGGAGGGAAAGAGGGGGTTCAAAGATCAGAAAACAGATGTAAATCGTTTAGCAAACTCCCCCTCCAAATGACTAACACATGTGCGGGAAAGTTTCCCCTCCCTGTGTGCACACACACTTAAGTCCACACTCAATGAAAGCTCTTCACCTCGACAAAGTCATCCATACCACCTGCTTTGAAGGTCTCTCCTGACCCAGAGTTAAACTACTTCACATGTCAAAACTCCTTGGTTATATCATACAGTCTGCTATTGCCCCTCTGCCAAGTAAACACACATACCTAACCCTCAATGTGGATTAAGGTTCTATTTGTTTGTTTAACATCTTGTAAAAGTTTGACAGAAACTCAATGAGACTTTTGAAACATTGACGCCACCGTGAAGTAAAAACACCACGAGTTTAATCTTGTAGACCTGTTGCTGTGAAAAATATTAAAAACACAAACCCCCTTTGACTTGACAGTTGGCTTCCTGACAGCAGAAGGCCAATGTGTCAGCTCTGACTGAAGCCATGTGCTCTGACACAGACAGCAGCAGTCATTGCTGTGTAGTTACTCACACATGATGATTTCAGATTGAGCTCATTCATAAAATATGGTCCCTTCTGAGGGTGTTTTTTTCTCACAAATGGGCCTTAATACAAGCTTTAAGGAAACATTATTGTTGTGCTGCTGAGAAAGCAAAGATTTGAAACCTTTAAAAGCCTTAAAAGACAATGAAGGAATTGAAGATGGATAAAATTCAGACATTTTGAGGATTTTTTAACATATATTAACAATTGTTTGAGTGTAAGCCTTTAACGTGTCCCACAGTCTGAATAACACAGACAACAGAATGATCACTAGGTTTATTTTTCTTCCATTGTTCTTCTCCCACATGACAAACTAGTCTATAAATTGCAGTAAACAAACCCAGTCGACAGTAAAGTAAGTGTTTCTCGCCTTCACATGCTTGTACAACGACCTCAACGTGTTTGTTCCTCACTGTCCCGTTGGCTTCAGTCCTGAGCCGCAACAAAGGGAGACAATGCAACAAGAGTTTGAATTTTTCAACCTTGTTTTGTTTTTCCATCTCTCTTTTCTTTTCTTCTCTACTCTCCAGAATTTAACCTAAACATACTGCTTTTGCCGCTGGCATCACACTGACACTTCAGAGCGGACCGCTTTTGTTAATGCACTCGTGGAACAACCTCACACACACACAAAAACGCATGAGCTCCAGACACAAACACATACACACCTACCTCAAAGTCGACCCCGACGCGACTTCTTCAAGTCAACTTGTTTAATATTTAAAACGACAAAGTGGTCCAGGCCACATCAGCGCGTCTCCGGATCACTTCTTGGTGCTTGAGGTGTGTCCGCTCAACCCTGCCTTTTGTAAACTGTTCAATAGCTCGAGCTCACAGACACACACACACACGCGCATTCTCAGTCAGGACCCATAGAAAATGTAAATTTAAGCAGGGTGGGAGGGCTACATTGACGTCACGCAGGGGCTCCTCCCCCCTACTCTTTCTTCCTCAGAAGTACACGAGCGGGGGACTCCTCGAGTTCAGGGCGGGGCATGGATGGAGCGCGCGGGCACCAACTTCCACGCTCACGAGCACACGAATGAGCCCTCCAGATTTGAAAGTGTGAAAGCATGTGAAAGTCTAGTTTTAAATCAACATGAATGTATTAAATTCTGAATATACACTAGCTCTATATATCTTTCTACTTCTAGTATAAATATGTAGGGGAGAGTGGGGTAAGTTGAGCCACCCCCTGTTGCTTGGAAATGGTAAAAGAAATGGATCATGTGACCAAATATTTAGGAGATGGGCATCAATTCATGGAGTCTGTGAAGGTTAGAAGCACATGGGTGAAGGGGTAAGTTGACCATAGGAGACCACTTTTTTGGCATGCTATATTATCAAGACAGTTATGTTTACACCATAGACTGTATATAAGATATATATATATATATATAAATCTTATATAAAGTCTATGGTTTATACTCATTCTGTTGGTTTGCAGGGATGCACAATACAGAAATAAATACAGATACACTAGTTAGAGACAAAACTATGATTGACTTGATGTAGTGATCCGAAATATGAAAAAATGGCTCATCTTACCCTACTCTCCCTTATGTCTGTAGAATTTTTAATTAATTTCCAGTGTGATACACCACAATGTAGTTTAAGCCACAGCTATCTTTTGAGTAGTATGTACTTTATGCGAGGTATTAAATTTTCCAAATCCCAGTTATAATAATTTATATTTGAATACTACTTTTCTTAACACTTTAACATACTTTACGAATATTTATTCAGTTGAAGAAGCCTTAACAATATTTAGTTTGAACTAAATAATAGTTTAAACTGTTAAAGCTTAGAGAATCGTCTCTCGGCAGCAAAATAGCAGAAAGTTGGCCTCCTGCTGCTGCTTTCAACTCAAGTGCTTTAGCATCCCATTTTGTTGTTCTTTTTTATGGCCCACACTTTCGCTGTTTAGGTTCACTCTTGTGGCTCTTACGACCCTGGTTTTCAGCTGTTTCTATCACTCAAATGGCAAAACCATTGAAAGTGATCAGCTATCTGATTGACATCTTAAAGTTGGTGTGTCCAAAACTGTGCCAAAATAACAGTGATGATTTTCACCCTTATTTAATGTGATGGTTGGGGGTAAATGTCCAAATGATGTCTATGATTGTCTGTGTTTTAGGGCTGTTTGAAGACAGATCTTTGCTGCCAAGTTTACAACAGTCTTTGAACCGCAGTGTTGTGATAACAGCTTATTTTACCTCATCAGTGGTAAAATCTAATACTACACTATAAAACAAAAAATATCTTATATAGTAGTGTGCAAAAAGAAACTTTGTTTCTGTGCTCTGCTTAATCTTAATGTTTGGCTGAGTGAAATACTTTAAAAAAAATGTTTAAATAAAATGAGTTTTAATTATTTGTCCTGGTCCCCTATCATTCTCCATTTTGATAACAACAGTTCAGTCTGCTGTCTGTTATTGCCACAGACTGAAGTATTCCAGAGTATTCTTTGTGATACAGTGTAATCTGCTTACTGATGAAGGGTCAGTGGGTCTGCTTATCCACCACCCTTCTGTTAAATCCGCTCACCAAAACCGCTAGTTTATTGGAGATCTGTCTGACAGTGAAGCCGTGTGTATTCCATTGGGAATACAGAGTATCCTTTCTGACTGTATCTCTGTTAAATAAACGCTGAAGTCCGTCTACAACTAGCAAAGCAGATTTACTGGAAATGACACAAAACAGCCCAAAAGATCGGGGTTTGAAATCTAAACTGTGGGAGCTGGGGGGGCGTTGGCAGGAGTAAGTAAAGCATTCCTAGGAACCTTCTCATAAATTAGGAGAGAGTTGACTAAGAGCTAAACTTAACAATAGGATGAGTCATGAGGGGGACGTCTCTGACAGGGAGGACACACCCCGCAGAGACCACCACTCTCTTTCCTCCGCATGCAGGAAACAGATGTGTATGCAGTGGGGTCAGTGCATGTGCATGGATGCAGTTGTGTGAAATCCAGCAAATGTTGTAGAAGAAGAAAAAATATTACCAAAAGTTGACAATATAAGCTACTCTAACTGTACTCACCACGCATCGTCTATTACTCACCATGCTATGTCTGTTTCTAAACAAAATAGGTTCAAATTTCAGAGGATGATTTGTTTCCTTCTTAAAAGATGGAAAAACTGATACCACTCTCATGTCTGTTCATAAAAAAATGTTGCTCGAGTCAGCATCTCTTGATCCTAACATGGTGCAGAGGCTAGAACCAGGAAGGAAAAATCTAGTCCAAATTTGTCCTGGCAACAAAACAGCCCAAGAAAACTTAGCGATAACTTGTTTGTACCATAATCTAAAAAGGATATAATGATGATTTTTTTCTCTGTTTCTTGTTTGGACAGGCTGCTAAGTAACCAAGAGGGACGTGAAATAGTGACACAAAACCAGAAAGAGAGGGACAGCTAATGACAAGAAAGTGAATGAGTGAGTTTCCAAAAATGAATAATCATCATTTAAAATTAGAACTAATGATGAAACTTACAACGGATTTTATGACAAACATTTTTAACTGCAGCAGTTTGAGTACTGTTAGTAAGTTGAGAAACTCTTCTAGTGATCGGAAGATTTATTTCATCTGTTTCCGTTACAGGTGGTTACAGAGAAGTTAGAGGTTTTGTTCCGGTTTCTTCAAACCGCAATTCAGATGAAGCGATTGAGTGCAAACATCCGTGTTGCCAAGACACACCCTAGCACAGGTTTGAAGAGAAAAGACTTGCACACTTTTGCAGAGAAGACACACAGTTTTACTTGCATGCTCTTAACTGATTATCCGATTTCAGTTTTAAACTTGGGTACACAGTGTAGTTTGGACACTCTTGGCCATGCTGTGGTCTCTTCTTGTCTGTATAATGGGTTTCCCCCTCCTCTATTGTTAACTGGAAGTGAACCTCTTTATTTAGCCCCCCCATCTCTATCTCTGATCTAATTTCTGGGACAGATGTTCCAGACATCTTCCCATGGTTTCCCACAGTTATTGTGTGTGTATAGGTTAGTTTGTGAGGCCCCTTGTATTTTTCTTCATCAGGCCTCCAAGGGCCTCTACTTTAAACAGGATATGGTAGTCCTCTGAAAACCCTGGTGACAGATCTTTCTGTCAGTGAGGGTCCGTTTTGATACTGACAAAAGTGAATCTTGCCAGGAAAAAGGAATCTTTTTTTTTCTTGAAATAGAAGAATACATCCAAAATACAATAAAACCTACAGTATACTAAATCAACTGAAGATGTCTGTGCTGAATGTTTAACTCAGATTTTATGCATGGTGGTGTCTGGATCATAGGTCAACAAAGACCCTCCAATATTCACTGTTGTAACAAAGAAAGAAGAATCAATGTTAACATCCCACCAGTGTAGGAAAGGAGCAGATTGTAAATAATTACATGTAATTGTAGTGTACATAAACACAACCCCCCAAGAGCGTGACCTACTTCTGAGTGACTCTGGGTTTACACCAGCAGCACACCGACCATATGTTGAAGTAGATCTTGGTTAAATCTGAGATACTTGTTGAAACTGGAAGTCTTCCTTTTTTAACATCATGTCCCCATTTTCTGCTCTCTCTTCTTGTTTCAAAAAGTCTTAATACATTCTTTCCACTCTGTTTTGTCTGACCCAGCAACTGTTGAGAGCATTCAACCACAGCCCACTGGTGGAGAAACCACAGGATAAAAATCTGCACTGAGGCAAAGATCCACTTTTATATCATGTGTTTTGTGAGAAATTGCCAATTAGGTCACTTTCAGAGACTTCAGAATTTGCATGTCTGTCCATAACAAAGAGAATGTGAGGAGGCTATTTGTGCGGCTTCAATAAAACGGTGTGAGTTTGTTTTAAAGTTGGGCGGTACTCCCACTGTCAGCCTGTCTGTCTGTCTGTCTGTCTGTCTGTCTGTCTGTCTGTCTGTCTGTCTGTCTGTCTGTCTGTCTGTCTGTCTGTCTGGAAGATTTGCTCACCAGTTCTTGGGGTAACATAATGCATTCAGCCTCTCTTCGCTGCGAGTGTTCAGCCAAAGTTCAGTTAATTCAATCACTGCTGGATGACTCACACCACAGCAGTGTCCCTTTCTGCACAGATGCACAGACACGCACACACAGGCATGATAGCACAAACACAGTCACTTACACACAAATGTACCATAATGCCTGGATGGATAAGGTTTGTGAGGTCAGTGCTGCGTCAGCCCCTCAGCACACTTATGAAATGATCTCTTGTTCCAGAGCTTCAATACTCACTCACACCCTCCCTGTGTCTGTTATTTATTAGCTGATGCACCGTCATGCTTTCTCATTCACTACTTCTGATGTCTGTCTATGACACAAACCTCAACTATTCCCTCAGTGTAACTAACAAATGGACAGCAAATGTAATCTGAAACAGAAATGTGATAAATAACCAGATAAACTTTTCTGGGGCTGTCATTGTTTTTCATTTAGTGTGAAATGGTACAAGAGATGTTCTGCCACTTGAGTTTTTTGGACATTTATTACAGTTTCATTCCTTCTTCTCTGTCTGCTACATTCACATCTCGTAAATATAAGAATTTGACTGTCAAATCCCTACTTTCTTCAAAAAGGATTCAGTAGTGTGAGAAATTATACCCTGCAGACCATTTTCCATATTTGCATGCCTGCATGAGTGACTGTGTTTGCATGTGTTCTGTTGTCATGCATACGAGCACATGCAAAAAGATAAAGATATGGTAGCTTTACTGCAGTCCCTGGATGTCGCCGCTCAGGCTGTTATTACTGGTCAAGCCACCCAGATTTATTGAGTCTTACTGTACAGAGCCTTTCCACTTAGTCTAATGACTGGCAACAGGAATGAGAGCAGATGGCTCCGTTACAGTACACTGAGGAAAAATATCTTGAGAGTCAGACAAAACTGCCCACTGCTTACTACGTGCATATGCGTTTGGGTTATAAATGTTTTCTGGAAAC